AGCTTTTCTTTTTTCCTCTGCATATTCTTTTTGACGGACAACATTAACAGAGGGTCTTAATAATTTTGGCTTTTCTATAGGAAAATCAAAGTCTGAACGCATCCATTCCTTGTGGTGATCTAATACTTGAATATTATATTTTTCTACGAATCTATGAATGTCAAACAACACAAATGCAATTTTAAATTCCACACATTTTCCAAATCTCCACTCATTTTAGCAACTGAATGAGGATTGAAAAATTTGAATTTCTCACCAATATGAGAGAATAATGTTTCAATCATACCACGAAAAGCACCAAATTCTTCATTATATTGTGCTTCACTGTATGTTAGATCTTGATTTCTTGGTTTTCTAATTGGAGTTCTGAAATTTGACTCATCAAAATCATATCCTTTTTCTTGCAATTTTTCAATATAATCAGGAATTCCCAAGAAATAACCACCATCAAAATACAATACATCCACACTAGGATCTAATAGTTTTGGGATTCTCTCCATTTGCTTGAACATACCAATGTCTGTATTAGGAGCACATGGTAGGGATTTCGAAATAGCAATTGCTAATTCTTGATTATCCATCAATACTTGAGTTCTTAATCCAGAATCTTTATATTTGTAACTCCAATACTCCCTTTTAGGATATTTGGCTAAATTACTATATTCAATGCGTGTATCATGACCATCTAAAAAAGTGGTTCCATCCTTGAAGCCTTTTTCGTTTTCAATTATACCAGTAAGACATCGAATAATAGGATTTGAAAACATTCTTTGCAAACAAGTGTCAGCCCATTCATTAAGTTGGTCATGAAATTCAACGAAAATTGTGTGATGAATTCTCCATATTGTAGACCTTGCGATAATTCTCCTCTCATTTAAGGATCCGAATGTTTCATTTTCAAGTAACATGTAAAGAATTAATAAGATTTTGCCCACATTACGATAAGGACCTTCTAACCATCCACAGATAGTACCAACAGTATGTAAGAAGATGAATGTAGCAACATATCCAATTCTTTGGCGGACTATTTCTTTAATTCTATTCATTGTAGGAATATCCTTGATATCCTTTCTACCTTTTGATTTCTGAATAATTGGCAGCTCTTCATGCAATACCTTCCATTCATTGGCCACCAATTTTTTGACCTCGATTTCCCTCAATCTCACAGCGTCTTATGATATTTTTTTGAAGTTGAAACTCCCAAGCTAAGTTGAAAAGAAGCTGATTTGGAATGTTTCGGATTCTTTGAAACGCCCCTGAATCTTTGAAACCACCCAATACCTTTGAAACATCCCAAGCTTAAAGGAATGTTTTAATTTTTATGAATTTTGGAACCACTAATGAAACAAGGAACATGCTTTGGAATTTGGAATGACTAATGGGACTGAACCGAGCTTCTTAGTTTTTTCATTCTCTTGCTTCTCAAGTTCCTTCTTGAACTGTTCTTTCATCTTTTCCATTTCTTGTTGATGAAGAGAGGCTCTTTCATTTCCTTGCTTCTCAACTTTCATCACCCATAGATGTGTTGAAGCATTCATTTGCTTGATCTTGTTCACATTAATTCATTAAACAAACCGCAAATAGCATGGTATGAGTCTTGTCTGTTGCTGGACCACCTGTATTTTTGCTTTCCATTAAAGAGGCTTTATAACGCCCATAAATCGGTCTCTTCTTCTTCACCCCTCTTCTTTTCGCCACCTCTCGGTAGAAAGTATCCCCAAAAAAATGCCCATTTCAAAACGAGATGTTTTGTCCCTTTACCGAAAAATTCTTCGGAAAGGAAATGAATCTCTTCAATACACTAACAAGGAATATTTTAGAAGAAGAATAAGAGAAGAATTCGAAATGGCAGACCAAATGATTGGAGATAGCAAGAAAAGACAAACCATTAGAGAAAAAATGTATCGGAAAGGAATGGAATTTCTAAACAGTAACATCGGAGGAATTATTTAAAAGTGCATGGTGTGACCATCATGATGATTTAGCAAGTGGGTAATTTTCTAGCTACCCATCTTGAAGTTTTAATCAAACAACATATCATCAAACCCGTCATCAATGGAATCAAAATTTTTTTTATTTTCTCTTTTTAACTTTTTGCTCTGACGAGTTCAAAGATGATGGAGAGTGCTCATTCGACTGCTTTCTCTTCAATAAACCTTTTGTTGGTGAAAAGGTTAAATCCACTGGTACACTTGGAACAATGTCTTTCTTGGAAAATGTTTTAACTTGGTTCTTATTAAGGTCAATTTTCACTTTCTTCTCTTCCTTTGCAGCTGCGAGCTCAGCAAGCTTCTTTTTCATATTCTTAATTTTTTCAAGCTTGTGTTGCGATTTGTCAGAGGATTGATCATCTTTCTTTGGTGTTGTTTTCTCATTTTGTTGTTCCTCTTGTTGTTTTGGAGTTGTTTCTTGTTTGTCGGAAGATTCATTCATTCTGTCACTCATTTTATCCTCAGCCACAGGTGCTGCTTTCTGTTCTAATTGCTTTTTGGTAGCAGGTTTTTTCTCTTGTTTTTGGCTTTCTTTCTTTTGTGGTTGTTTTGAGTCTTTTTGTGTCTTTTTGGATTCCTTTGTTTGTGAGTTTTGTCGCTGAGAAGTTGGTGAATCTTTGACGTTCTTGTTCGATGGATCTTTCTTTTCAGAAGTTGAGGTACCATTGTTACCTGATGACACTTGTTCCAACTCTGAATACAGATCATCGAGAGTGATAATTCTAATCTTGAATTTCTCGTAATACTCCTTACAAACATCAGAATGCTCATATCCCTCAATATATTTTTCAAACTCTTTCACAATTCGTTCAATGTTAATTGGAAGTGGTCTATCCTTTACAATATGTCTTGTTCTACCAAATTCATCAACAGGTAAATCATCGTCTTCGTCGTCATCATCTTCATTTGCATCTTCTTCATTTACATCCTCATCTTGGCCATTTTCCTCATGGGAGCCCTCTTCATCTTGCATTTCATCATTGTCAGCACTCTCTTCTTCGTTATTACCATATTGTGTGATTTGATATTCAAGCAACAAATCAAACATATCTTCCCTATAAGTTTTGATAATACTATTATTCTTTGTTTCTGCTAAATTTTTCACAAAGAATGTAATGAATTTCATTAGGGCATCCTCATTCAAATGATAGTCGCTGTCATCTTCCACTTGAGGTCCACCATATTGAACCAACTCTAAGAAGAATAATTCTGCAACATGAATCTGTAAAGAAGAGAGCAAATTTCGCTCCTCATTGTTAAAAACTCCATCTTCAAGAATAAAATCAATAAATTCTTCAACCACTTCTGGTTTGTAATGGAAAGTTTTGTTCAAGCAGACAAATGCTTGTTGCATGACCTTTCTTACTAACATTAAATACTTGTCCATTCGGTATCTATCAAGCCTTGGCCATGTTTCAAACAATTCGTCAAAGAACGCTCTCAGAAAGGCAATGGGTAATTCATGAGGATTTTCACTTGTACCCTTTACGCTGTGAATGCATTCCGCCAATAATTGTCCCATCTCGTGTTGTTTAAATTCACCATCACATAACCAAAAACCATACAGACCACCCTTCCATAATTTTCTGAAATCCACAAAGTTTGTTTCCAAATCCAACTTGTTGAATGGTGCGTCCTTCAAGAAGGGAATAAATCTACCTGTAGCACTCGTTCTAATACCTTCATCTGTGGCAGCCAAGTCCTTGGTGAGTCGGATGACATTCTCTCGATGTTTCGCTTGTTCTTGGGAAGAGAGAGATGGAGTACTTGTTGTTGAGGCTCCTTTCGCGACTTCGGAAGAGTTTGCTGATGGAGTAGTTTGTTTGTTTGGAGTCTTCTTCTTTGAATGTTGTTGTTGTTGGGTTTGAATATTGTTGTTGGAGTCGGAATTTGTGGCACCACCAACAACAGCATCACTGCTTTTAGTTCCTGGTTGATTAGTGTCCTTGGCGAGATTCTTCTTCTTGCTGAGGGAGGCCTTTTGCTTTTTGCTCATTTTTTTTTCAAACACTCGCCCAAAATTTTGAACTTGTCGGAAAGACGTGGAACGAAATTCTCTCCTTTGAAAAAGACAACCCAAGGAACCAGACAGGAAATGCTTCATGAGTTAATTGCTCTTAACATGATCTAAATGATGTGAAAAAGGTAATTTGAAAGTGAGTCCTTTGAAATTGTCATTCCAAAAATTTTCGGAAGATGAAGCATACCGAGCGCGCCAATTCATCCTGCAAAAAAATAAGAAAAAGCCTGACTCTGGCTGCTGCACGATACTCTACGGGTTCTATCCTTTCTCGCCTCCTCTTCTGAATTTTTTATCTTCCTCATCACACCACATACACAATCCATCATCATGAACGCCGCAGATTTCAGCCAACTTTTGGTGGTGCTTGCCTCCAATGACAATCAAGCTCGTGCACAAGCCGAACAAATGCTGGAGAATTTAAAAGTCAATGATTTGGTAAGTAGTACTCATTATCATCACGTGGTAGTAATTTTAGTAACCACTTTCAATATTGATAATTCTCTATCTATATTCTATCATTAGCCTAAATTTATGATTTTGTTGGTATCTGAGCTTGCCGATGAAACAAAACCAAACCATCTCAGACAGTTGGCCGGTCTTCAATTGAAAAACGTTCTCGAGTCCAGGGATCCACAAAAGAAAGCATTATTAGAACATCAGTGGATGAGACAAGACGAAGAAACAAAGACACAAATCAGAAACAAAGTTCTCCTCACGCTCCACTCATCAGCCATCGAAGCAAGAAAAACAGCTGCTCAAGTGCTTGCTGAATTTGCTTCCGTAGATTTAGTAAACAATCAATGGTTGAATGTTATTGATGCCATCTTAAAGAACATTTCAGAACCACAATCAGTTTTTGGTATTCAATCTAGTTTAATGGCCATTGGTTTTCTGTGTGATATGTGCCGAGCTCCTGCTCTCAAACATAATACAAATCAAATTCTTACAGCAGTTATTCAAGGAATGAGAGAAACAACGAATAATGATATCAAATTGGCAGCTACCGAAGCATTGGTGAATTGTCTTGTCTTTGTTCAAGAAAACTTTGAGAGAGATGTAAGTAATTTATATTTTCTTGAACACGGTTACGAGATTTAATCCTTTTCATTCATACTTGTGAACACACAATAGTCGGAAAGAAATTATATTATGGAAACCGTATGCCAATCCACACAAAGCCCTGATGCTAGAATTAGACGAGTTGCATTTGAATGTTTGGTAAAGATTGGATATTTGTACTACGACAAGCTGAAACCATACATGGAAGCTATATTTACTGTAAGTACTCTATCGCTTTTTCGTAGATCATTCATATTCATCATCCTACTTTGTTTCGTGAACATTCACTTTGAACACGCACCACGTTCCCTTTCCTTACAGATTACAACTAAAGCTTTAACAGATCCAAATGAACATGAAGATGTTCAACTCCAAGCTATTGAATTCTGGACTTCACTTGCCGAAACTGAGGCCATCATTTTAGAAGAAATGGAAATTGCTCAAGAGAATAACATTACTCCAGACAGAGAATGTTACAACATCATTTCACAAGCTCTCTCTCCATTGGTTAACCTCATGACACAATGTCTTGTAAGACAAAGTGAATACCAAGAAGACGGCGATATGTGTGTGAGCAATTACGCTAGCAACTGTATTGCCGCTATGGCGTTAGTAACTGGAGAAAGTATTGTTAACGAAATTATGCCATTCGTTTCTAACAATATTAACAACCAAGATTGGCACTTTAAGGAAGCAGCTACTTTGGCATTTTCTGCTATTTTGGACGGACCAAGACAAGGAGACCGAATGAACGATCTCATCAATAGAGCTATGCCATTCCTTCTTGCCCATGTTTCTGATCCAGTACTTCTTGTGAAGGATACATCTGTTTTCGCATTGGGAAGAATTGCTGAATTCCACCCTGATCCTTTGATTGATCACCACTTGGAAAATGTTTTGAAAGCGCTTAGTGTTGCGGTGAACGACGAGGCACGTATTTGCAGTAAGGCATGTTGGACCATCTTGCACATTGCTGAAGCACTATCGCCCGAGGGTGGTGACGAAAAACAAACTTATCCTTTATCACCCTATTTCAAGACATTGGCCGAAATGCTTTTGGCTTCTACTCTCAGAGAAGACTCTAGTGAGTATAATCTCAGAATTAATGCTTACGAAGCATTGTCAGCTCTTGTTCACAGCGCTGCTAGAGATACATTTGAAATCTTGGACATGATTGTTGCAGAGTTGTTGAACAGACTTGAACATACCCTTACACTTCCTCAAACCGAAGAGGTTTGTCTTATTCAAGGATTAATGTGCGGATCTCTCCAAGTTGCAGCTAGAAAGCTTGAATTCAGAATTGTGAAACACGCAGACAGAATTATGACATTCTTGTTGAAGATCTTTGACTCAAAGAGTGTCAATGTACATGAAGAAGCCTTCCTTGCTGTTGGTGCAGTTGCCTCTGCTCTTTCACAAGATTTTGATAGATACATGCCACACTTTTTACCATTTCTTCTCAGAGGATTACAAACCTATCAATATGAGCAAATTTGTGTCGTTTCGGTCAATATTATTGGAGATTTGTGTATTGCTTTGAGAGAAAAGCTGTTCAATTACACTGATGCCATTATGGAGCAATTGCTGAAGAATTTACAAACCAACGAGTTGCACAGAAACGTGAAGCCAAATATCATTGCCTCTTTCGGCGATATTGCTTTGGCTATTGGAGCAAGATTTGAAAAGTATTTGGCATTTGCCGGGAACGTTCTTATTCAAGCATGTGAAGCACAAGTGGACACATCAAGTGAAGAAATGGTTTCGTATTTGAATTTGCTTAGAGAGAATGTATTGGAAGCTTACATTGGTATTTTACTTGGTTTTAAGAAGGAAAATCCTCAAGCATTTATTCCATATGTAGATCCTTTGTTGTCCTTTGTGAAAGTCGTTTTTGAAGATCCAAATACCGATCAAGAGGTTTTCAAGAATGCTGTTTCCATTGTTGGTGACTTGGCAAACGTGTATGAAATGAAGATCAAGCACTCTTTGCAACATGAATTTATCAAAAATATGATTGAAGATGCTTGCAACTCACAAGATCAAGAAACGAAACAACGAGGAAACAAGGCAAAGAAGAGTCTCAAGAAGATTTCACTTTTCTAAGATTGAACCTCAGAGAACATTCATTATAACACTTTTCCGTGACCATTGCCACTTTATCCCACCACCATCTTTCACCATCCACCTTTACACTCACCACTACCACATGACTATCCTTTTCACCAATCATCAAATAATTTATGCACTCCCATCCACGTTCACACTCCACCCAACCTTTTGAATCGATTACCTCACATGTAATCAGTCATCACCCATAGTTCAATAAACACTTCACACATACACTTGAAAACAATTAATCACCATTATTATAGTAAGGACCTTCAAGCTTGTCCTCAAGTAAAGATTATGGACACTTAGAACTAAATTTTATTGACAACACAATCAATCAACTGCTTCATGGCTAATTTGCCAATTTTAGGTTGTTTCAGTCTATTTTGGAATTCTTTAGAAAAAGTAAGACAAATAATTAATGGTTTTTCAAGGACTGTCATTGGCATGGGTGGTTCCATCAAATCAGGAATTTGCATGTTTGATCGTTGTTGTTTTGGTTTATATAATTCTTCAATTAGTAACCGTGCAAAAATTGTTTCAACATCAAGAAAGCTTTCATCACTTTCGAGCGATGGAGCTCTTTTGCCAAATAATGTTCTCACAGAATATGTGGGTTCAGGAAGTTGACTGAAATCATCATCATAATCATCGTCATAATTTTGAGAAACAGTCATTGTTAAAGCATTGGAGTTGTCTTTTTCTGCTTTAATGATAGTGCCTGCAAGTGCATCTAATTGTGAAATAATAAAAACAATTTTATCCGCGAATACAATCCGAACAACTTCTGTATGGTAGGTTTCTTCAATGTTGAATGCTCTATTCGCGACATGAATCGGAAATGCATTGTATCCTTGTTGATCTGTAATTTCATGAAATTGATGTTGTGATGGTGGAAAAGGAGCATTGGATCCGAGTTGGTTTGATGACGAGGAAGAACAAGTGTTGATCATTTTTTGTTTTACAAAATATTAACAATTAAGCGCTTAGATTCACTTTGAAGTGTACTGTTGAACAATTTATTTACATGTGTGATTTTAAATGCAAACATATTCTATTATCGCTTTTGGATAGAATCGTCTACAATAAGACCCCAATTTCCTGAGTGGCAAATCCAAGTAATTTTCTTGCCTTCCAAAGCCATCTTGGCGTACTTTGTCTTCTTTTCCTTGTTTTGTTCAATGTACACAACTCCATCCACTCTCACGTATCGACATGAACTGTCATTCATTTGTATACCAAATGTCATTCCATTAATAGTCACTGTAGAATCTCTACTATGAATTGCATTATGAATCTTCAAAATATCAGCATCAGTTACAACATAGCCTCCCAGAGAAGTAGCATCATCAGATCTTGGAGTAACAGTGTCATCATCGACCATTGCATCCATTGAGGAAGAAGAAGGTGCTACTGCTGTTGGTTTGACAAGTGTCACTTCTCCACTTGCAGCATTATTGATGTGAGCTTGCATGGTTGGATCCATCATGTTGTGCTCTGTGGCTTCACGATAGATCAATCCACAAAACATTTCGACGGTCTTTTCAAAGTTATCTAAATGATAGACACTTCCACCAGTTTCAGAAGCAATGGTTTGGTAAAATTCTTGAGAGCCGAACATGTTACCACATTTCACAGAGTGAACCTTAATATGGTAATCATCGAATAACTTCTTGGCTTCTTCTTTCCAATCAATTCCAAACCATTCACTAGGTTTATGAGGACTTGCATCACCAATCACAACAAGTGAACGAATGGTGTAGGTATTTTCAACTGGAACCCAAGACATGGCCTGAGCTTCTTTCAGAACTGCTTCATAACATTCATCCGTGTCATAACCAGAAGTTCTTTCTACAGATTGTACAAATGAAGTAATTTGTTCAATATCTGTTGTGAAATCCAATTTTGAAATGGCATATTTTCCTCTTGCATCTTGATAGTCACCATGACAAATCACTGCAATTTCTAAACCTCTAATGTCATTCATTAATTGTTGACATATCGTTTGCAACTTGAATTTCAAGTTATCCAAATAAGAATACATGGATCCAGTCGTATCAAAACTGAAACAAATCTGAACAGGTGGAACATGATCTGAGTCACTTTGCAATTTGTGATTATTTCCAGGCACATAGTAACAACCTGTCAGTAAATCATTAATACTCAATCCTCCATATCTGGAATTGTTAGTATTGGCCAAAGAAGATATGGCCCACTTGGTAGCATCCTCTCTGCCTGAGAACATTTTGTTTCCGGGTGTCTTTTCCAAGAGTTTTGTTTTAGCTTCGGATGGAGAGGTATAAACCTTATATTTGGGATTTTTGAAATCATTGTAAGGAGTAACCACAACAGAAGATGTGAATGCGGTTGAGGTGGAAGAGAAGAAGGATGATGATGATGATGATTTGGAGCTTCGGATGGATTTCTTGATCGAGTCTTTCTTCTTCTTGGTATCTAGTTTTGCTTTTTCCCTTCTCTTGGCAGTGGTCTTTTCAGTACTGGTACTCTTGGCTTTGAGAGAGGAAGAGCTGGTGGTGATAGATGATGATGATGAGGAGAAGCTTCTTGTTGATGAAGAGGTTGTTGTCAAAGTCTTCTTCTTCTTCTTTTGAGCTTCACGCTTCTTAATTTCCTTCTCGTAATTCTTTCTCAAATCAAAATCACCGACAATGTAGTCTTCCAAATAGCATGGAAGTTTGTGAGTTCTTTCTGGGCGATCGGAAACGGTCATTCTTGTTGTTGTTGTTGCTTGATTTGTTTTGTTGTTGATTTGACATTTCTTCTCGTGTTGGTCTGGTTTTTATTGGAATTGGCTCTTCTCTGAAAATATGGAAAATTCGTTGAAAAAGAGGAAAGAGCAGATTCCACCAAAAAGTGAAAGGGTTTTTTGTTTGTTTGGAGAAAGGACTCCTCGTTGGTTGGCATCTGATTGTGAATGTATACATGATGATCATCACGATATATAAATGATGAAGAAACGTTTCTCGGAGTTGATGATTTGAATCGGACGATAAAAAATGATGAATAGCAAACAAATCACTTCCGCTCTCATGAAATTGGGCAGCCCTCACAATAAGAAATCTAAATTATTATTATTGTTTCCAACATTATCATCACTCAACTTGAAACATCAACGTGAACCTCTCTCATTCTTTCTACGAAAGTCGCACGAGGATGAACGTATTTTTTCCTCTTCTATTGTGATGATGATGATGGGAGGAAATAATATCGCCACGAGAAGGCACTTCTCTCTTTCATCTTTAACGTTGTCGTCGTCATCCACAACAACATCACCTTCTGCAGAGGATGGTAAGCCAAAAACAACAAGTTCCGATTCTTCCGAAGATATTACCATGTTGAGTCTCATACTTTCTTCTATAAAATTTAGAGGACAAGAAGATTTTACTGCAAAGGATCCCTTGAGAAAATATCCCACTTTATATCTTGTGGTTGCATTATTGATTCTTGGATATTCATATGCTATTATTTCTGCCCTTCTTTCATGTATGTTTTTCTAATATTTTGTGAATTCATTCTTACTATGACACGTTGCATTAACAGCCGACATTGTTTTGGAAAAGATCATGTTTGATGAAAATGGTGAATTAAATTTGCAGAAATTAGCTGCTCTTCCATTGAGCTGTATGTAATTTTTGATCAATATTATTGATATTCACAACGAAAACATTCACACAATTTATGCACTCTGTTATGCCACCTTTCAATGCATTCACAATTTAAACATCTGCTAATTAGTATACGCCTTGCATAAATTAAAGGAACACCATTTAAAGGACATTGAGAATGCTCTCTCTACTTCGAATAGAAAATATGCATTGCAACTCTTATTTCAGATGTGTTTAGATCGATCATTAGCAAAAGTGATTTTCAAGGATTCGTATTGTTTTTTCAAAGTAATGGACATTTTGGATACTGATACATCTCTAGATGACAATGAAAAGGAATGGGCGGTCGCTTTACTTAAATTATTTAGTTCTGTTGAGGCCACTCATCCACATCTTCTGGAAAAATTTCATGTTTGGTCCAATCTAAATTTTAAATCGAACGAAAAGTTACAGAATCATTACACGACCATATTATATAATTTATTATCCAATAAGGATACACGAAGCCAGTTGACAGAGAAGAGGATTGAGAACTTGCTGCAGCTTTCTTACAATTTGAAAAAGTCAACAAGTGACAATGAAAGGCTTTCTCATATGAATACATATAACTGTGCGACACTGATTAGAACATCAAAATATGACGACGAATCCATCTCAAAACACGATAAAATTATGGACAAATATTTGAAAGATTTCGAATGGGCGAGGTATCTTTCAAATAACATGGCTCTGCCTTTCCTTACATTTGGTTACGCCTACCTTAGATACAGACTTAGAATTAGCAAACTACCACCAATACCAGATATTAATTTGAACAAGCTTGCACTCAAGAACTCTCTTCGTTCAACAATTGTAGTATCCTTGTTGGCATTATCTGTGACAGGTGTTGACTATTTGGAATACAAGAAAGGATTGTATGGTCATTTGGAATACAATTACAGATCTAAGCTAAAATCAAGAGCGACACGTCAAGAAGTTGAGAAAGTGATTGAAAACTTTTTAGGGCCCATTTTCATTGCGTGGATTTTTGGAAAGTATGAATTTATAATTCTTCCATGCATTATTTTACAATTGACAGCAGGCTCCAACCCCAATTTCCTAATGAGACACCGATATGGCCTTCCTGATGATTATGTTAAGGAACAAGAACATTACATTGAGGAAAATACCGAGTCAACAAGAGTCAAATCAAATTAAATTACCAATCATCATCCGATTCAGATTCAGAATCAGAGACTTCATGCAATCTTGCTTTGGAAAACTTATCCATAAGGTACTTCTTGAATCCTTCTTTTTCCTGTGGTGTGAACTTGGTAATGTCTGGAGGTGGAGAATTTTTCAGCGAGTCCCTCGCGAAGGTTTTAATTTCAGCAAGAAAATCCGCAGGTTTCGATGGAAGCTCTGGCTTTTTTTCCTCAGTCACAACAACAGAAACAGGTCTGTTGGGTCTTGTTGTTGGATGCCCAGCGCTGTTTTCAGAGCTATGAATCAAAGGTGGAGGAGGTGGAACAGATCCTGCATTGATCATGGTTGGTGGAGGAGGTGGAATGTTTGATGACGTCTCATTATCAAAGCTGCCATCACTTTCAATGATTGGTGGTGGTGGTGGAGTCGCTTGATATGGAGGTGGAGGAATATTTCCTTGAAGTGAAATTGCCTTTTCTTGAATTAGGGGAGGAGGTGGTGGAATTGATGCTGTTGTACTAGTTCCATTCAATGGCGGTGGGGGTGGAGGAGGAGGAATTGATGCTTGGTTCTTGACTAAGGGAGGAGGTGGAGGAACATTTCCTTGTCCTTGTGGTAATGGGGGAGGTGGAGGGATAGAAACATAACTATCATCAGCATCGTAAGATGGAGTAAGTACGGTTAGTGGCACACTGTCACTTGGATCGCTCTCACCATAAATTGGTGGTGGAGGGGGAATCAGTGTGGATGGTTCCTCCATTTGATGTTGTTGTTCTTGTGCCATTTGGTATTGCTCTTCCATCATTCGTTCCTTGGCCACTTTACGTTCGTATTTGTGCATGTATTTGACAAGCTTCTTTTGCGTTTCTGGATCTTCAGCTTGTTCTGGAGAGAGGCCCAAACCTCCCATCATCTCCATGAGTTCTGGAGGTAGACCTGTCATTTCAAATTTACCAGTGTCTTGATTGATTCCAACATGGGCGACATTCTTAAAGTTTTTAACTTCACCAATACGAATGGATTCCCTTAATGGCCTTCTCAAATCTTGATCTTGTTGGTCTCCTGCTCCTTTCTCCTCCTTCTTTTTGAACATAGACCCGACCGTATCCATTCCTTTCTTAAACATGGATCCGAACCCTCCAAATACACTCGAGGTTCTTGCCTCATCATTCCCTTTTGCCTTCTTGGGCTGTTGCTGCTTGGTGGTTGGAGAGAGATTGGAAGAACTGCCGTTGGATGAAGAAATATTCTCTTGGCTTGATGACCGACTGCTACCGGCACAACTACTACTACTAGAATTCGTACGCCCATTAACGATACTCACAAACTTGGAGGCTGATGTCGTGCTATTCATCTCCAAATTTAACCCAATAATTCTATCATCACTTTCAAAGCTGATAAAGTGATCATTAAGGACATCCATTTGAAACTTTTCGTAGCACTCATGACTCCAAATAAGTTGCTTACTCTCAACACTAAGCATCATGAGTTGAAAGGTATTATTGATCATGTCCTTTCCAAAATACAACACTCCCCACTTTCCCGTATAGGTCCACTCCGATTCATGTTGTAAACATTCATACAAGGTAACAACAATGTTAGCCTCCACACTCTGTATAGAAATATAACAATTTATTTTCATAGAAGCAAGAATCATCATTCATGAACGTTGAAACTCTGGATACTTACCAATCCCTTAGTGGCTGCAAGCACTTCATGAACATCTAACGGAGCGTATAGTTCCTTATTCATATTTTTTATGGTGTGCCTTTTGATGACTCAAGCCAACCACTGTGAGGCCTCGCAATAACAAACCAACAGTAAGGCTGCTGCTCATCACCTTCAAATGCCACCATTAAAGTGTCGGGCTGGAATAAAGGCTTGGCGGATGATGAACAACACTTGCAAAAAAAACTCCCAAAAATGAACAAACGAAAGGCTGAGAAAAGAAAATCATCCTCTCCGAGCAATGGGAGTCATCTTTCTCAAAATCATCAACAACAAGAACAACAAGACTTGTACTCGATTAAGCGTGATGAAAGTCACCTATTATTAGGTGGCGGTGGTACACAAGCCGATGAAGGAGCCATTGAGGAGCGCCTTGAAAAGAGATATCCAAAGAGAGAGAGAAAACCAAAATTTAAGAATGTTGAGGATGCTGTGATGATTGAGGCTGTTTCCGATAAGGAAACTCATGAAGGTAAGTCGTGGCGATGATTACAAAGATGAATGAGTTTTGAATCATGATCATTAGATGATGAAGTGAATGATGTACCATATCTGGATGAAGGCACCGATCAGAGCAATAGTAGTGATGACAGTGTGTTTGAAATGCTGGAAGAGGAGGCTTCTCCAATAGCAAAAGATCAAACCGACGAGCGTATAGTGTTCAATGACAAAGACTTGTCATTCAACACCGCCAAATCAAAGGACAAGTCAAAAAGTAAGTTGTCCCTTCAAAGTTCTCTTAATTTTTTGAATCCTGTCGCTTGTCAAAAGGATTTAATATTCCAAAACATGCTCGCGATATCTTGATGGAGTGGCTTGAAAAGCATTTCGACCATCCATACCCATCTGAAGAGGAAAAGGAAGAGCTTTGTAAAACCACTAAATTAACAATGAACCAAATCAACACATGGTTTGTCAACTCGAGAATACGAATTTGGAAACCTAAAGTTGAACCTGGCCAAAAAGAAAGAATCAAGGAAGAAAAAGCATCGTCCTCTTCATCCCAAACGCCAAAATCCTGCAAAGATAATACATCAAACAATTCTGGAGAGGTAAAACTTCTTCCAAAGATCAGAATCAATCCTAACAATGCAAACGTGACCAGAACAAATATTGTTGGCTCTCTACCGAACGGTCTTCCAACACCATCAACTGTCATCGGTAGAGGTAATCTTCCCAAGTCGTCAGTTGACTGTTTGCAGAAATGGTTGTTTGATAATTTTAATCATCCTTATCCATCAGATGCTGAAAAAGATGCCCTTGCAACCGAGACTTCACTAACTCTCACACAGGTCAATAATTGGTTCATTAACGCAAGAAGAAGAATATGGAAGCCACTCTTACAAAAACTTAAAGCAAAAGGATTGGACAAAGATGAGTTAATTGCTAAAGGTAAATTGCATGAGATGGCAGCCAAGTTTTTGAAATCAAGCAAAGTTCCTCATGAAATAGAGTCTGGAACGGATCACATGACACCCTCCTCTAAAAAGAGAGGGGTGAAAACGACAAAGACGGAGCATTCTGAGGAAGCAAATGACAATCTCGAAAATGTGCCCTCCACACCAAACAAAAAAAGAAATACATCACAAGGTATGAACAACAACAACAACAACGATGGTGAAACACTACCTGAAAAGTTCAGGGTGGAAAATTTCACAAAACACACCTGTAGAGAGATGGTTCTTCAAAATCTTGAATTATATCAAGAAAATCGTACCTTGCAACATCAATTATGCATCGAACAACAACAAGTTCTAAATTCTTATGAGGAAATTTCATCTAGAAATGATGCCTTAATTGCAGCCATGTACAGATTGGAACAACGACAAGAGGAAATTCGTCGTAACAACGAGCGGCTAAGGCTTCTCATTGAAAAGGCCAAACAAGAAAAGTTGCAAGATCAACGAAAGAACAGAGATTATTTTCTGATTGAAGATCTCTGTAGCTCATTATAATTTTGTATTATAAAGTTTTGCACACTCTTGTACAATACCAGTGTCCTTGCCGAGTCTGTAGTACTTGGAAAGAAAGTCTAAAAAGTTGTCCATAGAACCAATTTCGATATAATTTGAGTTATTTTCTACAACAATATAGGGCGACACATGTTTTTCATTCCAGAAAGACTTCATTAATGAATTGGACGTAAATTTATCCTTCAAATCACGAACTCCGCTTGCAAATTCGTTGTAATTATTGAAGCTTCTAGCCTCTAGTGTTGTCAGTTTAAATTGTTTCATTAAAGACTCAATCACACATTTTGCAATATCGTAATCTTTGTGACGCTTTTCTGCATTTCCCAAAACAAAGTAGCGGCTTGGACTATTTAATAACATTTCTTGCGTTAGTGTATCCTTTGTGAGATGGCTGTAAAAACTTTTTCTTTTGTATTCGATTGATGGGTTAGATAATGTCTTTTTGACATAAAATTGATAAAACACGATCTGCATAAATACTACGGTTAACAAAAATCCAATCTTAAAAATCATTGATGAGTTCCATAATCGATCCAGAATACGGCTCAAAGGAGGTAAATTATGTTGATCATTATTCATAATTGATTTTGAAGATGATGATGAAAATAATACACTTGAATAGGTTTCGGAAATGGGTGATTCGGGTTGTATAGATGTCGTGGTAGTACTTGATAAATTTCCTCCTGCATGTTCATGCCAAACACCACCACGATGATCATCTCCCATTACATTGGTTCGAGATTTACTTCTTGATTGTACCGACAATAAACGATCTTCAACCTCATGATCGGAAGAAGCAGCTGAAGGCAAATTCAAAGACATTTTTTATTCAAATTTTATTTGTTGAATCCAAATATGGAATGTGTGAGTTCGAATCAGAATATGAGAAAGAAACTTGTAAGGAGATTCAAGGAAACTTGGTTGTTTCACCATATTTGGAAGACTCATCATCCTGTTATTTGGTATTTTCTTCAATTGTTTTTTGAAGTAATTGAGGATCATTCAAAAAGGCCATTTCGACTCGATCCTTCTCCTCCTCACTCACTGTGTTTGCAAATACCTTTCTCATAAAATCTGACACCACGTGACGATACAGAATGGAATCATTTTGGCTTAACTTTAGAAAGTTACATTTTGGAGGAGAAGAATGATGTTGATCTTCAGAAAATTCTCCATCATAGAGTGGAACAATTTCTTGACCTAATTGTTGTTCATACCATTCCACCATCATTCTTCTCTCATCGGGATGTAATGAAAGAAATTCTTCTTTTGCGGGTTGGAAATAATCGGCAAGCATCTGTTCGTCATTTAAAAGGAAGGATGGAAATTTCCATGATTTTGACATTCGTTGTGAAAAAATGATACAATCGACGATTCTATCTGCTTTAATTTTCAGTTTCAGTACATCCATGGTGTTCATGTTGTTGTTGTTGTTGTTGTTGTTGAAGGAGTGTATCTGTTGGGGTGTGTTGTGATTTTTTTGTGTGTCACGTTTTTGAAAGTAGCATTTCAAATTTGGCCAATTTTTGAAAAATCAGACCTTAGTCATGGGATCAAGATGAATTCCATTTTGTGTTTTTTCAAATGATGAACGGATGTGCATGGTCCTTACACCATTACAGTGAAATTAATAAGGTCCATTTAGTGAAGAATTTATTCAAAGGGTTGTTCTCTCCATTTGTGAATGATCTCTTGTGAAATGTGACATCCTTAGAAAAATGTCAAAACGTGATCACAGTCACCTTCATTCATCACTTCATCGCCAATCAGAATCCACTCTCGATAATTCATTGATCAAACAAGGTGATGATGTGAATGAAAAAGATTATGAAAAGAACAAGAAACAAAAGATATTAATGGATCGATCACAAAACTTCATCACTACAAGAAAGAAAATGTAAAATTGATCATTTGTGATTTTTCTCGAAAAACTCATGGTGAGAATTTTGAGAATCTTCGTAGATGGGAAATATCACTGAAAAAGAAATTCTTATTACAACAAGAAGGAAAGAAGAAATGGCTCGAAAATCGTGAATTGAAATTTAAAAAGTTCTTTCCTGTTGAGTTTATGAATGACAAGGAATTTATTTTGGATTACATTAAAAAGTATGGTTATGGATTGGAATACGCATCCACACAATTGCGAGGGGATCGAGAGTTTGTGTTGAAAGTGGTTCAACAAATGACAAGTGACAGCAGCACCTCAGAAAAACAATTTGGCGTCATGGTCATGGGATTACATTTCCTCAGAACTTAAACATGACAAGCAATTTGCTTTAAATCTTGATGGTTCTTTGAGAAATGCATCTCCAGAGCTTTTTTACAAACAAATATTATTAAGAGTTATAAAGAATGGTTTTCTCGATGTTGTGCCCTTGGGAATTGCCAATGACAAGGAATTTATATTACAAGCAATCAAAATCAACTGTCTTTCCGTTGTGACATCTCAATACTTTCGTTTTTTAAATGATAAGGAAATCATCTTAGAAGCAGTGAAGAATAATGGATAGGCGTTAAAGTATGTAGCGAGTGAAGAATTGCAGAAAGATCCTGAATTGGTGATAGAAGCTGTCAAATGCAATGGTTATGTAAGGGAGTACAATGATGAATTATATCAAGCAAGAATGCAATATTGTTATCATGATGCTTATTTGGAAAACTCGGACAAACATCATTAAGGTGTCATGATTGTATTGGAATCTAGTAATGTCTGATAGATAATATTATGAGAGCTCAGTAAAACCAATCTGTAAATATTGTTTCTTTATAAAGAAAATTGTTCGCAACATTCTTTGGAAAATGAAATTACCACTCACCTCACCACAAGCAGGAACATGATATGGACTTGCTTCTGTGGATCGAACATCCGGTCGTAGTGAAACATGTTCCAGTATGAGAAAGAAGAGCTCAAATTTGGAATTGAATCACCACATTGTTAAAAAACGTCAAGAAAAAAATGTCCTTCCAGAAGAAGAATCCAGCAACAGCAGTACTACTTTTATTGCTGCTGCTTACCTTCGCTTTTTGCTTGGTTAGCACTGTCAAAGTACAAGCAGGTACATGTGTGAAACATATATTTTCATGTTGTCCCATGATTGAGTTCTCTGTTGAAGAAAAAGCAATTTCATATTATGAGAATACAACATGCACAGAGATTGCAAAGTTTGCTGCCTCTCCTGACAACATCAATCCTGAATGTCTTTCTGCCCATATTGTATTTGTTTGTAGAAAAAGAATTGGTCATTGTCAATCTCCAACAAATACTGTACGTTGATATTTAATGGTGATGAACGATTTCATCTCAATTTTGAATAATGTTCTTTGTTGAACAATTATCATCAGATGGTCTACAGAGCATGTAACGATGTTTGTTATCGTAGATATACCAAGTGTGTACCAAAACAAACCTATCTCCAAACCACATGCAATATATTCCCTTTTGTTCCTTGTTATAGTACTTCTACTGATGCGTTGGTAGACAGAATTGCGAAGGAATTCCAATGGCTGATGAAATGATGTTGTTCGAGAAAGAAGAAGATGAAGAAGAATAATCAACAAAGCTTTCTCTTTAGCGAAATAAACCATTCAAAAGATCTTTTGTTCTTGAAACAAAAATTAAGGCAACCTCACTGAAGAATCCAAATTCATCCAAGTCACGAAGCAGGAAATCCGTGCAGGCATCACGTCATGAGTTTGAGGGAGAAAGTATTGCTTTAAAAATTCTTCAGTCTAACTGTGACAATGGGCTACGTTAAGGCGAATGCAACAACACATTCTCTCATCATCACTGCAAATGAGCTTGCTTGAGGTCGGGTCTGTGGCCATCAAATCAAGACCATTTTCTATTGTTTCCTTGATCGATTCAGTCGAAACTATCTGTGGTACCACAATTGTGATGTCTAGTGTGTGATTTGGACTCTTTTCGTTTGTGTTTGGTATTGGTGAAGCTTTTCAAGCAGTGCTTTTAACCCAGATCCCATTTGCTAAAAAAGAATACATGAATAAACGAGAAGTCGCACTCGTAAAAAAGTCAAACTTACCACTTCTTGATTTTTCATAGAGGCAAGAACATTTGGATCGCAATAGAATGCTTCATCATTCAATAGTTGATCTAATGTAACGTTTGGAATCTGCGTTTGAGAACTGGAAGAACTTTCATGAGTGAGTGAGAATGGAAAAATGTCATGCAAAATTTTCCTGAAGGAAGCATATAATACTCTGTCCAAATTAATGTCTGTAGCAGCTTTGCAAGGTATACCTGTACACATTTCGTATAGAACAAATCCAAATGCTTCTACAACATTCTTGGCTGAATTCGAAAAGGTATTTCTTGAAAAAAGTAAAAATTGATCCTCTAAACAACTTAATTTGCAGGTATAAGGTACACTGGAAGAAATATCATTGGCCTTTTCGATCAAGATATTCTTTGTTGATAGATGGGTAAATTCCACTCCTATGAGTTGAAGTGCTTTTAAGGCACACAATATTTGACCAGAAAGTTGGCTAATGCTATCTGGATCCATAAAAGATTGTATGTTTGGATTTTCTCGCTTTGTTTTCTCCAACAAATCAAATAAAGAACCTTCACTCATATGAGGAACAAGAGTAAAACATTTTCCTTGCCCATCTAAATCAATATGTATGACATTAAGAATATACGGCGATAATTGACCAAGGCCTGTCATAAATTGCAAGAATGCTCTCTTGCATGTTAAATCGGTCATTAATGAGAATGGTTGATTCATAGTACTCGTGCAAATCACTGTTGCTAGAGTGTTTTTGGATGACACATGCTCACAAAACACAAATGTTTTGAAAGGAGTATTCTTGGTATGTGTTTTCTTTGAATCGAGCAATAGTTTCAATATTTCCTTCTTTTCTACAAGCTCATAATCCGTTGTTCTCAAGAAAAGTTTTACTTGGAATAACAGCTCAGAAGATACTGTAAAATTCTCCTCCGAATGTTCCCCTGTTCGTTTCGAGGAACGAGGCGTGAATAAATTAGAGAAGCCTTCCAGCCATGATGAATTTTCATCTTGCTGATGATGATGATGAGGTTGATTATAGTAACCACTCAAATTTTTGCTACTGGCCAAAGGCAATGTTTCCTCGACTTCATCGTTTAAACTTTGAGAGTGTCGGGATGATTTTCTAAATAATCCTCCAGTCGCGAGCAACCAAAGAGGTTCCGAGTTGCCATCTCTTCTCCTTCTTCGTGTGATAAATCTATAGACCAATAATAAAACACATAAAACAAAAACTAAAATGACTATCAATACGGGTACAATGAATTCGGGTCGCAGCACAAAAGGAAGAGAGTTTGAATTTCCCATTTTTTTGAACGGTTTCTTTTGGATCGTTCACAATTCAAGCAAGAATTGAAAATTTTCCGAAAAAGTATGATGCATTCGATGTCAAATTTCGAACCAGCAAGAGAATTTATTATTGGGCTCTAACCTTTTATTATTGAAACAACCAGTGAAATCCTTTCTTTGTTAAAATGGATTGCACTTTCCCGCCAAAATTTGGTACAAAAAATCAATTAAAAAAATTGTCGTGTTTTCAAGATTAAGGACATCCTTTTGAAAATATATTTTTATAAAATCGGAAATGATGAGCAATAGTGGCAAGTCATACATTGAAAATAATACAAACGAATCCGGTACTAGTAGCAACGGAAATGTGGATTTATCGGCTCTCAATGAAGAGCAACAACAATTGCTTGCCAAAGAACTCATCCGAAATACACCCGAATATAAAGCAGCGTGGGAATTGGAGCTTTGGAAGAAGAGAGAAAAACAAGTGTACAAGAAACAATTGGAACAAAAAGAAAAGCTTCACCTTCAGAAAGTGGAGGAAGCTCTCAAGAACGAATACTCAAAGAAGGAAAAGCAACTTGCGGAACAAAAAGAATTACTCAAACAAAAAGAAACCAAATATACACAAGCATTAGAAGAACTGGATAAGAGAGAGAAACAACTAATACAAGTGGAACAAGAGCTGAGACGAAGAAAAACAGAGCTTGAAAGTGATTTTGCTCGTAAACTGGAACATATGGAACATGTCATCAAAATGGAGAAGGAATCCTTCCAACATCGATTGCAACTGGAAACTCTCAAAAATCAAGAATTACAGAAAAGAATAGATCAACAACTCTCACATGATGTTATGGAGCTCAATGAAAAGATAACTAAACTGCAAGTAGAGAATGAATCTTTGGAATCCAAACTTCATGAAACCACCAACTCTAAACAGAGCTACAAGCTGCAATGGAAAAAAGTGACTGAGGAATTACAAAGGATCAAGAAAAAACACGAATCAGAGTTAAGGAAACTTCATCAACAAGTAATGGCCTTACATCAATTGCAACAAGTCACACCTACCTCCAATCCCTCTTTTCCCTTTCAATATCCATTCGGCACCCCTTTTAATTCTTCTAATTATCCAATGATGATGAATTCAAATAATTATCCTTCAAATCCTTCTTATTTTGACTCTAACGTCATTAGTCACCATCAAGTATCGAGCCAAGTTGGACGACCGTCAGAGAAACAGCAAGAAGATGAAATTAGTGCTCTGAAAAATTTGATAGCTGATCTTCTCAAAAAAGAGGAACGAGAACAACAAAACAAGGTCGAACATCAACAACAAGAAAAACACCTCAATACATCCTCTTCCAGCACTTTCTCTTCTGGTGAGGACTCAAGGAATACTTCTACGACTCCTCCAAGAAAGAAGAGAGGGAATGCAACTTCAAAACAAGAGTCACCACATCTTGATCGCTCCTATGAAGGTGGTGACATGGACAGTTCGAATAATGAAACGCAAGATATTTCATTGGATGCACAGACTTTTTCGAACACATCACCCTCACAACAATTTAAGGAAGATGAACGAAGTAAGGAAGTGAATCGTTTACTTAGGGAAAAAGCTAGACTTTTGAAATCGGGTATATACAATGAAAAGAGCGATATAATATTAGAACTAGAAAAGAAAATTCAATCGCTGTAATAATAAAATAGAATTAATTATTCTTCGACTGCTTCTACTAAAGGCTTGTTTGGATTGTTATCAAGAATCCATCGTGCCAACCATTCGACAGGATTTTTTGGTTTCTCTTTTGCTAATTTTGTTAAACCTTCTATGAGATAGGATTGAAGATGGTCCTGGATATATGTATTTCCCTCAATATTTGTGAGTATTGGGTCAGTGTTTACTATTTTTGGTCAATTCCCGAGAAATCGAAATAATTTTAATATATCAATTGAAAATTAAAACTTACTGTTGGGGTAGAAGAATTTAATTTCTCTCCGAGCACTCTCAGGATCGGAACTACCATGACAAGCATTGTATGTTTTGTTGGTTCCATACAATGCTCTTAAACATCTTGGCTTTGTTATTTTCGCTAATTCAACATCCGTAGGTCCAATCAATTCTCTCCATGCTTGAATAGCATTGTATTTTGCCAAAACTAAAACGATCAATGGTCCACTAGAAATGTATTCTACTAACGTGGGAAAGAATTCCTTTCCCTCGTGCTCTCTATAAAACATTTGTACCTTTTCCTCAGATAAATGCATTTTGTCCCACCTCAAAATTGTAAATCCCTCATCAATAATTCGCTCCATGATTTCCTCTACATATCCCTTCGCAACTGCTTCTGGTTTTATCAGTGCGAGGGTCTTTTGTATTTGTCGTCGTGCATCAAATTCCATTCTCGTTGTTATTGTTGTTTCAATATTTTTTTATTGAATTTCTAAGGAGGGATTTGTTACGAACCGTTTGCCTTGCCCGCGCTTTCCAACCACCAAAACCGTTTCCCGCTTTCCAAAGATTGATGGAAGAAAAAAACTTTCAAAAAAAAAATGACCGAAGATGAATCAACTTCTCCTTTGCTTTTTTTAAAACCATCATCAACATCCACATCCAATACGGATCCTTCTCCCGAGTTGTTCAAAAGACCACAAGTGAATATGAAAGAAAGCGATTCCGAAGTGGAGGCGAGTGATGAGGAAGAAACTTACAAGGATCATGAAGAGGATGATGACGTTGAAATTCCCAATGCAAATAACTCATATGAGGAGGAGAGAAAAAGAAATACTGAAAGAAACAAAATGTTATTGGCAAATCTCGGTCTTGAGAAGGGTCTTTTACCAAAATCCGAAAGTGAAACAACACAAAATTTTTTCTTCCACAAAGAAAAGAAAATCATTAGAGGTGACCGAAACAAGAAGATCTTCTAGACTTTCTACTAAGCCAAAACAAACGTACAATTATTCTAAAATTGAAAAAGAACAGCAGAGATTAAGAAAGGAACAAGAAAGACTCATTCGTGAAGAAAAATTGAGACAAAAAGAAGAAGAGAAAAAACGAAAAAAGTATTATAGCAGAAGAAACAAGGACGATTCTGATGATGACTCTGATTCTAACTTTGTCACAACAAGTTTCTATGGCGGAAATGGTCAAAGAAGAAGTGGCAGATTAAAGAACAAGGAAAAAATTGATTATGCCAATCTTGAGAAGAAATATGCAGAAGTCGACATTGACACGGAAGATAACATTTCATATACCAGTACAAAAACTCAGAAAAAGAAAAAGCGTAAGACATCGTCATCTTCTGACGACATATTTAGCGAGTGCGAGAATGTGGTCGTTACCTTCTCGAGTGTCAAGAACCTGAAGGAATTGACTGAAATGGTAACAGTCCTAAAGGGCCAAGTTAAGATGGATATTAAGGACTTGTCGCAAGTCACACATATTGTTTGTGAGGAATACAAAAGAACACTGAAAACAATGGCTGGAATTATTCGTGGTTGTTACATTGTTACTTCGGAATGGTTGCGAGCTTCGGAGCGTAAAAATGGGTTCTTGAACGAAAAAGATTATGTACCATCATGCGAGCATGATTTAGTAGAGGCACAACAGAGAGCCTTAGAAAAACCAATATTTCAAAATCTCAATTTTTATATCGCTCCAGAAACAAACAATGCAGAAATTCAATATCAACTTATTGAGCTTGGGGAAGGCAATGTCATAGATCTTGACACTCTCAAATCAAAAGTCGAAGGAGGAGAAGACCTCGACACTCTAATTGTCATTGGAGACAATCCTAAATTGGATGAATTGAAAGAAGAATTGAAGAAGTTGAAACTCCCTGATACTGCCTTCCAAACTCCAGAGTTTATTTATGCCTCAGCGGTGACCCAAAAACTTGTGTGGGATGGACAAGAAGAAGAGGAGGAATAAATGTTTGCAGTGTTTTAATAGGTCTCATCGTTCAAAAAGTTCTAATAGAAGCACTCCATTATTCCAATTTCTTGCTCGACAATCTCTCCACCTCATTCTTCTTTTCAATAAAATTTCGTCCAATGAATTTCAACGCCTCGTCAACCAACAAGACTGGAAGAGAAGCAGCAATCACAATTTGCCATTCATGCCAACTAATGGGATAGACATTGAACAATACATTCAACCCTGGAACGTATAAAATCAAACAATGGATAACCATACTCAATACCACAGAGAAAATCAAATAAATATTTCGTGTGGGTGGATTCACAAAAATACTGTCATACTCTGAAATGGAACACAATGCATTCAACATTTCAATAAATACCAAAATCGAAAGTGAAATGGTGGAGGGTCTTGCTAAATTTTCTCGATCAAACAATGAACAATTCACAGCACTGCTCATAGGATCACATTTTCCAAAATTCACAAGATCATGATAACTAATTTGAGGTCCTTCATGGAAATACACAAAGTAATAAATATATCCCAACACTGTACTCACTCCAATATAAGTTCCAACAATTAAATATCTTGCAAATTGCCATGCATTGACAAGTGGTTCATTGGGATTTCTTGGTTTTTCTTTCATAATATTTGGAGATCCTGGATTAAGACCAATACTGTTGGCAGGCAAACCATCTGTGACGAGATTACAAAATAATAATTGAATCGTATTCAAATGTTCTGGAATTCCAATCAAAGATGCAAAGAAAATTGAAATCACTTCTCCAATATTCGACGAAATGAGATATCGAATAAATTGTTTCGTATTGTTAAAAATCACTCTTCCTTCTTCAATGGCCGCCACAATCGAACAAAAATTATCATCTTGTAAAATCATCTTTCCTGATGAACGTGCGACTTGAGTTCCAGAACCCATCGCAATACCAATATTACTGTGTTTTAAAGCAACAGCATCGTTGACACCATCGCCTGTCATGGCTACTACTAATCCTTGTTCTTGAATTAAACGAACAACGTCGAGTTTGTGTTGAGGTTCAACTCGTGAAAAAAGTCTTACACTTTGAATGACTTGACGTTTGCGATCGAGTGACATTTCTTCAAATTCTTTTCCAGTGAAAGAGAGATTTTGTTCAGTCAGGGATTGGGATGAGTCAGAAATGTCATTGAATAAACCAATTCCCTGTTGTTGATAAGTTTTAAAATTATTATTATTATTATTATTATTATGAATATTCAATCAGACAGCAACAATGAACATTCAAAGATTCATATGTGACAAGGTGACAAGTACAAACAATAATTGTGAATGTTCCATCACTGAAAATGACAATTGTTCGAAACTTACCTTACAAATGGCTTCAGCAGTATTTTTGTTATCTCCTGTAATCACAATCACACGAATACCAGCATTTCGACACGTTTCAATTGCTCCCTTCACTTCAGGTCTTGCAGGATCAATTAATCCACACACCGATGTCAAGACCATGTTCATTTCAATCTTGTCAAATGTCTCTGGATCTGAAATATCTTGTTTGGTCAATTTCTTTTCAACAAAGGCAGTTGCCAAACATCTTAATGCCAACTTGTCTGAAAAATTCTCTCGAATGTGATTCATTAATTTAGTTTTCATACTCTCTGTCAATGGAATAATCTTTCCAGTCGAGTTGGCAAGCACACGATCACATCGAGCAATGACATTTTCAAAAGCTCCTTTACAGAATAAAATTCCTTCCTTGACATAGACAGACATGCTCTTTCTGGATCGTGTGAATTCGAGAGTGAATTCTTTGGTGTATTTTTCTCTCCAATATTTGGAATATTGATTTAAACGAATGGATAAATCGGATGATTCTGAAATTCCAAATTCTTTTGGAGCTTTGATTTTTTCTGAAAGAACGAGTAATGCAGCTTCTGTTGGTTCACCTGAAACTTCAACGTCCTAATATGGGATTCATACGATTTCATTGGATCGAATTCAACAAGTCAATAATACATTTTAGGAAATAGGTCAAAAAAATTCAAAATGAAAGAGTTCAAAAAAGCTCAATAAGAATTCTAAATGTTTTTTTCAAGAACTCACAAACACTTACCTTCTTTTCAGCATTATAAATAAGTGCAGCATCGTTGCAGAGAGAACAAATTTTTGCAGTTTCAATCAAACTCTTGGATTCATATGGTTGAGTGATGGGAATGGAATCATTTAAGAGTATTCTTCCACTTGGTTGGAATTGTGAATTCTCAACTGTGTATTCATTCCATTGAACATCATGATCACCTTCAATGTTTTCAACTGTCACCACTCGACAGACAGACATTTTGTTGGTGGTCAAAGTGCCAGTCTTGTCACTGCAAATGACACTGCATGCTCCTAATGTTTCTACTGCAGGAAGAGAACGAACAATTGCATTTCTTTTGGCCATTCTTTGAGCTCCAATTGAAAATGTCATGACAATGACAGTTGGCAGTCCTTCAGGAATTGCAGCAACTGCCAATGCAATACTATATTTCAAATAATAAATGGCTCCACGAATCCAAGAACCTCCAAACATTGGATCACTTTTTACAAATTTCACACAGTAATATAAACCACAATATACACTTGTCAACTATTTTGAACTTACTTAAAATGTGGAATGTTCATACAGAACACAATGACACAAATAATACCAACACCAATCGTCAACTGATGACCAAATTGATCCAAATTCTTTTGAAGAGGTGTCTTTTCAGAATTTTCTTCTTCTTCCTCTTTGTTCTTCTTTTGATTGGACAATTTCGTTGAAATTTTACCAATTTCAGTATTGATTCCAGTGTGTGTGACAATTGCCAAACCTTTTCCATACACAACAAGAGTTCCCGAAAAGACCATATTTGTTTTTCCTTGAAGTTCAATCTTTTCTTGCTTGATTGGCTCTGGATCTTTCATCACACTCACAGATTCACCAGTCAAAGCACTTTGATCCACTTTGAGAGTGGTAGAATCGAGGTGAATTAATCGAGCATCTGCTGGAACAGTATTTCCAACATTGATTTTAATGAGATCACCAGGAACGAGTTCAGCAGCATCAATTTCTTTAACATTTCCATCTCGAATGACAATGGCACGATTGGCTTCATATTGTTTCAATGCTTCAATGGCTTTCTCAGCACTTTGATCGGTGTGCGTTTTTCACATTCGAATGTGACATCCATCAAAATAGTGATGATCCATTCATCCATCCATGATTCATACGAACCAATTATGAATCCATTGCATTGTTTTTATCATTCACCTACCTTGATTCTTGTTTTACACCAATATAAGCATTCACAGCAAGAACAATGACAATCACAAATGGTTCAATAAAAGTACCCAAAGTAATTTCTTCTTCAAAACAAGCAAACACGAATGAAATGAGAGCACTTCCGAGAAGAATCTAAAGATGATCATTAATTGTGTCATTCATTTTCACATCAAAGTGTCATTCAAAATTCAAATCATCGCAATCCACCAGATTCACTTCTTCTTACCTTCACTAAAACATCATCAAATTGTTTCAATACGAGCTTCCATAATGGAGTTCCTTCTTCCGCTGGCAATTCATTACGGCCATAGAGTTTCAAATTAGTTTCACATTGTTTCTCAGTGAGACCAGTACGAATGCTTTCAACACCGAAGAAGGACAAGACTTGATCGGTGGTGAGAGTGTGATGAAAAGGAGTCGAAGACGTCTTGTTGTTGTTTGTGGTGGATGACAAGGAGGCCATCTCGAACGTATTTGGTGGTGTGAAACGGATTGAGAGAGTGATCGCGTTTATGAAGGTTGTTGTTGTTTTAAAGGACTCGATTTGCAAAAAGAAGAAAACGAATTCGTTGTATTCAACGCTTTTTTTCTTTTGAATCAAAGGGGTGCCCTTTTTAAGGCACATGAATGAACTTTCTTTTTTGAGTGTCAAAAAGGGTAATTGTTAAATTATCTCTTCTTTTGATCTCTTCTGAATTAATTCATTTCTTCACTTTGAAAATATTTAATATTCATGAACTTTTCAAAATTTAATATGGAAATAATAATGAACGAAAATAAGATCAAAAAACTCTGCTGATGCATCATACTCGTCAACGAGGTTAGGTCCTTACAGATAACTTGAAACCTTTTTTACTTTTTGTCCCATTGATTGAGATAGGAAGAAACATAGGCAAATGCAATCATTGAGACACCATTGGCCAAACTGCTTCTCATTGATGCGGGTATTATTCCTCTAAATAAACCCCTCACTCCAAGTGTCTTTCCAACAATGGATAATCTTTGGAAAACTCCTAATTGTTCATCTGGTTTCATGGATTGAATTTGACTTTTAACGACATCCAACGGGAAGACCTAAATTATAATTCCATTTTGTGTCAATTTAGTTATTTTATATTATATTTGTTAAAGTTAGTAATTTAAATCATAAGTTAATTACGATTTGAAAAAACTTACCAGCCACCATGCCAACGTTGCACAAACGCCACCAGTGAAAAAAGGGGACAACTTTTTAAATTCAAAATGTGAACCTTTTGCTTGTTCTCGTTCTTCATCAGAAGATAGCGATGCTAATTGTTGTCTCACTTGTAAATTTCTATATTCTTGTGTGAAAAAATCAACAAACACAAAGAATGTTCCTAACAAGAACATATTTCTCAATAATGTTGCTGTAAATCCACGATATACCTCTAATAATTTCCATGGTTGATCAGTCTGTCGTCTCACTTTGAGATACTCTACTGGCGTTTCGACCACAGCTCGTGCAGCTCCTCCAAAACATCCAGCTACAAACATTTCAGGATGAAGAACAAAACGTTTTTCCTCTAAAACGTTCAAATTTTCTTTTCGAAAATCATTCTTTGACATGACATGATTGTCCATAATAAATTGCAGTGCAAGAGCATAACCACCAAATTGTAAACTTCTCAAAATTGATGCAGTCACTAACGGAGGAAGAGAACCTCTATAAAATCCCCAAAAACCATACTTGTTATAAATTGATTTAATCACTCCAAACGTGGTTGCATTTTGTTGATTGATGGTTGCCGATGATTGCATGATGGTTTTTATGGTATCCAAAGGCTGACCTACTGCTACGGAAGTACATCCATAAACTGCTCCCGAAATGAAAGAAACAATCGGAGAGGATTGAACAAGAAATGATTTTGTATTGTCCAATTGTTGCTGTTGTGCTGGTTGTTTTGGAGGAGAGGCTTCTACCAATGCCGTCGTCATTGTCATCCTCTTTGATTCATTCAAATTCATCACATCAGAGGAAGGAGGAGAGGCTTGTGAGGAAGACATTTTTTTATTGTTGTTGCGGAGATTCTCATAAAACACTTTCGCTCGCTTGAACATCGAAATCTACTTTCTCGACAACATTCTCTAGAAATTTAATATTTAAATCGAGTGAGTGTTGTTGCTTTATGGTCGCAGTTATGCCTCCTTTCATTGATGGACGTCGACGGAGCAGTTTTCTTACGAGTTCCACCCTCATAGAGGTGTAATATAAACCTCCTTTGAGTCATGTGGACGCTGACTACTTATGACCTCTCTGATCACATTTTCAGGAGTCTTCTTTTGCACTCATTCAATGTTCATTCGTGTGTTGGTGACAGAGGTTCGATACGTTTCGTTCATTAAGGACAACCTGAGCTGAGTGGATTCCACAAGCTGATAAATTGAGTTGTAACAACTTGCTCATGGACAGATATGACAAAGTGGTCCGTTTTTTCGTCTTTCTTGAAGATTTGAAGGTATTTGTTGTCGATCCATCAGGTATCGAAGCTTGCTCTCTTTTCCTCTTTTGTGATTTGCTTGACTGTGTGGATTGAGAATTTTCTTCTTTCTTTGCTACGACTTCCTCAATAGAATAATAAGAAGTTTTTTTGTGTTTCCGTTTCATGTGTGTTTTAATACCTCCAATAAGGCAGCACTTTCTTCGACAAGAAACACACACAGCTTTTTTCACTGTTGTTGATGATGAAGACATTGAAGTTAGTGGTTGACATTAAGTCCAAATTTGGTGAATTTGTTTTTGTGAACGCCCAACAATTAATCTCGAGAACCTTGGTTATTAACGAATATAGCATATACTGAAGAGGATACAAGTCGAACAATCTTTTCAGCAATTAGGCATGTGAAGGCCATCGAAATTATTAAAGACTTGACATCAAAATTCCATTTTCTTTGTAAATACAATTTCCATAAATATCAATCCAACCATTTCGAACCAAACCAAACAAATCACTACTCAATTGATTCACAGTGACCACACAACAAAAAATGGCTTGGAGATGCAGTGGCACAACCAACCACGAGTTGGTTTCAAAACTTTCAAAGGCAAAAATCATTACCAATCCTCGTATTAAACAAGCAATGGAAGCAACGGATCGTGCATTATTTTGCAGAAATGCATGGATTCCGCATGCTTATGAAGATAGACCTCTTCCGATTAGTGATGAAGCAACCATTTCCGCACCTCATATGGTAGGTTTTTGAAAATAAATTTCGTCATTTCAAATAATCATGATGATGAATATTTGAAAAGCACGCCTATGCGTTGGAATTGTTGCAAGATCATCTCAAACCTGGAAATCGTGCCATGGATGTTGGTAGTGGAAGTGGTTATTTGTTGGCCTGTATGGCTGAAATGATGGTTCCAGATCCCGATCGTATTGAACCCAACACCAAAGTCGTGGGAATTGAATATTCCGAAGAAGTGTATGCATTTGGAAAGAATAACATTGAACAGAGAGTAAGTTTTTACAACCATGTTAGAGGTGATAGATGATGTTCACTTGTTCACATCCGAACATGTTCACTTGTTCTTCTTAACTACATGAAATGCTTGACAACGTTGTCACTACTGTTACAAAATTGAACTAAATGACACTTATATGTGAAGAGTGAAAGAATGAAAAAACTTGTTCAACGCGGTGTGATAGAATTACTTCGAGGGGACGGCTGGAAGGGTTGTCCTCAACATGGACCATACCATGCAATTCACGTGGGAGCAGCTGCTGCAACACTGCCTCAAGCACTCGTCGATCAATTGGCACCTGGAGGACGAATGGTGATTCCAGTCGGTGAATGGTCTCAAGACTTGATGGTCATTGACAAAGATGTGAATGGCAAAGTCAAAAAGCAAAGTGTTATGGGTGTCATGTATGTTCCTCTCGTCAATCCAAATCAGTCACAGTAAGGATCATTGATACATGTACGAACTGCTGAGCAGTTTCAATTTGAAAAACGTGATGATGCGGTTCTTCAATGATGAACATCTTATCGAATTGTAAACTTAACAAAAATTATTGTATTACAACAAGTTGTTCAAATTGTATACAACTTGATGAAAATTGTACTAATAAATTAAGAATCACCTTCTTGGTGCTAAATCAGACAAAGCTCTAGCAGCAGAAAATGAATTTCGGTTTCTTCTGTACATTGGATGATTTTTCACAAGCAACAAATGCTCAAGTCTTTTTACAATAGTTTCAGCCTCAACAGCTGTTCTGGCTTCATAATATAATGTTTCATCTTCAAAGGCTAAAGTAAAACACTTTGGATTGGCAGGATCGCATTCAACAGTTTTGAGACTAGTAATTGGTCTCTTTGGATGTTTTGTGGATCTATTACTTTGGAAGCCAAGAAATGTAGAAGCTGGCTTGCTATTATAAATATTTTCCGAATCAAAGCTAAGAATTCTCTCTTGTCTTGATCCAAACTTGTTTGTCTTGATAACATGATACACATTTTCGGTATTGTCATAGGGTGTCATGAATGGAATGACGTACGCAGGTGGTGACCCGACTCCAGCCAAGCTTGATTGACTTGGAGATCCTGAAAGGTCCTTGTTAGGTGTTGACTCAAAATCATTTTCATAAGGTGCCGTTCTTACAAGCACTACTCGTTCAATCAAACTTCCTAACGAATATAATGTTTTGTCTCTATGATTTTTGCTAATTTCTCTCTCTACATTGTCTCTTCCAATATAACGTAAAGTATACTTTTTGGGATTCAAGGAAAAACGTTGGCAAAGTACTTTTTGCAAATCTTTGAGCAATAATTCTGGAGATACTGGTACAAGTTTGAAATAATTTCGAGGAGTATTGGCTGACATTCCTGTTGTAAATATATTTGGATTGGGATTTGAAGAAACAGGAGTCGTACATGAATGATTTGTTGGAGGTAAATATACTTGTAATCGAATATCTTCCAAATTGAATTTAGTGAAAACTTCCTCACCACCGAACTTAATATTGAGTTCCTTCCTATTTTTGTTATTTGAAGAATTTTCGTCGTCAGTTGCAAGCGATCCACTCGATGAAACTGGTTGAAAGTCTCGGTCATAGACCAGTACTAATTTTTCATTTCCTAATTGTTCAATAACTGTTTTGTCCTTTGTTAATGTTGGCCAACTAAGATCGGGAAGTCCGTCTTCCTCGGCAACTCTCAATTGATAAGCTCTGTCATCATTCGAAATGGGTTCTAAATCAGTTTCTCTCCTGTACAGCTCGAGAGCTTTTCGAATTAAATCAGTTGGTGTAAATGTAAGTGATGATCCAGATCCGCTATGTGCAGAAATGGTAGGTATTGGTACATTGACCTTATGCACCCCTCCTCGTTTATGAGGAACAAAGGTAGCAATATATCTCACAAGAGGACTCGTGGTAGGTCTGTATTCTTGAAGCATTCCATTTCCAAGAGCTGGATTTCTCCTTGGTTTTAACTCAATTGTCAATAGTGAATCAAGATTTTGTGTGACAGGTGGTTGTTTAGGTTTTGCTTGATTTGAAGAAGAGGGAGTAACTTTGTGAAAAAGTAAATCAGTAGCATTTTGATTTGTTGATGAGGTAGTGTTCATGTTTTGCTGTTGTGGTTGCTGAATAAGTTTGGGGGGAACACCACGAGTTGAAGCATCATCAGCTGCTGCAGGACTCACTGGTTCTTCCTCGCTCACAGCTCCCTCTTCTCCTGTTGCATTTTGATCCGTTCGTTCTCGTCTTGGTGTTGTAGCACCTCGTGGTGTCGTGGTACCTCCACGTGGCGTTGTAGCACCCCGGGGTGTGGTATTCGCATTTGTTGTTGTGTTGGAAGGCATATTTGCCAATGGAAGTTGAAGATTGAATTTGTTGGGAGAGGTGACACCTGCATTGACTTGTGATTGTTGCTGTTGTTGCTGTTCAATGTGTTTCTTGTGTTGCATCAACAATAATTCGTAATCCATCAAGTCAAATGTATCAGGAGGTGTAAAGGAAGTGGATATGTTCTGACCATATCGATTGTACGCTTGTTGTGGTTGATGATACATCATCATGTTGTCAAGATCGTTTTGGGTACCCGTCCCAAAGCTTCTCGTACGGAAATGGTTTGTTGTTGTGTTTGTTCTTTGGTTGAATTGTGTATTTAGTTGAGTGCTGGAAGATCCATTGTTGTTTCCACGTGTCAGAGGAAATGGAGGTCTGTTGGAGAGCTGGGTATTGATGGTTGGATTATTGATGGAAGTGGAAGTAGAGGTTGTTGCTATTTTAAAGGACGATGATGATGATATGCCTGTTGTTGTTGTTGACGAGAAGAATTTTTTGGTTCACCCATGCCAATAATTTATCCAGCAATCATTTGACAAGTAACACCATTTTGATCCGACGAATGTAAAGTTACAAATTTGTATCAATTATTATAATAAACACCATTAACATCACCATATTCACATTCATTAAATGAATTTTGTTTTTCATATCATTTCCATGATCATCATCATCACACAGAATGGAATAATTTACCAAATCAAACAAACGTTTAAAAAAATTATTCAAATAAACTCGTATCATCATCATCAAGACAATCATACCTCCGTTGGGATTTCCCTGTTGTTGTTGAGAAGCATTATTCAAAAGCATTTGGTCATGTATCCGAGGGAGAACCGTCCTTTTGGTTTCCTTGAAGTTTGGCTTTTTAAAGCTGAGCATTTTTGTTTTGGAACTTGAAGAGATAACTCTCCTGTCAGTAGGCTCGCTTCTTCTCATTCAGAGTTTGAAAGAGAATTGGATTCAAGACCAGAAGAGGATCTGTCTTTTAAAAACAGCCTGTTCAATCTTCAGAGAATTGGCTCAGAGTTACTTTACTCGATTTTTGTTTTTTCAAAGGTCCTTCGTCTTCGAACACAACAACAAGAGCAATAACCGCACCATCGAATCATCCACCTCAAGACAAGTAGGACAGGCACCAGTTGCAGCAGTGTTGAGAGGATCAAGTCGTAAGGCCAAAACACTGGAGCCCTTACTCCAGTTTGTTCATCCATCAATGTCGTGTGATGATCAAAATAATCCATTTTAAACTCAATGACTTGATGAATATTGTCTGGATTGCCAGAATATTTCTGATACAATCGTTTGGCCCATTCCACCTTTTGTTGCTTCTGTTCACTCAATAAGGTTGTTTCAATCAGTTGACTAAATGTTTCTGGTTCAATCCATTTTGAATAAATCCAATCACCCATTCCCTTATCTTGTAATCGATTACATACGACAAATTGATCGGCCATGATAGGAATACCAATCATGGGTTTACCATAAAACAGACCTTCACTGACACTGTTAAATCCACAATGGGTCACAAACAAAGAAACTGCCTTATGATTGAGAATGAATAATTGAGGGAGGAATGCATCGGTGATATTGACTCTATTTCTCCATTCCACATCTCTTTCCAATTCTTGTTGCAATTTAGCAATCTGATTGGTCTCCACTCTCATCAATGCATGCCAATCTCGATGAGTTTTCAACAGTAATGAGAGGCCTCGAATAATTTTTCGATTGGATTCCTCACTGAGTTTCCATTGACTTCCCGTACTAATGAAAATGACCTTGTGATTGTGACGAGCAAGGGAATCAAGCCATTCTTTTAACTCAGTGTCTTGAGTATCTGGATGTAAGGGTAAGCTATATCCTACATCAAAGAAACGAGGATATGACTTTAACCCGACTTGTTCCAACACACCTGGAACGGTCAGTGTTAGTGTTGGATACTGAGCTGCCAATTCATAATACCATTGTTTTGAGAATGGTCCAAAGATCAAATTCTTCTTGTATTTGGTTCTAATGTTCCAAATTCCATTGAAGTGAAATACGGATCGAGCAAGTGGATAAATGCCATATTTAGTAAAGAAACTTAAAGCCATGGATCCTAAAGATCTTTTCCAAAGTCTTGACTTGAAATACTGATAATAAGGATGAAGAATGGAAGCTTTTCCAACCAAGTGATCTGTGAATAGTCCCCAAATTAACTCACAAAATACATTTGGATGATGGAGAGGAAAATAATCAGTCTCCAAAAAATCTGTTAAAGAGGTTGCAATGGTCAACAATTTCACACTATGATTATATTTGATATTCAATTGCTGAAACATGTCGTAATATGCAAAATATATATCCACCATATCTAATACAATGATATCAGGTCTTTCTTCTGGAAAATTCTCAAATCTTTCCATCAAGAAATTGTAAGCGTTCACAGAAAGCATTGAAATGGTCTTTAATCTTTCGAATGGCGATAACTCTGAAGCATTGACGGCCATCCAATCTCCGTAACAATAAAATTTAACAGTTGATGGATTAACTTGTGAATCCAATGCTTCCCGAGTGTTTGAAATGATTCTAAAATTCGAAAAATCATCATGAACCCATTTCGTTAGATTGGATGTCCAAAAATTGGCGATCGGCATTGAAATTTCATATCGATCATCATTCATGATTTGTTTAATAATCGATACGTGAGGGTTGTAATGTCCTTTCGCTGGCATTGGAGTGAATAATAATTTAATTCGTTTTCTATTGGTTGATGAGAATGATGATGGATCATTGGAATGTGTGGATATGAAAGCATCGCAATCGTTAAATTGTGTGATGAACAGAAACAACACTTCCACGATCAAAATGGCAAAGCAAAGACGCATTTAGGTGGAATGAAATTTTTAAAATCCGATCAAGAGTAGCAAAATGCAAACTCTCACTCTAATTTCAAATTCGAGCTTCTGGTTTTCGATGATCCATTCACTTGGCCCATGGTTGAAGCTTTTAGTGAACTCTCTCAAGTCCACTTATTCGTAATTGCATGACAGAATCATCTGAGGATGGAATTTCTTTCAGCTTAATGTTCAGTCGATATTGAATATCGGGCGTCCGTTCCAAGCATCAATATTTCCACCGATTTAGAAGATTGTTTCAATTAATGCGATGCGCATCGCATCCATTTGAATTAGTTGAAACAACAACAAATTAATGCGCACGCTTCAAACAGCAAAGCTCACCACCAAAAAAATCCCAAGTTTGGACCTCGAAGAGTGACCTTTTCTGTTTAAATACACACTCACTTCATCCAGCAGCAGAAGCATCATCATCATTTTCGAATATGAAAGCACAAATCATTGAAAATTATTGTGAAGAACCCAATTTTATTCTTCGTGACAATATTCCCATTCCGGAGCCAAAAGCAAACGAAGTGTTGGTCAAATTAAAGACAGCTTCGGTCAATCCTGTTGATTACAAGTTGAGAGCAGGAGCCATGAAAATGATCTCGGGAGTGCAATTTCCATGTATTTTGGGTAAAGATGGAAGCGGAATTGTTGAAAAGATTGGCTCCAAGATTACACGATTCAAAGTTGGAGATGAAGTGTGTGGTTTTTTAACAAACAAAAGGACAGGTAGGTTTCAATTCGTTTTCAATAAGAATCTTTTAAACTCATGTTCATCCTTTGAACAATTTCTTTCCAAATTTGAAAATGTCTCGAAAAAAAGGTTCCTATGCCGAATATGCATGTTATGAACAAGATGAAATTGTATTAAAACCTTCGGAAATGACCTTTCAACAAGCATGTGCTTTTCCACTCGTTGGTTGTACCGTAATGGAAATGTACAGAAGACATCCTTCCATTGGTGAAGTTTTAGATCGAGAGGGAGAATTGGCATTTGGAGTGAAGAATAAAATTTCAAATCCTCTCAATCAAGAAGACAGGAAGGAGATGAGAATTTTAGTTATTGGAGCCTCAGGAGGTAAGCAGTCGTCTCGAAAGAATTTAGAAATTTTCTCATGCATGACAACCTTAAATTTTAATGTACTTGTTATCTTGTGAACTGTGAACACCTTAATTGTTGTGAATTTCACATGTTGTCAATTATTTTGATCCAATTTTGCAATGATCCTATATTCTATTTAGGTACTGGTTCTGTGGCAGTCTTGTTTGCAAAAACATTTCTTCAAAGATATTTCAACACCAAGGTCTATGCAGTATGCTCTGAAAGAAATGCCAAATTTGTGATCGATTCATTAGGAGCAGATGGCATTATTGATTACACAAAAACGTCAGCCAAGGCAGGTTCTCACATCACACACCAATCAGACTCTGAGTTGCCAAGTATTTGCCAACTATTGAAAACCAATTATGGTGTCAATTATGTGGACATTGTTCTCGATTGTGTTGGAGGTTATTACTATTATGATGATGTCTGTCATCATTTGTCATGCAAAGATGCAAGTCCATATACTGTTTTCACAACCATTTCACCTCCCACTGAGCCAGAGTTGAATTTTACTAATCTCGTAAAGGTTGGATCATTCCTCGCTATGAACAAATTGCGATCATTCTCCTCTTGCTATCCACGTTTCCATTTTGTCATGTTGGATCGAAATGTGAAGGATCTTCACTTGTTGATGAATCACGTACTCTTAGAGAATAGAGTCTTTGAAAAGATTCCTCTCCACCCTTTCAGTCTTTCAAATATGAAGGAAGCACATTTGCAAATGGAATCTCAAAGAACAGTTGGAAAGATCGTCATTGACATTCAGTAACAAACAATATAAATATCACAGTCTTTAAGGAATATGGGTCACGTGAGAGTTTGTTGTTGTTGTTGCTGATGATGGTGATGCATCTCAAAATATTGTCTGTTGAGTGTTTTGGTTTCTTGTGAGAATAATGGAAGTGAAGTGACACTAAGGTGGTTCAATGACAGCATCATTCAATAATTTTATTAGCTTTTTCAGGAAAACTAGATAGGATGCATTAGCCACGACAGTAAGGTTTCTGGCGAATTACTCTGTTTACTTTTGTTGAAACACATACTATCTTGTTTTCCAAAAGTGTCAATTTCAGCCGTTATTTGAATGCTCACATGTTAAACTCAACATGAAAGTTTCATCACCCCCTTCACATGCTCATCACCCATTTTCCTTGCACAGAAAATGTCGACCTACTCTTCAAGACCTCAGAAGGATTCAGTTATAATTATCCAGTCTTCCTTTTTTTAACATGTTACCAAATTGGAACCTGCTTTGGAAAATATTTGAACTGAGAGTGTTTGTTTTGAGAGGAGTTTGGCAACAACAAAAAAGCACAACTTGTCAACGAAGGTTTTCTTCTCTCCTATACTGCTGCTGAGCCTGAGCACTCCGATATAAACCTCATCCCAAAACGAACCAACAATTTGTGCTTTTTTACTATCCGTAACCTTTGTATTGAATCAATTAATTGCATAACAACAACAAAGAGTTTTGTCTTCAAACTTCTTTCACCTACCTGGTTATTACAGAGACTCTTTATCAACACCCAATCACTTATAATGGCACCCAAACAAGTTCATAACTATGACGATATCGATGATGAATTTCCAATGAATATTCCCTACGATGATAATGCCTCTTCAGATGGAGCTGGTTTGGTTTTTGAATCCGAACAACAACAACGACGACGACCTCATGCTCAATCATCACCATCACCATCATCATCATACTCGGGCCACAACCACAACAAATCTTCTGGTTCTAAATTTCATGTCCCAGAAACAGCAGGTGGTATGGATGGTCTCTCGGACTCTACCAAACACAGTGATGATGATGATGCATGTATGAATGAAATTGCCTTGGCCGATGAAGAAGACTCTTTTGCCAAGACTTCTGGTGATCCGTTGAAATCAGCTTCGGTGGGATCAGCCAGTCAAGCCTCTTCCTCCTCTTCCTCCACCACCTTCTCACCTACCAATTGGATCAAATCACTCACTTCTAAACTGAAAGAGAATGGACAAAAACTCAAAGATGTTCTTCTCACTAAAGCCTTCTTACAAACCATGTTATTGAATTTTTCAATTACGTCATTCTGTATCGCGGCATCATGTGTCGGATCTTTGATTAATGTTTTCGCCAAACAAACTGGAACAACAAAAGAGCAAGTAGGAATTGTTTTTACGATTAGAGGTATTGGATCTCTTGTCACAACCATCATTGGTGGTTTAGTCATGGATGCTTTAAGGAAATTTATTGAAAAAAAGATTAAGGATCCAAACAGAAAATCTCTCTATGAAACACTCACAATTTATAGTTTATTAATTGTCTCAATTTTGGTGATGGCTTTCTCACTTGTTTTAATGCCTTTTGGATCCTCACTTTGGTCCTTGTGCATTGTTTTCTTCATATTTGGAGTTGGAAGCGGCTATTTAGGTATTTGTGCACAGGCCCTATTATTCACCATTTGGTCAGCGATGAAAATTAATGTGTCTCCATTTTCACAACTCTTTCACTTCAGTGCTGGTGTTGGCCTTTTTTTGGGCCCAACGGTAGTAATGGTTGTGAACGCAATGTTGGGAATTGACAACTCTCAGTTGGCTATTGAAGACCAAAGTGAAACTGCAAGCTTAAACAACATTTTTGAACCAACCCTAATCATGGAAAATGGTACTTCCATCCTTACCAATGGTACCAGCACAAATGGATTTATTGAAGGCACCTTAATTTCCAAGTCAGTCATTGGAACCAATGGTGTTATTTGTGGTTTCTTCTTCATTTCCATTTTATTCTTTTTGGGATTCATGATTTATTTGTGGATTAAGAGAGATTCAAAATATGAAAAACCTGAAAGATTGGTCGATCAAAAGGAGTTGAAGAATATTAATGGTGACGAGGAGCAAGGAGCAGCTCTTTCATCCCACGAAAGCATTGATGACATGCACAAGCATGCATCTGAACCAACTGCTGCCACTCAGCCAACCACTTCAAGTCGATCTGAATTTATGATCAACCTTGCAGCCACTATTTTAGTTGCTTTGGCACTTCTCAACTACTGCAGCGCTGAAGGTACTTACGGAAATGTTTTGTACAGTTACATGACATCAACGAAATTACTGGACGATTACGAAGCTAACATGTTGACCTCTGGTGTTTGGCTCCTATTTACCATTGGAAGAGGTGTTGCCATTCCAATTTCATACTTTGTTCCACCATTTGTCATGTTAATCATTGACATGATGGGTGTCACCGTATCCATCAGTATGTTCTGGATTTTCTCCACCAATGTGACAGTCATGAGTGTTGCAAGTTTGATCTATGGTTTCTCCATTGCATCCTTGTATCCAACTACAATTGCCATTCCTGCTTCCGTGCTCAAACTTGAAATCACTGGTATGATGACAAGTTTGATGGTTTTGGGTGGTTCTACTGGAGCCATGGTTGGTCCTAGTGCCACACTTGCTCTCTTCAAGGCCATTGGACCTAAAACACTTTTTGGAACTGTTACCTTGAATATGATTTGTTTGGCATCCCTCTTTATTGCTCTCTATGTGTTTGGTAAGGTTCTCAACAGAAAGAAGAATGCATCTACCTCTACTTGTTCTTCTTCACCCGATTTGAAAATGAAATAACAACAAGCATTACACGACGATGATGTCTCTTCAGTAGAGATGAAATAAATCGTTGAGTTTTTCGATTTATGGATGAATTTGAATAGGATGGAGTGGTGAAAAGCCTTCTTCTTCTTCTTCTTGACAAGATCATTGATTACAATTCTTCTCATCGACGACTACAGAAGAAACACTTTTAAAAAAAACAATTCCTTCTTCATCTCAACATTCAAATAAGAGATTTTAAAAGATGAAAGATAAAGCCTCTTCTTCTTCTTCAAATAATTTCAACCACACCACCAATGTAAGGAAATATCATCCTTATGAGAAACAAGGCAGCAACAAGAAATCTCAAAAGGCAACACTTCAAGAACAACCACCAACCTTAATGAAGAAAACGGAACATCCTTCAAAGACTTTGGATCATTCCAGTTGTAAAGGACAACAAGATCATGATGGAAAGAAAGGAACAAATAAGCCTCTACAACAAAGAGGAAATAGCATGAGGACCAATCAAAGAGTGATGGCTCTTTCTCCTGACACGGTTGCTCGATGTAATCAACTAAGGTCGTCCCATGAAATTGAAAAGGCTTCTCTTCATCATCAAAAGAACCAACAACAAGTTGATCATTCAACTCAACCTCTACAAATGTTACTCTCTCCCTCCTCGCCAGTGTTTGAAATTGATGCACAGGAAACATCCTCTTTCTCGGACATATCAATCATGATTATGGATGAAGGCTTTGTTTTTTCTGGCACAGATTCCCCACAGCAAATAATGGAATGTGATGAGAGCATGCTTGAAGTATTTTGGAAACAACCTGCCGTCGAGCCAATGATTGAATGGGCTGATAAGGATTACGATGTTGAATGGTTCGACCCAATAGTTCCTTCCTTTCGAGAGGGTCAAGGGTCAAAAAGCACGCTGGAAATCCTTTTGGAACAACCTCTGCATGATTTTATGGAAAATGATGAAGCCAACAACCAAGATGCTTTTGATCTTTTTCAAACCCAACCAGAATCTCCTCTGATGGATGATTTTCATTAGATAAAGTGAATAGACAGGATTAAGACAGGTAATAAATCTGTACAGACAACAGACGAGAATTCCACGTGTTCATTGAGCTTACAAATCATTCACACGCAAAATATATTAAATGTACAATCATTTTTATTGGACATCAATAAATTCAACAATAAATATTTAAAATCCTTTGAATGCCCATTCGGTTTGCAAAGAATAAGGCTCAGAAATAGTGAGACCGCTAGCAGTGGCAGTAGCAATTTGAATCTTGTTAAGACTTCTGGCATCTCTGTAGTAGAGAACTTTCATGCACTTTTCCAAAACTTCTCTTGCTTCTTGCTCTGAAATATTATTTACATCTCCATTCTTACTATCGAGGAAATTTCTAAGAATTGGTTTAGCCAAATAAGCTCCATAACCTGAAGCCATAGTATCGTCCTCAAAGTTTGATCCCAATAAATCAGTATATCCCAAGAATGACTTGCCATCCTTAAATCCTGCAACAATCAAAGTATTCCACAATGGATTGAATCTATTTCTTCTGTTATACATTATACGAACAAGATATTGATAAATAGCTTTTGGTGAAGTTTCAATCTTATCATCAGCACAATAATCTCGATCTACTAATTGTTCCAACAAATCAGTAATATATTGGAAATCAGAGTACTCTCCGGATGCACCTACAATGGTATTACTACCAATCTTTTTAATTCTTTCTATGGAACGGAATCTTGCAAGTGAACCATAAGATCCCAATGTATCAGAACACAACATGACTCCTCCGTTGTATCGAATTCCCAAGATGGATGTTCCTGTAACGATTGGATCTCTATGTTGAAAGGAATCATCGAAAAAGTATGGTCGGATGTTTGTATTGATAATGATGATAATGATTAAAACAATTGTCCAATGTGAATCATAGTTGATATCATCACCATTCCATTTAATCACAATATTATTCATCCACATGTTCCGTGCGTTCATTAAATTTCAAAAAATCAACAGCAACCAACGTTGATGAATCTTACAACAAAGAAGAACAACGGATAACTCTCTACTTACTGTGTATGCTTCTTTGCACCCTCATCCACTACCAAATGTTGGTAAGGAAAGACATTCTGAGTTTCCTTTGGTGCATCTTGATGGAAAAGCTTGTGAGTATCCAAATACATTTTTTTTAGAAAGATGAAAAAAAATTCTAAAAATACAAAATTATTCCTTTCTTCAGTGATGACTTTTTTCATGAAACGTATTGAGGCTCATCATAAGCTATTCTGAAACTCACCTTAGAGAATACAAAAGGAACCAGAAAATACTCAACATGGAATTCGGAAATGGAATTAACTTAGTTATATATTTCTTCTGATCATGATCTAAAGATCTTGATGATGCTTTCAATAACACACAAGATCGGAATGAATTGGAAATTGATGAATTTACAAATTCTTCAAGAATAGGATGTTTTAGACTTATTTTCAAAACAATTCATGATGTATTATTTATTTTCAAATGCTTTGAAATTGCTTGAATGTGTTGTGAAGAGAAAGAGACAAAGTTTCACAACAGGATTTGTTGGATTTGTCCTCAATTTCTCTTTTGAGCGCTTTGGTGGTCGCTTCCATTTCAGTCACTTGTCAACCATTTAAAAAAATGTTTGGCAGACGAAAATCTCTCTCGTCCCAAACCGCAGCGACGACGAGTACGTCCACTCTCTCTTCTGCCAACACCAACAACAGCGACTACTCTCCAGAAAGTCCCTCCCAATCTCTCCCTTCAGAGCATGGTCTTCGAATTCGAACACAATCCGTCGCTTCCATCACTGGAATGATTCATCATAATGATCTAGACAACAATAGTATCACTTCCAACAACAACAACAACACGGTTGTTCCGACCCTTTCGACCTCGGTTCGAAGAGGTGTTTTACAAATTACAAGCTCTTCAATGACCACTCCTTCGACTCCTTCAGAAAATTCTTCGAACAACAATTCATTGAAAGAACGAAAGAAAAGTTTGTCATCACTCAAAAGTATTTTAACGCCGAGAAAACATTCAAGTTCGGATTTACATTCATCATCGAATTTGTCAGCACCCATGCCAACAACCTCGAATTCTAATGATAATTTAAGTGTGAGTGAAAGTGATTCAACTCAGTTGTCAACATCACCAAGTAGATCACTTGGAAAATTAATTATCAATTCTGTGAAATCACATCACCACCATCACTCTAGAGAAAGTTCACTATCCTCTTCAATAGGTACTACTTCGAACCCTCAGACATCTTCGAAAACTCCATTACACGTTTTATTTGGGTCGAAATATGCTTCGAATGGAAATCAAACCAATCAACATGTCACTACTGATTCTGTGGATATTGTGGATATTGATGAACCAATTGATGATGATTCCGATTCTAGTAGTGAAGATGAAAGTATTGATGATCATGATTTGAAAGAATTGAAAGATAGTATTCGAGGATATGAAAAAGAAATTCAATCATTGAGTCCAAACCAATTAATGCCCCCTTCTGGTGGAAGATGTACATCACCATTGGGAGAAGCTCCTAAAGCAACCATTAATGGTACGCCTAATGGTGCGTTGGGATCACATGCCAACTCTGGATCGACCACCACTCGGGCTCGTGCTGCTTCTGATTATCTGAAAAAGAAGAAAAAGAAGGAAGATGAAGAATCCTCATCCACCATGGACATGATGAGTTTTTTGCAAGATTATGAGGAAGAAAAGAAAAAAGAAGAGACACTCAGAAAACAAGCACCACCACAACAAACCAGATCTCGTTTTAACACACTCACAGAAAAATTAAAAAAGGCATATTACGAACATAAAAAGAAAGACGAAGATGAAGAATCCGATGGTGGTGAATCTGACGATGGTGATTCTACTGCAGGTTCAGGTGTTTCTATGTTTGGTGGAAAGAATGTCAATATTCTAGCTCAACTTGTGGAAGAATATAAGGGAATGGATTCTGAAAAGATTATTGAAGCTGAACGAACACGACGAGAGCAGGAGAGAGTTTTTTCACCCTTGGTCATGCTTCGTCAATTAGAGAAGGAAAAGAAATTGAATCCAAAATATAAGGTTGTGAATGTGTATTTTGAAAAAGTTGCTTTCATGTAATAACATAAAATAATAATTTATTGTTGTGACGACGATGAGGAATTATTACTGGATTTTACAAACAAAATCTTTTGAGGGTTTGCTGCAAATTTGTTATTGTTGCGAGAAGAGTGGTGGTGTCGATCCTTTTTGTGATGAGTTTGTTGTACAGTTTCCTGCTGAGGTGGGGAAGCAATGTTCTCTTGTGTCTTTAAGGGTGGAGTGACGCTTTGCTGCTGTTGTGATTTTTCAACCTTAACAAATCGTTGCTGTTGTTGCTTGTTTTGTCCACCACTGGTACGAACTCGATCATTTCTCGTTAAAGAATCTTGTTGCTGAGGCGGTGATACCATTTGATTTATATTGCTCGGTGATACTGCTGTGGCAGAAGGAACGAATTTGGCTTGCATCAACTGCTTGAATTGTTCATACTGTTTTTGATAATCATCTGTTGTAGTCTCTGTGTGCTGTTGAGATGTTTGCCGTTGAACGAGTTGTTCCTGAGATTTTGGTACGACATGAGATTTTGTGGGCATTTGAGGTTGTTGCTGGTGTTTGATTCTGTGTAGATCTTTTTGTGAATTTGTTGATCCTTTGATGTGGTTGTGTGTTGGTTGCTGATCATTAATACTTGTTGCTTGACGTTCTTGTTGTTGAGAATTTCTTGATTGATTTTGGGACAAGTGATTGTTTTGATGATGTTGCTTGGATGATGGTCGTTCCTTAGTTGGTTGTTGAATGTTGATTGAAGAAGGAGGTTGTGACGTTATGTTGTTGTTGTTCACTTTGAAAAACCGTTCCAAATTTCCTCCTTTCGCTAATTTTCTCAAATTTTCATCAGTATCATTCAATACATTAAATTTTGCCAAAATTTCCAATAATTCTTCACATCCTTTCTTGATGAGAATTTCAGCAACAGACTGTCCATTTCTGTTAAGTGTTTCAAATATAACAAGAGGGTCCACTCTTGTCAAATGAAGTTGCTTTTTTTGTTGAGCACTTGGTTCTACCTTTGTCATGGCAGAAACCATTGCCTCAAATGTTTCTTTCAATTTCTCTTTTTCGTGTTGTTTTCTACCATAGTCGATGGCAATTAAATGAATAGCAAGTTGACCACGGTCATCAAAGTCAAGTAACAAGGAATGAGATGAAACATGATGAAGCAATACAGCTAAACAATCGTAGCTTCTTGTATGAATACATCTATGAATGAGATTATTTCCGTTTCTAAATCCTGTAGTGTGTAAATTAATTTTCAAATGCTTAATAGCTTGTCCAAAAAGTACGTGATTGTCACGATTGAGACACATATCAATAATCTTATTTGTGAAATCTTGCATATTCTCAATGCTGTTGAGAAGAGTCTTGTTAGCCAATAAAGCTGCTACCAGATTAAGACTATTTCGCTGAATGCTCCTTGTTAATAAATTGTCAGTTGGAACATTATCTCCAGCTTCATTCTTAAAGTAATCAGATGGCTCCATAATTTTGGTGTGACTAACGAAACTCCTCCAAATGTCATTGCTGCATAAATTCTCTCCATTTCCAACAACGACAAGAGAATACTGAGCTCTGGTGATGGCCACATTGAGACGTCTTTGATCCACACAGAAACCCAAACTATTTCTGTCATTGGCACGAACAGTACTCAAAATGACAATTTGCTTTTCAGAACCTTGGTACGAATCAACAGTGTTCACATCAAACCATTCTTCAATCTCTTCCAATGGTTCTTCGTCATCACTACTATCTTCGTAATCTTCTGGTAGAGGTTCTCCAAGTCCATCTTCTGTAGCTTGCGACACTTTGTTAACTTCTGTTGTGTCAACATTCTCGGTTTGATTTTTTTGAGCTTGAAGGGATGTTGTTGAGGTTTGAACTTCCTTTGTCACTTGAGATTTGGATACAACCTGTGGATGTTCCTTTTCATATTGAGAAAGCTTTTCTCGAATAAGATCCACTTGAGCTCTGTAAAATGTAATGACTGCAATCTTATTCCTGGATATGCCAAGCGTGTTCATATAAAAGTCAATCAATTTAACCACTAAATTTGCCTCTTCTTCGTTTTGATAACTCTTAATGTGAGCATTAAAGGACTCAACAGAATTTGGACAGTGCATAAACAGGCATGGTTCAAGACCTTTTTCATAGAGTGGCTTCCAATCGGGATGGGCATGGTATTGTTTTACATTTTCACCATCTTTTAGAATACCATGATAGAAAACATTTTCTGGGAATTTAGAAATTGCCGGATGCATACGATATTGTGTGTCTAATAGGACTGGTTTTTGAATGGACATTCCTTTGTTGTGTGACAATTTCATCAATCTTTCGAACATGCTTCTATTGTATTCCTTTTCAACAGCTTCTTCAGACAATACGGTAGAGGGTAACTGGAAAAATATGTTATCAAAGCGTATGATAAATCATTCAATACTTACTTGTTTGGGATCTCCAATTAACACAAGAGTATCTGTAACTAGGCATAATGGAATGATAGATTCAGATTCTGTGACTTGAGCCGCTTCGTCAATGATTAGCACATCAAATGTTTTACAACTTCTCATCAGGTGCCTTCCGGTAATGGCTAATGTTGCAAATACCAAGTCGCAATTGTCTAAAATTTTCTTTTCAACATCTCTGTTATCGAGAGTTAAGTAAACTTGTAGCTCCTTAAAGAATGCATCAATTTCATCGTAAAGTTCTTTTGCATTGTTATTCAAGTCTTGTTTTTTAGCGTCTGAAGAATTTCCTAGATCTAAAAAGTTTTTGATATGTTCTTTAACTTTAGAAAATTTTTCTAGAACTGTGTTCACCATTTCTTGATTTACAAGCTTTGTTGTCAAGAGTCGATTAATCGTGTCATCGGTGTTAGAAATGAGCTTGTTAATTTTTTCTGTCCTAGATTTGATTGAGTTTCTAGCATTGAAAGCAGTATTTCTATTGTGAAAATTAGAAAAAAATTATTAACAATGAGAGCAAGCTTAAAAACTTACGATTGCCTAGATTTCTCCATAACTTCTCCTTGTTCGTTACGAATTAACTCTACGCAATGAATTATATCTTTAACATTTCTTTGAAGTTGTTTGAAACGAGTTGCAGGATCAATTTTTTTGCTGAGCTCGTCGATTTTTTCATCATTACCAATTCTCGCCATTTTGTTAATAGAAAGCTGGTATTTCTCTCCATTACTGTTTCGTAAACCGTTTTGAGTCATCTTGTTAATGATATGATCTACGGCAACATTGGTACCCGAACAAATTAGAATACGCTTCTTATTGGCAAGAAGTGTCATGATCAATCCTAGTAAGACGCTTGTCTTACCACAACCGGGAGGTCCATGAATTAAATGAACTTTTTCATCAACCTTGTTCAATACTTGTTGAATAGCCTTAAATTGAGAAGCGTTATAGGTTTTTTCAAGAAACTCTCTCAATGGAGGGGCAATGTTCTCAACTGGTTGAGCTTTTTGATGTCCATGAGCACGTTCTCCTTTGATAACTTGGAAAATGTGATTTGGAATGGACATTCTTTGCAATGCCTCGTACTCTCTGTGTTTTGTAACCATTGTGAAAATTGGAAAAACAAACCAATTTTGTTTACCTCCTCCACCTCCTTGTCTATGACTTCCCTTGTGCTTTCTTCCTTTTTTGAATGTCGCCTCCATATTCAACATGTGCTTGGTTACACTTGTTGCTACAAACTTGGCTTTGAATTTTGTTTGAATAGTTGATGAAGCATTAGCTCGTGGGAATGATGTTTGTTGTCTACCTCCTCGTCCACCTCGTCTTCCACCTCTTCTTCCTCGTCGATTCCATGGCTGAGATTGCATCTTGAATTTGTTGGTACTCTGTTGATTTCCTTCTTCTACAATGACGAAGAAGTGATTTTGTTTTTCCAAATCTTTCAAATTTGGTTCAGAGGTCACAATACAATAATCATGTTTTTGAAACATTGGTATGTAGGGTGTCATAGTTGGATCCTTTGGAGGCCTTGGAATAATGTCAAAATAAATGGTGGCCGAATCTCCACGATTTTTACCCTTTTTCCATTTTGTGACTGCGCATTTTGCAAATTCACCATGATTATCAGTTTCTATTGATTGTTGAATACAAGCTCGTGTTTCTTCAAAAACATAATCCAAAAAGCTATTGCAATAATGTTTAACGTCTCTAAATTTGTCAGGAATAGGATCTAATTCGATGGGTGTCATGATGTCATCCAACACCCAACCTAGAACCTCATTGTTCATTTCAAATCTATGCTTATGCTGTTCATAATATTGTTGCTTGCCGCTTTTATGAGATTTTGGATGAGAGGATCTTGCTGTTGAAGCTGTTGCAACAGAAGTTCTTTCATTTGGGTCAAAAGAAGAATCGGAAGAAGAATCAGAAGCTGAGTCATCCATCATGTTTTCATCATCCGATTCACCTTCAATTAAATAATCCTCTTCTACCGTCAAATCAATTGGGTTTTTTCCATCCAACAATGGAGCATTTGACTCGGATTGCTGATGATAGCCTCTTCTTCTTCCACCTCCTTGTCTGCGACGTCTTCCTCCGCGTCCTCGTTTTCCTCCTCTCATTTTTTTTCTTGCTTTTTGAATATTCCTTCAAGAGTTCGAGGATGATGAATAAATGGTTGAAGTTGCAAATGGAGCATTTGGCGTCGACCGAATTTCAACTTGTATGATCATGATTAATAACGATTAGAGTGAAATTGCATTGATGAGTTATGGTCCTCTAATCACTTGGATCGGATTCATAGGTTCAAATCAAGACAAAAAATGAGTACTTCATCATCACAAGATAAAGTCCCCTCTGAATTATTGAAGGACGAAAAGTTGGAACACTGCCTTGAGAATATCCTTCAAAAGACAACCATCGGTTTCGTGGCAAGCGTTATTCCTGCTTTTGTTCTTTTGAGAGGAAGAAGATCTGCTGCTTTAGGATTTGGTGCCGGTATTGGTTTCGGTATGGGATGGACAGAGTAAGTACATTTCCAACGAATAGGAAAATGAGGAGATGAAACCGTGATTCATGTTGTTATTGTTTTGAATGTACCTTCATCATGATGACGATCGATTGTGGAATATTATTTTCAAATGTTCGGACGAAAATTAATCTGGATTATTGAAAATCAAAATTGAATATCAATGATTTATTGGTTGCATCATTGCCATCATTCGTATTGTATTATCGGACACATCCATTTCTCGCGTTAATTTCAACACCACCCAAATATTAGATGTCGCTTGCTTATGGAGAAGAACATTCACTTTAACAAGAAATTCATTGCTCAAGTTGAGGTACCTAAAAACCAATAATCGTCGTGCTATACTTCTCAAACATTAAACCAACCAGCTATGCGGATATTGCCATGTTAAATTCTACCTTTGTAGAGCTTCTTCAAAATATTTGTTTAATTCTTCTTCATTAGGAGCCACAAACCTTTCATGTGGAACCTCCAACAAAGATGAAGAATTAGTGCTTTCCACAGGTTTGACCTTTTGTTCGAGCGCTTTCTCTCGTCTTGTCTCTCGATCCAACATCTGACGTTTCGGTGAAATTGAATTGAAATATTTGCTTAATAAGACTCCAATCCAAGAAAAACTTACATCGTTAATTGCATTCTTTTCATCCTGAATAACTCTAGGAGCACCATTAAAATATCCGCTCAAATCATCACTCAGTTCAATGTAGCTTACACCCCCATCTCTGTCTCCTACAGCGAGATGTTTTCCGTTCGAAGTGCTCACACAATGCAAGCTCGATGTCAACTGCAGAGAAACCACAGGCTTTGAATGGCTGTGAAGAATATCCCACACACTGAACGACCCATCCGTTGATGTTGTGAAAAATACACCTGGTCTTGTGGGCGACCAGCATCCATCAGTAAGGTAGTTTTCACTATATTTGGTTTCAATTAAGGGATTTTTCCAAATATCGTCGTGATAAATCCTAGCTGTCCAATCTCCTATCGAGAGGAAATACTTAGGGTTGAAGGGACATCGTTGAACTGAGAAGGCAGAGCTGTGATGACCTAGATATACTCTCTCAACTTTTTCTTTTCCTCCTTTTCTTGCTTTTCTGTTCCAAATTAGACATTGGCCTCGATCTGAACCTATGAGCAATTTAGAGGTCTTAACGTATCCATTTTTTCATGTTACGTTATATTTCTAATCATGTTTTGCTCATTTTCTACTTACACTATACGAGGTATCATAATCCATGCAGAGGGCCCCAAATTTCTGAGGCTGATAGATCTTAGATTGAGTTATTTCTAAAACATTTCTTTCCAATGGTTCTGCCAAATTTCGAATATCCCAAAACAACACTTGTGAATCACTCGAAATACTCACACACTCTGTGAACTGTTTGCTTTGTATCCACCGAACTGAATACACTGGATCTTTGTGACTTGTTTGGCTATGAGAATATTCAACAGGATTCGAGCCACGCCTAGTGTCAAAAACGTAGAGACAACCATTTCTTGCACCTCCTAAAATACAGGTTGAGTCTTTTGGATTAAACTCTAAACAACTCAAAGGAGATCCAGGAGTCAAGACCAACTCTGGAGAGTTTGGATTTCGAATATCCCAAATATATGAACTTTTTTCCATGCTCTCGGAAAGGGCATCATTTTGAGGTACAAAGTAAGCAGCAGCCAATTTTTTAGAATCTCCGTTTGCCCATGCAATGTGGTTAACGATCCTCTTATGCTCTGAAGGATCTTTAAGTATGGTTAATACGGTGGCTGTAGGTTTTGTTGTTGTTGATCGAATTAATTGATCATCCTCAATTCCACTAATTTCATCAGTTTCAAAATAATTCTCATGTACATTTAGAGCTGTATTAATACAAAGATTCTTAATAACTTCATTAGAGAGAGCAAGAGCGGATTTCACATAAGAATCATCTTTTTCCACTTTCTTTTGATGTCTCTTTTTTGCATCCACATCCATTGCATTTACATCCTTCGGCCAGCCTCCTTCAATGTGCAGCATTCCTGAGCTGGAATAGTTTTTTGTATTTGTATTGACAACATGTTCGCTCAACTCCGGTGCTGTTTGAACTCCAACATGGCAAGGGTCTTTTTCAATGTAATAGGATTTCCGAATTCTATCATCGGGTTGAATATTTACAAGAAGAATTGGTTCGGAGTCTTCAAATTCATACGGTTGGCCCAGTTCTCGTACTTTCTTTTTATAACTATATACAATATCCATAATATCTAACAGTAGGAAGTAAATGTATTCTCTTTGTTCAGTTTTTGGGTCAAATTTCAAAAAATAATAATAATATTAATAAATCGTCCAGTTTACAGGATAGAAAAATGTTTGTGATGAAAAGTTTGCTATTTTTTTTGTACACTTTTCTTGGCGCCAATTTACATCTTGATCTCGAGTTGGCATGAATTATACAACCACTTGAAAAACCTGATTAGATAGTGGATGGATGTAGTAGATTCATTGTTGACTCTCACTCAACGATGGACTGACCTGTTCGTTGTATGTGAATATTTCTCCAGTTTCTGTTGTTTCAAGCCTTTCCAACACTTAAAAAAATGGAAAAGGGAAAAACTTCAAACTCAACTTCATCCCCACCCACTCAACAACCACATCACATTGATCGCGATGAAATACAATTCGGACTCGATAATTTGGCTGGAACTTTGTATACGAAATTGGACAAGGAAGAGAATACATTCCTGATTCAAATCAAAGAGGCAGCAACTGGAAGAATGTGGAAAAGGGTAATTTCCTCCGATGATGCTTTGGAAATCAGTAAACAAGGTACCAAGTTGAGTGTTGAAGCAATTGCTCAAATGATCATGAGTGCTTTTAAAGGAGAAGAAAAGAATTTATCGTTTGAACTCTTGTTCAGTACTGAATGTTATCCATTGAGTACTCCTTCCTCGGAGATGAAAAATCTCACTCCTACCTTGAATGAAATTCACTCGAAAAAGTGTGCCCTTGTAGTTGATATTTCACTCAAAGCTGTTTTCTTAACTGTCAAAGTTGCCTTCACATTGGAGGAAGTTGAACGAAACGAACAAGTCATGATTGAAGATTTAATGCGAAAGAACTTTTATTTCAGTCAAATAATCGAAAGATTGGAGTTGAAAAACACTCTTCTCGAGCACAAGTACTTACTTCAAAGCAAACAAATTAGCGATTTGGAAAATAGACTTACTGAGCTTACTCAATTATTCATCCAAACCCTGCAATTACAAAAGTTAAGAAACATGGAGTCTTTACTTGAACAACAACAACCATCACAAGAAACCTATGAAGAGTCCATCGAAGGAGTGGATCAGTTTTCTGATAAATGCAGCCCTAATTGCGTAATCTCTGAGGATAAAAAACGAGTTCATGCCAAGGAGAACGCCTGGGGAACCACCTGTAGACTAAGCAATCACGTATCTGTCCATAACAATTATGTAGAATTTGTGATTGAGAAAGTAACAGAAGAATGTGTCTTGTTCTTTGGTATCATCACTGCCGAGTATGATAATCAACTTTGCACAGAAAACAATGTGATTGGATCGAGCCAATACAGCAATTCCTTTGCTCTCTCCCTGACAGATAAAAAGTTCTACTGCAATGGCAGAAGTGTAGCAGAGTCATTTGTTCAAGAACCCACCGAATGGAAAGTGGGTGACAAGATTGGCATGCTTGTGGACTTTAAGCAAGCTTCTCTTAATTACTTTTTGAATGGCAAACTCATGGCTCAAACCTTCAAGGGACAAGTCGATGAAAACAAGAGATGGTACTTTTGTGTGAGCATGTGTAAAGCTGGCGATTGTGTTTCCATTGCACCAAAGGATGAATAAATTAATTCATCTCTACGCATCTCTGAACACTTCCTTCTTCTTATCCATTGTTCAAACATGGCCAACATGCATCAACGACATATACACTAGAGATTACCAGTCCGTCTGGGAATTGATCAAGCGAAGAAGGTGCAAGGAAAATGATGTTTTGTTAACTGGTGTGCTATTGCTGGATTTTTTTCTCCGAGAATTCTTTTGATTGGTCAATAGTAATTAATTAATCCGAGAGGTCATTTGTTGTGAACAAGCATGACAATCATCACATTGTACTCAACCAAAAAAAATGTAAGTGTGTTGAATGAGTTGTTTCGTCCGGTCGGAATCATGATGGAACGGATTTATGGTGTTTTCGGACACATTTGTGTTTTTTTTAATATCATTTAGAACAGAGAACATGGAGCAACAACAAGCCACTGATTTATCCAATCAACCCATTCCTGATGTTTACTTTACGATGGAAGACCTTGCTCAACACAAGGGAGAAAATGATTTACCAATTTGGATCGGATGTAACGGTAAGTGTGTTGATGAAATAGTGATCCCGATCAATTCCATAAATTTTTATTGGAAATAACGATGATTAATATCAAATGAAATTCAAATAATATGATCACATGATTTGAATTAATACAACTTGAACACAATAATAATTCTATTAATTTCAGGTCTCATTTTCCAAGTGAGCGAAGAAAAGAGAGAAATGTATGCTCCAGGAGCTGGATATAGTGTTTTTGCTGGAACAGGTGAGTTTTATCATTGACTGACAAATCGTCATGATTATAATTATTGCAACTATTTTGTAATATTATTATTTGAATGAATAATATTTTTCACTCAACACAGATGCCACACGAGCTCTCGCCAAATCAAGCCTCAATGCTGAAGATCTTCAACCTTATGGTAGTTTGGAAGGCCTTACTGAAAAGGAGTTGAAAACACTCAAGCAATGGGAAGATTTCTACAAGAAGAGATATGTCATTGTCGGAAAGATCAAGCTTTAAAAAGTGTCACACTTTGTGTGTTCAACTTGAACCTTCTTTTTTCAACAACAACGGGAGTAAGAATTGAATGCCATGCAAACTTGAATTTATTTAAAACAATACTTCTGACTTTTTCTTTTCATACTCTTCCTCGCTCAAAACTCCAGCATTCTTCAAATCCAATAACTTTTTCAAGTATTCAATATCCTCTTCAGTCAATCTCTTTTGTTGTTTGGTTGTTGTGGAATTTGTCGAAGGGCTGCTTGAAGAAGATGACTTGGTTGCAGCAGCATCGTAATCTTCACAAATTGTCATTTCCTCTTCCTTTGCATTTTCATTGTGAGATTGTTTGACAATCAACTCATTTGTGTCTTGATTACAGAAAATAAAGACATGAGGTCCCTTATTGGTCAAATCAACAGCAACAATCTTTGGCTTGGGTGAAGTCATTGGAGCTTCCACTCGAATGCTCACCACATGATTCTCATCCTTGGATGAATTGATACGCTTATTGCGAGGAATGTCACCATTAATAGTTCCCTTTTGTCTCTTCTTCAATGATTCTTCTCTCTTATAAGCTTGCTTGTCATTAATGTAGACCACAAATGGTTGTTCAGGAGATGCTTGAATTCCACTAAAATGTACAAAAATCTTGGATGGTTCTTCCTTCACAGTTTCCTCCAAAATGGATTCAAATTCTTCTGTCTTTTGTTGTTTACAAACAACTTTTCCAGTTTCATTATTCGCAACTCCAATCATTGCAAATCTTCCACCGTTACTCAAATTTAGAGTATGATCCAATTGAACGCCAACTTTTGGCATGTCAATAATCAATGGAGCCAAAGTGTCACCATTTGGATTGACTGGAATGTCGCCCTTCACACAAATAATCTTTTCTGGTGGAACATCTTCATCCAATGAAATCATGACAGCATTTTCTGGCTTGTAAATTAATTTGAAAGGTGCTGACTCTGATGCCTTAATATTACACAAGAAGAGTTTCATTTCAATACATTCAGCAGTTGAAGAATTTCCAGAAGGTCTCGGAGAAGTTCTTGCAACACTATTGCTACTACCATTATTATCACTACTGTTATGACGTGGTGATGATTGATTAGTAGAATTACTAGTATTACTACTATCACTACTACTGCTTGTACTATTATTACGTGGTGATGACAAAGTAGTTGAATTTCTTGGAGATGCAACAAGTGGATTCAAACAAGTGGCTGAATGTTCTGCAGTATTGCAAGTAGAAGCACTGGAATTCTCGGAATTCTTGTTCACTACCTTTTTAGGGAATGAAAACAACTTGTCTCCAATAATGGTCTTTCGTTCAAAATCTGCTTCTTGTTGTGTTAAAATTCCACGATCTTGCAACGATTGGACTTTCAATAATTTTTCACGTTGTTCATCAGATAATTTGGAAGCATCGACTTGATATTCATCAATTTGGAATGGTTCCATCGAGAAGGTCACTGGAGGTGGAACGGTTTGGCTTGTGGCAGGAGTGTGTTGAGAAGGATCATAGAGAGCTGGTTCAGGATAACCTTCCAATTGCTTTTCAGAAGCAACTTGAATGACATGAGCAGTTGCAGTAGTGTCACTCTTTTCATCGCTTTGTTGATTTGCATTTCTAAAATCAATCAAAAAGACTTTTCCACCTGTTGATAAATTGAAACGTTTCTCATTGAAAATTCTTCTTTGATTACTGACACCAGTGACAAGTGGCATATCCACAGACAAGTTAACTTTGTGTTCAGGTGAAAATTTTGGTTCCTTCACTTTCACATGAACCTTTCCAGATTCCAAATCATGTTCACATCGAAGCACACACAAACCATCCACTAAAATACGTAAAGGATAACGATCTGAACCCACCACTCCATACAACCAAAAGGTCAATTGTGTTTCCGAATCATCAACTTGATCAAACACTGATTCACGAATAATTTCACCTCGATTCTCAGAAGAGAGAGAATTGCTATTGGACACTTGAACTGGAACACGAATATTTGAAGTGGTCGTAGTAGAAGTAGTATTAGTAGTAGCAGTTGAAGTATTAGCAGTAGTAGACTTGTTTGGAGATGCTGATGAGGATTGCATCATGTTGGAAGATCTTCTTGGAGAATGAACCGGAGAAGTCGATGATGATGTACTTGTTCCCTGAGGTTTCACACCAAGAATGGATGAGGTGGAAGTATTGGATGTCTTTTTAGTGGTGGAAATGGATGGAGATCCAGTGGGTACTCCGGTTGTTCCAGTGGTTCCCTAAATTGGAGTCCAAGTTGAAATGGTGATGAAAGATCACAATCATGAAAGAAGATCATGTTGAAACAATTGTCAACAGATAGCATTCCGAGGATGAGTATAAACACAAAAGGATAGAATAGATAGTAGGAGCAGATCAATGGTAACCATCATGAGGATCATAATATGAGTTTGATGGTGTGATCATTTGAAAATTCCAAAAATGGTCATGAATTGTTGTTGGAGGTTAATTTGATATTATTAGAATTGGACAACAAGCTAATCATACTATTATCTGAACTTACCTGTTCATCCAAACATTGACGAACTTGATTTGATTTTCGGGTTGGATCAATAATAAAGTGAGTTCCCTTGTGAGTGAGATTGTATCTTTCCAATTCGTCGAGATGATTCATTGGTGACAAGATATTGATGTAGACATTATGTACAGAGGCAAATTTTGGAATTGGAATCTCATGCTCAATGGTTTTCTTTTCAATGTCTTCAGTGGAAGAGAAGATGACATTGGAATCTACCTTGATTTGGAATGGATGAGAAGCTGTTGCTTGGATGTTGTTGATGTGGAAGAAGCAGTGTGAGGAAGACATTTTTTTTTGAGGATTGAAGAACTTGCTGACAAGTGACGTGATGAGTGCTGTTTATTGATGTTACGGAACCAAAGTAATAAGGACTGGAAGATGCTGATCGATGGATGCTTTCAAAGGTAAATTTGGAAGTGAGGAAATCCTGGGTGTGATTGAAATGACAATTTGACAGCGTCACTACAAGTCACATTTGCTCAGTAATTGCTGGAAGAATGTCCATCAAAAGACTTGGTAAACCTTTTCAAATTCGACTTCATCTTCTTTGGTTTCATAATGCTGTTTGAGGTTTTCTTCTCCAACAGAGCATTGTGAAACCGAGACGAAATCGAACTCAAAATATCTCTCACGGTTGATTCATTGTCTTCAGTGGAAGGAGTTGAAAACATGAGACTGTTTTTTCGTTTGTTAGAAGGCGCTAGAAGGAGTGGAAAAGAAGAAGAGGCGGCATTGAATGATTGGGAAGCTGAGGTGGTGGAAGGACATTGAGGACTGAATGAGGAAGGTGGTGAGAGACGATCCTCTTGTGAAAAGGAGCATTCTCGAGAGGGTTTTCTGGAGAGACTCAATCCAAGTCGAGTGAAGAGAGAGGAAAGAGTCTTGTTGTGATCTTCATGAGTGGAGGATGTGGCTCCACCCAGTGATGGTTCCTCAAATTCAGAGCAGCCACCCAAATGGCCACAACAAGTCAAGGAGCTGGTGGAATTACTTGCTGAAGAAGAACAAGAAGAGGAAGTGAATGGAGAAGAGTCTTCATCTGAATCATCAATTTGAATGATTGGAGGTGAGGAAGAATGTGGGACTGAATGATGTTGGTGATGAGGATGAAATGAACAAGCACCCCCTGAGGAGGAGGAGGAAATGGTGCCTTTCAACGTTGAGCCCTCTTCATTTTGATCCCTAGCAAATGAAATATTGATCATTAATGGTCGACTCCGAGGCATGTGTTATAGATTGAATTGTTTCTTCAAGTTGCAGGATCAAAGTTGATTCAACAACAAAGGCAACCACAACAATAACTCGGAAAGATGATGATGAGAATTCACTCACTACCCGATCGTTGAGAGATACTCGGAATGATGAGGATCGTCTTTTGAGGATCAGGCCACTCGGGTGTTGTTTTTTTTTCAAAAAGTTTGAATTTCATTCGCTTCGGTTGGTCGAGGACTTATTTTTAAAATTTTTTCAAGTTTTGCTTTTACTGTAAAACGTCTTTCAACGACAGGAGGTTCTTTCGGTTTAAAGATACTAATGCCATCCCCACTGTAGCACGCACTACAGTAGAGGTGAAGTACTCGATAGAGGGATGATGTCATGATGATGGTTAACGGTTGGTTGGTGGCAGGTTTCAATAGAAAATGCTCAACTGTTGTGCTGGGATTCAGAATGACCATCCATGACCATACGGATTGATGGAGGAGGTCCACTCTCCTCTCTGACGAGTTGGTTCTTGCAAGGTTTTAATTGAGGTCACCAAAGTGTCTACCGTCAACATATTCTTGTCATTATGGTTGAATTTGTGGTTTTTCTGAGCATCTCGAAACCATTATTTGTCTGAGATTCCAGTTTGTTGAGGAACAAATTCTTGATTCGAATGTTTAAACAAAAAAATGAAGAAACAAAGATGAATATCGAACTTTAAGTCATTGTGATGATGATGAGAATGTGGAGATTATTGTTGAAGAAAGAGTTACAATAATTTTACATTTATTTTTGGAACAACGTATCATCATCATGCAATGGCAACTCGGATCTCAACTTGTATTTCAACAAATTGAAAGAAAAATTAATGATGAAAAATCGGAAGATTAAAAAGGTTTTTCAATGAATTTTGAGATCAATCCTTCAACATTGTGTGTTTCTGAAAATCATAAAGAGCCTTACTTTGCAAAACAAGTTGAAATCTCATACCATCATGGATATATATTAGTGAGCGCCTATGATTGGATTGGAGGACTCTTTGAAGAAGATTGGCAACATGATATTCTACAAGTATTTGATTTGTATACCCGAGAATTCAAACAGAGGATTCTTTTTGAATTGGCTACAAACGGATCAATTCATTTCAGAATTGAAGAGAATTTTGATGGAAAACACAACGATGCCATTGTCATTGCAGATTCATGTCCCACTAATATTTCCAAATATTCATTGAAAACTTTATTGAAATGTAAAAAACCCTCATGATTTACGAAATAGTAGTATTTGGCAATTTATAGATTCTGACTGTATGATTCTTCTGAATCCCAGGCCTTCAATTTATAAAAAGAAAGAACAACAGACTTGGCAGAAAATGATAGATTTAAGAACTAGTTCTAACATGGTGTACTTTGATCCAGTCTCGAGACTGATTCTCACCACCTCTCGATCATCACAAGAGATTTCAGTTTTCGACGAACATGGGCAATTATTGAAATCAATATCGGCAAGAAATATTACAACCAACAATCGGAATCCTTGTGGTATGTGTGTCAATCATTTGACAGGAGAGTTATTACTTTGTCTTGACAACATTGTTGTCTGTTTGACATGAGCAGCACATTTGACATGCATCATTGGTGACTACTTGGAATGTTTCAGTAGAGATGTTGGCTATACATTAAAATCATTGAAAATCATTAAAAACCATTGATGAGACTGTCAGCAATAACTTTGAAATGATTTCAATCAAAACCATTCAGAACGTTGCCCAAGAAATTATTTTGTAGTGGTTCTCATTCTTATAAGCTTCTTTAATTTTTTGAAGACATTCGATGAACGAAAAAAAAATGCTGAAACATTCCAACAAGCTTTGGTTTGGGCTCTCGAGAAATTTGCGACGAGTGATTGGAACCAACACCCAACATGGGCATCATGGACGAGTAGATCATCACACAAGTTGTTTTTTCAATTTTCAGAATATAAATACAGCATTCTATCACACTCAATTATTTGAGAGATCCATTACATCAAAGAAAAAGAATTTCGGAGAGAATGTAGATCCCGATTTGATATCGGATTATGTCTTGAGTATGTAAATTTAAATGGATGTGCAGTACAAACGTAACTTTATATCCATCATCATTATCATCATCATTGATTTCTGATATATTCAAAACGAATACGAATTTTATAACCTGTAAATAATAGAAATGACTGAACAAGAACAACAACTGTCTGAAAAAATGAAAAACGATGTCGTTTGGAATGCTTTCCTTGCAGAATCAGAAGGATATGAAGAATTGGTTTGGGTGGATGCTAAAAGACGTGGAAAGGAATTAACAGGAGATGACATTCAAGCCATCAAAGCTAAAATCAAGGAACGAAAAAAGGAAATGCTTGAAAAATACAAACGAATGAGAAAAATATATCATGACAAATCCATTCCAGAACAATCAAAGAAACAAGTCTATGAGGATCTTGCAAGAGCTTTCAAAGAGAATGCACATTTTGTAGATACACCTGAATTTCAATCCGTTCGAGCAGAGTTTGAAAAAAGAGCTGGTTTTAAAATTCCAGAAAAAATTCAAGATGAATATTCTCCAGATCAAATTGAAGAATTTATGAAGATGTTAGATGGAGAGGAAGGTAAACAATTGGAGGAATACATGAACAGAGTATTATCGGATGAAGTATTTGCAAAAATGGGAATTAATGCTCAAGACTATAACCCATTTTTAAATCCTGAAAAATCAATCTTGTTACACGATTCTAAAGATATCGAGATCAATCCACCTTCAGATGGCGCCACTTTAGCTCCAAATTCTCCCACAAAACCAAGACTTCCTCCAAAATATCTATCAAGAGAAGAATTTGAAACATTTAAGCACAGTATGATAAAAGACCTTCAGAAGCATTCTCCTGGTGCAGAACAATTCTTTGCCAATGAAACTGGTCAGTCATTAATGAAGGTTTTGGAAGATTTCTATGAAGAAGTGAAAGACCAAGATTTGAGTAGTTTGGCTGACTTTTTGGAACAAGCTAAAAAACGAAACTCAGGCAAGTAAACTCCGAGACAATAAATAAAGCTTGTTGGTTGGAAGAGTCGTGCGTTTTTCAATAGATAGCTCGTTGGATAAAGCAAGAGAACCATAACAAATAATTTATTAAGAATGACCAAGAAGCATGTTTGAATGGGTGGCAAAAAAAGGGAAACTCAAATTTTTCATCTAAGGTACAATTTTTGTGTAAGGGGAGGAAGAAAAGGGCAAAAATGGAGAATGATTCACGTGGTGTGAGTGTGTGTGTTAGTACATGCACAATTGACGATGCTCAACTTGTCTTGAATTTAAATTAATATAGTGAGTGTAATGAGACTTTTCAATAGAATCGGCATATTCAAATGTGTAAGTGATTGCCAAAAAGTTTCTATACTTCTCAACAATCTCATACACTGAGATTGATGGATCACTCAGTTGAAGTAAAAATGGCAAGACAATGTCGGAGAGAACCTTGTCGTCTTCTTCTCCCTTGAAGGATTTGATGAGAAGGCCATTCCTTGGTTGAAGAAAGTTGAGAACTCCATCGTCTACGAGAATTGTGTTTGAAAGGTCACGGCCAAGAATGCTGAGGTCCTTACCAGGGAAGGCCCCTTGGCCTTTGCAGTGGTGTCTATATAGTACATGGGAAAAGTATTTTCCTTCAGGGTCAATATGTTTTAAAATGGAATTGGCATAGACTGGTAATGCAGCAGTGAACATGACTAACTCAAACTTGGAATGAAGTTGTTCAAGAAAGTGATTGAGACCAGGACGAGTCTTAATATAGACATGCTGAGACACCATTTGTCCAAGATGTGGAAACTCAATGTCAATTGTGAAATCAAAGGAGTCAGGTTCTTGATGAAAACTCTTGATGAGAGTCTCATCCAAATCCAAAACAATGGTCTTTCTTCCTTGATGATGTTCTGCTTGAGGAGGAATTGCAATCTTGCTCTTCTTTTTCTTTAAAATTTTAGGAGTAGAGGAAATGGGTCTAACTACGACCTTTTCAACAATGACAGCATCGACGACCTTTTCAACAGAAGGAGTGGTGGTAGAAGTGAGAGTGGGGGCTGTGGTGGTGGGAGTCGTCATGTCAGGAGAGGAATCTTGATGAGAAAGGAGGAGGTCATCGTTGTTCTTGTCAAGATTATTGACAACAAGAAGAACATCTGCAGTATGACTGGAATCAACATCATCACCATTACTGCTCAGCTCAACACTATTGTTGCTCTCAGAATGATCCAATGCCAAATGTTCAAACATGTTGGACAAATCATCGCAAGAGGAACTGATATGCCGAAGCGGGGAAATTTTATGGTGAGAGGATGATGATGATGGTTGAGTAGTTGTGGATGTGGTCGTTGTTGCAGAAGGAGAATTCACGACGACACTTTCTGATTCGAACACTCCATGATATTCAGCCAATTCGCTCAAGGAAGCAAAAGAAGTGGTAGAGGGTGAACCGGACGATGATGAAGAGGAAGGGGAATGAACAAGTTTGTTGTGGGACTTGTAGAACTTTGCTCCAACAGTAGCAACTCTTTTCATATGATGTATTATTATTGATGATGGTAGTAGTGATTACAAGTAGTATATCAGTACAATAGAGAGAGAGTGGTGTGATGGTATATATTCTAAAATCTAATCGTGAATCTCCAGAAAGAGAATGATGAATACAAATCACAATACGAAAGGTTTGATGGTAAAAGTCCTTTGGAAGTGCGACACAAATTATTATTAACCTAACACAAGAGCAACCAATAAATATTCCTGCAGGAAAAGAAGGCTTAAAAAAAGGAGTTTTTTGGCGGTTGGTGAGAGTCTTGATTTTTTTGAAAGGATGATTCTTCGTGGTGAAGGAATTGTTGTATTTATGCGCGTAGGCAAACCCAAACAAAGCGTGAGGAAAGAGTCTCATTTGTCCACTCGGGAAAGATTCGGACCGCTTGTTGTTGTAAACTCGAGTCAAATATTATACTCGACCATGGAAGATAAGAGAAGAAGGTGTCCAAGATAATGAAAGGACTCCTTCTCGGATGCATTGCTCATAATTGAGAGGGCGGAGATGAGAGGTATGTCAAATTGCCAATCATCGTATTGAATGATTCTCCAGTTGGAATGAACATTTATGGAAATTATATGACTCAGGATAAATCAGAATGCAAGGTTTTGAATGAAGATATCAATTATGAATAAATTGCAGTGTATTATGTACATTATAATTAAATTTCCAAATATATTCATAAAAATTGAACGTGGTGAGTACATGCATGATTTGGGTATTCTATTAGGGGGTCCTTAATAATTGAATTTTGCAATATTTAGTCTTCCATTGTGTGAATATTGAATGCTATTACTTATGTATACAGATGAGGTTAAAACGAAGGGATCATTCAGTTATACCTTGTTTGTGTAATAGGAACATGGCTTTGAGTTTCCCCACCAGGCATCTCCATCTCGGCATGTCCCATCTATTTTGAATAATCCAGGATATACACATACAACAAGTAGCACATTCCAAATGATTCATGCATCACATATTAAGGAGATTGTGTTGGTCAAATGAAAAAATTTGCCTTAATCACTTACCTGCATGATTAGCTGATACAGCATAATATGAATCTGAATACACTTGTGAGAGTGGCTTGTCAGGAAATACTTGGCATGAGGACAAGGGTACCATTCCATCATTCACTTCTCCATATCCCACCACTTCACTTAACAAAAATAGTGGCACAGAATAAATTGAATTTAAACCATAGGCAGATGTACCACACATTTGACCGGTCACATAGGGAGATACATATTTGACTAATTCTTGAATTCCAGGAAAGTCTGGTGACAATGTGCCATATGCCGGGAATACGTCGGTACTATTTCCACCAATGCAGTAACCGCCTTCATCAGCCACAATTTTATAAATGCTTGGATCTGTCCATGTATTTGCTCTCACTTTTGAATAACGTTTGTCATAAGGATGGAAAAATTCTTCTTTTGAAATACTTACCACATATTTCTTTAAGGAATAGAGAGGCTTTAGAGCCATGTAAAGGACCCATGACATCGTACCAAGAAACGCTCGATGGATCTATTTTACAAAAACCATTTTGAATGCCTCCAGCCAGGATAAGTGTTCCCATAGAGTGTGAGAAAATGATTTTGTTTTGAATCACGTTTCCAGTATTGTTAATCAATGAAAGATTGCAGTATGATTTTTGCAAATCCGTATTGTTCCATCCTCTATATTTGGTCTCTTCTCGAATAAACCATCTCTCTGTGCACTGTGGCGTATATGAATTGACCTTTCCCCAATAATCAGGGAAGCTGTTGACTGGAGGTCCTGCTTGTGAAGGCCACTGACCTGCATTGTAGTGTTCAATAATAAAAATTCGAGTTCAGAAATTCAAAGTAAGGTTAACATTCAAATTTGTGATTACTCTGACAACATTATACTTACCCACACCATGCAAGAAAATGCATGTTCTGTTTGTCACGCTTTGCTTAGGATCTTCTTCTTTCAAAGAAGAACATGAATGATCATCTCGTAGCCAAGCAAGAGAGCACGAGTATTTATGATCGAAAATGTACGCCTTTTCTGGTGTGTTATAAATTGGGTTTGACAGCAGAATTTTCTCTTGTTCTGTCTTGGTAAAATTTAAGGTTCCACGAGGGAAGTATTGCTCATCTTCTGGGTTGAGCCCTGTTAAAAGTGGTTGTTCCCCACTCACTGGGATAAATCTGGTAATATTTACAATGAAATTGTTGTTAATGATATGAGAGACAATAAATGGTTTTCGTTGCTTGTCTACACATAGAACATAGTGCTGATGCTCAAAAAATACGATCAATCTGTGGAACTTTCTGGATGAGCAAAGAGTGTTCACAGCAATGTCATATACTGAACTGTCGTCAGGAATCAAATAGCTACTATTCTCAATAATGTCAATTAATTTGTGAAACTCGAAAGGTGAGGTAGAAGCCAATTTAGATGAGGAAGGAAGGAGAGAGCCATTTTCATGAGTGACTTCTCTGAATGCAAACTTGCTAGAGTCAAAGAAATATCTCTTAAGAATTTGTTTGTGTTGCTGGCTAGTGTCACTTCTCGCACTGACAATTTCTCTAAGGACAGTATTCGAGGTAAGCTTGATATGAGAGAGTCCTATTTCCTTCTTTCTTATTGCAGCTGTGCCTTCAAATCTGAGATGGACATCATCTCTATTGGTCACTTTAAAATTAATAACAAACGAGTCTGGAAATACCATTGGAAATGGCTTTAAGCCTTTCTTCAGCAAAGTGTCATCTTTGGAGAAATTTCTTCGGGATGGTTTATCTGCAATGCATATTACCGCATTCCACCACAATGATAATAATATTAATGTACAAAATAACACCAAATGGCGGTGAACACTATTAGAGTGCATCGTGTTGTTGCTATTGTTGAAGGTTGGACAGTTATTTTCAGCTCGGTACAAATTATTAATAAATCCTTTCATTTGAGTGTTGTTGTATCAAGGAATCATTCCGAGTGCACTTGAAAACTATTATATACACAATCGTTTTTAATTGAATAAAGTTCAGCAAGATTTGTGCAAAAATGTCGGTTTTCCAAGAGTAGGAATCGGAACTTTTAAACTTTGCAAAGTATGTACAACGCGTTTGCTGATGCAACAAATCCGTATTGTTGTGTTGTGGCTGTTGATGAGTGTAGTGTTTGTTGTATTCAATTCGCCTAGGTTTAAAAAAGGACAATAAAACGCTCTTCTTGTTCGCTCACAGGCGTCTTCTTTGATAATTTAAAACTGTTTTTTTGTGGTTGCTTTGCCTCTATTTCGGCTCTCATGATGATGAACGTTCATCATCGTTGTGGTGGTGGTTGTTGTTGTTGATGATTCACTTGCCTTTCATGACATTAAATGCGCCTCCAACAACAATCCGGTATGGATTTTAGAAGCTAAATTTATTCATGAAGGATCACAGCATGAGCTTGGAGTCAAAATACAAATCACTCAAGATGAATTTATTTACAAGTATGTGATATCTTTCATGTTTATAGTACAAGATTGTACATAGAGACCAATTTCAATGCTCAGTTGAACGAATTGCTTCTCACTCTCCTCAATAATGACTATTATTTGGCAAAAGGATAGTTTGGATCTCCAATTTTTGGTTTGTTTGTGCTTTCAATGGTCGATTCAAAGTCCTTCCTATTGCTGCTTGGAGAAGACTCAACTTTTTGTTCTCCTCGTTGCTCGGCACTGGTGGAATGTTCTCGAATATCCTCGTCTTTCAGTGTGGTATATTGTTCTTGTTGTTGATGTTGTTTCAACGACTTTTAAGATGTCACCATTAGGTTTTCCAATCAAGACTACTCACTTTGTATTCGTCTGGAATCCAACTCATGATGATGATTAGTGTGTGTGGTTTGTTTCTTTCTTTTGTGAATTGTTATCTATCGATCGACGACAATATATATAATAATGATGATGAACTAAAAAGTTGATTTTGTGATCAATTGTCCTCTTCAAGGCAATTGCCATTCCACAAGTATTTCCTAATTAATACCTCATACATTTCTCAACAATTATTCATAGAGACACCAATGAAAGTTACATTACCTTAATCACACATGAACAACACTTGTAAAACTCTGTCTTTCAACACTTTGAGTACCGAGTTCCTCGCATTCACACGTCAAGTTACAAAGACGCCAAACACTACAAATTTGTAAACATATCTAAAGAAATACAAAAGAACGGGCGCTTCACCTTCCTTACTGGATCAACCTATTTTAACTGTCTTGTCGGGCTAAAGAGTAGAAGCAAGAAGCAAAAACATTGCCTCTATTCCTCTAACGCGTCATAAGCCTTCCATTCCACTCCTCCGAGAGAAAAAAGCTGAATCATCAACTCTGCACCTCTTTCTTCCATTAAACTCAACCTCTCTCTATTCATACATTCATATCCATACACACAATGCCAAGCAAGAAGATTACCGTGAAATCATCCAATCTCAAGGAAACTGCTGAATATATCCAAAGCAAGTACATTTATCGCTATAACAAGACCGACTCTCGCACACAAGAAGATGGATCTACAGAGATTGTTGTTGAACCCAAGACAGTGAATCTTGAATTTAAGACTCAAAAGAAGATTGGTCGAGTGGGTGTCATGTTGGTGGGTTGGGGTGGTAACAATGGTTCCACACTCACTGCAGGTATCTTGGCCAATAAGAAGTAAGTAGTTCATTCAAAACGTTTTTTGAATATTTTAATGCTTATTCTTCTTTGTCTAATAGGAAATTGCAATGGGAAACCAAGGAAGGAATTCACACTGCCAATTGGTTCGGAAGTATTACACAATCAAGTACCATTCATCTCGGAGGACAACAATATTGTGCCCTCAAGGATGTTGTTCCAATGTTGAATCCTGATGAGCTCTTTGTTGGTATGTATCCTTCGCGGCTTGGTTTTCATTTATTGACCAATTCACTTGTTTGGCATTTTTGAATGACCTTTTTCACAATGTTCGACAATGATGTTCTTGCTCCTTTCTTGAATACACACAGATGGTTGGGACATTTCCAATTTGAATATTTATGATTCTTGCCGAAGAGCCAAGGTTTTGGATATTGAAGTGCAAAAGGCTCTCGAAGAAGAATTGAAGCAATACAAACCACGTGCAGCAATTTATGATCCTGATTTTATTGCTGCTAACCAAAATGACAGAGCAAACAATTTCATTGCTGCCACACATAAATTCGAACAAATGGAACAAATTAGAAGCGACATTAGAGACTTCAAACAAAAGAATCAATTGGACAAGGTAATTGTATTGTGGACTGCAAACACTGAACGTTTCTGTAAAGTTTCAGAAAATTTGAACTCCACTGCTCAAGAACTCATGGAGAGCATCAAGAACAATGAGAGCGAAGTATCACCAAGTACTTTGTACTGTGTTGCTTCAATTTTGGAAGGTTGTTCTTACCTCAATGGTTCTCCACAAAACACCTTTGTTCCTGGTGTGATTGAATTGGCTCAACAACATGGCGTCTTTATTGGAGGTGACGATTTTAAGAGTGGACAAACAAAGATCAAGTCAGTCTTGGCTGACTTCCTTGTTGGTGCTGGTTTAAAACTTGCATCCATTGCCAGTTACAATCACTTGGGTAACAATGACGGAAAGAATTTGAGTTCACCACTCCAATTCAGATCAAAGGAGGTTTCAAAGCAAAGTGTTGTTGATGACATGGTTTTGAGCAATGACATCCTCTATCCCAACAAGCAATCAGATGCTCCAGATCACTGCATTGTTATCAAGTATATTCCATACGTGGGTGACAGCAAGCGTGCTCTCGATGAATATATTAGCGAAATTTTCATGAATGGTAAAAATACCATTGTTATTCACAACACCTGCGAAGATTCCCTTTTGGCCACTCCACTCATGCTCGATTTGGTTGTTTTAACAGAACTCATGGAAAGAGTTACATTCAAGCAAATTGACTCTGTTGAACAAGATTTCTCAAACGTTGATTGCAAGGATTTCCGAAAAATGGATTCAGTGATGAGCATTTTGAGCTATTTATTCAAAGCTCCACTCGTGAACACCAATGCTCCAGTGATTAACGCCTTGTTCAAGCAAAGAGCTGCCATTGACAATATTTTACGTGCATTAATTGCAATTCCTCCAGAAAACGATATGCTTTTGGAATATAAGCTTCCACTTTCCAACTAACAAGAATTTATTTATTGTAAATAAATTATTTACATTTTTAATTCAAAGCTGTGACGTTCTTTAAGTGCAATAACAAATAATTTAATAAGTTAAAAAAATTATGCAACAACTCTGAATGGACTACTTGTTCCTTGGTAAGGCAAAACCCTTTGCTCCAAATCCTTGTAATAACCAAAGTGTTGAATACGATAAGTTCCTGGTGGCACAGCAAACGTTTCACCAATATTCCAAATACAGGTAATGATGGATTCGCTGAGCCATTCGCGTCTCCAATGGAATTTTGTGTCCCAATCTCCATCAACAAGAATTGCGACCCATTGATTTCTCTCATTCAATCGCTCGACCGTCAAGAAAGTCTTTTGTGTCATTAAATTGTTCTTTGGATGACCACCATAAAATTCGACCTGAACGGTATCTCCATTTCGATAGGTTTTGGTTGTGTCAATATCACGATACACATCTCCAAATTGTTTACCCAAAGGCACCGTATCCAAAATAACGCCAGGAATAAAACTCCATTGAACTGAGCTTAAATTCAGAGGTTTAGGACCTGGTGGAATTGGTTGATTTAAAGCCAATGCTGTTGCCAACTTGTCATATTCTTGTTGATAGGCAGCAAGAGTATGCTATTTTAACATGAATAAATGATTGTGAATTGATTCCAGACAACCATCATGGTAAAGAATAAGGATTGAGTGAAATGTTCATGATGAGTAAATGTTGAAAATTTCAACTTACTGGTCCATAGAGAGTACTGGCAGCTTCATATCTTTGTGCTTGATACTCTTCATAGGTCGCAATATATTGAGTGTAACTGTTTGAGAGACCTGCAATCACACAACGAGTAGTGGCAGGTGGAAATCTTGTTGGATTCAATGTCGTGAGAGTATTACAAATCGTATTTCTCAGTCTTCTCCCTGACATGGTTGTAAATTCTCCTGGAACTGGAATGATCACGAGTTGTCCAACAGTCATGATTTGAATTGGATTAATTTCAACTGCCCATGGATAAGGGAATTGAGCATAACCAACATCTAAAAGAATTGGTTTTGGTGCTTGACAAGCAATTTGTTCTGGAGTTGGTTTGGCAATAAAACCTGAAATAAAGTTCCAAAATGGATTTCCCTATTATTATTGTAGGCATGGCCACGATTGTTTTTTGAAAACATTTAAAGATTACATGTGGTAGTTATTTCATCATCATGATTTTCACATATAAAAATTATAAACAACATATCATCCATAACAACATGGATTGCATCAAGCAAATGTCACATTACAATTTGAACACTCTTTCTCTACTCACCTTGGTCGAATTGTCTCCTTGTTTGAATGAAAAATCACCTGGACCATCGGTAGTTCCTGCAGCAAAACTGTAGCCCATTGCTCCTTTACAGGTTTTTCCAACTTGACCAGTGTTTGTGTATTTTGGAGAAACAACAATGTCAGACATGTTCAAGTGTGTATGTCTGAAATCAATAGGTCCTTTCAATACAATGGAATTGGTTTTATCATTGTACAGTGCAAGAGCTTTCTTGAATTGATAAGTTCCAATAATTTTTGTAGAGTCTGTGGACGGCATAATAGTTCAAGGAATGATGAGTGACAATATGTGGTTCAGAGGAATGAAATTGGAAAGAGAACAAACAACACTTACCAAAATCAGTTTTACCTGGTCCCTTAGCAGTACATTTCTATATTTTCGATGAATTGAATATATTTGAAAATAAAACATGAATGATGTTCATTATATAAAAAGTGAGGAGAATCATTCCATCATCATTATTGAACCACCAGTTCACATTTTCCATATCATAACAAAATCATATTCCACATATTCCATGTCATGGAACAAAATCATATTTCACATATTCCAAATCATAAAAATATCATGGAACAATATCATATTTCACATATTCTATCTGCTACATTATAATAAAAACATACCTGAGTGGTTCCTTCACAGGTGGAATCAGGAGCACATGGAGTGATACCATCTGGACATGTAGGACCACGAGTATTTGGACTGACATCTCCTTCATTGGATTGAGCAAACATGGCAATGAATGGTCCAACACCTGGGAAGCTCTCATTTCCATTCTTTAACTTTTCAAACATGTAAGAGGCATAACCCTTATTGTCACCACTAATGAACATGTTGGTATTGTTCATACTTGTACAGTGGACAGCAAACCAAGCCAATGCTCCAAGTTCTTTTCCATTGTCATCTTCCAATCTAAGAACTACCATGGTCTTGTCGGTGTCACCATCAATTTCATAAAGTTTTCGTTCTTCAGGTGGGTTCAAAATATAACTGGTTGGAGATCTGTTAATATTACTAAAGAATAAACGATCAGAATTCATGTAAATTCTTCCACCTTGAGAAAGATTTTCATGAGCACGAACAATGGCTTGATAAATTCCTTCAACTATGGCTTGATAGTTTTGATTATCAAAGCCAAAAGTTGTCATGTCGTACACGGCATAGAAACTGTTGTTAAAAGTGATGATAATATTCAGAAAAGTGACCATAAAGATTTCATATCTCAATTCTCATTCAAAATAATGATACAAACCTGTAACCACCTAATGATGATCATCATGGTCGAGATCAATATAATGATCATTCTCTCTCTCAACAACAACAACAACTAATAAATCACATACCTGGTCCAGAGTGCGTATGGATAGCACTAATAGCAACATTATCCAAGGTGTACAAATCTCCATACTTTTCTTGCAATTTTGGAACCACTCCCAATCGAACACTTTGAGTTCCAAAACAAAGGTCAGCACTCACAAAAGCAATTCTACTTTTTGGATTTGTTCTTTCAGCAATCACAAAAGCTCGAGCTCTCAAACGAAAGTGGATTCCTTTGGTTCTTTGATCAACCATGGCATAGCCCTAAAGGATGATTTTCAAATAAATTGGTGGTGTCCATAAAAGATGATGATATCATCATCCATTTGATCATCATGTTGAATCAAAATTCCAATTTTCATCAAAGTATCAACCTTTCATTGTTTTCATCAACCTACCATCATACCCACTTCCGCAGCAGGTCCTGTAATATCATAAATACCTGCTCCGATCATGTAGTTATTTTCATCTATTGGAATATTAGCAGCATGAGCCCATGATGAGAACAAGGAGCCTCCTCTTCCTCCTCCTGATGGCATGAGACCGCAGATCACCATCATTGTTACCATCAGAAAGAGGAACATGATGTTCCGGTCGGTGGCTTGTTTTGATTTCATTTTTTATGGTCTTTGAAGGCTCCAACACAACAATCATGGTTGTGACACTTTGCGGAAGTGAGCTGCAGATGCAGGCGCACCGGACACTATCGAATGTTGGCTGAATGAAATGGAGTTTACAAGAACCTTCTTTTGTTGTGAGAGAAAAAATCTCACACATACTTCCTAATGAGTGGTGGAGTTTATGGATGGATAATAGACATTGTGAATGTTCATCTGATTATGGGTCTCCATTTCAAACTAAAGCAACGATCGTTGCCTTCGAAAAGTCGATTTGGTGTCACAAGGGCCAATATGTCTCTCAACATTGAACATCTGACAAACGTGGTCATAAACTTTCAAGTTGAAGGCTCAAAGGAAGAGTAACACATGTTAATAAGTTAATAAACTCATGTAAAGTCAAAGGTAATTGATTTGATTGAATTTTTGGGCTCTGATTTACTTGAACAGATCAACAGAGAGTGAACACGCTGTCACTCAATACTTCCTCAATTCCATTCAATGGTCATGCATCATCTTCCCTTGAGGTCACTCTTCTATTTTTGACAAGAGAATAAATTATGAAATGAATGACTTGATTGTAAAGGTCATTTAGAAATAAGGTTGTTCTCTCATTCGACTCTCCACAGATTCCTTCTTTTTAAATTTGCTTTTTTTAGAATCAAATGGATAAAAACAAAAATCTAAAATGATATAGAATAGAATGCACAGGCATAATAATCCTGAAAGGGTGAGTTGGATGGTTTGCACTGAAAATCGTTCTCCAAAAACGATTCCAACACAAATGGCCATACTTTGTATCAAACGAAAGGAAGCAAATGCCTCAATGGTTTTCTCATGTTTGAAATAGCTTGCTGTTCCTCCAACTACTGAATAAATTACGACGTTGAGACCAGAATCTGCACATCCACACACAAGTAGAGGGATAAAATAATTGTAATAACTTGGTGGCCAATATACTGTGGCAAAGGAGGCAGCAATGGCAAGGACATGTAAGCACAGCGTTAAAATCATGATTGGCCTTTTTCCAATCTTGTCACACAATCTTCCAAATATTAAAGATCCAACCATCTCTGTAATTCCGAAACAAGCAATCGCCCAAGGGACCAGAAATGTGTGAGAATGTTTTTGCATCACTTTGGGTAGAGACCTATAAAAGAAGGCAATCGAATATCCAGAGTAGCAAAATATAAAGCCAAATAATACTATTTTCACAGAAAACAATACTAAAAAACTACTCTTAATGTTTTCGCAAATATCCCTAACAATGGAAATAATCTTGTCTCTTCTAGAAGGAGGTTTTGGAAGTTCATATTCAATGGTACAAACACTCTCATTTTCATCAAACATGGATGGGAGATTAGAACTATCTTCGTCATCTGTATCGTTATTAATGGTGGCACTGTCGTTTGTTATACTTTGAGAAGAATTTGATTTCATGATGACACTTTTGGGATAGCTGGTTCTTCCAGTTTCTAAATTTCTAAACGAACTGTCATTATTTCGTAAATTGCTTGAGTTTTTGACCTTTCTAGGTTGTTGTTTCCATTGCACATTACTAATTGTTTCGTGAAATGAAATATTCCTTAGAGGAAGCAAAAGTAAAGAGCCGATAAGTGACACAATAAATAGTATTAAAAATAACCAAAAGTAATCGATGTCAGAGTTGACAAGAGAGGTCGAGATTAAGTTTCCAAACACCGAATTGAGAGCATAAATACCAAAGAATACTCCACTGAATAGTCCCATCACACCATCTGCATGATGTGAAGAAAATCTTATTGGCTTGTCTCCCATGCTCATATAGATTGAATTCACATAATCGAGTTCCATCTTATTTCGTTCTTTGGTGGCAATTCTTTGATAATAATTTGCAGATCGAGTCAGTATTTCACCGTGACTGATCCACAATAAACTTGCTCCTAAACCAGAAATGCATGAACATGTATAAGTAATGGGAGCCAAATCAAAACACAAACTAAGCACAAATAATGAATATAATAAAGCTCCAACAATAATGCTTGATCTTAATCCAATCAATTTCAGTATACTCGGCGTGATTAATGAGGAACCACTTAGAGAAGCATAGAGAACGACCGAAGCCGTTGTAATTCGTTTTCTAATTTCCGAGAAATAAAATAATATGATATTAAATGCAGAAAATAAAATCAAAAAGGAAAATCCTAATATCACAACATTTACAAATCCCTTGTTGAAATACTTGATTTTAGATGGAAGTGATGCTTTAAATTTTCGTCCTTTCAACAGTGGAGATTTGAGAGCACCTTCTTTTTGTTGGTGCCGCAGAGAATTTTCATCTTCCAAAAAATCTGTTTCACTATTTACATGATGATTGATATGAATATTAGAAGTATGAATGGATGGTTCATTCGGGGATGAAAATGGTTTTTTATATCGTTTTGAACGATGATCCCTATATTCATCCGTGAGTATTTGATTCATGGAGTCTTCTTCCATATCGTCCTCTACACTGGAGGTTTGATAGTAGTGACCTGGGGACGAATCTTCCTCATCATAATGCCGATGATGGTCTTTAAAAAAACCATGAGGGTTCATTTGAATTTTGAAGTGAGAACACGAACGATGAATTATGTGGTTGATTTTAAGAAGAAGATTAAAATTGGTAATTCCTATTGGTCCATGCCATCGACGAAATTTTTCAGAAAGTGTATCTAATTTGGTGGTGCTTTCAATTTTTTGAGGTCCAACAACAGTGAAGATCGTCAAGAAACACCAAAATGGGCTTTCAAATGTTGTCGAGTATGGACAGACCTTTGAGAAGTGACAAAAAATTGTGTTGTTTTGAGAACATAAATTCCAACACTTTTCCACCCTTTAAAAGAAATTTTGTTTGAAAACGAGTGAAATTTCTCAACAACAAAAAATGGATGCACATCATGCCATGACGGAAACTCATCGCCATCTTTTGCAATTTTTGATGGCTCACCGATTTCAATCGGAAGATGATTTACGAGACAAACTAGAGAATTATAAATTGGAACATCAATACGGATTATTAGTGGAAAATATGCGTTCGCAAAATACCAATGTACATTATGATAAAACTTTGGAAGAATTCATCGGAACCATTAATAGGGCTCTTTCACTTCTACATTTTAAAATTGTCAAGACAAAACATCCCAAGACTCGAAAAATACTTTATACAATCATTAATGAATTAGATGACGAAATTTCAAAATTATCAACAAGATTTTCTCCCGACGAATTGACCTTCTTTAAAACACTCATAGAGGCCCTTGCAGATGAACAAGATATTTCCAAACTAACAGCTAATAGCAATAGACCAAAAACTTTGAGTATGGAAGCAGCTGATATTGCATTGGATGCATTCATTGAAGAAGGTTGGCTTGAAGAAATCAACGGAAAGCTAGCACTAGGTATTCGATCCATCACTGATTTAGAGACTGTAATTTCCGAACTTACAGCAATGGCAGATGAAGAACCGGCAACAGAAGAGGTTCAAGAAGAAGATGAATAATATATTCGCGGATCTGTGAATTGTTATTGAGAATGTTCCACCATGCATTGGAATGGCGCCAAAATTTCCACACACCAATTAAAAAATTCTCAAAATGAAACAAACCTTTTTGGCGTAGGTACATTGCAATTAATTGTTTGAGCTTGTGATGAGATTGATCCTTTTGCTTTTGTTAACAGAGCGTTCATGGGAGGAAAGAAATCAACCTCCACGACATCGTCAAAGAAAGAACAAGGAGAAAAGAGAAAGAGAAAAGAAGAAGAAGAAACAACACCATCATCAATAAAATCGGAAGAAGTTGCAACGATTTCAACCATCCAGAAGACTTCTGAAAGCTCCATGACACCAAAGAACAACAGTGGTGATACTCTCACTGAAATACCAAGTAAATCATCATCATCAACGATAATTCAAGAAGTAAAAAAACGAAAACTCGTGGTGGAGGATGAAACCGATCATCATGAAGAAGAAGAACAAATTGTGGCGGAAGAAAATGATCAAGACGTGGCAAATTATTCCTCCGATGAAGAAGAGGAGAATGAAGAGGAAGATGAAATTGAAGAAACAGGCGAGGAAACGGATGCTTCCACCACATCTTCATCATTCAAAGCCTCAACTTCAAAGAAAATTTCTAAAGCCCCAAGTTTTGAATATCAGTCATATGACCCGATTGCGAACGCAACTTGGAAAACAGGAACAAGGTAGAGTATTTTATGACTATTTCAGAATTGTGAGAGGCATAATGCATGTCACACTTTCTAGTACTCCTTATTTATTTCTTGCAAAAACTTTGGATCAAATTTCTAAAATTGGTTCCTCTATTAAGAAGACAGAATTATTATGTAATTGTTTTAGAAGTATAATTGCAGTTTCACCAAATGACCTACTTTATGCTGTTTATCTTTCAATTAACAAATTAGCCCCTGCTCATTTAGGTATTGAACTGGGCGTTGGAGAAAGTTTGATTCAGAAGGCGTTGGCTGAAGCAACTGGAAAATCACTTAAGAAAATTAAAGAATTGAGTGCAAAGGAAGGAGATTTAGGATTGGTAGCAAACGCTGCAAGAAGTACTCAGAAAACAATGTTCAAGCCAAAATCATTGACTATTAAGAGCGTTTTTGATGCATTCAAGTTCATTGCAACAACAGAAGGTAAAAAGGTATGTTGAGAGCTCTCATTAATGAGAAAATGTAATCATTAACTCAAATAGAGTATGAACACCAAAGTGGAAAAAATCAAACTTTTACTAGTTTCAGCTGTCGATGTTGAACCCATGTTTATCATTAGGTCACTTCAAGGAAAATTGAGAATTGGTTTGGGAGAGGAAACTGTGTTGATTGCTCTTTCTCATGCTGTTCTTTTAAGCAAAAAATCGAAAAAATCTGTGGATGAGAACGACTTGAAGTTTGCAAAAGAAACTCTAAAATCTGTATATAGTGAAATACCAAGCTATGACGACATTATTCCTGCCGTTTTAGAACATGGCTTTGAAAAATTACCAGAGATTTGTCATCTCAAGCCAGGATTTCCAGTTCGACCCATGTTGGCAAAGAGCGCAAAAGGAGTTCAAGAACTCTTTGAGAGGTTTGGAGACAAAGAGTTCACATGTGAATTTAAATATGACGGAGAGAGAGCACAAATACACATGCTGCCAGACAAAACTATCAAGATTTATAGTAGAAATATGGAAAATCATACTGCCAAATATCCTGACTTAATCCAATTGATGCCTCAGGTCATCAAAGAAAATGTCACTAGCTTTATCATTGATTGTGAGGTAGTTGCCTATGATCCTGTTGAAAAGAAGATCAAACCTTTCCAAGTTCTAAGCACAAGAGGCAGAAAGAATATTCAGCTGAATGATATCAAAGTACAAGTATGCTTGTTTGCCTTCGATTTATTGTACCTTAATGGAGAATCCTATTTGAAAAAGACACTCAAAGAACGAAGAAAAGCTCTGCATGAAAATTTCACAGTAACAGATGACAAGTTTCAATTTGCCTCAAGTAGAGACACCACAGATCCTAATGACATTCAAATATTCTTGGATGAATCAATTAAGGGAAATTGTGAAGGCTTGATGGTGAAAACACTCACAGAAGATGCCACCTATGAACCATCGAAAAGATCCTTCAACTGGCTCAAACTCAAGAAGGATTACATTGAAGGTCTTGGTGATTCAGTTGATTTAGTTGTGATTGGTGGTTATAAGGGCAAAGGAAAAAGAACTGGTGTTTATGGTGGATTTTTGTTGGCTTGCTATGACCCTGAATCTGATCAATATCAATCTATTTGTAAGATTGGAACTGGATTTTCTGATGAAATGCTTAAACAATGCACTGAAACTATGGATCGTTATATTATTCCAAATCCAAGACCATACTACGCTTGGAAGGAAAGTCAACGTCCTGATGTCTGGTTTGATGCAAAAGTGGTTTGGGAAATTAAGGCTGCTGACTTGACCATTTCTCCTGCCCATATGGCTGCTGTTGGTCTTGTTGATGAATCAAAAGGAATTGCTTTAAGATTTCCTCGTTTTATTCGTGTCAGAGAGGACAAAACACCCGAACAGGCAACGACAGGGGAGCAAATTGCTGAGCTTTTTAACTCACAAGCAGTCATTTCCCAAAACAAAAAACAGCAAGCAACTCTGAAACATTTGTAGACTTAGCTTTTCAATAAATCTCTCAAAATTAAAGCATTTTCATTTCATAAATTGAATAAGCCAGTAAGATTAATTGTCAGAGAAATTTCTTGAATATTCGAATTTAATGAAAACAGCAAAGGATTGAAATAAATAGGGTTTTTATTGTTATGAATTAAAAATACCTGGTATTATTAACAGTGTGTAATTCACATAGTTATTGTTTTTGTTTTGCCAATTCATTCTTGATATAATTCAAAGCAGATCCAGCCTTGAACCATTCAATTTGCAAGTCACTGAATGTGTGGTTGAGTTCAACGTCAAATGTCTTGCCATCTTGTTTCTTGACAGTCATTCGGACTGGTTTACCTACTTGAAATTGGGCTCCACTGATGTGCAATGTCAATTTATCGCTTGGATCAATCTTGTCATAATCCTTTGGATCCTTGAAAGTTAATGGCAACATTCCTTGCTTCTTGAGGTTGGTTTCGTGAATACGAGCAAATGAACGAGTAATGATGGCAACACCACCAAGGAAACGAGGTTCCAAAGCAGCATGTTCTCTAGAACTTCCTTCACCATAGTTTTCATCACCAATGACAACCCATTTAACATTGTTTGCCTTATAGTGACGAGCAACATCTGGAACTCCTTGATATTCGCCAGTCAATTGATTCTTGACACTGTTGGCCTTTCCGTTTTCAGAATTGATAGCACCAATCAAAAGGTTGTTGGAAATATTGTCCAAGTGGCCTCTATACTTCAACCACGATCCAGCCATACTGATGTGATCAGTTGTACATTTACCTAGAACCTTAATAAGAATTGAACAATCGGTGTAATCTTTACCGTCCCATGGAGAGAATGGAGCCAACAATTGGAGTCTGTCACTTGTTGGAGAAACTTCAACCTTGATGTTTGATCCATCTGCAGGAGGAGCTTGGAAAGTGTTTTGGCCAGCATCAAAACCTTTTGATGGTAACTCTTCACCTCGAGGAGGAGAAAGTTTGAACTCCTTGCCGTCAGAACCAACCAAAGAGTCCTTCATTGGATTAAACTTCAAAGTACCAGCAATGGTGAGAGCGGTAACAATTTCAGGTGATGCGACAAAAGCATGTGTAGCAGAGTTACCATCGTTACGAGCAGTAAAGTTTCTGTTATAGGATGTAATAATGGAGTTTGCTTCGCCCTTCTTGACGTCCTTTCTTTCCCATTGACCAATACAAGGACCACAGGCATTAGCCAACACTTGACCTCCAGCAGATTCCAAATTCTTCAAAATTCCATCACGTTCAATAGTAGCTCTCACTTGTTCAGAACCTGGTGTAATCAAGAAGAATGACCTTGCCTTCACTCCATGCTCAGCAGCTTGCTTACAGACATCTGCTGCACGAGTCATGTCCTCATAGGATGAGTTTGTGCATGAACCAATCAAACCCACGCTCAACTTTTCTGGCCAACCTTCTTTTTGAACTCGTTCAGCAAACTTTGACAAAGGTGTTCCAAGGTCAGGTGTGAATGGTCCGTTAATGTGTGGCTCCAATGTATCCAAGTTAATTTCAATAATTTGGTCATATTCAGCATTCTTATCAGAAGTGAAAATATCCTTGTGGTCATTAACAAGTTCAGCCATTTCAGTTCTCTTTGTGGAAATCAAGTATCTCTCCATAGCTTTGGTATATGGGAAAACACTTGTGGTAGCTCCAATTTCAGCACCCTGAACATAAATTTAGTAAAATTAATGCCCTCAACAAAAATACTTACCATATTACAAATGGTGGCCATACCTGTACAAGAAAGAGACTCAACACCAGGACCAAAGTATTCAACAATGGCACCAGTACCACCCTTAACTGTTAAAATGTCAGCAACCTTCAAAATAACATCCTTTGGTGCTGTCCATCCATTCAACTTTCCAGTCAAATGAACACCAATAACCTTTGGTGTCTTCAATTCCCAAGGAATTCCGGCCATCACGTCAACTGCATCAGCACCACCAACTCCAATAGCAAGCATTCCTAGACCACCGGCATTTGGTGTATGTGAGTCAGTACCAATCATTAAACCTCCAGGGAAAGCATAGTTTTCCAAAACAATTTGGTGAATAATACCAGAACCTGGTTTCCAGAAGCCAATTCCATGCTTGGCTGCAGCTGTTGACAAAAAGTTGTACACTTCCTTGTTTACGTCAATAGCCTTTTGTAAATCTTTGTTTGCTCCCTCTTCGGCTTGAATCAAGTGATCACAGTGAATGGTTGTTGGGACTTGAACGACTGGAATTCCCGAACTCATAAATTGGAGCATGGCCATTTGGGCAGTGGCATCTTGCATGGCCTAATGAGTGATCATATTGTTTGTGGTAACATTTTATCAAACATTCAAAAATACCGAGTTTGATGAGATGAATATTTTGTTCGAACGTTAATATTCAAAAACGACATTGCGATTGTAAATCATTGTAAAATAGTCGAATAATGATGGCCATAATGGCAGTGTAATACCCAAGACAGAGGATAAAGATGAATGTTGAACAGGAACGACGCGTTGTTGTATTAATATGAGGTGTGGCCACATCATTACAGTCCGTATTAAGAAATTCCAAATATGTAATCTTACCAAGAGTACTTACCACTCTATCAGGACGGAGCTTTAAATAACTCTTTCCACGAACAATTTCTTGGTTAGCAGGATCATCCAAATGTCCATACAAAATCTTCTCAGAGAGAGTCAAAGGTCTATTCAATCTCTGCTTAACAATATCCAAACGTTTTACGAGATTGGAAATATCATATTCTCCCTTTTCAACTCTGGAGAATGGAGCCTTTGTTCTCTTCTGAGTGGTTTGTGTTTTGCTGAAGGACCTTGTTTGGTTTGCAATTAGGTTATTGTTCTTGCACGATGATGATTGTAATGTGTTCGAGCAAGCGGATTTGACAACTCTCTTCATTTTTTTTTGATAATAAAAATAACCTTTGGTTTCTTTATCGCCGAGTCATCTGTAAGCAGCGCACTCAGTCAATAAAAGGTGATGAGGTGAGAGGAGAAAACACTCGGCCCATCAAGTTTTGATTGTATTAACACACAATCATCTTTGGGATTCCATCAAAATTTCGCATGATGCTCAAATTAATAATTGGCCGGTTTTGAGGTCTGGGTTTTCGGTGAAATTTGGTAACATTTCCACTTTAGGTTTGGTGATTGAGAGCTTCAACAACATGCATGGATAATTCGACTCAAAATTCAACTCAAGTTGGAGTTCAATAATTTATTTTCAAGCAAAGAATACATAAAGGTGGTGGTTATAAAGGCAATGGGAGGTACATGCGGTATTAAGGAACATGCAAGTGATCACACACTAGCCATTTCCAACAAATTGCATTAGTTGCAAAGATTATTGTTGAGGTTTTACGCTATACTTTTTCAATAATTCTTCTTCTAAATTCTTCTGTTGGAGTTCCTTCCATTCATCAGAGCTAATAAAGTAAGTTAATTCATAAAATAAAAATAGCAATAATACATACTCAAATCCAATAAATGTCCAAAAATCTTCTGGGCCAGGCTTGAAAAGTTTTGGTTTATAAATTTCACCACTCTTCTCACGTTCCTTCTTTTGATTTCTTTGTGTGGTTTCAACCTTATCTTTTTCAATAGCTGCAAGTTGCACATCATTTTGCTTGATAGCCTTTGTCAAATTAAGCCACAACTTTCTCGATTCATTGTCTCTTTGGACTTCCAATGGGGGAACATGCTTTGGTACAACTTCGGCTGTTTTAACTTCGAAGAAAAGTGATTCAGTCTCCTTGTCAGAATCCTATTATATGTAATTATGTGAATGAACAAATGTATAATTGTTGAAAATGAATTAATACTAACCTTTCCCTTGATATAGAGTTTGTCATTCCATTTTCCACGAATTTGATATAGTGTCTTCTTCTTATGTTTTATCTTTGCAGAAACAACATTATATTCTCCTCCAAAGAATGGCTTGGCCTTAAATTCAATTTCTGCTAACATATTTGTTTTCTTACATTCAATTTTGGTCTTTCCAGACATTTCCATAATAAGTTTGCCAAAGATAACTCCTCGAGCATACACACTTGGCCAAGTGGCGGTATACACTTCATTGTCACGACTTCCAAAAGTAATTTTCAGTATTCCTTCACTGATTGATGCTGCTGAGTTTCCTAAAAACTTGGATCTTGGATAATACCATCCTTCAAGAACGAGTTTTTTGTGCTTACATTCAGCATAAATTGCACTCTTTGGAGGATGGTGAGACACTTGTTCACCAATACAGGTCATGAGTCCATCAGACTTAAGCTCATAATTGCAACGGAACACCTCTCCAAGAACTGGATTGTAGGGTTTTTTGACACCCTTTGGTTTTACATGCCATCCAGAGAGATACCATCTCACAAGGTTAACCATTCTCTGAATTGGATCATCATGGTCCATAGCACTATATTGTTGTTGAGATGTAGGATGAGATGTCATTGTTATTGTTGAGTTCAACAGTTGAGACCATAAAGGATGTGTACGAGGTGGTGATTGTTATGTTGTTTTGATGTTATGTTGTTATTGGTGTTTTCAACGTATGTTGTTGTTGTTAATGTTGTTGATGTTGTCCAATCAAGCAATATCATCAACAACGCCATCATTTCATCCAACAAGAAAAAGAATTCAGTTCACGATGATGACAGGAACAGTGTTCGAACAATTATAACAATATTTGTGGATATCAAAACCATCATCATTATTGTAATTGGTAAAATAAATAAACTTACGTCGTGAGAAGATGAGCATGTGTATTGAAATCAGTCAACTTTTCCAACAAAGAACGAGGTTCAAGAAAATCGCAAGGAATTGGGATCTTTGTCAAATCCATACCGATTTTCAATTGGCCCATGAATTGCATCAACATGCTCTTGGTGTTCTCATTTAAAATTTCAATGTCATCTTCGGATTGTCCTTTAAACATTTCACTTTGTTCTTCTTCCTTTGTTAATTCTCGAGTTGGAGGTTGTTCATCAGCAACCGATGATGAATCGGTATCAGAAATTTCATCAACACTGTTTGAAACGTTGAGAGCACTATTACTGGACATTTTTTTAAAGAAATGGAATGATGACTTGTGGCTGCAACGGAAGACTTGATTCTCTCGAGTTGAAAGAACACAATTAGCTTTGTTGACAGGCACAAGAGTCAAGTTCATATACTGTTTTCGACACATAGATAACTGAGGCTCATGAAGACAGGTTTGTGTGCTGCTCGATTCTTCATCACAATCATTAGAGACGAAACTTTCGGAGAGAATTGCCTTCTCAAAAAATTCATGCTAAACAAGAACCTCAAGCGCCGTCATTCATCCTCGTCGTCGCAGTCTTCTTCGTCGTCCTCATCATCAATTTGCTCTTCAAATTCTTTAACAGAAGAGGAAAATAATAACCATAGTTCAAATTCCAGCCTAAATCGTAATCAGCAACAACAAACTGTTGCTACTTCATCACATCTCCCTAGAAATGTAAATCTCGGAGGCTCTATTCATGGTGTAGTCATGGCAAATGCTACCGTAATTTCTCCAAATGATTTAAAAGCAAGCGGACAGAAGGTGTTCCAGGCTAACCCATCTCCAGGTCATCAAAACGTTCCTCAAAAGAAGAAGAAACGAAAATCCCCCTCACAGAAACAAAATCCATCTTCTTCTTCATCGGGAACATCTCCATCATCATCAAATACAAATCATAGCTTGCCCAACAACTCCAACCACACTCACGACTTGCCAGCACAATCTCAAAACAATGATACTTTTCAAAATTCAGCGCTCAGGTCCAAAATTACAAGCGAGCAAATAGCATACTGCCCATCTTGCGCCTTTATCGGAAACAAATCACATTTACCTCAGTCTGTACTTTCGGTGAGCGTGGAAACAAATTTTAATTCGCAAACTGTTTCATTGAACGAAAGATATGAACCAATTTACCATCAATTTTTAGTGAAATTGGTTGTAACAAGGCCGTTTAACAGGCTAAGCTTTCATTTAAATTCCTTTGAAAGTAAGAATAGTGTTGTTTTTAATGTAAATAGAGAGCCTAGCCCAATTGAGGATGGAAACATCCATCAATTAGCGATTTCTTTTTCTTCCATTTATTTATCAGAGGCAATTTTAACAGATCCACTAATATCATCCACAAATTTACCATTTCTAACTGAAAAATCCGTAAAACCCTTTATTCATTTTGGAAACATTGATTGTAAGTACGAAGAAATCTTATGGATCTTTTCGAATTGTTTCATCATTTATTTCAATTTGCAAACGACACAGGTCGAGGAAATGAAATATTTATTCCTCTTCAATTTTTGTGTGAAAATCCAGAGAAATACCTGTGTCAACATTACCAAATTGCGTCATCAACTGCTAATGAATATCAAGGAAAATTTATTATTGGAGGAACATTGCATGTTCAAGCTATTGTCCACGAGTCTACATCACAGCCATCCCATGGATCAACTAGCAGCTCATCTACGGTTTTAGGAAGTTCTGAAGTGAAATTTACCTTTCCATTCTCAGTGAACAAGACTACTATTTCTCCCAATCTTCCAACGTAAGTTGATGATTCAATTTCTAATTATTCTTCATCTCAATGTTGCTGTGTATAGTAATTTACTGCAAGGAGATTTACCGCTGATATATCACGATATTCGTACCAATGGTAAAGGCGCTCTGCTTTGGTATCCTATACATGTACCGTTTTTGTCACCTGGGCTTAAATTACTTTGTCTCTTAGCTCATAATTCTTCATCTGATAAATATCGAGATTTGTTTGGAAAAATGTCCAATGATAGCGAGCAACGATATTTGAATGTAGGATCTCTATTATTGGAATTTATTAATGGTTTAATGAGCGAGCAAAAGGTATGTGGAAAAACATTCAACATGAATGAAACATGATTTACATTAACTTGGAATCAATTATTATAGAAGCGATATTCTTACGTGTATGAGCTAAAAAATCAGCAAGTTTTCCCAATGCATGAAAAAAAGACAGTGAAAATACTGACTCATAGTAACCTTCACAAATACAAAATTGGAGATGAAGGCTATATAACTAACCAGAATTTTTATACTTCAGAACATTCAGATATTTTGTGGCAACAAAACAAGTGCCTCATCAAAATTTTACAATATGGAGTGTGCAAAAAGTATATTAACGTGAGTCCTTACGACTCTCTCTCTTCTACAAATGAAGGTGACAATATTGAGATTGTATATCTCATAGAGTACCCAACTAAACATGGTCCAAAAAACGTGTTTATTATTGAATCAGAAATTCAACCTGTTGGAGCTCCTCCTACAGAAATATCCGAAGAAGAAGCCAAAACAAAAGAAAGTAATGAAAAATTATACAATGAGGCATTGCAGGAGGTGTACAACATTAATACGCAAGATTTGTTAAATTTGGAGAAGAAATACCAACTACAACAGTTGAATGAACAGCCAGAATATCATCAAACAAACCACTTTAAAGGAGATTTACATTTACACGGTAATTTATTAATCAAGGGTCATGTGAAAATTGAAAGACAAGCGTCCCAAGTGGAGCGAGTAATTATGAACATTGATACCAAACACCATGACTATTATATGTTATATATCGATAGCATACCTTCGGATGTACCAATCAAAGTGATGCTATGTTTCTGCTCACGTCTTGCACATGATCATTCTGTGAGAGTACAACCCATTACCATCATTGAAACACCCAACCATTTCATTTATCCAAAACCTGAAAAAACAGAGGTAAGCATAATATTTTGTTCCACATTTAAAGAGATCTTTAATTGTATTGAATTGTGTTCTTATGATCCATATTTGGATACTCAATTATTGTACTTCAGTCCATTTCTGAGGTGTGGTTTGAGTGCAGGTCCACAACGAACACTAAGGAAAAATTGGAAACGACAACTCCACTTCCATTTCTGACACCAAGCGATGTAAAAAACACAGAACCAACAGATGTACTCATTCCATTGTCGTGGCAACATTATTTCAAATCTGCTGCAACTCTTGAAAAATAAAAAACAATCACAAACCTCTAGCGAGCGTTTTCTGTCAAGTCAAAAAAAATGAGCCAAAAATCACTAACGAAAACAGCTGCTCTTTCTCTCTTTGAATTTCTTCACATGGAGATGGTTGATTATGTCATGAACGATCTGTGTAAAAATTCAAAAGAAAAAGCATATTCTGTTGTTGAAAGAATGGGTTATAATGTAGGATTGAGAATTGCTGAAAAATTGACAAAAGATAGAACAACCCGATTTGCCGATGATCTAGATATTATTAAATTTATTTGCAAAGAATTTTGGTTGGAAGTCTTTAGAAAGCCTGTGGATAACTTGAAAACAAATCATAGAGGAACATATGTGCTCAATGATAATCGGTTTCTTTTTTTGACTCGATTTGCCACATCGAACCCCGATGAAACTAATAACGCTGCCAAAGATTATGTTGTGTATGCATGTGGTGTCGTTCGTGGAGCTCTCACTGTTCTTGGAATTGACGCTTTTGTGACAGCCGAAATCAATACTGTGCCAGTTGTGTTGTTTAAAATACAAAAAAAGTAATATAGAAGTAATATTTATGTACAAATTACACACATGTTAGAGAGGTCTACATGTTTTGAACCATTGCAGCCATTTGTGAAATATTTTCGTTAGATTAGCTGACAACTAGATCGTGATCCTCCTTCCTTGTTCTTTTTTGGATTAATGTATGCCTCGATGACTGTTGCAAAAACTTCTTTCAATCCAGTTTTGTTTTTTGCGCTGCATTCACAAAAATCATACGCTTTCATTTTCTTAGCCATTTCTTCTCCTTCTTTCCTTGTGATTGGTTCAGTACCCTCTCTTTTGAGCTTTTCAATTTCTTTCATATCATCACGGAGGTCAATTTTCGTGCCAACCAAAACGAATGGAGTGTTAGGTGAATGGAATGAAATCTCAGGATACCACTTGCTAAGAGCGTTTTCAAAGGATGTTCTGCTAACCACAGAGAATGCGATGACAAACACCTATTAGTAATGGAAGATCAAGAAATTAGTAGCAACTCGAGTTTTGTTTGAAATACTCACATTGGTATCGGGATAACTTAAAGGACGTAATTTATCGTAGTCCTGAAAATGGCGTCCTTAATAGTAATCCGTAATGTTGTACCTTATGAAACTCACCTCTTGTCCAGCTGTATCCCAAAGGGTTAAATTTACAGTTTTATCCTTGTGCCTAACATTAGCAGAATGATTTTCTTCAGTGATTTCCGTTCAGGACATGTACCGTAGTATCCCATCATCAAGGTAAGGAAATTCAAAATCCTCTGAATGAACACCTACCAAATACTGTTGGAATGTATTTATCCGAATATTTATCTTCTACATAGGAAATTAGCATACAGGTCTGAACTCACCACAATATCGTGTCCATATTGGTGATTTTCTTCCTTAACAACCCTCATCAAATCATGAACAACTAACTACTCACCTTTCCAACTGCTCCGTCCCCAACCACCACACACTTAATCTGAATCAAATCGTCCATTTTTCTTTTTAATTTTCCTTAAATAAATATTTTGAATAGGGGAACTATTGTTAGGAAATTGTTCATCTTCTCACTAAAATTATTGATCACCTTGGATCAAGAGATGATGATCCATCTGAACTCGACTGAAATCCCACAATGATTCGTGCTTTTCGGACTGTTTCCTTGAAGCAATATCCTGCCAATCGAAAAGGCTTTTTGAAAAAAATCTTTGAAGAGGATTTGACCCTTTTGTTGTTGCGTCTTTTTGGTGAAATATTCATAGCCACAAGTTGTTGTTGTTATTATTATTATTCCAACATTCACTCACTCGGAGTGAGTCTCAATAATATACAATTCTGGTTCTCTCATCAACATCGGAAGAACTGGAACTGGATGACTTCATTCTATAACAGTTCCTTCAAATAATTTTTCATCACCTGCAGGCTTTTTCCGATCATCAACAAACGTTGTAAATATTCAGCCAACCAGCCAGACAAACACTCACGAACGACACAACCAACATTGATTTGATTGTGTTAGATCATCATTTGTGGATTTTCATTGAATTGCAACAACTAATTCCAAATTTAACAAAAAGTAGTAGTGTCCAACTATCAAATTCATGAGACCTCCTCCGATATCATCCAAATTGGTTTCCAGCTTGGTCACTCAAGGAGGTATGAGAGAACACTATGGCAATTTATGGTCAGATTTTTCTTCACGACTGCTGCTTGAAACAATACCTCAAATTGTAAACAACAATAATGATTCACAATCGTGGAATGAAACGACAATTATATCAGTGGAACAACATGTACTACGATATGTTACGGGGACGAGCGCAATTCTTTCAATGTTAGGATCTCTATTTATTATATTCAGTACTGTTTTGTTCAAAATACTCTCGTGCAGAAAGAGAAGTAGAAAAAGTAGGACACGGTACAGTGATGATTTTTCATTATCAGCAATGAATCATAGATTAGTTTTATGCCTTTCCATCAGCGACTTATTTGCAAGTTTAAGCTACGCAATATCGTTATTTGGGATTAGCTTAGAGTACGAATGGTGTTGTGTCTTTCAAGGATTTTTGATGACGTGTTTCGAAGTTAGTTCAGTACTTTGGAGTACATGCATTTGTTTACAACTGTTTTTGAGTGTGACGCCTCACTTTTCGGAAGAACATCACAAAAGGAGGAAGATTTTGTTAGAAATTGCTTTTCACATCATTTGCTGGGGTTTTCCTCTTATTTATACCGTTGTTGTTTTATTTACAGATGGATTTAACAGGGTTGACAATTTACAGGTACGTTTTTGTTCAGAACAGGATACAATTTAGCTCTTTTTTATATAGCAATGGTGTTGGATAGGATTGCATCATGACAGATCTCAATTTCTTAATTTTAGATTTGTCACATTTTTGCTGGTGTACATTTGTGTAGTTTTGTGCGCCGTATTCTTTTTGGGAGTTTGTATTTGCTTTAGAATGCACCGACGACAGAAAAGCAAAGATGAAATTCTCTCACTCGATGACAAGTATCAGCATTTGGGAAAAAAAACAATGATCAACTTTTTCTTGATATTATTGGCGTTTGTCATAACTTGGATTCCAGCCTTTATTAATCGACTCATTGGTAAGTGTCCGTCTACAACATTTTTTACTCAAGACTCCATTCTTCAACCGCATCTCATTGTACTTGCCTTACTGTTAAACACATTAATGTTCTATTTATTTACAACATATCGGTTTTGCCATATTTTCTAAAGAATCCATCGTTATGGCGCAAAGGCCATCAGCAACCATGATTTCTGGAATATTTTGGCTGGATCTTGTTCAGGCCATTACCAATCCGCTTCAAGGGTTCCTTAATATGGTATTGTATGGTCATCACTTTTTTGGAAAATATAGATTGTACTTCTGCCCTAGAAAGAAAAATATGAAAAAAGCGTCTTCTAAAGTGTCACTTATAAGTGCTGACAGTGGTAATAATGATTATCAAAACAGGCATCGCCAAATATCTCCAGATCGAGACAAGAATCATTTGAATGTTGAAACATTGGACGAAATCAAATTTGGTGTTATTTACACGGAAGGGACCATAAAGGTTGACTCACCCACATCAGAGCATCAACATCTAGTTCCAAAATCTGTCTATTACTATCACATGGATGCCCCTTATGAAGTTCAAGAGGATTCCGATGAAGAGGACAGAGCTCATTTTAATAATGCTGGATATGGCCAGACTGGTCCAACGTTGCTCGTTCCAAACTATTTTACAAGTGGAGGTGTTGGTGACCAACCACTCTATTCATCGTATGCAAGCAGTGGCGGCAATGCTGATAATGGATTGAGAATTATCACCCAACAAGACACACCGAACAGTTTAGGAGCTGGCCACTATACATACTCCACAACATTAGGGCAAAGCAATCATGACAGTTTGCAACAGCAACATATTCGTTTTATGCCAAATGGATTTTCTGTGGAGCACAATGGAAGTGTTATTGATGAATATCACAATAGACTCGATGAATTTTTAGACTAAATTTATTATCTTAGGAGAATTAGTGAGGATTTAGTATGACTTGTAACCCTATTGTTCTTAGTTGGAGAGGGTGTTTTTGTGGATGGTCTCGTTGATGGTGGCGTCATACTTCGAAATTTTTTAACGGTATTAGTACTATTAGGGATTGCTTCTGAAGACATGAAAATTTCACTGTAGCTCTTGTTCGTTTTGATATTTGTTGGAGTTGGTCGGCCGTCAATTCTTTTCGAAAATCTTTCTGGAGTTTGATTGTTAACTTTTGGCCTAAATGTGCATTCTTCTAGCTCACGCTCTTCTAAGGAGGGATATGAAGGTTTCTTTTTCTTTGGAGACCTGCTGTAAAGTCTGTGAAGAGTGTCTTCTGAAAATCCGTTCACAGATGGATTAGTTGTTTGAGGCTTAAACGAACACTCTCGCATTTGATCCTCTGAATAAGCTTGTTTGAGTCTGGAGAGATTTTGTTCCTTTGTATCCTTTTCCTTGTAGAGAATTTCGAAGAGGTCTTGACCTGTAGAACGTCTTGTCCATGCCAATTCATCACTCTTTTTGTTTGTTTTTGGTTTAAAGCTACATTCTCTGAATTCCGATTCAGGAGAAGATTGAACAATCGGGGAATCAATTCCAGCCACTTTCTGAATAGGACCCTTCGTTGAGGATAACAACATTGCTTTTGCGTCGCTTTTTTCCATCCTCTGAAGAACCGCGGCAGCAAATTCCTCAAAACCAATGTTTGAATCAATTTCGAACTGTTCAAATACATCCAATAATATTTCTTGTAAATGCTTGTCTATGACTTGGAAACGTTCTTCACTTGAGCCTAAAATGTCAGTTTCAATGTTCAAATATCCATCACTATTGCTGTCTAGGTATGTAAAGAGCTTGTAAATCTTTTTGACTTTGGCCATTTCAGCAATCCTTCTGCTTGCTTCGTTTACATGTTTGGTGTTGGCCAACTTGTCAATCTCTTTGTAGTATTCTTTTGATATGGTGTTTTTTGCTTCCTCAAATTTCTTGTTGTAGAGAGCTTCGAAAACTGAAGACCCTTGTCTTGAATGCCCTGCCGACTTTGGTCTTTTGCTGGTGGTTGAGGGTTTAAACAGCTCTCGCCCGGTCTCAGGATCAAAGTTTGAGTTTAACTGCATCCTTAGTTGCATGATATTCTTTTCGGCCTCCTTTCGGCTATTTACAAGTCTTTCAATGTGTTCTTGCGAGGGCTTTCCTACTCCTGTTGTGGAGGTAATCAACTGTTGCTTTACAGCCTCACTCTGTTTTTGCTCCAGTTTTGCTCTTCGTTTTTCTGCGTCTTTGAACAAAGATTCAAAGGGGTCAGTAGTTCCAGTATCCGACAAAAACTCTTCGTTTTTCTTTTGTACGGCCATCAAAGCAGATTTTTGATTAATCTTCGGTTTAAACGGGCACTTTCTTTCTTCTTCTTCTGCATACATCATCACATTGTGTTTGAATGAGTTCATGTAAGCATTGCTTGGTCTCGCAATTTTAAAGTTTGAATTAATTTGGGGCTTGAATGTGAAAACCTCCATCTTTGCCTCCTCCAACCTTTGTATTCTTTCTTTTTCCAATTGTTGTTTTCGAATCAACTCTTTACCTTCATTATATAAGAACTCTCCGTAATTTTGAAATTTTTCTTTGGCTCGACTTCTTTCTATTTCTTCTACGATTTTTCTACTTGTTTCCGACATAGGAACTTTTGTCTCCATTACTTTCTCAAGTTCATTCTTTGTTAATTCCATCTTGATCCTTAAAATTCTTGCCTCTTTATATTTAGCACTTTCATGTAATCTTTCATGTACGGGCTATAAAATTATTAAGGGTTAGAGTAATGACGTTTTATTCACTTAATACACACCTTGCTGTTCTTTGAGCTCACCGGAGTAGAGCTCCTGTTCTTTGTTTTCTGATTAGGATCCACAATTTGTTGCAAACTTTCATATTTGTCAACCTACATGAAATCTTGTTGAATGAAATGATCTCAAGTTTTTTGCACTTACCTTTGTATCGTTAGTTTTTGATAATGCAGGACTTCTATTGTACATGCTAGATGGATGAGTGGTGGACTGAGGAAGTTTGAACATGTCCATTGTTCTTTCCTTTAGCACCTTCTCAACATTAAACTTAATGTGCTCTGCTAATGGTTCGATAATAGCAGGAATTAAATTGTGTTTTTCTTGGAACTTTTTAGCAAGGTCCAAATAAGAGTCATCTTCTTTTACTGTGATGTTGTCAGAGCGACCATCTCCGATATCCACCGTCATGAGAAGAATTACTCTTTCTGATAAAAAAACATCGGAAGAAACATTATGAAAGGAAAATTAACCAAAATTAACTTACTTTGTGAAGAAGTAGATTGAAGGAGGCTGACCAAGTCTCTTCGTTTAGGGGATGAATTCATGGGAAAGTCCTTTGTTGCATCATCTTCTTGTGTCATCCACTGCTCTCTCTTTTCAATCTCTGATTGCTCTTTTTGTCGTTGCTTTTCTTCGGACTGTTGAAACAACTGTCTTCCTTCCAGGAGCTTCTTTGTTTCACTTTCGAGTAATCGTTTCTGATCTTCCTCAAGCTTGGCAATTTCATATTCTTCTGCCTCCCTTATTTGCTTTTTCAGTTTCGCTTCTGCCTGTATTTGCAGTTGTTGCAACTTGTTGTAGTAAGCCTTCATCTTTGCATCGGCTGAGCCTTTTGATTCTTCTTCATTTTGCATCAACAACTTTTTGAGTTCCTCGTTCTCAATGTGCCGTGTAACTCTCTCGTTGAGCTCATTCTCATACTTTTTTGCCAAAATCAAATCTTCCTTAATGGCACGTTCCTCCTCTTCGGTGAGTGTAAGAGCATCATAGTGCTTTCCAAGTGCGAGCTTTCTCCTCACGTGAGGATCCTTCTGCTATTGTATTGCCAATCACAATTAGATTCATGTTCTTTCATTGTACCTACCAATTGATCAAAAAGTACATCAGCAGAAGGAGCTCCCGAGGTTTTCATCGAGTTGCTGGTGCCTGCAGCACTACTATTGAGGCTCATATGATGATATTTTTTAATTTGTAAAACCGAAAAAAAAGCGCGCCTAACCAAAATTTAAAATTTGATTTGATCAAATTTAGCATCAACGTGCTGTCTCCAATTTGGCCTAACTTTTACTCATCGGCAGGAAGAGTGAATTTGCTTGTATATCTTTCATCGTATTTTTTAGGAATATTGCTGTCATTCAACACTCCAAGAGTCTCCCTAAAGAAGCTCAAGACATCAATAAATTCTTTGTGCATTTTCAACATGAATTGTCTTCTCTTTTGGGTTTCTGGGCGTTCGCTGTCCTTGAGTTGAGATTCAACATGAGCCAAATCTTGTCTCAATTCAGATTCTATATAATCGCGACGAGGATTATCTTCTTTGGGTGATTGAGCTAGAGATTCTAATTGACATAAAATAATTTCACGCTCAATTTCTTGATAACGATTAAGTCTACCATCTACAGAGGCCTCAAAGAAATCTCTGCTTTCGTTCAAGTTGTGACAAATTTCATCTAAACCCTTACTGTACTTGAATTTTTCTTCAGCAGTTAGTTCTGGAGGTGCTTGAGGAATAACTCCTTTAAAGATTTTATCCACTGGTAGATCAGGAATTGTCTTGTAAGCATAATAGTCCAAATGTTGTTCGAGCCATTCACAAATCTTGACGATTTCTTGCGACCAAATATGCAAGTCATAATAATGTTTGGCAGTTTCTTCGAGTTTTGCTTTTTGAGCTTGCAAATTACTCAATTCATCTTGATAATTCTCCATATATTCCTTATATTTGAGGTGACCTACGATGACCATGATTTCCGTAAGCAGTAGTAGTAGATAAGATAACCACAATGGTAATAGTAGATTATAGGTTATAAATGCAAAATGGGTCAGTAATCATACCGCATTACCATTCCAAACATACCTTTAAATTTTTCATATTTTTGAAGAGCGGAGATTTGAGCTTTGCATTGCTCTTCATCACCATATAAACGAGAGAGACTTTCTTTCACATTTTCATATTGTTCTCTCTTTGCTTCAGTTCCTTTGGCATAGAATCCGGTAATGATGGCCGTTGTTCTTCTCAATTTTTGATATTCTGCTACGCTAGGAATTTCGGATTTTTCATCGGACTCTTTCATCAATGCTTCCAATGCTTTAGTTACAGAATGGTCAGTAGCATCTTCATTGGCTTCAACTTGTTGTGGTTGTTCTTCTTCTTGTTGGGCTTCGGAAGTAGATTCCTTCTTTTCTTGTTTAACTTGTTGCACTTCTTCTTCATTCACAGCATGGATGACTGGGCAAGCATCAATAGAGGAATCATTAGTGGTTGCTTCATTTGTGGTGGATGATGCACCAGTGATTGGACATTTCATGCCAGCAGAAGAGTTTCCAGAGAAAGGACAAGACATCATTTTTTCGGACAGTTTTCCTTCTTGTTCATTCATAAATTTGATTGAATAGATTCTCTTGTTACAAAACCATCTCAAATTGATTCCTTCTGAGTTACAAATGAATAAGCCCTGATTGCATTGTAAAAGCCCTTTATTATTTTAATATGAAAAAGAGTTGTTCAAATTGAATTTACTGCAAGTATTCTTTGAGGTGGGTACCACCAACAATGAATCCCGAATATCCCAAGAACAGAAAAAAATGGGTTATGATTTAAAGCTCATCAGTTGCTCAGCTAATGAAGAACTTGCGAACAATATTTCCAAATACTTGGATATCAAGATTTGCAAATCCAAAACCGTGAAATTTGCCGATGGTATGTTGATCGTGTTGAGAAAAGATTTGATGATGAATGAAAATTGAACCTTTTTCAAATACGTCAAAAATGGATCATCCCGATCATGAATTCATTGTCAATGATTCTACCACAATTCTAATACAATATTTTTCAAAACGTTAGGGGAATGTTTTGTTCAAGTGAATGAAAATGTCCGTGGAAGGTAGGTCCCCAAAACAACCATCAAACTAGATCAATACTTAAAAATTATTTGAATGATTCTGTCGAAACCTTCAATGGTCTAGCGACACATTTATTGTGCAGTCCATGTCGGATCCAGTCAATGACAACTTTATGGAAATGCTATTGATGATTGATGCTCTTAAAAGAGCGAGCGTAAACAGAATCAATGTTGTTATCACCTACTATGCATATGCCAGACAAGACAGAAAGACGAAGAGCAGAGTTCCTATCAGTGCCGCTCTAGTCGCTAAATTAATTGAATCTGCAGGTGCTGACCATGTAATTTGTGTCGATTTGCATGCCGGTCAAATTCAAGTATGTATCGTTATGGCAGATATTTTCGAAATTAATGATGTGACACATTTCTGAAAACTTTTATGTCTATTACTGATATCTGATAGGGATATTTTGCAATTCCTGTGGATAACATTGGTGTAAGAAGTGTCATTTTCCCTGCTCTTCTTAAGGAAGTGCCAGGTTTGTGGCATGGAAAGATTACAATTGTGTCTCCAGATGCTGGAGGTGGCTCAAGAGCTGATAGGTAAGATTTCAGACATGCCTAACAATATTTTAATCTAATTTGCAAATGTGACTTCATTAAGTTTCTTGCAATACGTCCAATCCGAGTATCCTGATCAATTCGCGGATGCCCAAATGGCTGTCATGAACAAATGGAAAAAAACTAAATCATCGGATCAAGAGTGTTGGAATGATTTTAAACAAAATACAACCAATGAGTCAAGCTCTTCATCCTCCACATCCACAAATGGTACTTCTTCAAATGATGTCGCTGTAAACAGTACAAACATGCCTTGGATGATGGAATTGGTCGGAGAGGTGAAAGGAAGAGACTGTATCATTGTGGATGATCTTGTTGACACTGCTGGAACTCTCTGCTCGGCCGCTAAATGCCTTAAAGAAAATGGAGCAAGAAAAGTGTATGCTTGTGTTACTCATGCCCTGTTGACTGGCCCAGCTTTGAAGAGGATTGATGAAACAGCTGAACTAGATTTGTTGGTCGTTTCAAACTCTATCAATCACAAGCAAGAGATCAAAGATCATCCAAAAATTCATATTGTTGACATTGGAGCTCTACTTGGAGAGACAATCCGTAGAGTCCACAACGACGAATCTCTCGTAAGAAAGGATTTCTTGAATTAAAAATACCTTATCACCAGCATGACAGGGTGACATTAATAGAAGGGCCAACAAAAGCCAAATAAATGGAAACACATCATTCTCAGTGAAAATCGCAACTGTTAATGAATCCATCAGGTTACGTAACCTGAGGATTGTTAATCAATCAGTTCATAGCCATTGATATCAATCAGGTCAAAAGACATTCAATTGGCTCCCTAAGGAGAAAGTCAAGTGAGCGTTGCACATTATATCACAGATTTGCCATTTCCAAAGCTCACTGACATGTTCTTCACAAGCGCTGTCCTCTGCTTGTCACTGATTTATGAACACGATCACAAAAAAAAGTCAACTGCCATTCAAAACCGCTGGCACCAACAGCAATAAATTAGCAAAGCATCAACATGCCCTCTTCTGGCTCCTCCACCAATTCATCTTCTTCCTACCATCAACACCAACAAGTCCATTTCGGTAGTGGCATGATGATGATGGGCCACCAACAACAACCAAACCATCATCAACAACAACACCCGAGTCCACAACATTCAGTGAGTAGCAACAGCAGCAGCACGACGAGTAGTAGCGGTAGTAGTAGCTCTTCTTCGATGTCATCCTCTCACACTAGTGTTCATCACAACCACCACCATAATAATAACATTAACAACATAAATCCTGCCTCGAGCAGCAGTTTTCTTCAATTCGTTAAAAACCTTCCTGCCAACTCTCACTATGCACTTGGATCCGAGAAAAACAAACCCACCTATCCAGCTCTTCCTGATTTTCAGATTAGGATTGTCAATTGTGATTTACTCATGTACAAATGTCGTAGTGAAGGTGCAAATTGTTTCCTGAGTTGTCATGTGGCAGCCACAAGGCATCAACAACATGTTGCAACCAACAACACATCATCATCGCCCACAATGGAAGATATTTTCACATTTTCTGAATATCCTCTCAACTCCAACATGAATTTAAGTGATCTTTTGAGTGGTAATTATTCAAATGAGCTCGGAGGATCCACCATTGTTTCTTTCAATCCAAAGGGTTATCTTTTGAATGCACCCACAGACGTGTATCAATACTCCAAATTCACCATCAAATTTCAACTCATTCTCGATACACCTGCCACTACCATCGATCAGTTGGGTACAAATTACACAGTACCATCAGAAACAACAACAACAACCACTCAAAAGATTCTCTTGGATCAAGTTCAGGCCAATTCGTTTGAACCTCCTCTCGTTGCTCTCTCATTGAAAGAAGATTTCTCAGAGGATTGCAAATACATTATTGGATCTCTTGCTGGACGTGCTGAAAACTTGATTAAAGATGGAAGTAAGAAGATTGCGAGACCAGTGGTCATTACCTTCTCACCTGCATTGGTTGATCACTATTTGAGTGGTGGTATTGTTGGTGGTGTGAACAACAACAACATCTCAACTTCCTTAACAAACTCTCACAGAAAGGATTTATTTCTTCATATCTATGTGAGAGGAGAGGATGGACAAGATGCACAACAAGATCAATTCTGTTTGGTCAAACATGACAAGATTAAATTGAGACCAAACATTTATTCGTATACCATTGATGAACAGCTCGGAAAATTAGATAAGGGAGACAAGAAACCTCAAAAGAACAAATTTAGACTCGGAATTGTCTTGTCCACCAAATTACTAGTTCTCAACTACAAGGACTTTACCAAAAAGATGATGAAATATCGATATCCCACCAAATTGAAGGAACATCCCTCTCTCTTGTATTGGCTTGAAACACGACAATTTCAATGTGCCAAACGAGAGGAGATTTGTAAGGCTCCCACCAAACGTAAACAAAATGCAGGCTCCCTGCTCTCAGATGAGAACAGTAGTGGTGGAGGAGGTGGAGGTGGTGGTAGTGGTGGTAACCACCCACTCTCCTTATTAGCACCAGGAGCAGGCTCTTCTTCTTCCTCAAGTCCTGGTCACTTGTTATCACCAACACCATCACTGCCCGTATCACCACATCTCGGTGGAGGAGGAAACGCTCCAAAAGCCATCGCTACTGAACTCAAGAACATGCTGTCTTTGCGTATGCTCAAAATTATGCATGGCACAGACTTGGAGAAACAGAAATTATTAACTGAGTTTGAAGAGAAAACTCGTCAATTATTGGACTTGTATAACATGTTGCAAGGTGCTGATGAATATCGAGTGGTTAGTTTTAAATTTACGGCCATTCATCCAGCAGAAGGAAGAGAAGGTACACCAGTTTCTGTCTATTCTCCAACACCCTTAACAGAAGAATTGAAATTTACCATTCAACTCGGTACTCAATACTTACCCTATAGTGGAGGAATTACTTCGAGACATACCATTGGCTTTAATGCTCCACCAAAACCCATGCCTGAACTAAGTGAATATGTCGTCACAGTTCATTCCAAAGATGCCTATGTCATGGTGGAACCTTCTGAGCAAGTACTCGTATTCAAATATCTGAAGGATGATCAAGCTCGATCGGAACAACAAGTAGGTTCCTCATTGACCTCTCAACAACAACAACAAGAGGCTCGTATGAGTGGTTCCTATGATTCAACCTCCTTTAGGGGACTTTTGGGTAGCTCCATGAGTGGTGAAGTGATGGAGGACTCCTTCTTTACGGATCCCTCTTTCTTGGATGATAATTTAGCTTGTATTTTCGCTCTTGGTGATTTTACAAAGGCTAAAGACTATTTCCAACATCATGATTTGTTTGATTTGTTGAATGTGAAGGATGATATTCATCACAAACTTCCACTCGAGAATGCCATTCACTTTAAGAGAAATCTATTCCTGTATCGAATCATACCACTCTTGTACAGTTATTGGATAGATGAAGTGAGAGATTTGAATGCTCAAGCAAAGACATTGTCTGATATGTACCAGAATGATTCAGAGTTGTGTGATGCCCTATCACAAAGTATGTCGGCTCTTCAAATTCAAGACGATGCAGTGAATGTTGATGGGGATGACAAGGATGAAGATCAAGAACCCATGGAAAACACTTTGTCACATGCTGCGGTATTATCACAAAATGATGCTACCTCATTGTCGACATCTCAACAAGAACGCCATCAGCAACACTCTAGAGTTGTGACAAGTGGTGAGGATTCACCACGCGTTTTAGTGACGTTGGATCAAGCATTAGATTCCACTTCTGCCTCACAACCACAACAACCTCAATCTCATCCACAACAACCAAGCAAATTAACTACAGGTAAAATTTCAAGAAAAACCTCATTTAAGGAAATGCTTACAAAAATATTTACTGTGGATAGTGGAATTGCTAAATCAGAGAATGCCTCTGCTGATTTGAATGATATCATAATGGAAATTGCAACCTCAGCCTCACCCTCTGCAAAGCATGTCACAACCACTGCCAAGTTTGATCCTCAACCCACTCCCCGAATTTTAACACCAACAGAAGAACCGAATTTCATCAAACTAGAGGAGGTTGAAAATCTTGCTCCTCTCAAGCACAAACTTGAAAGATTTGAAAATGAATTCGAGTTAAAGGACATTGATAAGATTACTCAAAATCTAGGAACATTCCCAACGCTCCTTAATGCATATTTCGAGAAGGAATTTAATTCGAGCAAGATTACTATTCAATTGGTCTTATGTGCAACCTCCAATAGCGCCAAAAAGTTAAATGTCTCTTCTACTACCAATAATTCAAATGGTAATAACAACAAGAATCTCAAAGACAAGACGGCTCTCTCAAATCAAGCCAATGACTTTGAAGAAATATTCCACAACTTTGATGTTTCTCTCCAATTCAATGAAGATACAAACATTACTTGGGATACAGCAAGAGGTATCTCCAAGATTACTTCCAAACCTCTTCTCAATAGACTCTATGCCAGTATTGACATCTTCTCCGTGGAGGGTAAACACCGAGTTCAAACATTTGTCAAGAAGGTTGCCATGACCATTGCTTACTGGAATGTGACACAACCACAGGACACTCACAGTGCACATCAATTTGTAGAATCCATCTTATTAGAGACTGGTTATTTGGCAAGTTGTAGGAGTCTGTTCGAAGCATTTGCATCCGTGGTCGATATCAAAAAGAGTCCTCTCGTCTCTGAAAAGAACATTAAGAGAAAACTCAACATTCCAAAAGAAATTCAAAAACCCTTTTCAAAGAAGAAATGGTCCTTCACTACCCTTAAAGACACTTACGAATTTAATGATTTGTTGAATATGGCGATGAATTCAGAATCGAATGAGACTCTCATTACAGACCTTACAAGAATTGTTCATGGATTTGAACGAGCACTCAAATAAAATAAATATACAATAAATATCGCATCGATCCATCAACATCGGCAAGTTGATGAAGGCAGCCATGATGTTCGACAACAACAACAAGAATCTACTAGACATAACCAAAGAATCATTTGACAACAAGGCCTTCGTTATTGTTCTTTGTATTTAGGCGAAAACCTCTCTATCAAAAAAGACACAAAATTAGAAAAAAATGCTTCATAAGCAAACACGAGCAGTCGGAAGGCAACTCTCCACAACAATCAAGAATATTGTCTTGTTGGAGAGTAGTGGCCATAACAACAAGAAGAGAATTAAATCTCTGTGCTCTCATTGTATTGGAAAATCATGTTGTTCCTGTAGTAATAGAATGATTCGCTCCTTTTCAACAAATTTTAGAATTTCATCACAACAAGAGGCTTCATCATCATCAGAACCACAACAACAGCAACAACAACAGCAGCAACACATAGATGTTAGATCATCCAACAGGGTTCAGGATATTTTAAATAGTGGACAATTTAGCGTTATTGTACCTCCTATTTCCATCCCAGAAGGACTTGATATTAAAAACCTAACACCCGAACAGTTAGATGATATCAGAGAAAATCAACGTATTAAGAAGGCTATTTTCCACATTCCAGCAGAGGGTGATAGAAAAGCACTCACACCAAAGGGAGAGTTGTCTCCTGAAGAGAGAGAATATATGGAAGAAATGCAAAGAGAGCAAGAAAAGCAAAAAAGTTTGTTGAAAGAAATGTTAGGAAAGGAAGGTGTCGACGAGAATTTAAAGAGTTCAATTCAAGCAATTTTCCAAGTTGAAAAGAAATTGAAGCAGCAATCACATCAACAAAGAACACTCAAATTATTGAGAGATGCCAAATTAAAAGGTATTGAGGATGTGAAATCAGTTCTTTCCGCTGCACAGGCATCCTCTCTTGAAGCAAACAAGGAGGGTTCTGCGGTAAAGTCCGAACAAAGTGCCAGAGGTGATCTTGTTGGAATGGAGGGAGTGAAAACCATTTTTGATCCGGGATATAACCTCGAAGACAGGTGGAGGAACATCAGATCTAGATACACAGAAGAGGAGTACAAGAGAAGTGCCACATTCAAGGAAATTGCTAGGTACATAGTTGCTCTGTGTGTGGCTTCATTTGTTTGCCTTGGCTTGGCATTCCCTGGTTTCAAGAAGTATATTCTTGGTATAGATCCAAAGAAGCAAGCCCTCAAAGAATAAGCATGCTGAACTCATGATACCGAGAAAAGGGGTTTAATTTAAAATTCGGTGTTGGTGATTCGTTAATTACTTCCTTGTGCATTAAATAGTCATCATTGTTGGTTGGATTATATTTACAGTGTCCTCATTCATTAGATCTATCAACAAGCATTTCATGAACCGATTGATAACCAGATTTAAGAGCCTCTCTAGTTGTGATGGAGATTGGATTCTTTCCTGCCTTTCTTCTGCAATTACTACAATTACAAATACCTCTGCAAATAGGGCATTTCCAATCTGGATTATTGACAACCTCACTCAACTCTTCGCCATATCTGTTTTTAAGACAGCTAGCACAGAAAGAACCTCTGTTCGTGGAAGAGCTCATTGGTGATGAGAGGCAACTTTTACAGGAGCTCTTTTGGTCCATTGTCTTTTGCTTGCATTGGTGACAAGTCGTTCCCTTGACACTATCATAAATCTTTCCATTGGATGATTTCTTAGTGGATGATTTCTGTTCCATTCGCATGTAAATATGATGGAAATAATATTCAATCGGATTTTCATGCAAAAAAGAAAACCTACCTTTGTAGAAAAATCAGAATCCTTTGAACTTGATTTCTTTTTTGATTTTGGCTTCTTGTGACGCAGTTCTTCGCTACTCTCACTCAAATATTCATTAGAATGGTTAAGTTGTTCAGAAAAGGAGGAATTGTCTTGCTCAAAATCCTCGTCGTCGCCTGCATATTCGGCATATGAAACAATCTTGTTCGATCTCTTCGTCCTTGAAGATGGTTTTGAAGCTACCGATGTTGCTTTGGTTTTTGCTGCAGATTCTGATTTCTGTTGAGATACTGATAAAGACTCAGAAGAGGATGAAACTGCCTCTTCGTTTTGACTATTTCTTTCCTCATGATAAGAATTGTTGCTCAGTTTTCTCTTCTTTGGTTGTTGATAATTCTGTGTTGTGGAAATATTGGTACTTGATGGGTTTTTGATCGTTGTGCAATGTTCAGTTTCAACATGTTGGCTTCCAGGCTCCTCGTTCCTTACAACACACAATCCTCGATCAATGTTGTTGCTACTATTAGCGTTCCTTTCAAATTCCGAGGATGTTTTGGTGTCATGACCTACCAACACGTTTGAAGCATTGATATCACCTGAATGATTTTCTAAGGTAGTGGCTGCTCTCAATAATACGTCGGTTTTTAGTGTTTGTTTGTTGTTGTTAATTTGTGAATGATAATGTTGGTGATGGTTGTTGTTTCCGTTAAGGTGTGAGTAATGATGATGATGATGAATAGGAATCACACTTCTCGTATTCACGGTGGCTACAGGAGGTGAAGAAGTTGAAGCCTTTAAATGTTCCGGTTGTTCTTCTTCTCGTCGTCCATTTGATTTCTCAAGGATGGAGGAGGGAGTAAGGCGAGGATGAATAGTACCACCATTCTCATCGATGAGAGGATCCTTATAGAGCACACTGCTCCATTTGAAACCATTCTGATGCTGATGTTGTTGTTGTTGTTGTTGATCATGGTTATGAGAGGTGAAACCTAGTGATGCATGCATGTTTGCTGCAGTCGAGGGTTCATGTTGATGAGAAGGCAGTCCAATAGTGGAAGACAATGGACGATTGTAGTTGCTGTTATTGTAGTTAGAGGGAGATGCATACGAATAAGAATAATGTTTGAGATCGGATGAGAAACCTAAGGATTGACTCGAGGATCTGTGAGTTGAGTTATTTCCATTAGTGGCAATGGTCATTGGGTTGTTAGGAATGCATGAAGGCTCCTGGAAATGTGTGAGGGTTTGAGACAATAATTGAGTATGATGATGATTCTGGGAAGAGTTGTTGCAATATCCAAGGGGATGATTCTTCTTGTCCTCCGTTGATGCCACATACGAGGTGGAATATCTGGATGGTGGTGATGGCAGTGCAACAGTTGGTCGGGATGAAGCTGCGCATGTTTCAGCTGAACGAACTCTGAGCGAAGGCGATGAATCTGCAAGCGAGGATGGAGGACAGTTCTTTGCGCCGCCAACTACCGTAGTGGACACTTTTTGGGTGTTTTCGTTCTTGTTTTCCTTGAATGGTCCTGTAAAGGAGGAAGTGGCATCACTACTGTTGGATTGGGCCATTGAGGACAGTTCGGAGTTTCCAAATTGGTACGGATACGAGTTCTCGGGTTGCTCAATCGTTGTGTTGCATGTTGGTGTCTGTTGTTGGTTGCGAGTTGGGTGATGAAGCATCGAATGAGAAGAACCATTTTCATGGTGATGAATGTTGTTGTGTTGATTCATGGGCAGTACGGAAGCGTGCGAAGAGGAAGATAACAATCGATTGGATGAAGACCAATGTCCGTTGGTGGTTGCAGATGTGGTTTGGCGGTAGTAGGGATAGTAGTGCTGATGGTGGTCAACGCCGACGCCATGCTGCAACCTTTTACCTAATGCACCACTTGAGTAATGGTGGTGTCCGACATCCTGTTGGTGGCCAAGGTGCTGTTGAGCCATGGATGTCGGATGATGATAAATGGTATGTGGATGTGGCTGTGTCCGTGCGTGTCCCACTTGCTGTAATTGGTGAGGTTGCTGATGTGAAATGAAATAATGATGGTTGTTATTATTGTCCGTGGTGGATTGATGTGGCGACACCCCATTCTTTTGCGTTTCTTCTTGTGTTGTGTTTGTGGGAGTGGTCGCGAGAAGCAGTGAGGACAACTTCATACTTGTTGTCAAAGTATTTGGAGGAAGCATCGCATGCGTGGGATGAACCGCAACAACAGGATCTACTAGAGGTTGTTGTTGTTGATGCTTTTGCAATGAAGGATGTTCGCCAACAGCATCAATGGCAGTCGAATTTTTATGACACGTCGAAGAGTGAGATTCATGATGTTGACTCCTCATTGCCTCATTATGTTGCTCATGACCAAAATCCATGAACTGTTTATGTTGTAATGTGTTGTGGTGATTTTTCATGGGATTACAAGGAGAATTGTTCTCTCGGTGTTGTTGCTGATGCTTGTGAAGGAGTGGAGGAGGCGATGATGTTTGTTGGTGGTGGTTGTGGTGAGAAGACGAAGGTGGTTGTGGATTCATTCTTTGTAAGACTAATTCCAATCAATAATGGATGGAATATTAATTCGCCCAAATGAATTCACTCAGATGTAAGTGTTTCAATGAACGGATAGGTGGGTATGCAAACGTGTGTGGGAGTAGAAAGATTCCGTATGGTTCTGAAACAGCAATAATTCCCAAAGTGGCTTTCTGCGGCAGTATATCTGTGAAGGTTCGAGAATCGTGAGAGAGTACTGCGTGAGTATAGTTTTAGTAAATACGGGAGCGTGTGTGAGTGTGGCCAGCAGCTTCCTCTTCGCAGAATTAGGTCGTTGTCGACGTGTGGTTGTTGCTTGTGTGTTTTTTTTCAAAACAAGACAACGAACCCAACTCATTGAACAAGCCAAAGAATATAAATGGTAGGAAGAAAATTAAGGGACAAAAGACGGTTGTGGCGAGACAGTAAGAGAGAGAGAACACGCTCGAGGTTCAGCAACTAGTGGTCAGCAATGAATTTAACTTTGAATTGCTGCTGTTGTTGTTGTGGTTGTTGCTGTCTCATCTAATCCATGGAGGGAAGGAAGCAATATTTGGCAGTGAAATGGATTGTTGGCGTTTTTGAAAGGGGTGAGAAACCGTCGGTTGTGTTCATATGAAATAACGCACGCTGTCTACCTTCGACTTGAATGCTAATTGGATCTGTTGTTGTTCAGCGTTCGTGGCGATGGACGATCATCTCTCTGAAGACTTCACACATTCTGCGGAATGGGTAACAAACCATCACAAATCGACGCGATGTTGTTTCCGATTTGTCTTTTCAGAATTTTGCTTTTCAGGTAATATCTAAACATGTATCTCAACATATTTTGGAAATCCAAATAATAAAGCTTTTGGATGATGAAACAACATCATGGCATCAAATCCAGTGGCATCATCCTATGTGGTTTCAAACCATCCTTCACTGTACACTCCTTTCAAATAGTTCCGAAATCCAGAACAACTCCACGATCAATTATACAACGTGAACAAACATTTAGTAACAACAAATAGTAAAGAATTCCTCTCATGTAAAATTCTCATACCTGTGGTTCCAAAGACAGTACTGGGAATCAATTCTTCAAGGAGAGAACCAGGTAACTTAAGGGTTTGCAAAACTCTAAAGAAGGAAACATGGTGCAAGGAATATCAATGAAACATTGTTGTTGATTCTTTCTCTGGAAGGTGTGCCACAATTCCAGAAAGTCATTAAATTTACGTTTCAAATAAGAGAGGGTTTGCTCATTCTTATTGTCCCTGCATTTTCTCACTGCGTTATTTAAATTCACATTTCAGGTAATTTCCTGTTCAGTATAAAAAAATTGGAAATCTATCAAGCTTTTTCTTTTTGAGAGATGATCAATAGTAGTATGGCATCTATTTCAATAGGAGAGAGAGGATGCGAGTCTTCCTCTTCGGCCCAATCTCCCTCTCCCACCGTACAACCTCCAAAATTGTTTTTCATTCCTTCTCCTTCATCAATCAAGAAGAAAAAACATGAGAGTAATGGCGACCACAATACCCACTCTAGCTTATCGGATCAGATGGATTCCTTGCAAGAAATGAAAAAGATTTCGCTGGAAAAGGAGTTACCTTTCAAGGTTTCTAAAGCTGTCTCACAAGTCTCTGAGAGTCCCGAAACAAAGAATATATTCAACGATAATTCAACTATAACATGTCCCAGTTCTCATGTTACTCATGAGATCCTAACCGATACAAAGACGATGAATAAGGAAGCCCTCAATGAGAGAAAGAAACATCTTCAAACCGAACTATCCTCCTTAGCTCCAAAAGATTTACTTGTTTCCGAGTTGTATCATTTGGAACATCCTCCACAAGTGTTTATGAAAGGAACAGATTTGTTCGAGAGAATGGATACTGAAGGAGCATCTTCGGGAGGCTTCACTCTAGAGTCCATTCTTTCAAGTGTTTATTCGGAAAAGGAAAACAATGTCAAGTACATTACTGAATCCCTTTTGGAAAACTATCAGTTGATGGTGGGGGAGTCCTATCAAGCAACGACTCTTGAATCTTTAAGAAGTTTAATTGATTCAAACGATGAGGAACGGATTAGTGGTGAGAAGAACAATGACGCTCTTGCTGACAATTCTCATGAGTTGAAAACATTGTGTCTGCATTTTCCTGATCTTCTGCCAAGCTTCATTCCCCATAACCAAACCACACAAATACTCAACCACAAAGATGAGGGATTTCTCTTTCGCGTGGTTGAAGAAATACTATCGAGCGGATCTTCCATTTCCTTGAATGAAGTGACATGTAGAGTTCGATTTTTGCAGACTCTCCAAGAGAAGTTACGAATTGAATATCAGTGTTACCAAACCCATCCACGCTGTGTGGACAGGAAAATGATAAGAGATGCATTGTTGGCTTTGATCATAGTGTTCTCTTCCATCAATATTTCAAGAGAGCTTGTGTCATTTGGCATTTTGGATTTATTGGTGGAGTATTTGAGAATTGAAAAGAGAGAAGAGGAGTATTTGAAATTTGTTGGATTTATTTTGCAATTCATGAACGATGTTGTGGAGAAGGCGGATCAGTCAAGGCATTTACTTCATTGGATTCTTCATGGGAAAGCATTATTTGTGCTGATCCAAAAATTAAACATGACCATGGAAATGATTGAAAGATCGAAAGAGATGCCTATCAGAAATAACCTTCCAAGACAAGAAACAGAAGACGTATCACTCATGATGTACGATTGTTTTATAGCAAGAAAAATAATCAAAATGTTCATGACCTTGTCGTCATGTGGAAGATTGCAGATATTTTGCTCACAGTCCTTACAATCTGATCACCATTCTAAAGAAGTGAAAGAGATGCCGCAGACACTGATGAAATCCATGTCTCTCGTCGAAAATATGAGAATAACCACAATGAAACTTCTTGCTAATTTGACAGACGTTCCTCGACTGAGGATTTGCATTTTGGAAGAATTACCTTTCATTCGATTAGTATTAAGAAATATGGAGGATATGAAGAGTTTCATGTGCTCCTATTATATATTTCTGCAAATATGCCATCATCCTTCGGTGGTAAGTGTTGAAACCTTCATTGAAAGAAAACCCCTTACACAGTTTCCCAAAAAGAATACCAAACATATCAACTGCGTACTATGGAGTCTGATTCTCGCAATATGCAGTGCAGAGCAGTTCGAGCATATCACAAGCATTGCAACAGAAATCAATCGAGTTCTTCAAAAGTAAGTGTGAATGACAAGACTTCTTTTTAACTTTATTCTATTAGACAACATGACCAAGAGATCGCCTTACCCTTGACAAGAGAGTTCGTTACTACCTTTTCCTACTCCTTTTATGAAATGATACATGAATTTCCTGAAATGTCAACACTAGGTTCGCTTTTGATAAGTCCAAACGATGAGAATAGCTGTCTTGCATTTGTGGAAATGCTCAGTGCAGAAGCGAATGTTAATGGTATTGGAATCTTAAGAAATAATTTAAAAAACAAGATCGATCAAGTTCTACGCGAGGACGAGTTGCTAACATACAAACAATGATTTAATGACTTAACATTCAGAACTATTCGGAAATAGGTCAGTCTCAGAAATGACAACAGTTGCTTGCCCAACGATACCAGAACTCTGTAGCGAGATTTTCTCATTGCATGGAATATCAATTTTAGGGAACGTGGTAGATAATGACAACTCTTTGCTGGTCGAATATGGTAAGGGTTTCCATACACCTGTTTCATCAAGGCATTCGATATACTGATACAATGCAAGACATGAGGCAGTGACTGGGAATTTTTGACTACATGAAGAGGAATCTGGGAACTTGAATTTGACTAGCACAGTCTTATCGTTGGCAGTATTCGATAAAACGTTCTTTACAAATTCTTTCTTTGTTTGTCTTTCTTTGAGAGTTTGCTTAATCACGTCTTGCTTTAATTTCTCATGTTTCTGAATTCTGTTCTCTCGTTCCTTTTCTTGCATTTGAGCGAGCTCTTGAGGGTCATCCAAGTCAATAGCAGGAACAAAATCTATTTCAACCTCCAAAAAGCCTCCGTTTGACAAAACACTAACAGCAGGCTGTGGTTGAGTTTCAATAATTTCAATCATATGCACATTATTGTCATCATCATATACTTGCAAAGACTGTCCTTCAGTGACACAACTATATTGAGACAAAGTATTTTCCAGCACCTCCTTGTAATTCTTAATATTGTAGAAATCCTTACTGTGTGGTTGAATTTTGAGACTAGAAGCTGGAGGAAGTGAGACACATCGTACTAAAACTTTAGACCCTTCGGTAATGAATAAAGAATTGAACATCCATTCTGGTACGATAATCTGTCCAGTGGGAGCCGAAAATTCTGAATGAATTAAAATTGTAAATAAAAAATCAGTTCATCAAAATTCACTCACCATTCACACCACAATATATCTTTTGGCTATGTCTTGTCTCTATTTCAAAAATTAACGGTAGCTCAACATTTGGATCTTCAAAAATCTTGGAAGCAGCTTCGCTTGGTAAAAGAACCTTATTACCTTTTTCCAATGCTTTCAAGTTGACAGAGACATCAAAGCATCGTTTACTGAAAGCAGAAGAAAAGATAAAATATTTCTCTTTGAACTTGTTGCTAGATGGAATTGAAAGAACTCTCATTTGTCTCACATAGCTATTCAATGCATTTTTAACATCATAACTCTTAAATGTTCGAAGATCTACCTTTGCGTCATGGTCAATAAGAATATTTTTGACTTTTGAAATTATAGATTCAATGGTCAAAAATTTGTTTTCGTTCCAGTTTGCCTTTGTCATAAACTCGGGACAAATAGTTCCATCAAATCTCACTAACCCTGTCAAATATTGGATTCTAGGTGAAACTATTCGTAAATGAGGAGGTTCATCAGGATAGTTCCCAAATCTAATTTCGAGAACAACTTCATCAGAGCCAAATTGATATTTTTCTCTAAAGCTTTTCAATCCAGAAGCAATCGATGAAGTGGTAGGAAAGTTGAATAGTGAGACAGTCCAAACATAAATATTTCCGTCAACCAAATCAACTCTCCATCCATTTCTACCGTTGACAGGATTAATTAATTTCAATTCAGTTAAAATACGTTTCTTGGCAGTTAAAGAGTACTCAATGTATTGTGAGGTCAAGGTACCCCAAGCATTTCTAAACATTTCAAAGTCGTCATCTTGGCTAATGTTTTGAAGTTTTTCAATTAATTCACTCTGAAATATAATGTATCCAATGGTGAGTTAACCTATGACACTTACCAAATCCTTCTCGAAATGCATATCGAAAATATTCTTTTGTTCTCCAATGTGAACTTTTTGAGGTGTTGGTGTTTGAATAATGCCATCATCTTCGTCTTCTTCTATGTCATCTTGATTATTGTTCAATTCTTGTAATTTCTTGCTAAATAAATCGTCTGTGGCATTTAAAACACCAGGAGTCAATGTTTCGAATGATTTTGAAACAAATATTTCAACAATTTTTGAAAGCAATACGCTGATTGCAATACTTGGTGATCCCATGCTTGCGTGGTCTCTTTGAATGAACCGATTAGCTTTTGCAACTACTTTCTCCAGTATGGGGTCACCTGACGTAACCATCAATCCCTCTCCTGGAGACATGTGAATATAATAAAAGTTTAGATCAATTTTAATCAATCATCAGTGATCGCACATTCATAATTGATCACCAGACTTACCTTCTGCTGGCTTGTACGTTTCAGGATAAATAATTGTAAATATCGAATCATTAAGATCAAACATGATCATCTTGTCCTGAGTGTTTAATTCGACCAAATTTAGATTTACCATAACTTTCATGAGCTCAGCTCGTGGTAATTTGAGAACGGAAGTGAGATGACTTCTCTCTACAGCACTTCTGGTAGCATTTGTTTTCAGAGATTTGAACGAATTGAACCACAAAATTACTTCCTCTTTGATGGCCTTATCAAGTTCACTTTCATTCTCCGATACAACGATAGAGGAAGGATCTACAAAGTTTTGTTGTGTCTTGTTCGGTCCGAGAAGAGACGACGACATTTTTTCGAGAAATAATAATAACTCGGTTTGAACTTGTTACAAAATTCTTGCGTAGTAATTGGTTCATGGGTGTTTGGTTTGAACGTTACCTATCTAGCAGCTTTGGTCCTCGTGTGAGTGTTTGATGACGTTGATCCATTCCATGTGACTTCAATAGACTTCAAGAGTGTCGACTGTTTGGTCCTCGTTTGTTGTGCAAAATTCGTCCGCAGCTCGTGTGACTGCATCTAACGCAAAAGCAAGCCGCAAATGGCGAACGGAAGGGGTTTCTTCAAATTTTTCCAAATTTAAACAAAAAATGACCCATGATGCTAACGGCAGCGGTGTATCAGCACCTCAAGAAACACCAACAACATCGTCGGCCTCCACAACAACACCAACAACAACAAACGTTGCATCATCTACTTCCACAACAAATCAAGATGAAGTCAATACTTCAGGGTTTTATCCTCCTAGAAAACCACAGGATCCGAATGATCAAAGACTCCCTGTGACTGTTCTATCGGGGTTTTTAGGAGCAGGCAAAACAACACTGTTGAAATATGTTTTGAACAATCAGGAAGGATATAAGGTTGCCGTCATTGTGAATGACATGAGCGAGATTAACATTGATGCAAAACTTGTTCATATCAACCATTTAAAGGTATGTTTTTAGAGTTTGGTTATTCGCTAAATCATCAACAAACCTGAATTTCTTCTTTTAGAACGATACCAAGGAACAAAAACTCATAGAAATGGCGAACGGGTGTATTTGTTGTACACTCAGAGAAGACTTGGTAAGTAGTAGTTGTTTCAGAACGCGTTTTTTAATGATTTGACATTTTTAGCTGCAAGAAATTGCTAAATTGGCCAACGAGAAAAAGTTTGATTACTTGATCATAGAATCTAGGTATGTTTTAGTAGTATGCATACATTCCAACAATAACCGATTTTAAAGTGGTATAAGTGAACCTTTACCCGTTGCGGAGACATTCACATTTTCTGTTGATGATTTCCTCAATTATGTTCAACAAACCAAACTGAAGGAGGAAAAAGCTCCAAGCGAAACTCCTATCAAAAATGTTACCCTTAAAAATCTTGCCCGCCTTGATACCATGGTCACCGTGGTTGATTCCTACAATTGGCTGCTCGACTACACCAGCGGCAAAACATTGAAAGACAAAAATCTTCAAAATGACGCTGATGATGACAGACAGGTTGTGGACTTGCTAGTAGATCAAATTGAATTCGCAAATGTTATTATTCTCAACAAAATTGACTTGGTAACAGCCGACGAGTTGGGCCTATTAGAACAAACTATTCGTCACTTGAACCCAAAAGCCAAGCTCATCAAGACAAAATTCGGAAAAGTTCCTCTTGATTGCATTTTTCATACCAATATGTTTGACTTCAATGAGGCGCAACAATCAGCTGGTTGGTTACAGGAATTGCAAGGAAATCATGTTCCAGAGAGTGTACAATACGGAATTACAAGTTTTGCATATAGAAGAAGAAGGCCATTCCATCCAAAACGTCTTTCAGATCAATTTATTCACAGTATGTATCCTTTATTTTTGTTTTTATTTTGATTACTTATTCGCAATAGATGAGGAAGCCCTTGATGGCGTTTTAAGAAGCAAAGGATTCTTTTGGCTTTGCACTAAGATGGATATTTATGGACTTTGGTCGCAAGCAGGTGACACCCTAAGAATTGAAACTGGAGGTAGATTCTGGGCTAGTATACCGAAAGAAGATTGGCCCAAAGATGACAATAGTCTTGCAAAAATTTGGGACCAGAAGTGGGGAGATCGAAGACAAGAGCTTGTCTTCATCGGAATGGACATTTCAGAGAAGGACATTTCTGCGAAACTTGATTCGTGCTTACTCACTGATGAAGAGATGGCCATGGAGGATAAATGGAAGGACTTTGAAGATCCAATTGAATTGGACGAAGAAGAAGAGGCCACCCATGCTCATACTCATGGAGATGCCTGTGCACACGATGGCAACCACGATCATTCTCACCATCATCATCATGATGACACCTCTGAAAAACATACCATTATTCTCAAAAATAAGAGGAAAATGCCCACAACAGAAGAAAATGGCCACAAACAAGAAGCTACACAAGACGACACAGATAAAAAGCGAAAGCTTGACCAAGCATTGGAAAATGAATCAACCCCTACTGAAGCTAAGAAAGTGAAAAAAGACTAGCCCAATAAAGCTCATTTACCTACTTAATTTGAAGGCAAGTATTTATAACTCAAAAGCTGCGTTTTAGTCTAGCAGACAAATCAAGATCATGTTCACCAAACAGAACATTTTAGAAAAGGGATGTCCTGTTTATAAAAAACAATGCCACCCACACCAAAGAAGAAACCGACCTTAGAGGAAATATCACAACGTTTTCATCTACCCCTTCAGAAAGCTGCCGATGACATGGGTAAGTGTATTGTATTATCACATCCTTTTCCTTACCTCGCTCAAAATTCTTTAAGGAATTTGCCAAACTCTGCTCAAGAAGTTTTGTAGGCAATACGGCATAACCAGATGGCCATACCGAAGAATTCGATCCATACTCCTCAAAGACAGTGATTCATCCGTGGTTGATGAGGAAGTTTTCAAACTCAAGGTGGCCGATTTCGTCAGAAATAATTCAGAAATAATTTATTCGCCCGAGAAGGATATCGACATCCCAGAGGGCTCTGCATCCGCTTCAAATTTAAACATGGGCCATTCATTGAATCATGATCACTCTACTCACAGTCTTACTTTTCATTCTTCTCATCAAAACCTCAACAACAACCATATTTCCTCGACCTTACCATCATTTCCTCAACATTCTTCATTTTCTCCTAACAACGATACCACACCAATGATTTGGGTGAATAACTCATCACCTTCACCGCCCCATACCTATATTCAAAATATAACTGTTCAGTCAAATCAAGAGCAATCAAACCTGATGGTCTACTCGCCACAGCCATCATCCACCTCTACCACTCAGTTTTCGAATGTAGCAGGAGACATTTTCTCTGCATTCTCCACTTCCCATGAGTATTTCAAATCGGAAAATTATACCGCAAAACCAACACCCAAGTTGATGAAAGCCAATAGTCATAACTCCATTTCATTTTCAAATTATAAGGAGACGCCACCACAACCTTTTCACTTCCAAGTCAGGCCACCTGTCCTTGAAAATTCCTCAAATTTACTCCAAATGCCAATTTCGCCTGTCCAAAACCAACATGTATATTCACAAATGAGCAGTAATAGTATCAGCTCATGCAGTAGTAGTAGTAGCTTGAGTGATCTTTCAGCCTCTTTTTCAAACCAGGTGGAGATTGATCTTGATAGTGCCTTATTGAGAAGAACTTCACAAAATGGAGCGAGACCACCACCACCTCTTAAAAAGAGTTCCTCGCTCACTGCAGTCATGCAACCAAAAAGGATTCAAAAGAAGAAAGAAAACTCTATAAGCACCAGTGCAGGGAACGTACAAAATTTGCTCCAGAATGTATCGAGCAGTCTATCAACAAATGTGTCCACCATTACTCCCTCCATGCATTTTACAAGCAACGAACAAGGTGTTTTGCGTCCCCCTCATATTGAGAATTTTCATAGTTCCCCTTCAACTCTGCAAATACCAAGACCTGTATTTGTGAAATCCAAATCTCAAGGTCATATTGGAATTCAAACCAAGCTTCTCCCAAGCTTGAACGAGTTGTTTGGAGAGAGATTTGTTGAGGAGACAAAACCACACCTGAACTCGTCCTATCATCCAAATCAAGAGCGTTAATTTCACAAGCTAGACTTGGGATTTCTGTGGAATGATACTAAAAGAAATGTGAGTAAAAGAATTGCAGTTATTTCATCTTTTCGCTGTCACACGAATCATCATCAGCCTTCTGTCAACTGATAACAAGAGCAACACTAAACGTACCAGCAAATTTGAACATCATATTTAATGGCATGTATATGTACAAGTGTAACGTAGAGATAAATACTATTTCTGCCACAGCTACTATTACTTATCAAAATTGGCAAAGATAAAGAGTTTTGTGATAAAAGTTTTATCCACAACATCCTCCATTTTTCTTTGGCTGTGGTTCGTCAGGGAATTCAGTGATACCTGTACCAGTATTGAAGGGTGTATCCTCTTCCTTTCCTAGAGCATTTCTTGCAATGGTTTCTAAATAATGGAATCCAATCATGAATTTAGTTGATGATAATTTCACACGAGTTGCGAATTTCAGAAATAAGGTTGTCATTTACAGAGCTCAACCAAATACTTACGAAAAGCTTGTTCCACGTTAGTACCATCTTTTGCTGAGCATTCAAAGTAAGGAATGTTACCCTTAGCTTTGCACCAAGCAAGAGCTCTCTTTTGTGGAACGACACGTTGTGGTTCCAGGTCAATCTTGTTAGCAATGACGACAAATGGGAAGTTATCTGGATCTGGTGGGCCAGCTTGTATTAAAAATTCATCTCTCCATGAGTTAATGTTCTCAAATGTCTTTGCTACAGTGGCATCAAAAACGAGCACACAGGAGTCAGCCCCTCTGTAGAAAGCAACTCCCAAAGATTGAAAACGTTCTTGACCAGCAGTATCCTGTTAACAATGTTATTTGAGAAGGACCAAACGTTGATTATTATTTTGGTATTCGAATAACACATGTGTTGAATGCAGAAAATTGCCGATATTTCACAAAGCAACCAAAAGAGTCATGTCATCATCACAACACCATCGGAAATTGAGAAGGGTGTGTTACGTAAATTAAAACCCATCACGAGAATGTGAGTAGATGCCCGAAGATATTAGAAAATTGTTGCCTCACTCCTGTAGTACGTACCCAAATTTGCATAGTAACAAGACGATCATCTACCATCACTTCCTTGGTAAGAAAATCTGCACCAATGGTAGCCTTGTATTGATTACTAACATCATTTCATCGTCAACAAATAATCACCACAATAACAAATAATAATCATCACCATTGCGATGATTAAAAAATGTTCAGTCCATCAATAATAAAACAATCAACAACACACCTAAATTTCTTGTTCACATATTGATTCATAAGACTGGTTTTACCGACACCAGAATCACCAAGGATAATCACTTTCAAGAGCACCTTTTTTCTTGAACTCATTTCAACAGCAGCTTCAATAACCGAAACGAGGCTTTCCAAGCGAGAGAATTTTTTTCAGAGTGGTTTCTCGGAGTATTCACTCTGCTTTCATGACATTAGAGGACCACTCATTGTTCAAAAAACAACAACATCATGAGTGGTTTTACTTTTTGAATATTCTCTCTAGGCGAACAGTGATAACCGTTCTACCTGAAAATTTTCTTCAAAGATCAAAAGGAAAATCATCTCAAAAAAATCATCCCCTATTCCGAAGGCACTCTCTCACACCGCATGCTGGCTCATTAAAACCAAAATCCACACAGCGGCAAGAACTAAAAACAATTGAATTGATTCATTCTTTGAATTGCAAGAATTGATCATATTTATTGGAAATTGAAAATGTCGGCAAATAACAATAATAACCTTCAAGTTTCCTTGTTGCACGATTCTGATAATGATGATGATGAAAGTAGAAATTTAAATAATAATAATAACAATAGACAGAGCATCAATAGCGTTCAAGATGATAGTTTACCGTCAAATACTCGTGTAATTGTAGAGACTCCAACATTCTTCTCTCGGTCCTATCGATTTTTGAAGCAAACAGTTCTTCCTCAAGATATTGGAGAAGATGATACCATCCAATTATCATTGATCCAAAAGTTTTTAAAGTACAGAGTCTTTCCAACCAAAATGGTTGTTGACATTCTTCAAGTCTTTTTGGTGATTTTATTTGTTTCTTTCTATGTATCCGAGTTCAAAAATTACAAAACTGACATTTCAACCTCATTTGCCAACTACTTCCTGCCTCCGTAAGTGTTGTAATTGAAAGAGAAATAATTGATAACAATATATTTTTGAAGTGGATTTGAAGGAATTAAGGAAAATGACGATGGTACGTGGCGTGTCATGCTTTTAATTGATACTCAACCTTATTTCAAATTTGAAAATAATAATTTAAATAAGGTTTTTATACAAGTTATATTTACAACGTGGACGACTTGCAAAAGAATATTCAATCGATTGTGTTAAAATACTACTCTGTACAAGAAGATTCTGTGAGTGTGGTAATTCCGACTTCGCAAGATCTTGTCAAATTGCATGTGCTAATGTTAAAAGAAAATCCGAGACAACTCTTGTCCAATGAAACAGTGTACGACTCAGATCCCTCCATAGTAGACTGGAGATTTATTGCAAGAGGTGACATTTCTTCTGTTCTTTTCTCAGACACTGTTGAGGTATTTGAAAATTTAACAAAAGATGACCCATTAGGAACTTTGTTTAATGTGACAGGAGAAGAGTTGAAGTATGTTGTGGACAGAATCCAACATATGGAGCTCTTTTTCAAGATCATTACTCTCGATACAAGTTTGCCAGGTTATTCCAGTTGTTACAAATGGACAGTTCAGTTCAATTTCAAATTTTTTGGAGGTGGAAGAGTAGATTTAAGATTGAATAGAAATTATGGTAGGTACATTCTATGGATGGTACATGCATAGACAACTTGCTAATATTGATTGATAGAAAACTGTGTTGCAAATGATTCTGATTTTTACATTTCAATTTTTAAGAGACCCAGAGGATATGTAGGTCTCTTTGTTTGTCTGATATCTTTTCTTTCCCTTGTGTTCTATTCCAAATCCGTAATCACAAGAGTGAGGGTGTTTTATGTAAGTATAATGTTCTAACAACAAAGTATATATTTATTCAAACAATTATTAAATAATTGTTTATTTCTAAATAGAAACGAAGAAAAACGAACAGAATGCTTACAATTTCAACTTTATTGTCTGAATATTTGGGATTTTCGCTTTTCATAGTATTCCTCAAAGATTTTCTGCTCATTCTTGGATTTCTTGCAATGATCATTAAAACGGTTACAAACGAAACAATGGACGTTTTTTCTCAGACATGCCTTGGTGTTGGATCCTTTTGTTCTCTCATTAACTTGACCAAGTATTTCAATTACCAAGCCAAGTTCTATTTAGGTGAGTAGACATGAATATTTGTTTAAACCAAACAAGTTTAACATGACTCTTTTTACAGTGGCAAGAGCCTTTACCAAATCCATTCCAACTGTATTGAGATATGTTGGAAGTATTTCTCCAATATTTGCAGGATTTGTTTGTTGTGGTGTGATGTGGTTCGGTTTTTACTCTAATTGTAAGTACTTCATTTATCTATGATAGTGAGGAAGATCAATACCTGCATCTTTAAAGACTTCAGAGATGTTGATGGAACTATGGTTACATTATATAGTGCCATGCACGGTGACAATTTGAGAATTGTTTTCGACAAGACATTTGCGTTTAGTTTATTTCACAAAGCTCTAGGAAGATTGTATGTCTTAATCTTCGTAAGTAGAATTAACATTTACATTGATGAATGACTCTTAATATCATTATGATCACAGTTATTATTATTTAGTAAGTAACAATACATAGAGAGTTCATTTTACGAGCATACAATGCTTGATAGTTTGTGCCATTGTGAACATTTTCTTATCCATTGTTCAGGAATCTTACTCGAATGTATTAATGAAAATTACAGAAGCAGGAGGTGAAGACGAAGCAGTGACCATGATCAAACAAAAAGAGGCAAAATTGGATAATCTCACAAGTCAGACCTATCTCAATCTCAAGACCATGTCTGAGAGATCTGAAAATGGTGATGATGATGAAGAGGATGAACAAGATGACAATGACAGCAATTTGTTACCTGTGAACCTTCTTTTCTCTCCACGACCAACAAGAACCACCTCTGTAGAGGACAAGAGTGAAACTCTATTCATTAACTCCCTCAAGAAAGCAATCTATGTCAAGATGGAGCATCAATACTTGGGCCAGATTCCAACCAAACAGCTCGACAATCTGAAAGATCTCATACATCAATCTAATGTCTTGATTTCTAAATTTGCAAAATAATGCCACCCACATCAAACACCCGCCATTTCAATACAACAATTTTCGATTCGTAATTCTCTCTTTTTTTGACTTGTAGCAAAAAATGAGCGATTATGAATTTGATGATTTTGAGGACGATTTCGAGGACGATTTCGAGGAAGATGAAACTCCTTCTCCTCAGGCCATGATGGTGGTTTCATCCAAGCAGGCTTCAGCACAGTCAATGATTCCAAACAATTCAAACCTTACTCCAGCTAGTACAACAACACTTAATACAGCAACCATTCCGATGTCTTCGTCGGGATTCAATAGGTAGGTTGTAGTGACAAATTCTGAAGAAGACTGTTTGTATATCACCGGAACAATTAGAGAGACAGAATATCCAGTCATTAAGAATCAAGAGGAATCGTTTAAAGCAATCAAAATTAAACCAACACTTTCAAAAGAGGAGAAAGAGAGGCTAGAAAAGATTCAAAAGAAGTACGATAGAGCAACAAAATTATTGGAACTCATTTCGCTTGACAACATCTCCTTTGAAATAATTGATTTGCCGCCTCTTTCAGATTATGAAATGTATCAACGATCTTTTGGCAAAGATACAACACTCAACACCTCAACTCAATGTCCTCCGATCGACGAAAGAAAAGAAATGGGAATGAATACAATTCCACAAACTCAAGTTTCTAAAGGAGTACAAGCTCCTGAAGACATCGGAATTTCAAACAAAAGTACTCCAAAAAATAGCATGGACAAATTCAAATTTAATTCCTTAACACTTTCAAGATTTTTAAAAGCTGTCTACCCAGTTTGTGACAGAATTTTGGAATCCAACACAGACTCAAAATCAACCAGTGAAGATGCTAAGAAGAGAGAATCAATGTTTAAATTCAGCTCAAATTATTCTGTGTTTTCAACTCCTTTAACAAAGGATCGAGAAGTAAGAGAAATTACCTTTACAAAGGACAATCAAATGCTTGTGTGTTATGGGCCCTCAAAATCAGAATCTTGTATTTTGGAAGAGGGATTGATATGCATTTGGGACCCTCTAAACGAAAGATCTCCAACAATGTAAGTGAAACACTTCAACAATGATATGAACAAAAAACTCTGACCTTCAAAAGATGTCTTCGATGCGGATCAGAACTCACCTCTGTGTGCTTTTTGCTTGATCGCTCTCATATTGTCATTGGAGGATGTAAGGATGGCTCAGTAGTAGTATGGGATTGCAACCAAAAACCAAAAACGATTCAAATTGGAGATACTTTTGTTTCAACAATATTTCCCTCTTTTTCGACAGCTAACATGTTTGGAGAAACCCATTTATGTTCAGTGGTAGGTACAAATGTTAGTTTTAATATTTGAAGAGACATACTCTTTGACGTATTTTCCAATTCACACTGTACAGACAAGTGTGAAATCAATCAGCGCTTCCCTTTCCATGTATTCCAAAGAGATTAGATCAATGGGAGATTACTTTATCTCTTTAGACGAAGCAGGAAATGTTATATTTTGGTTGGTCATGTTTCTCTCTCAACAGTAAGTTTGTTCATTCCGAGTTGCATCATCAAAATTCTTAATAGGAGTAGTAGTTTGACCGACTCAGAGTTTGGGCTAAGCATTGGAGGAAAAGTAAAACTTGTAAACAGTGGAAGAATGAACATTTTTGGAGAACCTTTATTGGACATTAATTTAAAACGAGCTGATATTGAAAGAGAAACAAGTCTAGCGGCAACCATTCTTAAAGGAATCAACTCAATAGAGCAGATTGAACACAACTCTTTTATTCCTTCAATATCTGCTGCTGCTTGTTTAGAAATTGATCCTGACGACCCATCTCAGTAAGTTATTGACATTTCATAAATTTATTTTCTTTGACATAAATACACAAAACCTTTGAAAAGATTTGTGGTGGGAACAGATTTTGGGCAAATATTACGTAGAGGACGATTTATTGAGAATGTAAAACCGTACAATAGCGTCAAACGAAAAGACGGATATTCTTCAAACATTCATCATTTAATGTCCCGAGTGACATGTATGGATTTCTCTCTTTTTATGCCCCAGTATTTTCTTGCCGGATTCGAAAATGGTCAATTTGCCATCTATTTGAAAGGGTATGAAGATCCAATTATAAGTTTCAAAAACTATTGCAATTGCTGTGTTGTTGATGTCAAATGGAGTTCTGTGGATGCCTCACAGTTTTATGTGCTCACCAGTGAAGACGATCTTATAGTAATTAACCTTTCTCAAAACGATATTGTTATTGCTCAAGAGAAAGTCACTCTTAAGGGACACGAGAAAGACAGAGTCAACCGTGTGAGCTGCAAGTTAGGAATTCTAAGCCTCTCACAAAAAGATAAGGCTCAACGTATTGTTGTTAGTAATCAACAGGAACTAATGAAGTCACTCAACAAGAATGACAGAGTGGCAATTGGATACATAGATGGACGAGTGGATTTACATTGGATAGACACTCCTTCAAAAATTGTCGATCTCAAGGAATCAATCTCTAAAGTTTCAAAAGAAATACAAAGCTTTATTACCTAAAACTGGAGATTACAGAGACAAATTGTCGAATTGGCTCCACTCTTCAAACTCCTTAATGGCAGACTGCATTTCATTTTCAATTGATGCTAGCTCGTCATCGTCAAATTCGTCAATATGTTTCATCTGAGTTGATGGAGTAATTATACCATCTTTCTTCGAATCAGAATAAACGATGGGTGAGACGTTTGAAGATGTACCAGTGGATTTAACCGGAGAGGTTTTAGAAGCACTGGTTGGAGTACGTCGATAAGGGGTTCTATCTTTTACAACTGAGGATTCATCAAAAAGTGATTCAATAATCATGCTTGCTTTGCTGTCAACCGTTCTCCTTCTCTCATGCGTTGACGAATTGTTGTGTTTTGGAGATATGGAGTAATCAATATAATTACTTGAATGTTTTTTCAGATAGGGTTTTGGAGATCCTGAATTGTTAAAACGAGGATCAAATTCATACAGCTCTTCTAAATCTTTGTCAAAAGATTCAATCCACAGAGAAGCGAGCTCAAGAGACTTGGGGTTAATAATTGGCTTGAAAGTACATTCCTTCATTTCAAGCTCATCAATATCATGTTTCATTTGCTTAATCCTGTCTTGACGTTGCTTTTCTTTTTGCAACCTTCTCTGAAGAAATGATTCTACTTCAAATTTCTTTTTGTGAGCATTTGGACCTTCATTGACGTTGAAGGAATTGTGATCTTCTTGTGATTTCCTTGGAGAGTACAAGGGCTGTCGTTCAATGTGCTTTGCAAGATCTAAGGAATGTCTGTTGATATGGGGTTTAAACGAATATTTATCCTCCTCATCCTCCTTTAGCTTAGCTTTTTTCTTTTCTGCTTCGGACTGACGCTCCATAACCTTTTTGTAAAAATCAGTCTCTGAAGCCTTAGTTTTGTTTTTTTCATCATCGGTACTGTTGGAGCTTGTGTTGTGTTCAGATGTGTTGTTCTTTCTTTTCTCTTTTTTCAAATTTGAAGAATCTTCGTCGTTTTTCTTTTTCTTTGCATCCTCATAGAGTCTCTCAAATGTATCTAAGGAAGCTTCTTGCTCGGTCCGATGTTTTTGGGCAAGCATGGCTGACTTTTCATTGATCTTGGGTGAAAAATCATATTGCTCGTCATCCACACCAGAGGGCTTTTGCCTAAACTCATCAAACCTTTTTTCCCATCCCGAAATTGGCCCACTATATTCTTTCTGTTCCATCTTCTTCATGATGATGAATTGAGATACTAAGGAGAGAGGAGCTGGTTTTGCTGATATCAGCTCTTCCTCTTTTTGGGCTTGCTTTGCTCGCATCTCCTCCAAATTTTGGTCTACTTTTGATTTCTGTAACGATCAATGTTGAGGATTGCCAGTGAATTCATACAAACCTCAAAACTTACCCATTTGTTATTGAATTCATATAAACTCTCTTCTCTCACGAGTTTTTTAGCCTTTTTTGAAATTGTCGGCTGAAAAGTACATTCATCATCACCTCTAGTCTCCATTCTTTCTCTTTCCTTCATCAGTTTTTGCTCCTTTTGATCTAAAAACTTTCTCCCCCTCTCATAGAGGGATTCCTTCATCGTTAAGGCATCATGTTCTTCCTGTTCGTCGGTCGTAACTTTTGAATCATTAATGCTCATTTTTTTATGAATGTTCTTTCATGACCGTTATCGTTCAAAGCAGTTTTGGTCCGATTTAAACAACTCTTGTAAGCTAACAAAATACATTTCCTTGAATTGACGACTGTTGTGGATGCACAATGAATTAAGAGCTCACATTTGGGACATGCGCTACCATCACACCTGCACATTGAGTCAAGCCAGCACCATCATCACTAAGATTGCAAATTTCGATTGAATGTTCAACCCATTTTCGATTGATGTGGCGCCATTTTGATTTACAAAAAAATATCCATATGGAACAAACTGAGGGAAATCCAGCAAATAACTTGGCTCTTGTGAGGGTAGGTGAGAACCCGATGATTCTTCGTTCTTCATCTTTTTCATACAACAACATTTGGATTCCGAAAATCATCATGACGGAAATGATGTTGCAGCATTGTGATATGCCTGAGGATATGAGGATTGATTGTGTTGAGACAGTTTCCTCAGCAATTGAGACAGCATTGGAAAAACAACCCCAAAATTATGAAAACGCTGCAAAAGCAATTAAAATTCAAATGGACAAAAAGTATGGAAAATCGTGGCATTGCATGATCGGAGAGGGATTCGGGTTTTCCATAACACATGAAGCAAAGAACCTTCTGTATTTATACTTTAACGGGAATCTTGCTGTACTTGTATTCAAAGGTAGGTTATGTGCAAATACCTGCGTCATGTTTACACCCTGTTAGCATTGTAAATCTTTAATGTAAATAAAAGTGCCACCAAAAAGGAAAGCCAATCGTTGTCAAAGAAATAAATTTTCAAAATTACACAATGATCAAGATTTATGGCTGTTTCTTAGATTTACTTCTTCTTCTTATTCTTCTTGTTCTTCTTGTTGTTGTTGTTTCCGATGGCTTCTTCTTGTTTCCTCTTCTTTGAGCTTTCGTCTTGCTTTGGAGCTTGCTTCTTTGGTGATTCCTTTGGAGTTTCCTTCTTTTGAGCTTGCTTTTGTTGTTGCTTAGGTGGTTGCTTCTTCTCTTCCTCTTTCTTTGGTTGCCCGGCCTTCTTTTGGACCTCATCCAAAATCTTCTTGATTTCTGCATCGGTAGCTTCTCTTCCGAGTTTCTCCTCAAGGGCACTAACTTTCTCCATGACAATTTCAGCGACTTCATCATCGATTTCCTCATCATCCTCATCCTCTTCACCACCCATTGGAGGTTCAACTTCATCTTCGTCAGTCAACTCCTCAATTTTAGTGGCAGATTCAGTGGACTCGTTCAAATCTGGCTTGAAATCTTCGTCATCCTCATCTTCATCTTCTTCCTCCAACATTTGTCTCAAAATTTTGTTCTTTTCTTCATCTGATTCATTTCCATCAGCCTCTTCATCGTCAATGAAAGAATAGCCGCCATACTCACCTTCTTCGTCCTCTTCGCCGACCAAGTTGATGTAACCAGTAACGTGAACAGCAACATCATCTCCAGCAGTAGTCTCCAAAGAGAGAGCGACATCCTCGCTAAAGTTCAAATCAACAACAACAGATTCCTTCTCCTTTCCAACAAGGGTGCAAACAACAAACTTGTTATCTTTTTCGCTGTCTTCATCATCAACAGTGTGAACATAGACTCTAGTGATTGATCCCTTTGGAGTATCCTTAGCAAGAGCAATAGTAGAGAGGTGGAGAACAACTTCACCGAATGGGATTTCAAAGGTTTGTGGTGGGCCAGTCTTGATTTCTTGACCAAAGAATGAGAAAATGTTGGACATGTTGTGTGTGATAGAGATTGTGTATTCAAAGTTAGGTTATTTTTTTTAATGCGAAATGTTCAACAATTTTGAGCTCCTTTGTAATAAAATATTCTGGCTGCGTGTGGGTTACGACTTCCTCGAAGTCAGCGATTTGATCTCAGCTCACTGTGTATTTGGTCATGGTCTTCTGTTGAAAGTATTGTGCCTGGAAGGTTGATGGTTGTGCAACATTACGTTGAATTTTTCGTCTTCAAGAATTTGAACGAACATTGTAGTCCAACTGTGTTCTTCAATCGTATCTTGCAAATCTTTGTTGAAGAAGAAAAAAATTAATTCATGAACGCATCTTTTCGATCCGATATGACACTCTCTTCGGAATCAACATTGACATGGAATGGAAGCTCAAAGAAACGAAAAAGTATGATGAATAACATATCGGAGAATGTTGATCATCACACTGATGAAACTTCAGTTTCAAACGATCATTCGAATATTAATACTAAAACGAAAGAGGAATTTAAAGTCATTAAAAGTTTTCCCAATAATGCAGCTAAAAAAACAAAACTTTCCTCGAATGAAAAATATTTAAAAATTCAACAAGAAAGAAAGTCTCTTCCAATTTATAGTGCTCGAGACGCGTTAATTGAGGAATTTAAAAAAAGTAAAACAATTGTAGTAGTTGGTGAGACTGGTTCAGGAAAGGTATGTGATTTTCAAATGAGGTACAGCAACACCAAACAAAGGAACGAATTCTTTTTAAATTGAAATTCCAATGATTGTACAATTTCATGAACCTGTTGACACAGACAACTCGTACGTAAGAAAAATTTGATAATTTTTCAAAGTAAAATTCTTTAACCATGTGTATGAAAGAAATTCCACAATTCATTTTTGAGAGTGGTATTTGTGGAGAGGGATGTATTGCAATTACACAACCAAGAAGAGTTGCTGCCATTTCAATTTCTAGACGTGTCTCAGAGGAAATGAACATCAAACTAGGAGAACAAGTTGGTTACACAATTCGTTTTGAAGATGTGTCGCATCCGCAAAAAACAAGAATTAAGTATTTAACGGACGGTATGCTGCTCAGAGAGTCACAAATAGATCCTCTACTTAAAAGATACTCTGTAATTATTCTTGACGAAGCTCACGAAAGAACTTTGCATACAGATGTTCTGTTTGGTGTTGTGAAACGATTGTTGAGCCAACGAGATGATTTAAAAGTTATAATCATGAGTGCCACCTTAGAGGCTCAAGCTTTTTCTAAATTCTACGACAAGTAAGTTCTCATTGAGAAGGTGCATTGAATTGGTTGATCCAACCAACACAACAACTAGTGCCAAGATTTTATATGTCTCTGGTCGTCAATTTCCTGTAGAAATTTATTATACAGAACAACCAATTGCTGACTATGTAGATGCTGCAATTACTACAACTTTTCAAATCCACTTGGATGAACAAACAGAGCAAGGAGAATCCAAAGGAGACATTCTTGTATTTTTAACAGGACAAGAAGAAATTGAACAAGTGGCCAAATTGTTGGAACAAAAAGCACAACTTCTTCCACCTGAATCACTTAAGGTATGTTCATCACCATCATGTTCAAAATTCTAATTCCAAAATTCTGTTAATTAATGATATAATAATAATCCTTATTGTTTAAATGTTGAAATCAAGTTAATGGTATGCCCTATCTTCTCTGCCTTACCCTCAGAGAAACAAATGGAAGTATTTGAACCTGCCCCTCCTGGTTGTAGAAAAGTCATTCTCGCAACCAACATTGCAGAAACATCCATTACCATTAATGGCATTCGATTTGTCATTGATACAGGTTTTGTGAAATCTAAGGCTTTTAATCCGCTCAATGGAATGGAGTCTTTAGCTCTCACTCCAATATCCAAAGCCTCTGCTCGTCAAAGATCTGGTAGAGCCGGCAGAGAATCGAGTGGAAAATGTTATCGACTCTACACGGAGGAAGCTTATCACGCTCTAGATGATTTCACATTACCAGAGATTTTGAGATGTAATCTCTCTACAGTGGTTCTTCAACTTAAATCGATGGGAATTGATAAGGTACACAAATTTGATTTTATGGACAAACCTCCAAAAGAGTCTCTCAAAAAGTCGCTTGAAACTCTTTATCATTTAGGAGCTTTGGATGATAAAGGATCACTCACTGAATTGGGAGTAAGGATGGCAGGTTTCCCATTGGAACCAATGTTTGCCGTCTCTTTGTTGAGATCGACAGAATTTGGATGTACCAAAGAAGTTCTCGATATTGTTTCCATGCTCTCAGTGGAATCCATTTTCTATGCTCCTTTTCATAAACGAGAGGAGGCTAACAAGATTAAGATGAAATTTGTCTCACGAACAGGAGATCATTTAACATTATTGACTGCCTTTCGAGAATTTAATCTAGTGAAAAAGAGTGCAAAAGAAGATATCAAAAAGTGGTGTTTTGATCACTACATTAATTACAAATCCATGACCAAAGTATTGGAAGTGAGAAAACAACTGAGAGACTATCTCCTCAACATGAATATTGAAATTGTTTCATGTGGGAAAGACACGACTATGGTTCGAAAAGCACTCTGTGCTGGATTTTTCACAAATATTGCCGTTCGAGTGCCCAATAAGAGAATGTATCGAACGGTGACTGATAATATTGAGGTGAGAGTTCATCCTTCCAGTGTTTTACAAGATCCATTTCCTGATTGTGTTCTATTTAATCAAATGATTCTCACAACCAAACAATACATTAGAGATGTGTGTGCGATTGATGGCGATTGGCTCAAAGATGTCGTTCCTCCTCAATACAGAAATTTGTTGGGGACTCAAACTGCAAACATGCTCAAAGAGACACAAGAAGCCAAACAAACTGTGGAAGAGAGAACGAATAAGAACAAACAGCAACAAACATTTGTTGTGAAACACACACCCTAAGAAAGGTGTATTCATTCGAATGATTATTTGTTTTAACTGTGTGTGTTCGAATGTGGAGTCTCAAGTCTCACTAATAACAAACCCATGACTATAAAGAGACTCCAGAGAAGGTGCATAATCCCAAATCATTGCAATGATGCATTTCTGATTGTTGGTATTAAACACATCAATCGTTGAATTATTATTATTATTGATATCAAAATTCATGAGAGCTTCTCAGGATGTGATGCATTCAATCATTTCCGAAATATTCTAAATAAGAAATATTTAAGAATACATCAACAATGTTTTTCAAGAATAAAAATGCTCGAAGATTTCCTTCGTGTCGCTCAGGGAGTTGGACTCGTATTGTTGGCCTCCGGTAAACGAAGTGCCAATTCAATGAAGAAGGCCACCTCTCCCTTCACTCTCTATCCACAATCTCCAATACAACAATTTGCTCATAATATTAAAACGATACAAAATGCTCCGAATCATCATGGAGTGATGAATTCATCCACTTTGACATCTTCAGCAACAATAACTTCCGAAACTCCAAAGTTTGAATCAACGAACTCTTTATCTCAAACTCAATTCGTGAATTTTAACGTTGAAAAGCAACAGGAACAGACCGTATCAAAAACAAGTAATATTTACTTTGATAATTACGGAAATTTTGCGTCATCATCAATAGACATGAAGATTGTGGAAGAACCTCAGGCACAAACACAGATCTCTGATTCAAATTTACAGTCTTCATCTGAGCCTAAAGATCATTTTAAGGCAATCAATGAAACACCATCATCGATAGCTACGAAACAAGAACAAAAGTTAACAAACACTACATCAACTTTATCAGAAAAATCTACAAGTGAGGATTATGGCTCGATAATGTATGAGGCACTTATGCTAGGTCAAGCTGATATAACAGAAAGGATGAAGCACAAGTCTGATAACACAGTTGCAACAGAACAACAGCAAGATATTCATACGAGTGAAGATGAAATCAAACTTCATGGTATCGGTTCAGGACTTAAAGAAAAGAAAGTTCCAACAAATTCAATTTCTAGAGCAATTCAGTTTGCTGCTCTGGGTATCAAAATTGGAGTCAATGCTGCCTTTTCTTCTAAAAAGCAAGATCAGCCAGAATCAGAAAGCTCAGAAAACATACCTAAAGAAGCCAACAAGGAAAAACCAAAATTATCTGTCAGTGATGTTTTAACAGAAAAGAATGCTGAAATTTTGGCTGACACTCTCTGCAAGATGAGAGGTGCAGCTCTAAAAATTGGACAAGTCATGTCCATTCAAGACGAGAGTACAGTACCACCAGTCATTCAAAAAGCCTTAGAAAAGGTGAGACATGCAGCAAATATTATGCCTCAATGGCAATTAGAACAAGCCATGTCTTCGCAATTCGGAGAAGAATGGAAAAGCGGATTTAAATATTTTGACATGAAACCAATTGCAGCAGCCTCAATAGGTCAAGTACATAGAGGAATTCTTACAAACGGACGAGAGGTTGCAATTAAAGTTCAGTACCCAGGAGTTGCAGAATCAATCGATAGTGACATTAGAAATGTTGAAAGACTCATGAAATACACAAACCTTGTTCCTCGAGGCGCTTTCTTGGATAAAACAATGGAACAAGCAAGAAAAGAACTATCTATGGAGTGTGACTATATTCGTGAGGCTAAGTGCCAAAAGAAGTTTAAAAAACTCATTCAAGAAGATGCTCTTGCTGAGAAGCAAAGAAATTATGTCACTGATGTTCCAATGAGCTGTTTCAGTGTACCTGATGTTGTAGACGAGTTCACCACAAGAAGAGTTCTCTGTACTGAGCTAATCAAGTACGGAAAGACAATTGACCAAATCAAAGACAGTCCTGTTGAGGTGAGAAATAAGGTTGCAAAGCTCCTCTTAAAGCTGTGCCTGAAAGAGCTTTTTGAATTTAAATTTATGCAAACAGATCCTAATTGGTCTAATTTCTTCTACGATGTAAAAACTGATACAATGCATCTTCTAGATTTTGGTGCATGCATGGAATTTCCACAAGAGTTTGTAGATCAATACATTCGTGTAGTGTATGCCAGCGCTACCAAAGATGTTGACACTGTTATTGACGCTTCTCGAAAGATGGGTTTCTTAACTGGTGAAGAATCTCAAGAGATGAATGAAGCTCATGCCAAAGCAGCAATCTACATTGGTGAACCCTTCTCGACTGAGGGTGTATATGACTTTAGAAGTGCTGCCATTCCAGAAAGAGTGACCAAGATCATACCAACCTTGCTCAGACACAGACTCACAGCACCACCACCTGTTACTTACTCTCTTCACAGAAAGTTATCAGGTGCATTCTTGCTTTGCAACAAGTTGGATGTTGCAATTCCATGCAGAGAAATTTTCCTTGATGTATACGAAAGATATATGGAACGAAGGGCAAAAGAGATGAACTCTCAAACCAATAAACAATAAGAGGTTTTTTATGAGTAATTGGTACTACCCTCGTGAACTGCACCTGCCAAAAACTGAGCTTGTAATTAAGTGCTTATCTCTTACCCAATCTCTTTCTCAAACTTCTTGTCTTCTTCAATCTTTTTCTGTACTTGTGTTTCTTCATCTTTCTGTGTCTTTTCCTTTTTACACTGTCCATTTTGAATGTGTCAATAATGATTGGTCTCATTGGTTTGTTCTTAGGAATCACTGGTATGATAAATTGAAAAATTAAAAGCGAATAATAATGAAGCAAAATAGAAAGTACAATGTGTGCATATGATGTATATTATTATTTCAATCCATATTGTACGAATATTTCCGCCAAAGTACCAATTTATAATAATGATAATAATTCAAGAATATGCATACAACCCATTAATTAAATTCCACCATGTCCGAAACAACAAAAAACATAACATTTCAATCTAAATCGACTGCTATTGCCACCATTCTACATACCTCCAGATACCAAATTCGATGATTCACTAAAATTCAAAACTACAATTTTGTTTGGTCTTTCTACAGGTTTGATAACATTGTTTTTGACTGGTATTGAAGGTTTCATAATTCCTAGAGAAAAGTTATTGCAGATTCCAAAGTAAGAAGGTTGCCGAGCCAACGAAACAACACTCCTCACAGCAGGGAGTGATGTGAATCGGGCACACAGCCTATTCATATTTTTTATTTTCTCGCCAAAGTCTTTGAGATGATGATGATGAAATCATGATGTGGGTGAGGTTTTTTGTTCCATACCAAGTAGCAGATAGAGTTTGGTCAAATGATTCATGAAATAATCTATCGGATGTAACGGTCAAGAACAAAATATTGCACCATCAACACATCATCAGCTTAAAAATATGCCTCCAAAGTCGAAGAGAAGATCAACTAAAAAGAAGACCCCTGCAAAAGCGTCTGTTGCTGACGAAGCAGCAGAGGAGATGGATGAAACACGATCGGATCATGGAGATTATTCATTAGAAAAGACGGAAAATATCAATGATGATGATAATATGAATAGTGATGATGATATTAATAACAACAACAATCATGAAGAAAAAGATGATACAATTACAACAACGCCAAAACGAGCACGAAGGAAACCAATATTTGATCCGTCTGATGTGAATCACTCAAAAGCAGAAAGTTCTTCCGTTGAAGATTTGGACGATACAGAATTGACTTCATCCGAAAAGAAAAGAAAAAGAGCAATTTCAGAAGAAAATGATGACGACACTGATGACGGCAATACGGTCACGGAGCCAATAGATTGGACAAACAAGGACGTTCTTGAAGAGTTGTCCATTGGAGTGCTGCAAGAAGAAGTCAAGAGAAGAAGCATGCCTATCAAAGGTAATAGAAAAGCTCTCATCAACAAGATACTGAAGTCAAACACAGATTTTGACACTGAGGACTCTGAGGAGGGAATAGAAACAACATCAAAGACTGTCACAAAGGGTACAAAACTAGTTTCCCCAGAAAGCGTTTTTTCAAAAAGCTATACACCTTCCAAAAAGTCACAAGGAAAGAGAGAGAAGCCATTTGATCCAAGAGATGCTGAGACATGGACTTTGGCAGAGTTAAGAGAATATTTAAGGGCTATTGGTATTAATGCATACGATAATAAGCAAAAAATTATGGAACGATACATGCCAACAATCAAAGCTAACCTAAGAAAGATTTATGGAGACAGTAGTGGTGGAAGTAGTAGTAATGCCTCCAGTAGTACGGAGACAGCAATTCCAAAGCCAAAACCACCGACACAAGTTAAAAAAGGAGCCTCAAAGAAATTAGCTGTAGAGCAAAAAGAAACTCCTAAAAAACAAACCAACAAAGAATCACACAAACCTCCCACAAAGAAAGACCAAAACAATGTGACTAGACAGGATGGTAGATTAAATCAAACAGTCTCAGAAAAACAGCCTACTGTCGATGAAGTTCCACCAACCTCTTTTCGTTCAACACATTCATTTGAAATAGTTGATGAGGCAATTGGTCCTACGATTACAAGATCCATGCCGTTTTTTGCAGATCCATCCATCCATAAATCATTTGAACTGAGTTATAGACGAAAACATTTAGTGCAGAAAGTTGATCAACGTCAGATTAATCCATATTTTTCCCAACTGACATCTAGTTACTCATTTATTTCCAACAGACGAACTAAGAAAACATTACCTGAAGCGTACGAAATTCCTGATTCTGAGCACACTATCAAAGATCCTGTGCTCGATCGAATAGTTAAAGAGGAAATGGAAAAGAATTCAAAAGATGATTTGTCACTTGTAAAATGTATTGAAGCATGCTCAGAGAAAGAAGATTTTGGAGAAAAAGAAAATATTTCTACACTTTGTGGGCTTCACAAATGCACATCACTGGAAACAATTATCATACAAGGTACTCGAATTTCTTCAATTTTTCCATTATCCAAATTGGAAAAGCTCAAGCAGGTTTTTTTGGCTAGAAATAGGATTGCCAGCTTGGAACATCTTCCTCCATTTGCTGAAACTGTTAATTTATCTTTCAATGTCATACGATCCCTAAGATTTCCTTCCTCCCTTTGTGACACTCTAGTATATCTAAATTTAAGTTATAACCACATGTTTGACGTCGATAATGTGTCAATAACCTCCATATGTAGCCTATGCGCCTTAAAAGAATTGGACTTATCTGGAAACAGCCTTACAGATGCCTCTGTAGCTCCCTTAGCAAACGCTAAATTCAAAAAGACTCTACAATCCTTGCGCTTGAACAACAACTACATTACAAATCTCTCATTCCTCACAAAATATTACAAGGTATCTGAGTTTTTATGCAGCTCCAATTTCATCCTTGATCTCACTCCTCTAGTTCATTTACGATCTATATCAGAAATATTTCTGGATGATAATCCTCCTCTCTTACTCTCACTACATATTCATTGTAAAACTGTTGATTGGGACAGTGTTAAACTTTCGGATGCACAACTTGTGGAATATCAAGCGAAAGGGCAGTCGAATTTACAATTCATATACATGCTTTTGAGAGAATCTGTTCGAGTTGTGGTATAGACTACATTTTGCGTCAAGATACTCTTTAAACATGATCATTGTAGGCGTCGTCAGTAGGTAGAGAAGGCTTGCACACGACCTTATTGGCAGCGTTGTATGCCAAACGTTTGGCAAGTGAAATAAAGCCTTTCGCAACAAGAAAAAAATTCAATGATCAACGCGACCTCTCTCATGAGCCCAGCAAGTGCTCATTCACAAAGTGCACCTATATTCTCGGAACAGCGTCATTGGTTTAGTAAGTATGCAAACTTTTGACGAATGAAGATGTTCAACGGTTTGAATGTGTAAAACATTAGAATTGGAAGCAAATGAAGAAAGAGTTTGGTGTTGCGAAATTATGCAGCAACCAACTTCACCATCGTCGGAGAACAAAAGCAACATGATGATTTATGGAAATGGAGTTTCAAACATTGTACATCGAGAGGACGATATAATTGTTATCAGTGACGATGGCTTGGTATTTAGATCTGACAATTCATTTACTAATAATCAACAAATGCCACAACTAAATTCGTACTACATTAAAAAGGCAGACTTGTGTAAGATAATTGAGGGAAATAATAATAATACGATTCTACTGCTTACAGGTGACGGAAAGCTGTTAAATCTCACTCGAGAAGACTTGAAAAACACTTCTCAAAGACAAATAATCATACATGACGAACGTAGTGGCGAACGAACAGTGACGACAAGGGAGTCGACGAAACCTATCATAGACTTCAATGTTCAATACAAACTATGCGGAATTGAACATTTCTATTTTAATGAAGGAAAAGTCACATCTGAAATTGTTGTGAAGGACATTGTTTTTGGAAAGTATCATGGCGTTGTACTCACTGAGGATGGAAAATGTTTTTCGCTTGGATTCAACTATTATGGATGTCTAGGACATGATTACTACACAAAAATTGTGGACACAAACATACAATCAGAGACAGTGAGTTACTCTGAGAGACCTTACTTTATTCAGACCCTCTCGAAATTTACTGTAAAACAAGTGTGTGCTGGTGATTTCCATACTATTTGTGTGACAGAGGATGGAAGAGTGTTCAGTTTTGGACTGAACCAGAATGGTCAACTAGGTACAGGAGACACAATAGATAGATACTATGCTTCCCCAGTTACAAAATTAATGAAACAAAAAATTGACAAGGCTACATGTGGATCACAATTTTCATTAGTGCTTTCGGGTATGTAACTTTGAAAAGAAAATTAACAATTATTTATACAAGATAGAGGAGGGACAAGTCTTTGGATTTGGAGCACCTAAATATCTCTGTCAAACGAATGAAGAATGTTGCAACCCAACCCTAGTAGCTTCTTTCGAAAATGTACCTATCGATGACATTCTTAGTGGATCTTATTATTCGATTGCAATATCAAGAAATAAGGACATTTTCTTGTGGGGAGAATACGCGCAAGGAAAGGCCCTATTGGAACCTGTTACTCTCAATCGAATACTACCATCTGATCAGACACTGTCTGCACTTTCATGTTGTAGCACATTTTTATATTTCTCAAGTATGTTTTACTACTACGGTTTTATGTTAACATGCATCATCCAAATTAATAATGATTTTAAACAGCCTCAAATACACTCTCTAAAACAGATATTTTGTTGAATAGTATTAAGGATTTAGAAATGAATGTAAAAAAAGAAGCTCTCATCCTTAAAGAGAGGACTCAACATTTAGTAACAATAACAAGAGAGCTAGAAAAATACTCTGAGGAATCTAAAGAATCAATCGTGTCTTTATCCATGAGTTATATGAATCTTGTCAACAACAGAAGTGACAACGCATTCACAGTTTTATTGAATAAGAGCAAAGAAATCTACAACTCTCTCATCTACTTCAGTGGAGATATGACAGAGATCAATGCAGCTTTGAGTTTGTTGAACATTCAAATCAAAGAGTGGAACAAGCAAAAGCATGAACTTTCATTCACTCTGTCATCCTTAATGAACAAGTATAATTCAGTTTTTCCAACGTCAAGCACATCAAACAGTCAGTCAGAGGCAGAGAAAACCGTAAGATGTTCTCTGAACACAATATTCAAACATAATACTTCTTCTGCTGAGAAGGAGGCGCTCACACAATCTCTAGACAAAATATATACATTTAGAGAAGTGGTACAGGATCAAGCGAATTCTACCAATGTCATTGAGGAAGCCTTAAACAATGAGCTTACTGAAGAGGATCTTGATTTTGACCAGTTTGACAAAGAAATAGAAATGCAAGCAAATAACTACAATTCAGAGAGCATTGGTGATGTTTTAGAGTCGTACGAGCAAGATTTCTTTTTGTGTCTTGATGATTTCACCTCCAGAGTGGAGGAAAAATTGAATACGATGTGCAAAAAGACTGAACGACTATTCAATAAGACAAATACCCTTAGTAACCATTTAAAAAATACAAGCTCCATTGTCAAAGACATTCTTTCTGTCATTGGAAAAGAAAGTGACGATAGAATGGTAGATAATTTAAAGCAAATTCTAGATTCTGTATATTTATTTCAGCTTGAAGCAAAGCAAAACAGCCAAAAAGTTAAAGAAAACGAGTTTCTCAAAACTGAGCTCGAGAAATCAAGAAAGTTAGTTGGAAGTATGGAACTAAAAAACAACGACTTGCAAGCCCATATCGAAGAACAAGCTAGAGGGCACTCGGAGCTCTTAAAGCAAATCACTCTATTAACAAAACAGGTACAAACATTATCCTCACCTAAAGAACCATCTGTTAATACGTCTGACTCTTTCTTGCAGTCGATAATTGAGAAACTAGAAGAAACAAAAGAAAATCTTCATAATGAGCTTGGCGCAAAAAACAATGAAATTAGAGAATTAGAAAAGAAGATCAGCAATATGGAACTCAAATTTAATCAAGAGCGTTGGGAGAAAGAGACTTTATTGGAAGAAAAGGCGAGAATGCAAACGACTTTAAATAGCACGTCAGAACAGCTCTCTCAAGTGGAAAATGACAATCTAAAGCAACTCGATGAAATATTATCCTTAAAGACACTCATATCCAATCTTAAAGGAGGAATTGAAAACTTGTTATTCCAAATTTCAGGCGAATTGAAAAAATTCCAAATTGAATTACCACCTGTAGAACCTAGCTCTAGAATCGAAGATTTATTTATTAGCTTGAAACAACACACTCGATCTCTGATTGACTTCACTGAGCAATCGTTGGGTGAGAAAGAAATATTACGAAAAGAGCTGTATCTTCAACTTTCAAATAGCTACGGAAAGCAGAAAGAAAAGACAGAGACAAAATCAAAAGAAAACAAAGACATGAACGAAAAGATTCTTTGGTTACAGGCTCAACTGTCAATTAAGGATTCTGAAGTGAATAGTCTCAAAACTAATTTAGAGTCCATTCATACAGCATGTGAAACCTATGAGGAAAACTACAAACAAATGGAAATGAAATATTTGCATGAGAAAGAGGAATGCCAAAAGAGTAGGCAAGTCATTGATGATCTAAAGGAAAAGCTTCGAATATGCTCCCTAGAATACATGGATGTGCGAAGTGCATGTGAGACCTTAACCTGTGATCTCGCCGAAGCAAAGCAAGAAAATGAATTTTTGCTTGGAGAACTTGAAATTTATGTTCAACAGCTGAAAGAAAGAACAGAAATTTCGTACATGCTTGCTTCAGCGCTCGATCAACAGATGAATCAAAAAGCAACTGTTTCCAAGCTATTCTCACAATCAAAGAAAGAAATTCATGAAATGAATAACCTTCTTACCAGGAGTAGACCTTCCGAAGAGTCGGGACAACTTGCCAACATTAGTATTCTAGAAGAGCTCTTTGAATCCTATCCAAAATCACAAACCGAACATCCAGAATCCACTTCCTCCAATATACTCACACACTGTGATAATAGTCGTGAACTCGAAGACTATTTGAAGCATCACTTAGAAGAACATTCCATTGTTGAAGACTTTTCCGTATCGAACGCTTTTTTAAAAGAAACCAAAACCAAACTGCAGTCGTTCATGACGAGCACACAAACCTATATTAAGGATTTGGAGAAGGACATTTCGTTCATGAGAAACACCATGCAAGACATTCTCAATCATATTGTCTGTGCTACCACGACGACTGCAACGACTACCACGAGCCATCCTCATCATCCTCATCATACAACACCACCTTCCTCCTCTAACACGACAATAAGTGGAAATAGTTCGTTTCGGCCGTGAATCCTCTGAACACACACAACACTTTCTATCTCTCTCTGCGCCGATTGTTCAGACCACGAGAATATCGCGATCTGAATGCGATCTGAAATTTACGATCCATTTCATCAATAAAAATGCTCAACGAGAAAAGTTCAAGCAAATTGCTTCGGAAAAAGTCGAGCAGTAGACTTCCGATGTATGGAAGTAGTAAATCCAATTTAAAATCTCAAAGCAATATTGAACATACAGTGGCTGAAAAAGTCGATATAGATTTTGGGAGTGATATTACCGATGAGGAACTCTATCAAAAATTGAAGACAATTATTAAGGGGGAGAATGCAGAAGAGTTGCTGATGCAAAAGAAGATATGCGAAAGAATCGCAACATCCATGAACGAGAAATATTCTCCCGAGTACATTGAAGAATGGAAACAAATTAATTTATTTCATTATAAAAAAATACACCAACTAGGAAGTGACGTTAAAGAAAATATGACTGATCTGAGTACATACATTTATGATGTCATGGCTTTTAAAGATATTTTGATTGAATATCAGCAAGTCCTCCCCTATAAATTATTACAAGATTTTATACTGCTAACATCTAGACTGTACAGAAATCAATCTGACCTATTTTGGAATTTGAGCGAATTTATGACCTATGTATTTAGTCCCGACCATGGGGTGTGTAAACAAGCGAAAGATATTTCCCAGAAAGACATTAATTATGATTTCTTTTCTATGAGACAATTAATTTATCAATATATGGAGGTTAAAAAAGAATTGGAGATTTCCAACACCCAACTTGAGGATCTACGAAAACATGCTGAGTCAAGTACGTAATTTTAAACAGCATATTTTGCCTTAGCCAAGTTTGTAGTAATAACCAAGCGTTTTACCCAGCTGGAAAAAGAAGTCGAATTTCTTCGTGCAGAAAATAAGTTCCTAAAAGAAAATACAATGAATGTTGAAAACCAAACAACTAAAATATATAATGAATTGGTTGATGCTTTTGTAAATAGCCAAGAGGCACTCATTAAGGAAATAGAAAATGATGGCACATCTACTGACGAGTCTGAAAACATCAAAAACAGCAAGTCCAACGAGGAACTTCGAGAGATGGGACTGAAGCTAGATCATGAATTGAAAAATGCTTACACTAAAATATTGAATATTAAGGATATGCTAGATACCACTCTATCTCAAGCAACTAACCTAAAGGCAAATGAGACCAAAGCATATCAACAATTACAAGCAATTTCTGTTCAGCTGGGTACCCTCGCCAAAAAATTTGACGGAAAACTTCAAGAATCCGTTATGACAATTTCAAAAGAAATAGATAAGGCACTTGAGAAAAAGCTGAAAGCAGCTAAACGAGACCTCATGCAATGGAAAGCGTTTAACAAGGACGTTAATTCAAAGAATAAGATTCGAGAGCTTCTTGTAAAAGTAAGGGATGAAGTAACTACGCTGAAAGACCAAAATGATCAAAAGGAAGATCCTGATCAATATCTTAATGAGTACATTTTGAGACTCGATTCTTACCTGAAACAGCTAGTCTTGTTAACCACACCTAATGATTTTGGAAGAGTGCCAGATGAAACAAAAGATGCATCCAAGACAGGAAACACTGATCTCAAGAAACCAATTCGCCAACTCCAGCAAGCACTTACCCAAGTTAAATACTCAGAAAAAGGAATTAGCAAGATGACCAAAAAATTACAGAGTACAGCCAATCTTGCCGCGGAAAAGAATGATGTCGCCAATAAGTCATCAAAGACAGCATCCAAACAACAAGCAGTAGAGGAGGATAGTGAAAGTGATTCCGATAGTAGTGACGAATCTGTTGTCACAGTAGATTCGAACGGAGATTCAACGTCAAAAGTAGAAAAAATCATTAAGGGAATTGAAAAAATTACCGAAGATAACAAATATGCGGTAAACGTTCAAAGAAAGATTCAAGAGTTAGAGAAGAAATACATTTCGAAAATACAAGAACTCGAGGAAAAGGTAAAATCTTACGAAGAAACAAAGAAGAAGCCTCTTCGCTCACAGTCATTCCTAAAATTGGCTCCGTCAGACTCTGTCGCGAAAGGGTTAACAGTGGAAAATATCAAAGTGCCAGCTTCTACAACCAATGCAACTTCTGCATCACATGGCTCTAATTTTGATTTTGATAAGGTGAAAACGCCACTAAGTACGTCTAACGTGACTACCAGTAACTCCACCACTATCACGTTTCCTTCCAATAATCCAATTTCTCCTTCTCCAACCCCTCAAGTTACAACGACTCCTAATCCAATAATCAGCGAAACAGTTAAGGGAGGACAAGAAGCAGCCAAGAACAATTCAAGTGAGGTCCAAAATAATTCCATTTCTCCAACTCTAAACAATGTTGTTCTCCAACAAAGTCTTGATTCGACAAAAAAAGCCAATGTGGACATAACACCAACCATATATAGAGTACCACAGCCGGTAGATTATGAAAGTTTTGGTGTCATCCCATCAAAGGATCCATTAATTACCAATACCTCTTATGCTTTCATTCCTTCTCCTTTGACGTCCATTAAAATTCAAAGCTCGAATGGCCAGGTGACAGATGAAACAAACAAGATGACGAACAATCCTCTTGTTTCACAACTATCTGGAGCTAGTTCAGTAACAAATCGAGATAACATGTCCATGGGCAATGGCAATATGGACGGAGAATTTAATCCAAATATGTCACATTCTACCGATCCAGAAGATCTAAAAGAATGCATTCAAACTCAAACCATACAAACTCCAAATCTACCTTCAAGTACTGTACGAAGAAAAACCTCTGATGAGGATGTTGTAAAACCTTCCACACCACCACCTCCAACACATCCTCCATTGTCTCCTAACCCCTCTACAAAGAAGCTCAAAACAAAACGAGAAAAGAAGAAATATGAGCCACCTGAAGTCAAGGAAGAACCAAGCGTTTTTCCCAATGAATATGGCATTACAGCCGAAAGTGTAGCCATGCTACCTTTGATAACATCACTCATTCTAGATGATCCTACTATTGTGCAACAAATTCAAAAACACCAACAATCAAAGAAGAAGGAAAAATCATCTCTTCCATATTTGTAGAAGAAAGCATCTTGGTTTTTCGGAAGAGTGAATTTTGCGATTGTTAAACCATTTCATGTAAATATTTGGCAGAATTACTCACTGATTTAAATATTTAAATTATTGCTCGTAATAAATTTATTGGACGTATCTCTTCAGAATATTGATTCGATAATCCTTCTTTTCGATTATCTTTTTCAATTCTTCAATTTCCTGTTTGTTGTAGTTTGGTAGAAATATTGTAATTAGTGAAAATTAATATTAATCATGTCTCCGAAGAAATAGATTCTATTTTTCAACACATACCTTGTCCTTTTGTTTCATCAAGGCCTCATATTCTTCCTTTTCCGTAACAATAGTTGAACGGATCTTGTTAAGTTCATCCAGTACAGCCTGATTACTTGATCCTAATTTCAAATTAGCAATCTCTTGTTGGAGTTGTTTAATTTGATTTTCAAAATCAGTGGCTTTTCGTTCGAGTTCTTCAATTTTGTTGGACATTTAGATTCAAAGATGAGGTGATGATGTGTGGAGAAGAATTTTTATGTGCGAAAACAAAAATTGAGCATTTTCAAACGCAGCATATGAATCCCGAATATAATTAGATTATCATCACTTGTTTTTATTGGACCAACAATAATTATTATATACTGCAACAACAACACGATCATGGTATCATTAATTTCTGGGTTATTACTCATCGGAGTCGGAACAGCCCTCATCAAACCACAAGAAATTCCCAAATTTGCAAGGATATTCGGAAGGTTTTGTGGTAAGAGTCTAAAGATGATCATGGAGGCCAAAGCAACCCTATCAAAATCACAAGATTCAGAAGTACTGCGAATGAAAAGAGAATTTGATTTCATGATGAGTGAAGTTGCAACGGTGCGAAGTGAATTGAGGAAAGGTTTGAATATGAGAGGAATCACGAGCGGAATGAGCAACACTAATCAACAACAACAACAAGAACAACAAACACCAATACATGATATTTCTCAAGAACAACAAGTACCAGAATTTACTACTCGGAACGATAGTACTTCATCTCTCAGAATGACGAATGAAAATAACGTAAATTCACAAAGTGTTCAACCACAGAATCATTCGGAAGCAAAGGGAACACAATTTCTTCAGCATGATCATCAACAGCAACAACAATCACCAACTTTTAACAATTTCACGCCTCAGTCCAATCTTAACACTCCTCAAAATCATGGAACGAGCTCTTTTTTCATAGCTCAATTACACGATCCTTTTGTACAAATTACAAATAAGAAATTGATACAAGAAGCCTCCTTTTCAGCAGCATTTGCTGAACTACAACAATTGGAGCGAGATGGCATTGCCAAAGACCCATCACTGAAATACTTGAATGTTGATCCATCGAGAGTGAACTCTTTTGATTACGACTCATTTCCGCTCGCATTCAGCAAAATACAACCTAACCTTAGAGAGGCTCCATTTAGCGTTGTCGAATTTGGTCATCAACCTATGGAAGGACTTTATGATGAAACTAGTGTTGGTATTCGAACAGAAGTCATGGGTGGTGGAGCCGATTTCGTTTCAATTAATGTTTTGGAAAGTCTTGTCGCAAAGAAAAGATCAGAGATCTGAAAATTTAAAATAATTTATAAATTAAGGTTGATAGATTCGATTAACAAAAACGCTAGAAATAGTTTACAACTCGTCCTTCTTTGGAGCTTCCTCACTGATTGGTTTTTCGTCGCTGATTGGCTTATCATCGTCACTAATTGGTGCGTCATCAGTCTTCAAACCAAAATCGTCATCATCAGTAGCAGTTGAATCCGATCCCAAGTCATCATCGAATTCATCTCCAAAGAGATCCTCTTCGGCTAATGGATCACCTCCGAAAATCTTGGAGAAGATTGGGCTCGCAAACTTTCTCAAGTTTCTGTATTGAGCAATAAAGTGATCCTTCTTTACGGTTGTCTTGTCACCGTTGTGCTTCAACCAACGAAGAACTTGGCGGAGCTTTTCAATGAGAGCATTCTTATCTTGTGACTTCAGACGATTAGCAATATTCTTGGTAGCCAATTGTTGTCTCAAAGTTCCAATGTAAGCTTCAAGCTTGTTTCTAGCTTCAACCTTTTCGGTGAGCTCTCTGTCCTCTTGCTCATTGGATTCAGCATCAGCTGTCATTTGCTCAATTTCTTCGTCAGACAATGTTCCCTTCTTAATTTCAATTTCCTTTCTATTCTTTGTGGCTTGATCTTCAGCAATAACCTTAAGAATACCATCTGTATCCAATTGGAAGATAACCTTAATTTGTGGAACTCCCTTTGGTGCAGGTGGAATATCAGTCAATTGCAACTCACCAAGCAATCTGTTGAACTTGGTGATACGTCTTTCACCTTCATAAATTGGAATTGACAATTGAGTTTGATAATCATGAGTTGTAGTAAAGACATCAGACTTTTCAGTTGGAATTGGAGTGTTTCTTGGAATAATAGTTGCCATAACTCCACCAACAGTTTCAATACCCAAACTCAATGGAGTAACATCAATCAAGACAATATCCTTGTCAGCAATGGTACCAGCCAAAACTGCAGCTTGAACAGCAGCACCAACAGCAATAGCTTCATCAGGATTGACATCAAAGTTGAGCTTCTTTCCTTCAAAGAATTCAGACAATTGTTGACGAATGTATGGAATTCTTGTGGAACCACCGACCAATACTACTTCATCGACATCCTTCTTTTCCAAACCAGCATCCTTCAACACACGTTGAACAGGAATCAAAGTCTTCTTGAATAAGTCCTTGTTGGCATTTTCGAATTGAGCTCTAGTCAAAGTAAGAGACAAATCAATTCCATCAATCAAATTGTCCAATTCTACCTTAGTACTAGTCTCAGATGAAAGAGTTCTCTTAGCCTCTTCAGCAACACGCTTCAATCTTTGGAAAGCTCTCAAATCCTTTCTCAATCTATCTGGTTGAATTTCAGGATGCTTCTTTGTGAACAGACTAATCAACAAATCAACAGTTCTATGGTCAAAGTCTTCACCTCCCAAGTGAGTGTCACCATTGGTGGCAATAACTTCGAAAACACCACGATCAATCTAATTAAAATTCATATGACATAAATTGGAAAATTCATGCCATGCAGTAAATAGGGCATTGAAAATTAACACAATTATTATCGGAACAGGAAAACTTACAGTCAAGAGAGAAACATCAAAAGTACCACCTCCCAAGTCAAAGACCAACACATTCTCTTCCTTCTTCTTGTACAAACCATAGGCCATGGCAGCAGCAGTAGGCTCGTTGACAATACGAACAACGTTCAAACCAGCAATACGACCAGCATCCTTGGTTGCTTGACGTTGTTGGTCATTGAAATAGGCAGGAACAGTAATAACAGCATGTTTGACAGGTTCGCCTAAATACTTTTCAGCAATTTGCTTCATTTTCACTAAAACTTGAGCACTAATTTCTTCAGGAGATGTTGGTTTTCCTTGAACATCGACATAAACGCGTCCATTTCTGTTCACCAAACCATAAGACAAGAGTTTGGCATCCTTGTTCAAAACTTCACTGTAACGACGACCAATCAATCTCTTGACATCATAGAAAGTGTTTGTTGGATTTTGAACAGCATTATTCTTTGCAGCTTCTCCAACAAGTTTTTGTCCAGATGCTTCATCCTATTTGGTTTTGATTATGATGTGTAATTACAATGACAACGCACCAGGTCATTCGATGATTACGACGAACGGAATCAGTGAAAGTAAGACACCCAAACGTTGTTGATGTTAATTGAAGAGTGTTGAAAAGTAATTTCACACATGAGTGTTATAACAATATTTCATGGTTCCGTATTCAAATAATGGTAGTACTTAATCAAACTCGCAACTTTTTGATTCAATATACTTACAAATGAGAGAACACTAGGAGTAATTCTGTTACCTTGATCGTTAGGGATCACTTCAACTTTATCACCTCTGTAAATAGCAACCACAGAGAAGGTCGTTCCAAGATCGATACCGACCACAGGACCATCAAACTTTACAGGATTCTTTCTTGTTTGTCCAATCACTTCCTTCTTACCCTCCACATGATTAGTACTAATAATGATTGCAATCAAACACATCATCAAAAGGGCCATCACTGCAAATGCTTTGCTTGGTCCGAGCATCAGCGAACCACTGCCTATACGATGCGAATTTACGGCGGAATGAACGATGGCCATTTTTTTTTTGTATTTTGATGCTCGTGAGGAAGGTCATTCAGAAGAGACTTGTGGCCAGCCCGAAGGAAACACGTGCTTACGTGGAGAGAGGAAGAAACAAAAAAAGAAGGACGGGTGATGTTTGGGTTGGGTCAATATAAAGAGGATGTCACTTCAACTGGTTTTTGATCTTTTGCAGTGAGGTGTACACGAAAAGCCAGAAAGAATGAATTCCATTCGGTAACTTTTTGAAACACGTGTTTAATTAAGAAGGAGAGATGATCAGATTGAAAGTTAAAAGCAAAAACAATCTCTTAATATAAAGATGACTCATTGTTATGCATTGGGGTGATGTGTTTTAATTTTTTGTTCATCAATCTTTATTTAGGGCAATTGTTTTAAAACACATCACCCCAATGCATAACAATGAGTCATCTTTATATTAAGAGATTGTAACCACTCACGGAGGAGAACATTCACCAAGGAGAAAAAGACGTTGATTCTTTCCGAACCAAAAGAACCAATCAAAAAATGAGAAGATTTCCTTCGTCATCTTCCGTTCGCTTGCTCTCACTACAAGGACTGTTACAGTCTTGTTCGGCGACAACTCAGAATGGAGGTCTAGTGGCCTTCGGATTTCGAAATTTTGCACCAACAACAAGAAGTAATAATAGTAGAGGAAAAACATATTTATTGAATTATTCAAACAACAGCAAAAGAAATGAATGGAAGGATTTGACTAGCTCCATCTCGGAATTTGATGATTTTAAATGTTTCAGCACCATGGTTAACAAGACAATGACAATCTCTAAACACGCAGAGGATATTTCTGTTAGCGGAAAAACTCCTATGGAGGTTTATAAAGAAATGGTTCGAAATGGGACTGTGAGTGAGGATCCCAGACAAATTGAGTTGTTAAAGAAATTAACCCATCTTTACGAAAAATTGTTGAATTATGACATAAAACAGACTAGGGCTATTATTCATAGCTACATTGGAACGTCATCAAGTTCCAAGTCGTCATCATCGATGAATGCTCCCTCTACAACCTCATCGAAAAATATTGCCTTTGATTATAAGGCAATTTCGAAAGAGATCAAACCTCACCCTCCAGGATTGCCAAAGTCTCTTTATATTTACGGAGATGTTGGTTGTGGTAAGACATTCCTGATGGATATGTTTTTCAAATGCGTTCCTTTGCAGAAGAAACTTAGAGTCCACTTTAACAGTTTCATGATCGATTTTCACACAAGAATGCATCAGCTTAATCGAAAAAACAAGGACGGAAATGCCAATATGGAAAAATTGATGGATGAAATTTCAGAAAATTATCATTTGATTTGTTTTGATGAATTTCAAGTGACTGATATTGCAGATGCTATGATTTTAAAAAGGTTGTTTGAAGGGCTTCTTAATAGGGGAGTTGTTGTTGTGAAAACATCAAACAGGTATGCAGCTGAATTTAAATAATTTAATATTGTTAATAATTATTTATTATATATTATATTATATCATATCTTTGATAATATTAATAACTATCAATATTATTAAATGCATAAAATTCATATCATGATCTCGAATTCACAACAATGAATCACACAGAATGCCAGATAATTTATACGAAAATGGTATTAATAGAGAAGCGTTTTTGCCATTCATTGATGTCGTAAAGATGAAGTATGACATTTTCGACATGGAGGCTGTTTGTGACTACCGACTTTCAAGTGGAAACAAGCAAACCAATGTTTATTACACACCTCACAATAAGGAGACTGAAAAGTTTTTAGAAGATTTGTTCAAAAAGCTCACTTATCCTCATGATGCTGAGCCTCGACCTATCATGGTGATGAATCGTGTGCTGGTCATACCAAGAGCCGCAAGAGGTGTGGCATTTTGCACTTTTGACTTCCTTTGTAAGCAACCAAAGAGTGCCGTCGACTATATTGGCATTTGTAAAGAATTTCACACACTAATTGTTTCTGGAATTCCAGTTTTTAATAAGGACAATCGTGACGCTCTCAGAAGGTTTATCACACTTGTTGATGAATTATATCAACATCGTGTGAAATTGATTTGCAGTGCAGAGAAACCTGTAGATCAGCTTCTAGATTTCGATAACACAAATGACGAGATCAGAAACCGAGGAGTCGAAGAGGCCTACAATTTCAACAAAAGTCACACAGAAAATTATGATGAAGTTTTTGCCTTCCCTAGAACCATTTCTCGATTAATGGAAATGAGAAATAAGGAATATTTAATGTCGCATCACGTCTCCATTCCATCGGACAAGAATATACATGAAATTGTAAAATAAGCTCTCCTCCTCCGAAATGAACATATTATACTATTACTTTGTTGTGAGTCACACACGTTTATTCCGTTCTTGTTGTTGAATTTAATGATCACAAAAAATTAAAGACCTTTACAAATAGATGGACAATGTGATAAACATTTCGCCTTCTTAACGCCTAAATTTTTGTGATTTTCAGCACATGCTTGTTTGCAAATAGATAAACAACTTTCTGAATGTGGTAATTCTTGTCCTCGGGAAGACGACTTTAAAGTCTCTGCCACAGCGTTAGAGAGATCAGCTTCCTCCAAATCATTCACTTGTGCCAAAACGGTTGCGTGTCCGGTGCTGGCCGATACTTGGGTTGTTGTTGATGAGAGAAGGAATAAACAGCAACCGATCAAAGCGAGGAGAAGAAGGACAGCAATTTGTTGTTGGTATTTCATTTTTTTCATGATAAATTTGACATTTGACGCATCACACTGGGTCAAACAAAACCACTGTAGTTGGGCATGTAGAAAAGTGCAATGTTCTGGACTCTCTGGGTCCATTTAAACACTTCATGCGTGAAAGTTATTGGGAATGTTCATTGGTTGAACACATCACACAATAATTTTTTTTCGTTCTTCCTTTGAACTCTGAACTTGCAGAGCCAAATAAAAAGAATCCAACGCTCACGAGAACTTGTTGAAACCCAAAACGACACTCGAAAAAAAAAACAAATAACTATCACTAAAACGTCATGTCTTCATTCAGAAACATCTTCTCAAAAAGCTCATCCTCCTCTCCTCGCAACACCTCTCTTCCCATAACAAGACAACAACTTCCCACGACTCGTGGTTCCATCATTAAAGCACAACATCCCACCTTGTCGCCACAAGAACAAGAACTTGTCGATTTCAGTGAGAAAATTGTTGATCTCGTATTCGTTTGCGACAATACAGGTTCCATGTCGGGTGAGATCAATGTGGCCAAAGACACCATTCAAACCATTATTACTTCACTGCATGATCATTTCAAGTCAGACTTGAGATTTTCAGCAGTGAGTTATCGAGATCACAGTGACGATTATGCTGTGAAGGAATTTCCATTCACTCGAGATGTTCAGGTCGCCAAATTGTACGTTCATGAAATGTTTGCTTCAGGTGGTGGTGATTATCCAGAAGCTTTGGCAAGTGCCTTAAAAGTCGTCTCAGAAATGCCATTCAATAAGAAGGGAAAGAAAATTGTGGTTTGGATTGCTGATGCTCCTCCACATGGAATGGGTGCCAGTGGTGATTCATATCCAGAAGGATGCAAAGATGAGAATAATCAAGTGATTGATTGGATCAAATTGGGAGATTATTTGATGGAGAAGGGATGTGTGTTTTATACATTGGTGTGTGAGAGATCTCAACACGATAAGCAATTGACTCTCTTTTTGGATTTCCTCGCAACGAAAACAAATGGAAAATGTCTCTTGCTCACAAATGCAAACAAAGTTCCTAACTTGATTATTAATGGATGTATTGAAGATGATGAAATGGACAAACTCATCGCAGAAAAGATTAAGGAATTGGGTGAAGATCGAGTGAAAGAAATGAAACAAGAAGAATTAATTGAACAAATTAACAAACTCACTGAAAATGCTAAAGTTCAACAAGTTCAGACCTATGAATTGCAATCGGATCAAACCAAATTGCTTATGCAATGTGATTCCTTATCAAAAGTGTCTACCGATGTGTATCGAAAGGCCTCAAATTGTGTGAATATGGCTGGTAATTCAGATGTTTCTTCATTTAGTTATGGATCTGTCGCTTATTGCAAACCATCCATCAGTCAAGTGGCAAAGGCATGTCAAAGAAATGTCATTTCCAAAAAACAATAAACTAACTGATAAATAATACCAATGTACGATACATATTTCTCTACTTCTTGTGAACAATCGCTTTATTTGATCACTACAATAGATCTTCAATCATGAAGGCCATTCATTGGGAAAAAACAACAACAAGCTATAATATAAAAGTGCATTTCCCTTTTTGTAATGAATAATCTCTCATAACAACATTACTTTGGTGGCTCACAAGAGGGAATATTGTCTTCAACAATCTTGTAAACTCGGTTATTCCAAGTTTCAAATAATTGTCAGCTATAGATGAAATTTTTAAGGACAACCAAGTCGTAGTTATAGTACAATTCACGTTTCGATCTGAATACAACCATAATACATACCTGTAATGCTTTCCTTTTTGATGACCTCAACATCACGATTGGATCTGAATACAACAGCTACAAGTTCAATTTCGAGCTCTGAGTTCATTTGAATACAACACTTTTCAAGTGTGATACCGTATTGCATTTCTGTGCTTTTTGGTATTTGAGCATTGGTAAGGATTCCTGCCACAGGTTGTCGAGAAAGAAGTTTGGTTTGAAATTCCAGAGGTACTTCTTTTTGGAAGCTTCGTCTCTAATAAGCTCCACTGCTCCATTCAGCAGCCCAAAGCTTGTTCCTAAAGTTGAGACTTTAAAATCGGCAGGTGTTTTGACTTTAGAAAAGTATCTCTTTCTCTCCTTCAAGTATTTGCTCATGTTAGATTTACAAAGGAACTTGGTAGCAAATTGTTTAAATACATCAATAGAGAAAATTGCTCCATGAAGTACGACATCAAATGGATAATCAGCAAGGCACTCAAAGAGCGGAGATAATATTATCGAGAATGCTTCTTTACAAGCACTCTTCACAAGGCCAATAACCTCCTTTTTGCCCTTAAAGTAATCATTCCACTTTGCATCTGGGTTGGAAAACATTTCGTTCAAGACAATTTTGCTATTAAGGTTGATATTGCTTGCTCTAAGTTCTCTATCCAAAGTACGATGTAAAATTTCAACACCTGCAATCTCCGCTTGGTGGTCTATAATGACACCATCCTTAATAACAGCAATATCCAGACTTAGAAATCCTAAATCACATAACAAACTATTTGGACTGAGTACAGTGTCATTGTAGGATATGAGAATGGACTCTTCGACAATGTAAATATGTTCCTTCTTAGGAGGGAGAGTTTTCATTTTCGTTTCTAAAGCTCTGAAAACACAATTTCGGATAAGCTTTTGAACGTCTTCATGCGTATTGGTGGGCACAGTGATAAAAACGAAATGGTACTGAGCTGAGATCTTTTTCGATTGATCTTTAACAACTTCCAGCTTGTCCAAAATGCCTTCTACTAAGTGACGATAAATGTCTGCAAGTGTAAGCGGATAATCTATTCCTTGAAGTTTGAGTTCTCTCACATTTTTTAATTGAGAGAAGTTGCACAGAGTCCTGACTACTTGGCTGTGCCACATGGTATGCCTTGTTAGAAGGTGAATAGTACATTCGTGTTGGAAGAATATCCACAGGTCGACTCGCTTCCGAAGATGAGCTTGCAAATGTCAAAACGTTCCTTGGTATAAAATTATCTTTCAGAGTACAGAGGGCTGCCTTAGCTAACTACTTCCAATATCCAGAATTAATCCCAAAATAGATGAACGATCTATGGACAAGTTCAATTCCTTGTAAGAAAATTTCTTGCTAAGAGGTGGAACCTGTTCACAAAAAAGATGACACCAGACTTTAAATGTCCCACCAAATAATAATCACAGAGAGACATACCAGTGGTACTATATGAGAATATGAAGTAATCTTAAGTGTTTGATTTTCTTGACATCCGTTGTCTTGGTTTTTTAGTGGTCATTTAGCGTTTCTTTTGCCAGTGTCTTTTCGTTTGCGAACTCCACAATGAGATTTAGGGTGAAGTTGAGAGCCAAGGCGAATAAATGGATTTGCGATTGTCAAAAACGTTTGGTATAATGGATGTACGTCACGTCGTCATTCCTCTTTCCAAACAAGGATATTTGCGCCAGAGCTTTTTGACATGTTTGATTCAAAAAAATAGTGCATTGCCTGGACTGCAATAAACCTCTCCTTTAGCATGAAACATTCCTTCTCAAGCAGGCAGAAACAAATCCTTCTCTTGGTCGTCATCCTCGTCATCATTGGTTGGCTTTCATCCCCAAACCCTGAATATATACTGGGCATTCCCGTGAAATACAAAACTCACACCATTGCTGGTTCGTATTATGTCGAGGGAGTCACGGAGACCTATGACCTTGGAGAATTTACCCCACTCAATCAAATTGGTGCTGCCGTCATGAATGACCAACAAGAAATATTTGTCTCTGACATTTCCAATCATGTGATACGAAAAATACTTTCGAATGGCACCTCCATCTTGTTCGCAGGAGTGGCAACAGCAGGTTACAATGGAGAGGGTCTTCATGCCTTGCAAACACAATTCAATCGACCAACAGGATTGAGTTTGGCTGCGAATGGAGATTTGTTTATTGCTGACACTGGAAATTCATTGATTCGAAAAATATCGGCGTCGGCAAGGATGGTTTCTAATATTGGGAAAAGTATGGATTTTAACAATCCCATGAGTGTGTTTGTTTTGGATGATACCAATGTATATGTGGCGGACACGGGAAACGAGTTGATCAAGCATGTGAACACACTCACTGGAAAGATTACCATTGTGGCAGGTACGTTTCAACATGTTGATTGTGAATTATTTACTTATCATTCAATGTTGATTGAATGTGAAATCAATGAATCACTCATTGTTGTGATTGACGATTAGGAGGTGGATCCATCTTAAGAAATAATGTTTTAGGAACCAATTCAAAAATCACAGCTCCTCAAGGTATTCATGTCACCAAGTCAGGTGTCATCTTTGTGGGTGATATGGCTGGATGGGTACGAAAAATTGAAGGTCCAACACTTGGTCAACAAATTATCTCGAGTCTTCCTGGTAGATTTACTTCTCCCAAGTAAGTGTGTTCATTGAAAGATTTGAACTATTCTTTAACTGTACCAAACGAACAAATAGAGGAATTTCAATGAATAGTAACAACGAATTATTGGTGGCAGATTCGGGTACCAATAGTGTCTATTTGATATCCTCTGATGGAACAAGAACAACCATTTTGGCTGGAAATGGAACGAATGCCAATGGAGAGTTTATTAATGCAAGACTTGCATGGATCAATCAACCCTCTTTTGTTCAGGCGACCACACAAGGAGATGTAATCATTACGGAAAATAGAAAAGTTAAACGCCTGAAAGATGGATTAATATCCACTATTTGTGGACGCTATGTCAACAATTTAAAATATGGAGATGGAATGAAAGCAACTAATTATGGAGTCACAATTCATCCCTATCATATTTCTGTGAACAACAAAGGAGAACTATTGATTGTTGACTCTGATTTTCACACAGTGAGAAAGGTCTTAAACAATGGAGCAATTATCACCATTGCTGGAATTCCAAAGACTTTAGGATATAATGGAGATGGAAAAGCTTCTCAAGTGATGCTTTCAAACCCATCTGGTATTTACATTTATGAAAATGGAGAAATTCTGATTGCGGATCGAGGAAATAATATGATTCGAATCATTCAAAATAATGGCAACATGACCACCTTGTTTAATGCCACAAGTCCAGTGTCAGTTTTTGCCACAGGTGTCAATTTCACACAGGGAGAAATTTATTTTTCGAACGTGACTGGAATTTACAAACGTGACAGGTGGTTCAATATTTTTCTTGTTTACAAATATCAAACCACTCCATTAGACGTCACTGCCTTAAAATTTCATGTACAAGTCAAAGAGGACGGTAATGTCATTTATTTGTCTGAATATGGACAGTACGCTCTCGTCAACTATTTTGAAAAGAATCAAACCAATGCGACGCTACTCCATGATTCCAACAACCAAACACTTTCAAGTATTTTTGTGAAAAATTCCACTCTATTTTTTGTGAAGGGATACTCAAGAATTTATCAATTACAGATCGATGGTTCCATTCAGCAACAACTTGTCGCAGGAGTAGAGCCCATCGATGGGTACGAAGTTGCTGGCTATAGTGGTGAGCTCTTAAATGCAAAAGAATCCATGTTAAGGTATGTACATATCCTCTACTAATAGTGATGTTAAAAAAGATCTAATCTTGATGATAATTGACAAAGATATCCAAATTGTTTATTTGTTTCCAACGAAGGAGAAGTTTTCTTTTCAGAGAAATCAGGATTGGTCAGAAAAGTTACAAGAGATGGACTTGTGGTTTCTGTGGCAGGTCGTACACCTTTCAAAACAGGTGGTCTATCACCCACACAATCCATTTTCCCATTAGTGTTGGGTGTTGCACCTGTAAACGATGGAGGATTTATTACTCAGGTCAACGATCCCAATTTTTCTAACATGTTACTCCTCATTAATTCCACGACAGGAATAATGAAACTACTTGCAGGACATCGAGTTAAATTACCTCTTTCTCCTTCTAAATATGAGGGTCCTTTGACTTATTCCTTTATTGGACTTCCTTTTTTTACTTCTGATTTAAAAAGTGGAGAATTGATTGTTATTGATTCCAAGAATCATTTGATTTACAAAGTTTTTAATAACGACACAATCTCTCTGGTGGCAGGAAATCCCTTATCATCCGGATTTAGCGAAGATGGTACTCCAGCATACATGTCAAAATTAAGAATTCCAAAGATTCCTGTCATTTCACCAAACAAGGAAATTATTTTCGCAGAATGGGGCAGTGAAAGAATTAGAAAAATATCAAATTCTGGAATACTGTCGACAGTGGTCAATTCAACAAAGACTGTACAAGGTCTAGCGATCTCACCAGCTGGTGATATTTATTTCTCAGATACTGTCAGCAATGTCATTAAGGTTTTTAACATTTCTACAAATTCAGTTTCATTGGTTGCCGGAAATGGAAAACAAGGATTTTTTGGACAAAACGTTTCAGCACTTGAAGCTACTTTCAAAGCACCTACTGCTTTAGCATTTGCCAAGAATGGAGACTTGATCATTATGGACTCTGGTAACAGTTGCATTCGAAAAGTGTCAAATGGCAATGTGACAACCATTGCTGGAGTTCCTTTTGCAGCTGATACTTGTAAATACAATGGAGATGGATTGTTATCAACCTTGTCTTGTATGTCAGAAGGAACTTCCATGTTTGTCGACAATTATGGAAATATCATATTCGGAGACACTTCGAATGGTCTGGTTCGACAATTGACTCCTTTTTGTGAAGGAAATTTCACATTGGATTCCACCTATTCGGAATGTGTTTGTTTAAATGGATGGACAGGAATGTCATGTGAAATTCCAATATGTAATGGCACTTCTGCTTCCATGATCGGCACTGTTTGTTCTGGAAGAGGTCAATGTAAGAACCCTAATGTTTGTGTTTGTGATAAGGGTTTTGAAGGCACTTTTTGTGAACAATTTACGAAGAGTTCTTCTGAAACGTCCTCAACCACCATCATTGTTGCAGTGGTGGTTCCAATAGGTCTCATTGTTCTTATTCTTGTGGCAGTCATTGTGATGAGTGCACTATTATTGAGTTTGAGAAGAAGAAGAAAAGGAAATGATCAAGACATGGAATTGAACAACCATAAACATACAACCATGTTTGTAAAGAGTGATACGATTGAACTTGTCAATTCGGACGCCATCACAACAACCGATCGACAAACTCTCTCAGATTTCCCCTCAGATGCAAGTGTCAATTTTACGCCCTTATTGAGCTCCAGTTCACGAGAGTCGGCGTCTCGTACTATTTCACAACACGATCCATTTGCAAGATATCAAAATATTCAGAAAATTGGACAAGGAGGATTTGGTTCCGTGTTCAAAGCTCTCGATTCCAAAACCAACAAGACAGTTGCTGTGAAGGTTTTAAAATTTTCATCCATGGAGGAATTGAATAATTTAATGAAAGAGGGAATTGAATTGTTGAAAATCAATCATGACAATATCTTGAAAGTCAACGATGTGTTCGTGTCAAAAGATCAACTTCTTTGCCTTGAGATGGATTTTTGTGATCATGGTGATTTGAATCGATTCACATCAGACACTAGTAGTAGTGCATGTTCTGAAAACATGATCAAGCAAATTATTTATCAAATCTGTTGTGCTCTTTCGTACATTCATGGAACTTTGAACATGATCCATCGTGACATCAAACCTTCCAACATTTTCATTAAGGATCTTAAGGATGACAACATATGGGTCGTGCTCGCTGATTTTGGATTGGCAAAAGGAAATTCCATTTCTGAACATCAATCCTATGCTGGAACACCTCTTTACATGAGTCCAGAAATTTGTATGGGATGCAAATACTATTCCAACACGGATATTTATTCATTGGGAGTGACGATTTACCAGATCATGACTAGAGATATTTATACTTCCATTAGTCATATTTTGCTCTCAAAAGATTCACAAGAATCCAAACAATTCCTTCGAAACAAAATGATGAATGAGGAGACCTATTCAGAAGAATTGATCGAATTGGTCATACAAATGATGGACAAGGATAATGTGACAAGACCCAATGCTCAAGATATTCTTTCATTGCCCTATTTCAACAACAACAAGAAGAAGTAAAAGTTTTGATATATGTGGTACATCCACACAGTATGTACCATCCATCGAGATGGAGGAGGTGTTGTCTCGCTGATTCGATAAAATTGAAAAGTTGAAAAAAGTTCAAAAATTTATTTAACCAAAAAAATGCCAAAATCCAACAACTCGACGAAGAGAAAGCGAATGGAAGAAGAGGCTTCCTCTTCTGTTACAAGCTCCTCCTCTTTCAATCATCAAGAGGATGATGATCATCGCCAGGAGGGCTCGGAGGCATCCCATAGTGTACAAGGTGCTTCTAAACAACCCAAGATGACTGAATCGGGAATTGCTTCGGAACGAAGATATTTCATAGAGTTTGTGAGTGGGATTGACTCGGAAAAGACTGGAACGACGGTTGAAATTGATGCAAACATGTCCAAAACACAACTGAACCAACTTTTGAACAGCAACTTGTTTTTGGACAATGAAGAGGAATTACCCTATTCATTCATAGTGAATGGAGAAGAAATTACCTCTTCCGTGAGAGACACCTTGCTTGCAACACTTACTGAACAATTAAGTTCAAAGAATCAGAACAGTTTAAAGAAGAGAGAAGATATGTTTGATTTTGCTTCCACTCAAGATGCTCCATTGCAAATTGTTTATCATCCACAAGCATTGTTTAGAGTTAGACCTGTGAGTAGATGTACTTCTACACTTCCTGGACATTCTGAGGCTATTCTTTCAGTAAATTTCTCGCCTAATGGTGAGCAACTTGCTACAGGCTCAGGAGACAATACTGTCAGAATTTGGGATTTAAATACAGAAATGCCTCAATTCACTCTAAAAGGTCACGAAAGTTGGGTATTATGTGTTGCATGGTCACCTGATGCGAAAAAGCTTGCCAGTGGTGGAAAGGATGGTTTGGTAAAAATTTGGTATGGAGATTCTGGTAAAAAATGTGGAAATGTGTTGAGAGGCCACAAGAAGTGGATTACTGGCCTTACTTGGGAACCATTTTTAAAGTCAACAAAATGCAGAAGAGTTGCAAGTTGTAGTAAGGATGGAATGATTATTGTTTGGGATGTTGTACTTTCCAAAAAAGAATTTACTCTCTCTGGACACTCAAAGGGTGTGACTTCTATAATGTGGGGCATTAATGATATTCTTTATAGCTGTTCTCAAGATTGTACAGTTCGGTTATGGAATACTGAAACACAACAATGCACTCAAATTTTGAGTGGACATGCTCACTGGGTGAATACAATGTCCGTAAGCACTGAATACTTTTTAAGAAGAGGCGCTTTTGATCATAATTGCGAACCTCTCCCAGAAAGTGAGGAAGACATTGAGAAGCGAAGACAGGATTTATTGACGCTATACAATAAGACTTTTGGATCTCAACCTATCCGAATTATAACAGGTTCAGATGACAATACCTTAATTTTGTGGGAACCTACAAAGAGTGACAAACCAGTTGCAAGATTGACAGGTCACAAGGGTGTTGTGAATCAAGTCAAATTTTCTCCAGACGGTAGACTCATTGCTAGCGCATCATTTGATAAGACCATAAAGCTTTGGGATGCCCAAACCGGAAAATATTTATGCAGCCTCAGAGGTCATGTTGGTGCAGTTTACCAATGCTGTTGGAGCGGTGATAGCAGATTATTGCTTACTGCAAGCAAAGATTCGACCGCAAAAGTGTGGGATGTGCAAAAACGACAATTGCTTAATGACATGCCTGGACACTACGATGAAGTATTTGCTGTCGATTGGTCACCGGGAGGAGATAAAGCTGCCAGTGGAGGAAAAGATCGAGTTCTCAAAATGTAAGTATTTCTAATAATTTATTATTTGCAGTGTGAATTTAACAATGGTACGACAAACATCTATAGATGGCGACATTAATTTTTCTTTTTTTTGGAGCTCTTTTTGTTGGGAGTGGGCACTGATGCATTGGATGAAGATGCTGCTTGTGTTGTGTTATTGTTTGTGTTGCTTTTAGAGGTCTCAATGACTGGCACAATTTGCTTTGTTGGCATTTGCATGATTTTAACAAGGTCCAAAATCAACATGATCCCATAGAACGATAATGAAAGAATAACTTATTAAAATGTTTGATAACCTCTATAGTCAATTAAAAATCACACACTTACTTGGAACAATGTAATTTGGATAGACATCTTCAAACTTGAGAGTTACAGGAATGAAAATTGCTGAAATATTGTTAGCAATATGTAGCATTGCATTCTCTGTTAGATTTTCTGTCAAGTAATATCTAGTGCTGTAGAACATTCCTAAAATAAACCCAGCCAATACTTGGAAATAAGTATAAAGCTCTGATGCTCCCCAATTAATAGAAAACATGTGCAACATGGCGAATAGTAAGTTAGTCATGAAAAAGCTCACGATTGGTTTGCCTGTTCTTCTAAAAAACATGTGGACGAGCACAACTCTGAGAATAATCTCCTCAACAATGGGTGATCCAATAAGTAATTGGATCATTTTAAGGTAGTCCACTTGAGAATTTTCTTCGTTCAAGTCAGGTACTGGAGTAGTTGAGGCATTATTACCAGCTGTAAGGTTGGTCGTCAATAGGGTATCTTCCGAGACAAATGAAGCAACTTCACTATCTTCGATAACTTCTGAGGTTGTTTCGACATCTGTCTCATTGGTTCCAAAAAGTCCAAAAGGATTTTTAGTGTCTCTCTTAATGGCCTTAAAATTAGATAATGAATAAACCCATTGATTATTTCGATATTGGAACCAAACCATCAAAGCCATTCCTATTGCAATCACTGAGACAACAAGAATAGCCTTAGCACTTGGTTTTTTGATTCTTTTCAACGTTACTCCATATCTCCATGTGAAATAATAACAAATACAACAAGTCCAAACAGTAACATAGAGGAAATTGGTTACAATTAATGCATAATCATGAGACATGACACAAGAAATGCATTCCTTCCAATTTAAATTCATCATTTCATTAAATGCAGAGAAGGCTTGATTATTATTTTGAAAGGTTCCATCTTGTGGTAATGCATTAATCTTACAAGCATTGCATTTATGAATGGAAGAGAAGGATCGATATTTGTGAAACGAAACAGAAGCAAGTAATGTTTGAACAATCGTATTGGTGAACAGATATTCAAAAACAAACAAAACAACATCTCCCAATGAAAGAATAATTGGAAAAACAATTCCTAACCATTTCATCCAAAAAGATTGAGTCCAAGTTGGTGGCAGAGGAGTTTGTCCCGATTGGAGTAATTTCTTACGTTCTTCTTCCTCTTCTTCTTTTAGTAATTCAGCTTCTTCCTCGCTCGTGAGTTCGATACCTTCTACGTTATCATCGTCGGTGAGATTTTTTCGATGACGAAGTGCTGATGAGCTTTCCGAGGATGAAGATACCCCTTGTTGTGAATCTTCTATTGTGGTCGCTGATGAAGACATTTTTTGAATTTTAAAAAAATATTTTATGGAATTGTGGAAATTTTTAATAAATTTGATATTAAATTTTATTTTTGACAAAAACACTTGTTGATTAGTATTGTCGCTCAAGAGAGAGAATTTATAATTTTGAGTGTTTGGACATGATTGATTGCGCTGCCTTTTGACCAGTTTCTAAGGATCCGTGAAGTGACGCAGGGGAATAATCTGCATAAGCTTCTCCGGCAAAAAAGATTCTATTCTCAATAGGTTCGGCCAAAACCTCTCTACAATTCTCAACAAAGTTCATTCTCGAAGCATCGGTAACACCAGCAAAAGAATAAGAGCCTCCCACAAATTGGAACGATTGCCAATTCTTCACAATTCCACCAATATATCCATCATTATTGGAATTGAGGTTGAATACTTTTTGGACTAATTGTCTCATACTCTTTGTTATTTCTTCTTCAGAATAGAACAAAGCATTGTCAGTCTTATTTCCCATGCTAAATCCAGTTAAATAATATCCGAACTCGTCATGCTTCTTTTGTGAAACGTGAGGGAACCATAATTGAGCAATGAATGGATGGTTATCTCCTAGAATAATAATGTTTGTATCTGGAATTAGATCTCTCCAAAATGGTCTCTTGAACCTAAGAACCACCTTCATACCGCTCTGCATTGGGAGCATGTTCTGAATAATGTGCCTCTTCAATGGTGATAATGGTGGATTGAAAACAATTTGTTGGCTTCTCAACACAGAGATTGGCACTGTCAAAATAACTTTGTTACACATAATTTCGCCATTATTCACCTTAATCATACCACTCTTGCATGTATAATCAATATTATAAACCTTATAGTTCAACTTGACTTGATCCTTCAAGCACAGATTACTTGTTAAATATTTCATCATTGATGGTTCCATATAGTGGTCACCGTTAAGTTGAAAGTTGCCAGAGCCGTATGGCCACTTGTTACCTTCTTCTTGAAGACCTTTTGCAGAAGCAGATAATAAACATCCTCCATTAGTTTTAGCTAAAAGTGAATCAATAAAAACGTGATACTTTTCAGGAACTTTTCTTGAAATTAGCCACTCTTGCACAGACATGTCTGGCCCTTTTTTCAGCTGTTCATCATTCATCAAATCGTCAATGTATTTAAGCATTTGCTTGGCAACTGGGGAATCAATTCCGTGCAATTTACCGTCTTGAAAATTTCAGAGCATAATGCGTCAGCTGATTAAGGCTAAGCATTCAATCATTCACCTACCAATGAAGTACATTGCTCCGTGTTGTTTTGGATCGGTCTTGGAGAAATCAAAGACCATATCTAAAGGAACCTTCATCTTATTGACAATAATATCATAGGCCATATTTCCCTCACCATGAATGAACTCAGCTCCAATTTCAATACCTGTTGTCAAGTCCGAATATATTCTTCCACCTAATCGGTTATCTGCTTCAACGATTAAAAAGTCGGTCATGCCCACAGAATTGAAATAATGAGCTGCTGAGAGACCAGCAATTCCTCCTCCGATTATCAACACATTGCAACACAAACTCGTATTGTGCATGGTGGTGATGGTAGTTTCACTCTTTTTTTTGAACGAAGTGCGAATACAAAAATTTGTCCAAAACAAAAAGGTTGGGTGTAAAAATTACCAAATGTGGAACCGCATTTTGTAAACCTATCCCTCAACACACAAATTATTATCAAATAAATTATATTTTATTAAATTAAAAATTGTGAAATTAGTCTCGCTTATTGGTGGGAAGGAAAAAGACATTAATGTCTAGGGCATTGCAAATATCATCACAAACAGAAAGAACATAATTTCCATAAATTAAAAAGGTTGCCACTGCACATAACAGCAACGCATAGAATCCTGAAACCAGTGAATGACCTGTCCATGCATTGAGCATGAGAAGTACAGAAGGAATGCACATCATAGAAAACAATGCAAGAGGTTTCTTGACAAGAAATGCAAGAGTAAGGTTGCTTGCTAAATATCCAAATCCTATGGCCATACTAAACAACGTTAAATAAGGATATCTTTGAACTGTCTCTCTATCAACCATGACAAAAGTGAAAAATGAACCAAGCAAAATGAAAAAAGGAATGGCAGGAAGAAGACTCTTATGGAAATTGGTTTCAAAGCATGGAGATCTTTGTTGTTCGTCCAATGCAGAGTCCTTGTTCTCCACTTTTGATTTCTTATTTTCATTAATCTTTGCTCGAATATTCATAATATTCTCAATGGATGCAAAAATTGACCCGCTGCATGTAGGAAGAAGAGTTTGTCAAATTCCATTATCACAATGTTTCAAATTATTCACACAACTTACAATGCTGTCAATCCAGAGAACAATGCCCACAAGGGAGCAAGTCCGAATACTTTAGTCTGATAAAATTGATGACCAAAAATTCCTCCAAGTAATTGCATGATAATAAATCCTAAAAGTCCCTCAATTGGACCATTAAATTTTCCTAAATATAATCCTCCAATATAATACTCTTTTTAATTTGTCATAATTATGGTAAGACATGACACATCTGTATAAATACAAACCTTCTAACGTAGCAAAAATAAAAGGAATATATCCAATCAAACAAATAAGATATGAAACAAGAGTAGTTCCTTGCTTGCAAGCACAAATCCAAGAAATTGCACATAATGTGGTTGCTATTTTTGACAACAGCGTCATCTGTTTGCGAATTGATTCAAATACTTACCCACAGCATCAACACCATGATCCATAAGTTCTCCCAAAGGTGAGCTTGTTTTCGTTCTTCTTGCTTGTTTACCATCCATGTTATCCAATGTTTGATATGCAAAGAGACAGATAGCGTTCACTACGAAAACCCAGTTCGGTATGGTCTCTGAAAAAGTTGGACAGTGAATATAAGTTATAATTACAGATATCCATAAACAAATGTATCCAGCAACGGTGATGACATTTGGACTAATGATCAAATAAATTGTTGTGTGATGATGAGAATAACGAGTATGAAGATGGAGGCGGAAATGATATGATGATGATGAACAAAGTGATGATACTCTAATACTAAATGAAAAAACCTACGCGACACTCAACGGAACAAATTTCATCAGAGGTTCATAGACAAAGGGGTTCAACACATATTCTCGCACGAGAGACAAATCACCTCCAGTTGGAGCGTAATTCCGAAGATTAGTCTTGGCTTGCTGCAAATCGGAGCATCTTTGGAAAGCGACAGAAACAAGAGGCTTAATTCGTTGCATTTTTTTTGTGGATATTGTTTTGTGTGATCTGATCATCTCTTTTAATTCACAGAAAGAATATCCGTTGTCAGAATTCCTAATTTAATAATTACGTTTTTTGTAAACGATAGCTTTGAAAAGAGCTCCTAATGACAATAAAAAATGGATGGAAATGAATCATCGTCACAGTCTCACAGGAATCAATCATTTTCATTGAACGATCACAATTCTCATCATCAAACACCTGATGCATATGTGCTGTGTGATGATATTGTTCATTATGTGATGCAATTTATGGAATCATATTTTATTGTACAATCCTGTATGAGAGTTTCCAAGCAATGGTTCAAGATCGCACTTTCCATTCCTTTGTCGCTTCGACTGAATTTTCAAAAATTACAAAATGCAGCCAAGTGTGCAAATTTAACGAATTTGACCAGTCTCGATTTGAACAATTTTGTATGTGAGGAGTTGAACGGAGAAGAAATCCTTACAAGCGGTTGTTTGGCATTAGCCAATAGTCCGTATTTACAAAATTTAACTCATTTAAACTTGAGCATTAACACACAGCTTAAGAGAGATCACATAAAGATTTTAGCAACAAGTTCTAATATGTGCAAACTGTCCACACTTTGCATTTTTTTAACGTATATTGGAGACGAAGGAATGAGAGCAATCACAGAGATGAAAAGTTTGACCTCTCTGAAATTTGGAAACAACTCCATTTCATTGGAAGGAGTCAAGCATGTGACAACCATGAGTAAATTGACAGAATTGGAAGTGCTTCACTTGGATCTTAATGTGGTCAAAACGCGTACGTTTGTCATTTGAAAATATTTTGCAGAATGTTACGCATCATTTCATTGAACGGATCCGACAGATCAATGTTTGAATGTCATTGCCAATAGTGAGAAAATGAATAATTTAACCAAATTGACCCTTTACAAAAGTGGTATTACAGCAGAACAAGTTCGTTCTCTCACAACAAGCCATCATATGAAACAATTAACATATTTAGAGTTACGTGGTAACAACATTAGAGATTCAGGAATAATTTCTATTGCAAAGAGCGAGTTTATGAAAAATTTAACACATCTCAACGTTAGTACTTGCATGATCAGCGACACAGGAGCGATTTCTCTGACGCTTAGTTCTTTCATGAGCCAATTGAGAATTTTAAACTTGTCCAATGAGGAAGGACCTTCAAGACAGAGTGAAATCAACACAGTAGGAAATGAATTCATTCAAGCTCTTTCAAAGAGTGAATGCATGCAAAATTTAGAAGAGTTGAACTTGTTGGACACAAAAGTGAATGATGTAGGGGCTGTGTCTCTTTCACAAAGCAAGATTCTGAAAAGATTGAAATGCTTACACCTCTCTGAAATTGGGCCTGAAACTTCACATCTTATTTTGACTTCGTTTCCAAAGATTAAATTTGAGAACCTGCCACGCACTGCATTTGATGAATGCCTTCTCATGTAGTGTGAGAAGTATTTATTAGAAACTCGCTGTGTCACTTTTTCTTCTGCCCGCCAAAAATAACCGTTTCATGTTCAAAAAAATGGCAGAAATTGAAACAGAAAATTCTCATCGTCGAAACCATCTTATGGAAGATGAAGATGTGAACAATGAAGACATCATCAAGGTGTATCCATCATCACCATCACAACAACAAAATGTCGAATCATCATCGGATGAGGAGCAACAAACTCTGGAATTTGATGATGAAGACGATGGTGGTGCTCAAGCTCGTAAAATCAAACAATTAGCTCTGTTGAAAACTTCTATCGGAGGTCGGAGCGGTTTGGACGACCTAGATGCCTTGATGGATGGAGAGGATGCTCCCATTGATGAAAGCCTTCTGTACTCCATCAAGAGAAAGTCTCTATTAACGGGAGAAGAGCAAGCAATGGATGGGCAACAGGATGAAGAAGAAGGAGCCTCAGATTTCAACTCTACAGAAAACACCACATCATCGGATGCAAAGAAGAAAAAGAAGAACAAAATTTCAAAGAAGAAACAAAAAGAAGTCAAAGATTTGGAAGATGCTGTCTATGCACAATATAAGAGAACCAAAGAAGTCGATGAGGATCTTCCACAAAGAGCACTCAAACACATTTTCAAATTGGAGGAACTTGTCCCTAAAATTCTCACACATTTAACGCCCATGGTTGATACATTTACTTCGTAAGTTGAAATATTATTGAAAATAATATTAAGATCAACCCTTCATCTCTGCGCAGTCACAAACGACCTCTCAAACCTGAAATCAAAGTCGATAAATTCATTAATGCCACAGAAAAAGTCCAATACAAGCATGCACTGCTTTCGAGTGATGATGAGGATTCCTCAGAGGACGATGACTTTGATTTGGTTGTGACTAAGGACATCTCAGCACAATCTGCTGACTCGATCAAAGAAGATGCAAGTGATGAAGATCTAATGGAAGAAGATGAAGACGATCAAAATGAAGAAATGGAGATACTCAATGTTGACCCCATTGCACCAACAGCCCCTTCAGAGACCTCTGAAGAAGGAACCAAAGCTGAACAATCACCAGTTCAAGAACAAGAAGAAGGCAAAGAGTCAGTCCACACAGAAACAACAACTATTTCTGCTGTTGATACAACAGCATCTGAAATCAAAGATACTTTCAATGATCCTCTGGTACCTCAAACACTCACACTAGCTCCTGAAGAACAAATCACCAACAAAGAAGCCAATGATGACGAAGAACCAGAGGCAGAAACATCATCAGATGAAGAGGAACAATCTGATAAACAAGAAAAGAAGAAACCCGAGTTATTAGAAGAGGAAAAACAACAACGGGAATTGCAACGCAAGTTAGCTATCAAGCAATACATTGAAGAAATGAAAGCTGAAGCAAAAGCTGCTGAAGCATACATGTCTGATGAATGTGAGGAGGAGGATGATGATGGAAATGTTTTGAACTACAGAACTCTTGACGATATTCACAACTTGGATGACAAAGAGCTGGAAAAGGAAATTGAAAGTTTCATTGAATTCAACGAATCCGATGAAGAATCAGCTGTACAGAGATCAGAAGTCGAAAGTGAAATTACAGACATAACTGACGAAGAAGAGGAAGAAGACGATGAAATCTTGTCGGTCATGAGTTTTGGAGATGATGACAACAATTTACCAAGCAGAAATAGGAAACTGGTGAAGAAGGAGTACACACCACAAATGCTTAAAGAACATTTTGAGAAGAACCGAGAATTACTGGAGAGCATGAAGCGACAAGACGGTGGATATGGACCGTTCAGTGCAAGGACTTCACGTCTCTTGAATTTGACCCTTTCTAAATTCGCTATTCCTCAATCTGCTGTGGAAGATGATAAAAAGAAACTCGATCAAAGAAAGGAACGATTGGAGCTTGAAACCAAAAAGAAAGAAGCTGAAAAGCGACAAGTAGAGGCCTACAGAAATGCATTGAAAAAACGAAAACGAGAGTTACTCGCAAGTCAAGAAGCAACAACATCTGAACAAGATTCTCAAAGTAGCAGTGTTGTGTCACCATCGCCATCGCATAGCCTCCCATCTCTTTCATTCTCATTGACTAATTCCCAAGAAGTGTTGTCCATCATTCAACAAACTCCAACCACCAGCACGTCTCAGGCACCACCATCCAGACCATCCCATAACAAACATGCAGCTCCTAAATCCTCCTTCCTTAACAACACAAATCGACAAAAGGCAAAACAATTTGTTGCTAGGCAAGAACAGAAAAAGCAAAAACAGTCCAAACAATCCATTTCTGTATTTTCTCTATCCTCAAGTTCTACAGAAAAACCAAAGAAAAAGAAAAAAACAAGTCATAAGAAGAAATAACCACTTGTAAATTATTAACTATACATTATTATTGATTTTCTGCTTGCAAAATCATGAAATGATTACAAACGTCCTCGGTCTTGTGAATTGTTAACGAAGTTTTACAAAAAACTTGATACTCTTTGCCAAAATCATTCAACATTACAATACTCTTATTTGAGCTCAAACACTGGTTTGTGGCACAGTGTGTAAGAATTATTGGTTCATTTACATTCACCATTTGGCCTTCGTACTCCAATCGATATCCCTTATGAAGGTATTGAACTTTCCAAACAGTTTCATAGTTGACCACTTGGTCTACAGAGACTTCCTGACATTTCTCTGCTGAAGATGTGCCAGAAGCAAAACAAGTTGGCGAAGGTTTTTCCGAACGTAAGTATATCTTGTGTTGAAACCGTTGTTGTACACATTTTTCACGGCTGTTTTCAACAAATACTTACAGGTGAATGGAATTGAGGGACACATTTCAATCTAAATTTTTGTCCGTAATGAAGTATGTGACTTTCCTCCTCAGGGATGATCATGTCAGCACTGGTATCGTTTGGGACTTTCTCGACAATGAAACAATTTCTTGCACAGGGAGTTGTTGTCAATGTCGAGGTTGTACAGGCGAAACGGTCATTGACATGATGTAGTATTGTATCCAGATCCATACACAATATTCCTTCAGTATTTACACTCTTGATCATGACAATGTCTCCAAAATGAATGGCACCGTTCTCTCTTTTCTCAGTCAAAGGAATTGGACTCAAGTGATGCTTCATTTTACGTTCCATTATTTGATGAGGAAGCAAACCCTCCTCCTTTGCACGAATAAATTCTTTTTGCTTTTCATTGAGAAGTTCAATATCTTCGTTCCAATTTCCGATCCGCACGTGAGGTTTGAACGTGGTGTGCCCTTGAAGTTGTTGAGTTGTGTAGTATTGCATTTTTTTCTTTGTTTGTAATTATTGTAGTTGAGATTTTGGCGCCTTGATTTTGAAAAAACAAAATCCACCATGTCTTTGTGAGGCACTTTCAAGGAGTGCCTCATATATTTAACAAGGTTGAGCAATCTTTCTTCAGTACTGAACATCTCGACAGAGATGGAAAGAAACGAAAGCAGCGGCATCCACCAAATGAACATCTCTTTCCTTTCGTTAGGTTCGACTGAATGCAAGAAGTAAAAAATGAGTAAAAATGTTGGTGGTGATGGCGATGAAGAATTCGCTTGGTGGGAGAAACGAATGAATTTGCCCTCCATGTCGCTTTTTGAGAACTCTTTGCAGTGCCCGATTTGTAAAGAATTGTTGGACAATCCAAAATGTATTCGAACGTGTTTACATTTCTTTTGTGATTTGTGTATTTCGAGAGAATTTTCTTTTCGGAATCGATGTCCAGTCTGCAAGGAAGAATATTCAAAAAGTGAAATCATCAAAGTGCCATTTGTATCGGATTTGATGGATCTATACTCAATGGCTCGGAGAGATCTCGTTCAAAAACTATCAAATTCACAACTCGAAAAAGAAGATCAATTCAACAATAACCATTCCATAGCTCCAATTTCTGAAAGCCAAGAATCTTTTGATTGGTCCTTTCAAAGATCAAAACATTCCTCTCCCTCCTCCACTTCTTCCTCTTTCTCTAACAAAATTCCCTCATTATGCTATTCGATATTGAAAAACAATCAGCTTAAAGAGTATCTTAAAAAGTTCAACTTACCAACCAATGGAACACGAGAACAAATGATTTGGAGAATCAAAGAATACATTCTACGACATAATTCAAATATTGATAGAGCGAAACCTTTTTCTGAGGAACAAATTATTTCTTCAATCGTGAAAGAAGAAAGGGAGAGAGAACAGCTGAAATCCAAAGGAACAGCTCACTCCTTTTTCTCTAAAACTCCAAAGAAAAAAGACACGAGTGTCTCTCCATCGAGTGTTGACTTGTCTTCTGAAATCAGTGAGGGTAATATTCAATTCAATGAACCAACAGTGTCACATTCAAACAAATCTCAAAGACTTTCCTCATACCATTCTGACAAAGAGGACCACAATACAAACAAAGATAACTCCAACTCTTCATTCACAGCAATAGTTCTTTCTCCTGAAGATTCTTCCATCATCATATTAACTCCACCTTTTAAGAATGATGACACCACCAGCAGTGACGATGACGATAAGGAACGAGAAAGCAGCCAAGCCTCTTCTCCTCAAATTCGCAAGAGAAAACAAACCCCCAATGATACTCCTACTGAATGGAAAAAACGATGCACCGTCAAAATTCGAAGGAAAAACATCCAGAATTGAAAGTTTAAATAAAATTTTAAAAAAAAATTAATAATTGCTTTGATCAGAGTTCGTTGCCCACGATGCAGAACAAAATTCAATCCATCTTTACCTTCTCTGGGAAGAGACCATCCGACTATCATACTTATGCATATTTTAAACAAACCTTGCATATTGTAGATCCTACCATTCTCTCTCAAACTCTCCGAGAAGTGTTTTCAAACCAATTATCTGATGATGACTATCTTCCTACCTTTCAGATATTGTGTTCTCAAGTTGAACATTATTTTCATCAATTCGAAGAATGTAAATATTCTATTCATCGGGAACAAAAACAACAGTCATATCATAGAGGCTACAATCAAAAGATGGAATATTTGAGTAGACAGTTGGAACAATTGGAAGAACAATGGAAATTAAATTATTATGTGATCAAAAAATCCATCACGAACGATCTCAAGGTGAGGATGAAAACACAACAAAATGATGCTCTGATTGGAAATTTATTAAAATATCTCACACAACAAATTGTGGATGAGATTAATAGAAGTTTTTCACTTCCAATGTCGTCCTCTGACTCATCCAATGACGAAGACAGTGAATTTGACCCTCCTCAAAAGAAGCGAAAAACAGCAAACGAAATTTTTGAATCGAATAATATTTCGATAAGATACATTCTGGAGAAGTTGGAGCTTCATCCTCTTTGTCAATTGTATTTGGATATTATTCGATTTATTTGTAGGCCATCAGACAAGTCTGCCTCACAATACAAGCTAGTTTCAGTCACAATACCTGATGGATATACGGGAAATGGTAGTTTGTTGGATTTTCTTCCATCTCTTCAAAGCTTCCAACAAAATTATTCTCGACTTTTACATTATCTAAATACTACTTCTAGTGACTTTCTTTATGTTTGTATGGCATTGGAAAATCCATTTGTTGCTTTACCCATGTCATTCTCAACAGTACTAATGAACATTGATAACTCATTTCAAAAACTAGGAGACCAAAAACAAAAGATATTCCACACCGATGTGTTCAATTCACTTGCAAAATTTATTAATCATCAGTGCAAGAGAGAGTTAATGGTACTGAACCACATGTGCATTAAGATTCCAGACTTGCCAAAAGCACTAATTTTTCCTTATATCTCCGAATTGATTTTTTCCAATGACAATACATGGAATGAAAGGAAAGAAATAATCGTCACGATGTTGTTATACATGATGAGTGAGTGTGATGGAATTCTTAAAGTTATTTTACCAGATTTGCTTGAACTTTCAAAAAAACATAAGGCGGAATTTTTAGAATTCTTTAATTTACTGCCATATTCAAATATTGATCGACATGGTTTAGGTCCAATCCTTGAAATAATTAGCGAGCACTTACAACAGATGAAAGATTTTTCTTTTGAATATCTCGTAACTCTAAAGCGTTGGGATGAGGATTCCTCAATTCCTCAAAACCTGAGAGATAAGTGCCATACCATCCTCAACTATACCGTTTCTATACTCCAAGAAGACTTCATTGGCTATTCATGCAAGCTACAAGAGTACAATTACTCTTTAGACACCTTCCATCAAACTTCTCCTCCTTTTATTTATAGATTGAATTCGCTTACATTCTTGAACTCTCTTCACTCCAAAACAGAAGAAATTATTAGCTTTGTATTAGAGTCTTCCAATGTGAAAGAATCTGTTTGGTTCTTCTTGATAGAACTTTTAGGACTTTCAGGAGGAGAAACTATTGCATCAAATATTTTGCTTCACTTACTAACTAGTTATTACTTTTCCAGAAGCTCAAACGACAGAAATGGCAACGCTACAATCTTATTTCTTAAACTATATGATTCATTCTCCAAAAATTATGCCATCTTTGATGAGTAAGTATTCCTATTTTTTTGAATAGCTATTGACATATGTCTTCGTAGACCTTTTATTGAAAAAGTTTTATGGATAGTTTCCACCTCAAACAATGCTGAAAAGACATGTACTATTATCAGCAATCTATGTCTGTGGATCAATCTTTTGAAAGATGTGTAAGTATGATCATCATTTGTATGTGGTGTTTTCTCATATCACTGACTCCCTATTGGTTAGAGCTGACCAAGAAGTACATTACAAACCGGTAATATTTTACAACTTTATTACGAGCTGGCAAATTCTGTATCCTTTTCTCTTTAGAAATAGTTCAATTGTGCAAGACCTTCCTCTACGCCTTCTTGAATCATTTATTTCAATTCTTAAATCAAGTACAAAAATTGAAGACACCACCACGCATACAACGCATACAGCAGTTATCACTATACCTGAACTTACCGCTAACCAATTATCACAAGCACTTTTGGCATACTACTTTTTCCTTTTGAAGCCAACCTTTACAACCAAACATCAAAGAAGACATCAATTAAGAAGTAAGCAAAGATTGACTCACGATTTAATACCAACCATTATAATTGAGCCCGAGACTGATGTAGCAAGCACTTTATACTATTATTACTTTGTTTTGATTGTAATGGAAGGAAGAACTGACATTATTGAAAAATGCAGAAATGTTGTTAAGGAAATTATTTCTGTGCTATGTTCTCGATTCGAGCAAGTGGCATGTTCTACGTTTGACTTTTCTTTGGATCTAATATTTTGTAATCATATGGAATCCAGACTTCATGCCACAAATGTGTTCACATCATCTCAAGTGCATGAACAAATCAATTATCCATTACTCCACCAGAAGGACGCTCTTTCAATAATTAATTATTTCTTTCCAGAGGAAACATCTGTATTTTCTAAAGTTCTAAGTAACGATGATATCAAAGCTGAGGATAAGAGTACCATCATCAAATTATTGTTTAAGAATGTCGAAGAAGAGAACATGATTGAGTTGACTCACATTTCAGAAACAACGCCACTTACTGCAAAATCAGATCATCAGAACTTGGTCACTCAATTGGTTCAACCCAAACACAAAATGTCGAAAACGAAAACAGTCCTCGAAGAAAACTTGGCTATCAGAACAAAAGGTGTTGTATTTGTTAATCCAACCAATGTTCACAAAAAGTTGAAGAACAAGTCATTCACACTGAAGAAAGACACATATTATTTCGACAAACACAATGAAGAGGTTGTGAAATTGAACAAATCTCACATTTTGAGCCTCTTTTCAAAATGTCTGTTTTCTCAAACAGAAGAGAATAACATTTCATGCACACTTCAATTAGGAAAGCAACTCATGAAGAGATTGAAATTGCAAAATCCAATTCAAACAATACCTCAATTACTCGAATCTCTTCCAAAGAAACCCATGACAGAAAGAGAAATTGTTATTGACAAGATGTTCCACAAATTCCCAATAATTTATAGCTTGATTGATTTCATTTCTTTAGCATATCCAAGAAAATTTATTGAAATTGAAAACATGGAGACAACATTGATCAGTCTATTGGCAAATGTGATTGGAGAATGGAATTTGAGAGTGCTATCAAACAATAAGGGTTTTGGATCTTCAGAAAATGACAAACATCTAATCATGAAGACCATTCAAATTACAAACGTATTAATTCGTGCTGAATTGGTGATTGAACCAATGGATCTCGTTACTGAAATAATTCCACACGTTTCTCCAAAAGAAGCTGTCGATATGCTGATGGATGTGTTTAGATGCATGGGCAAATTGAAAGCCATATCTAGTGGTGCGACAACGTCTTCTGGTAGTGTCTCCTCCACAACTCCACCAACAAGCACACCACCAACCTTCTCTGCAGATACCTCTTCCACCACTCCTCCTACAGTCAGCAGCACGAGCGAAGAATTTGACATTGAGCCATACATGGCAAGTATTAAGAATGCTTTAAGAAATCATTTGGATCAATTTGCTCCAATTTATGCCAGGTTCACTTCTGCATCCAAATCTGTTGTTATTGCAACAAACAGCCAATCAAGTCAGCAGCAATAAGCGATCATTCGATGGATTGATTAAATAAAATTTATTCTAGAAAAATTTAATTTTCGGAGAAGAACATTTTCACACGAGAAAGAATATAGTCTTTTGATGGATCATAAGGTGAATCCTTAGAAGGAATTTCCAAAATAGCAGGAGTAATTTGGCTATAGCTGTCAAGTAAATATCTAATACTTTCTGCGATCTGTTTTCATGAGTCAAATAATTACTTGATTATATTTCTTAAAGTGATGAAATAGCACTTACGTGTTGGTTGATTAACAAAATTGCAATATCATCTCTAGAAGTGAGTTTCTTGAAAGCATCTTCAATTTGTGATTGTGGAGTTGCTGTATGATTCATACATCGGAGAGGTCGTCGATCATGAGATGAATATTATCGTTGAAATAAGACCACCACCGTCCACATATTGATTTCCATATATATATATTTGTTTATCGTTTGTTGTGAACATCATTAATAGTTATTTCCATTTGCGATGAAAAAATCCATCATTATAACAATAACAACAATTAGGAACGATGATGATTCAACAAAAAAACAATAACAACAACGATGCACGTACATGGAGTTACAACAAGAAAGTTCTCGGCATGTTTTGCATCATTGTCTCCAATTCCTGCTAACAAGAATCCTGTTACGGTTTCCTCATCACCTATGATGCCGAGTAATGCTGTAGATCCAGTTCTGAGTTTTGTTGGCTTTGACATTTTTTTGTTGTTGGATATTTTAGGAATTTGATTTTTATTAATTATAAAAAATTTTCATCCTAATTACATTTTATATTATTTACAAGGTGGTGTTAACGTTCAGCACTAGTTCTTCTTTGCCTATGAGTGAGCTATTATGATGAATTGACTCTCATGTGCAAGACCGCCCAATAAGAAAATTTTTGTTCACGAACAAATAAAAATGTCCACACTCGTCCCAGCGCAACAACACGCTGCCGTTGCCAATCACCTTGAGGCTTCCCAAACACAACAACGGATGAATGGCTCGGAGAAGGATCATCATCATCATTTGACTGGAATGGATGAAATGGAGTTGGCTTTAACAACTAGCAATGGTGCTGCATCAAATGATACCAACAACAATTCGGCCGAACAGTTAGGCAAGAATGATTCAACAACAACTACAACCTCTAATTATTCTCCAAGTACATCTTCCACTCGCTTGCTAACACCAGAGGAGATTATGATTATCAAAAGGCAACGAGAAGAAGTTCCTTTTATGTTAACATCATTTCCCGATCCGAGAACAAACCATGGTTACCGAGCACACTTTCATACTCTTTGTCCATACACTTCAAAATTAATATGCTATTGTAACAAGTTTTTCCTAAATAGCAAACAACAGCAACGATTCATACACAACACTAAGAATATATTAGAAATGTATTGCAGCAAAAGACCAGAGTATGCTAGGGAGGTTGGATTTATGATTAATGAAGAACCAACTCTCAACAGTTCAATTATAGTTTCTAAGGATAGATTGGAAAATGTTGTCAACACTTACAGTGACATATTGGAGTCCATGTCATCCAATAGCAAGACCGAGCCAGTTTCAGCACATCCATCAGAGTCATTATTTCAGCTTCTTGATAATTCGGAAAACGCAGGTTCAAGCTCGAGTGTCCAAGAAAAACAGCAGACATCAACATTATTTACTGAATCTGAACTCTCTCAAATTCCTAAAAAGAGAGGAAGACCTAGGTAGGTGGTCGTTTGTTATTGAATTTCCTCTTTAACTCATGCTGTTAAGGTCGAGGAAACTTTGTAAAAAATGTGACAGTGGTGATCAGGAGGATAAGCTCATTCATTGTGTAGCTTGTAATTGCTATTTCCATACTTTTTGCCATGAGCCCAACATGGATCATTTGGAGCAAAAACACCGAGATAATTGGCTTTGTGCTGACTGCAAAATTTGCTTGAAGTGTAAAAAGAATTCAGATGAGAGCGAGATGATTATTTGTGATTATTGTGACAATGCATATCATTACAAATGTTTAGATCCACCGCTGAATGAAGCACCTAAAGATCTGTGGTTTTGTCCAACTTGCCAAGAAACGAGTAGTGAAAAGATAGAAGAATTTAAAAAAACAAAACAATCCCAGTCAGAAGCGATCAAACAAGAACATAAGAAACCATCAAACGAAAAGAAAACAAAGACTCCCAAGAAGAAGAAAAAGAATAAATAATTGAGGAAGATTTATCAGCCAAAATGAAATGTTAATTATTAACATTTCATCGACAAATCAAATCCAATTTTAATAATATTGGATAATAATATTTTTATTTAGAGAATAAAAAAATGAGCACAACCACCGAGCGTCCATCATCAACTGAGTCATCATCATCCGATCAACAACCTGTATCGCTCCACTATGATCATACGTTGGACGAAGAGGAAGAACCATTGATGAAAACAGCTTCCAAACAACAAGTGGATCAATATTTTCAAAAACACAAAATTTCGCAAATAATCAAACAACGTTTAAACGAAGCCTTCAATTTAAATCATCAAGATCCTGTTGAATACTTATTTAGCGCAAAGAGAATGCATCAACAAGAACTTTTACTACAACAGCAGGAAAAAGAATTAAAGGAATTAACAAAGAAACATGATGAAGAGTTGACAGCTCTCCAACAAAGTAAAGAAGCGTCAAGAGAAGCATTCATTGAGCAAGAAAAGCAATATCTTGAACAAATCGAACAATTAAAAAAGGAACGAAAGGAGTTGGAAGATAAAATTCAGCAACATGAGCAAAAAAAGAAATTTGCGGATGAAAATAGGAAATATAATATTGAGCTTTTAAAAGAGAGAAATGCCTCTTTGCGAAAGGAAAATGCAACTTTGAAGGAAACAAATCAACAACATGAAAAAGAGTTAAAACAAAGAGAAAAACAAATCAGAAAAATCATCAAACCAAGCCATGTCTCAAGCGATTCGATATCTTCCTTAGCCTCAGCCTCAACACCAACGCAAGAATAATTTATTGCTTCGAAAGCTAGACGTATTAAAAAAGTATTTCTAGTTTACTGTTGTAAATAATTTAATCTTCCATAATATCATCATCAACTTCGTCGACAATCTCATCAACATCCAAGTGAAGAGATTCATCTTGGTCTACCGTTGGTTTCTTTTTCTTTTCTTCACGATATCTCATTGCCTTGATACATTGACTTCTGCAACTCAAGCAGAATTGAATACGTTTGTCAAACTCTTCTGCAGGCTCACTGGTTTGATAGACATCTTGATTTTTGGCGGTGTCAACACTTTGAGCTTGCTCATCAATTTTGGCATCAATAATACCGTCCTTAATTGCCTTGGCAACAATACCTTGAACATCATTCACATCTGTATCAGTTAAATTCAATTTTTTGCTGACATCAGCAAAAGAAATTCTAGAATAAGCCTTGATGATTGACTTCAAACCAGTACGAATGACATTTTGCCTAATGCGGTTGATGAGAGTGAGGTTGTCATCAGCAATATATTGGTCTCTGTACTTCTCAACAATAGTTTCAAATCCATTCACATTACCAAGTCTCACCTGTTGGGTAAGTTCATAGTATGGCTTAAGTTGAGCCAAGGTCACATTGTCGTTGGTGGCCTCCAAAGTATTCACAAAAAGTGAACGATCAGGAATGTGACCCATCAACAAGCTAACAACGATCAGTAATTTGTTGGCATGAATACGGAAACCTCTTCCTACGTTACGCTTACTCAAATTAGATTGCTCAGTTCCTTCTTTTTGAGTTTTTGGCTTATTTGGTTGAGCACTTGGTGCCTTACGAAGTGCTGTTTGCAAAGAATTGTAAGCTTCGGAATAATCTAATTGAATAGCTTGAATTCTTCCTTTGTAGTAATAATATCTGGCCAATTGATTATTGTCCACGTGACCAATGGTTTGATCAATAGAGACAGTCTTCAACAGCTTGTTTGCTTGTTCCACCAACTTGTCTTGCAAATATGATCTCAAAAGACAATTCAAAATGACAAACTGACTCCAATGGTCATGTGCCAAAGTGCAACTACGCAATCTACCAAGCAAAATATTTCTAAATTCATTGTTAGAAACAGTGTGCAACTTTTCATGAATAAAAGAGAAATAAAAATACACTTTCGAGAAGAGGAAATTCATAGAGCGAGATCTTTGCTGCTTTTCCAATACATGCTGATATTTAATGCAATCATAGGCGCAAGCATAGGCTCTGTTGTATTGTTTTTTGTCTGTCAAAAAGATGATTGTAATAAGCCACAAGTAAACTTCAGCCTCAGGTATTGGCTTTTGTTCCTCGTCTTGCATTTCAATAGTTTCTTCAATGTATGAAACCAGGTGAGCACATTTCAATTCCTATATATTTTCAATTGTTCATTCATTCATTACGAAATTTGGAGTGTGTTGATAATGTTCATGTGGATGAATATTGATCGGATTTGGCACCTACCTTCAAGATTCCAACAAGGATCTTATCCGTGATTTGTCTTCTCAATTTGTTGTAAAACAATCTGAAGGCTCTCATTTGTTTTCTGTCATTGTCCAGATCATCTTGTTGGACAGACTTGGCAATCATTTTCAATTGGTCCTTCAACTCTCCACGAATCACCAATTCCAACTCTTCCTGAGGATTAGCTGGAGTAGTAGTTTCAGAAGTAGTTGATGATGTTACATCCTTCATCTCGGCATCTGATGTTGTTGTGTCCTTGATCGTCATTCTTGATGGCTTTAGAGAGTGTTTGAATCAATTTTTTCTTTAAAATACTTTTTAAATTTTCTGCTAAAAATACATTTGCAATTCCTCAAGCTCTGAGCACACAACCTATCAATCATCATCGTATTGAGGCAAATCTTCATTAAGCACATATTCTATGCTGCTCTGTTTATTAAAGGATCTCTTTTTTGAGCCATACATCAGAGGTGGGCAATGGTATCTCGGAGGAAGAGGTAGAAGAGGAGTTTGAGCATGTCGGAGGAGGCTGTTGGAATCTCTTTGCCAACATATTAGACAAGGAATGTATTTGTTGAGTATTGAGAGAGGAACACACTTTACCAAAAGATTCGGGAGCCTCACATCTTTCAAATCCACACTTTTCATAGAAGGTTGTAATTTTAGTGCTGAGATAGAGTATGGAGCCTTGAGGAAGATGAGTTTTGGCATAATTATATAATTCTTCCATGACTCGGCGACCATATCCCGAGCCTCTCTTGTCTTTTCTTGTTACGACTGTTTCAATGATGAACGTATTGTGTTGAGATTGGATGAGTTTGGCGTGTGCAACTACTTTGGAGGAAGTCGATGAGGACATCTCCGATTCTTCAATGAGTATGACACTAACTGGAACAAAATTGTTGTGGTGCTGCTCCAGTTGGGTTTTATCATTCAAAAGCATTGATTTCCGAACAGAGTGTGATGATGGCCATTCATCAATAATTAGTTGTACAGTCTCATCAATGTATTGGTTCCAATGTTCATGTAAAAGAAGGGCCTTGATTGTTGACATTTTTATTCACCTATCATCAGTGCCCATTCCCAATGAAGAATAAATCTGTGATCGAAGATAAGAGTTATATTCAAGACAAACTGATTTACGACGAATTTAGTGTCACGATCTTTTATTTCATCATTGGATTTCAAAATACCCGAAATTGACATGAGAGTATAATGATTGTTGCCATTCTTAAAATCACATTAATGAGCGAGCCTTTTTTAAACTTGGTTCTACACTTGACAAGTTAATAGTCTCTCTCAGAAAACGTCACAACCTCAAACCACATCACTTGATCCAACGAAAGAATTGCATCTTCTTTTCTCCTCTGTCTCGTTGCAAACATACAACCTCTGATCATTCCTCTTAAAACGAAAAAACTACAAATAGTTTCAGAATCTTCTCTAATCAAGACCCAAGTTTCCGTTTTCAGTTCGATATTAAGAGAGTAAAAAATGTTCTCACAGTTTCTTCATTCGTTGTCTTCGTCGAGTGTTGCAAGCTCGTTGGATGGAGTCGGTTCTTCCTCACGCAACACGGAGCGAAGACAGCACGCACATCACAATGAAGAGGTCCGAAGTGATGATGAGACAACTCAGACCGGTCATAGTATTATTAATAGTAGTAACGATAACCCACAGCAATCAGTACCATCTTCATCATCGGAGACAAGACAACATCACCATCATCACCAATTTCGTAATTTACTGTTTGGTGGTGCCATCAGAGGTGGACATGGATTATTAATTGAAGATGATGACTACGATGACGATGTTGATGATGACGATCAGCCTCCTGTTGTAGCCTCCTCGTCTTCTTCCCATCACCGACAACATAGAGACAACAACATTACCACCACAGCCACTACAACGGAAGCAACAACAGCCTCTGCTTCGTCCGATAACAACAACCATATAACCAACACTTTGACTAACAACGCAGAAAACATTTCAACCGCTGATTCTCATTCCAGAGATGATCTTTTTCATTCCGCTGCAGCCAGGTTGGCCCTTGGCAACAGACTCTATCGATTACGTGCTCGTGCCAGAAGAAATAGAAGTCGTAATTTTAGTGAAATTAATGGTTTCCATATTGCTAACGGAAGGTAAGTCATGATGATCTGGAAATACAACAAGAATTATTTGAAAATTATCTGGTGATGATCATGGTATCTAAATTATGGAAATAGCAAAACACCATTTTGGAAGAGTGGGCTTGTAAATTCAATGTATACTACTTATTACTTATTTTTACAGATTGCTTTAATTCTATTCAAATTAGAGTCACGTTTTATGTTTAATGCTCCTGCATGGGTGTTTGGTTGGGTTTTGGTGATTATTCCAACCTATGTCATGGCTCTTATATTTTTGGTTTCTCTTGTTTTCTGGGGTGTAAAAGATTTGATCAAATGGAGAAGACACTATAGCCGTCAGTATCGAAGATTTGAACGATATGTTTCACAACTTGATGAAGCTAGTAGAGGCTTGGCAACATTTAGAAATACTGACCCTCTTAGATATAGCTCAGTGAGATCTATTCAAAGAGAAAAACGAAAAGCCGTGGACAGATTTGTTGGCTATAGTGTCTTTGTTGGCATCATTGTTGGACTTGTATGCACTATTTTAATATGCATCAAATTAGACTATATCGAACAATTTGCGTTACCATTCATTTCCATTTTCAGCGTTATTATGGTCTATGCAGTCTTACAATGCCTCGCAGCCTATATCTATTTGGGAATTATTCATGGAGCGGCTAAACACAAACTACAAGTATTATTAGAGATGCTTGGATTTGTATTATGCATTGTTTGCTTCCTGATTTTACTTGGAGTAAGATTGGACAAATACGTATACTACATGCCATATGCATTTTCTTTGATTCCATTATTTTGTTTGAACACGGCTCTTTTACTCTACAATATTATTAGTGCTGTTCGCTCATTTTCTCTTGGTCCAAATCCAAATAAGAATAATAACATCAAGGAAGACAGTTTTATGACACTTTCTGGACTTTTAATTACCATGTACAATGGTATGGAAAGAAGGAGAAAGGAAGAAATTGGAGAACCATTGAATGATGAATCAGAATTATCTCTCACAGATGTTCAAAGAAAGCAACGTCTTAAAAATAGAATGGACGCAATTTTCGCTGCCATGTGTAGCATTCCTGTCAACGTGTGTTTTGGATTGATTAGTTATTATGGAGAAACGAGTATGATGGAATGGCATAACTATCTTGGAATTTTCATTCCTTTGTTAGTTCCACTATTTTTCCTTTGTATTTGGACAACATTTAGACAGAAAATTATAGAAAGATATTATAGAGCTCAATCATCGTCAACAGCAACAAATGAAACAGAAATGCAAGACATATCAGAGGAACCTACAATGACTGTTCGTGACATCCTCAACAATTCAGAAGCCATGAGAGCACTCAGAAGTGGAGCATCCAATACTCAAACAAACCTCTCACCTCTCATGATTTTATATCTTCATTCTCTCATTCGTGAACAACAAGAACAGGAAAACGCAGATACAGAAAATCAAGATACGGGAAGAAATGCTGCGCTCATGCAATTCCTTCAGGAGTTAATGGAGGCAAGATCAAGACCCGTGTCACAAGGCCTAACAAGAGAGTATCTTGCCACACTTCCAACTCATATCTACAAACATCAAGAAGGAGTTCAGATCAACACAACCTGTCCAATTTGCCTTTGTGATTATGAGGATGGTGATGAATTGCGAACTCTACCATGCTTCCACATTTTCCATAAAGAGTGCATTGACAATTGGTTGCTGCAAAAGAAGATTTGTGCCATTTGCAAGCATGAAGTAGACTCCTACAATGAACAAAGTTTCTACTACCAAGACCAAGAAGATAATGTTTAAGCGAACAGAGAAATGTCAAAAGGATGCGACGAGAACCAAGGCTTTTTTCTAGTGGTCATGTCAAGCCTTTTATATGCACTGAAAGCCTTTGAGAGAAAAAAAACAGATCACATCGATACACCTACGCACACGCTCTCCATCATCTACAATTATTCTCATTCTCCTCTACCTAGTAATAGTCATCATTGAACATCCGTACAGGTCATCATGCAATCGTTGGAGGTTTTGAAGAATATAGCGAGCAACATTTCTCAACTGGCTGCTGCGCAAAGCCAACTCTCGGATATGCCTCAACATCTAGCAGATCGGACACTGCAAATTACTTTAAATGAATTGGTCAAAATGATTAGTTTTCAAGTTGTTCCGATGCTAGATCATGAAACTCTATCTTTTGTACTGGATCATGCTGGTGTTGCAATTGACTTTGCCTCACTCAAGAATGAAACAACTCAAATACATGTAAAGGTGTTGCTTGATGGGTTTGCTATAATTTTAGAAACCTTAAAGCTCTTTTATGATTTCGAATGGAAACAAGAAGAATATTTCAAATTGTACTCTAGTTCAACCTTTGTTGGCATGTACTTGAAGCGATGGGATAGGTTCTACATTGATTGGATTGTCTCTTTTCAAAATAGAGATGTATCACGGGCTCATCTTGTAAAAATAGCTAGAACCTTTTATTTCAGTTACATCAATGGAGTCTTGTCAAAATGTCAACTAGAGATGCCTTCTGCCGACTTTCCTCATGGCTCTTCGGATGTATCAAGCAACGTCGAACCATCCAAACTGTTGTCAGAGTCCTCATTGAAATCCCTCAATCTGCTCAAAATGTATAAAGTAAGTATTTTAAAGTTGTCACAGTTACAATAACATCAGTGCTGTAGATTTTCTTAAACAAGTTAGATCGGTTTAATGAAAAGGTATTGAATATTCATTCCAAGTCGTCCATGTATTTGTTGTTGCTTGACCTGTCTCTATTTCCTCGAATTAGATATCATAAAACACCAGTCAAGCATCCTTCTCTTTATATGCTCGGTTACAGGAAACACTTGTATGTCATTCCCTTCATTGATTTTGAAATGAGTTTTGAGGAGAGACGTGCAGCTGATTTGCTCATGAAAGATTGTAAAGGTTTTGATCATGTCTATGACTACAATAAGAGAAACGTTGTGGAACTGCTCACACTACATGATGGGCAATTTCAAAGCAAGCTGACCAGTCTTAGCAGCTATATTACACTGAGCGATGAGTGGTGTAGACAAAATGTGACACTACTCAGAGATAAGAGAGAAGATCCGCACGATCTAATACATTCCATGAACGTTTCATCTGAGCCCTTAATTGATTCGGCAATAGTAAGCGAGTCTAATGTCATTTAACAATGATGTACATTAATGAGGTGAGATCATTGCCACAAATATCTTTACATTGCAAATTCTACAACACCTCCAAGGTTGCAAGAAACAACTCAAATAAAATTGTTCGATCAAACTGCAATTTTTGATCTTTTTATCAGTCAATCCAATCATTTATTTAAGTGTAATATCAAGGAAATTTGAATAGATTGTGGTGAAAGGAATCCATTTCCCAGCCATCCCAGAATTCAATAAATATGGCGGTTTAAATTTTGTGCGAGAAATTTTATCTTGGAATGATCAAAATGGATCATAAATGAATATGCGAGGATTACCGGTCCTTTCCAAAAGCGATTGATGACAATGCAACTCAAAGACGGTCAACGAAGGGTTCCGGAAAGGACAGTGATAAGTTTTCTGGTTTGCATTTGTTGTGATTGAGTCCACAAAAATCCTTTTGTTTTGCCTCTTGACAAGTGGCAGCAGCCCACAAATTGATCGTAACTGCATGCAGACTCTCCAACAACTGGAATTGTTATTTGTGATTGTCTCAAATCTAAACAAATGAATGAATGGACATTAACTCTAAACATACCGAAAAAACCCTTGTTGTATGATGATGAAGGGATGACATCAAATGAATTGTTGTTGATGATGAAAGTAGTAGCACGTCGAAAGTGTCATGGGCCATGTATTTCACCAACAACAATAATACGTGATGCTCACGATAAGAGTTGTCCAATATCATCACATCCAATGTGTTGTTGCAAAGGTCGACTGAATGATATTAATTCTCATAATTATTGTAATTACAACAACAATAATAACAACAACAGCAAGTGCTCTCACCACCACCACCACTACCAACCATTACTGCTCGCACAGCCTCAAGTGGCAATGAGAGACTCTACCAAACCAAACTGCAATTTCCATTTTTGTTCTTCAATCCCAAATCTTCCTCACATCAACAACCATTGTACCACCTCGTTCCGAACAAAGCAAACCACTAGGAGGAGCCACCATCACCATTACCACTATTCCTACACGCTACCATCATCCTCAACCATCACCACCAAAATTGCTTTCTTCCTTCTCCTAGCTCTAATGTTTACTTTGAACATGATTAATCTATTTCATTTGTTTATATTCTCATCATTTTCCAATTCTGCTCCAAACCACCGTTACACCACCACCACCACCACCACGTTTCCATCCCGACCAACACATGAACACAACCACATTGCTACAATACTAGTACTCGCTCAAGAACCACCAGCAGATTGTGTATTACCTCAAGATCGAGCCTTCTTACTGACCACCTTGCACGACTTTAAGTTTTCTCCGAATCTGTATGGAACCTGGCGATTGAAATACTCAAACGATTCTACGACCATTTTCACTTCTCCATCATCATCGAATATTATTACAAGTTCAGAATCGTCATCATTGGATGAATCCACCAATGCTCGGACAACAACAACACGTTTAGTACCATGTCCTGATCTCTTTGAAATTACAACCATCTCAGTGAGTGCAACCGTGGATCGGATGACCTACTTTGCCGTTTCCATTGATATCTTGCACAATCAAACCGAATTTGAGAGTCATTTGTGGGGAGTGTCGTATCAGCCTCAATTTCGAACCATTTTCTTTGAGCTTTTTGCTTTCTCCAACATCACTCGAGTTATTGCTCAATCGGGACATTCTTCTTATCATGTCGAGATGATCAATCAACATTTAGTTTCAAATGAAACACTCCCTGATGGTTCCTATAAGAGTCTACTCTCGGGCTCACAAGTCTACATGAAACCATTATTGATGAGAAAAAAGTTTTACGGATTTGAATATACGGTTGAAATGAAATTACAAGATTTATTTCACATGTTCAATGAGAGTGCAGAGATGCATCAAGTGAATGACGATGATGATAAGATCCTCTCACCTCCACCACCTTCAATACAGACCTTTCTGACCTCTCTAAGCAGCTCGTCCAACCATTCTTCTTCAAGTGTGAATGTGACTCATGCAGAATCTATTTTCAAGTTGAAAATGTTGGTCTCTAAATATGATTTACCATTTGCTTTTCCTCTCATGATCCAACAACCTTTAGGAACAAATTCCATACTTTTTTGTTCTGAGATTTCACTGAATACTATTGATCAAACAACATTACCAGATTTGGATTTTCAAAAGTCTCTCATTCAGGCACATCATGCCATCTCAACAGTCATTGTGATCATTAATGCAACACTGAGTATCATTGTATTGACTTTATTAGTAATTTTTAGAAAAACAAAACCTAGAGAATCTCGTGGATATTTACCCTATGTCATATTTATTCAAATTTTTGTCAATTTTGTGAGATTGTTGTTACAGACCTATTGGGGTGACGAATTTCTACTCATTGTTTTTATATTTTCCACATTGGTTCTATTATGTTTCAGTTATCTCATGTATTTCTTGAATACCTTAGTTGTCTTTTATAAGAGAAAAGTTTACAATGATTGGTACAACAAGATGAAGAGAGAATCAATGGACAAGCAAAAGAAACAGAAAAACAACAACACCAATAACAACAACCATTCATCATCCAATCCAAACACACCACTTGCCATTGCCGTTGTGAAAACCAATGAGCAGGATGAGACAACAACAAATCCTTTCACTACGACAACTATTACTCATCGATCATACTCAGATGAAAATGATTGTTTAAAACCTTCTCTCAAGAATGTGGACATTTCTGGTCATAATGACAAATCGCACGAGGAGACACTACGTGGCACTTCGATGACGACGAAGACTATGACTACCATTGCTTCATCCTCTGCCAATACTTTACATTCAAATTCTTCAGGGAATTTATTGTTACCACCTCAATCATTACCCTCTCAACAAGATTCGTTACCTCACAAGGATGTGATCCATTATAATGACATGATGACCACCACAGCAATCACCTTTGGCGTTCAAGATTCATCCACCACAGCTTCTTTACCTCTCTCTCAACAATTCGATTTAACACTTGAGAATTCTTCGATCATTGCGAAACAACAAGAAAATCATCAAGACCTTCATCTTGGGAATCAAGGTCATCCGATTAGTAGTAGAAATCAAAGTCATTCGATTAGTCAAGAAAATACAGAACTTTCCATGTCTCATGGACTCGGTTCACTCTGGTGGGTAAAATCTCGTCGTGTGAAAATTTGCAGTACCCTTTTTGTCATTTTACTGGTGTCACTTTCTCTGGTGATCATCCTTCCAGTGTTGTTTCTGACCAATGAATCAACACTTGAATCCACTGTATTGATTGTTCTTGGATTTTATTTTCTTGTTGCTTCTGCAATGGCGATTGGAGCTCTCTCTTTGGATTTGGCATGGAATTGGAAACGATTCATCAAAAAGTGTGAATGGAAAAAGTACTTTTTCAGAAATGATCCCTTGTATTATCGATTGGAATTGGTCATTCACTTTTTTTCAATTTTTCAATTCATTGCCAGTGTGGTCGTTTTGTTTACTGTGAGAGATCGTGTGGATAATATTTCACTTCTCAACAATAAGACTTATTCCAGTTCAGTTCCTGCTGCTACATTTGCATCTCTTCCAATTGAATTCACTGCTGTTGTTTTTGAAATTTTAGCATCTGGAGGTGGATTTATTTGTTTCATGACTGTTTATGAAAAGTACAAGTTATGGTTTCATAGTGAACAAGAACAACAACAAGAGGAGGAGAATGAGGAGGATAAGGAGATGTATGCCTCTTTTTCACAACATGTAATTTCTTCAAAGACCAATCATCAGGAATTTCCAAATTCGGAATTAGAACTTGATAAGAATTCACCTCCATGGATGGTGAAATTTAGAACAAATATTTATTCTCCAATGCTTGAACTGCTTGGGGATGATCTTTGCAAACTATTTGTGGATGAAAAAGGTTTTGAATTATTGAGACTCTTCTCTAAAAGTGAATTTTCAATGGAAAATGTTGCTTTCATTCATGATATGGAAAAGATTTATACTTTACTATTTTGTGACATTCATGAATCAAGAAAGCTCAGTAGTGGAGCTTCACCTTCCAGTTTGAGTAAGAGTTGTAAACCAACTCTCAGACAAAATCTCACACGTGAAACGATCGAAAGAGCAAAACTGACTGTTTGTGATGATTTTTACAATTTGTATGTGAGTGAAAATGCCAAACTTTCTGTCAACTTTTCCAATCAATCCAAAATGATTTTTAACAAGTGGAAACTCAATGGATGGAATGATGAATATATCAAATCAGATGACTTTTTTAACGATTTGGATTATGTCACATTGGATGTTGTGAAAAATGTTCGAGATACTTTTCGAAGATTTCAATTAACTCCATCCTACAAGGAATGGAAGATGCATTCTCGAAAGAATATTCAAGCTCTTAAAAGTGCTCTTCGACAAGCAAAGAAGGGTCCACTCACATCATTTTCTCTTAATAATAATAATGGAAATGGAGGACAAAATGAGGCCGAACAAAAATTGGAAATGATGACATTCCCTTCTGCCACAAGTACTTCTCCAATGAACAACAATAACACTAGCAACAACAACAATAATGAGACAACATTAGATGTCAATACAGTTAAGGTCGAATGAGTAATGATTTATGATTAAAAATAATATTAATATTATGAGTGGGATCAGTAATAACAATCATTTTAGATGATTTCTAATTGGAATTTAACCTATCTGCAAAAGTTACTTCTTTTTGAAGAGTTTGGAAAGAAATCCTTTTTTCTTTGGTTTTTCTTCTTCTTTCTGATTTCCACCGCCTGTGTCTGTATCTTCAGTGTTAAAATCAATAATCATTTTACAAAGAGTCTCAAATGATTTTTGTATATTCAATCCTTGCTGTTGTTTTGTGAAACGTGCATGTTGTTGAGTAATGTGAGAATAAATTATATGAAAAGTTCAATATATCCAATAAATTATATGAAAAGTTCAATACATGATTTGAATGCAAAGTGTGAATATGTTTGAATGAATGAATCAATTTACCTTTGCAGAAGTATCAAAATACATCCATCCATTGGTTTCACATAATTTCTTAGCTTCGACCTCTGTCACAGTTCTTGAACTAGCTGGTAAGTCACACTTATTTCCGCATAAAACTACAGGATATTCAGATCCTTCTTTACTTTTAAGGATATTTTCATAGAAACTTGGAATTTCTTCAAAACTCTTTTTTGAAGTGACATCAAACACTCTTTTCATTTAATATGATCACAAAAATGTTGAATCTTTAAGAAATAAAAAACGTACAATAAAAAACCATCTCCTGATCTAAAGTGTTGATCTCTAATCTTTTTTTACAATTTTTGAAACTTGTAAATTCAATTTTCTATTTTAATTATACTTACCACCTTTAAGTGATGAATTATCATCATGTCAAGGTTGAATAGGGCAATAATTTGCTTACCTGATAATCTTCTTGACCTGCTGTATCAATAATATTTAATAACACTCTTTCATTATTTACATTCAATACTTTTTGATAACTCTGAACAAACATGTGTTGTCGATTCATGTCATCATCATCATGACACTTACATCCTCTTTTTTTAAATATCATTCATAATATCAAATAATATATTTTAAATTCAATAATAATAATTATTCGTTCGTTTCGGATCTTACCAATGGTTGGATTGTATTCTTCTTCGAATCTACCTTCCGTTAAATTGATCGTGATCGACGTTTTCCCAACACCTCCAGGACCTATTAAAATGATTCACACACGAAAATGCTCTATTTGTGAAATGTAAACTTTGTGTGAAACGAACCTACAACAACGACTGTGTATTCACGTTTTGACATTTTTTGATGTTTGACATTCTCGACGTAGAGATCAACACGAAACTCTGCGCACCATCATTAGCCCTCCTATTTGATTGTGTTGAGACTGTTTGGTACGTGACAAGTTCAGCCGTTACTAAAAATATTTTGGCGCCAAAATTTAAATTCAAAATTCAAAAAAATGTTTCACACCTTCGCCGCCACCACTCCCTCCTTGCAGCACACTTCCTTTTTAACATCACTGCAAGGAATTCGTGATGTAGTGAGCGAGATTCCATACCGAGACTCCATTTTCATGGTTGCCTCTCTAGACGTTGATGCTTTGGCTGCATTTCATATTTTATCATCTGTGTATCAATCGGACAGATTTTTCGGAAGCTATGCAGCAGTGTTAGTGAGCAATCATGAGGATATTACTCGGAATATTGAAAACAATAATGATAAGACTATTTTCTTCTTGATTAATTGTGGTGGACAATATAAGGATTTTAAAAAGTACAAAGACAAACACTTCTTTGTTTTGGATGCTTGTCGACCTTTCTATTTATGTAATGTGTTTACTACTCTTCAACAAGTGAGAAACGTTCATTTGATCGTGGATAAAGATGAAGAACATCATGGTCGTTATTTATTTGTAAAGAAGAGTTTTGTAGATGATATTATACAAGGAACCGAAGAGGATGGTTCAGAAGCCTTTAATCCTTCCTCTTCTGTGTTTGATGCGAGTGCTTGCGAATTGGTAGAAAAAATCACTCTTAATCCCGATGAAGCCCTCAATGAAGATCATTTCATTGAGGATGAAGATGATGATATAAACGCTGATAAGGAGATGGCAGATTTTATTGTCCATGATGAGGAAGAAGAAGATGAGCATGAGGTTCAAAGTAATTCTAGTGGAGAGGGATATGATTCAGACATGGCTATGGATAATGAATCTATTTTGTCGGAAATTGAAGAACATTACTTTGCAAATACTCGAGAAGAACGAGTCATATTATATAACAATAGCGATGGATTTAGCAAACCCTCGGCATTCCTTCTCTATTCCTTTTTGGATCAACATTCAATTTCTCTTTCAATGAGATGGGCTGCCATCGTTTCCGTGACCTTCCATTATTTATTCGATCGACTTTCGGATAATGAATATCCAGACTATTACTCTAAATTATCATGTGACCTCGCTTACAAATCAAATGAAAAGTCAATAGATGGTATTTCGATACCTCTTGATGGGGATTATATAAGACACAAATATAATGATTTAAATATTGAACTATTACGACAATGGACTATTTTTGATGCTTGCTTGAACTCAACTCTAGTGGCTAGAGCCTTCAACACATGGCTGAACAGTGGCATTGAGGCAATGAAACTATTCATTGCTGATTTAGGAATTAAATTACAAGATGCAACTTCACCATGGCAAGCACTTCCTGGAGCAACAAAAGACCGTTTCCTTGATGCTGTCAAAAAAGAGAAGAACAAATATCATCTCTCCTCGATTGTATTTAATTCTTTCGAAAGAGTTTATGAACAGGCCTTTTCTCTTACTGCAAGTGATCAAGTATTTGCTCTTTTAGGAATGATGCAAATTGTTCCACCTCAAAATCTATTAACTACAATTTCTAATAGCATCATTAATGCAAAAGAAAATAAGCAACTAATCGAACAAGGAATTACAAAAGCGAAACAAATGAGACAAGCCATGAATGACATTTTCAAAATGGTCATGGAGAACAAGGCGTACACTCATACTCGTGAATTTATTGTTATCGATTTGACAAGTATTAATCTTTCTCACTTTAACCTTGCATTTGCATCACAGATCGATCAACAACATTGGAGTCTTTCCTCGAGCACTGCCATTCACTCTGAGACCGAAACTAGCATATCACCGGTCGCGTTTTTCCAATTAACTCAACATTTTATGAAACTTGTGAAGGTTTGTTTTTAAACATTTGTTGACGAAATCATCATTAACATTCAACAGTACAACAAATTATTTGGAAAAGTACATGTGATTCTCATAAAACAACTTGGAAATCAAGTTTACATTTGTGGGCTTCACCAAAATCATCAAAAGATTCGAACTTTTAACAGAGCCTTCGAATTTGCCTGCAGGACATACAATGAACCAACCAAATATTCAAACTTTGGAAGTCAAGTTAAAATTATTGACAAATCGAAGCGAGGTGACATTATATCGGTGTTGTTAGGGTCTCTTGTGCAATCCAAAAAAGCCACACCATCTCATCGTACACAGTCTTCACGTCATGAGTTTGAAGATGACCAATTTGAAGATGATGAGGAAGATGATGCCATGGTTGATGATGAAAACGACGATGAAGGAAACGAAGAATAAAAAGAGTTTCTAGATTTGACCTGCAATGGTTTTCCTTTCAATTTCTTGAACACATTCAACTTATCCACTTCAAAAAAATGCTTCAATCAGGATTAACGAGACGATTCTTCTCAGCTGCTTCATCATCCCGTGTGTTTAGCTCATGCTCTGTTCAATTCCGATGGAATAATTTTACGACAACATTCATACATCATCAGCATGAAACAATTACTAGGGATTATGCTAGAAAAATAACCAAAAAAGAATCACCAGGCTCGACAGAGGCATCCATTGATTCTTTATTAGCAGAGTATGAAAAACGATCAAAACATTATGAAGCTGAAGTGGTCGAGAAGAAGCCAAGGAAGAAAGTTAAAAAAGTGTCATCGTCGTCGCCTGTTACTACTACAACAGTGGTTGAGGAACAATCTATTCAAGACATTAATTCAATCGAATTACCACATGAGCTGCAACAAGAGGTAGAACCCTCTTCTGTAGAAATTCCTGTTGTTGAAATGCCTGAGGAGTTTAAAGATAGATATCCGGAAGACACACTGAAACTGTTAACTACAGAGGAGTCCAAACGTTTATTAACAATTTATGAAGTGTGTGAATTGATGGACAAACATTTCGGTTTGGATTTATTAGTAATGGATCTGAGCGAGAAGTGTTCATTTGCAGAATATTTAGTTTTTGTTACTGGAAGCAGTTACAGACACATGAAAACATTGGCTAAAAGTGTTGTTGATGCTCTTCATGAACGACAACTCTATAAATTAAAGCCAAAAATTGAAGGTGAAACGGATACAAATTGGATGGTCGTCGATGCAGGTAATATTGTTGTACAAGTTTTTTCTCCAGAAGGACGACGATCGTACGACCTTGAAAGAAAGTGGGCCTTCACCACAAAAGCAGAATTTGAACCAACTCTCGAGCAGCTTTCCAAGCTAATGGATCAAGATATAAAGAAAAAGAAGAAAAAGTAAAACTCATTGTGTTCTTCTCCATTGAATTGCTTCCTTAGTTTTGGTTTTCAAAATGTCAGACAGAAATGTTTGCTCTGCCATGAATTCAGCAGGAGTTTTCATTTCTACGCCTTGTTGTGAAGATGACTCTGCCATTAAATTCGATGAAGAAGCATTATGATCTTTTGTACTAAGGTTGTTCGAACCAGTACTCGCAGGCACCACTGAAGTTGATGATATGGCCTCATTATTACCAGCAGTGTTGTCGCTTTCTTTCTTTCTACGTACACTGCTGATTTTTTCCAAGAAGCCCTTCGACTGATTTTTGAACCGTTCATACTTCTCTGTGTATTCAGCAAGAAGTCTCTCTTTCTCAATTTTGTCTAGCTCTATTTGATTTCTCATGAATTCAATGAGTTCTTTGGAATTGTTATCAAAATGCATAATTTCCAAATATTTTAGATTTTTCAAGCTTTGAGGGAGAGTTTTCAAGAAATTATATTCTTGAAAGATTTGCACATTCAAACCTTGACAACCTTCGTTCGTTCAACATTACATACCTACGTGGATTTTTTCTTAGCCATTTACACGATCCAATGTTCTCAGGAAGGCTTGATATCTCATTATACGCAGCGTAAATACCGTACAAATAAGGACAGTTGACAATAGTATCGGGTAGAGTAACCAATTCATTGTGTTCCACACGTAAGGAGATTAAACTTTCAAGTGTTCCAATACTTCTTGGAAGTTGCTTTAAACAATTATAATCCAAATCAATATCTTTGAGTTCTTTCATGTTTTCATTGAAACATTCCTCATCAATGAAAGAAATTTCATTGTGGCTTGCTTTTAGCACAACCAAGTTCACTAATCGTCCAAATGAGGTAGGTAATCGGGTGATATAATTTTTTGACATGAGTAAACGTTTCAGCGCTGTGAACTTTCCAAAATTTTCTCCTAACGTTGATATATAATTGTTTGAAATATTCAATTCTGTCACGTATTTTCCGACAGTCTGTTCAATGGTAAAATCAGAGAATTACATAATAAACCGCTTAAAATCAACATACATCTGCAAGTATTGTAGGTAATTGCTGAAGCTCGTTATTTGAAATGTTAATAATCTGGAGGTTTTTGCACAAATTTGTAATCTCAAATCTGCTTGAAAGATGTGTCAGCTTGTTGTTTGAGAATAAGTAGGCTTTGAGGGAAGTAAGCGATCCTAAGCCTCTCAAATCTCTTGCATGAATTGAATTTCGAGAAATGTCAAGGTGTTCAAGCCCTCTCATGTTGTAAAAAACACACACAGAACGCCCATCTTCTAGATCCATGGTGGGTAACTCTCTAATTCTATTTCTATTCAAGTAGAGTTGCTTTAATTTGGTCAATTTGTGAAACTCATTCGGAATCACAGATATATGATTGCCTGCGAAATTCAAACAGGTCAAGTTAACTAAATCGCAAATGCTATGCGGAATGATGGACAGTTTGTTATCTTCTAAATCTAATTCTATCAAAGTGGATGTTAAATTGGCCCAATTTCCGTTCCCAATAAAACTGATATGATTACTACTCAATTTCAATACCATTATTTTAGATATCATCTTTTCAAAGAAAGCATCTGGTATTTTCTCTACTCTATTGTAACTCAAATCCAGTGCCTTTAAATTCTTTAAATTCATTAATTCGTATGTGAAGTTTTTGATGTAGTGATTATGGCTCAAGTCTAAAACTTTTAGAGCTTCAAATTGAATAATTTCAGGCGGTATTGATTGTATCTTGTTATAACTGAGTATCAAAACATCAAGCTCCGATTTCAAAGATTTACTGTACAACAAAAAGTCAGGAAAGTACGAATATCCCTTGTTCTCTAATTTTATATAATGTTGAGAGCATGCTTGTTGAATAATATTTTCATCAGAGTCTTTCAACACCTCCTCATTGTATAAGAAATTTTTTACTTTTGAGAATAATTCAATGTAGTTGATCGGTGTTGCTTTACCGAGACCTTCCGAAGCAGTCGGTTGTGATGGCAACATTTTTTCTTGTTGTTTTGATTCGGAAAACAAAAATGTCCCAAAGAAAGATCATCAAAGGTTCTCACGAGGTGATTAAACTGAATGGTGATGACAAGAGTGACAAGCCTTGTTCTTCCTCCTCCGCTTTACCCAATAAACCTTCCATTCAAGAATATCATCAAGGAGAATTGGTGGAATATGATGTTTTCATGCATGAACAAGCGAATTTGTCGGAGCTCGAAAACTCGGAAGTGCAAGAGAGAGCGAGAAGATTTGAAGAAGAAAACGATGCAAAGATTGAAGAATTCAAGAAAAAACGAAACATTAAATTACAACACAATTACACTCCCTATTTCCAGAAAAAACAAGAGGAGCAATGGTATTCAGAAATTAGAATTTTATGCATCGGTCCTCCCGATACACTAAAAAGAATTTTCTGTACAAAATTAACTCAGTAAAAGCTAATGTTGTCCTTCTTTTGAGGGGCTACCCTAACACTTGGTCTTGATCTAACTTGATTGCCCTCTGAACAATACAAAGCAGTAGGTTCACTTTGATGTTGTTGTGAATGTAAAGGGCGGGATGATGCTGTGTTGGCATTGGTTTGTGCAACTTGCACGGAGGCAGTTGAACCAATTTTACCGGTAACCTCTTGCTGTTGTTTTCTTGGATTTCGGTTGTTGGTCTGTGGAGACTGTGGAGTGCTTGAAACCACATTTGAGCTTCTTTGATTTGACCCTGCTTCTTTGGTTTCGCCTGTAATAAAGTTATAACCGCTTGATCCTCCAGGAGCCTCTCGCACTTTGATACTTGGTCTAATACGGCAACAATGAGTGATCCCATGACTTGAAAATACAACCTACCTATTTCTGATCTGATTGCCTTCACCGCAAAAGAGAGCGTCGTTATTGTTTTGGTGCATGTGGTTCATTTTGTTGTTCTTTTGTTTTTTTGTTTTATTATTTTTTAAGGGTTCACTACAGATCACGAGCATTGGGCGGGGATTTATGTTGGAAATGAGTACTTGTAATAAAAAGGTGGACACAATGTAAATTTTTGGCGGTGCCTTTTTTAACTTTGTCAATATATCCACCAGGACGGTGTCTAGTTTTCCTTCAAAGCAATGGAGCTAGAAAGACGTAATCAAGAGAAAAGAAGTATCATCGAAACCATAAACAACAGATGGAAGTTCAAATTCAACATTCACAAAACTGTACCGAAGAAGAAGAAGGCTGGAAGATAAGATGAACAAAAAACTGGGAGCTAAAATCTCCAGAATAGAAAAACCAGTTTACTCTTGGGGTTCACCATAATCTTCCTTGGGTTCTTTTGCCTCCTCGTCTTCTCCATACTGTATGGTCATGTCAACATATGAAAGAATATAGTCAATAGATTCTTCATCAGAAATATCAAGCTCTAAAAATCCAACCATGTTAAAATTATCAATCAATGAAACAATAGCATGATTTAGTCTAGAAAACGGTGAATTCTTCTTGTGAGGATTCGTCTCCTTCTCCAATGCATAGAGTAATTCTGTCTTGTCTGGAACTTTAAGATTTTGCAAAACCTTTTGTCTTTCTTGATTGCCCTTAACAGTGTCACATTTTGTGAGAACATTCACGTGAGGAGTCTCAAATTGAATCATGGCAGATAAAGCTTGGGTAATTCCACTGATATATTTAGTAACATCTTCAATAAATTGCACATCCATGCAATACACACAACACACTCTGTATCCTCTTCTTTCCAATTCTTTTACGAAAAGTTGCATGATCGGAACATGACTGTAAAGTTCAATCTGTCCTGGACAATCAAAAAGTAAATAATCGTCTTCATAATCATTCAACTCTTCCGAAAACCAATCCTCCATATTTTGCATCAAATATTCCATACAATAAACAAGACCACCATTGGGGCCGAGTTGAAATTCTTCCATCACATCCTCCAAGGTGATTAAGTCTCGGATATCAAATGCACATTGATATTTAAATTCTTCTGCAGCAGGATCTAAATTTACAACATGAATAACTCTTTTAGTACTGTTCGCATGTTCTTGAATGGTTTGGCAATACGTGGATTTGCCAGAGCCTGCAGGTCCAATCACCAGTTGAGCGTACTTTCCCATTTGATTTTAAAATTGAGTAATTTTTTTTGTTGAATAATTTTTTGAAGGGCGTACCTGGAAAGCCGGCTCTCGCTACTTCACCTTCTTCACAATTTCATCATCAGCACGGAAATCCAAACTCATCATGTCATGATATCAACTCACAGCATCCATACAATCAAGGAATACCACATGGATATAAATTTTATGATTATTAATATTTAATTTTCAATTTAATGGGCGAAAATTGAAAACGTTGTTTTGAAAGAAAAAATGCTGCGCTCCATCACCAAACAATTCTCGTCATCAACGGGCAATTCGCTGGGTCATCATCATCTTTCTCACAAGTCTTTTGTTCCTTTGTACATTTGTACACAGAAGGCTTGCTATGCCAAAGTAGGAGAAAGAAAGCACAAAGAACAAATGACAGACGTGCGAAAGAAATACAAGCAATATGTTGAACAAGCAAAACAACAACAAGATGAAAAATCTAGAAAGGAATTTGCCGAGCACAGAGAAAGAGTTTTAACCTACCGTGAACATAAACGTGCCATCGCAATTCAAAACATACAAAAACATGAGAGAATGATGCAAATTCAGAAGGAGGAGTTTGAAAGAGCGAGAATGGAACGAGCTCAAAGAGCAATTAATTTAGAGGCTATAGAACAAAGTAAAAGAAGGGACAACTTGAGGAGATTAGTTTCCGAGGCTGAATTCTTTATTACACCAGAAAATATCGATAGACATATTGACAATCAATTAAATCCAGCTCGTATTGTTGTACCAACAATGTTCGGAGAAGGAAAGTTTGGTATTAACGATGAAGTTGCTCTTGAATATTTGAGAGTAGGAAAAGAAAGACAACATTTGAGAAGAGAAAGCATTGGTGAAGATCCACTCTATCCTAATGCTAAGGTTTTCGCAAACCACATGGCCTTTTTAGAACATCGTTTGGGTCAAGATACTGGACAATTATTGGACTTAAATGATTACCTGTCTGGTGAGTCCAAGGTACCAACAGAACAGCCACAAACAGAGATGCCAGAACTGGCAGAACAAGAAGAAGAGGAGGTGGAACAATCTCTTGATGATATGGAAGTTAACTATGACTTGGACCAGTTAGAACTAGATTGGGAGGATGAACCTGAGGAAGATTTCAAAATACCCACCACTATTCCTGATGCTCTTCTAAAGAGATTCGAAAAAGCTAAACCTGAATTAGTAGAGGGTGTTGATTATTCTAAATTTGATAGATTATTGCGAGATATGAAGTCTGTTTTATCCAATGAACCTATTTCTACAGAGAGTCAATTGAAGACACTCGATGACTCTGCAACTTTGGAATTTATGAATGCTGTTAGCAAGACATCTGACGTAGAGGAACCAGCAGAACAACCAAAACAAAGGGCTCGTAGACCAGAAGAGGAAGAAGATATTCTTGGAGGAGATGGAGAACCTGTTCCAATTCCTAATCTTGGTGACAAGACAATAACAGCCATGGAGAATGATGATGTTGATTATCTCTTTGATCAAGCAATGAAAATGCCAATCAACCCTCTTGTTGCTTCAGTTGACAACCTTGTACCTAAGGTAAAGAGTGAACAAGAAAAAGAAAAATTAATGGAAGAAATGGCCAAGGCCCACCCTCTAGCTACTGCATATACTTTGCAACATTCTTCAAAGAGGAGAAAGAGAAAACCATCAAATGTTTAATTTCACAAGAAATACAGTCAATAAATAATAAGGACAATTTCAAGATTCTAATGAGGTAATTTAATTAACCAGGATCGACGGATCGGATTGCTCCAGCGATTATTTTTGAACTTTCTATCAGCCAATCCAATCCTAAAATCAGATCTATTTAAATTACCTCAATCAATGCATTCCTTTGTAATTAAAGAGTCGGACCAAATTATCTTCGCTTGCACTAGCGATCAATCCCTGATGTGCATTGTAAGCAACATCAAAAACGGTTCCATTGAAAACGCCGTTCAAATTAGAAAATTTGTTGCTGGATCCAAGTTTTTGGACCAGTTGACCAGTAAGAGAGTCCCAAATGTACACATAACCATCTTCGCTACCACTAATTACCACCCTTTCTTTGGGACCGAATTTGCATCGAATAAAGTTCTTGTAAGCATTTTGATGGCCTTTGAATTTTTGCTGTACCAACGATTGTTGGTTTGTGCTTTCCAATTTTCTTATATCCCACAGCCTGTTTAGGTTGTCTTTTGAGCAAGAAAGCAGTTTGTCTCCTGTTTTGTTGACTTGTAAACCAGTAACTTCACCTAGATGCTTATCAATGGATGCAATACATTCACCACTTGAAATATCCCAAAATTTGATGGATTTGTCTTTTCCTCCTGTTATCAGCAAATTTCCAAATGGATTAAACACAACAGAGCATACTGACGATCTATGACCTTCAAATCTCTTCACAACTGTGTTTTTTTCTAAATCGTATAGAATCACAACATTATCGTAACCTCCTGTGGCGATATATTTTCCATTTGGATCAAACTCAGCACTATATAGATCTGATTTAATTCCATTGGCATTGATTTCAATGGAATGAGAAAAGTTGTTGACTACTCTGCTGTGACTTTTGTTTTCGATAATATTCTTGACATCCCAAATTTTTACAGTGCCATCACTAGATGCAGAGGCCAATAAATTTCCTGAGGATGAACACGATAAATCCCAGACCCTATTAGAATGGCCTTCTAGCGACACTATTAACGGGTCGTTCTCATAGCTCGTTGGTTCCAAAAGTGATTGATTTTCAGATTTAGCTGTAGGAGAAGTGCTATCCTCAGGCTTGTCGTTGGATGAGCCTGACGTAATTATGCTTGGATGTGCCAAAGTATTCCAAATTTTGATGGTATGATCGCTAGAGCATGAAGCTAAATATAATCCCTGCTTTCCAATAAATTCTACACACTTTACATTTTCTTTATGCCCTTTGAATGTATTATATAAAGAATTTGGTATTATCAAAGTTTCATAATCAAATAAAAGAGACGACACAGCATTCGGTCCTCTAGTACCTCTAAATCTCTCTGAGATGTGAGTTCTGTTTTCCATGTAATTAGCTGATTCGATTGCTTGATAATTTACAGCTTGATGGAGTAGTTCCAGCAGTCTGTTTTGAGGCACGACACTAGAAATTTGGTGCGTGTCTCCCTCAAATAAAATGGAAAGACTTTCTTCTCGTTTGTACTCATAAAGTATCTTTTCAATTAAAGCATCTCGTGAGGTATAGCCTCCATATGTTAAAATTGAGTTGTTTGAAATGTTTCCTTTCCACTCTTGAAATCTATCTACCTCGTTCACGCTCCTACATGTCAACAAAAGACATAGATCTGAAAATTCCTCTTTTGTGGAAACCGATTTCAGTGGCTTCAATCTCTTATTTAGTATTGAGAAGGCCTTTTGATACTCTCCACCTTCGATCAATTCAAAATAATATTGCTTGTAAATTGCATACAAAGTTGACTTGGATATCGTTGAATTGGTGTTTACGCCAATAGTAGTACTATTGAAAGAATCTTGAAGTGCATTATCCACGCTTGACCAATTACCGTCTCTCATATCGGAACAAATTGATTCAATTAAAGAATGTTTTTGGGCTTCTCTTTTTTGTTTTGCTTGGCATTCCTCCAATAACGTTATAGCTGATGTATTGTATCCTTCACAATTCAGATATCCAGCGATCATCAATAACAATTCTTTTTTAATATTTGGATTATTAAAATTTACGGAAACCAATGATGGAGCATTGAAGGAATAATTAGTTGTAGCAATACTATTCATTGGATCCGATTTGTTTGAATCATGAGAGTGTTTTGATGGAACCTGTTCGCTATGATGATGATGGTGGTGATTCGGACCGATCATAGCATCACCCGACGGAGAGGCTGTACTTCCATTGCTGTTATTGTTGTTGGGAAGCATTTTTTTGAGGGTGGTTTTGTTCTTGCCGCATAGCAGGCCTTCACCAAACGCTGAGCGAAACCCCAGCGAAACAGGCTTGATGCCACCTAAAAACTTCTTGCATTAGCTTTTGATGCGGTGACACACGGTAAAGTACTACACCTTTCTTTCAACTTGCATTGAGAAAGAAATGGAGGAGAAAAAAGAAATCATCTTATTTCCAAAAAAATGAGTCACTCACCCACCACTCTATTGACCAGTTCGCGCTCTTCGCCATCAGGTCTGAATACCTTTAGTGTTCCGAGCTCACCTTCAACGGCTGGAGGTGTGTATAATCCATCGGGAAAGTTCTCTGAAAACGAATTGAGAATGGAGAAATTACTTCCGTTGCTGGTTGATTATTCTATTGAATTTACATCTGCTGTTCATAGCGATATTCATCGATCAGTGGTGTTTGAAGGAGGAAAATTAGTGGGAAATATAATCATGAAACCATCAGCACAAGTATTTGATATTGCTGCAGCAGTGAAATATCAACAGCAAGTGCATCAATCTCCTCTTTCCTTTATTGACCGAGATTTATCATCTCCTCTGACTGCCAATATTCCTGGATCAAATACGTCATCGGATATTTCAAATGGATATTTATTCTCAACTTTTACAAATATATTTGATATCAAACCCGATAAGGATGTAAATGCTAGTGCAGAAGAATATTTACCAACAAATAATTTATTGTTGTTGGATGAAAAGCAAAGAGAGCTCTTATTAACAAAAGCAAAGAAAGTTTGGAGAGATTTATTTTCTAAACTACACATCAAAACATACATTTCTTCAAGATTTCCAGAGAGTGTGAAATCTACAACTCCATCATCTTCTGGGACCTCCAATAGCGCCACCTCCATTGATATCAAATACTTTGATTCCAGCAAGGAGTTCATTGACTTTTATTTGTTTAAGAGCAACTTTGTTGCAAAGCAAGCTGTGAATTCACAAAGTATATTTATGGAGATGACTGCTAATGAATATGAGAATAAGGGTTATGAAACATCGAACGATCAAGACAAAACTCAAGATGATGGAACTATTCAATTAACATTTCCATTCAGTATTGATATTCCTTTCAATGACTTGAACAGAAATCCATTCTTTGTTATCTCAGAAATATTTATTCCATCAGATCAATTTTCTGATAGCATGGTCAGATCATTAGCTGATGTAAAATCTCCCTTCAGTATGGTTAACAACTTTGATTTAGATTTTTTGGTTTCCTACGATACAAGTCAACAGTACATTCCATCCAGAATATTTTTGTGTGCTCTTTGCAAACCAATAGCTCTTAGAAAGTCTCTCAAGCTTTCTTCAAAAACCAAACTGATGAACATGAAAAATTATATTCAACTTATCCTAGAAAACACTTGTGAGAGCCAATCCATCAAAATTGAAAAAATTGAACTCAATCTAGCCAATGCCAAGTTTTGCAAATATTGTACACCAGGTGATACACAACAAACACTGCTCTCCAATGCTGATGAATCTCAACTCAAAAACACCACAACTGCCAATCATATTATTTCTCCTCCACCAAATGCTATTTATGATTTATTTAATTGTTTTATTGAAAAGTCTCAATTTCCATTAGAGTTAAAACCTTATGAACAGTATACAACCAACTTGCTCATTTCACCAATTTATAGAAATATGGATGAAATTATTGAAAAGCTTCAGAACAGAAAACCAATTACAAATCTTTTTTTTAACACAATAAGAAGTCTCAACAGCAGTGCCCAAAATAGTGGCGACTCTACGCCATCTGGCAATAATTCTCTGATATGGGACGATAGTTTAGGTCTCTACAAATCTCGTATTGAGGTCACATACAGCATTAAGAATCATACAGAAGAATCACATGAGAACAATAATCATCATCAACAGTCAAAGCACTCCACAAGGTTTAAGAGTTATATTGACGCTCCATGGATTGCTGTACTTAAACGTGGTCTTTTCGCCTCCATCAAGTATGACAAGCAATCTGTGGCTCTTATGGAACCATTCACAGTTTCAATCTTTTTATCTAATTTTGGAGACAGCGATTGTGATTTAATACTTTCCTCTCAACCAACAGCCAAGTCTTCCATCATTTGTCAAGATGCTCAAATAGATGTTGGCATTGTTAAACCAAGCCAATCGACAAAAGTAGTACTACATTACATTGGAGTACAACAAGGATTGCATCACATGGATTTACTTTGTATTTATAATAAGAGAACTCAACAACAATTCATTTTCCCCTTCTTCCCTCAAGTCATTATCACCAAATAGGAACACAGTGATGACGCAATAAAAAACTTTTCAAAAAAAATAGAAGAATAGTCTGTATTGCCTGTCATCACCACCACTACATGACTCTATCCTAATTTTGAAACATTCAAGTAGTTTTTCTTTACATCATCACCATGAGCGTTCTTCAGAATTATATTCTTCCATTATTTGGCAACGTTCCGATGGTTGCCAAGATAATAGTGATCATCCAAACAATATTGTTTATTTCATCATTTGTTTTTTGGGAAGACGTTACATGGCTTTTTTGTCTCATTCCTATCAATACAGCCAATCGCTTTTTTATTTGGAATTTATTTACATATGCTTTTATTGAAACGGAGCCTTTTAGCTTTTTATTTACAATTCTTAGTGTTGTTATTACGAGCAAATGGATAATTAATAAGAATGTACTATTAGGATCACAATCGAATGTATCTCCGAGTGCGAACATTTGGACAACAAGCATGTATTTATGGTTCTTGTTTGTTATGACCTGTTTATGTGGGGTAGTTACTTGGCTATCCCTCGTAGCACTGTATTATATTTTAGCTGTAATGATGTATAACATGCCAGCAGCTTTAGAAGAAGCACAGATTGTCCTTCTCCATTCTAGATATCATGGTTTTCACGGACTTATTCTTGGATTTACAATGATCTTAAAACAACAAATTCCAGATGAATTTCCAATTAACTTTATTCCCATTAGGGCAAAAAATATTCCCTTTATTGCGCTAATGATTAGTGTTGCCTTGTCCTTCCTCACCAATCAAGTATCAGATTTGCCTTTTATAATATTTGGTTTTTATATCTCATGGTTATATTTAAGATTTTATCAGACCACACAAGATGGAACAAAAGGAGATCATTCAGATTCCTTTGCATTTCACACGCTTTTTCCACACTTTTTACATCCTTTATTAGAACCATTGGGAACTAAGATTTATAATGTTTCTAGACAGCTCAAAATTGTGTCTGAGATTAGGACAATTCAAACACCTCAACCCACCTTCACAAACAAAGTCTCTCTTAGTTCTAATTTTGATAGCATTTTCTTAGATTCTCCCATTAAACCATCTGCACAAAGCTCAACTTCATCACAAGCTGCTTCGCTCGTAGATCAACATCTGACCGCCCCAAAGACTTCAGAACAATCAGCTAAGAGAAGAGAATTAGCTTTACAAGAGCTCGATAAGAAATTACAAAGTAGCACGAACGCTTCCTCTAATAAAGTGGACAAAAGTGAAAACGTTTAATTTATGGAATATTGAGAATGTCTTTGAGTTTCTTGATTAACACCAACAAGTTCTTGTTATCCTTAATTTCAGGATAGAGCTCCTTCAGAAGATCAATAGATCTTCTTGAAATCTTGGAGTAGAGAAGGTCGTTGTGGTCAAAATGTTTTTCATAGGCAATGTTTTTTCCTCCTGAATCGATTGAAACAGCAACTTGCTTTCCTTTTTCAGCTTCCTTAACAGGTTGCTTGTTATGCTCGATACTCGCAATTTTACCGATCACAAGTTGATCCTTTGTTGGAACAACAAGTGGAGTTCCAACCTTCAAAATACCATCTACCACCTCCACACCAACAGTGATTGGATCTTTCTTGTGGAAAATGCAATCTGGAAGGATTTTCAAAACACAAGGCCAAACAACCTCGTTTTGAGCGGCCTGCTTCTTTTCTTCAAGTTTCTTGGCCTTGTGTTCCTTGAATCTGTCGAACAAGTGGTAAATAATATCTGCTGAGAAGATTGTGATGCCTAATTTGTCGGCCTCTTCCTTAGCGTCTTGAGTGACTTTAACATCAAAAGCCAATAACACAGCATACTCAGGAGCACTCTCTAACATTACCGAAGTTCTAATGATGTCCTTCTTGTGAACAGGTCCAATGTTAATACCAGAAACAGGAATGTTTTCTGACTTCAAAAATTCAAGTAGAGCCTCCAATGAACCCAAAGTACTTGCTTGCACGAAAACACCTTTTCCAGTAGTAGAGATTCTGTTCAAAACTTCGTTCAAATCTGCCATTACTTCCTTCTTCATATCTTCCAAGTTGGATTCACCTGGCTTATAAACAAGTACGTTACTTCCAGGAACAGCACCATCTAAATCTTGAGCAGAAATCTTGATACCCAAAGATGCTTTCACTTCCTTACAGTGAATATATTCTCCTTTCACTCTAATTTCACGTAATGGTTTCGGTGTCAATAAGGCACGAATTTGAGTAACAATAGGACCGTTGAGACCGCAAACCACAATTGTGTCACCTTCTCTCAAAATACCATTGGAAAGAATAACGTCAATAGTGGTACCGTGACCTTCAACAACCTTAACTTCCAAAATTGTACATTGAACCTCAGTTTTGTAGGTTAACTTCTTTACCATGTGCTTTTGAGTTAATTGACACATAAGAGCCAATAGATCAGGAATACCTTCACCAGTGTGTGCTGATGTTGGAACTAAAGAAAGACAATTCTTAAAGTCCTTGTTCTTAAAGTAAAGCTCAGAGTTGATACCATGTTGCATGAGTTGATTTTGAACATCTTTGACTTTTTGTTCGAATTGTTGCATTACGTTCTTCTTTTGATTCTTCAAAGACTCTCTAATTGGAGCATTTGGAGTAGCCTTCCATTCGTACAAAGCATCAACCTTGTTCAATGCAACAATGAATGGTGTCTTTCTATTTCTAATCAATTGTAAAGACTCAATAGTTTGTCTTTCCAGTCCGTGCATGATATCAATAACGAGAATAGCAATATCACAAAGTGATGAACCTCTACTTCTCAAGTTGTTGAAGGATTCGTGTCCAGGAGTATCAATGATAAGCAAACCTGGCAGATTATACTGCAATTGTTGCTTAACAGACTCGTTAAGTTTGAAAGTTTGTTTCTTAATAGCATCGATTGGAACATAAGTAGCACCGATTTGTTGAGTAATACCTCCAGCTTCGCCACTTTGAACATTAGTGCTTCTGATCTTATCCAAAATTTTCGTTTTACCAACGTCAACGTGACCAAGGACACAGCAAATAGGGCTACGGAGATCGTTTGTGGATCCCTTTTGTTTCTCATCCTCTGTCTGGCTCGATGATCCTAGCTGGTCACTGGACTGATCGCTGGATTGATCGTTAGTTTGGTCAGCAGCATGAGTAATAGTATTTTCTTCCTCCTCTGCACTGTCCTCAGTTTTAACTGATTCATCAGTCTTTGAAGACTCAACAGTTTGCTTCTCAACAGCTGGCTTGCTGACTGAATCATCACCGTCAAGATCAAAATCTTCCCAACTATCGTCATCCACAGCAACTTGTTTGACATGTTCCTCCTTCTTTTCTTCCTTCTTCTTCTTTTCTTCTTTCTTTTTTTCCTCTTTTGGAGTTTTTTCTGCTTGTGTTTCATCCTTCTTTTTGGAATCCTTCTTGGTCTTGTCATCCTTCTTCTTGTCAGACAAAGCAGCAACATGACCCATTTGAAGCATCAATGCTTTCATATTCTCTGCTCTTTTTTCTTCCTCAAGCTGTTTCTTTGATTTGTAAAGGCCTTTCTTCTTGAGTTCCTCAATTTCTTGCTTTTTTTTGAGTTTTTCTTTTCTCTTTTCCTCCTCTTGTCTTCGCTTCTCTTGCTCTTCCAACTTTTGAAGCATTTCGAGCTCTTTTCGCTTCTCTTCCTCTTCTCTTTCAAGTCTCTCTCTTTCAAGTCTTTCCCTTTCAAGCTTTTCTTTTAAAGCAGCAACGGCCTTTGGAGGAGCCTTTTTGGCAGCAGCTGAGCCTGGCTTTGCAGCTGGTTTCTTTTCATCTTTTTTATCCTCTTTCTTTTTGTCGTCCTTTTTCTTTTCATCTTTTTTGTTCTTTTCGTCCTTCTTTTTGTCGTCTTTTTTGTCTTCTTTTTTATTCTTCTTATCATCCTTTTTGGTTTCATCCTTTGGTTCCGCATGTTTTTCCTCTTCTATTTCTACTTGCTCTTCGCTAGCTATCATTGACAAATAATCATCGGCTCCTTTCTTCTTTTTATCCTTCTTGCTCTCTTGCTTCTTGGGTTCTCCTTTTTTAGGTTGTGGCTGTTGTTGTTCAGAAGCATTTTCGTCTTGTTGTTGATCAGTGTCATTATTGGCTATCATGGACACATAATCATCATTCTTTTTCTTTTTATCCTTTTTGTTGTTATTTTTTGTAGATTCTGATGGAGTTGATTGAGTAGGAGTAGATGTTGTTTCGGCTGTTGTTGTGTCTTCCGCTGGTGGAGCATCCTCAGCAAGCATAGACATGTAGTCGTCATCAGAAAGACCCTTCTTCTTTTTATCTTTACCCATTTTTTTGAACGAATTCATGTTGCCAAAGAGTTTGATTTTAAAAATAAATTCAAAATTATGAGAGAGGAGAACAGCATCTTTAGGTTGAAGCAGGCAAGGCAGTTTCACACCACGGTGCTTGAAAGTAAAAGTTGAAATTTACGATTGTTTGAAATTCAAACATTCCAACCTGTTTTTTTCAGGCTTTTCTTTCGAGTTGAGCAATAGTTTGTTTTAGTCATTTTAGCGAATTGCCTTTGTATTCGAGAAGTCTTTTAAAAACGAACACACGAGCGATCATCGCTGATGACTCCACAGGCTTGCTCAATCTTCCGGGTGTTTTGTTCCGTGGCTTGAGAGAATCTCAATACAAAAGCACGTCCTTCAAAGCGGACAAACCAGCCCACACCACCAACTCTCACTCTCTGTCGGTTTTCGTCCCGATTTTCACTCAACCAAAAAAAATTCACCTTGTCTTACAATCATCATGACTCCACAAATCCAAAAGCCAGCTCCACAATTCTCCAAGACTGCCTTGTTGCCAGACGGATCATTCGGTACCGTAAAGTTGAGCGACTATAAGGGCAAATATGTTGTCTTGTTCTTCTATCCTTTGGACTTTACTTTTGTCTGCCCAACTGAAATTATTGCTTTCTCTGAGAAGGCTGAAGAATTCAGAAAGATTGGTGCTGAAGTTATTGGTGCTTCTGTCGACAGTGAATTCACTCACTTGGCTTGGACTCAAACTCCAAGAAAGCAAGGTGGTTTGGGACAAGTGAACATTCCATTGATTGCCGATCTCGACAAGTCCTTGGCTCGTGATTACGGAGTTCTCTTGGAAAATGGTGTTGCTCTCAGAGGAATGTTCATCATTGATGATCAACAAAACTTGAGACAAATCACTGTCAATGACTTGCCAGTTGGTAGAAACGTTGATGAAGCTTTGAGATTGGTTCAAGCCTTCCAATATGTTGCTAAACACGGAGAAGTCTGCCCAGCAGGATGGCAACAAGGAAAGCCAACCATTAAGCCAAATCCAAAGGACTCCAAGGAGTATTTCGGCTCTCAAAATTAAATATATTGTAATAAATATATTGATCGAATGGTTTGAGATGAATGAATACATCATCGGTTTCTTGATCATGTCGGTTATAAGAAGAAAATATATTTTGAATTTAAAGTTTCGTGAAAGTCAATGTGCATCTCTCTTAAGATCTCTCTCCTCGAGTCAGAATCTAAAAAATGATGAGAAACAATCTCTCCAAATCGCCACCTCCTAACAACATGCAATCATCACGGAATGAAGCAACAATCATCAATGATGACCTCGGATCTGAGGATGCACAAGATACATGCATTAATGACGGGCAGGTACCTGTGGAAACTAAAGAGGCCCAAATTGGAAGAATAAGGGCAACGTTTGGAATACTTGACTGCAATAAAGACAAAAAATTAGATGCCAATGATTTATCAAAAGTTTTAAGGAAGCTGCGAGCACCAAAGGAATATTTAGACAGTGGTAAGCATTGTTGCTATTATTTCAAATCAACTCGAGCTGTTGCAAGTGGATGTCATGATTTGGGAGGTGTGTGACAATAATTCGAAAAACTATCTTGTGGTGAGCGATCTTGAGGAAATTGTTCAGCGAGTAAAGGAAGAAAAGAAAACATCATTTATACCTGACCGACTTGTAAATATTATTGACTTTGTGAGTAAGGACAGAAAACTGACCGGTTATATTACTGCAAGTCAATGCATTCTATTATTACACAATAGATTTGGTGACAACTTGAAAAGCGTAAAATTAAGGTATGTTGACTATTAAGAGAGGTGGAGATTAATATCCTACCTTCCTTAGAAACCTTTTTATAAACTCTAGAACAGGAGAAGGAAACTCTAAGATTTCATTTAAAGAATTTTTGTCACAAGTTAACATCAGAAAGAGCTTAAAGTAAAATACAAGAAGAATCTGCAGAGAAACACTTGTTATTTTTACATATCTACAAAATTGGTGTTAGTAACCAATATCTTCTTCGTCATACACAAAAATGTTCTGCTTTGAAAGCTTGATGATACTCTTCTCTATTTCGTCCATTTGTTGTTCGACTGCTTCCTTTCGTTGTATATGTACTTTATCATTTGGCATTGCAAAACTGAAAGATTGATACCTCTCATGGAGCTCGTTCCATTTCTTTCGAAGTCCGTCAATAAGGGATTCCTTCTCATCTTCTGAGAGTTTTCTCATAGACTTTCCAGTTGTATCGTTTTGTTGCTGTAACGATTGGATGTATTCGTATTCGTCTTGCATTTCTTGCTTGATCTTTGCGAGATAATCAGGAACCTTGCCATACTCTGCCTTTTGTGTCCAAAGTGGTTCAGGTTGCTTTACTTTTCTTGGAGCACTCAAAATGTTGTCCACAGCGTTGCTAACAACATAATTCTTTTTAGTGATGAGCCCCATGATAGGTTTTTCATCCTTCTTCGGAATTGGAGGTCGTTTTGACACACCTTCTGGTAAAGTTCTTTCAAACTTTTTCGTTTTTTGGGTCTCCATTGTTTTAATGACATCGGAATAATGACCTTGATTTTTCTTGGTAAACGAATCTGGTTTAACATCATGTTTTACAGGTCTTCCCATTGTGGCAAAGCTCTTCTTCATAGTATGATGTCCGCCTAAGACATCCAAATCAAAGTAGCTTCCGCCAGCATTTGCAACACCTGGTTTGCTTGTGTTTTTTAATGCGAATGTGGAGTATGAGGGAGGAGTAGTTCCGGGATAAGCAGATCGATACATCTCCTTCTTCTCCCTGACCTCGACAGGTTTTTCAATGAGGTTGTACACAGACTCTTCTTCGTCAATATCGACTTTCTGGTGGTAATATGATGATGACATTTTTTAATAATAAGAGATTACTCCCAAGGCGCCAAATTTTACGGTTGCAAAATAACGACTGCAACGAATTTGAATCTGTTCGACAGCACTCTTCAACAACCAAGTCAAAAATATTGTAAGATATTTTTGGTTTAATTGCTATTGTACTTTGCAATCAATAATTTTCAATCGATCGATTACATCCAAAGTATGAGGAGTGACAAAAAGATTGGACATGTTATTGAGATTATTGGAGTTGGTTCTCTCTTTAACAAGGATGTTTATTATGACCGAAAGTTCACCAACATCTGAATGAGTTGTTCAATGCTGATTGTTTTTCATTATTGAAAACCTCGTTTTCAACTCAAACAAAAAACTGGATTTGTGGTGTTAAAGAAATAAGCGAATAGGCTTGTTGTGATGCTGCTCTTCATGATGTCCTGGACTGTTGTAAACTCAAGCCCTGGCCAAGACAAAATTTGTTCGTTTGACCAAAAACGTGCCCTATTGCCATTTCTCCTCTCATGACCATTTGATGAAGACTCACAAAAAATGAAGCAATCGCTCAACTTCATCTCGAAATCAGCCAAGACCACCAACAGCGTCATTCATCACCACCATAATGTGTCTTTGATCAACTCTATTGGAGCTGCTTCTCAAAAGGCCTACAAATCTACTGATGCCTCGTCTGGATCAGGAAAATTCAGCTTGTTGGGTAACGTTAGCTATTTCTATGACAAAGCAGCTGAGGTTGTTTCAAAGCAAAGCAATTATCCAATCGGATTGTTGGACTACATCAAAGAACCAGAGGCTGTTTATGAATTTATTATTCCAGTGAGAAGAACAAAGACTATGAATAGTTTTGATAAAGATGTTACTCTCTTGAAAGCTTACAGAGCACAACACTCTAGACATTGTCTTCCATGCAAGGGCGGTATTAGATATACCAGACTCTCTAGAGATGATATTGTTGGTTTGTCTTTGATGATGACATTGAAGTGTTCTTTGAATAACATTCCATTTGGAGGAGCTAAGGGTATGTTGATTGATTGCAACGGATTTATTTCAAATAATTATTCTTCTTTATTTGTTGTTCGACATTATTACCATCGGCTTGTAATTATTTGTATTTAATAATATTTGTTTTTATCGGATATTTGATGATGATGATGACGGAAATCACGTATAATTCAATTGTCATTACTAGGTGGTATCGATATGGATGTAAATGACTACAACCCAATTGAATTGGAAAAAATCACAAGAAGATATGCAACTGAATTGTTCACAAGACAATACATGAGTCCTGAAGTTGATGTTCCTGGACCAGATATGTAAGTTAGGTCAACACATGTTTCAATGAAAATGCTAACTCAACATGATCTCTATTAATCATGATGTAGTGGTACAACTTCAAGAGAACTATCATGGATTGCTGATGTTTACAGAACCTTCTTCCCAAGCAACATTAACAGTTCAGCTTGTGTCACTGGCAAACCAGTCTCTCAAGGTGGTGTCAGAGGACGAGTTGAAGCAACTGGAAAAGGCTGTTACTTTGCCATCAGAGATTTTTACGCTGACAAGGAAGGAAATACTCCTGATGATAAAGTTCTTCTCGGAAAGAAGGTCATTGTTCAAGGTATCGGAAGAGTTGGTAGCCATACAGCTCAATTCCTTCAAAGACAAGGAGCTATTGTGGTTGGACTTGCAGACTCCACAGGATCGATCTATAATCCAAATGGTTTGGATGTTTCTCAAGTCTTATTGCACAGACAAACCAAGAAGACCTTGATGGGATTCCCAGAGGCACTTTCTGTTAGAGATCCAAAAGAATTGTTGAAGGTCGATGCTGATATTCTCATTTTGGCTGCTTTGGAAAATCAAATTAATGATAGTAATGTGAATGATATTCAAGCTAAATTGATTGTTGAGGGTGCCAACATGCCAATTTCAGCAACTGCATATGACACTTTACTCAAGAGAGGTCATGAAGTCTTGCCAGACATTTATGCAAATGCTGGTGGTGTTACCGCTTCATACTTTGAATGGTTAAAGAATTTGGGACATGTTCAATTCGGAAGAATGACTCGTAGAGCTGAGGAGAAACACAAGAGAGATATGATTGATGCTATCACTAGATTGAGTGGAAAACAAAGATTATCTCAATTTGAATATCAAGTTCTTACTTCTGGATCTGGTGAAATTGATTATGTCTATTCTGGTTTGGAAGGAGTTCAACATGACACTTGGACACAATTGAAGAAAGTTAAGGAACAATATAAGGTTGATTTGAGAACTGCTGCCTATATTTCTGCAATTGACTCTGTTGCTCAAAGTTACACAGAAATGGGAGTTTGGCCATAAATGCTTTTTGAATGAGGTCTCATGTTTTCTTAAGTATCACCACTCCTTTTAATAATTTCTCTGAGGAATTAAACATTTTCATGCGTTTTGTTTTGGATTGTTTTGGTGTGGGTTTCGAGGTCTGTGGTTAAACCATTTTTATTTGTAAACCACGGATCACTACGGAAACAATGTGTGAGATTTTTCGAGGTCGGTGGTTAAACCATTTTTTTCCACCCATTTGAGATTATTTGAGATTGTGTGAGAAATGGTAATGGAGAAATTTCCTCCTTATTTATTGTAGTGAGATTTGCTCGAATCCTATAGCCTTAAAAAAATTTAACAACAGTTGTCATCATGGTTGAGACAAGGGAACACAGTGTCGAGAATCATCATGCTACAGAGGGTGATCGACCTCACAACAACAACGACGACGGAGAAAACTCTTCCACTGGATCGAAAGTAGAACAATTGACCAATATTCCTATTCAAGCAACCCATCAGGATGACGACCTCAAGAAGATTCCTATGGTCGAACCATTCACTTCCAAGCAACCCACCGTGGAGGACAACAAGATTTCTGCACAAGATCCAACAAAACCATCTTCACCTTCCAATCTTGACAATCATTCACCGCCACAAGATAAATACTATCTTATCACAATCATTTTCTTCTTACAGGGAATGGGTGAATTATTTCCATGGAATGCAATGTTGTCTGCAGTTGATTATTTATTGAGATTATATAATGAACAAAAAATTATGCTTGCGATGACCTCTGCCTATTCTATTGCCACATTGTTGACCTTATTTGTTCTAATCAAATTTGGAACATACATTCCATATATATTTAGAATCTACGTCCCTTATTTCATAATCACAATATTGTTAGTCGTTGTACCGTTGTTATATGTTGTGGTTGGTAATCGAGAAATTGAATTTTATATCATTTTGGTTGTGGTTGTCTTGATGGCCTTTTGTACTGGAAGTATTCAAAGCTGTATTTTTGGATTATCAAGTAAATTACCTCCTCGGTATATGAACACTGTTGTGTCAGGTAAGTGAAGGTGTTGTGAATGATTTTAAACATGCTTTACAACAATATGAAATATTTTGGATACACATTACATGTCTCCTATTGGATATGTTACAACTGCACGCCGTGTGAATCTCATGTCTCATCAACAAACACAGGAAGTGCATTTGCTGGATTATTTATTACTTGTTTAAGAATATTGACCAAAGTCACCATTGAGAGTGGATACAATAGAAAAGTTCCTATTCGTGTTCTTTCCACATCTACCATTATTTATTTTGCAGTTTGTGCATGTTTGAATGTGGTGTGCTTGATTACTTTTTTTATCTTGACAAAAACTCGATTTGTGAAATATTATACCAATGATGGGAATACTACTAGTACCGAGTCTGCCACGAATGCTGCTACTACGTCCAATGAAAACGGTGATTTAAATAATACTATTTCTCCTAGTAATAATTATGATAATAATGATAGTTTTACTAAAAACGATAATGATAATACTGTTATTACTATTACTACGAGTAATAATTGTATTGAATTAAATGATACTACCTCTACACCAACGACACCTACAACAACTTCAACTCCCACAACTGCGCCTACTAATGTGCCAGCTACAGCACCTGCTACTACTGCTCCTACAACAACTACACAAAAAAGTCATCATGAAATTACTTCAATTAAGAATATTGTGACAAACATTGGAAAGAAAATATGGATATATGCATTGAGTGTGTTTTTAACCTTTTTTGTCACACTTGCTGTATTCCCTGGTTTGAGTAGTAGTGTTGAAACTTATTATGTTGGAACATTGATGGAAACATGGTTGCCAGTGTGGACAAATTTGACCTTTCAAATTTTTGACTTTGTTGGAAGAATTGCCTATTATTGGATTGACTTCTTTCCTATTCAACATGGACCTCCTCCAGCAGAATCAAGTTTGAATTCAAAGAATACTAGTACTACTACTACTACTACGACTGCAACTGCAACTACTTCTCCTCCAACTCAGATCAGTGCGACCCCAACTCCTACACAGATCAGTACTACTCCTATTCCTACACACATTTGTACCTCTCCTACTTCAATCAACAATAGTTCTAATCAGTTCCTGAACCAATCGATGAATTCTTCATTTGCCAATCCTTCTCCTCCTTCTCCTCCTCCTCAACGCAAGAAATTCAATCTATGGACAGCATGTCAAGTTGAAAAAATAGAAATTGTCATGTTCTTGATTGTTGTATTGAGAATTTTGTTCATTCCTCTATTTATATTTTGTTTAAATCCAAAGATATTCAATCATGACAGTATTCCAATGATTTTGGTATTTTTATTGTCTTTATCAGGAGGGTATTTAAATAGGTATGTTGTTGAATGCAAGTGTGAGGTTCATCAACACTAACAATAATTATTTTGTTATATTATTATTATTTTTGGATTGATTGAAATATTATTATTATTTTTGGATTGACTAATGCAGTGTCTTGATGTCAAATGCTCCAAAGAAATTCACAAATTTGCATGAAAAGGAAATTACTGCAACCATGATGACCTTCTTTTTATTATTTGGAATTACGTTGGGTTCAAATACAGGTCTTGGTATAGGATTACTGGTATTGAAATAATACTAATATAAGAATTAAAAACAAAATTTCTCTTCATTTCACAAAATTGCACAATCCCTGTCCAGTGAATGAAGTCTCAGGAGAGAATTAAAGTTGGGAATAGGCACTACTACTATCACCAATTCCACCACCACCACCACTACTTTCACGAGTTGTTTTAACCTTTTTCTTCTTTTTCTTCTTCCTCTTCTCCACATGATCCCGAGTTGTTGTTGTTGTTGGAGAGGTTGTTTCTGAATCTGTGAGGAGGAGGAGACGACCACCACCACCATGGTTGAGTGATTCGTGTTGTTGATGTTGGCGATGTCGTTGATGATGCCATCTCTCTTCTTCCTCTTTCTTTTGAGAATCGATGAGACTTTGTTGCAGTTCAGCATTTAAACGATTCAATCGATTCTTCATTCCAAATAAGGTATAAAATCTTCTCTTGTAATGGATGAAATCTTGTTCGAATATTCTTCAGAGTTGTTGTTGTTGTTGTTGTGAAAGGTCATTATTATTAGTCAGTGACATCCACACCAATGTAATTGTCATCACAATAGCAGGTCCATTATTATATAAATGCAAGTACATTCATATGTGAAAATGAAAGCATATGTTGGGATCATGAAATGACAGCAAGTCCATTAGAATGTATATATGAAAGCATATGTTGGGATCATGAAATGTTAAAAATGTGTATATATATATATAGATAGATAGAATCCATCTCATATTTCTATCTTTCATCAAATTTTCACAAATTCTTACCTTTTCAAACCCTTTCTAAAATTCACAGTACAAATCACACCAAATGCAATCATGACAAATCGAACCAATAAAACAAATATTGATATAAGTGTCATAATAACTACAATAGCAGTTTGATCTAAAACAGTATCTTTTGTAATTCTAGTTTCCTTTTCAATCCATGCTTCAATAATTTTGTAAACTAAATATCCAGGTAATACTAAATCAAATAATAAGATTGGAATTTGTAAGAGATACCATTCTTTCTTAATAGCAAGGAACGTCAATGGAACACAAATCAATGAAAATAAATAGGAAGAAGCGAGTCCAATTTGAGACCAAGGTATCCAATCAAATTTGAGCCAAAAAACTGCCATAATAAGTAATGCTGTTAAAAATCCAACATCGACTTGAAGAATGGCCTTATAAATACAATAAAATCGATAGTATCGAACGAGATGAGGAGAAGAACCCACACGTCTGAAAATCTACTTGTTGTCATATATATTCATCATTTCACAACAGTTGTTGTCATTTATAGATTTCATTCATAAAAAATATTCACCACAGTTGTTGTCATTTATAGATTCCATTCATAAAAAGTCATATTTCACAAAGAGTCATCACAGTTGTTGTCATTTAAAGAGTCATCACAGTTGTTGTCATTTAAAGATTCACAAAGAGTTCACCATTCATAAAAAATCATATTTCACAAACACACAAACATCATAATATTCATAATTGTTGTCATGTTCATCATCATATTTCACAACAAAAACACACATATTGCAATAGGATCACACATTCTATATTTCACCATTGAAACCTACCTTCCATCCAAAGGATCGATACACTGGTATCAATATCATTAAAAACAATAGAAATGCCAAATAATATAAACAACTTGGAATAATTATTAATAGAATGACCACCACTTTGGTTGTCACATGATCACTATTACCACTATTAGTATTACTACTACTACTTTCCACAATGGTCACAGACACACTCTGATACACCATAAATGCAGCCATTAATCCACCCCAAATACTTTGAACTAGAAATGCAAATAATAAATATTCATTTTCAGCAAATATTGCCACACATGCAAAATAGATCAAAGTTATTCCACTATATCAAATGAGACATTATGACCATTTCCATAACCATGTCCATAATCACAGCCATTTCCATAACCATTTCCATAATCACAGCCATTTCCACAGCCATTTCCATAACCATAATCACAGCCATGTTCATCACAACCATCATGACAATTACACACATATTCCAAATTCAATCTTCAACAACAACAATACTCACCTAAATAAAAACATGGCACTTAGAAAATAAACAGCTGTTGAATTTTTCAACACTGCAGCATTAAAGATCATACTTGTCAGACCTGCAATAAATATAGTGGTCACTAACACAATCACCAATGAAAGGAATATTTTGGACCATATGGACATACAAGTTAATTTTCTTTTAAATTTTAAATATTGAATATGAAATCTAGAAGAAGGAGCATGATTCAAAGATGATTCATTCATGGCAAGTTCAGTGTTTTTAATGACATCACTAATGTCATAATAATAGTCAACAACAACATCAACATTAGCAGCAGAAGTGGTGGTATTTGTGGTATTTGTGGTATTTGTGGTGGTGGTGACAGAAGAGGGATCGAGTGTGGTGATGGTATTCAGAGTGGTGTTGGTGGTGGTGGTGGTAGTGGTATTCAGAGTGGTGGTGGTGGTGTTCAAGTGAGTAGTTGTAGGATCATGGTGATGAGGAGGAGGGTGAATCGAATCCGAGTACAATTGATGATGATGATGATTCGAAGAAGAGGGAATGGATGGTTGTGAAAGAGTGAATGATGAGTTCGAGGAGCTCGATGGTGTTCTTCTTCTGTCAGAAACTACTTCTTTGATCCTCGAAAACATTTTTTGTGAGAGGGTATTGTGAATAATAATATGTTTTGAATTCAAAGTTCTTGAGCGAGAGTGAGGTCCTTTCTCTTTGTGTGTCAAATTAATCGCATTTCAAGATTTCTCTTTTGATGTCATCATCATCTACGTAGATGATAGGAATACATATTTGAACCATTCACAACGACCATCATGATGAGGAAACACGATTAAACGACATGATCGTTGGCGCAGTGTGTACACACAAGATCTCATGTAGCCTATCATCCGTCATGATCCCACAACACTTTATATTTGACTCGGATCTCACCTTTCATCGAGAGCCAGTCACACCTCTCACTGCTCTCGATCCCTCAGAGAGAGAGATTGAATCGCGCTGCCTTGAGTGAGAGAACCAATCAAACACCTCAAACACCTCAAACAGCAACAACAACAACTCCTCATGATCGACGACATTGAAGGCTTTCCAAGTGCGACACTCGTGAATGAAAGGACCCACAAAAAAAATGAGTCGTTCACGTAGTGTGGCTGTTTTGCCTTCCACCCTTCAGAAACAACAACAGTTTGGATCATCCTCTTCATCATCCTCTACTAGTACGTCGACTGATCATCATCACTCGGGTCATTCCGAATCATCATCCTCTCAGAGCAACAACAACAGTCATGGTACTCTTACCTCACCTCGTTCATCCTCATCGGGTGGTGGTGTTTCTAGACTCTTTGAATGTTGCTTCTTTTTGAAATATCGTGAAAATAGTGTTCTCACTGATTTGGAAGTTGATTATCCGAAAGGTTATTTTCATCGATTCAATGTTCAACAATACATATCAAAGCTATCCGTTCTCAATACGTATTCCAATGTCATTCTTTATAGAATCAGTAATATCAATTTATACTGTAAATATATCCCACGAGTGGGTATATTAGGCTTTATTTCAAGGAGTCAACCCTATTATTCTTTATTTAACCAATTGATATTAATCGTATATTCAAGAATGATATTATTACATCAAATGGGAGAACCATTGATGAGCAACATTACTCCTTTTTTAGAGTACTTGTATTACTTTCAACCCTACCCTAGATTTGGAGAGAAGTTTCTCATTCGATTTGACACAAAAAATAGTATATTGGACTCCTCTCATTATTTAAGAAGACCAGCCATTGATGAATTTACACCGAATGGTGAAATTAATTTATTGAAATTTAAACCATTCATTACCAACAATGTCGATGATTTTGTAATACTTTACAAGTATTTGCTCCTAGACAAGTACATTCTTTCAAATTCGACATTTAACTTTCATGAAAACACTGTTGTTCCTTCCAATGCTACCACCAATGCTACGACCACGAACAGTGCCACCACCACCACCACCACCAATGCTACCACTACTACCACCACCACCACTGCATCATCACTTTTACCCATTATTGCAACAACTTTGAATCATCCCATCAAAATTGTTGTCTATACCAGAAATTCTTCAAATATTTTAGAAGTCATGAATTTCATATTCTCTATTCTATCACTCATGTATCCATTCAAATACTGTGGAGATATCCTTCCATACTGTGATGAAAACAAAATATTAGAAAGTGTTCTTTCTAGTCGTCATACAAGTTCCATTGTTGGATTTTTACAAAAAGATTTCAACATGGAAAAGTACCATCATGTTCATCATGTGATACTATTCAACATGGATGAAGGCAAAGTTGTGAGTCCTCATGTTAAGGAACATTGTCATTCGTTTGTTTCACTTCCAAAAGAGAATAGAATGAAATCCATGCTTAGAAATAACATTTCCAAATATAACAGTAATACAAGGATTTTAGAATTCTTTGTCAAATGTATGGCAAATTGGTTTGGAAATTATAGATATCATTTTAGAATGAATGGATCAATACTTGAATTTGATTATGGGCAATTCTTGAAAGACTATGACTACTTTGCAGAAGGACCTGAAGCATTTTATCATGCCATTTCTAATACTCTTTCATTTAAGATTTTTATAGAAGAACGAACAAAATTAGTGAATGACTATGCAACCTTCCAAATTCAGAAAATACAATTTGGACCATTTGAACAGGAGTGTTTCAAAAACAATCCTAGAATATTCACCAATGCATCGACTCAAGTCAATGTTTTAATGGGAGGCTCAAAACCAGGTGATGCAAGTTCTTCCACAGTGAAAACTTCAACGACCAACAATAAGACGACTGCTTTGAATTCGAGTGGTACGACGAACACAATGAATAGTACGACGACTACCACTACTAATACCACCACCACTGCTACTACTGCCGCCACCACCAACACAACGACCACTTCTACAACAACTGCCAATACTGCCACCACCACCACCACTGCAGGAAGTGCCAGCAGTACCTCTAGTGGATTTTCACTCAAACAATTATTCTTTAAAAAAACAGCCTCTGGTCCTCCTGCTGTGGGAAGTGGTGTACCGACGATCAACTCCACAACAACCACTTCAAGTACAACTACAAATACAACAGCAGATACATATTTTGATGAAAAATTACATGGAATGGAAAGATCATCATTTTCTGATGTTGAACCAATGATTTCGAGTTTTGGAACCAAAATTGTGGGTGAATTACAATTCAGTAAGGAGAATCAACTGGCAGTGTCTTTCTATTGCAAAGAAAGTGATGCTGTAAAACCTAAATTTTCATTTGAAGAATTCCATCAAAGTGTGAAACCACCAAAGAAGTATCTCCCATTGTCTGAGGATGTACAGAAAATACAAACAGAAACTAATAACGGTACTCTCAGTACAAATACAACAAATCCTAAATCAAATTCAGAACTTGATTTGATCCTGAATGATGAATATCCAAGCGATGGTGAAGAAGAAGCTTCATCACCTGTACCAAATGGACTTGAAAGTACTGATGTGGATGATATCAATAATGTTGACAACGAAGACCTACCCATGCCACTCACGTCACAAACCAGCTCATCAGCTGATGACTTTTTCAATTGAATTGTGTTCACTTCCAATTAAATTATTTTTGTTCAATTCATTGCTTTTTGGATTTGTTTTTTGTTCATAGAATGGAAAGAATTTATAAAGTTTCTTTAATTAAAAGATACAACCCATTCAAAAGAAGCTGTCCAATTCACTGGCCAATGAATCTTTTGTTGACTGCTTTGGAGAATTTGTAGTTTCAATCATGGTTTCATTGCTGCTATTATTGGATTGCACTCGAGTTCCACCACTACATAAAAACTTTAAAGTCTTCAACAACTTGACATAAATCAAATGACCCTTACAATCTTCAATGAGTTGAGGCAACACCACTTGTGAGAATGTCTTGATAGCATCTTTCATTTGTTTCTGACACAAGTAGTTATAAAATATTGAACCATACAATAGGAAGGCATGTGAAGAAATTTGATTCCATTCATGGACACAATGATTTGACCCAAAATAGATCAATGCAGCATGATGATGATCATATTCACTCATACAAACAGTAATGAATAGACACAAGAGAGCCCACAAGGCTCCACTTGGTGGTTGCTTCAAACACAAGGTTTGCATACTCATATTAATCCAATTTTCAAAATTCTGCTGATTGGTTGAATCCTTGCCACATATATGTGGCATGTGAAGAGAGAGTAACAAAGAGAGTAACAATGGATGTGTTTTGGCACTCAAAAATTCATTGTACAAGAGTGGTAGAATTTGTTCACTTTCAAAAAAGTCTTCCATTAATTGTGGAATAAATCTCAATAGAACTTCACCTTCTCGATCAATTTCACCATCATGGAATTGTTCAATTAAATGTAAAATATTCACTTTAGCACGTTCTTTTTGTGATGAATCTTGAGAAGAAATGATCATACTTCCATTATTTCCAGAAAATGTTGAAGTATACATGAAAGTTGCCATTAAACCCAATAATAGTATTCTTCTCGTTTGTGAAATGTTATTTTGAAGACTCTCAGCAGAACGAGAGACAGCACTTGCAATCGATGTCATACTTATACTCTTGGCAATACTTGTACTTGACATGGAAGATGATAAACCAGCACTGACACTACCACTTCTACTCAGAGTGATGTTATTGTCAAGAGATTTGGTTGGAGCATGCTGAGTGGATGGTGTTGTTGTTGCCTTACTCAAAGTACTACTACTGCTACCACCACTAGTGCTATAGCCACTACCACCACTGCTACCACCACTAGTACTATAGCCACTACTCGAACTGACATTTGTGTTGCCACCACTACCACCACCACTTGAACCACTAGATGCAGCAGTGGTTGGAGTCGGTGAGTTCTTCTTGGGTTGGAAGAAACTCATAAATTGTTTCATCTTTGTAGTGGCTGTCGTGGTGGTAGTGTTGGGTTGAGAAGTAGTGGAAGAACTTGTTGGAGTGAGTTTGATATCTATAATGGTATTATTAGTAGGAGTAGTAGTATTAGTAGTAGGTGTAGTTGAATGACCACCACCACCACCACCACCACCACTGCTACTGTTACCACTGCCACCACTGCTACTGCTACTACTACTACTAGTAGAAGAAGAAGTACTCATACTCTTGTTCTTACTTGAGGCAACAACATCATCAACATTAGTGGTCTTTGTGTGAGAACTATTACCAGTAGTATTCAAATTGGATGATGGTGTGGAACTAGAACTACTATTACCTGAGAATGCAGCAGTTGGTTTTCTCACTAACAAGATGGTTCGATTCTGAGCGAGCATTTGTGTAAAGTTTGAAAAAGTAGAAGTATCAATGGTCATCTTTTTAAATGGATGAACAATCTTACTCATCATGGATGTGTTCTGAAGAGTTGTTGTTGTTGCTATGAGGTGGTTACTATTTACATGGTTCATATTTGGGGTAGTAGAAGCACCAGCAGTAGTATTGGTCATCATGATTCCTGTTGCTGTTGTTGAAGAGGAAGACGACATGTACGATGCACTTTGTTTGATACTCGTCATGGCCTCAATTAAACTTCTTTCAAATTGTGAGAGTGAATAATTCATTAATAAATTCTGTAAGGATTTAAAGATGGTAATCACGATGGAAAGTGGAGCATCAATATCATCACTCAAATTGAAAAGTGCTTCCATGGTCTTTTTTGTTAATTGATGAACAGATGCTTCTGGATATTGTTGTACAATGAGTGTAATCATTTTCAAGAGTAGTAATTGATTATACACGGTTTGTTCTTTCTCTAATAACCATCCTTGAATATTACTTGCTAAATATGGTAATAATTTCAGTACAATATTTCTATTATTGCATTCAATAAATGAGAGAATACTTTGACATGCTGATTGTTTGGTATGAGAGTTTACGAGAGATGTCTCCATTACTTTGATCATGTAATCTTCATTGACCACATCTCTTGAATTATTGGAATGCAAAATGGCATACGTTTTAGAAAGTCCATAAATAGCATATTGTGCGAGCAACCAATCATCGTACAGCATGGCTTCCTTATATGTATTCTTAAAGAGATCAAACAACCATTGAAGTGAATAGGTCTGACTATTGATTGCAAAGAGTACAATATTGTTATTCAATATTAAAAGTAGGGATTTGATCATTTCTTTTGCAATCATTAAATTTGTTTTTGAATATTTTTGAATACTCTCTTGAATGAAGAGCATGAAACTATTGAAGAGAGCTCTCGAGTACATGTCTTCTACTTGAATGGTGTTGTTGTTGGAAGGTGTTAACATCTTCAAGTTTGACAACTTGTCAGAAGTGCCACAAGGAGAACTTTTTGTTGTCTTTAACAAGTAATTGTCCACACAATAGAGAATGGCACTCAAAGGAGAATTGGCATTACCACCAGTACTATTACCACCAGTACTACTACTACCACCACCACCACCGCTCCTAACATTGCCACTACCATTGCCACTCGAATTCGTAAACAAATGATCATCATCATCAATATCATTCAATGATGTAAATGTTTGTGGTGGTTGATTCATCTTACAAATCATGCATGTGAGTAATTTCAAAAATAGAACATGAATCTCATCAAAAGGTTGAGTTATTTCTGATTTCAATAAATCAAAACACATTTCAAATAATTGTTTGAAAATATCCTCATTACATCCCATTTCTTGTATCATCAATATGAGTGTTTCTACTTGTTCATTATCAATTCTAGGATAATATCCAGTTTCTAAATTTGGTAGAAATGGAGAATATGCCAAATTCATATAACATTTGGATAGTTCCAATCCGATGGATCGAATTAATTTCAAATGATGATAAGAAATGAATGGAATTCTATTACCAATTGAGAATCCATAGAGTGAATTCATTCCACTACTCGTACTACCCGATGAACCACCAATAGCACCACTTTCCAGATCAGGAAATTCTGATGGCATGGTCATATTGGGATGCAATTGAAAGGTCTTGAATAGAATGAGTTTCAAATGTCTTTGGAAGGATTGGTGATGATTACTTGTCTTTGAATTGGTAAGAATATTCCTTGTATTTGAACTGACGGTAGTGGCATCAATAATTAATTGACATGTTTTGGAAATGAAGGAATGAATGAGTGTGGTGAATGAATGAATATGATCACCAATATCGCCACTAGTACCACCACCAATACCACCACTTGAATTCAACCACTCCTCTGTATGATTAGATGACCATTGATCACCACCACCACCACCACCAATCATGAATGATGAATCTTGTTGAAATAAACTTCCATACGACAATAATACTTGATGAATGAGTGATAACATGTAATCAACATCAATCAAATCCACTGCTTGTTGTAAAAGTCTCTCTTCATAAAACAAGTGAATAAATTGACAAGTGAATTGAATGACTTGTTTTGTCTTGTCTTCCATTAAATGAAATGCTCTACATTTAGAAAGTAATTTAGAGAGTAAATTTGATAATTTCAAATAGGTACTGAAAGATGATGATTTGTTTTGTCTTGTCATGTCTTGATTCAATCGATTCATTTGATCAAATGTAAAATCTATAAATGGAAGTATTTGATCAAATGTCTTTAAGTGAATGAGTAGTGAGGTCACAAATTCAATATTTCCAGAAAAATGTGAAATAATATCCTTCAGAGATTGAGCATTCATTGAAGAGACAATATTTGGAACATATTTCAAATCACCCTTATCCATATAGTCAATTAAAAAGTTAGAAATTACAAATGGATTGGATGCCAATTCACTTTGTACCAATAATGGATTGAGAGAGGGATCTATGATACGAGTGGTAGAAGTGAATGAATGCTCTTCATCGATTCGATATTTCAAAATAGTTTGATTCACATTTTCAATAATCTTATCAAGGACTTTGTAATCATTTTTCAACATTTGTGCTTTGAGAGTATTTGTGTTATTTTGATTAATGTAATTGATCATATCTTTGAGAATTTTCTTTTTCATAAATGTGGTTTCAACTTTGTATCTTTCTTCTAATTGATTCACCATTTTTGGAATTAAACAATGTAAATGACTCTTTCTAATATAATTCTTAACAAAGTTGAATAATATTCTCAAATCACTGATTTGTAATTGATTCTTAATGGAGAATTTCTCATCTAATTCTTCAAATAATCCAATTAAATCATTGGAGGATTGAATACTGTCAGAATAACAAGTAATAAATTCTTGAACAATGGGTTCATTGAAGTGATTCAACATATTCTTCCACATCTTGCTTGATAAATATTGAATCGAACATTCTTTAAATAAAAGATTCAAAGGATGTTCTGTGAGAGGAGTCGAGAATTGAGATTCAGTTGTATTTGGAGAGAATTGATCTAGAATGGAAGTGGACTGTAAAGGATCCGAGTGTTGTTCCTTATTATTCTTGAAATTGGAATCAACAGAATTCAATCGATTCGTCGAATTCGAGTTGCTGATTGATGATTGAACAATACTCAATATGATATGAATAATACTTAAAAATAGAGATTTCTGTTGAATGACTTGATAGTGATAGGCCATCGTGAGAGGAGGAGTGTCGACAGCATTCTTAGAAGTGGAATTAATTGCAGCACTCGTCGAATGGAATACTTTGTAAATTTCAATGAAAAATGAAATACCAAATTCTTTTGGTAACATTTTAGAATGTGATAATAAAAGAGATAAAATAGAGGCATAGATTGGAAAATCAAATCTCTTGATTGATTTCTCAGTATCTTCTCCCATGTATTCACTGTTCACTGTAAATAATTTCCAAAAATAGATAATCTCTTTTCTATAAATTTCATTCAATTTGTCAACATTATCAATGAGTCTATGATTGGATAATTTGGAATATAATCTTTCTTGTAATTCCATAGTTACTAGTAACATTTCTGATGTTAAATACTTGACAATTGTGATGGATGATGAATCTCTATGATTGATATAAATTCTCAATGATTTGACACAAAACATTAAAAATGTTTCCAAAGTACGTAAAGAGTGTTCAACTTTGTTCTCTTTCTTATCAATTCTGTTCATTAATCTCATAAAGAGAAGTGATTTGAGTAGATTGGAAATGACGAATATTCTTGCATCGTCCGAAGAAGAAAATGTAGCATGTACATCAATAGGTTCAGTATTGGTGGTAGTCTGAGTAGTCTGAGTAGTGGTCATCATGGTCATCATTGGATGACCATCATTCGTCCTCGTTGTAAAAGATTCCACTTCTAGAACATGACTTGTATTGGAGGATCCTAATCCTACTCGAAATGACTCTTGAGAGACCAAGTAGTATCTGGAATGATCCATCCATGATTCATTCAAGTGTTGATTCATAGCCTCATTGAGTGTTCGAATGATTGGCCATTGTTCTTCATCATGAACATTAATATACAAGGCATCAATGAAATAAAATATTTTCGATAATTCCATTCGAAACTCATCAATCATTCCGGTGGAACAAGTGGAAGGACTTGAATGACCACTACCACCACTACCACCACTCCATCCTTTTTGACCATATTTGGATGCACTCGCACCTCGAATACCATTCGACAAGACACTCGAATGAGAAGAAGATCCACTTCCACCTGATAAACCACCACCTCCCAATGGTAGAGTTGAAGATCCACTGAGACCACCTCCACCACTACCACCACCTGCTGATCCACTCATTAATTGATTCATAATATGATCATAATAGAGAGTGGCATCATTACGAGTCGATTCAAATTCATCTCCAATGTTTGAAACTAAAACATGACTCCAATCCATGTCCACTTGTAATTGTTGATGAATGACCCATTCTGTTAAAATCTTGTTTGAGAGATGTTTCCATGGAGAGTAATAATGTAGTGATGAAGATGGTGTTGAGGATGATGTTGAGGATGAATAGGAGGATGATACTGTTGTTGTTGTTGCATGATGAGGACTCTTCATAGTAGCAGTTGTGTTTGGATTGTTTTGAATTGGAATGTTCATATCGAGAAGGACATGGGGTTCCATCGTTGGTGTTGTATTGTTGTTGTTGTTACTCAACGTTGAACTATTACTTGTAGTAGTGGTAGTGGTAGTAGTATTAGTGGTAGTATTTGAGAGGTGCACATTTCCTTGTTGTTGAACATTTCGCAACAATAAGGTCAATACTGCTTGACATTCTGGTAATTTGACATGTTTCAAGAATTCATTTAAAAGAGCACTACCATCGGTGGTGGTCGACATCGTGTTGTTGTTGTTGTTGTTAGAACTTCTCCACTGCAATGCAGCATTTCTCGTTTCACACAAATAAGCTCTAATCATAATTGGAGAGAGTGATCTCAATATACTGGTCATACTCCATTCATGTTGTTGTTGTTGTTGTAATTTTGAAGTCTTTGAATTATTGCCAGTTACAGATAAATCTCTTTCATCCATCTTATGTGTCTCTTCTTTCAAACCAATTTGAGCCAATTTCTTAATACAATCAAATGGATTGTCAGGAAAATGTGAATACTTGACAATGTACAACAAGACAGACAAGAAATCCATGACTTGATACAATGTATGATCAGGTTCATAATCAGTCAAATAAGTAGTTTCAATATCATCAATTTGTTTCAAAATATATCGAATAAATGATCCATCCTTATCTAATTGACTAAAATCTATTCCAATACAAATCATTCTTATCAACATGAATAGAATAACATTCTGTAAAGATCGATCATGTGTGTGTTTGAATGATTTTGTTAAACCAATCACCACAGGATTGAACATTCCAAGAATTTGTCGATACGTTTTTCCAGTATCTCCAAATTTAGAATCGTAACTGAAATTGGTACTCTTGGTGGGGGGAGATTGTGCCGCCATTGCCGTAGTGGAAGATTTTTGTGGTGTGAGGACCGTAGTGGAAGAATTCTTGTTGTTGGATTCGGTTGTACTACTACCAGAACCACCGCCACTATTACTACCATCACCATTAGTACCACTCTTGTTAGGGATGAGTAATGATGTTGTTCGCACTCTCATACTATTCAATCCTAAATTAACATCTCTCCGTGTGGACCATACATTGTTTTTACCTTCTACAAATATCTTTTCAAAAAGTCCATTGCATTTACGTAATGACGAGGAGGAAGAAATTGGAGTGGCAAATGAGAACATTTGATTGGCTCCCATTGGATTAATGACATCATCTTCATCATTGATGAACAATGGTTTGATACTTTCATAGTTTGGTATATTAATGTTGTAGTATCGATCTTTTTTACCAAATAAAGAAACAAATAATTCTTGAATACAGAGGATGGAAAATTTCTTTTCAAATCTCACATTGAAATGTAAATATTGAATCATTGAGATGGTATACGTTTCAATCACTTGAGTAGATCCATACAATAATATAAAATAGAGAGTTTTGAGTAATTGTGATCTTAAAATAGAAATAGCATCTCTGCTATAAGTAGAATCAATCGTGGCATTACTAATGGATGACTTGGCAGATTGTCTAACGTTATTATATAACTTATCATAGACATATTTGTGCATATCTTTTTGATAATTCAATTGAATAGGACTTGATTTGATATATGTTTCATCAAATACATTGCTAATCATATCAATCATGAAATGTTCATAGGATAATAATTTTTCAGTTATGTGTTGAACTTTTTTGATCATCATCATGTCATTAGAAGTACGAGTGGATTGAAAACTTTGATTATTATTAGTATTACTTTGACTACTATTATACTGATTATTACTTTGATTCATTCCACGTGTTAAATGTTTCAATTGTAATACATATAATCCAATCGTTTTAACAATCATGGAATGTACATTGAGATCAGTAGAAATTTCAGCTGAATATTTCAACTTGTCTAATAGTAATTCTAAAATCTCAATGGCATAGAATGAAATCACTGGTTTGGGAGTAATAGGACTACTGGTAGGTGCATTGACACCACTTGTAGAAGTATTGAAACCACCCATGGAGGAAGTACGTTGATGACGAATGCGTTGTGTCGAGTGGTTGTTGTTGTTGTTGTTGTAATAGTTATTCGGATGATTCATAGTATTCATATTACTATCATTACCACCGCTACCACTAGTACTAGTACCACCACTACTATGAGATGCACCACCAGTCTTTTCATCATTATGAAGAGATATTAAATGTGGATTTGAATCATCGTATTGGCTATATCTCTTTGCTAATGATGATAATAATTTGATAATTCCAATAAATGTATGCTTGTCATCTCTCACAAGAGTCAATTGTGAAATACATCGAATAATCACTAGTACAACATTGGTTAATTCATGTTCTCTAATGACATCTCTATTAATATATTGTAACATTTCTGTTGAAATTATTTGTTTGAGTAACCGAGTATCATAATCTGATGAATATCTTTCAAAGAGAGATGCCATTTGACTTCCACTTTTAGAATGTAGAGATGAAAGTAATTGTTGTGAAGAGGAACCATGATGAATGGATGTTGTGTGAATATTATTCATGACATTGGGATAGGGTAATAATTGTATGAGAGTCATACAGGCTAATTTTCTAACTTTTTCATTGTCATCACTAATGTATTTCCATACAACTTTGTCGACAATGATTTGTAAGAGAGTGTATTGAGTGGTGCTGCTAGTGGTGGTGCTGCTGATATCAGTCGAACTTGTAGTGGCTACTGTACCAATAGAGTTCAACTTCAAATTATTCTTTCTTTCATAATATTCAATCAGAGTATAATCAAATCGATTGAGAAAATTCAAAATTTCAAATTTAACACTCCAAAAACTATCATTCACATGAATAATAGAAAGAATGTACTTGGGAATATTGAATGCTAATTCTGGTAAATATTGCATGCAAATGGGTAGACATAGACTACATGAACTAATTAACATTCTCACAAGTAAATGATTGAATGATTCTCTCATCATGATATTCATGATTTTATCAACAATGATGCAAGTGAGTTGAGAGAGAAGTGAATGTGAAGAAAGATCTTTGAGTGGAATATTGGTTGTTGAGGTGGTTGAGGTGGTTGTTGTTGAGGTTGGTGAGATTGTTGGTGTGATTGTGGTCAAAGTATCTGTGATTGTATTGTTGGCATTGTTGGTACCACTCACAGCATCACTTTGAATCGTTTCAAAATCTAACAGAATGGAATTCTTTGTGTCAATATTAGAGCAGTTCTCCTCCGAAATTGTTGCAACATTTCCACCAATTTTTACTTCTTCCATTAAAGGTCTCACTCTCTCCACCAAGTTCTTGTGTTGCAACTTGACACATACTTCAATAATAGTAGCCAATAGAATGGATGATTTTCCTCGAATTAAATAATCTTCTTCAATATTTTCTAAAATGTCAAATAAAAATTTCAAATGACAGGAATTCTTATGGAAGGCTTCAAGAGTCCATTCAGGAAATACATAAAGAAATTGAGAGAGTGCTTCTAAAATATAACTTTTTACAGTCACTAACATTTTAGAAGTAGTGAGAATGTAAAACGTTTTTGAGAGTAGAGCATCCACTTTTCCTCGAATCCAATTTTTACAATAATTACTAAATTTAGAAAGTAAATTAGTTAATAATTCTATAGATGGTGATAATATTCTCTGATCTTGAACACTCAATGAATCAATTAATAAATCGCACACCAAGTTACTAAAAGATTGATATCGAGAGTAGTGAATAGGTGAGGCTCTTGATGACCGACCTGAGAAATCATCCAAAACTAGTAATATGTTCAAAAATGTATTCAAACAACCTTGCAATGTCTTTAAATCAGTACATTCTTGACTCTTAAAGCATTGACTCATTGCAATTTCATGAACATCTAAGGCTACTTGATGGATGGGGCAGGTTGGTACAAATGCACAACAGGATGAAATGGATTTAGCACTTGATCTTCTAATTTCAATTTCTGGATGAGAAAGTAATTTAAATAAATCTTTACAAAAATCGTAAATTTCTTCTTCTTCTATATATGGTCCTAAAATATCAAATATTTTGTCCAATGATCCACTCATTGTAATATTTTCAATAATAAAAGTATAATATTCATATTCAAGTGATATAAATTGAATCAGTTGTGGTAAAATGAATGAAACCATGGTTCTACATTTCTGTGGTTTGATATAATGAGAAATATTTGCAAAATTGGAAATTGCTGTAACAATGCTGTACTTGTTATTCACTTTTGGTTTCATCGATTTGAATAGAATCACTAAAATTCGATCGGAATGAGTATCAATGACTGATTTGATAATCTTTCTGAGATGTTCATTGGCATACATTCGAACATCATTGGAAATATCACCACACGCTCTCAAACAGTGTTGAATGGAAACATTGAGATAATTGGAAACGTTTTTAAAAAAGACAGAATCAGAATCTTGATTGGTACTAGTAGTAGTAGTAGAGAAGGAGGAGGTGTTGTTGTTGCTAGCAGAAGAGGAAGTCGTTGTCGTCTCTAAGAGTTGTTGACTCATTAACGAAAATTTACACTCTCTCTGATAATAATAAATAAAGAATTCAGAGATGTTGGAGAGTGCTGTTTGAATTTGTTTTCTTCGTTGAGGAGTATCTTGTTGTTGTTGAGAAGAAGAAGGAACTTGTTGTTGTTGTTGGATGGTAGCAAAAGAGTCTTCATCAAAACCGCTTTGATCATCATCATGATGAGGATCTTGATGATAAATGATCTTTTCTTGAAGAATATTGAGACTTGAATTGATATCAAGTACGGGTGGTGTGGTGGTGGTGGTAGTGGTGGTTTGACCGCCGCTACCCGAAGAAGAAACACTCGGATTGTTGGAGGAGGATGACATTTTTTCGTGAGTGGAGTGCGTTTTCTTTTCAATAATTATTATAAACGCGTTTTCTTTCAATAATTGGCTTGTGATGGTTTGCAATATTGAGCATCTATAGTTGAGAGGATATCGAGAGATCAAAGAACCAAGAACAATAAACATGCTTTTGAACGCCGTATTCATTCCTCGGTTCGGATCAGGAGAAGCACTCTTTCATGAACGGTTGTTGGTTCGATAGAAATTGTGGTTGGTGTTGCATGTGTGTGAACCCGTGTGTGTGTGTGTTAATAAAAAATCTTTCCAATCTCATTATTCGAACAAAGATCTCCCTAATATTCATCATCATCATCATCATCCTCTTCCATCACGCGTCAATAACAACACTCAAAGTCTTTATTTTCCGAACTCACTTGTAAGAATACATCATCACCTCTCTCTCGCTCGCCCCTCTCATCATCGACAACACCAACAACAACAACCCATACCCCTCCTACATGAGTAATATCATCATTCCAAATAGCAGTAATAATAATAATTATTAAGACTCTCACCACACTCCTCCTATTCACTTATTCACATTACCAATCCATCATTAGAGCTTTCACCACCGACTACTATTATTCCAACCTTGACACAACAATTACGATCATGGGTGGCACTTCCAGTCGATCCACACATTCCACCTTGGACCCCATGATTGCGACGACGACGACGAGCAGTAGCACTCGTAGTAGTAGTAGCAGTAGTACTCGTCGTCGACGCAATCATCATCATCACTCCGTCGTGAATGGCAATCATGGTGGTGGTGGTGGTGGTGGTGGTTTCTTTTCCAGTACTTCCAGTGCTCTCTCACGTGAAGAACATGAACAATCGACCATTCTCCGAAATGGTAAACAAGTAGAGAGAGGTTACATGTTGCATTTGGGAGAACGTTACTTTAATGAACGATATTTAATTCGTAAGAAAATTGGAGAAGGAATGAATTCGGATGTGTATGTGGCTCTTGATCAAGAATTGAATGAATATGTGGCACTTAAAGTCATTCCAGTTCATTCTGGAAAACAAACTCGTGAACAAATTCTCAATGAAATTGAGATTATGCGGAGATTAAAACATGATCATATCGTACAATTAAAGAATGTCATGACCCATCAGGAATTTATTGGAACTATGAGTGGTGGTGCTGTCTTGAGAAATGACAATGATAGTTTACAATACAATCATTCAGAAAAGTGTGAATATATTGTCATTGTGAGTGAATATTGTAATATGGGTAGTATTGGAGATTATTTAGAAAAAGATTTACATTTAAAATTACCCATTTATATTCTATTGAAATGGATGATTGAATTAATTGATGTATTATATTATTGTCATGTAGAAAAACAAATCATTCATCGAGATATCAAACCCTATAACATTTTATTAAGCAATGATGCATTATCACCACACTATGTCTATTCTAAATATATTAAAGATGAAGATGATGAAGAGTATGAAGATGATGAAGATGATGAGAATGAAGAGTATGACCATCATCAAGAGAATGCACAACATTCACCACATGAAAAAAAAAGATTTCAATTTTCAAAAAATAAGAACCATTCTTCTACAACTAATACTATGAATAATACCAATAATAAGAATTATACCAATAATAATACTTCCACAACTAATAATAATTATACCAATAATAATAATACTAATACTACTCATCATGCATCTATTCGATCCAAAATGGATCAATCTTTTGATTCCTATGAATATATTAATGTTAAATTAGGTGATTTTGGTTTATCAAAAGCAATACAATCAAATATTCATCAAGTTTCATTACAGAGTATTTGTGGTACACCTCTCTATTGTGCCAGTGAAATTGTATTTCAAAAAGGATATTCTTACAATGTAGATATTTATTCATTGGGTGTTACTTTATTTGAATTATTTAGTGGACATTCTCATCTCACATTTCTAAAAATAGTATTACAAAATTATAGACCCATCTCAACACTCTATGATTCAATTATATTAAATAGTATTCGAAGATTAATAGGAATGATGATTGAAAAGGATAGTTCTAAACGATTAACCTCTGAACAATTAATTGTACATCCAATCATTCATGCTTATCGACATGTTGTGAATTATGTCAAGAATGAACATGATCGAGCTATTCATCGACAATTTCACAACAGTGTTAATGGTAATAGTAATAATGGTAGTAATAATGGTAATAATAATTCTAATAATTCTAATAATGGTAATAGTAATAATGGTAGTAATAATAATAATTCTAATAATAATAATAATAATTCTAATAATAATAATAATAATAATGGTAGTAGACCATCGATGAATGATCATTCTCCACAACAACAACAACAAGAACAACAATCCTCCTCTTCGTCTTCCTCCTATCTCTCTCAATACATTCAAGTATTTATGGAAATTATTATCTATCTCAACATTGAACATGATTCTGATATTCAAATGAAAAATTGTTCCATTCAGAAAATTCAAGAATTATTTCTAAAAGAAGAATCAAAATCAATAATTGTCAATTATATACACAATTCCTATAAGAGAATTATGCAAATGTTATGTACGATTGATAAGGTGAATCAACCATGGATTTGCAATTTTATTTCTCATATTCTAATACCATGTATTACCAATGATCAAGATGAAAGATTTTTATTTATCAAATCTTGTTTATCACAAATGAATTATTTGTACAGTAGAGGAAATGCAGTTGTACTCAAAAGATTATTCATGAATGTGAGAGAATTATTGAGTGATTCAGATTGGAAATTAATTATTTCTCAAAATGGATACAAACATCCCAAGAATGATGATGTGATTTGCATGGATGATGTGAAATTTAGAGATTATTTGAATGAAATGTTATTACAGTAAAGAGGTTGTGAATGACAACTCAATAATACTTTAAATGCTCAATGATTATTACTTGTGAACTTTAAATGCTCGATGAATAGTATTACCTCCTCTTTCTCGAAACAACACCTTGTTTTTGACCAATTCTACGCCATCTCTCATAAATTGTACGTCTAATTTCATAAGGTAAAGCCAATAACTCTTCCTTCTTGGACACTCGATTCATGAGTGTTGAAATCAATGATTCACATGCCAATCTTAAAGATACTTCATGATAACTTAAGGCTATATTCATAACATCCCAAACATTGGATTCATCAATTAAATCAATGGCAATCGATCGAGCACACATGGAGAGTTCTGGCATTTCAAATAAATTGCAATGTAACAATGTGGCAAGACAATTATTTCCATTCAAATGAATTTGATCGGTATAAAAGTATTGAATGATATTTTCCATAATTGGTAATGAATATTCTTCATCCATTTCCACCACTTCAGAATTCGCTTCATACATTCCTCCTGTCACAAATACTCTTGAGAGATAGGGTGATCGTGATAAGAATAATCGATGTGCACCAATACTGTTTGATGATAAATTCCTTAAATGATTTTGACCACCACTTCCACTACTAGTACTACCACTACTAGTTGTAGTAGTATTATTATTATTTACAAATATCAATTGAATGTCACTTTCTAATTTGATTTCATAGAGTCTCTTCAAATCAGACATGTATTGATGATATCCTTCAACACATAGACTCATATCCATTTTAAATTCTCGATTGAATAATTTCAATAAGAAGGGATAATGAGAATGAGGAGAAACAAGTTTGGAATATTCAAGAAATCGATGAATTTCAGAGTCCACATTGTTCTTTGGTAAAGTATCATTATTACCACCACCACTACTACTACTACTATTAATACCACTATTAATACCACTATTATTACCACTATTATTACCACCACCATTATTACCACCATTATTACCACTATTAATACCACTCCATGCATTCAATTTCACTTCTCCACAATAAATAAAATTCAAATACAATTCAAAAATCTTTTCATATCCTTGTGTAACTCTCACCAAAGGAATGGTATCACACAAATCATGAGTTGGAAATGTAATACTTCCACCCATGAAATCACTTCTCTGTAGTTTTTCTTTTGAATCTAATATTTGTTGATATAAATATGGACATCGAGCAGCAATGACACATTTATGTGCTAAAATATAATGAGATAAATCACTAAATGTTTCATCTTGTAATTTAAATGCAACATCCACAAGATAATTTTCTTTTTTACGTTGTAATAAATAATTTCCAACAAATTGTTTGTCTGTACCCATTTCATACATGTGAACTGGAGAATAGGTCAATAAATGTGATTGTTTTTGATAATGATGTGAAGAGTGAGTAGAAGTACTGCTAGAAGTAGGTTGATAGATGTGTTGTTGTTGTTGTTGAGGATGTAAAGGAGGAGTGTGTTGTTGAGGATGTAAAGGAGGAGGAGTAGTAATAGTAGTATTACTTGTCTTGTTGTTGCTGTTCACTCTGGTTGGTATAGATAGAATGCAATGACAATTTTGAAGGAGAATGGGTGAAGTGGAAGGGTAGTTCCTAGTTCCATGTGGAGGAGATTGGAATGATTCAACTACTGCTGTTGGAATGGTATCATGAATCATACTCCAAGTGTTTGTAAGCAAATCCAATTTAAAGGATTGAACCATATTTGAGCCACATGATGATGTATGATTCATGAATTCATGAAATGTCATACCACTGCTTGCTACACTACATTTCAAAATCAAATATCGTCCAGTATGGAATAAGAGAGAAGAATTGAGTGATGCTGCTTGTGATGGTGGAATTAATGAATCAATAATGATTTCATTCCACTCTTTGGAATGACAATCATAGCGATACAAGTCATTTAAAATATTTCCATTTTCATCAATACCTCCATAAATGTACATGGAAGAGGATGAGGTGCACACGGAGTGAGAATGACGAGCACATGGCCATTGAGTATTTGCTTCTGAACTAGTACTAGTTCTCTTTTCAATGTGATCAATTTGACCATTCGATTGACTTTGAATCACATAGAGATGACTATTTACACGATGATGACTATGAGCAGCATTATTACCATTAGGACGTGTACTAGTAGTATTACCATTATTTCTCTCTCCATCCTTATTATGATCATCATTAGAATACAATTCAATTCCTCCAAACATTAAAATATCACCACCACACACACATAAGGAATAATTTTTTCGTTTGGTGATCAAGTGTTCAATTCCAGCAGCGATTGCTACCTTTTGATAATTATAAAGTGTAATATCAAAGGAGAGTCGATCTGGATCATTAATATTTGTAATACAATAAATAACCATGGCATTGGGATGATAGGATGCAGGAGGATAGGGTGCTTTTGTGTATGAATATTCTAAAAAATCATCTTGACTCAAATGAGAATCACTGGTGAAGATCAATAAGGAATGAGCAAGTTTCACCATTTTAGAGTTTATACTCATAGATGGAAGAACCATTTTCACAAAATGTCTTTTTCCATACATTGGATGAGAAGGAGTAGGTTGTTGTTGTTGTTCATAGCGATACTGCTGAGACATTGTCAGAAAACTCACTCGTTCAATATTTTTGTAAGCCATCAATTTCTCTTCTGAATTCATATCAATACAAAATAATTGAACACTTGAAACGTCGTCATCTTTAAAGATGTCATGATGAGGATTGGAATGTGTCAAGGACTTGTCAAATGCATGAACATTCAATACAAATGTTTGACCATAACATTCATCACGAGTTGATGAAACAACAAAGGAATGATCACTTGCAAAGATGAATCCATTGGATTGAGTGAGAAAGGATGAAATATATTTCTCAACATTCTTTCGATTGGATTTAAAATAACGTGGTACTTTCACTAATTCATCAATGGCATTCTGAATATGATCAAATGTATCATTGAATAAATGTTTTTTTTGAGAATTGATCCATTCAAAATTCAATGCTAAATCGAACACTTTGGAAGAATATTCAGAATTGTATTGATAGACTTGCACTGATTTTGGTAAAAAAGATCGAGTCATTATTTTAGAATAAGAGATTGGAAAATGAAAATTAATTTCATCTAATAATTTGATTGAGTATTCTCGTTCAGTGAAAGGAGTCTTTTCAATTTGGTGGTGTTGGTGGTGGTGAGGAGTGGTGAACTTTTGAATGATTTCATTTGTTTCATCTTTGAGGCTCGTCGTGAGACCCAGAGGAATTGGAGAAGAAGAAGGTATCATTGCAGTAGTAGTAGTGCTGGTAGTAGTAGTAGTGGTGGTGGTGGTGGTGGTGGTGGTGGTCATTTTCTTTTTTTTCTTGAGAACTTTCTTTTTCTTACTCGATTGATACTGGATGGGAATGTCAAAAGTACTACGAGTGGGTAGTAGTTGATACTGAGATGGTTCTTCTTCTTCTTGCTCCGATAATGATGATGATGATGAATTGGTGAATAATTGATCACTTGATAATTCTTCTTCTTGCAACCTCACGTGATCTTGATCCTCTTGGAGGGTGTTGTTCTTCTTCTCATGATCTAGTAAGATGTCATCATCTTGTTCTCGATCATTTGGCAAATTGTACTCTTCGATCGAAGAGAAGAGTGACCACGATGGGAAGGATTTGGACATTTTTTTTATGCTCAATCTCGAATTGAATGCATGACACACCCAGAGAGAGAAATGGAGAGAGATTTCAAATTCCAACTTGAAATATATTATTCATTTGGTAATAATGGTTTAACTGATCATTCAATGATTGAATAAAACTTTAGAATCTCAGAGAACCGAGTCAAAATTCTTTTTCTTGAAATTCTTCAATTTGGTTTTCACAGAATCGATCAGAGTGTTAGAGGTAGTAGTAGTAGTAGTCGTGTTGCCACCATAATGTCTTTCTCTTCCATACTTTTCATAGATTTGATCAAGTCTTTTGTGTACACTTTCCTCCAACAAATCTTGACGCATTTCAAAATTCTCTGCTTCCTCATGAGGAAGAGGATCATCCATCATTGATGCTTCTTCATTCTCCTCATGCAGCATGGAGGGTTGTTGTTTCGAATCAACATCTCGAGAAGAGATTGATTCCATTGTTGTTGTGATTGTGGTTGGTGGTGGTGGTGATAAATAAATTTCTTCAAGTTTATCAAAAGAAGATGAAATTTTCTCAACTGCCACATGTTGCAATTGTCTCATCTTTCTTTTTCTTGCTCTTTGGAGAATTTCACGACCTTCTAACACTGTTTCATCATTCATTGTAGATGTTGAATAATTAAATCTTTGAATATTACATAGAGTTCCACATCTCTCAATTAATTTAAATAAAGTAATAAATGCAACAACAATAATAAGAATTGGAAAATAATCGACAATGAAACCTCCCAAGACACCGAAGATTCGAAGACCATCCAATCGAAGTGCTCCATAAATGGTATAATAGGCCACACCATCATCAGGATCGACACCAACCATCTGTGGAAGATGGATAGGTTCATTAAGGTTCCATTGGAATGGGAATTGATTGAATGGGAATAGGTTCATTCATGGAAATAGGTTCAATATTGAATGGGAATAGGTTCATTCATGGGAATATGGAAATTTAAAAAATATTTTTATGGAATACACATATGGTGTGTTCGAGTAACTTATCATCATGGTCATCGATGGATGAATATTCCTTACCTGTAAAAAGTTAAAGCACATACTAGGAATGGCTCGACATAAGAAAATGCATGTATAGAATAAAGTATAGGCATCTAATTGAATATATATTCACCATATAGAGTAAGTATATTCATCATTTTCACCATATAGAGTTAGTATCTATCACACCACCACCACCACCACTTACCTGTATGATGAGGTACCATTTGGAAAATGTATAAAATTCTCACTCGATACATGGCAAAGAGAAGTACAGCTAAAATCAATGATAAAATTCCCAAAGAAACAAATTGAATAGCAAAACGATCTTTCATCGACATGATGATGAGTTCTAAAATGGATAATTTCAAATGTTTGGTAGCATGAATATTCTTAAAGAGTGGAGTAAATTCACACCACATTAAAATTAATCCAAAAGGAATAAATAATGTCACAATCAATTTCAAAACAAAGGATCTCAAATAGGTTCGATATATCCATTCAGGTTTTTCTAAAATGGTTTGAAGAAATTTTGGACGAGGACTACGAAACACAGAGACAATTCTCTTTTCCTTGTGATTGGATTTGGATTCAATGATATCTTGAAGAATGAATGCTTTTCTTTGAAGATGTTTCCATTGATATTGTTTAGAGCTGAATTCACGAATGGCTAATTTTGGAATTAGGATGAATTTTAAATAGGATCCATTTGAAATAGAATGAATTTGATAAATTATTTGAATAGGATCCATTTGAGTATCAATTTGAATTTAATAAATTATTCGAATAGGATCCATTTGAATTTGCATTGGATATTAAAAATATTCGAATAGGATCGATCCATTTGAATATATAATGTTGTATTTGTACAAATCAAGTAGTACCAACCTTTTTGTAACAATCGATGAATTTTCACACATTGAGAACGAGTCAATTCTTCAATTTTGGAAGGAATTAAATTCTCTGAATGCTCCAAATGAATAAAAGATCCACTCTTTTTCAACAATTGAGGATGATGATCTGTTGCTTCTTGAACTGTTTTCATAATTCTATCAATATTTTTACGTTGTTTGTGATCTTGTGTTACTCTTCGATCCAATACTTTACAAATACTTAAATATTCTAATAATTCATCTTCTAAATCTTCTAATTCTTCAACAATGGTTGGTGTTTTAAATTCATAGAGTCTTAATTGTCTCTCATCATTACTCATATCTAAAATAGAACGAGGAAGACCAACAAGACCATAACCAATAAATCCAACCAATAAAACCAAACCATAAATATTTGATAAACTTAAACCTAAACCTGCAATTAAATCCAATGAAATGGTTTGTGAATGATCTGGATCTTGTAAATTAGAAATGGCAATATATAAACAAAATCCACCCAATGCAATACCACCCACCAATAACATGACTGCATAGGTGATAATGTTATCGAGAATGGCACGTAACCATCGAAAGATGGCAAGAAATTCTCCAGTATATAAATAACTTTGAAAGACAGGAAGTAAAATCCATGAGAGAATTTGTAAGGACCAATAAATAAAGCGCCACAAGACGACCAAGGCAGGATCAGCCAATTGTTTCTTGTTCAATTTGTCACTGGAAATGGCCTGTGTGAGGCTCGGTTGTGAGGGGTTGTGATCATGTATTGATTTGTAGATAGAGACCGATCGAAGAGATAGAGATATGTAGTAGATAGAGACCGATCGAAGAGATAGAGGTTGGAAAAAGTCCGTTAGAGAGATCTGTTGTTCAAAAACCTCTCAGGTAGCTACTAGTACTTACACTTGCCAAATCAATACAAACCAGCGAAACTGCAGTAAATAACAATAAATACGTAATTAATAGAGGAATGTACAGAAACCATGGAAATGGATTGGATTTGGTGTAATATCGTAAAATGAGAATGGAGAGAATGGTTCCGATCACAAGAGTAAAGGCTAAACTCACAAAGAAGAAGGCATCCATGGAGTGTTGAATGGAAGGGAGAGTACCATTCGTGTGATTGTTGGTTTGATTATTGAGTAGTAAGAAATGATCAGATAATGTTTGGAGGAGTTTGTCTCCATCGATTATTAATGAATTTGATGAGAAAGATGATGACGACGATGGAATACTATCCGCATGGGGAATCGGTATGAGTGATGATGACATTTTTTGTGAAAATAACGTCCATATGCAATGTCGTTTTTTCTTTGCTTTGATTTTCTTGTTGATTGCTGTTGAGTGTGAAGAGTAACAAAAGAATTGATGACCTTGGTTATTATTATTGAATTGCAAAAACAAATCAATTATCGATATAACTATTCTTGTATTTTCTTTCCTGATTCCTTTTCGGCTGCCATTTCTTTCAATCAGTTTTAGACCCATTTTGGGGACAGGTTTTGGTTTGGTACCATGTGTTGACCAAACAGATTTCCAAAAATACAATGGCACTCTTAAACTAGTATTGAACAAAATGAAATTCAAAGGATAGAGTTGTTTTTGTTATTATGACCAACATATTGGATTGTTGAAATTTTATTTTGTAAACCTCCAACGCTCGATAAATTGTATTCTAATTTTTCTTGCACGTCATTTATTTTCCCATGTTTATTTGTCAAATGTTACGGAACTGACAATATTGAATATGATCAGCGGGACTTGGCTTTTTGAAATACTTTATTTGTATATTTCTAATCTTTTCAACATTATAACAATGGAAGTGTCTTGAGAAGTTTCATCTCAGACTAAATCATCAATTCAAGGGCAAGTTTACAAACATAACTTATTGATAGATACTCCATCTCTAAAAGTGGTAGTTAGTGGACAGGTAGGAAATGATGTATCTGTATGAACTAATCACCGTTGAATTTTAAGGTAAACATTAAAGCAATCAATATCAAAAATAAAAATGACTTCTTTTCTAATATATATTGTGTTATCTGGTGATATCTGATAAATGGAGTTTAATTATTTAAAATAAATTATTTCTTTAAATATGGGTTATAATCATATATTATTTTGAAGCTTTGTAATTATCAAGAAAATAAATATTGTTATTTTAACGTATTAATATAATCATATTGAACGGTGATCGCAAAATTTATAAGATCGAACATCAAAGAAATCCAAAATTGTGCGGCTTGTCGAACTCAGAATCGGATCAAGATGATGCTTTTGGTTTCTTTATACTTGTTAGTCATGGGTATAAAGTAAATGGGTAAAAAGCCAGATTAGAGCCAAACTCAGCAGTCGGAGACCGAAATAATTAATGACGGAGGTGGCAACCCACATTGTTGAAATAAAGTTTTTTATAGTGAGCTCAATGCAGGTTGTTGTGGAAGGCACACTGAATTATGAAGATAACTCCAGCCTCCAATGCACAAATTGACATGTGGAAGAATGACAAATTTATTTCAGAGAATGGACTTTCCAAATTCATTGATCAATTTTCTTTGCTGTGCTGAATAATTTTCAACCTTATGATGAATTGGTGGAGTTTGTTTTTGAGAAATTTTCTTCGATGCAACTTGTGTATCTGATAAAGTGAATGTATGAGAAGTAATGGTGATGATTGGTTGTTCTTGTTGGATTTCAAAATATACATGGCTTGTTGATAAGATAAACTTAAATTAAATTCATTCCTTTTCAATAATCTTTTCAAAATATCATAAAACAATATTTCTTGTTCTAATTGGATCATTATTTTAAACACAAGTATTGGAATATAAAATGGAGACGATGAGTCCATAATAATTTCCTTCTTCTGTTCAATCACATATTCAATCATGTAAATCAATGTTTCATCCTTTCCCATAAATCCAAAATAATAATTTTTATATAAATATTCAATATATTCAATAAGAGTGTCATGTTGTATGATAAATGAAGGAATGATTTGTTGTTGTGGAAATGATGATAAAACATACAGCCATGTATATTGTGAGAAGGATAAATCCATTCTATTGAAAGAGAAGAGTAGTGTTGTGAAAAAGAGTAAAAAGTGATGAAAGAAGTTTGTTGAGAGTTTAAAGTGTTGTTGAGGTTGTCGAGAGAAGTTTGTTGAAAGAAGTTTGTTGAAAGAAGTTTGTTGAAAGAAGTTTGTTGAGAGATTTTTAAAGATGATTATTTTACAAATAATAGATAGAGAGACATGATTGACATTAATAATGAGACCACATAATGCAATCGAATTCCAATCACAGATCCTTTGAAAAATATTCCGAAAAATCCCTTCTTTCTATTTTCCATAAATTGTTTAATTCTTGGAACTCTATGATGATAAATAATACAGCCATGATGATTGTAATGATGATTTTATATTATTTACCTTCTAAAATATCCACAACTAGCACAAAATAATAACAAGACACATAAAATACCTTCTCCACTGAATACTAAAGAATCATTGAGAGTGTTGTTGTTAGGATGATGATTCAAATTGCCACCACCACCACCACCACCACCACCACCAACTGCTACCTACCGTTCGTCATTGGAAAAATGGATCTCGAGATGGTCAATTTTTTTATGAGCGATTCGTGTTAATATCGAGAGGGTTCTGCGTGAAATACCAACCCCATCCATGACACACGTCCTTTTGATCATCCATTGCAGCTTTTCATTGTTTCATCATCGATGAATGTTCATATCCTATAATATGATGAGAAATTCAGGGATGGGTTTATTCGATGATAAACGTTGTTCGATGGTTTTATGTACATTATTTACAAGCCGAACGTAAGATACGTAGTGACTTCCTAGCAGGCACCCCGGAAGTAAAGGTGTTTAAACTGCTCACGATAACAACAGCAACCCCTGGGATTCGAACGCTGGACCAGTTGGCTGCCACAGTTCCAGAAAAACCACTCGGCCATATGCGGGCAGCCTATAATATGATGAGAAATGTAAGATATTTTTATTGGATTTGCTGCAGTGAGTGTGTGTTCACAAAAGATTCAATAAGATTCAATATTTTTAATCAAATTCAATCAAAAGAGTGCGAGTCTTTTATTGTACTGTGAATCCAAAAAAAACAACAACAATCTTCTTTTCTCTGTGTGTGGGTGGTACCAGTAGTAGTACATCAACTCGGTTCTACCAAACATTATCATCACCTTGATTCTGCTCCTTCCTTCGCATCATCACCACCACCACCAACTCTACCACGGAAACAATCATCACTTCACTACTACTAGTGTATTTTCAATTGTTCGAACAACAAGACACACTGTGTGTTAAGGTGTATTGTACCTTCTTCCGGAAGAAGTGACCACCTCCACAATTACCATCACTCTATCACCATCATCATCACTCTATCATCACTCTTCACCTTGACTCTTTATTCTTCACAAAATGCCACACTTTCGATTCCGTCACATCACTTCTAAATTTGCATCACATGCTTCCTCATCATCAAAATTCATTCGTTTCTCTCAATTCATTCGACACTATCTTGCAAAATATAATTATTGTTTAGAACGATATCCATTCCTTACACAAGGAATATCAGCTGCATTTCTCTTTGGATCTGGAGATGTCATTTGTCAATGTATTGAACAACATCAACAACATGATGACAAGGATGATTTACCATTATCAAATTCTTCTTCTTCGAAAAGGTCCTCTTTCACTACTGACACTACTTTAAATAGCACAACTGATAGTACAACTACTGATATTAGTACTACTACAACAACTACAACAACTGACACTTCTACTACTCTTTCCATTGATTTTTCAAGAATGTTTCGAATGATGCTTTATGGTAGTCTTGTCTTTGCACCTGCTGCTCATTTATGGTATAAATATTTAGATAAGAGAATTATCATTTCAAAACATAACAAATTTAAACAAATTTCAAAGAAGGTATTCATGGATGAATTTGTATTTACTCCAGTGATATTAATAGCATTCTTTTCATGCATGACGAGTATGGAACATTATTATGAACAATTATTTCCAAGTATAAAGAAGAATGAGAATATTACTACTAACAGTAGTAGTAGTAGTAGTCATAGTATGAGAAAGAAAAGCATCTCTGACCACCAGTCTGATACTACCACTGCCACTGCCACTACTACTACTTTTCATTCACAACGATCATCATCATTAACAAACTCTATATGGAAGAGAGGAGAAGAAGATCAATTTAATGAAATTGTTTCTCAACAACCAACAAATAGGATCGTGAATGAACAACAAGAACAACAACAACAAATGAATGAACAACAAGAACAACAACAACAATACTCTCAAGTATTATTCAACAACAGAGACATGACACCATTATCTTCTTCCTCAGATTTACCTCAGAAAATTATTTCAAAATTGAAAAAGGATTATTTACATACATTTTTGGTAGACATGATTGTATGGCCACCCCTTCAATATTTGTAAGTATTTATGAAAGGAATCATATTTAACACATTGTCTCTCTATGAATTTAATTGTTAAATATTTAACACATTGTCTCTCTATGAATGTTAAATTCATTCGATGGAATATTTCAATCTCCTTTTTAAACTACAATTCATCATTTAGTAATTTCTTTTTGGTTCCATCAGCCTATCGAGTACTTTATATTAACTTTTGTTGTATCTTTTGGAATGCCTACTTGAGTATGCAACAACATAAACATTGAGACTCTGAGAGTTCATTAAACTATTGTACTGCTAGATGTTGATGTGGAAATTGTGTTCTTTCTTTTGTTGAAGAGTCCCAAGCCCGCCAAATTATATTCCAATCCATCCGAGAAATTTTTAAAAAAAAATGTGGCAACAAGATGCAGAGGATGAAGGCGATTTTGCCTATTCTCGTGATGATCCTCTGTTGGGGAATATTGATGATGCGTTGACCTCTCACAACGACGAGGATGACAATGAATCCGAGTACAAACATTTAAAGGATTCCATCATATTTTTAATTGATGCTCAATCCTCCATGTTTGATCCACTTCCATTGTCGAGTCAACAAGAAGTTTCCAAGTTTAGTTCAAACCTCCATGGATCTACTCGATTGATTCTTGAACCTTCTTCTTCACAATCATCATCATCATCATCGACTATTACTACGAATCACAATCACAATGAAAATTCCTCAAAGACTGGTGATCCGTCCAAACTCGTCGACTCCATTCCCTTCTTCATGACACTCAAAGCAGTTGCTAATACTCTCAGTGATAAAATTATATCCAATCCTAGTGATGTATTAGGTGTTGTCTTTTACAATACGAAAGAGAAACTCAATCAATTTGATTTTAATCATATTTATGTTTATCATGATCTCGATACACCTGATGCTAAAAGAATTAAAGATATTGAGAATTTAATTGAAAGTAAATCCAAGGCATCCAATCATCCATCCATTGTGAATAGTTGTTTAGAATCTCCACCACCAACGAATACTGTTCATGAAGCACTATGGACCTGTCAACATTTATTTTCTCTCTCTCATTCATCTTCTCAATTAGGATTTAAAAGAATCTTTTTATTCACCAATGATGATCATCCATGTAGAGATGATCATTCTGCTAGAATTAAATCTATTGAAAGAAGTAGAGATTTAATCAATAGTGATATCACCATTGATTTATTTGTATTGAAATCTCCACCTCAATCTTTTAAAAGTGAATTATTTTGGAGAGAAATGATTCACATTGATGATGATGAATATACAGGTAATATTACCTATGATTGTGCAGTAGCATTTAAAGATTTGAGAGATAAATTGAGGAGAAGAGAATTTAAAAAGAGAGGAATTACTTCCATTCCTTTTATAATTGGAGAGACAAGTTTTAATGCTAGTAATAGTTCTAGTGGTGGTAATAGTTCTTCTTCTAGTAATAGATTTTCTAATGTTAGTAGTAATGAACAAGATCCTTCCTATATGGTCTATCATTGTACTTTGTATTCGTGTGTGAGTAAGGCAAGAAAACCACCAACCATTTTATTGCATTCAGATACCAACAAACCACTGAAATGTGAAACTAAATATATTTGTGAAGATACAGGAGTAGAGTTGATGAAACAAGGAAGTAGTTCAAGTGGTGGTGGTGGTACTGCATCTACTACTACTACTACTGGAGAATTGATGGAAGGATCCAATTTCCAAAATGATATGATCTATTACTATGAATATGGTAATCAAAAGGCTGAATTTACATTGGATGAATTGTCTCAAATACGACAACTCCATACGGGTAGTAGTAGTGGACACTTCACCACCACAGGCAATATTTTCTCAACCACAACCTCATCCACCACCACCAACAACAACAACAACAACAACTTGTCCACCACCACCTTGACCACTCCTCCTCCTCTCAAAAATGAATTCACTCAACCTGGACTCAAATTATTAGGATTCAAACCCAAGAGTCGTCTCAAAGTCTATCACAATTACAAATCCAGTGGTTTCTTATATCCCAATGATCACAAAATTCAAGGAAGTCTTTTAGCACTCTCTGCCCTTCATAAAAAGATGATTGAAATGGACAAGATTGCAATTTGTAGATTTATTCAACGAGAAGGTATCATGCCACAATATGTTGCACTTGTAGCACAAGAAGAAGTATTCGATGAACAAGATCATTCTCAAATTATACCACCTGGATTTCAAATTATATTCTTACCCTATGCAGATGGTATTAGAAAACCACAACAGTTTGAAATTCAATCAAAACCATCAGACAAACATGTTCAATTGGCAAAGAAATTAGCAAAAAAGATGCAAATTAATTTCAATTCATCATTTTTCAATAATCCATCACTTCAACAATTTTATCAATCATTACAAGCATTGGCATTGGAACATTCTGAAGTGGAACAAATTGAAGATACATTGAAACCTGATATTGAAGGAATGAAAAAGTATCAATCCTTAATGGATGAATTTAAAGAAATTACATTCCCTCAAAATTATCAACCCATTGCATCGAATACAAAGAATACTAGTAAAGGTGGTGGTGGTGGTGGTAAAAGTGGTACTAAAGGTGATGGTGGTGATGGTGGTGATGGTGGTAATACAACTGGTCGATCCAAATCATTGGTTGCGAAAGAAGAAGACGACGACCACACAACAGCAAAGGATGGTGGCTCATCCTCTCGTGTTGGTCATCATGATGAGGTCAAGACTGAGAATTCTAAATCTTCCAAAAAGAGAAAAAACAATGAAGAAGAACAGGTCAAACCAAAAGAAAAGAAAAAGAAAAAGGAAATTAGTAGTGATGATGAAGAATCAGAAGAAATTGATATGGTTCAACTCATTAAGGATGGTAAGGCTGAAAAGCTCACACTCGATATTTTGAAAGAATTTTGTAAACAGTACAAATTGAAAGTGAGTGGATCGAAAAAGGATCTCATTCAGAGAATTACCGATTTTTTAAGACAAAAGAAGAAGATTTAAATGTAAATTCAAAGTGTTTGTACAAAATTAAACATGCAGCAAATCTCTACTGGTCGTTTGGTTTCAAAAGAATCTTTATTTCTTCTTGGTGGTGGTTGTACTTTTTTTGGTAGGATCAACAATTGCAGGAATTAATGATGGATCTTTCGTTACAGCATTTCCTGTCACTAGTGATGTGAATGTTCTTTCAATGATTGTTTCTGGTTGTTGTTGTTGTTGAGAGTTGACTCCTCCTCGTTTGGTATTCGATGGACTTGGTGGTTTTTGAATTGTATTGATCTTGACTTGACATGCAAAATATTTCTCTCCCTTTTTCAAAAATTTACTTCCATGTTCAAATGCGTTCGTATGAATCATGCAACACTCTCCTGTTTTGAAATGGACAAGATCTAGAATTTCAACATCTTGATAGCAACATACTTCCTTGATTTTATCTAATAATACAATTGTCTTATCCATATCAAAATTAAAGATTTGTACTTCCTCTTGTGGTTGAGGTGCTTGTGTTTGATTGGCTTCCTTTAAGGTTGCAGAAGAGGCTTTTCGTGATCCTCGAGGTGATTTCATCGCTGTTGTTGTTGAGCTTGCTTCATTTCTCGGAGATTTTTGAGGTGGTTCATTGGAGGAGCTTGTCGTTGATTCGGGAGGTGAAGGAATAGATATTTTAGTGACTAGATAAATAAAGGACATGGTCCCAGAGGAGGGTGTTGTTGAGATTTTGGTTGGTGAGGGAAAGATCAATCGTATCGAGAGAGTAGAGAGTAGGAGGAGGCTCTTTTTCTATTTTTTGTATCTTTGAGAAAAGGGCGCAAACATCTCCCTTTCCTATCGACATTTATAAATGAAACAATCTCTTTCCTTATTATTATTCAATGAAAAATTGAATTGAATTCAAATGAACGAATCATTGGTATTCGTATTGAAGAAGAGGATGGACATCCATTAATTCGGTTAGGAAGAAACAAGGTGTTCGCTTCCTTTCGAATTACATTCCAACAACGTGTTTCTTTTTCCAACAAACCGAAAAATGATGACGTTGAACCAAACAACAACTCTCAAAAATTAAAAAAAATTGTCATTTGTTGATCCTCTCACCTCCTAAAGATATTTCTATCATCATTCCACCACCATCAACACCATGGAAAAATTACTTCCAATTATAAATAGCGTTCAAGATGCATTTGCGAATGTAGGATTTAATGAAACTATTGATTTACCTCAAATTGCTGTTGTTGGGTCACAATCCTCTGGTAAATCATCGGTATTGGAAAATATTGTTGGAAGAGATTTTTTGCCAAGAGGAGCAGGAATTGTAACACGAAGGTGTGTTGTTTTTAATGTTATTATTGAAATGATCCCAAATGACAATTGATTTGAATTTTCATCATGTTCAAAACTCAAATATTCTTGTTGTATTATTATTGTAAATGACAATTACTCGATATCCGAACTATTTGAATATATAGACCTTTGGTGTTACAATTGATTAACATTCCATCCAAATACAAGGGTAGGTTGAAGAACATGATGAACTATTCTGACAGAAAGAATTTTATATGTGTTATTATGATTTCACGCGTGATGATACTCTGGTCAATTTCAACAACAACAACAACTCTCTGATCATGATTTGTTACCATTGGCATATTCCTCGTCGACATTTTCGATTCACATAACAATCATTCCTTCCCTCGACATTTTCGATTCAAATAACAATCGAATAACCATTCAATTAGAAGAAGTATCGGAACAAAAAAAACAAGAAGAAGAATATGGAGAATTTCTTCACTTGCCAAACAAAAAGTTTTATGATTTTTCAGAAATTAGACAAGAAATTATCAGAGAAACAGATCGAGTGACTGGAAGTAGCAAGGGTATTTCACCAATTCCAATCAATTTGAAGATTTATTCACCCTAGTAAGTAGTAGAGTGTTATTGTTGTTGTGAAACCAATAATTCATGTATCTTCTGTTTCATCATCACTGTAGTGTACTCAATTTAACTCTGATTGACTTGCCAGGTATCACCAAGGTACCAGTGGGTGATCAACCCAAAGATATTGAAATCCAAATTAGGAATATGATTTTACAATACATTACAAAACCAAATTGTCTCATTTTGGCGGTAACTGCTGCCAACACCGATCTTGCCAATTCGGATGCGTTGAAATTAGCCAAACAAGTCGATAAGGCTGGTCTTCGTACCTTGGGAGTACTCACCAAAGTAGATATTATGGATAAAGGAGTAGATTGTCTAGATATCCTTCGAGGTGAAGTCTTACCACTCAAATTAGGTTATATTGCAGTAGTCAATCGATCTCAAAATGACATTAATAACAACAAGTCTATTCGAGATGCACTCAAAGACGAAGAAGCCTTCTTTAGAAATCATCCCGCTTACCGTAGTGTTGCAGACAGTTTAGGAACGAAACATTTGGCAAAAACACTAAATAAGATTTTACTGGAACATATTAGGGAAACATTGCCAGATCTCAAGAATAAGATTAATACGCTGACCTTACAGGCTCAACAGAAAATGAGAGAATATGGTAGTGGACCTATCAGCGGAGATTCACCAGGTGCTCTTCTCTTACAACTCTTAACGGATTACACCACTGAATATGTTGAAAGTATTGAGGGTAGAAATACTGATATTATCAAGACGAATGAATTATTTGGTGGTGCTCTCATCAATCATATTTTTGTATCAAAATATTATCCACAAATGTCTGAAATTGATGCTTGTGAGAATTTGACTGATTATGACATTCGAACTGCAATCAAGAATGCTAAGGGTTCAAGAACTTCCTTATTTGTACCTGAAGCTGCATTTGAAATTTTGGTTCGAAGACAAGTGAAAAATTTAGAAGAACCAAGTATTCAATGTGTCGATCGAGTATTTGAAGAATTAGTGAATATTGAAGAATATTGTGAAAAGAAACTTGTTAGATTTCCTAATTTGAGAGAACGTGTGAAAGAATTTGTAATGCAATTATGGAAAGAATATTCCATTGAATTGAAAGAATTTATTAGAAATTTAATTCGAATTGAATTGGCATATATTAATACGAATCATCCAGATTTCTTGGGAGGTGGTCGAAATGTATTTTCTCTCATGATGACAAAGAGTCAACAACAACAACGAATGAATCGAGCACAAAGTGGAGATCAATTATTACCTTCTCATTCTCAGCAACAACAACCAATGATGACAACTACTACTCATCGATCCAATCCACAACAACAACAACAACAATTACAACCCTCACTCATGCATCCTTCTCGTAGTCAAGGTCAACTTACTCATCAACAACATGAAGATGATTCCATTTATGATTACAATCCATCGTTGTCATCATCTTCAATAGTGAATGGAACTATGAAATCCAATGTCAATCAAATGAATGTGATGGGTCTATTGGGTGGATCTTTGGAAGAACGTGAGAAACAAGAAGTAGATATCATTCGAGCATTACTTACTGCCTATTTTGATAATGTGGTTCGAAAGAATATTTGTGATAGTGTTCCAAAAGCAATCATGCACTTTTTAGTGAACAAATCAAAATTGAATTTACAAAGTGAACTTGTGAAGGAATTGTATAAACCAGAATTATTTGAAGTTCTATTGAAAGAAAATGAAGCAGTAGCAAGAGCAAGAAAAGCCACACAGAAAATGTTAGCAGCACTTTCAAAGGCACAAGATGCATTGAGTCAAGTGAAGAATGTGAGAATTTAATATATTTCACGACGGAAAGTGATTCTTCAAACAAGAGTTCATCATCCTCATACAACCACTGTGATTAAGAAGAGTACTACTCCTCTGAGCGAGTATAACGAGTAGAAGTAATAAAACATCTAATCATTGGATGATTCGTAGTAGTATTTGTAGTATTTGTAGTAGTAGAATATGGATGACACACTCGAGTCGTCGTCAAAGTCAACAACACGGAACAACAACAACAACTCTGAGTACAGCGCTCTCATCCTCCTCACACAACTTTTTAGAACTTTAACGATCATTGAAAAAAATTAAATATTGTTTATTGGCCCTTCGGTGCCTCAATGATCATTGAAAAAAATGAGAAAAGACCTTCCTGAAGAGGAGGAGGATCACCACCAACACCACCAACACCACCAACACCACCAACACCACCACCACCACCAACACCACCAACACCACCAACACCACCACCAACACCACCACCAACACCACCACCAACACCACCACCACTCAACAACATCTCTTCACACAACACCATCCACAAGACTCCACCCATCTTATTCTTCCTTAAAGGATTTTATTTTCAAATCATCATCATTCTCTCAGGAGGATCGGAATAATCCTCCCAAAACACTTTATCAATATTACATGACACTACGATTTTCTCTTCATCATTCACATCATTACTTGTATGATTTCTTTCAATCTCATTCCTATTATGATTCACATTTAAAATCATCTTTGAATGATTCAAGAAGAGTAAAAATAGATTCACCTCATGTCCATTCCATCACTTGTCTTGATTTGGATAAAACCAATGAAAAGAGATTTCTACTAAGTTGTGGAAATGATCGAATCATTGCATTGTATGATTGTTTACCATCTATTGTGAATGGATTTGAATATTATGAACATTTAATCGATGAGGATGAGAATATGACTAAAAAAGGTAGAACGATTCAAAAGATTACCAATATCAATTCCTCCATCAATTCCAACAATACCAATACTACTACTACCAATAATACCAATTCCACCAATACTTTCACCACTCAACAACCCATCATTAAACCCATTCACACAAAAAGATCACAACAAACACTTCATTCAAGTTCTTTAACTGGTGTCATGTGGTATTCCAATGATTGTGGAATGTTCTTTTCATGTGGTAAAGATCATCTCTTAAATGTATGGGATACAAGTACCATGACTTGTGTCTCTTCTTTTGATTGTCAGAGTAGTATTTATTCGATGGATATGTACAATAATAGTCATGGTGGTCATGGTAGTAGTGGTCCTACAACACTCATTGCATGTGCCTTAGAAGATCACTCCATTCGTCTCTGTGATTTAAATTCAGGTGCTAATATTCAACAATTTATTGGACATTCTTCAAAAGTGAGATGTGTGAAATGGTCACCACATTCTGAATATCTCTTTGCAAGTGCAAGTAATGATGGTACAATTCGATTATGGGACATTCGAACCTCAGGATGGTTATTATGTATGGATCAATTTTATACAATGAAAAGTAGTCTTTCAAAAAAGAAGATTTCTGTAGCGAGTGGTCAAAGTGGTGGTGGTACAAGTGGTGGTAGTAGAAATAGTATTGGTGGTACAAGTGGTACTGCCAGTGTGAGTGCTAGTGGTGGCAGTGATACAAAAAAAGAAATTAACAAAACCACCACTCACAATATTAAATTTTCACCTGCCAAAGCCTATAATTATGCCAATATCAAAGTGCCATTGGCTCACAATGATCACATCAATTCACTTTGCTTTGCACATGATGGACAATATTTATTTAGTTCATCCAATGATCGAAGAATGATGAAATGGGTTACACAAACAGGAATGAATACTCAATTTAATTGTAAAGTACATAATGATATCTCAAGTTCACAATCCTGTCAATTGATGTGTCATGGTGGAAAATATTCAAAATTAATATTTCATGCAGCGGAGAGTTTTGTTGAAATGTTTCATCAAGAGAGTGGTGAAAAGATAATTCCCAAAGTGCATGACTCTTCATCACATTATGGTAAAATATTGAGTATGTGTTTTGATGAGACTCGACAAGTATTATATACGGCAGGAACTGATTTTGCAATTTCCATTTTAGATACCAATTATGGTATGTTTGCAAGTCCAGAAGAACAAGTCACCATTCATCACGATATGGATGATTGGAGTGACTAGAGAGGTGTGTTTGTTGGTTCTCTGTATGGGGTTCTCTATATGGGTATATACCAAAATGATGATAACACGGGTATATACCAAAATGATAACTCGCCATTATTGGGAATGAGAGTTTTGAGAGAACAATGTTCAGAATGTAATCCGATGAATTGCTCAAGAACCCTCAACAATGAGGTATTCTAATTTTATGCAAAATATTTCGTTGAGTGGTAGAGAGGGTGATCAAATAATTGTCATCATTCAAAACTCCAATCACTACCAACAAACGAGGATTTACATGTTCCATTTCGAGAATGCTGTATAAATGTTCGAAATGAGTTTCTAACTTGAATTGCAAGGTTCCATCTCGATTCCAATAATAAACATGAGCTCCACCTAAGGATATCATACAATCTTTGGTAATTTTCACATCACTGGTTTTTCCACTCATGATCATTCTTGCTGGTTTGGTGGGATTGAACTTGATCGAGTACAAACTCATAAAATTAGTATCTGTATTGGAGACTAGTAACCAATTAGCATTGGGTTCATCCAGTGAGAAGTTATTACAACAACATTGAACAGACATTTTCTTTTTGACACAACAGAATGGATCAATAATTGTTGTATTCTGTGAATGTAAGGATGAATTAAAAATTCGAATGGTACCATCTGCACATCCAACAAATAGTTGATTATGACCTATAGATTGTTGAATGGAATGAATGGAAATACCACAAATTTGTCCATCATTATTATTATTGGAACTACTAGTACTACCTGATTGTGTTTTGATGACTCGAGTGACATGCTCTAATTTTGTAGTGTTGATATCAATACAATAAATATATCCATTATCAAATCCAATATACATGAATGGATCAACAAGTTTCATGCAATTAATAATCTCTCCATTTTGAGAATTTTCACTACTATCCTTATATAGAGAAGGAGTAATGGTGAAAATTGGATTTAGAGATTTCACTAATAAATCTTTAAATTTCCAAACTTTGATGGATTGATGACTAGCAGTGTAAATGAAACATTCACTTGTTGGATGACTATCTGTTGTAATAGAAGTATTCGTCAATATTGTATTCATAGGATCATGATGATCTTCATCCATTTCATCATTCATTTGAAATCTTATTTGTATGGATTGAATGGTAGAGTGATGAATTTCACAAATGATACAAATTCTAATTTTGAAAAATCAAAAATTAATAATCTTCCATGATCATCTCCGAGTAGAATGTAGAGTTGAGAAGAAAATTGTAAAGATTCAAGACAAGCAATTTTGAATGGTTTTGGGAGTAAATTCTTTTGCATTTGAAGAATATCTTGACCATTTGGATGAAAATGTTCAACAGCTGAAACACCCAAAACACCTCCGAATGATGATGAAAAAGATGTTGTAAAGGTGTTGGACATTTTTTAATAAAAAATATTTTTTAAAAAATTATTATTATTAAAATATGATTTGAACATATCATCATGATTCGAGCAATCATCATTCTACTACTACGAACTGTCATATTCTAATAAATGACTATTCACAATGGTTGATGATGCGTTCTTTTTGTTATTCTTCTTTTTCTTGGCATTATGATCATTCGAATGATTCGTCATTGTCGTTTCATTTCGTTTTCTCTTTTTCACTTCTACAACTTGTAAATCTGAAATTGGTAAAACTGTAGGACTTGCATTCAATTCAACAACATTTCTATTCTCAGGAGAATCTTGAACAAGTGTGTTGGTATCTTCTTTATCATCAAGAACAGTCATCACTACTGTATTTACAGAACCACGATCCATTTCTCCTTTTAAATATTTTGCAATTTCTTCTTCTTCTTGTTTCTTAATTTCTCTTTCTTTTTCTTTCATTAATTCTTCTTGTTCTCTCAAATAATGTACATCATCTTCATCGAGTGATTTGGGACCTTTAGGAGCATTTTGTTCTTCAATTTCCTTTTGTTTTTTGAGTTTGTTTTCCAAAAGACGTTCATAGAGTGTACGATGATCTTCATCCTCTTGTTGTTGTTCCGATAATGTTTGTAGCGAGGAGGATGATGATGGTTGATCAAGAGCTGCCCATCTGTTATGAGAATGTTGTCTATTACTACCATTACTACTACTCCTTTCATCTTCGCTTTCATAGGCTTCATCCGATGATGGTGTATTGTTTTGTATTGTTTTAGCAGAAATGGCTGCTTCGGAATCATCAGGCAACAAGACTTGAGCAGCTTTGAATTGAAGCCTTGTTCGGGAAGAGAATGTTTCTAACAGAGATTTTCGTTTGTTGTTGTTGGATGCATCACCACTTGGTGGTAAATGAGAGGATCGGAATGAAAGAGAATGGCGATGATCTTCCTTGTTGTCTTCTTGTTCATACGAGGTACGGTCCTCTTCTTCATCACTGCTGTTGTATGTGGATTTGATCATGATGATGTTGTTGTCTTTAATTATTTTTTAATGATCATCATCAATATTAAATTCTGAATGGAAATGAAACGGAAAAAGGCTCAAGGTTGAATCAAACCGAGTCTCTTACTGGTCGAATTCTCTGAAGAACCCTTTTTTAAAGAATCCAATCTTCTTTCATTGTAAGTTCACCCTTCACGTATGGAGTATAACCCTTAATAATTTCTTCTATGGATGGTAATTCCTTATTGTTCTTGTAGTAATCTTGTTGAGCGTTGACTTGATACATGCTTTTTAGTCTAGATAGTTCTTTACCCATTTCAAATCCTTTGAATGTTTTCAACACATCCAAGCGAACCAAGAAAGGTAGATACATCATATCTGGCATGCTGGGTTCGTTGCCATCACCCAAAAAGAAGGATCCCTTATTGCCATTCGTGTCTTGCATCTTTTTCAAACCCTCATTCTCTAAAAATAGTAAACGATCTTCGAGTTTTTGTTTCAATTCCACTTCTTTGCTTGGATCTTGATTGAACATGTACTTGTAAATGGTGGGTGCAAGTCGAGTGTTACAATAATAGGTCCAAGATCGTTGCATTGCTCTCATGTAGGGATCTTTGTGCATTAAATCGTGATTGGTAAAAACATCATTGACGTATTGATAAATAGCAGCAGATTCGTAAATTGGTTTCTGGTTGTGAACAAGAACAGGAACCTAGAAAAGTGAACGAACATCAACAGTGACCAAAAAAGATGATGAGAATAAATTTCATGTTATGAATTTGATCTACTACTATTACAACTCATACCTTTCCGTAAGGAGTCAATTGTAAAAATTCTTTACTCTTCATATTCAAGTTAACGTTAATGTTTTCATAGGGCACCTGCTTGAAGGCTAGAATGAGTTTGATTCGGTCAACAAAAGGGCAAAGCCGAGACCCATAGAGCTTGAGTGATGAGGAGGACATTTTTTTCGCAAAGATTTATTTTGGATTGAGCTCCAAAAAGGAAATTTTTAACGCACTCCTTAATTGTTGAATAGACACAACATGCCATCGTCGCTGCCACTCACCACAAATTTTCCCTCAGAGTCAAATTTGACGACTTGTACAGCCTCCTTATTTCCTTTGAGCTCTCCTATCGTGTAATTTGGTTTTGACTGTTCATCTTCTTTGATTCCATCAGGACAGAATAATCGAATGGACGTATCTGCACAAGCCACGGCTAAAACCTTTCCACTAGGGTCGAAGGCACATTTGTTTGCAGAGGTTGGGACATCACTGATATTAAATTGATTTCGTATTTTCTGTGTTCTCAAATCCCAAACTAAAACAAGCCCATCACAATCAGTGGAAGCCATAGTATCGCCTTGAAGATTAATAGTGACATAGTTGCAACTGTTTTTGTGACCATAGTAAGTTTGAACACAAAGATTCTTGCTGTCTGCCCTCATGTCCCATAACGACAACGTTTTGTCTGCTGATGCTGTCAACAGCGTATTGGTGAATGGAATACAAACAACACTATTTACACTGTCTTTGTGTCCTCTGAACGTTGTCACACATCTCTCTGATCGGATGTCAAACAATTTGACAGTTTGGTCCATCGAACACGAAACTAAAAAATCTCCACTGTAGTGAAATTGGCAATCCCACACAGGAAGGGTATGATCATCAAATGTTAATGAACAGCTTGCAGTTGTGAAATCCCAAAGCTTAATTAAGCAGTCGCCTCCACTAGTAGCCAAATGAGTTCCAAATGGATGAAAGTCAATTCCACTCACCCAATCAGAATGACCCTCTCCACTCATAATGACTTTTGAAGAGGGTAGTGACCACGCTTTCCATGTGCCGTCGTCTGATGCTGTGGCCACAATAGGCTTCTTTGAATGAACAGCTATTCCAGAAATAGCCATGCTGTGGCTTTCATAATTTTGAGAGAGCTGAAATGTTTCTGCCACTGTCCTTGCAATTTTCTTTTCTTTCCAAGGATTTTTCTTCTCTGGCGGTAACACTGAATCCTTCTTTTTCGTTTTCTTGATAGTTTTAGTCTTTTTAACCTTCTCCATCTCATTGTTCGCAGTATTATTTAGGGATGAGGGCTCTCCATTTTGTTGTCTAATGATATTTTCGAGCTCTGTCACTCTATTGACAAGTCTATCTCTTTCAAGACAGACCAACGTTTTTTCTTTGAAAACTTTGTCATACTTATTTGTTAATTCTGCAATAAATGGCTCGTATTTTGCACAGTGGTTTTTCATTCGTTCTAACTCTTTCCTTAGCTGATCCCTAGTTTGAACAGTTTGCATGTGATTCATTTTGTGGTGGTCTTTCACTCGCCTAAGTTTTTCAAACTTTTGAACAATATTTCTGATGAAATTTTGATAAAAACAATGCTAACGATCATGAATAACATACTCAGATAATTGTTTTTGTTGTTCCAGTTGCTTTTTGCAAAAGTGTAATTCCTCTTCAACTCTTTGCAACTGTGTATACACGTCAGGTACTGCATCAGAAGATTCATCCAATTCTCCTTTTTGTTTCTTTTCATACAATTCGTCATTGAAAATTCGCAAACTTTCTTCTAATCCTTTCTTTGACAAAAAATTTCGAATAAAGTCCTCAATCACCTCTGGTTCTTTTTTGAGTTCAGGTGTGGGGGACTGCCTTCGTTTTAATTCAGGTATTTTCTCTTCCTCGATCTTTTTCTTTTTCTTCTCTAACATTCTTAGAGTTCCTTCAAAAGTGTCGTCTTCATCATCATCATCCTCATCTCCATCGGAAGCATTGTATGTATTCTCGCTTCCGAATGAATTTGATAAATCTTGCAGTTTTGATCTTCCCTTTTTGTTAAATAGTTCTTCCTCTTCTTGCTTTAATTCTTTGTAATATTCTTCTTCTTCGCTATCCATCAGAGCTGAATACAGCTCGCTTCTTGTCATCTTTACGGGCCCCTTTGATGTCATTTTTTTACGGTTATAAACGATCAGAAAAAATGGCGCCAAACGCTACCAACACCTCTTTGAGACTGACTGCCTTTGCGTGGAACCTGAAAGTGCGTTGAAAAATAATGTAAGAACATGTTGTACTCCTTCAGGTATTAACGTTGCACTTTTTAATCATCCTGTCTCATACATGGTTCAACTTGAGGAAAAACCCATAGTCACTACGTGAATTTAATCTTCTTTGTTTGAGGAGCCAAAAAGAACGTGTGATCCATCCATTGAGCGGATCGTTTCTGTGTCTCTGATGACCCTATTATAACATCTAATGTGTTTGTCTGGAATCTAAAGGATAGGTCAGAAAATCCATGATTTCTGCATGACAGCCGCTCATCTTGCAAATCATTGCACAAAGTCTTGTACAAATTGTCATAAAACGATGACAAATCTCTTGTCTCTGTGCTTGTAAAGTAGGCAATGGTATGAAATGATCCACAGGATATTTCAAGTTTTGCATTTCTTCTCTTTTTTAGTTCATTCTCTAAGAAGAGTACTCGTTGAGGAGTTGCAATACACGACCTTAAACACTGATCATTTCCACAGGGACATGGAGCATTGCAACTTGAGTTCTCATCAGTGAGCATTTGATTGGTACGATTATTGGAAGAAGAAACACTATGATTACAACTGGAATGACGACTATGATTACAACTTGATAATACATTCTCATCACCACCACTACTACTACTACTACTACCACTAATACTATTACTACAACTGTACTGACCATACTCTAATGGATCCAAACACAACTCTCCTTGACAATTACTTCCACACACATACACATGACCCTCTCGAGTAACAATAATCGTTCGGTTCGTGCCATAAATTCTCTCAATGTTCAAATGGCTTAAAAGTGAAGATTCAGTAAATCGTTTGTAGGCAATCAAATCTGTAGATCCTACACCTAAACTACCACAATAATTAATTCCACTCACATACACAACATCATTGGGAGTACCAAGAAATGTTGATAAATAAGCCATGTGCATAATCTTGAATGATTTCAACAAGTCATTACCATATTCTGTAACAATTAATTTACCATTCTTATCAATAAAGCTCTTCTTTTTAAATTTTCTTCTTTCTAACTCTATTGGAGAACAACAGCATGGACATGAAATCCAAACCTCTCCATTTTCCATGAGTATTCCAGTATGGAAGAGACCAACCTGAATATCCTTAATCTTATTGTTCGGCGATGAAGCGTACAAGTTTTGAATTTCAATGCGTTGAAAAGAAAATTTTTCTTGTTTTCTTTGAGGACTAATGATGGGCTTAAAGTTGTGCTGAGAGGGTGATGATGACTGTAAGGAGGATGATGATGAAGGGTTGTTGTGGTTGTTAGGAGCAGAGGAGGAAGATGGTACATGACATTGATGACTATTATCACCACAAACATACAAGTGGTCATTCTCAAATAGTATAAAGGTCGATTGCCAACCACAACTGATGAGTTTTACTGGACCAAGAGAATGTCCTGATTGGAGTGAGCCTTGTTGCTGTGGTGGTAGTGGTGGCAAAGCAATCATGGGTGGCAGAGGAGGTGAGGCTTCTTGAGAAACATTCTTCGCATGGAATGGAGAAAAGGAACTCGACGTCGAGAGGGTAGCACCTGTAGTCATCCTGATGGAAGATGATGAATCTTTAGTGACGAAACAATTCGTCTTGTCATGAATTTGTACTCGGGTGGGAATGGCAATTCTTGTATTGACACAATCTCCAATACCTAATTGTCCAATCTTATTTTTACCAAAACTGTAAATTTGATGATCCATGGTTTCAATGAAGGAATAGTCACCTCCACAATACACATTTCTTATGGGTGGACATGGAATCTTCTCTTCTCCTATAAACTCCAAGTATTGAGGTTCTTGAATAGGGTTAAAATGGTATAATCCCAGTTGACCATTCTAGAAGGCATGATAATAGTGAATTCATGGTGTTGGAATCAGTTCGCACATCAATATACCATGCTCTTATAACATCTCATATCTCTTAAAAAACACATACCTTATTTTTACCTGCCACGATCACTCGATGGTCTTTCGTTAAAAACAAGGAGTGACAATCACCACTTGCTACCTTAACAATTTCATTAGATTCTATCAATGGATGATGTCTTGTAAATTGGGCATCTGTACTTGCTCCAAAATATGTTGCTGAACGAGTGGGTGCATTATTTTTACATGAGGGTTGATGCGAGAGAGTTTGTTTCAAGCAATGATGAAAACTATCATTTCCAAAAAAGAAAACATTTCCACGAGTTGAATTTGTTTTTCTCGTTGAATATGTACGATTGGTGTGATGTGAGGATAGTTTCAAAGAGTTATTGTTTTTGTGGTCGTTGCCATGAGTTTGCGGTTGAAATGAAATTTCCATCTCCGACGAGGATGGTAATACTCTTTTGGAATTGGTTGCTAGTGTCGTCGGCGTTGATATCATTAACGTTTGATGTTGTGAATTTTCTTCTCTGAGTTGATTTGTGTTGAAGTGGTGTGGTGTTGCTTCTTGGTGGTGGTTCCAAATGCTTATGGACGATAGTCCGACTCGTGTTGTTTGTTGTTGTGTTGATGCTTGGATTTGCTGCATTTTTTTACCTTGGGCTGCGACAATCCTAGAGCCGAAATTTGAATTCGCCGATTTTTGAATGGCTATAGTAGCAGCACTGCCGATCGAGAGCATGAAAATCTTCGATGTCAACGACTCTCTACACATTCTTTTATTACAGGTTGAAAGTGTGTTGAGATGTCTGATCATTGGCTGTATTATTATGGCCTAATGGATTGGAATACCCCAGAGAATAATTATTAATGCCATACATTTGAGATGCAAGTTGAGTGGTTGTTGGACCATTGTACGTTGAAGTTCGCAACGAATTCATAGGAGGAACGTTATAATTCGTGCTGCTACCACCACCAGTCATGATCTGTTTCGAAACAGGTTGCACCATGCTCTGAGAATTGGACAATAGGGTGGTATTGACAGCAGCGGTAGTGATATTTGAATATAGATAAGGACTGGTCGTTCCATTGTGTATAAATGCAGGTGATTCCAACACCGCTTGATGAGCAATGTCACTAATTTTGAAAAAATCCTCTTGAATTGCATACTGTGGCTTCAGTCTAATGTGTGGATCGTATTGGAGAATTTTGTTCACCAACATGTACAATTTCATAAAATTCATAGGAACTTCAAAAGTAAATGAATATGGAGAGATGTGTCTTTTGGGAGGAACATTCATGATAATATTATAAAGAGAAACAGAGTTCGGTATTACTGAGGAATCTAATGGTTCGTATTGATGAGTGAGAGTATTCAATTTGAAAAACTTGTCTTTTTTTGGAGATTGTTCAATCATGTGTCTTGGTGGCATTCCAATCACTTGAATAATTTTGTAAATTTGGTCTGTTTCGTTCTTTCCATCAAATAGAGGATTACCTGTATGCAACTCAACAAGAATGCATCCAAAACTCCACATATCAATTTCTGTTCCATATGGAAGTCCCAATATCACCTCTGGAGATCTATAAAATCTGCTTTGAATGTACTTGTACATCTTATTGTTAACATAGCAAGAGCTACCGAAATCAATGACTTTGATGCTACTCTTTTTTGGATTCTTGAGTAAAATATTTTCAGGTTTCAAGTCGCAATGAATGACTTGTACCTCTGGAAGTGATAAAAAACTCAAGGTACGAAGTAATTCTTTTCCAAATTTACAAATTCGAAACAATGAGAGTCCAGTAAAATTGCTTGCCTTTAGAAGATCATACAAGTTCATCGAGAGTAATTCAAAGACAATGCACAAATGATTCTTCCATTGAAAATATTCTTTCATCCTCACAATATTATTCTTTCCATTTGCATCTTTTGTGTTTAAATCTTTGAGAAGCTGAATTTCAATGTGAGCCTGTGTATGAAACTGTGGTTTGTTTTTGATAATTTTTACAGCCACGTGCTCATTGTTGGGTATGTCGAATGCCTTGACAACAACTCCAAAAGATCCCTTTCCCATAACTTCCTCAACTAAAAATCTGTTGTTGATCAACTCATTAATCTGTACAATATAATTGCCTTGTGAGTCATCTACTCCTGTCATTGGTTGGTTAACATTTTGTTGAGCTTGTTGTTGTTGTTGTTGATAGAAAGATGATACAGAAGAAGTGGGAGCCATAGTATCATTTACAGTCTTGTATGAATTGTGTTGTTGTTGTTGTTGTTGAATGGTATGTTGTTCGGTAAAAGAAGGTAGGGTTTGTGATGTCATTACGTTCTGTGGGTTACTCGTCATTACTGTTGATGAGTTATACTGCGTCATGTTAGCAGCAGCAATAGTCGTAGGATCCATGTAATTGTTTTTCATAGCAGTATAGTAATTATACAATTGATTGTTTCCAAATGAACTATAGGATAAAAATGAAGTATGAGGTTGTTGTCGAGATATTTCTGATTGTTTCTGAGAACAATTTGGATTGTTCAAATTTGAGGTATCCTCCTCAGGATATGGCTGAATGGTTGGCCTATAGGGAAACGTAACATTATTGAAATTAGGATTGTTAGTATTTTGTCGGTGTAAATCAACGTTCGCAGCTTCACTAACATATGGTAAACTTGTTTTAGAGCTACTAATTTTCTTATGTTTGGAGCTATGTGTTTTCCCATTCTTCAATTGTTTTAATCTTCTCTCTTCCTCCTTTTTCAAATAATATACATCATTAATATGTTTGTACGTCTTTAAAACATTAACTGATAACTTAATCACAGCAGTGTTTTTTCTCGAGTCAGAAACAGAATTGTCAATAACAACTGAAGTAGGAATTTTTAACATTTGCAAATATTGAGGATCTGTTCTTTGATTAATGACCTTGGGTCTAAGTATTGGTCTATTTTTGGAAGAGTTGTTGTGAGTTGAATTTGCATCCGTGCTATGACTTGATTTTTGGGGGTATAATTTGGAAGAGTTTTGAGGGTCAAAGGAGCTTGATGAATTATAATTGATGTTGTTGAATGGAATGTTGTGGGTTGAATTTCCTTTGAATGAATGGTTCATTAATGAAGATGCATTATTGTTTGACGAAATATTTGGTTGTTGATTGTAAAAACCAGGACGTTCTATCTGATTATTCTGTTGAAATAAACTTGTGTTCATCGGGAGGTGATGATTCGTTGGTTGAAAATTATTAATGTTTGATTGATAATAATTAGGAGTGATGGGATCATCTAAATTTCTTGGTCCATGGTCAGAAAATAAATAATAATTTGGAGCCATCACACTTTCTTGATTTCTATTATAAGAGGAAAGAAGTGAGATATTATTTCGGTTATCGGAAGAGTAGTTTGGGTTGGTGTCTTTTCCTTCAGTAACTACTACTGAATTTCCAATATTCGAGTAAAACGACGTGTTCATGGATTGAGAAGAATTTGTAGGCAATGTACAGCTGAGAGGAAGATGATTCGTATGACCATCTCCATTGTTCTTGATATTGGATTGGAATGTATTAGTTCTCGTCGACGGGTGTTGTTGCTGGCCATAGGGTTGTTTGTGAGTCGTCGTTGGTGGTGGAATAGATGGTTGGTTAGGGGACATTATCATCATGTCATTCATATGAAACTGCTGTCCAGAAAGTAGAGAAGATGATAGTGAAGGAGTAGAGAGAGGATACCCGTTCATGGATGAAGAGTGATGATGATGATTGGCCAGCGACGATGTTGTATTGACGGGATAGTTGTAGTGGTAGGAAGAGGAAGAATAACCACCAGCTGAATCATTGTTGTAATTTGGTACGGAAGACAATGCTGAAACACCAACAAGACCATTGTTGCCCGATGATGAAGAATTGTTGTTGGTATGGAAATTCATAACGGAATGAGCTAACGATGGGTTGATTGATGTTGTGTATGGAACATGTGTTGAAGATGGAGGTGGTGGGTACAACAATGAAGATGGAGGAAGTAATGAAAAGGAAGGTGATGATGTTCTTGCCATCATTATAACAGCTAACAAATCGGAATATGATAGACAACTAGTGATTAACTAACAATGTTGTCTTTCTCGATAGTCTAGCACAACGGACAAAGAATTTCCTATTTAAAAAGGAAAAGCCTGAACACTGGGACAGATTCAGAAATTTGTGATTTTAAAATAAATTAGTGAGAGTCTTATGCAAAGATCATGATAGTGTTATCACAGTACAAAAATTGAATGTTCCGACAAGAGTTTCCAATGTTTCTTCTCAATCCAGATCGTTTGATGATGTTCCTCTTTTGTGTGATCTCTACAACAGATGGGTGATAAAATTGTGTATTTTTTTGAAGCTGAAAAATTTCAAAACCTAAAGGATATAATTGGAGGTGAGGACAGACAGAATCCAATACGAGAGTGGCAACGCTTATGAACGTTAGATTTTTCAGAGTGCATGTCAAGCCTTTGAAGACGGCGTTAGAGCGACAATAGGTGTGAGGTTGTCGAACAGACAACGAATTGAAAGAAAAAGATGTTTGCCTCATTTGAACGATACTAACAGCAGAACGTGTTGCGAAAAATAGGTTCTTCTTTGATGCAGCTTTCTATTTGAAATCTTTACAAGAAACGCATGAAGGTTGCTTGTTGATGAAAAAAATTGACAGTGTGATGATGGACCTGATTTTGGTCTCTTCTCCTTTCGCTCCCATGTACAAAAATTCAACAATCCTTTCCAAACAAACTCAACAGCAACTTCATGTGTTGCTTTTTTTGGTCCCTCAGAAACCATTCGAGTTCTAAATATAAAAAAAATCAGCCCGCCATTTTCTTTGACATCCACTGTCCAACCAACTTCGAAAGAAGTAAAAGGCTCTCTCTCCACACACTCTCAATAGAGAATTGTATTCTACGTACACATCATCACAAAGTCAACTCGATTGATTGAGAATAAGTGATTTGAGTTTCCAAAATCCCTCATTAACTCTCCTCACACGATTACATTTACAACACTGATATCGTGTTTTTAATTGAATTTGTTGAATTTCACGATCAAAACAAAATTGAAGCCACAACCGTTTGTTTGAATCACCGAAGCAGGTATTCCATATCATCATCACAATCAGCACCAACATCCGATTGTTCTTGACCCGCTTAGCTCTGAATTTCTGTAGCACATCACCTCTTTCGGTAGTATCCATCATTCATTGAACACCACCACCTATTCATTGAAGTCAACCACACACGCACGCACACACACGAGTGACCCCAACCACACAACCCTTTCCTGTATCATAGCAATACCTTCCACCATACCTCATTGTATATATCAATCTCTCACTCCTCCAAAGATGCTTCAAACATTGTCCAACTCAACTTCCAACAACAACAACAATGGTGAGTTTTATATTGATATATACAATTTTAACTAACAACAACAATGGTGAATCATCACTTCTAATGTCTTTCACTGTGTGGTGATGGTGTGAATGCATCCATTGGTTTCCCATTCATACATTACTTATTCCAACCACAACCCTTTATCATTGTTGAAATCAAAGGCACTTCCTATTTCAACCCCAAAGAAACAGGTACTTTCCAAGTGGTGTAATCGTACGATGGGAGGAATTTTAACGACCACCACCACTACTTCGAGTACAACAACAACTAATAGCACCACTAATAGCACCACCTCCAATAGGAATTTGGTTGCTTCCAATACTTATGCTGCTGAAAAGATTTCGAATGCTAATTCGGTTGTTGCTGCTGCCGCCACCAAAAACTTGACTCATCCCAAAGCTACTTTTCAATGTGTGATGAATCAATCATCTCCAACCTGGAATGTTGAAACATTTGATCCTGATTACTTTTATAGTAATAATCTGAAATTGAATGTTGATGTTGTGTTGACTCATTCACGAGAAGATACCTCATGTCTTGAACCTTCCATTGACCCATCCACTGGTCAAAGCAAAGGCATTGTACTTTACTCTTCTCTCAGATATCAACTCAGACATTGTTTGAAGTTATCTCCATTATCTCCCAATCTTCCATGTTCACTTCCTCAAATGTTGTACATGAAAGTTGTATTGATTGGTGGAACCACTAAGGAGGCTATTGGTGGAGTTATTTCACCTGGTCCTGATCATCCTAATCATTCTCTAGAAAAAGTATTTGCTTCTGAGAATCGTGTTCAAATTGAAAAAGTTCAATCCTACAAACAACTGGTTCACTTTAAGATGTCACTTTATGATTTGCGGGATTTGAATAAGGCCATTTGTGAACTCACCAGTGTTGAATTTCATGTCTTTGCTAGAAAGAAGCAAGAAAGTAGTGTTCAAACATCATCATCAACCGCTCCCAACAGTAATGGTTCTCTCTCTCCAAAGACCAGAAAAACAAAAAATCCTTCCACCAAGAGAAGTTTGCCAACTGCATTGAATGTGGACATGGATTACACTGGGGAGTCATTCAAACGTCAAAAAGAATCTCTTTTTGACCATCACGGTAGCATTTCACAACAACCTTGCTACAACAATTCCATTTCCTATTCTACTTCAGGTATGATGAATGACTTATCATTTGTCTCCAATACCACCAATATCACCACCACCACCGCCACCTCTTCATCACCTCTTGCAGTATCTGCCAATAATTGTGATGCTCTTGATAAGTTGATTAACGTTGCACTTCCATCTTCTCCTCAAGAACAAGCATCAGCTATGAAGAATCATAACGATCAAGAGGAAGAAGATGATGACACTCTCAATCTCAAGATTGATGATGGAGAAGAAGTGAATTCTACCACATCTTCGTCACCCTCCTCTCCTCAATCATCTTCCAATGATGAAATTCTTCTTTCTCAATTCTGTACCTTATTGAATGAAATGATTCAATCCATCAAGAGTTTGAATGAACAAGATAGAGCCAGTGCTCTTCGATCAGCTGTCGTTGCATTAAGATGAATGCAACAATTTTCACACGTTTATTGTCCATCCTTTGCCATTGTATTTTTTGGAATTTATCCGATTTTACATCCCTTCGACAATTTTGAATGCTTTTTAAACATTGGAATTTTGAATAAAAAAGCATTTTGGGGTTTTAAAAAACCTATTGTTGTGATATCGATCATATTGATGATTAAAACTGTCAGATATTATTCCAATGGTGCTTAAGAATCTGTTGTCGAGCAACCATGTGAACTCCTTCTCAAGTTTTCAAACTCCCTACTTTGTGATGCATATTTATTATCAACATTATTAATAATCATGTGCGCCCGTCTAGCTCAGTCGGTAGAGCGCAAGACTCTTAATCTTGTGGTCGTGGGTTCGAGCCCCACGGTGGGCGTAATATATTTTATTTTTACGAAGAAATATTTTCATTTTTCGTTTAGTTTTCCCCTTGAATGAAATTGTTTGCGTGGCTGTTATCCAATTATTATAAAGTTTCGAAAGAAAAAATGGTCAAAAAATCAATTGGAACATCATCATCGGAGGTTGCCTCACAATTACCACCCGATGAGGCATTGATTCGCAAATTGTTGAAGGAGTCTATTTCCCAAAACAACATCAACACATCATCTTCTCAGCAACAATTAATCGGATTGAACAGGGAGGATCATTCAAATGACACCGATGAAAATAATACCCTTTGTATGGAAGCTCTTCAAGCCTTGTTATCATCATCATCTTCCAGCAATACCAATATTACTCAAATTGAGCAGACTTACACCAAAGTCTTTGAACGTCTTCATAATGCCAATGTTTTGAGCAGCAAGCCTCAAGTAAAGCAACTCATTGAATCCATCCCAAAGGAAACCCTCGAAAAGTGCGTTAAATATTTACATTCCCAAGCGAGTCGTCTTTCATCAGACAAAGTGAATGTTATGGCTCTTCGTTTTCATGAAATTTTGATACACTTAACGCTCATCGGAAAAGCTGGAGATATGCTTCGAACTAATGTTGTTGAAGAATGGATTCAACCCATGATCAAACTCTATGTGAACAACAACAAGACAGAAACATCAAAGGAACTTTTAACCTATGTGAGTCAAGGTCTTCGTTTCTTGATTCAGCTTATTGGGTCATACAGAGAGATTGTTCACTATATTGCTAATCTTACCAATTACACCAATAGAAGAATAGCATACGAAAACAAATTAAAGAAAGAAAACAAGAAAGAAAATCCTCTTAAAAAACGTGCTCAAGAAAAAGCACTTGATGCTGAAGAGAAAATGTTCCAAGAAATGGAGAAGCTTGAAGAAGATTCATCTCTCAATAATGATACAGAAATTGACGAATACTTTGATGAGAATGAGAATCCAGGACTTTTAGAAAATAAGAAACATGTCTTTAACAAACCATTATTGCAATTAGTGATTGAAGCAGGAGAGAAGAATATTCAAAATCTTTCTAATCTCTCCGAAGATTGTGATACGGATTTAGAAATGGGATATCATTACATCTCTAAATTAGTCATGCAAGCTTTGATTGAAATAATGGATATTTCCCTCTCTCAAGTCCGATTTGAAGAAATTTCAAGTGTGGTTTGTGAGTTGGGAGTTCCATTTTTGAATAATTTTATTGATTACTACTTTGAAAAAGATCGATCCATGTTGGAGAAGGCACTTTTATTGATTGCATGCTTTATTAGCAACGACAAATTGGTTCCAACTATATGCAAGTCAGTATTGTTCGAGAAGACAGTCAATCTCTATAAGAAATATGTGGTGAAGGGTGAAGAAGGTTCCAAATTCAGTTCTTACATTTGCTCTCTTTGCTGTTATATCATTGGAAGATCAGCTATTAAGGATCATGATAGTGCTACTCTAATCATTAACAAGTACATCAAACCTAATGATCATGCATTGTTAGTGTCCATTATTAACAATGTTATTAAGAACAATAGAAATGTCCTTTTAAAACACATGACCTATGCTGGATACACAGCTGTACAAGGAATATTAGCAACAGAAGGTACTACTGAATTAATTGTTGAGGTGAATCGACAAACAGATTTAATTGATACTTTGATTAAGGATATCAAATTCAATAGAGAAAAGTTAGATCCATATTTGGCCGATATCAAATATCATTCCATGGTTCTCCTTAAAGTGATTTGCAATAATTTGGTGATTGCTAAAAACTCTGGAACTGAATCATTGAAACAACAGGTGGCACCCATGTTGGAAAAAATTCTTGATTCTGGAGTGGTGCAATCCATGTTTGATGTGATTACAAAAGATGTTGACAAAAAGAATAAGAAAAAAGATAAGGAAGACAAACCAACAATGAAAGATTTTCTATTTGGCAGATATACCAAACCTGGAGCTATTTCCAGTCTCACAGCTGTATTCCAAAGTTGTGGAAAATCTCAAGATGACACTGTTTTGAAGAAGCTCATGGAACTTATTACTAGTGATCAAACCTATTATCAATTGTTTCATTATTTTAACAAGATTGAAACATTCAAACACCAAAAGACCATGAGTCCTAAAACCATCTTTTTCATTATTGTAGTTTTTGCAGTCTTTTTGATTTCACTTCCTCTCTTATTTAAACTCTTTAAATAAACCAATCATGATGGAACACATGTTTGTGATGCCATCAACTGGTTTTTTATTCCAATTTGAACTTGATTGCAATGGAAATTGATGAATCGATCATGATATGTAATGGTTGATTGAAGATTTAATTAATGATTGAACATGAAGATTAAACGCTCTTCAATTTAAAAAAAATGAATCGAAAAGAAGAAGAAGAAATGCTTGATGACGATGAACCATTTCCATCATCGGAAATGATCACAAACGAAGATGATCATCAGCAATATGAAGAAGAAGAAGGAGAATATTATGATGATTATTATGCAAGTGCAAGTTTTTCTCATGCAACAAGTGAACGCAAATCCGAAAGCATTTACAAACCCCTCTCCTTTGTTTCTAAAAAGAAACATGATCCTATCGGATCCAACATGAAATCCTCTTCCTCATCCTCTTCCAACACAACGAACACATTTATGGATGAAAAAGATGAAGATGAAATTATTATTGAAGATGAACATTTAATCGATGAAACCATGAACATGACTCCCGAAAAGGTGGTTGAAGCCTTTCATCAACCACAAAAATTTACAATTATTCAACCCAAAAAGACTCAACAACAATTAGTAGAAAAAGAAATTCAATCCACAAAAACTCATGAAAAACCAACAGCAAAACGAGATAAAGATTTTGGACATTTCATTGAAGGAAAAGTTGGATCCAATGTCTTACGAATGATGTATAAGATGGGTTGGCAAGATGATAAGGGTCTAGGTCCAACCAATTCGGGTATTATTAATCCAATCAAAGTTGTACAAACATCAAAAAATCAAGCGATTATCATTACAGACGAACATGTACAGAAAACAAACGTGAAAGAAGAAGAAAAGCCTCAAGAAACAAAACAACTCGAAGAAGAAGCCATTCAAAAGAAAGGTTGGAAGAAAAAAAATGTCTCTAAAAAGAAGATCAAATCGGTGGAACAATTGTTAAAGGAAGCACCATCACTTCAAGACAAGACATCTCACACACAACAACCCTATGAAATTATTGATATGACTGGACCAACTGCTCGAGTAGTGAGCAAGCTAAGTGAAATCTCTTCATCACGTCGAGAGAAGCAATCCATTACCATTCCTGAATTACAATTTAATGTCAAGGAAATTGTTAGACAAACAGAAGCATCCATTCGTGACACTCATGAAAAAATTAAATTAGAAAAAGAGAAATTTGAAAGATTGTACAAAGAAAAAGAGAAATATGAAGAAGAATTAAGAAGAGAAAAGAAGAAAATTGATGTATATAATCTCGTCTTTCCAATTCTTGCTCATTGCAATCAAAAGGTTAAAGAATCAAAACTTTCCATTGCAGGTGTACATCAAGTGTTTAGTCAGCTCAAACAACAACATCCAGACATATTTGAAGAATTCCATTTTTCGAATTACACGCTTGCATTGATTCAACCAATTTTAACAGAACTTTTCAAAGATTGGAATCCTTTAACCATCGATCATGAACCATACATTGATTTACTACTTCCGTGGAGAAATCTTTTCCAAAAGAAAGTTGTCAAGGATCAACAGATACAAGTCATTGAGGATGAATATGAAAAACTTTTACAAGATATTCTACTTCCACCCATTCGAAAAACCATTTCTGTTGAATGGAATCCTAAAGAGGAGTGTGAAAATGCCATTCTTTTCATTGACAAGTTTGTTGAGAAAATTTGTACACATGGAATGAAAGAGTACATGACAGAAAAATTAATCATTCCAAAAATCAAGCAGTGGGTTCAGAATGAATGGAATCCAAAGAAAGATTCGATACCTATTCACATTTGGATTCATCCATGGTTTGCTCACATCTCAATCAAGACGTTTGAAACTCATGGAATTATTAATCTCATCAAAAACAAATTAGAAACAATTCTTCTCAGAGATTGGAACGATATCAATGACCCTAGAGCTTATGACACGTTGGAACCTTGGAAAGATGTTTTTACTGATTATTACAAGTTCTTGGTTAAGACAGTGACACCTCAAATTGTCAAAAGTGTGCAGAAAATTACCATCTCAACAGATCAGACCCAAGTGGATACAAAAACTCGACAAGTGCTCTCTGCAGTCATGCATTGGTACAAACTCATTCCAGAATTTATTTCTGCAATTTTGGAATCTCAATTCTTTCCAAAGTGGTGGAAAGTGCTATATCATTGGCTTTGTGATCCATCTTGCTCTTTTACTCAAGTCAATGATTGGTATCAAAACTGGAAAGAAGAATTTGAAGATGTCGATGGAGACAAAACCATTCAATTATGTCTTAAGAGGGGCTTGGACATGATCTATCAAGCACTTTCAAATAAGGAAATTCAACCAGCTCACAAGCTTCCTCTTCCATCGCAAGAATTGGAAACTCTTGAAACGACTACTCAACGAGCACCCAAAGCCCAAAAACAACCACCAAGACACGAAAAAACTTTCAAGGAGCTCATTGAAGATTTTGCTGAAGAAAATAATTTACCTTTTATCATCAAACATGGTCAATATTACGATGGAAAGCAATTGTACAACTTTAATGGAATTACAACGTATATTGAAAATGACTGCCTTCATGTGAAATCACCAGGTACTAGCACATGGAAGCCAGTAACCTTGAGTGAATTTATGGAACTGTCATCTAACAAGAAAGAACGATAAAGCACCTCCTTTTTCCTTCAATACGAAATTTATTTTTTACTTTTTCTTTTCATTCTGTTGCTTATTTTCCTTTCTTTTTCTTTTTGTTCCCTGGGTGGTAGAATTACGAGTGGTGCTTTTGGATGATCCTTGAGAACTTTGTGAGGCTGTTGAATTTACTTGAGTTGAAACCCTTAATTTATCCTCCTCTGTGATGGAATATTCTTGATTTCTTTTAGAAATGGCGAGAGATTTTTCAGAGTGACCTAATTTATCAGTTATGCTCTTCACTTCATTTGCCAACGTTTTAGAGACGGTAACAAACTTGTTCACTTGGGTTTCAACTTCTTGTGAGTCCCAGACAACACCTGAAGAAAATTCTAATCTGTCACCTGTGTCTTCTGCAGGTTCAATTTTGATTTCATTTGAATTCTCAATTAATTTGTTGCACTCTTCTTCTACAGCTTTCAGATATTGGTCATTAGAGTTTCCAGCTGTGAGAATTTGTGAAATTTTCTTTTTTCTTTCTGTGATTTCTTGAATAAGACTTATTAATTTGTTTTGTGAGTTTTTAACTTTTTCAGCTAATTCTTCATCCCTTTCTTCTCGTACTTCCTTTACTTTTAATTTTAGCGAATATGTTTATTTTCAAAAAATAATAATAAATACAAACCTGCAAAAAGTGTTTCAAATGGTTTCATGACTCGAACATTTTTAGGTAAATGCCTCGAATATGAATCCACTATCTTTGAGTATTTATGTTCGAGTTTTCGCGACTCTACTTGATCCAATAGTGCACTCTTTTGAGCAACCACTTTTTTACATAATGATGCAAACTCCGATACTTGATCCCGTGTTAGAGATTCATCTGCAACACGAACAAGAGCTTCTTTTCCAGGTAGTGATGATGAAGATCTTAAACTCGACATTGATGATGATCAATAATGTGATTTGCAACTGTGGCCTATGAGGAGATTCCGCAAACAAATAACGGCTTATTTTTTAAAAAATGGCGGGTGATGTTCGTGAAAAATAATTGGACACTATTGGAAATTGAGATTGTTAATCATTGCAATTTTAATTAAATAGCAGACAATATAAACCACTAAGAGAGAAATCACCAAATAACCGAACATTCATGTTGTTTAAAATCTAAAGTATGGATCCATGGCCTCATCGTTACTTCTAGGTGGAAGTGCCAAAACCATTCCTTCATACTTCTTTTCAACAATAATTTGACAAGCTAATCTAGAATTTTCATGAACAAATGGAGCTTCTTCCAGAACTTCTGCTTCGTCTTCACTGCATTGTGGCAACTTTTGTTCGTGATCTCCAGAAATAATAACATGACATCCAACACAAGCGCATCCACCCAAGCAAGTTGGATCGGGAGCAACTTCAATTCCGGCCCGAGTCATTGATTCCAAAAGGGTCTCTCCAGAATATGCTTTGATTTCGTGTATCTTTCCTTCTCTATCATAAATTGAAATGTTTACTACTTTTGACAAAGTACTGTGCTTTTTAGAAGGCTCTCCCAAACAACCATGATTTATGTCCTTTGCATTAACTATTTTAAAATTGTGGAGAAAATTGAAATTATAAATATGAAATTAATAATATCATCATCACGAAATTCCAAAACATAATAATTGAGAAATTTTCCCATTGTAAATTAATCTCTCATTGAGAACAATTCAGTCATCATTGGTCTCTAACATACCTTGCGAGCATCGGACAGAATTCCAACTATTAAATCTTGAAGTGATGAGAGAATTCGATGATGAACGATGATGACTGAACGAGTGTTTTGATAACAGAGAGGCTACTTTTCTTGTGGTGTTCATTTTTTATAAATGCTGAAAGATGAATTAATTCAAGAGAATCAATACAAAGCTTTAATAATTAAGATGTGTTTGGAGTTATGGATGGGAGGATATCAAAATTAGAAGGGTTGTAAAGTGATGAATGGATGAACAAAACTTCTTACTCGTCAGTTTGTTCGCTTAGGGCTGCATAGGGATTGTTGCTTTCTGTATGTTCACCTTCAGCTTCTTCCGCATTGTGATCGTTGGTGCGAGAAGATGAATTTGCTCCTCCTCTCTTCTTGGTAAAACCTCCTCTAGTGCCTTGTTGAGCATATCTTCTTCCACCTCTTGGCTTTGAAGTGGCTGTTTGGAATCCAGAAAAGTCTTTATCTTCTCCTCCTTCCTTCTTCTCTACATGCTCTTTCTTTTCAGTCCTTTCTTTTGGTTTCTTTGAAGTATAAATATCAAGATTAGGTCCTTGTAAATCTTTTTCCTTTGGTTCCCATGCTTTGCCCTCTCCGAATGGTGATGGCTTTGATTTTTCTTGGACAGGCTTCGTTTCATCTGAGCCTTCTTTTGGTTTTCTGTTGAATGATCCGAATGGAGATGCATTTTCCTGTTGTTGATTTGGTTTACGAGTAGGAGCTTTCTTCTTTGAATTACCAAATGGATTAATGTCACCCAAATCATCACCTCCACTTCTCCAGTTATCGGATTTATCTGCAATTGATGGTGGTTGTCTTCTTTCTTCAAAATCATCTCTTGGTCTGTGTTGTTGTTGTCTAAAGCCTCCTTCTCTGTTTTGTCTGAAGTTGTCTCTGTTACTCACAGTCACTTTGCTAGCAGTTTCAGGTGCTGCAATATCAATCTTAATTGCTCTATCAAGCACATTTTCTCCGTTGAGTTCCAAAGCAGACTTCAAATCTTCAACAGTATCAAATTCGACATATCCGTATCCTTTGATTTTGTGTGTTTCTTTATCACGTGGAATAGAAACGTTAATTGGATGACAAGTTCCAAAGAATTCTTGCAAATCTTCTTTTGTTACATCATAGTTCAGATTGCCAATGAAAGCAACGAATGGTTTTTCTGTTGGTAATTCATGTTGTGGATGTTGTTTTCTCTCTCTTCTTTCTTCACGGAAAGATGATGAAGACTCAAATTGTGATGTTTTTGGTTTCTGTGGTGCTCCTTCAGAAAAGAAAGAAGGAGGCTTCACTTTTGATTCAGTTGATCCAATCTCGCGTGAGAAGTTGCTTTCTTGGCGAGCACTGTAACCAAAGCCTCCCTTGGAGTAACCGCCTCTTGTGTTATCACCAGCACTGCTACTGGCTCTTAATTCTTCCAAAGTGAGTCCACCTGATGAAGTACTGGTGGTTGTTGTTGGTTGTTCCTCCATCTCTTCGGCCCAATTGAATTCACCTTGAGCTGGAGTGGTAAGAAAAGTGTTCAAGTCAAGAGTAACACCCTTGCTAGACTTCTTTTGACTCTTCTTGGTCATTGTTAATGATGATGATGATAAAACGGTAGTTGTGAAAGTTTGCTGTTGTTGGAAAGATTCGTATTTTTTTCAACAATTTTTTGTTGCACGTGTGGCTTTTATTACAACACAAAGACCGTGATTCCTTCCTGCATCTCCTGATTGAACAATTTTAAAAGCACCATGAACTCTTTCTAAACCTTCTATGAAGGTTTAAATCGAAATTTCATCCCTTTGCTTGTTGAGCTTTTTCATTATGTTCAATACTGCTATGGATTGCATTGGGAAATTGTAAAGTTGAACAACTAGTCGAGTTTTATTATTAGTTCATCATCACTCAAAAAAATTCCTCTTTCCTTGACCATTGTCATCATCACATTTATTTTTATTGATCGTCATCACAACAAGACATGGCCCAAACACCTGAACAAGCAATTGAACAATTTTTACTTTTGGGTAAATCAGTGAAAGGAAAAGCCGCAGTAAATCTCATTCAACAGGCAATTAATCACCCAAATACTTTTGTCTTTTCTGAAATGTTAGATCTGAAAGGAATCAAAGAACTTGACGGAAGTGAACATCAAGCAGATTTCAATACATTAAAACTCTTTGCTTTTGGGACATATGGTGATTACAAATCAAACCCAAGCAACTACTTCCCTCTCAGCGACAAGAATTCGAACAAACTCAAACAACTTTCTATTGTTACTCTCGCTTCAAAGAACCGTTTACTCAAATACGAAGATTTAATGAAGGATTTGGATATTTCAAATGTGAGAGAGTTGGAAGATCTTTTGATCGACTGCATGTATCAAGGTTTATTAGAAGGTAAATTGGATCAAAAGTACAAGTGTATGGAAGTGTATGAAACTATTGGTAGAGACATCAAAATGGAAGATATTGACCAAATGATTTCAATTCTCAAGAATTGGGTTGTCTCTGGAAAAGAAATTCTCAAGGGAATTGACTCTAATATTGAATATGCCAACAATCAATTCAAAGTCCACAATGAAAACAAGAAGAAGTTCGAACAACAAATTGCTCAAATTGAAGAGACGATCAAGGCTTCGTTGGAAGAAGATACATCGTCTGCAGGTATGATGGGAATGATGTCAATGATGGGGATGTTAGGAGCAGCAAGAATGGGTGCAGGAGGTGCAGGAGGCGCTGGAGGCTCTCGTACTAGAAAGAACAGATAAAGAGTGCATGTTGAGCTCAGCACAATAAATGTCCTTATGCGTTCTTCTTATTTGCTTTTTGTTATGCTCTTGGCGAGAATAATATTCGATTTGAACAAAAAATGGCCACATTCAACTTTGGTTCATCCTCACAACAACAGACAAAACCAAGTTTTAGCTTTGGAAATCCTCAGCAACCAACAACATCTGGTTCAACTGGGTTTTCATTCCCATCAACAACAGCTCCATCAACAACAACAACAACAGGATTTGGCGTACCTACATCAACAGGCACAACGGGCTTTAGTTTTGGAACAGGTAGTACAACCGGAACAAGCACTGGTCCAGCAACAACTAGTACAGGTTTTAATTTCGGAACGACACAACCAACAACTACTACTACCACAGGATTTAATTTATCTCAACCAACAACGACAGGAGTAATGGGATTTCCAACACATCAACCAAGCGCGATGGGATTTAATTTAATTTCGCAATCTTACAACAACATTGATAATATGGTAAAAACCATTGAAGCACGATATAAACCATCTAACGATAATCCGAATTGCAAATTTTTAGTATGTTGAAATGAATGATGAATGAATTTATGTAGATTAATTATTAATTTTTTGCATCTAATGCGATCATTGCCCTACCTACATCAGCATTTCTTTTATAATGTTGTTGAAGAAGCTAAACAACCAATGACTCTTGAAGCTATCAAGAGATACTATGCAAGGTCTATTAGTCCAGAGGATATGAGACTTGCAATTGAAAAGAACCCTGATCCTGCTCGAATGGTTCCTGTACTGGCTAGATCATTTGATGACATTGTAAAAAGAGTGGAGCATCAAAAGAAGAGAATTGAACTAATGAACGAAATGTTGAAGGTGAGTTGACATGTGTTAGGATACAATGGTCAAATTCATATTTTTACATGAATTAGTTCCTTGACAACAAAATGAGCGAACATAAACGAAAACATGAAGTTGATGTCGTCAGTCAGATAGATGACATTAAACAAAGACATGCTGATCTTTCTCATAGAATTCTCAAAATTCAGAGCAAACTTGAAGTTTTAACACAGTCAGGAATTGGTATTCGGAACGAGGATATTTCACTTCGAAATAAGTTGAACACGTTGCAGCGAGAATTGCATAAACCAAATCAATATAGAGGAAGGCTGAACGAATTAGCACCACAGGTCAATTATTATTTGCAACAGTCTAATCTACTTTTGAATACTGGTAATGTGCTTGACGACCAAACAAAAGAAAACGTAAAAGACTTTTTAGAACAACAAACAAACGGATTGAATCATTTGCTATCCATTTTAAAGAAAGATATCAAAGATATTAATTATATCAAACAACAAGTTTCTACAGACAAGCAAAAAAATCGCTCAATAAATTTCTAAACTCAATTTCATCAACCCGAGCAATAATAGACGTCATATAAATTTAAATAGGAATATTGATGCATCCTTTCGATATTATTAATTCTAGTTGTATTACATTGGAATTTTTCCGCTTTCTCTCAAAACTTTCAATCTGTCCTTCACTCCCTTGATAGTGTATCCCTTTTCTAACAAGTCAAAATAAAAAGAAACATCTCTTTGGCGATGTGCTCTGACTGATGGCTCCAAATTCAAATGCTTTGCAGCATCCTGGTCCGCTTCAATCGCTAATCGAATCACACGTCCCACAAACTTTTTTCGTTTTTCTTCTTTATTCAGAGAACCATTGCTCACTGGACCTGGTGTTCCATCGGTATAGGACCAATCAGGCAAATCATGAAGAGCTCCACTTTCATTACCACTTCTTCCGAGTCCTCGTGCTTGATAAAATTTTTGTGCCATTCGTTGGCATTGATTGAGTTTGATGATTGTTCTAGATGCTCCCTTCAAGAATTGCATTTTTTTTGTTGCACGCAATATATTTTGAAAATATAACTACACACAGAGTTTTGGAAGAACAAATAATGGCAGTACAGATTGATCCAAGCAATTCAGTATTGTTATGAATTATATTTATTTATTGATGATCTGTGCACTTTTCGCGAAAGGCGGTCAGAAATTGTAACACACAACCGTCGATGAGGCTTGGAATGGAAAAAAATTCAACCCTGTCCTGATTGGGAAAATCATTAAAAAAAATATTGACCACGAAGTAAGTGTCCCGCTTGCCTTCTCTCTCGATGAACCAACAATAATTGTTCGCCTTTGTGATGATTATTTAAATACAATTTTCGATAGAAATGAGCAAGACTATTAATCTTGTCTTCAAAGACGTTATTCGTAGAAGAAACAAGCAAGCCTTGGCTTTGGTGCCAAAGGAACTCCAAGATGCCTATCTTGAACACTGGGCCAAGTGGAGCCATGATAACGTTCCAACACCAGACCAAACGATCGACAAGGAATGGATTGCCAAGAAATACAACATTTCAACTAAACCTATTCCAGCCAATGCTTCTCACGTGAAGTTTGCTTCTCCTTTCGGCAATGCTGAAGAGAAGCGTATGAATTCTCTCATCACATATGAAAAAGAGTTGCAAAGAGTTTTCAAAATCCAAGATGAAGGTCAATTCATTCTTGATGCTCACCCTGTCTTCACGGCAAGAAAGTACAGTGTTTGGGCCTATTCATTGTTCTTCTTGTTGGTTCCAATCGGTATCTTTGTTGCCATCTTCAACCAAAATCCAATCTACAATGCTCTCTTTGCTGGTACTGTGTGGGCTCAAAAGAAGACCGATAAGAAGCCATGGGACAGCGTTGAAGTTGAAGCCACCTTTGATAAGCAATCTAACCTCATTGTCAAAAGAATCTAAATTTTGGAAACGAATACAACTTTCGTTTTGATCATTCCAAAACAACACCGAATTGTACTTCTTCTCATGCGGGACATCAATAAAACGACACTGTTGGGTCCTTAGTCTTAAACTAAATTGTAATTTGAACAATTAGTAGCTTAATGATATTGATGAATATCAATTTTCATATTCTTTGTTTAATAAAATTAAGAAACGCATTTAAATCGAGTGCAATGTTGGTGAAAACAAAATTCCCATTTTACATCATTTACTTGAGCAAAGCTTGAACTCCGGACTTTTCTTCGAGTAATTCCTTAACTGAAGCGGTGATTCTCTCTTGAGAGAATTGATCAATCTTCAAATCCTTTACAATTTCATATTTACCACCTCCTGGACAAATTACTGGATATGACGTGTAAACGCCAGGCTTAATGCCATAAGAACCATCAGATGGAACAGCCATACTGACCCATTCGCCTGGAATTGGTGTACCCAAAGCCCAGTCACGCATATGCTTAATAGCTGCATCAGCAGCTGAGGCAGCAGATGAACTGCCACGGACGTTGATGATAGCAGCACCACGTTGTTGAACAGTTGGAATAAACTCCTTTTCAACCCAAGTCTTGTCAACCTTAGACAAAACTGGAACACCATCAACCAAAGCATTGGAAAGATCTGGATATTGAGTGGCTGAGTGGTTACCCCAAATGGCAAACTTTGACAATGAACGAACTGGCACGTTCAATTTAAGAGCAACTTGAGCCAAAGCACGGTCATGATCCAAACGAGTCATTGCAGAGAATTGCTTTGGATCAATATTGGAAGCATTAGAAGCAGCAATGAGAGCATTGGTATTGGCTGGATTTCCAACAACCAAAGTCAAATTGTTGCTCTTTGCATATTTACCGAGAGCCTTTCCTTGAGTTTGGAAGATCTTGGCATTCTCCAACAATAAATCCTTTCTTTCCATACCCTTGGTACGAGGCTTGGCACCAACCAATAATGTGTATTCAACATCTTTGAAACCCTCAGCCAAATCGCTTGTAACTGTAATTCCTCTCAACAATGGGAAAGCACAATCTTGAAGTTCCATTTGGACTCCTTCAACGAGTTTCATTGAGTCTGGAATATCAATGAGGACGAGGTGAATTGGTTGATCCTTGCCAAGCATCTCTCCGCTGGCAATTCGAGGAATGAGAGAGTAGGCAATTTGACCTGCAGCTCCGGTAACAGCAACACGAACGACTGGCTTCTTAGCCATGTATCCGACGTCTTGAACACCGTTATAGGCTAATTTGCTTCCCTATGATTATTGAAAGTTTGTTATTATTGTATTGATGTCAGAGTCATACCATCCGCAATATATAATGTATATAATAATATTATTGATATTTAAGTTTAAAATTGATTGGATCAAAGAATAATCATCATAACGGCCGTATCACAATTCCAAACGACAACAAGAAGAAATTGTCAATATCAGATTCATACAATCATTAACAACAATGTAGTAAACTACGGAACGAATGTTCATTGCTGTACAGAATACCTACAACTTTAGAAGCAAGTCTCATCAAATTTGAGAAATCTTCCTCGTTCTTGATGGTGGAAGTAATAAAAGCCAATTCCTTGGTAACTTCATATTCGTTGGCTTGCTTGGTCAATACGGAGGCAATAGATTCCTCCAAAGCAGATTGTCTTCCATCAACATCATCAGCATAAAAACGCTTTTGAGTTGCTGTGTTCAAGAGGGATGTTGTGAATTTTTGATTGGAAGTCTTTAACAGCAGGCGAGTGCAAGTCTTGCTCAACATTTTTTTTGGCTCTTTACAAAAAGCATCATTTTGAAGATGATGAATACGATATTGAGTGCAGTCATATCATCATCACCGTCAAATAATTAATCACCTCACTTCAACTCATTCGAATTATTAAAATAAAATAATTATTGAAAGTTTCAAATATCTTCCTTTTTATTTGGATATTTTGGAATTATTTCCAAATAATTAATGCTTGACAACTGAAACTGAGTCAATTATTGGAAGCATTTCTTATTGTGAGAAGGTACATATTCTGTGATTCTTTCTCTGAACGTGTATCCAAGTCATTCTTATGGTCACTCATCGAAATGATGATTGCTGGACCATTTCTTTGATATTTCACTCCAATGATTTCACATAAAAGTTTGAACAAAAAAATGTCGGAACTTCATCAACCCAACAACAACAACACAACAACAACAGACTCCATCAAACCATCCACTCCTCATTATGCTACCAAATTTTCCTCTCTCTCTGGATTTGGATTGAAAATTCTCGGAAAGTATGGATTTAAAACGGGTGAAGGATTGGGAAGAAAAGGTGAAGGCATTAAATCTCATGTAACTGCTACAAAAAAGTATCACGAAACTGGAATGGGAATTGGTGCTGATAAAGAGAAGAAGCCTAATTATTGGTGGGAAAATGCTTATAATGAAAAATTGAGTTCAATTAATGAAAAGAAGAGAAAAAGCTCTTCATCATCCTCTTCCGACAGTGATTCAACGTCTTCATCAGATTCTTCGGGTGATGAGAATAAAAAATCGAAAGACAAAAAGAAATCAAAGATCATGAAAGAACAAAGCAAAGAAAAGAAATCTAATGACGATAGTGACACTAGTAGCGACTCATCTAGTAGTGATGAAGACGAACAGAAGGATAGGAAATATTGCACAGTGGAAGGATCTTCAGTTCTCAACCCCGAGTTCTTTAAAGAATGTGAAGGAAGGACTTTGAAGAAATATCGACAAGTCGGAAAGGAATCTCGAGCGAAGAAACACGAAGAGGAATTAATTCAAAAATTGAAAGAAGCTAAAGAGAAAATGGAAGCAATGAATAATCAGCGAAAGTTTAAACAAGTTGTGACAGACAAGCGAAAGGTCCAACAAAAGAAGATCAAGATTGGACATTATTCTCGAGATGATGACGAGTAATTTATACAATGTTCGAGAATGGGTGTTGTTTGAGAGCAATCCTTTCAGCACCTTGCTCCTGATAATCACTTAATTTCATCCAATAGGAGTCATTTTCTGAGCTATCGATAAGTAACGAACGACCGCCTTTCCATGCAGATGTATCAAAATTGCTTTCATGAATGACTCTAATTTCTGATCCAACAGGAGAAACTTTTCTAACCTCGCTTTCAATTCGTTCATCAAATCCCTTAAATAAAGTATTTCCTCCACAAATGAAAATATTTCGAATCATGGCTGCACGTTGGCTAGAATTGAATTCCTGGAGAGTGTTTTCTATTATTTCTGAGAGGCCAATTTGATCCTTGTTAGCCATGTGAGGTTGGAAAATTATTTCTGGTATTCTGATTCTCTCTACTGTCAACCTTATTCCTGTATTGTCTAAAGGATCCGAAGTGTTCCTCTTGTATTGTTTTACAAAGTGATCTTTCAAGTACTCTGTCTTCTTTTCTCCAAAATATTTAAGCTCTGTTTCCTGAATTAATTTCCTCAAGTCATCCACTTGTCTAGAAACTTTTTTGACTTGTTTAGAGTCAACAACGTCTTCTTTTGTTGACTTTTTCTTTTTCTTCTTTTTAGATTTTTGTAACCCATCATACAAACTCCAATCCTCAAACGTTTCATCTTCAGCGTCGTGGATTTCAGCAGCAATTTTTGATTTTTGACGTTGCACCGAGGCAGCCGATCTCTTACTTTTTAAAGTATGATCCTTTGTTTGAGAAGAAAGCGTAAATTGCATTTTTTGCAATTTAAAGTGAAGCTGTTGTAATTCCTCTCGTTTTTCAGTAAGCCATTTTTCACAGGCACTCAAAGTTTTGAATTCAGGTATTTGCAGTTCTGAAGATGTATCTGAAGTATTTGTAGAAGGAGTATCTCGTGTTGTTATGAAGGACTCATATTGATGCTTATTGTTGAAAACTCGGACTGTGTGGCTATTGTAATATTCTTGATTTTCTGCCATCAATTGCAGTTCGTGCGTATAATCTTGAGAAAGATAACAATATTTTTCCTTCAAATATTCTGCTTTGATAACAGATAGAGATGGGATCCCAAGAGCTTCATAAATAGGGATGAAATATTTTGTTGTTTCTGTTGAAATGTTTGGATACTTCAATTGCATTGTTTTTAGCATCAAATCTGTTGCATGAAAACCTCCAATGTTCAATCTCTTACAAGAATTCCATTGAGTCACACCATCTAAAATAGGAATAACATGCGTTGAATGAAAACCAGACCTAACGATAAGAGCATTGGTGTTATCCATAGAAATATTGTTTTCAGAAAGAGTTTGTTTTAAGCTCAGAAGTGCGTCAATTGAAAGATTAATAGATGGTATTCCATAGCTTTCAAATAGTATTTCAAGTGTGGATTGTCGAGAAAAAGCAGGGTTTAAAATTGGTTCTGTAAACACCAATGGTATTTCTGATAGTGATATGTTCTTTGATGATGCCAATCCTAGCTTATAAAACACATAATCCATGACTTGTTCAAAATACTCAAAATTTGTAACAATGTCATTATCAAAAGGTGATTTTGCACCGTATCGTAAATAATCAAAAGGATGAAGATCATTTCCAACTAGATATCCACCATTCTGTAAAACTAGTGTATCATCATCAGAAACAAAATCAAGATTTTTCACTTCGTTAGCCTTCAATTTAGCGCAGAGAGGACGGAAGCTGATCATTGGATTCTCTTCGGTGGACCATCCTGCTCTACACCGATAACTTCCGTTATCTATGATAATCCCGAGAGGCTTTTTGACATTCTTTATATTCGGAACGCTATGAATTTTATCTATGGTATGAGAATTTTCGTCCTCTTCAACGGTTTCAAAATATGTATCCATCATGTTTCGATCAACTTTGATTTAAATATTGAACGAAACTAAAAAATCAGCACTAGCGTTATATTTTTTTTATGATGAATCCTTCCTCTCGTAGTCTCTCAAAAGCATTGTCTTGAAGTTGGGAAAGCAATAACACATCCCTATTGGAATTGGTTGTTATGTATTCACCCAATTCAATAGAACTAGTGGTTGATCTTCTTTTCTTGGTTTGAAATTTCGTTTTCCCAATATAGTCATCGTAAGATTCTTCATCGCTTTCAAGAGAAGCCACAGCAGCAGGAGTGGTGGTGGTAGTATACACCTCATATGGATTTACATCCCTCATATAACTTCTGTTGTAATGGTGGTGGTCATGATGGTTTTCCTGGCCATGTCCTGGATGTGCATGTTTTGGAATGTGTTGAGCCTTCTCCAAAAAGAGGGAAACTGAATGACCAGCATGCAAAAAGTGAGTTCCCTTATCGACAATAATGTACACATGTATCAATACCTCAATAATCTCAATACTCAACAATTGTTCAAGGGTAGCCATTCTGTTGGTATATTCATTTGGAGTTTTCTCTCTCTCTTCCCTCTCATGATTATATTCTCTCACAATGTACACCATATGGGTAATGGCGGTCATGATGGAGAAGATGAAATAAATTAAGAAAATCAAGGCTTCCATCCAATTCACCCATATTTGGAGAGGTTTCTTTCTCGCGATGGAAACCAACTCTCGAATGTATCTTTCAATAAAGAGTATAATCAGAATAGCCATAAATATGTAGGAAATGATTTTGTAAGCAAGAGAGAGTTGTTTTTCACCCTCCGATAACAGTAAAGATTCCCCTCCAAAGATGTTATTTGCTTGCACATAGGTGATGGAGAAGAACTGTTAGGAGTAATTAGTTCAGAAATAGATGAAATTAGAGGATTCATTGTTGTGTTCAACATGAAAATTGGCAAGATAACATGTAACAATTGCCAGATGAACGTTCGAATAAATAGTAATCACTACGTTGCTGAGATTCATTCCAACCTCCTCGATGGACCTATTCCCGATAGTTTTCTTTGAAATTTGTTTCCATATATTCTTCTTCCATATGGACCATGAGCTTTCTTTCTTGACTGGATGATGATTCTCAACCCCTACTTTGTAATAGGCTGTAGTAGGAGTTGTGGACGGAGCCATCATAGGATGAGACATTTTGTTGGAGTCGTAGGTTGAAGAACGTTGAGAGAGTCTAAGCAAGGGCGTTCAGTGGGTGATGACCACAACGAATCACGTTTTTGTTCGAATACAGCTCTGATGGAGCCTTGTAAAGTGTATAAACCGAGGAGGATTAATAATCCTCAAATCCAACAATACCTGGCACCCTTTGATGAATACGAGAAATATATAATATTATATTTCATTCGTCAGGAAGAAGTTGCATGAGCCAGATGGTTACGATTTGAACATGAAAGCCTTTCATCCTTTCACACATAATCATCTCGATTGGTCAACATATACTTTATATTCTACAACTTTTCCTCAATCCTTATTAATGAAGGAAATGAATTTATGGAATAAAGGTTACAAAAAATTTCCTTTTCCAACAAAAAAATTGCATTCATGAATCTCTTTTGATTGCCTCAAAATAAAAGTATGTTCGGAAGAGAGAAATTTCAAAGGTTCAAAAAGAATTCTCTCATTCCTTTCCATGGTAACACCCTTCGCCATGATTCATCAACATTCACATGAATTGGACCATTTTCAAGATCGTTTTCAACAGGGAAATTTGAACCACAATCTCACTTCAGCACCTTCAACAACGAATGCACTGATCTCCTCGATTGTTTCCGATCAAGTAATAGTAAGATTCAAAGATTATGTATGTTTCTTTTTCTTCTTTACCTCATTTGTCTTACTTGATGATGAAACTAAAAAGGACAACACTGTATTGACTTTTTCAGCCTGTTTAAATGATCAAGTTCAACAAGTTATACATAGATTTTGTCGTGCTGTCACTGCGACCCATGATTCTGACTTTAGAGTGTTCGCATATGGTGGAAAGCCTTTGATGAATTTTAATGATACTTTGCGTTCCATTGGAATGGATCACACTTGTTTTGTGTATGCATTCAATGATCCAGATCCTAATATTGAATCCACTTCCAAGTTGTGTGTTGTGGTTCAAAGCCATGTAAGTTTTTGATGCATGTAAAAACAATACAAAAAGAATGACGTGTTATAGTTTTGTCCTGATATTCACTTTTTGATGAATAAATCGACACCCATGAAGAAATTGATGAATGGTTATTGTGAAAGGTTTGGAATTCCACAAGAAGGTTTGGACCAATGTGGACAAGAAGAAATATTACAAAAACACTTGTTTCTAATTGGAGAACGTCGAATTTTGGGAGAAGAAACACCTGAAAGTTTGCAACTATGCGATGGAGAGAGCATTGAGTTTATTCCATTCGTTCACCAGAATTAGAGTGAATTATGTGTGTATTGACTAGTTTTTAATCTTTTAGATGATTTCAATGATTTTCTTGTTGTAGTCATGATGGTTGTTGTTGTAGTTCCAATAATATTTATTGTTGATGATCAACTCTTAAAAGAAGTTATATTTCACGACAGTAGCTACATTTTGTGACTTTTTGACATGATGTTCCACACGATATTGAATTTCAATATGTCCACACTCCACATTTTGTAATTTCACAACATCCTTAATGGTTGGTGATCGTTTCATTATTAATTGTCCATTGCCATTCAACTTTCCCGTATCCTGTCCACATTGTAAAATTAAATCATTCAATGGAATTTCAACCTTTCCTAAAAACTCGTGTTCAAAAATCTCATCATGATCATACAATCGAATACTCACAACCATGGGACGACCAGTTGTCATGTCTCTTGAATTTGATTGTTCAACATTTGGAGAGAATGGATCAATTGGACTTTGGAACATTAATTGAAATTGTTCATTCCAAACAGGATTGGATGAATTCTGAACGACACTTGAAGTCTTTTTGTGAGATCCAACCTCCACTACTGCATACACATTGGAATGATCTTTAAATCCATTTCCACTATTTTTAATGTTCGAACCTCGAAAGAGAATGAAATTAAAGACATAATTGTATTGAGGTACGAGAGTTTCTTGCATCACTCTCATGAAAGAATTTCCATCATGATGATGAATGGATAAAGGTCTTGTTGAAGAAGAACCATGAGGAAGAGTGGTGGAAGGGTTACATGAGGAGGATATGGAGGAAGATTGAGAAAGTGCACTATGAGTGGAGAATCCAGAACTCGATGATTGCTCACGTGAGAGTGTTTGTTGTTGTGGTTGTGGTTGTTCATGTGGTTGTGGTTGATGGTGGGTGTGTAAATGATGGTTGCCACTCAAAATACTTTCCATACTGGATCGAGGAGTCGTCGTCGTTGTGTGAGTACAACTACTACTACTACAAGAAGAAGAAGAAGAAGAAGAATAATTGCCATCTTGATAGAAACCATGATCCTTAAAGGAAGTGGATTGTCTTTTCTGTTGTAGTTGTTGAAGTGAAACATGAGTTGGAGAGATGAAAGGATCATGGATCAATTGTTGTTGTTGTTGGAGAGAATTGTAACATGTTGGAGACAACAAGTTTGGAGACAAGACGTCACTCTTTTTTGGTGGTGTATTGGTATAGAGTGGAGATCGATAGATACCTTTCATTCGATCCAAATCTTGTTTGGTCATTTCTGAAATTTTCACATTGTAAATGGAAGAATGATTTCCAGTAGTGGTGGTGGTGGTGTTGTTGTTGGGAGAGGTGATGGTTGGTAAAGAATAACTAGCGGTTGCTTCTCCTCGAGGAGATTCATTAGCTGAACTGGTAAAAGACAACAAATGACCTAATAAGGATTTTTTCTTTCCTCTCGATTGTGGAGTGGAATTCGGTTGTGCACACGTGGAGTGGAATTCCTGTTTTGGAGTCATTCGAAGACAAGCTTGATCTCGATCAACACCAGAAGAAGAAGAACCCAACGATTGAATGGAATCTTTCATCTTTTTGATTTCATCTTGTTGTTTTTTCAAGTGTGGATATTTGGAGGTGGTTCGTTTCTTCTTCTTTTTAGTGGTCGAAGTGTTGGAATTTTGATTTTCCTTATTTTCATCATCGTCGTCATCATCATCATCATCGGAGGAAGAGTGATAGTAACCATCTTGTGTTCGTTTTTTGGAAGGTGTGTGATGACAAGATTTGTTGGATTTGGATGGAGAGCCAAAAAAGAGATTATAAAAGAAGGAACCAGTGGAAGAGTTTTCTTCTGTGGACAATCCTTCATCTGGAGGATTGGCTTTACGTTTCTTGAGAGCTCTGATGAATTCCATTCACAGCGTGATGATGTTTTTTTGATTTTAAAATTTTTGAATAGTGTAACGGCTAGAATTTTGACAAGTGGCATTTTGGGCGGAATGGAAGAAAACTGAAAGGACCGAAAATGATCATTCTTGGTCATCAAAAAATGAAAAGATGTCTCTCAGACAGTGAATGCTCAACAAGCCATGATGATGATGATGACTTGATGCCACATCATGATGAAACTAAAAAGAGAAAAATTACTTCCGAGTTTCCATCGACGCCTCAAGAAAAATCAATTTTACAATTCCATCCTACTCAACAACAAGTCAAAGTAATTTTAATTGATTTTGTAATTCAGAGAGTTCGTGGTGATGATGAGGCAAAACAAGAATGTTTTGAAAATAATTTCCTTTTTGGGCATTTAAAACACAAATTAATGAACCAAAAAAGGCTTGAGGCATTCTCTTTACAGTTCAAACTCACCTCATGTATGATTGATCATTTACACAGTCCTGTTGAGATCAAAATTTCCAATAATCACAATTGTATTTTAATCTCTGATTATGATTTGTCTTCTATTTGTGTTTTTGATTTGAAGACTTTGGAACTCGAGATGACTTGGCCACTTTTTTCAAATTATTTCTGTATTGAATATGATTATAACGAACGTGGAAATGATGCTCTTCTGATTCCACTTTCAAATGACCAATCAAGAGTTTACAAATTTGATTTGAGAAATTTATTAAGTCGTCACTGCTCAAAAACAACTTTTAATTCTCTTTGGAAATCAGAACCAATCGATAGCGCTCACGGAATTGCTGTGTTGATGAATTCATCACCATGCAGAACGGGAAATCAGGTTTTTGTTTGCAATCATGTATCAAACTGTATTCACATTCTTCGTTCAGATTCAGGAACATGCATTCAAAAAATTGAAATTTCTCATCCAACAGCAATTGCATTCTCTGCTGATTCAGATTTGATTGTTTCTGAAGCATTTATTGATCAAAAGATTACAATAATGAAAAGAAATGCAGAAAATAACTCATGGGTTGTTGTCAAACAACTTGGAGGTAAGAATGGACATTCATCATTTCGTTATCCTGTGGCTGTGATGTGTGACATGGTCAACAACAACTTTTTTGTAGTGGATGCTTTGAACAATAGAATTCAAGTTTTTTCACAAAATGGTGTGTTTATCAAGTCCTTCGATCAACTAAACAAACCAAGCTCTGCCTGTATTAATGAAAGGAATGGAGAATTGTATGTTTGTGAGATTGGCTGTAACAACAATCAGAAAGTACAGATTTTCAGGTAAAACCTCTTTGACTCATACAAACAAATGCAAGTCATAGAGAAAGAAACACATGGAGCATGATGAAACAGTTCAAGTTTTATTAATGTCTGAGCTTAGATTGTGAAATATTCTTGTTGTGATATATTTCACTCTTAGGGGTGTATTCAATGTTTTCTATTTTTACATGTCTCTCTGTAGAGAAATTGAAACAAGTCAGCTTTTGTGTGTGGATATTACACTATTGAGAGAGATTCTAAATAGGAAATAGGAAAATATAGGATCATACTCAGTGTGAAAAATTTCTAGAGTACAACGTAGTGTGTGTGTGTGAATTTACATTGTGGATGAATTTACAATCTCTCACAAATGTTGTTGCATTTCTTCCTTCCTTCCTTACATGGTTCTCAATTGATTGATCATTTGAGAAGAGGCAACATCCACGCTAGCCAATTGCATGGACTCGTGTGGATTTCTTGCAACAGTGGAAGCCACACATCCTCTCAAAGCTCTCAAATCATTATTCATTCGATTGAGCGCTGCTTGTCTATTTGGAGTTGTACCAACAGTATTGTGAGTGGAATTTCTTTGAGAGGAAGCCATTTGAGCTCTCAAATCATTCATGTCAGAACGAATTCTTGCTAATTCTTGAATGTGTTGCATCTTATTGGAGAGTTGTGTAAGAGAGTTGTAGTTGTTGTTGTTTGTTGAAAGAAATTGTACGAATTTTGGAGAGTGTTGTATGGAAGTGAGCTAGAATGTTGGTAGCGTTGAGACTTTTGTTTTTTTTGTTGTTGTTGGGGTGTAGTTGAGTTGTGTGGGAGTTTTGTAGTTTTTGCAATTTTGACTTGTGACAAGTGGCTTTTTTGGAGATAAACAACAACAAACAGAGCGGAGACAGTTATTGAGGGTGAGAGAACACGGGGGAGAGAGATCAAGAGCGTTTCGAATAGGTTTGTCTCTCAAATTTAAGGAGAGAGTTGAAGTGTGAAAACGTTGAATATTCACACCAACTCCCACGTGAAAATGGTTTGCATCTGTGCCTGTCTGTTTGTTGAAAAGATTTGTTGTGAAAAAACACTTTCTAGTATTTCAGTAATGCATCTCCTTCTTTGTATGAGGTTAACCTGAATAATGCTTCATCAACCGAATAACAATGTTCAGACCGTTCATATATTCACTTTTTGCTTGTGCAAATTCTTTCATATTTGAACAGAGATCAACCTTCAAAGCTTGATCTGTAGACAACCAATGAAAAAGAAACTTCATTCCTTCAAGAAATGGCTTTAGGAGACTTTAAAGAGTTGGTATTGGCTTTTCGTGGCGCAATAGACTACAAGAATGAGCTTTAAATTGTGAGATAGTTGAGCACTAATTTTCTTCAGGAAAGTCAGCTTCCCAATCATCACCTTCATCTTGTAACGACGTCTTTGTTTTCGCAAATATTTGAGAGCAGCTGGAAGATGATTTTTCTGGTTCCATAAAATCGCCTTCTTCGTCATCAAGTTCATCTTCGTCTTTCAGCTCCATTCCTTCCAGGGCGTCATAAATATCATCTTCTTCGTCACTCTCTTTATTTCGTAATTCTTGAACTTCGCCTTCGATGGTTGTTTTATTGTCCAACATTAACTCTCCGGATGTCAAATCATAAAATCTTTTCGTAGCAACGAAGGTATCACCTTGTTCCCCACTCTCATTCACAGCATATTCAATCGTCCATTCTGCTTGCTCCATTTCCTTTAATTGTAAATCCTCAAATTCCTGTTCTTCTCCTTCGTAGTGTTCAATGAGAACATCCTCTAAATAACCTCCTTCAGAATTGTCCAATAAAGGCTTTCCTCCAACCATTTCAACTTTATCTTGATCTTCTTCCTCTTCTCCAAGAAATCCAATACATTTACAGTTCACTTGGCCCATGGAAGTAGAATCCATCGACGTCACGATTCGTTTTTCTGTCTTTTTCGTTGATGATGGATTTAACGAGTGTCCGAAGAATCTACTCTTTCCGAATGTTCTTCCATTCTTTAATTGCTGTAATCTAGTTTCTAAAGTATTTAAATACGCTCCTGATTCTGAATCGGGAATTGTCCATTGTACAGACTCCATTCGAATAGCAATATTCATTGTATCATGATTCTCAGAAGTGTTGATGGAATGATTCAATCGATACTTTTCCTTGGCTTGTTCCGAGAAGAAAGGATCATCCTGATCGGAATCAAAAAATTGTGAGGTCTCTCCTCCTAATTCGTTTGGTTTTGGTTGTAACATTTTTTTAGAGTTGAATTGGAGGATAGATAATAATAATTGATCTTAAAAAAGTAATTTATAATAGTATCATAATATAGTATTACAACTTCATTTACAAAAAATGTCCACAAATCACGACTCGTCCGATCACGCTTCTTCTTCAAGCCACCACACAAAAACTTATCGCAATCCATCACTCACGGTAGATGCCATTGTTCCCGTACGTGTGCATCAATCACATAATATCGATGATGAAGGCTCATTTCATATTTGCCTTATTACAAGAGGAAGAGATCCCTTCAAATCGTGTTTGGCTTTTCCTGGTGGTTTTGTTGATTATGGAGAAGATCCCGAGATTGCAGTGCTCAGAGAATTGGAAGAGGAAACACACTTGAAAGTTTCCGAAACCAAGACACTTGAGGAATGTAGAAAGAATCTTCAACTGATTACTGTTGCAGGTAAGACGAAGAAGAAGAGCGTTTTGTTTGAAACTTCATCTTTATTTCATGATTGTAATTGGAATATTCATGTGATCATTTTCAAATCGGTGGTGAATTTGTGAAAATATATGATGAATTCAATACGATTAATATTTTTGAATTTTAAAATTGAATTGTAAATATGAACGATATGAAAATTTTCAATATCGACAAATGTTTACAATTTTGAAATTTAAATTGAATTTTAAATACAACACAAAAAGGTAATCCACAAAGAGATCCTCGACGTCACACTGTCTCAGTTGTTTATGCTGTTAAATTGGAAGGTCCATATGCATTACGTAATTTGAAAGCTGATGATGACGCAGAGTCGGTCAGCTTTTATCCTTTGAGTTCTCTTGTCAAAGGAATTGAATACGAATTAGCTTTTGATCATCAAATGATTTTGGAAAAGTTTGCAAAATGGTTCAATGATTTTGGAAAAGATCAAGAGTTTTATTATGAAATGGAGGTGGATGAACATTTGTAATGGATGGTGACAACTAATATTTGTGGTGTAAACACCACTCATTGTAGAGAATGATTGCACAGTAGTAGCGTTTGTGTATTCATTAATCATAGGATCTCCAATTTTCATATTATTATTTTGAAATTAACATTTACTGGTGAGACACCAGTGTTTGTCTGAGAATTAAAGTGTCAGTCGAACTATTTATTCTTGTTGTTTCAGTAACATCAAAAGGCACACCATCACGAAAGCCATCCAAAGCTCAAATGATCCTCTCTCTTGAGATCACATGCCTATTTGATGAATATTTTGGCCTTGTTTGGGAATTGCTTGGTTTTACAACAGTGGAAGATGGAGAGGATAATGGAAACGATGGTTGTGAAAATTTCACAGTACCAATTTCATCAAATGGAATCATGGTAAAGTTGTATAGTTCCTTATTTGCCTCAGTGATATTTCCATCATTGAGATTAAAATTCAAAGATGCGTGTTGACGAATATTCATGTCAGAAGGAGAGTATGAAAATAAATTGTAATGAATGAAAATTCCAAATGGTTCAAATTGATTTCTTCACTTCCCATCCAAATACAAGCAGTGGTTAGACTTCGTCTAATAGTTCATGATCATTTTAATTAAAATAACCACATGGTCTACATTGAAGATTTCATTTCGATTGTTTCTGCATGTTTGTGCATTTTGAGCTTAGTGACTTCCCTTCTCGCTGACGGAGAGCACCAGCAACAACTTTTCGAAAATATTTTTATTCCAGTAATTTGCGGAATCGATGCAACTAAATTTTCCACAACCTTTGCACAAATGAGAATGTAAGTTTTCTCAAACACACAATTAACCTATTGAAAACCAAAACCAAAACAAATCAATATTATAGAAACCAGCTACATGAAAATCTAATTTCTATCACTTGCTGACTTTCCGACGCGCCATTTTTCTTACAATAATAAAATAGCACTCTTTCGAGAATACATTGTTTGGCTCGATAAGGATCCGAATGAAATTCCGAAAGGTTTGAAAGCTAAAGCTTGTGCTATTCGTTCTCCTACACCCTATGGAACAATAAGATGAGAAAGAAATTTAAATACAAACAAAATATTTATGCGAATCGTAATAGGAAATCCAACCCAAGTGCTACCATGGGAAGAGCATGAAGAGTTGATTAAAGCCATGTTTGAAACATGCGGAATTACTGATATTCATTGCGAGGACTTGGAAATTCCAACACAAAATTCAATTCATAGACTGAAAATGCATGTGAGAGAAACATTAATCGAGGCAAGAAGAACAGGAATTAGTCATATCGTCTCATCAGGAACTAAAGATGAAATTAATGAAGAGAAATTAATGGACGAACAATATGATTCCTCATCCATATATTCCTTTTTAGGAGACTCTGTTTCCAATGTGTTAAAGGAAACAAAGGAATCTAAAGGGCAATATTTAACTTTACAAAGAGCCACAGGTGTGTTAAGTATTAATGACATTCAATTGGATAAAAGTAAACCAAAATCTTGGAAAGATGATAATGTTGGTATGGGGCTGCGGGACAAACAACTTGATGGTGTACATGTTTTTGGAAACCATTTTGAATGTTTTGTCGACGCATTGATTGGTTTTGAGGGTAATAGGGAAGCTAAAATTAGTTACGCTTGCAATATATTAAGATTTGCCATCTCTGATGATGCTAAAGAAGTTATTGTGAGATGGATTTTTAACAATTTAATCGAATATAAATAAATGTTTATTCCAACAATATTTGATTGAAACCGTACGACTTGATTAAATGCCTTACATAGGAGGAAAGTTCATCATGATAATGGTGTCATGCACTTCCCATGATTTTCATTAGATCCATCACCTGCAGCCAAAAAGGACGGATGTCTTGCAGAACTTTGTAGAAACCAAGACAAATACTTGAACATGGTTGAAATTGACATTTTTAAATGTGATTGAGATCCAGAGCAATAGTGGAAATGATTCAGATGGAACTCCAGTTCTGAAAATTATGGAAAGTGTTATCAAAAGACAAATACCTAACCTTGAAGAACTCCTTCGAAATAAAACGCTTTCAAAACAGTTCGCTCGCTCCCAAAAAATCAACAACGACTTTACGTGCTGTGACTATTTGAATTCCTTATTGTGATCTATCCTCCTTACTCATTAACCCAAAATAATGTACTTTTTGCATGAACAACATCTGGGCCCTGTTCATCATATTCTTCCTTTGAGACGAGTAGATTGTTCATGGTTGAAAGTGATCCAATGATTGACGCTCCTGTCCATGCTGAGTTTTTTCGTTCCAAGTTCTCATTGCTCTTAACCTTAATGCGACTCCAAACTTCGAGATGATTTCGGTATTCAAGCTCTTTAACAATTTTCTGATCAATTCCTTTGAACATGGTGGAACCTCCACTCAGTACAATATTCTCAAAGAGTGTTAAACGAAAGTCAATATCACATCGTTGAATACAATGTTGAATCAAATCATCAATGCCTTGAATGTCCTCTTACAGTTTCGTATGAAATAATTTCTCAGAGCATTCAAATGGTAAATCAACGGCCAATTGAATAGTCTTACCATCTGGCAACTCATAGGTTGTTGTTTTTTCACTTCTCACCTCATCATACTTTGGCTTTACACAACCACAACTTTCCTTAATCGTCCTTACTGTTTCATCATCATTCAAGTATTCCATGTCCGAGTATTTTTCCTTTAACTTGTTCTTCAAGTGTTCTGTCAATTCTCTTCCTCCCAACACATGACTGACCGACACCGAGTGAGGAAAAGCAAAACCTTCATACACCGAAACGACACTGGTTTGAGTATGACCCACATCCAAGACACATCCAGTGGTGATTCCATGAGCAAACATGCTCAATAAATGTCCACAACACGAGAACATGGATGCCATTGAGAGTTCTTCAAACACCAATTGAGCGAGTTGTTCTCTTTGGGATTTGGTTGGTTGAGGAGGCTCGGAGCAGATCAATCCCAACTTTTGAGTTTCCTTCTTCATCATGCAAACATCTTGTAAAGCGTGATTGAAATCCTTATCCTCATCCTTATCATCATCATCACCATTCAAAAGGTGTTTAAAAAAGAACGAGAAATCTTCCCAATTGGTGATATGGCCACCATGTTCAATGGGAGATCTCATTATTGAATCCAATGCACTCCATTCCTTCTTCTTTTGTTTGGATGGAATTTCGGACAAGTCTTTGAAGATGAAATCAGAATGATCGTTGTGGTGGTTGCTTGTCATCATGACAGAGGGAATCGAGCAACGAGGAGACTCCTCTCCGCAAACACCTACGCGTGTTGAGAAGGAACCAAAATCAAAAGCCAATAAATTCATAAAGTGGTAGTGGTGGTATTCTTTTGTAAGTTTGGTATTGGTTACACGATATAATTCGCTCCGATGCTAATGGTGAACTTTGTACTAGTTATTCAAGATGTCAACTTTCTAATCCGTTTTGTGTTATTGCTCTACAGTACTGGTCATCATCATCGACCATCCTTATTGTGTCCATGTGTTGAAAACATTGAGGTAAAAATCTTTTCATAAAAGATTTAAATTACCAAATCAATTCTTTAATTAATTAAATCGAAATTAAAAAATTAAAATGTTTTCCAACAGAGATTTTTCTTTGTTCGCTGGCGATCGCAGGCCCATTTCAAGCCTGTGGCTCCCGAATAAATGCAAAGGCTCTTTGATGATGGCGATGACTGTGGTGTGCATGATGATGCTCTTCTCTACCCTATTGCTATCTACCAATGTTAAGGCTCTTCCGATTCAAGAGGATCATCATGCGATTCCAGCAATAAATGTTCGGGACCTTCAGGGATTGCAACGAGTTTCGGGATCGCAAGTCTCTCCTGATGGACAGTTTGCAGTCTATTCTGTAAAGCAATGGGTAGGTACTTTTGTCGTCCATGATGTTGTGTAGAATACCACTCTTCATCATCAAATGATGAATAATAGGACTCTAAAACTGGAAAGTCAACTTCAAACATTGATATTGTACATATTACGTCTGGAGAGGTGAGAAGATTGACCAACAAATTTGGTGTCTCAGATTACTCTCCAAAATTTACTCCTGATAGTCAGTTTGTGATGTTTTTAAGCTCAGGAAGAGGAAGCACCAATGGACTCCAAATTTACTCAGTTCCAGTGAAAGGAAGCGAGTCACAAATTTCACTCGTCTCGAATTATGATGTACCTGTTGAGTCTTTCAAAGTGAGCAAGTCTTTGAAAGGTAATTTATTTTACATTGCATTCAGCGCTCAGGTATATTTGAGTTGTAATGACAGACCCACTCTCTTGTCTTGTTCAAAGAAAATGAATGACGACTGGGAGAGTAAGGGCTCTAATACAGGATATGTCTATGACAAATTGTTTGTAAGACATTGGGATACGTATATCATTGAAGGAAAAGTGTCTCATGTGTTTTTACAAAAAATTGTAATTGGATCTGACTCTTTGAAACTTGTAGCAGAACCATTTGATACCATGTTTGGAATGAATGCCAACTGTCCAATTGGTCCATTTGGAGGTGATGAACAGTATGACATCTCTACAACTGGAGCTTACATTGCTTTAAATATTGAAATCAATGATCATGCTGTCTCATGGTCCACTGGTTGGAAAATATTTGTGACAACTGTCAACAACTGGTACTCTGATGTGAACTCACCAATTACTGCCAACGCCCTCAAGTCAATTACATCATTTACATCAGCTAGAACTCAAAATCCATTGTTTTCTCCATTCCAAGATGAACTTCTTTCATATCTGGCAATGAATACTCCAGGATATGAGAGTGACAATCTTCACCTTAATTTGTATAACATATTGACAGATAGAACCAATGACACTGTTTTCAATTTTGATAGATCTATTAGTGAACATATTTGGCTTGATTCTAAACGAGTAGTGATTTCGTGTTCAAATGATGCAATTCATTCCTTATATTTGGTAGATCTCTCTTCTGGTATTCGTAGGACACTTACTGCTGAAGGTCACAGCGCAGCACTGCAAGTTGTAATTCCTGGAGAATCCATTGTTTATTCTTTGGATAGTTTTGTTGCTCCAGTAGACTTGTATTACATGAAAATCACAAATGTGGATCTTCCACTAAGCAGAAAACTCACCAACTATAACCACGAATTTTTGGCCAAGTATCCTCTTGTGGTTCCTCGAAAAGACTACTTTATTGGAGCTAAAGGGGAAAAAGTGCAAGCATGGATTTTCACACCTTTAAATTTTGACCCTCGCAAGAAATATCCAACAGTCAATATTATTCACGGCGGACCAGAATCGGCTATTGAGGATGCATGGTCTTACAGATGGAATCCTCAACTTTTTGTTTCTCAAGGTTATGCTGCGATCATTATTAATTTCCACGGCTCTGAAGGATTCGGTCTTGACTTTAAGAAGTCTATTCTTGGTAATTGGGGAAGCTATCCTTACGAAGATATAACAAACGGAACTGACATTCTGGCTTCCAGATATAGCTTTATTGATGCGAGTAGAATTTGTGCATTAGGAGCGTCATACGGTGGATTCTCAATCAATTGGCTACTTGGACACAACGAAAACGGAAGATATAAATGTTTTGTAACCCATGATGGGTTATCAGAACTGGTGTCTGCATATTATAGTACTGGTAAGTATTGAGCGATAATGTGATGTTTTATTGTGCATTCAAACATTTTTCGAAAATAATAATAGACGAGCTCTGGTTTCCTGAGATGGAATTTCAAGGGGCCGAGTTTTCTCATCCAGAAAATTATCAAAAATTCAATCCAATTAATTATGTGACAAAGTGGAAAACTCCAACACTGGTAATTCATGGTGGTAAAGATTTTAGATTACCAATTGCTCAAGGATTAACTGTTTTCACAGCTCTTCAACGCCAAGGTGTACCTTCAAAAATGATTGTTTTTCCAGAAGAAAATCACTGGGTTTTGAAGCCACAAAACAGTATTTTGTGGTATGATACAGTATTAGATTGGATTGGGCGATGGATTGGAAATTGATAACCATTAGAAACATTTAGTAAATTTTGACACAAGGATATTTATTCCTTGATTTTCATAATTGGATGGCTTTCAATGTTGTGCATATCATTCAAAATTGTGGCTACTGAGAGACGAAGCTTGTGGAATTGTTCTAATGTTACCTCCATAGTTACAATTCGAGAATTGGATAACTCAAATTGAAGAAGCAATAATGGTTTAAACACCTTACTCATGACAGAGTTGCTGATTGTGACATCGACTCTCCATCTAACATTTACAATATGATTGAACCAACTGGTCTTTTCTGTTGTAAGAGCAATGAATTTTTGCTTTTTCGTTTCATAAGCCTCCACAAATAGATTAATCAAATCTTCATCTAGTTCCATTTCTTTGAGTTGATCTCTCAAATATGGGATTTTAATTCTTTGTCTAATCATGGCTCGAAGAATTATATAAAATCCTATTATTTTGCAATGTCAAATAAATTCATAGCAACATAGAATAAGGGAAATTTCCAATAGTCGTTTCAATGTCAGTAAACGTTCATATTCATAAAATCCTACCTGTAAATATCACTGAAAATAATCCAGTTTTAATTGCACTATCAATTACTTCTTGAACATATTTAGATTTCTTTTTCACTTTTTCAAATGATGATCTCAATTCTCGCTCAAGTTGTCCATTCAGTGGGACAGCTAATTCGTCTTGTTTTTCTCGCAATAATTCTCCCGTCAAAAACTTGACTACATATGATAATACTCTCGTTAGTGATCTCTTGGAAATGTGAGGAAGAAGAGGCAATACTCGGAGCACCTCTTGAGGTATCTTGTCGCCTATTCCGTTAATTTTGTTTCATAAAAATTCAAGCAACAATTTATCCGATCATGGAAACATCATTTAACAAATTCATCATGATCATCATCACTGATTTAATTTTCATCGGACTGTAGAACACAACACCTACCTAAAAACACCACATCGTCCAAAGTCATTTTTTTGTTAATGGTGATGAAAAAGATTTTTTATTATTTGCCTTTGTGATTAGTGTTTGAAGGGGATGTATTGGTGTTTCTTTCATAGATTTGCCACCTGGCTGTATCTTCACCTTCTTCTCTCAATTTCCAAACAGTACCTCCTTGTTTGATGACTTGTTCAATTTTTGAGGTCTTTAAGTTCCCACGTCATGCAACATTAAATATTTTGGTTTGCAATACCTGTCAATAATTTGATATTCTGCCCAACCAGTACATTCGTTTCCATCGATAAGAACAGCATCAAAACGATAAGCCAAACATAAGGGATAAAGCCATGGAATAGATTTCTTTGAAAGTTCAATATCTCGTTGATAATAGAGTCGATAGTGAAGATCTTTGTTTGGAGTTTCTTCTGGTTTCAAATACATTTCGGTGGGAACAGTGCCACCCAATATAAATCGAATTGGTAAATGAGTAAATGTTTTACGAGCGTATTGCCAAGCAGGTTCATAAAGTTCAATCGTGTACAATAATTTGTCTCGACCAGATTCTTGTAATCCTCTAGCAATGCATTGTGTAGAGCCTTTTGAATCAATGATCAGTCCAACAATTTGTTCACATTCCATCAAGGAAAGACGGTCGTTGTTGAAGGAAAATTACAACAATGAGTTGTTTACTCACCTCCTCCAAACCATGTACCAATCTCTAGTACTAGTCGAACATCGTTTTGTTTTGAGAGCTTGTACAGAGCCTTCCCAAATGTCGTGTCCATTGTGACTTGCCCATCCGAGGAAACTGGAGGTTTCTCAGTGATTGAATAACATTTACATTCTGGAACAGGAGGACACTGAATATTGATCTTATTATTTGCCATAGGAGCACGATCAACCTCTGTTTGCAAAGAAGGACATGCTGGACAATCGCATGAAGCAAGGCTAGCACCAATGGAAGTTGGTGTCTTGGTCGATCTTCTCGTGTCCAATATTTGAAACAGAGCAAAGACTGTAATAGAAGAGAAGTAAGAGAAGAAACAAACGGGAGAGTTGCATTGGAATAGTTGAGCAGTTTCTTTAGGAGTTGAAACTGCATTCATGTTGTTCACGTCAATATGTATCAACGATCCGGATTTGGTGAGGAGCTGTTTATCAAGTTCTCTTCAAGGAATTGATAATTAAGCAAATCAAAAGCATATTCCGATGATAATAATAATGATTAATAATATGAATAATTAATCTCGGCCATTCGCAAACTCGATATGAATTTCTGCAGATCATTGAACATGATGAATTCATGAACACAAATGCAAACTTAAATCAAGAGCCAAATATTAGATGATGCTTGGTCTCATCCAATTTTATGTAACATCATCGATTTTGAAAGCCATTCCTCTTTTTTTCAAGTTTACAATTTTAACGTCTCTTTTCCTTTTTTTTTTCGAAAAAAATCAAACCTTTTCCGTCACGACTAAAAAAATTGAAAAAATATTTATTGGCCCTTCGGTGCCTCAGGTCTTTCGTTTTCCCAGTATTGATTAAAAGCTCTACCCATCAAGAACGATAGAATTGCTTGAATGTCTACCCAGTACTTGATGATGTCCTGTTTTCTTCTTGTAAAATATGTGTCGGAGTTAAGAATGATTCCTCTGCTGTCGATAAGGAATTTGGAGGAGGTTAGAATTTCATTTCGGTCATGGGGAATCAATTCAATGTTTAGAAGCCTCTTCATCTGTTGTTTAGCATACATTCTTTCCTCCGATAGTAATGTGCAACGTGTGGAATAATGTTCAATAGTTCCGGTGCAATTACATCTGGGGCAGGTGTGAGTTTGTTGTTTAAATGTTTTCATGTGAGCATTGTGCATGTTTCTCCAGATTGCATATTTTTGTTGGGGAGAGATATTCTTTGACTTCATGAAATTGAATGTTGTTGGGAAGATGCAAGAAGGGTTAAACTTATTCCTGCTCTTCAAAGTTATTGATTCATTCCATTTCTGAAGTTGTTTGTTCTTGATGAATGTTGCAATATCTGGAATCCAGTGGTTATTGGATTTGAGGATAATTTGGTTTTGGGTAAGTTGTCTGTGAGGAATTATCAATTTTCCTGATGTGCATCCCTTTTTGGCTAATTTGTCTACGTGAATGTTACCACTATTTTGGTGGCCTTTAACTTTGATGATGGTGATTTGTAGGTTTTTAGATTTCTTGAGGAATTCAAATTCAGTTTTAAGGGGGAGAAATGGTCCTCGGTATTTAGGATTTGATAGCAAATTGATACTTATTTCGCTATCTGTGTAGATTTTTGCTTTTGATTTTGTTGGTAATAATCGGAGAGTGTAGACAATACTTAGTAGTTCAGCTAAGTTATTGCTATGGATTGGGTCAAGTTTGAATTTGTGTCTAGTTGTTATATTTTTGGACTGTAAAATAATACCAAATCCAGTTCCTTGTTCAGTTTTAGATCCATCAGTCCATACTTCAAAGTTTTTACATTTCTTATGGTATTTTAGTGATTCTTCATTTACAAGTTGAGGTATGTAGTTGCAGTTATCAACTTTAAGCTCATACTTCCTTGCTATGTGGTGGAAGTTTTCAAATATATTTAGGTTTTTGGATTTTTTGGTGTTGAATGTTGATGTGATAGCATCATTTACCGCTTCTTGCATGAGTTGGTAATTGTGACATGAGATATTAATTAATGATCTTAGGGTTATGATATCAGTCATCATTTCAAGGCATGGAATACCCATTCCTCCTTGGTAGATTGGTAAGTATAGGCATTCTTTAGGTGTTCTTGCATCAATATTTAGTTTTCTTTTGATTTGGTTTCTGATTGAAGAGTCGAATGATTCTATTTGGGATTGGCTTATTGAATTACTGCGTGCAAGGTGTGTAATTTGGGATAAGGTTTTAGATGTGACTACTTGTTTGAGATTATATGGTTGAATCAGATTAATTGGGAGGATGTTAAGGATATTCATCATCTTATGTTTCCTTTTTTCTAGTTCTTCCTTAAATAATTTAGATTCAAAAAGATATCCTCCGAAGATTCTTTGGTTGTCTTGGTTTGGAATTTTGGTATTGTTAATCAAGGCCTCATTTGGTTTAGGGAGTGAAGTTGTAACTGATTTGGATGGATTAATTTCTAGGAATATTTGTTTGAACCATCTGTTAATTTTCTTGAGTCTTTTGTTGTGGAGAGTAATGTTAGAATTGATAATTGACATATCACGGCAAAACAAAGTGTGGCAATATCATCAATGTCTAGATCTTGTGGAGTGATTGGGAGTTTTTCTCTTTCAATAATTTTATCAATAATCATTTGGGAGATGCAGTTATAGATTAGAGGAGCTAGAGGACATCCTTGTGGGATTCCTCTTGTCTTGGTGAATTTTTCTGATAGTGTATGATTCCATTCTATTTGGATTTGATGATTTGAGTAAGCATTAATGATGAAGTTTTTAAGTTCTTGGGGGAATTTGCAGTGGGTGAGCGCCATGTCAATGATTTTGAGTTCAATGGAATCATATGCAGCAGCAATATCTATATTGGTTAGAATGAATCCTTTCTTTTTGAATTTGTTAATGAGGGCTTGTATGAGGATGCAGTGATTTGTTGTTTCTCGATTTTGGGTGAATGCTTGTCTAATGTTGATATTTGATTCGGCCCAATCTTTAAGTTTGAATGTTATAATGTTGAATAGGAGTCTATATCCAATATTCATGATTATGATTGGTCTTAGATCTTTGTAGTCTGTGATTATATCTTTTTTTCCGATTAATTTAACCCATCCTTGTTTCCAGCATTTTGGGATGTCTTGATTTTGGATCATGTCATTAAATGCTGATGCTAAATTATTGGGATTGATATTTTCAAATATCTGTTTTGTTGTGAAATCTACCCCTTGTGTTGTTGATTTCATTCTTTTCAACGCGTCCGTAACATCTTCTTTAGTTATTGTAATGTTGGACGGTCCTTCTTTAACTGTTGATTCACCTGGTTTAAATTTAATTTCTGTTTTGTCATCTAGTTTTGAGGTGAATTTGTTTTTAAAGTTGTTCACAGCTCCTTCTTTTGTTATTTTGGTTGAATTCCAATCAATTTCCTTGTATTTGAGATGGTGATCGAAGTTGTGGATTCCTTTGGTGTGTTTGTTATTAATGGAATCTATGAACTTTTTTCTATATTCCGCAAATTCAAGGTTATATTGTTCTTTGAGTTTCTTTGTTTCCTTTATAGATCTTTTGATAGTGGATTCATCTTGGGTTGTTTCGGATAATTTCTGTTCATGGAGATTATGGAGCTGTTGTTTCAAATTGGTAATGATTTCAGATTCCTTAAATCCCTTAATAGGATGTGGTTTATGAGATTGGTTCTTGATCTCATGATTGAGTTTTCACTGTTGTTGACGGGAAGAGATTTCAAAATTTCTTCGAGTTTTTTTGCAACACTTTGCTCATCGCTGATTATTCGTTTCCTGGTTGTTGGAATTAATAATTTAAATTTGAACATGATTGGTATGTGGTCATTTGTTGTGACGAGTGATAAAGCTTGTTCATGTTCTATTTCAATGTGACTCGAGTGGAATAGGTGGTCAGGTCTTGAGATTGTTTCTAATATTTTGTTTTGTGATGTGTATTTTCTGATGTAGGATGGAATTATTGTTTCTCTTTCTTTTAGGTTATGTTGGTCCATAAATGTTTTCCACTTGGTGTCTTTGTAAGCATTTCCTTCTGAACTAAAATTCATGTCACCAATCACTATTATTGGTTGGTGATTTAGTGTTGATAGGGTTTCAGATAATTTCTCGAGTAAAATATTTTCTTCTTCTTCATTTCTGTTTCCAGAGTAGTTATAAATATTAAATATATTCAATAAGCATCCACCGATGTGGATGGTGCATAGTTGGAGACGTCCTGGAATAAGGATTTGATGAATAGCTTTCTTTTTGTGACGTTGATGGGTAAGGACAAAAGTTCCATCATGAGAATTATTATTGTTGAGAAAAGAATAATATCGATAGAGGTTTTGGTGAAAAGTGCGTGTGTATTGTGAGTTGTTAATGTGTGATTCTTGGATTGCCATGAAGTTAAGTTGATAGATATCCATAAGCCGGATGATTTTGTCCAATCTACTTGATTGATTGGGATCCTTTGGAAGGATTCCATTCACATTAAGGGTTGCAATAGTAAAGTCATTCAATATCTTCATCATGCATGTCCTTTCTCTTCCCAGCTTGGACGAGTCTTTTAACGCTGTGCATTAGAGTTTCCATATTCTTAGCAATATATGATATATTGCTTTCCATATTGGAGGCTCTTTTTTCAAGGCTGGTAAACCTTGCTTCATAATTATTTGGAGTAGTAATAGTTGAGAAGTTAGAGCTTTCTTTCTCTGTTGATTGATTTGATTTGGAGATAGCTTTTTCTTTAAAGAACTGCGCTTTGGACTTGAAGGATTTTGTGATGATTATTGCCATGCTTGGTTTCAATAGGATGGACCACTTCTAAGATACGATCGACTTCAGTATCAGATTTAAGAGTCACTATGATGTTATAATATGATTCTTCAGGATTAAAAGGAGATGCCTTTTCATCGATTTTGATAGAGTTTGGGTGAATAGTAATTCCTGCTTTAGTGGTGATATCTTTAACGACGTTTACGATTTCATGTTCTTCAAAATCTGTAGAGAGGTTGATAAAGACTTCAAAACGGGAATCTTCAGCTAGTTGAGTATAAGTTTTGAGGCGAGACCATTCGGTGTTAGAGAGGATTTCTTGTAGTGATTGTAAATTCTTAACTGTAACAGTGGTTTTGAAGCAGCTTGAGTCTGGTGGTTTACTAATTCTCATAGCTATTAAACCTTTAGATTTCTCATGCCAATTGCATAGGCAGGAGATCATATGGAGAATATTGTTTTCATCGTTTCCAGTAAGATGTTGAGCGATGAACTCTGTGATTTGGAGAGACATATCAGAGATAAAGTATTTAAAGTTTGTTTGACTTTTGGCGGTATTGAGGTTCTTGATGATTTCGTCCCTTGAGCTTGATGAGGACGGAACAATTTGGAGTATGAATGGTCTTTCAGAGGGGACCCATGGATCCTTAGCAAGTTTGGAGGCCTTGAGGTGATTGAGGAGAAATTGAAGTGCCTCTTTGTTTTTGTACAAGTTGTTTGCGCAGTATATTGTTAATCCTTTGTTGAAGTCGATAGATTTCTTAGTTGTTGGGCGGGTTGATCAATGCATTTTTGCGGTCTTTGGTGTTTTTTTTGGTTGAGGTTTTTTTACCTTAGGGTTCGAGTTATCTTTGGAAGAGAGATTTTTTCTTGTTTAGGTTGTTATTGGTTGTTGTTTCTTGGTTGAATCTACGGCTTTGGTATTTGTTCTTCATAGGAATTTGTTCTTTTTTGTTGTGTGTAAGTGTGTGTGGTGTGTGTGTATGTGTATGTGTTTGTGTAGAAGATGGTGCTTGTATTTGTTTTTGGGGGAATATTGGAGTGGACATAACTGACTCATCATTTGGAGGGTTATCATTGATTTTAAGATTAGAAGTAGGTTCATGCAGTTGCTTTTCAATCATATCATTAATTACTTTAGTGAGATCATTCATGGTAGATTGTAGGTATTCAATATATTTTTCAAGGTGCGCAATTTTAGTGATTAACGAGGGATGATCGTCAGTCATTTTTTAAGGGCTCTACGACTAAAAAAATACAGGAATGGGTTTATTGAAAAATAAACAAATTATAGGTACTCAATTGTCCGACGATAGTGTGTCTAATGGGTGTGTCTCTACGACTAAAAAAATGACAAAACGGAAAAACCAACAAGGAGCCTCCAACACATCGTCCGACTCATTGAACCATCATCATCATGATCCAACAAACCCAAATGAAATCATCGTCATTAACAACAAGTATCAATTTAGAAAATCGGATACGTTGGGGAGAGGAGGTTTGTATTCAACAAGTTTTATGGATCTGTGAAAATGAGGTGTCAAACTATTTGCAAATTATATGAAAATTGATCAATTTACTTGTGTGATTGGAATGTATTTAATTTGATGGTCACATATTCATAGGTTATGGAGTTGTGTATAAAGGATTTAGATCGAGTTTTGGAGATATGGTGGCCATAAAAGAGATTCCTCTCAAAAAGCATCAAGCCCTCAAAGATATTCAAAATGAAATTAATTTATTATCGAAACTTGATCATGAACGAATTGTGAAATATATTGATCATCATTCGACGTCCCAAGCGTTTTACATAATCATGGAATATTTAGAAAATGGTAGCTTGGCATCGCTTGTGAAAAAATACAAGGTACGTTCATGTACATGTCGATTGTAGCTGTGTGATTTTAAAAATTATTATAGGTTACAGAGGATGTAGTTTCATCATATATTAAACAGGTACTCGAGGGACTTGTGTATTTACACAAACAAGGTTTTATTCACAGGTGAGTATGTGACAGCTTTGGACTTGGATCAATTTCATTAAAATAATAATTTAATATTTTTAGAGATATTAAAGGTGATAATGTGTTGCTGACACGAGGTGGCGCTGTAAAATTGGCAGATTTTGGTGTTTCTGCTTCGTTGTCACTTATAAGAAAAGAAGATGTTTCAGGAACACCACATTGGATGGCTCCTGAAGCGATCTCACAATCTGGAGTCAGCGAGAAGAGCGATATTTGGTCTGTTGGATGTCTCACTATTGAACTTTTAACAGGATTTCCACCTTATTACACAGAAAATATTTATAGAGCCATGTTTCGAATTGTAAATGACGATCATCCTCCAATTCCTTCATGTTCATCAGCAGCAGAGAATTTTTTAATGTTATGCTTCAAAAAGGAACCCAAATTTAGACCAACCGCTCAAACATTATTGAGTCATCCATGGATTGCCAAAAAACAAGAACAGGAAAAAGAACATCCAGTTCCTTCTTTCATTAATAGAGCAAGTTTTGATAGTGACTTTTCGTTTGACAGTTGGTCTTCCCTTCCCTCAAAGGAAAAGAAAATGTCAACCATGAAAACAGAGACCAACCAAAAAGTAAATTTGGAAAATTTTAAAGAAGGATCTTCTGATGACGATATTGACTTTGAAATTAACACACCGAACCTTGAGGATGGATTGGAGTTGAAACCTCATTTGCTCAAGAGCGAGAGTAATTCTTCTCAAACCTTTGAAAGCTGGGATGACATTGATTTTAAGGTGGACAAGGTAGCAGAAATACAAACAATATTAGATGAACACATTTCAAGATTATCTCCAAATAGCACATCAGATGACATCTTAAAAACATGTACAGACATAACAAAACTCAAATCTATGGTCGACAACGACGATTTTATTGCTGCTCTCAACAGGACTTTATCAAAAAGAAGTTTAATTTCAGTGTTACAAATTTTAGACAAGACTGAATTTTTGGAAGATGAAACTGTGATTACACATGTTCTACAGTTATTGAACGAACTATTGTTCATGATTGAATCACAATATAAGGAACAATTATGCCTCATTGGTGCGTTTCCAAAAGTTACAAAACTGAGCTCAACTTCCTTTAGCGCCCAATTAAGGTATGAATCTATTCGATTTTTACACAACATGTGTATTGAAAACAAGACAAATCTGAGAATGTTTATTGCAAGTGAAGGTGTGAAAACTCTTGTGAAATTTTTGAACACCAAAAAAACACAAGATTCCACAAGATTTCTTCCCAAAATGTCTTTCAGCTGTAGTATTGATTCACTCGATAACATTCAAATCAAGACCGTATTTCAATCGATTGACTTGATCGAAATGGTTCTAAAACTTCAAACTTCTCAAACAGACAGAAACGATTTTTGTAGACTTTTCTCCATGCATGATTTTCTGGGAAAGATTGCTGCTGTGTTCACCAACTTGTTGGAGGACTTTAGAGATGTAGAGGCTTATTTAGGAATTGCTCCTCTTTCTATTTCCTCCCCTTCTTTCAAAACAGTTGTGCTTTCCAAACAATTTTTATCTCAAAAAAGTGCAGACAGAGATGAAGAAAACACTTTTGCAACTGTTAAGGTCATACCAAAAAACAGTGGCCACGATGTCAAAAAGGAACAGCAAGCAACAAGTAGCTCTGAGGACGAAGATTCTTCAGATGATGATTGGGATTCATCTAGCTCATCTAGTGATGAAATGAAATTTAACACTGTCATTTATGGAGGAGATGAAACCTCTTCTTCGGATGATGAAAATACCAGCTTACCAACTACAGTAATTATCAAACAAAATTCCAAAAATGTCAACTATTCAGAGGAGAGAAAGAATTTAAACCTACTCAAAACCTACATTGATAAGATCATCTCCATGTTATTAATGTTTTCTGATGGTGACAGCGAAATCCACGTTGCTTTTTCAAACAAGACTGTCATTGATAATTTGGTGGCTTCATTTAAATACTTGAACGACTCCCAAAAGAGTCAAGTAATTACATCTCTAAGATTTTTAGCTTTTAATACCAATACTCACGAATTATTAACCTCTACAAATATCCTTAATGCTCTTGTGAGGGAATTTTCACTGGTTGTATATCGATCGGACGTTAAAGTGCTGGAAAGTGTGAATTCTAAAATTTATAACCAAGTTGTGAACAGCTTGTATTCACTTTGTGTGTTTAACGAGCAGAGACTTGACGAAATTTCACTTCATGGATGTATTAAGCTTTTGAGCCATGCTGTCATGTCTCAATTACCACTCAAAGAAATGGTGTTAAGGTTACTCTTTGGTATGGCTGTTAGAAATTGCAGTAATGAAACAAAAAAGAGATTATTGGAAGAGGAAGGTCTTGAAGCATATTTCTTTATTTTAAGACATGATAAGGCATGGGTTGCAGATGTCTTCTCTGCCCTTAGTTCACTTTTATATAATGAGTCCATCAAATCCGATGTAGAGGATTCCATTTCCAATCATTTGGACATTTTTGTTCAACTCTTTGAAGTTTCAAAAGATTTACTATTGACCATTGAATCCACGGTTCCAGGATTTGTGACATTGTTGAAACTCTCTGATAATATTACGAGTGTATGCAAACAAAATTTAGACCTTATTAAGAATTTATGTCAAAGTCTCTCGGCTGTGGTTCAAAATTATTCATCCTCATTGGATGAAGATACAGATCTATCTCCATTACTCAGAAACTTTTTGTATAGTTTATCCTTATTGCTGCCTGAAAATAATGCCGTGACACAACATGTGATTGATATTGCCTCTCGTTCCTTGTCAGAATTGCTCCAATATGCGCAAAACAAGAATCTCTATGTCATTCAGGAACAAATTGCTCCTCTTCTACAATCTGTGAAAACTCAAAAAAAGAAATAGTGATTGTCACTTGAGAGATATTCATCAAAGCTAATCAAGAGAAAATCTCAATAATTACCATGACAAGCACACTACTTCAGTAGCTGAACATATTTGATCTCAGATAATGACATTGGTGATTGTGTTTTTGGATTGCATGTATACATGAACTCTTTCCATGTCCTCATCAAATAGGAATACCACAAGTGAACATAATATTATATGAAGAATCACCAGTTCTTCACTCCGCATCGACTTGTGCACGAATCAAAAATTCTCTTTGAAACGTTTCAGCTTCTCGACTCAATTCAGAATTCACATATTCAATGAGTATTCTCCTTCGTGCAATGCTTGTGATGACAATTTCATATTCATGAAGAGGTCTCAATGCCTTATTGACCAAAGTTTCATAATGAAGAGTTGAGCTCGTCGAGAGATCAGGATGATCTTTGGAATGATTCAAATTTTCATGACAAGAAGAGAATGTTTCTTCACCATCATTGTCACTATTACTACTACTGATTTGCATGTCAAAAGGATGATCCGATGAGGATGGTGACTGTTGAGGTTGTTGTTGCTTCCTGTTGGGTACTTGTGATGATGAACAACACTTGTTAGGATTCATTTCATGATCATCTGCATCATCATCATGATGGCGAACCATTCTAGAATTAGAATGTCCTTGAACATTGAATAGGGATGAAACATCTACATGTAGATCTTCAAATTCTGGAGAAGAAGCAGCAGAATTCTGTGAACTCATTGAGGAATGTAAATTACACTTGACATGAAAGGATCTTGTCAAATAATGCATGGGTTTCGCTCTTTTATTCATGACTACTGAAGAAGAGGAGTTGATTGACAAGGAAGATGCAACGGCTCTCAATACTGAAGATGTTGTACTCGAGAACTGCAAACCTGAAGTGATGATTCCACTCGTGAGGAAGGTGCCTTGTGTCGATGATGAATGCTGGTGATGATCACAAAGAGAATGCTGATGATGATGAAATGGAAGAGAAGTAAGAGTGCTGCTGATGCCACTATTGAAGCTTCTTCTTCTTTTGGTCATGTTTGGTGGTGTGTTCTTTTCGGAAAAGGTTCGGATGGATGCATTTGGACGAGTTGTTGTTGCAATCATTGCACTGTTGCTTGTTGTTGGTATTGCATTATTACGTTGGTTCATCATGCATGATGTCTTTCCGTGATGAGAATTGAGTTTTGAAATTCCTAACGGTTTGAATTGTTTGGGATTGATGTGTGCTGGGAAGGGTAATAAGGAGGAAGATGAATTCAGATCGGGAGTGGTAGTTGTGGTGGTGGTGGTTATGGAAGAAGAAGTGGTGGTGGTGGTTGATGGTTGTTGTTGTTGCGGTTGTGACTTGTGGAGAAAAGCAAGTTGTGGAGGCATTTTGTGTGATGTTTTGATCATAGACAAACGCCTGTAACCACCACTGCTGAAAAGTGAAGAGTGATAGACAGCGTCGACGTTACTGCTGAGTGATAAAATCCAAATGAAATTCACACTCCATAAATGAGTATTTTCCAAACATGTTCAAACTAAGCGAAAGTTTCAGGAGGGTGAGCCAGATAGAAAAAGCTTCGAGAGCAAACCAGCCTGAACGTTTGAGTTGAGAGAATAAAAACCATTGGATCTCAACGAAAGGGTATCTCGTCGATAAGAGAATAAAAACCATTGTATCTTGGTAGGATTCCAACAACACTTCGACCTGGTGGTTCGAATTCTTTTTACCGCCTTTCAAAAAATAAACCGTTAAGAAATTTGAAATTAATTGCGCAAACCAAATACTCAAACAAAATGCCACCACGAAGAAGAAAGGCTGCAGCCACCACCTCTCGCAAACGAAGAGTGGTGAGAAGAAAGAAAGTGGAAGAAGAACCATCAGTGATGAATGAAACTCTTCAAGAACCTCATCATCAACAACAACAACAACAACAAACCGAATTACACTCTGAAATACAACCACCACAAGAACAACCTCCAAGCTCCAAACGATCCTCACGTAGAAAGCGTAGCCATAAAAGTACTACTACTACTGGTGGTGTTGATGGTGCTATTGGTACTATTGGTGCTATTGGTACTATTGAACAAAAACTCTCATTCCGTGATGAAGACAATATTGAAATTGAAATTCCTCGTTCCGAAGATTTGTTAGATGATCATGAATCAGCAAAGGAATCTGATGCTGAAACTCAACCTCGAACGCCATTGACTCAAATCTTACGGAAGAGAACTTTTGAATCGTGTGAGAAGGAGAATTTTCTCATGTCTGCTTCCAAGGTGAAGGAAATGTTAATGGATCAAGAACAATTAAACTTCATGAAAGAGTCTTTCAAACAAGAAGTGAAAAACAGAGTGAACATGTTAATAGCCTTTACGAAGAGTCAGTGTTCTCGATTAGAAATGGAGATGAAAATGAAGATTGCTGCTCTTCCTCGTGAAATTAGAGAGATGAAACTTGGTGAATTCCAAGAGCGTTATAATGAAGATATTGAACAATTTATTGGCAAGCAAGTGAGTGATAGTACATTGTCCTTTGAGAGGAGAGTGAATATGTTGCGACTGGCACATCAACCAAAGACTCCACGACCTCCAAAACATACCTCTGCCATGGCTTCAGTTTCCTCTTCTTTCAATAATATGAATCCACCTGCTGCTACACCTCAAGCAAAGAAGGTGAGAATGAAGAGCATCAAGAACATGAATACACCAACCATGCACAAACAGTTGAATAGCTCTGTGTTGAAATAAAGATACTTGTAAATAGAGATTGATTGTACAAATAAAGTTGTATAATATTTTTGAGAGAAGATTGATGCCATTCGAATGTACACGCAGGTTGTACTAACGCACTTGGTGTTAATTAACTTTTAAGGTCATAAATATTTAATTCAAGATTCCAGAAACATCCAAATCATCCTCTTCCTCTTGGGATACTTTTTGCAACAAGGCTTCCTTAGTGGCTGAGCTTAATTCCGAAGAGCTTATCTTTGGAATGGCTACATTCTTTTTCACAAACTCCAAGACAGAGGGTTGTTGTGTGGCTGGTTGTTTTTTCTTCTTGTTGCTTGGTTGTTCTTGTGTTTCCTCCTTTTTCTTTTCAGCTTCTCGTTTTCTCTTTTTGGCATCTTCGTTATCGATGGCACCTCCCAATTCGGAAATTCTCGAAAGAATGTCATCTGACGATGCAGAAGGTTGAGGAGCAGTGGAGGTTGGTTGCTTGTCAATGTTTGTACCAGCCTTAGCATTGAATGATTGGAAAGGATTCACTCCAGGACTCTTTGGTTGCACGCCATTTGAACTAGTGTTTGAAAGCTTCTTTTTCACACACGCGTCAACACTCTTCTTTCTTGGTCTCTTTGGAGAAAACATTTGAGGAATTGTCTTGTTTGTTGTTGAAGAGTTCTCGAAAACAAATTCCGCTTCTCCTTCAAATTTGTCACTCTTTGACGACACTGGTGAGAGAGAGGCAACAGAGCTTGTTTCTTGCGAGGAAGAAAATAATTTCAATGGCTCGTCCTCAGCAGTTGATGTTTTGTCAGTGTGGTGGCGTGAATTTTCAGTATGACCATTGCTACCTCCATTATTGTGTGAAGAAGAGGACAACATTTGTTTGATCAATTCTGTGACCTGTTCTCGAGTCATGAATTTTTCATGGTCGCTGCCACGAGGATTGCTAGCAGAGACTGCAGGGGTTACTCCTTGTTCAAAAGATGGGAAAGGCCATTTTGGATTTCTAACATCTTTTGCAGAAATTTCAAGACTTCTCAATGCAGACGCAAGCTTTGAGTCCTTTTGTGAGTCAGCATAGTTGGCGACAATGTTCATGCTCGATTTCATTCTCAACACTTTGGCAAAGTTTAGAGCCGTTGTGTATTCTTTCAATTCGATGCATCTTGTAATCAAAGCAATAACCAATCGATCAATCTCAACAATGTCTTCCTTTGTGGCAGTTCCTTTTCTGAAGGCATGATTGAAATGAACATTCCTGGTGACGTATCGAGCATAAGAAAGCCGAAGAGGTTTGTCGTGTCCCTTCTCCAATTCAATAGTAGATCCAATGAACACATCCTCAATGTTGGTTGCATTTAACTTGAAGGAAGTCATGTCATAACCAGCAGCTGGAGTAGATCTATGGTTACCACATAATATCGAGTAAATACTAGCGTCACTAATGATACTGATAAAGTGTGTAGAGTTATCATTATTTTTCTTCAAGTCACACCAAGCCGAGAATGAATCAGTATCTGGATTAAGTAAGTATAAAATTTGAGTGCTATCAAAGACATAAAGCAAATCTTTGGTCTCTGTGCCAAAACCAACCCAAAGAATCTCGTTACATGGTAATGCTTTTTGTGATTTAAGACAGCTGAAATGCGAAATGTCATACCAGTCCATGAAGAGACCCATTCCTTGTTGATAAATAATGACTAGATTGTTTTCAGAAGCACAAAGAGAAACTAGATTTCCGCCCACGGCAATATTACCAAGATTCATTTGATCTCTTGAATAAACTCTGATCAAGGAGCAACGAGTTTGACCAGTCTTGGTTTCTTTTTCAATACCTGCTGCCACAAAGGATGAGCCCAGAGTGACAAGCACAATCTTCTCGTCCGAGGGTAAACTAATTTTCCAGCTCTTGTCTTGATGTGTCACTCTCAATTTTCTGAATTGAATGACTGCGTTATGAATGAGATCGTTTGCATTGGATCCAAATACAATTCCGTTTTCATTCAAGGCAGCCACATGAGGTTTATGTTGATCGTTAAACTTCTCTTCAGAGTAACCAGCAAGGTTAAATTTGATATGGATGTTGTAATAAGGAGCACTCTCTGGAGTCATGTTCGTGGAAGAAGTGATCAAACCAACATGTTGAGTAATGGCCAAATATCTCTTGTACTCTTTCTCAACTTTTTCAAATGGAGATGAAGTAGGTTGAATGAGAGCATGTTTTTTCACAGGAACAGTGTTAAATGACGATGCGTCAACTCCAAAATCATGTTCTTTGAGGCTTGTTTGTTGCTCTTGGCTATGCATTACTTCAAGAGGCTCAATTTCTTCTTCGTCAACCAAATGTTCCTCTTGATCTTTCATTAATTCATCAATTTCGTCATCGTCTATGATCTCTTCAGCAACTTTTTTGACCTTCTTTTGTTCAGTGTTGTCGTCACCACCAATTAATGATAACACATCATCTGTGTCAATATCTTGAAGTTTCTTAATATATTGTTCATTGTCTACAACCTTATAGGTAGACTTGTGTTTCTTTTCGTTAATAAAGTGGCTAATCATGTGAATACTTCCATCCTTAGTTGCCACAAAGAATTTGTTACAAGTGTTTGACCAGTCAATTGACGTTACTACTGATTTAAGAGAAATGCTTTGATAAGGCTTAGGTTTTTTTGAAGCAAAAGATTGATATTCAAATAAATTAATGTTCTTGTCGAGATCAATTAGTGCTACATGTACAGAGTTTGGAGAGAAGGATGTGATATAGATGTCGTTCGAGATTTCTCCTTTCGTGATAGCATGCTTTTTCCATGTCTTGGAATCTTTTTCAATAATTGTGGCGTTTGGACAAAACAGAATGTCTCCACATAAGCTCCATGAAATGGCTAGAGGGCAAAAATCTGTGGTTCCTTGCTGATTATTCCAGAACTTTGTAATCTCTTTGGATATTTGTTGTTTGCTATGGAGCAATTCTTCTTCGTTGTCGATGTTAAAAACTTTCAAATCCCTGTCACTTGTTACGAACGCAACAATATTGTTGTCAGAGTTAATCTTTGAGCAAAGAACTCCGCCAGTAACTGGAATTTTAAGCACTGTTTTTGGCCTTTCAACAGAACTCACATCGACAATTTGAACAGAGCTGCTTTCTGACATACTACTAACACTAATCAAATTATTCTTATTCACACTCAAACTGGTAATTACATGGTCTGAGCGTGCAATCACACCTTCAAATTCAAAAGATGGATATTTGTAACTCCTCACATCGTTATCTTTCGAGCCAACAAACAAATGATAACCGTCCATAGAAAAGGCAGCACAAGTTGGTTCTTTTTGTTTGCACGATGAAATTTCTTTTTTCTCTTCTACATCATCGGCGTGTTCATTATGATAAACAGCAATCAGTTGACTCTTATCATCCGTAGTTATTAACACACTATCAAATTCGGAGGCAATATTTCAACAAAAATCATCACGGCCACAAAATAACAAATTTCCAATATTTTCAATGAAAATAATAATCGTTCACTTACTTTTCATGTGGATGATGAACCAACCAACAGCAACTCAATGACTTGGATTTGGATCCCAATCCACCCAATAACAGTTTGTCCATATTCAATATTTTTTTTAATTTCAAAATTTGAAATGGCGGTTGTTGTGTTTTGGCGGTTCTCTGTTGGTTGGAGATTAAATTTGGAATGTCAATATTGTTGTGATTTTGAAGTGAAGAAACTGTTGAACTGAGTTGGTAATTACTCCCTCATATAGGGAATGATCTTTGAAAGAAATTGCTTTCAATCTAAACGTAGATTTTACTGTTCCCATCTTATAATAGACTCCATTGCGGAACAGACTTAGTGGAGGCAATGAAATTTAAAGAGGATTACCACCAAAATTCTTACAGAACGATTCTCTCTCGTTTTAAAAAATTACAGTTATTAAATTTCAACCTGTTAATGCTTATTTAGGCTGAATCATTACAACGTAAAAAAATAGATGAATCTATTCGGCTGCACGTTTATTAAAGAACGACTTTTTTCTTTTTCAAGGAATGAAAATTATGCATTAGACACAAATCACTATGTTTCATAAGGTCAAAATGGTCGTTGGTGATGGCTATACCAAAACATATGAAATCGGATGTTTCACGAATCATATCGGGAATGATCCATCGATCAGTTTTCGCTCATATTAATATCGCTAAAAAAACTAACATCCTCCTCATTCGTGATTGTTTTGAAATTCGACTCCTAGAATCCCACTCTTCTCGTTACTGATTCGGATTTTCATCGTCATCACTCTCTGTATCATCAATAAAGTCGAACAACGTGGCCGTTCATCATCGCAACTGTTGGCATCAATTATAATCATCATCATTATACGTAGGGAAATTTCGCAAGATGCCTGCTGCTGTCACGTGTTCACATGGAAATTTCTCATCGCTAGTGATGACGATTATTATACAATTTGTAACATTATTCATAGGAATCAGTTACTTTGGAGCAAACGCATACGTTTTTCAAACCCGAACGCCACAAACTTGCGTTGAAGCTGCCACTAAATGTATGTAATATTTATCAGCCGCTGTCACGACAACAAATGTTCTCTAAATTTCACACAATTTCTTTTAATTTCTTTGGCACTTGAATAACCTCCTATATTCAGATCGATATGAACAGAACATACTGGGCCTCTCACCCAACGTTTCACAATACATGTATTTCAAGGAAGTGACCTGTGGTATTCAGAATGGCTATCCTGTTCTCACATTAAATTTTACGAGTGGCTCTCTCACGACCACGTCCAGCAAACCCAGCTTTCTGTACAATTCCAACTCAAACTATCTTTTGGAACCTTTTAATTTAATCTATGCTAGCTTGTTTTTCAATTCATCAACTTACATTAACACGGTTTGGCCATTCCTACATTTGAAAGACGTCTTGTTGACGGCCGAAAACTTTATGGTCACTGCTTCTGACACGGGTAATCTCTATTATGGAGGAAGTTGTGGAAAAATTATGGCCAATCCAAATGTGAAAGGTCTTTCTCTCATGTTGGGTTCTGTGTTTTTATCAAATTGTTCAATGATTGATGGATACTATGATAGTGTGGTTGGATTTGGAGCGACTTTAAATAATCCGCCACCAGATATGTCACCTACAAACCCAGCATTTGCATTGTTAACCAATTATTCAGGAAATTATTCATATTTTGGAGTTGGTTTTCAATCTTCAGGTGTTCCAAAAGTTGTTGATACATCATCAAGACTCTCTAGACTATTACGTGTCGCTTTTTTTGCTACATGTGATCTAAATGACGAATGCAGTGGAAATGGTGTTTGTATCTCAGTGAATACTGGATGTAGCTGTTTTTCAGGTTATTATGGACCAAAATGCAATTTACAAATGAACGATTTAACTCAAGCTGATCCTCAACCACCATCGAGTAAAAGCAGCACCGACGGAGATTGTATTTTATGGATTCGAGGAGAAGATACTTATGCAGATTCTATTTCAAATAGTGTGAATTATACAATCTCTAACCGATTATTCGTCCCAGGAGTGATGGGAAAGGCAATGTTTTTTGATCCGTCCAGTACTACCATCGAAGAAAGATTGGAAATTGGAAACTTTTTGTTTCCCAAAGATGAAGTGACTGTGTCTTTTTGGATGAAATCTTCCAATGAGGTTTGTAGAAATTATTTATGTGTTTTACCGTGAAATACTGAATGTTGAAACTTTTCTTGAACCAACTTAATGATTTTTTTCGAATACTTTTTAGGGAAGTCATTTGGAAAAAGGAACTCCATTGGCTTATCAAACAAGTGATCTTAATTTTGGTTTTTTGATCGACGACTACCGAAGTTTAAAGCTATCCGTGAATAGTTCTTATGAACCTCGTTCAAAGCTGAACGCAACCACTACTTTTGACACCACTATTAATTTGAATACGAATGCATGGTATCACGTTTTAGTAACATGGAGTTCCTCTACTGGTATTTTGAAACTTTATTTGAACGGAAATTTAACACAATTTGTCACAAATTATAAGAAAAATATTTCCATTCAACCTGGAGGAACATTAACGATTGCAAACCAAAGAGTGTTTTCCGCTCAAAAGACTGCCACTTTTACTTCAACCAATCGATTCAGAGGTTATTTAGACGAAATTGCAATTTTCAAGCGAGTATTGAGTCCAACGGAGATTTCAATTCTTGCTGAACCAGGTATATTTTGTTTTGGAAAATCTAGTAATGATCCAACGGTTTGCAGCGGAAGAGGCTCGTGTGTGTCATTTAACAAATGTTCTTGCTTCGCAACTGCGAATGGAACTCAATGCGAGACCTGTAATCAAGGTTATGTTGGTGATAAGTGCCAATACGTGACATGTGCTGGAATACCATCTTACAACTCTTCTGTTTGTTTAGGAAGAGGCGATTGTGTTGCAGTTGACACCTGTGCATGTACCTATACTTACAAATTTAGTGGACCCAACTGTGAGAATTTCACATGCAACAATGGAAATGGTTGTCAAAATGGAGTTTGTACAGTGAACCAAGGTAATGAAAAACAACCTGTCGACAATATTTGTAAATGCAATGCTGGGTTCTATTCAGATAATAATCAATGCTATTTCAATAAGTGTAATGGAAAACCGGCTACCGATCCAAATGTTTGTTCTGGAAAAGGTTCTTGTGTTGGCTTAAATACCTGTAATTGTAATCAAGGTTATCTTGGAGATAATTGTCAGTACAGCTATTGCAATGGTATTCCATCCAATGACACAAAAGTTTGTCATTCAAGAGGAACATGCACAGATCGAAGATGCTCTTGCAATTGGGCTTTGCCAACCAACTATGACGAGACTACTTGCAGCTGTTTGAATTACAAAACTGATTCAACATGTTTGAGCACAGTTCCTAAGGCCTCTGGCGATTTGACAGCTACAAGTCCACAACCTGATCAATACTTTGTGTTGGTACCTCCACAAAATCCAAAAATTCAAGTGACCATGCAAGACGTACCGTCCGTTGGATACATTGCGATGAATACCTTTAAGAGCAATTTGTATTGTTATTTAGAATTTAACTCACAATTAACAACTTACACAGCAGCAAACGTATTAAGCCAGCAAGATAGACCCTGGTGGAATTATGCATTCAACATTGAATGTATGTTAGATGTACCGCCAGGGCAAACAAATGGAACTCTGACCATACGATATCGAGACGTCTATACTCCAGATAATGGTTACATTATTGCGAAATTACCTCAAACCGTTGTTGTGAAAAACTTTGCTCTCACTGCTTACAGGTCAAATGTCATCATTTCTGGAGATTCAAAAATTTATGTTTCCTATAACGTTCCACTTCCTATCAACTCGGATATTTACCTTTTCAGTAGCTCAGGATCTACGACACTCTCTCGTTCCTTGGAGACTATTAATTTACTTGAAGGTAATGCATATTACAGTTTAACCATGTCATCCTCAAACTATCTATCAAATACCTTTGCATCCACCCGCATCCAATATATGGGATACAGTTTGAGTTTTTTACTTTTTAATCAAAATACGACGACTACCTATTTATATCCAAGCAGTGTCATTGAAAATGCGTCAGGGGGTAGATCTGTCTCTTTTGTTATACTTGTACAAGGACCTCTCACCAATGTGAACTCGGATTATAACTGTGTGCTTAAAGGAAATTTAGGTGCAATTAACAACGTGGGTGTGATTGGAATTCAAACAAACTCAACAACTTCCATTGTGACGTGCAACCCGACAATTATAACAGTTGCAGATCGGTATTCAGTGTCGGTGGTCTATATCGGTAAATCACAAAGTGCTATTAACTCAAATTATGCAGTCGGAACATCCCTTACCATGGATATCGTGAATGTTCAATCCATCGCAAGTGAAACAGTTTTTGTGACTCCTGACCTGTCAGTTGTCAAATTTAGATTTTCCACTAGTGTTCCTTATTCAGGTTCACAATACAGTTATGTATGTGTATCGAGTAACAACACAGTTTCAAACGCCGTTCTGACCGGATCAAGCATTGAATGCAATGTTGCCATTCCGTATGAGAACACTACCACCACTACCTCTCTTTCCATTGCAGTGAAACACAACTTGTTCATGTCCCAATACGTGTCACTCTTCAGAGCACCTTATATTTATCTCCTGAAGCAAGATATATCCTCTACTGTTCCTGCTGTACTTCAATGGAATCTTGGAAGAGTCAATGCCATTTTGAAAGTTTTTATTAACATTTACAATGACTTGAAGCAGAGAACATACTGTTGCCAAATAGATGGTAATACTTTTCAAGGTGTGGTCATTGGAAACAGAGCAGTGAGTTGCAATATTGACTATGCACTTTCAAATCCAAGCTTTGATAGCAATGGAATTTATTACACATCTCTTACTATTGCAGCTGACAATGGACAAGCTATCATTCCAGTATCAAATCCTCTTACTATTCCTATTGCTGGTAATTCTATTATTATTAATCCTCTCCAAACGAGTCGATTTTTATATTCTGAGAATAAGGCACAGAATTTCACACTCCAAAACTTTAAGCTTGATAAGGCAAAGTTCAACTGTTCAAATCTTTCTATTCAATTGAACAATTATGAAGGATCAAATTCTGTGGCAATTTTCCCAGCAGTTATACTTTCTGACTGCTCTGTGATCATCATGTACAATCCAAACACTGTATTATTTACAAACGAATATTATCCTGCAAATATTACTCCAAAAATTGAATTTGTTTATTCAGAGTCAGAGAAGAGTCAATTAATAGTATCTACTTATTACTATTTTGTGAGCAAATATTTACAAATTTCAGAGTCTTTTCCTTATTTGATTGATTATTTCATTTCACAAACTTTGAACAGCATTCTTTTGAAAGTCATTGCTGATGGTAAGATCAACACGAACTTTGAATACAAGTGCATTTTTGGAACCAACGAGTACCCTGTCACGGTTTTATCAAGTGAAGTATTTAGATGTGACATTTCCTCAACTGCATTTGGAGTTTCTTCACCTTCGAGTCTCAATGTTTACCTCAATGTCTCTAGAGAAAAAATCAGTAACGATAATATCATGGTTCAGGCAACAAGAAATAATTTCTACATTTCATTCACAACAACCAAGTTTTCACCCAATTATATGAACGTTGCTGAGGATTCACCAATTATTTTCAGCTACAGCAACTCCACTCCAATTATTGATACGGGCTCATATTTTAACAATTACTATCAAGTGGATTTGTATTCCTCTGCTCTCACTGTTCCAGTTCCTTGCCAAAAAACGGCATCAAAACAGATTCTCTGCAATGTGACATCGAATTTGCTATCAATTACCAATTCAGTTCAATCTTTTACTCCAACCATGAGGTCTATTATTTCAATTGACGGCACTAACTATAATACCATTCTCACTACCATGAGCCAAAAGGTTATTTCTTACAAACTTCAGACTATTCAAAAAACCTATCCTAAAGCGTTTATTTCAACCTCTATTTCACCCATTTACATTCAAATTCAGACTTCGTATGATCCAACGCTAAGTTTACAATGGGATTGTTTTTCACAATACGACCAAGCAAATTCAAGTATTAGATGGAATGCTAATTTTTTACAAAATGGAATTCTGATTTGCAATGTGGACAGTACAATTATTAATACGGCAGTGAGTGGTATTGTTAATCTTGGAGTTTATTTCTCTGTCAATAGTTTCACCATGGACAAACAACCTTTACAATACTCAACGTTCAGCCCCGCCATTTACTCTCTTACCACAGGAACCACCAAAATTGCATCCAATGACACAATCTTAACTGTCGGATCTTCTTTCGCCTTGAATATTACACATGCACAAAACATTCCAATGGAACTGATCACTAACGGTTTGGCTGTTTGTGTTTTGGGAAACAATTTAGTGGGCTCAATATATGGAACGTTGACATTTATGGGTGGAAATAAGTATTCTTGTTCGTTCCAGACAACTTCTAAAACCTATGGACTTTTAACACTCACCGTTGGATATTATGAAATTTATTCCACTCTTTCAAAAGTATTTGAATTTTCACTTTCCAACAACACCGATCAATTGATTACTACAATACCACTGGTATCCATTCAATCAGTGTCTCAGAGTTTTGTTCAAACCTTCAAGCCATTTTCTCTTTTAGTTGCTACCTCCTTCAACACAACAGCATCTTTTGGAGTTCCAACTTCATATGTGTGCATTTGGGAAAATAGCACTGGATCGATACGAGAAGTTGCAACTGTAGTGACTAGAGAAGGAGTTTTTAACTGTTCACTAACAGAAACCATTTCTGGACTTTACAAGCTTTCTATTGGAATTATTTTGAATTACAAGCCATCCAGTCGAATTACCAATACTCCATCTCAAATTAGTGTCATTGGTGGATCCTTTTTCACACCTTCCTATGGTCTCATTGGTGGAGATATGGTCACAATGTTAGCTGACTTTGCAAATACTCCAACCATCAATGCATACATGATTGGAGATAATTCTTCAGTATTTACATGCTCCTTCGTGAGTGATCAAAAATATTCGTGCACCACTCCAAATTTACTTTCCAATCCAAATTCGTACCGAACCTTTTATCCATATCCAGTGAAAGTGAACAACAATCGAATGACCGTTTCCTACATACCTTACATGCAAGTGAATGTCACGAATGTGTTTCCTCCATTTGTGTTGGAAGGAAAATCCTCCGAAGTGACCACCACATTCTCAGCTCCATTGACCCTATACTCAAACACAACGTTGGTGTTGGAGTTCTTTGACGGATTTAACACAAAGATTCAGAATACTCTTGATTTTTCACAAATTCAAAACACATCCACCTTGAAGGTATCTTCATATTTTGGAAAGGCAGCAAATTACATCATCTCAGCTTCAACAAATCACCTTGTGGATGGTTATCCAGTAATTATTAATATTGTTTCGAATGGTGGTTTGTTCCAAGTGTTGCAACCTTTTGATGTTCAATTTTCTTCTACACAAAGTGATATTTTACCTGTCAACTTGTTAAACGAGCTGTCGTTGGATATAAATTACAGATCACTCACTCCAACAGATTCTGTCAAACAAAATTTATATTGCAATATGGGAGGTCAAATCACAAAGGCTCAAATCAGTAGTACTGGAAATGGTGTTGACAAGTTAAAATGCAATGTGACAAGTGCATCCATTGGAAGCAATTTAGTCAGTATTATTTATTCAAAGGATGGTTATGTGGAAACATTGAGCTCTTTGATTTCAATCTATTTTGAGAGAAATTATGCTCCTCTTAATGCGACACCATTTGTTTCATTAACTAGCCCAGTGGATGTCGCCGTAGTGCTGAGTGGAAATCCCTTCGTGACGTCTGATCTACTTTTTGTCTGTGCTTCAGACGCAGCAACTGCTCTATTAGCTTCTGAAGCCATTGTTTCTGGAAGTAATATACAATGTCGAAACCTTAGAGGAAACACAAAAACAGCGTTTGACGTTTATGTCATGAGTCGACTTCGCCAAATTCCTTACAAATTGACTTCTTTGCAATTTAATGTTTATTTCCAGAGTTTGCAATCGATCTATTTTATTAATCCATTTGTCACTACACTCACTACAAATTCATTGAACCTTCCAGCCATTCAAATCTCAATTCCTGACATTCAAGTTCTTGAAACTGGAAAAGTAGTCTGTTTGGCTTATCTTGGCTCTAATTTACAGCAAGCCGTTTTATTGAACCAGGTTACACAAGGAACAGTCAATTGCCCATTCACTAAACAAATTACAAGCTCTATTGGTTCTAAAGGATATGTTGATATCTGTTTGGGTATCTATGATGATTTCTCAAAATCATACATCTTGATCACAAATAAGAAGAAACTGACCTATGTCAGTTCTCCTATTGTCATTGCTAATTGGAATTCGGGTGACATTTCTACATCAAATTTCAATGGAAAATCATTCCAACTTAATTTTGATACTTCTGCCTCTAACTTGAATTATAATGTTAAAATTAACAAGGATAGTGTATATTTGGATTTAGGTAGTTCAGTAGATAGTGGAATTTTATCATTTGTAGCACCATATATTGTTTCCAAGCAAAACTACTCAACGAATTCCCCATCCAATTATATTGCTGAACAATCGATTCCTGTAAGAAAAACCATGTTGCTTGATGTCATCAATACGGATATTCCAGTCTCTAATTCCCTTCGAGTTTCACAAATCAGTATTACTTCTCTCATTGTTTATGATTTGATGGATGTTGACAAAATTTCACCTTATGTATTCTCCATTTCTGATATGGTGACAAGAGGAAGTCGATTCAGTAAGGCCATGATGAGCTTTTCGAAATATTCCATTGATTCTAATTTTTCTTCAATTACTTGTAAAGTTTGGAATGGAGCAAGTTCTTTCAGTGTGCCTATTGTCCCCCTATCTTCCACAAGTGTGGAGTGTTCACTTCAACAAATCACTGGAACACCTGGAAAGTACAACATTCAACTCGAATATAATTCCAATGCCATCACTATTGCTAAATCCACTACACTCTTACAAACTGGATTGTCACTATCTAGTAGTAACACAATTGGTTCTTCATTGGGAGGCACGAACATTTCACTTCCTTTCATCATTGATTATCCAACCAATCAAACTTGGAACTCGTATTCCTATTCCATGTCATTCCTGTATCAAAATAATTTAATTCCATTTTCATCATGTTCGAACGCCATGACAAGTGTTATTAATTGCATGACACCAAAGATTGATCTTGTATATTTGAAATCACTTCAGTTACCAATTGTGGTGTTAATTGACAACAAACCATCCATGACATTGAATCCTCCGCTTTCAATTTTAAGACAACCTTTAGTGAGCTCCATCTCACCTTCATTTATTGATCTTCAAAAAGTATACACAGTTAGTGATCAAATGACATTTACTTTTGATTCAGTAGTGGATTATAGATTTAAACCAGCCGTGCGCTATCGAACCATTTCCAATCCACAATTAGTGACCAATGACATTTGGACATGTTACAAAAATTCAGCAAATTCTATCAAGTGTCCAATGCCAAACATTGTCACCAACACACCTGGATTCATTCTTGTAGAAATTAGTTTTGACGCTTTCCAATCATTTTACACTCATTCTTCCACCATTGAAATGAGTACAACTTCTTCCTTATCCATTTATCAAGTGAGTCCTCAACTTGTGGAAATGTTCACACCAACCATCGTGTCGATTACGTTATCAAATGCTCCAAGAAATGTTCAACCAAAAGTTAAATTGTTTGATGATAGCATGAGTGTGATTTATGATGCGTCATTTAGTGACATTTCAAATCAAATCACATTTTCGACAAGAGTGATTTCACATCCAACTCGTTCACTTTCATACAAGCTCTCTCTTGCAATTTCAATTGACAATGGGTATTCTTATATTAGCAAAGGAGATTCTATTAACTTTTATTCAAGTACCGTTTCTGTTTATCCAAAACAAGGAATCGCCGGACAGTTTGTGAATATTACTTTAAATGGAGTTCCAGAATCGACACTTTCTTCTCAAATGGGGTTGAAACTACGATTGAATGGAGTTGAATATTCCACTACACCATGTTCCATTTCTTCCAATCAATACTTTTGTTTGACTCTTCCAAATAGTGCAGGTATTTACAACATCATTCTTTACAACAGAGATACTTTTGAAGAATTAAGAGGTTTTGGAAATTTAATGTATAACATTGTCGATCCACCTCTTTATCGTGGTTTATATCCATCTCTCGTCTTCTCTTTCACCCCAAAAATTTCAATTCAAGGAACATTTTCACAGAGTTTCGACAAGAATCAACTCTTTGCAAAAATGTCTCTTGTGAATAACAATGCTGTGAAAAATTCGAGAAGTATTTTAGGGTCTGAGACAGAAGCACCTCTCTCAGTGATTGTTGTGGGACCTACAAGTATTGACCTTGCACCAACGTCTTCATCCAATGCATTGCCTTCTGGTGTTTATAACCTCATGCTATCCGTTGATTCTGGACTTACATTTACGGTTGTGCAAACCATGAATTATACAAGCGCTCTCTCGATCAAAAGAATTCGAAATGCAACTCCTGATTTTGTATTGGATGGGCAAATTTTGACCATTGTTCCAAATAATTTGTACATTTCTTTTGATAATGTCATTCCATGCTATGCAGCTTCTTCACTGAAATTCCTAATTACAACTTCATCAAGTCTTTCTTCAATTTCAATTAGTTTGGATTCAATTTATGCTCAATCAAACACGACAAGTAGTTCAGTATTTGAATGCAGTAGTACAGAAATGTATGTCTTATTCCCTGCTCTCAATGGGACGTTGTCTCAATACTCATTGCTTGGATTTCCATTTACTGTTTCATTTGGAATTACTTTTAATGACGTTGACATTTATTCCACTTCTGTCATTTTGAAAAACAAGTATGATGAACCACGTCTGGTCAGTGTTTATCCATTCATCATTGAACGATATCTTCCTACGACAGTGGTTGTTACAGGTGAAAATTTATTAGCAGCTGTCGGATGCCAATTTAATTTACCAGACTCTACGATCGTACGAGTTCCAAAAATTCCAGGCAATGTCATTTACGAGTTTTCCTGTCAAATTTCATACCAAATTGCAAATTTCACACGTTTCACTGTTCAACTCTATACTTCAAAACAAGAGCTCAGTAATAGTTATTACATGTACACTCATGAAAAACTCAAAATTTTGAGTGTCCATCCAAAACAAAGTTGGACCTATGAAAATATTCCAGTGACACTAGTTGTGGAAGGAATTGATCCCTCTCTCAAAAATGTTCAAGACCTACGAGCCATGTTTGGATCCTTCCTCACCAGTGAGCCATGCAGTATCGAATCAAGCAACACTGTCACTTGTAAATCTCCAAAACGTGAAAAAGGTTTCACATCCATTTCAATCAGTTATAATAGACGAGATTGGTACACTTTGAATGGAGAACTTTATAACCCTTCTACTCTTTCGACAGAAGCCAAGTCCATGTTTGAGTTTGTTGCATGTCCTGCCGGCTATGGAAGTCCATCTTTTAGAGAACCATGTTTGGAATGTAAACCAGGATTTTACAAACCAAATAATGGAAGTAATGAATGTATCAAATGTGCTCAAAATTCATATTCCACAGGTTATAGATCAACTGAATGTATTCAATGTCCTGTGAACTCTTTCACACTTGCTGAAAGTGCAAATTCTTTGGAGCTCTGTATTTGTAAAGCTGGTTATTACTTGAATCCAAAGCCAAAATCAGACTTGACAGATTATTGTGTACCATGCGATTCTACAAGTATGATTTGCAATCCAGGCTCTAAGCATCCTTTACCGAAATATGGATATTGGATTGGTACACATGATAATTATACAGTTTATAGTTGTGTTCCAGCAGAAGCGTGTGGTGGATATTCTATCAACAACTGTACGACTGGATATGTTTCTGGCAAATGTGGAGCCTGTGACATTGGATATTACAAATTTAATGGATTTTGTTCAAAATGTGGATCTGATGCTATTTGGAGATTATTAGGTTTTGGACTTGTAATGATTGTAGTCGTTTTGGCATTCTTATTAATCAGTAGTATTAAGGTTGCTCACTTGGCGTCTATTTCCATTGCTCTTTCATTCTTCCAAGTGGTTGCCATGTTTACAAAATATCAAATCAAATGGCCAGTAGCGATGGAATATTCTTTCACAGCTAGCTCAGCAACCATTTTCAACTCTGATTTTATTAATCCAAAATGTATCTTCCCTGAAATGAGCCATGTCACAAAATGGTACATTGTAACTCTGTTCCCATTCTACATTTTGATTCTATTTGTCATTTTATTTATTCTAGGAGTTATTCGAAATGCTATTGTTAATCGCTATGGGCATCATGTGAAATACGAATATTGGGAACCCTATCGTTATCACGATGATATAGATGAAGCTGAATATCTCATGCAAAAAGAAAAAGAAAAGAACGAAACTACCAAACAAAAGATGGTTCGAAAAATCAAAGAACAAATCTATGATTGGAAAATTTGGGTTAAAAATTTGTTGGTGTGGGTGAGAAATCTCTTGGTATGGATGTGCAAAGAAAAGATGACACCTCGTCAGATGAAAATTTTCTTTAATCAGCTCATCAACGGATTTACTGCATTTCTCAGTTTCACCTTTTCGTTTATCATTTCACAAGCTAGTGACATTTTCTATTGTACTTCACAACCTGATAACACGTGTGCACTAGTTGCAAGTCCAGATATTAATATTGGAGATTCACAATGGTATGCCATGTTACCATTGTCCATTTTATATTTTATAATCTTTGGTTTGGGATCGCCTGTGTTCTTTTTGGGTCTCTTTATTTACAAGAAAAAGTTGAAACATCAAATTAGAAGAGATTTATTGATTCACAATCCAGATTTGTCGAAACAAGATTTGAAGAAGATGAAATGGAAAGCTAAGAATCCAGTCTTGTTGGAGAAAGTGAAAGACTTTGATTTGAGATTCAAATATATTCAAATGAGATTTAAGAAGAGATTATTCTATTGGGAAATTATTATTACTTTTAGAAAGTTACTTCTCTCTATTTTCAATACCTTTTTATTGCCTTTACAAACAGTGACATTTGCATTAATTACTGTGTTTGTGGCATTTTTGTTGCATTCTCAATTTGTGCCTTTTAAGACCAAATTCCACAACTTGCTGGAGTGGGTTTCATTAGTGTGTACTGAGTTAGTTTTATTCTTTGGATTACTCTTTTTAGTGGACAATAATGTGTGGCTAGGAAACAGTTCGCTACGAAGTTTCTGTGAATGGATTGCAAGTATTGTCATTGTGACTTCAATTGTTATTGTGTTGGGCATGTTGATTTATGATATTTATGTGAGAAGAAAGAAAGACAGGAAAAAGGAACGACAAGCACGTTTGGAGCTCGAAAAGAAATATGGTAAAGAAAATGCAAAGAAGCTTCAACAACTCTATAACAAGCTTTTTGGTAATGCCATGATCAATATGACAAAAGTTATTTTGCTCGATGAAGATGAGAAAGAAAAGTGGAACATTGTTGAAAATCCATTATGTGAAACTAACAATCAATTTGAAGATGATGAATGGGAAGTTGTTGAAAATGAATTATTTATTCCTGATGATCAAGCTGCCTATGCAAGAATGAAAACTGCCAAACGAAAAGTAGAGTTCAATTTAACTCTCTTCGAATCAGATCATGAGTCAAGTGATGAAGATGAATGTCACACTATTCGTGATATTATGGAAGGCCTTGTGAACTTGAAACGTCTTCAAAAGAAGGTTCGTCTCGCAAAAGCTAAAGGAAGAAAAATGAAAAACAAGTTGGACAAATCGAAAGCAAACAAAATTCTTCAAGAAAACGAAAAATTACAAGCTGAAATAGAAATGTCACACAATTTAGAAATTGAGGCCTATTCTCAAGCACGTCTAAGATTGGATTCTCAGGTCAACTTATCCCCACGATATAGCAATAGGTCTCTTTATTCTCACGACGAAGAATCATCTATTGAGAGTAGTCCAAACGTTTCCTCGAGCGCTTTTGAATTTGGTTTTCAAAACTCTCCTAGAACTCCAAAAGCTAAGCGTAATGTCACATCAACAGCCAGTTTACCAGCAGCATCCGAGGAAGTGAGAATTGAGGAGTTTTAAGCCTACTTTCAAAGAGAATTAGTTTTGTGACAATATGTTTCTGTCCCTCAACAATGTTCCTATTTTACCGATTTGTTGAACAGTTCTGAGTAAAATGTTTTCACTCTCTGCAACATCTCTGCATGCTTTTGGATTTGCTCTTCTTTCAAGTATGGTGGCTCTAACAAATAGGACAAAACACTTGGCTCCTTCCCCAGCAACACAGAAATACATTCTTTTACACATGACGCTGTTTCTTCAATGTTGTAACCACCTTCCAAGGCACAGACAACCTTCCCTTTTGCTAGCTCCATCAGCAATGCTGTGAGATGGCCGTACACTTGAGGGGAACACAATTGGCCTCCAAGCTTATCACCTTTCACAGCATCAAACCCTGCTGAAACAAGCACCAGGTCAGGATTGTAAGATTTTGCCAAAGGGATAACAATTTGCTCGAACGCATTTAACAATTCCTGGTCTCCATACACCTCATCGAACGGAATATTAACAATAAATCGCTTAGCACCGTCATAGCTTAATTGTTCCAAGTTTCCAGTGTTAGGATAAAAATTGTTTCTTGTTTGATGTAGAGAAAAAAAGAGCACTTCTGGTGTTTCCATTATTGTCTCCTCTGATACATCTAAAAACGTGCTTCTAAATTGCTCCTCAAATATTGCTTGAGTGCCATTACCATGATGAACATCCCAGTCCACAATCACAACTCGCTTTGCAAGACCTCTTTTAAGGGCAGCATTTGCTGCCACTGCCACATTGTTTAAGAGACAAAAACCAGATGCTTTGTCAGAATAGCAGTGATGTCCAGGAGGCCGAATAACAGCAAAACCATTGTCCAGCTCTCCCATTAATACTTTTTGAGAGAGGTCCATTAAACCTCCACACGCTAAACGTGCAGCATTACCAGATTCTTCAGTCACAAACACGTCAGTTGTGTGATTGAACATATCCAATCTTGAGGCCATGACAGCATCTACATGATGTGGTGAATGAGTCCATTCTAACTCCTCTCTGGTGGCTTTTCGTCCCTCCATAATTGTGCACAATTTGTCAAAATTATTATCTTCAATACATGAACTCCAGATTGCAGACAACCGAGCAGGAGATTCGGGATGTGAAGCTCTCCCTACATGGCTCTGCATTCTTCGATCAAAAACAATACCAGTTCGTTTGAGAGGTGTTTGTATCTGACTGGCAGACTGTTCGAATGAATCATCGTCACTCATCGTTTGTGATCTCATTGTTCCGCTGACAATATAAGAAGCAAAAGGAATAACTGTTTGATCCATTAACATACACATTCGGCCACAGTCTTGTTGTAAAATACAATCTTCTTCCAAATCAAAGAAATCAGCAATGGCTTTGATGTCCACTTTGTATTTCAGAGCATTGAGAATAGACGATTTTTCAAGTGATTCTTCATTTACTGTGTTATTGGTTGCAATATTTCCTTCCATAGAATCTGATACATTCGTTGTGGTTCTGGCTCGATTTGGTTGCAGAGAGTGAGCTGATTCCGTTCGGAGCTTTTTAAAAGATGAAGGAATTCTATGAGGCTTGATTTCAATAAGAGGAAATTTGGCCTCAATCACTTGTTGGTTGTCTTGTTGAGAGAAAGATCCCGAACAAAGCGATGAAGGTAAAGGCTTGACGTATCGAACCGTAATGTAAGGAGCAGGTGAGGTGGTCTCTGAAGATAAAGACATTTTTTTAAAAACTGTAATTTTTAAAATCACTTTTTTGGAAACATACAAAACAATTAGTTCTTTCTTCTTGATGATCATCGTCAAAGGTAAAAGGTTGACATTCTCAAAGAGTGACGGAAGAGGGCATGGTGGAAATGAAATGTTCGGCAGTGGGAGCATCTTCTTTTCCGTGAAAGACTTTGGAGAAAATTGATAAATTATTCTTCTTTGATGGAGAAGTATTCGTGCTTGGCTGTTCGACAGAGATAGAAATTTCAAGCTCGTCTGTCAATTCGTCTTCATCAGCAGCGACTTGTTTATCGCTGCTTTCTTCTGACTCTTCATCCAAATTTTCTTCAGAGTCGTTCTTTAATTTACTGTCTGACTCGTTGTCCTGTGAAATTGAGAAAATGACAGCTTTGAACTTGTCTTTGAAAATGTCACTTGACAAAACTTCCTTAAACAATGAAGCAATGTGATAGGCTGGGTTTGAGTGAGTATTACCACATCCAAAGGAGCCAATTACTAGCGAGTCATGGCCTTTTCTTAAGGCAATTTCAAAATAGGAAGCAATTTTCTTTTTGATTGAATTCGCCAATTTGCTTGTAACAAACAATTCATATTGTATATCTTCATCGGAGTGTTCATCATTTTCTGTCACAACTGTAGAAGGGTCAGCTACTTTTCTCTTCTCTGTGGGAGGATTAATGTAAGGATACATGACCATCATGCTGATCGTGGCAGGATGTTTACAAAATGCATAACCCTCACTCTTTGGTTGACGAATCACTAAACAATGAGGAACATAAACACCTCCAAATTCTGGCAATGGATAAGTCCAAGTTCTGTTTTCATCAAAGCGATAAGGGTCAGCCAATGCAAGAGCCAAAGCCGATCTTCGGCACACATCCTCCTCTTGAGTATTTCCTCCTTTTGAATACGACCCGGCAGGTGACGTTTGGCTGCCACTAATCAAAATCAAGGGATTCATTTTGTTGGATCTTTTCAACATCAGTGCAGTTGACAGGACGTCACCCTCCACAACTTGAATAATTGTGTGATGCAAAGCATTTGTATCCTCTAATTCCTTGTTGTGATGATGTTTTGAGGGTTTTTTTGCTCCTGATGAAGTAATATGCACAACAGAATCATATTCTGCACAATCAATTTTTTCAGTTTGACAGCAAGTTTTCTTAATGCTGTTAAAATCAATATGAACGGTTCGAACTGGGACGCCCTGTTCTTCTTTAAAGTTGTCTTCGTTAAGCAATTGATCCTCTGTGCCTTGTTCCTCTTCTTCGATTTGCTTTTTTGAATTCTTATTGCCATTTTTTGCATTCTTTTTCTTTTGTTTCTTATCCTCTTTCCACTCATTCAATTCATATAAAGGTTCTTTATCCTCTTCTCTCTGTATTTCGAATCCGTCAAATGTTCCATCATCACCATTGTCATCATCGTCATCAAGATCTAAATCTTCCTCTTCTTGTTGCTTCTTTTTCCTTCTCTTCTTTTTGTTTTTCTTTGATGTTGCAATATTTTGTTGATCTATTTCATTCCTTTCATCTTTAACAATAATTTCTTCAAAATTCTTTGATTGAGTTGCTAATGAGGATTCTAATGTTGTCTTGTTCGTTTCTTGAGAAGAAAAAGAGGCGGTATTGGGTGATGATTTTCCACCCTTCTCCTCTCCATCCTCTTCCACAAAGTATTTACCTCTCAATAAGGTTTGCAATGTTCCCATTTGAACTAATTTACGTAAAGCTCTCCTCACATTGGCATATTCCTTCCACCGATGTTCAAAATAGAAGTAGTTCCAATCCTTTGGAGAAAACAAGTATTTCGTAAGAGCCTGTGCAAGCTCATTGGTCTGTTCTTTGGTTCTCATATATTTCAGAATTTTCTCATAATATTCACGAGGAATGTAATACTTTGGAGGTTTGAGAGCTGTAGTTCTTGCTCCGATGGTAATTCCAAGAGGTTGAGAATGGGCTGCAGCAAGAGGAGCAGCATTATGAAGGCTCGCTTTGCTACAGTAATAATCATTACAACATGAGAAATGTGTTCGGGATGATCATCATGATGAAACATTTTCCGATCGGAAAGGATAAAACCATAATGAATATTTATCATCATGATCATCAAAACCATTGAATATTTAATTGTTTTCCATGGTAATCATCATGAATCATTTCAATCGGATATATACAAATGACTTACTTTCGATATAATTCTCTTCTTCCCATTTTTTTGGATTTGACAACAAGATCGAATTATTATCCTCCACCACAACCCTATCAAAATATAAGTTCGACAAGATGTTTGAAGAGTACAAGATGCAATTCAGAATGAACCAACAATGAAGATTGCATCAATGAATTACTAAATTAATAATTAATTAATATTACATCTTGAAGAATTAAGGGAAGAAATAACCTCTTCATGTGTGGAGCTGCCTTTGTTGGTCCGATAAGGTTTTTTAATTAACAATGTCTTGAAAAGGAATATCATGAAAAGTAAATGATTTTCTTTATGGAGCTCGTAAGAATCTTTTGTGGCACGTCAACTGTCAAAGGTGAAAAAAATTGTGCAAAGCCTGAGGACACCTTCTCTTCTCTCGTATCGTTACTACTCACACTCCGACCACCACCACCAACACATCAAACGCACTCTATTTCTTTCATCATCATTCTCCCAACAAGAATAAAATTTTTTCATCATGTACGAACAATTGGTTCAACAGAAAAAGATTGAAAATTATTTGAAGAAGTTAAAAACAGGTGAGTTTTCCAATTTTGTGTTATATTAAAAGACGAATCGTTCTGGATGATGAACAATTTTGTGTCGTGTGTATTCAATTTATTATTATTGTCATAAACTCTTTTTCGATGATGACATCAATGAATGATGGGAATTGACCACTGACACATGACTCTTGATTCTATCATACAACCGTCATGATGATGATGATTCGATGATGATGTTCATTGTGTCTCATTCTCCTTTTCCTCACTGTGTGGATATATATATACTACTACTACTAATGGTTTCATGACAACACTTCCATTCATTATCATCATTCGTCAATATTTCACACACACACTCATGAATCACTCGTTCATCATCATGACTTTTCAATAATTACAACAAACAACAACAACACTTTCTCAACTTGATCTCTCAACATTTCACACAACCAACAACAACACAATCATTTCAACAACAACTGAAACAAATCATTCCATCATCAACGTCATCAACAACAAATCATTACATCAACAACAACAACAATAACAACTGAAACAAATCACAACAACAACAAATCCCTTCAGGATTCAAATGCATCAAACATGGTCGTCAAGGTTCTCCACACGAACGATGGGTCTCCATCAGTTCGAATTTTGACAAAATTATTTGGAAACCCATTCAAAACGATAACAAATCGAATAAGAAGTCCAATGAATCCATTTCAATATTCACAAAAATTGAAAAGGGTTGTAACACAAAACCATTCAAACGATCCAAGAAAGTGAAAGAAGAATTATGTTTTTCATTGATTGGTGAAGAGAGAACATTGGATTTTGAATTTCAAACCACTGAAGAGAGAGATTATTGGTTTGAAACGTTTCAAGCAGTGTTGGCATTGAATCAAAAAGCTTCGAATGCTGCATTGTCCAACAATAGTAAAGCTCAAGATCTTGACAAGGTGGCCAATGCGTTGAAAAAGTTTCATTTTGATATTGAATCGAGTGTGTGGAAATTTAGCAAAGTACTCACAAAGGGTTCCACATTTACGGATGAAGATTTTGCTTATTTGGGTTTAGCATTGAATGGAAATCCAAAAATTGAGACATTGGATCTCTCAGATATCAAGTTGACAGATCGACAATGTATTCCAGTGATGAATGGAATTCAAAGTACAACAAAGAATTTATCATCAATTATTTTATCGAATAATGAATTGACAGATGAATCATTGACTGCCTTGTCCAAAGCCATCAAAGACAGCAAATCCATTTCACTCATTGATTTATCAAGTAATCAAATCAGTGATCAAGGAACCGAAGATTTGGCATCTGTTTTGGTTCGTAACACAACACTGAAAACTATTTTATTGGACAAGAATGAAATTTATGACAATGGAGCAATTGCTTTGGCAGAATCCATTTTGAATGGCTCTTTGGTGGAGAGACTTTCACTCAATGATAATCATATTGGAAATAAGGGAGCTGAGCAATTGGCACGAACTCTGAAAAGCAATGAGAGTACTCTCAAATTTTTGGAATTGGCTCGAAATCCATTGGAATTTCCAGAAATTGCAGAAACGGAAGAGAATGATGAAGGTTTCTCTTTGGAAGTGTCACTCTTCTTGGCTGTGGATGGAAATAATTATGCAGATGTTGTTTTGCTTACTTTGCAAGGAGCTGATCCAAATTGTCAAAACGAAGAAGATGGAAAGACACCTTTACACATTGCTGCCATTCGAGGTGACAGACTCATGCTTGATTATTTGATTGAGCATCCATATATTGATATTAATGCAGTGGATGACAATATGACCACTCCAATCTATTGTGCGATGCAATACAAACAATACGATGTGGTCAAATTGTTATTAGAAAGAGGAGCAGATTACAAAATTGGAGATCGTCACAAAAAGACCATTCTTCACTTGGCTGCTGAACAGGGAAACAAGGCCATCTGTAAGGATCTAGTGGAAAAGTATAACGACAACATTTATGTAACAACCGACGAAGACATGACACCTTTACACTTTGCTGCGCAGAATTTGCAAAAGGAGGTTGTACAATATTTATTGGAACAAGATTTAAAGACGAGAAAGAGTAAGGAAGCTCCAAATTCACAAGAAAATGGAATGGATGACAAACCTGCTGGAGTGATCCTCTATGTGAACCAACAGGATATTCACCGACAAACTCCTCTCCACAAAGTTTTTGTAAATCCTAATCCAGATATTGATATTGCAAAATTATTGGTTCAAAATGGAGCTGATGTATCGATTGAGGACAATAATCGCAGGACACCTCTTCATGATGCAAATGAAAAGGTGAAGCAGACCCTTTTGATCGAATCTCGTAACTTTATGTCACGAAAGGGATTGTAAATAGTGTGAGTTTTTTTTAACAACAACAACAACATTTCAAGATGCAGGCCACCACACAACAATATTCTCTTCCTCAATCAAAAACCACTCTCGACTAGTTTTCAAGGTGTGTTGACAATGATCATTATTTCATGGGCAAATATTTGTCCGTATTTTCAAAATGATAGTGTTATACTCTCCAGTCAACATTCTCTAATTTTGTTTCTTTTTCTTAATAAATTCAACGATTCATTCCTATCGTTTCAATTATTCCAACATTTCATCATTTGTTTCAACATGACTCAAAGGACGACCCATTTTCTCAAATCTGAAACCAGGTTCATACATGTGATGTGAAATCATGTGTAAATCTCGTTCCTCACTTGTTTTAAACATTTCATTACATATCGACTTGTCCTCCACCAAACATTGATACATTTTCATTGTGTTCTTTTGTAAACAAACTTCAAAATAGGAAGAATGACATTCCTCCAAATGAACACCCAACAAAAAAGCACTCGGAAAGATTAATTCACATTCGGAACACAAGTGGCAATGAACTGACTCATAGTGATGTTCAAATTCAAACATGTCCTTTAATTCTTGTTCACATAATTCACAAAAAACTGAAGAAGTGTTCATAGAATCCGAAATTTGGCAATTTTCTGATGAATGCTGATTATTATATGTTTGATGGTTTTCCAAATTTTCTTCCAAATGTTCCTTATGGATTTGAGAGTTCTCAACAGCTCTATATTTTGTTTCTACTTGCCAAGTTTTTTCGGAATTTGTCTCGGAAAAGAAGGAATCAAAGGGTGAAATGAGCCTCCGAATTCTTGTCGTGTTTCTGTGCATTTTTTTTTGATGCACCTATTATTATTAATTATTATTATTTTTTTTGATAATAACTAGGCATGACTTTTATTAATTATTATTATTAATAATTATAATGTAATATATAAATTCGAAACGGTCTGAAATCCAAGTCTTCGTTGTTGACAAATGCCACACACTTTTTTCTTGAAAAGAATGGAGACAGACCGACCACACTTTTGTCCTCAATTAGAATCCCAGCTGGATTCGGTGTACATTGTCAACAATAAATGAATTGTTCTTGGAATGTAATTAACCTTAACAAAATGCTCCAGAATGAAACAGTAAATATATATAAATAAAGAAAAAAGGACCTTTACGAATCTCAGTGCCATTACTATCGATTACGACTTTGGAGGACATGCATTTCTCCGTTGTAAGAACAATGCTTGTGTGAGAAATGGTCGCCGACTTGAATCTTTTTTAGTCTTTCTTCTTCTTTTGTTTGTATTCAAACACACTTCTTATCCAATGATTTCATGTATTGTTGATGATAGCGAGAAGAAGAAGAAACGAAAATTTCATACAAGTGACAATTCTTGGCTATTCCAGAACACCTACTGATGCTCGAGACAATTGATTGATTGAATTTCTTTTTTGCTCTGGCCATAGCTCGGAATATTGCGTCGCTTTCGTATATCTCGCAAAAGGGGCGGTCAAATAATCAAAAAGTGCATGGCTTATCAAAGTCCATAGCTGTCTGGGACCACCACTCACCATTTGAAAAAGTAAAAAAAACATCTCATTTGCGATTCGCAAGATAACAATCCATTATTTTGTTGACATAACCACAAGCACTACAACTTGTCGTCGTTGACACTGAATTCATTTTGGCATAACGTTTTGTGTGTGATTGTTGTAGCAATATACTCTAGGATTTTTAGAGACATTACACAAAGTGCTGTTCTGAACTGCCTCGTTGTCTGTGCATTCACTAATCTGATCATCAACTCTATCATTCATTGTCAATTGAAACTAACACCAAGATGAGTCTATTTGTAAGATCATCCATGAATCTGATGGATTTCGTTCAACAACAACTTCCATCTAATAATCATAAGAAACTGCTATCTCCCATCGATGACCAACCACTGGTTCAGCAACCACCAAAACAAAAGGAGGAATCCTCGTGTACGAGAAAGAGTGAGAGACGAGAGGTCATTCGGGTTGTAGAAAACAGAAGGAAACTTTTCATTGCTCACGTGAAAGAAAAGAAGCATGCTCTGGATCAAATTGAAAAGAATGTTTCTGCCACACTCTCTTCAAAAGAATGGACGTCTTTCCACTCAAAACAGGGTCTATACAGTTGTTGTTATGCCTGTCAGGACGTTAAATGTGATTTTGCATCACCACCAGTCATTACACCAAGGAGATTTTGTGTGGTTTAAAAACTCTTCCCTACACTTCATTCTCACAACATGAACTTCGCATGTGAGACTTCTCTTTCAAAATACTCTGTACAATTTTAACTTCTAACTGTTTCATATGTCTCGAGAATATGTATATATGTACACTGTTAAAAAGGTATTCTTCGACTCTTTAATTAGAGTTCCAGATCATCATCTGGATCTTCAGCCTCATATTCATCATCTGAATCAACAATAATAAATCCTTGCTTTTGCTGTCGTTGTTCCTGTGGCGTTTTGTTCGATTGATTCATTAATCCGTCCCTCGTGTAGGGCAGCTCAAGAGCTTCCCTAGCTCTCTTTTCCTTTTCGGTAAGACCAATCTTGAAAGTGACTTGTCGCTCAATATCTTCTTTTGACATGGGGCGATCCATTCTCTCTTGTCTGTGCTTTTCTTTCTCTCTTTCTTCGAATGTATCCAAAAACGTTGTTCCTGTCGTTTTCTTCTTGAAGCTTGTGTCATGATGATGATCATGAGAACAACCTGCTCCATGTACATGACCTGTCTCTGAGTCTCCTCCAATGGTAATGTGACGCCTTTCTCCAACCTTACGCTTAATTGTAACTCCTGATGATACAGGATTCATAGAATCTGTTGGGACAGTCTTTGGCTTTTCTTCCTCATCATCCTCATCTATATCAACCTTGGATTTGCTCTTCTTTTGTCTCTTTGGAATGAATGGGTGTTTGACATGAACAATTGCTCCTTCGTCTTCAGATGTTGGGTTCACTTTGTAATATTCGTCATTAAACAAGAGCTTGCCTCCAGGCCTTAAACTATAAATGTCACATCTAAAATCTACGGCAGCAATGTTCAGAATTTTCTCTTCAACCTCATCTTCATCTTGAGCTGATGAAGATTCCTCGTCTCCTTGTTTTTTCGTTTTTGAACCTGTAGCTACGGGGAAATAGAATGTTTCTTCTTCATCCATATCGTCTGATGCAACTAATGAAACAATTCCTTGAGCATGCAATTTGTATTGCTCCACTACCGAGCTAGAATGTGTATCTGTATGTACCACGCTTACCACAGAACAAACCTTTGCTCTGTTCTCTGCCGTGATTGATAATTGCAAAAGTTTGTGAACGAATTGAAACGCTTGACTCTCTCCAAACCAAACTCCAAGAGAGCTCAGTGAATTAATAACTACAAGTACTTTCTTTCCTTTTCTTACTTCCTTTGAGCTATCAGAGGCCCAAATTGTTGACAATATTGTCGTGATGTGTTTATACAGATCGTTAATCTTTTCAAATTCTGTTGCGTCAATGCGAATCATCAATTTATCTTCACATTCCTTCTCTGATTCGCTGTCATCTCCTTCTTTAGTCTTCTTTTTCTTCAGTAGTTGAGCATTACATCGATCCAAATCAAATTGAAGCTTTTTCGGAATCTGTTGTTTATAATCTCCTCCATCAATAAACAGCAATCTAATTTCTTCTTGTTTTTGACTTTTTAGTATATCATCTTCCGAGAGTTTGTTGGATGATAATTTAGTGCTCAAAGCCTCATTGCTATTATTATTATTTTCATCATCACTGTGTTCATCCGAATGCAAAAACAATTCGTGTTCTTCCAATGGGTTAAAAGAAGCAGCACTTATCACTCTCTTCACAATCTTATTCAACAAGAATTGAACATAATATTTGCTATTGCAATTTCCAAACAAGAAAAGATTTGGATATTGTTCGGAATGGAGAAGTAATTGTTGAAGAAACATTTTTTTCAAAGAGTGTGTGATGCAGAATCCAGAAGCTCATTGTTGAAGTCCATCTTTGTGAGAAAGAATTTCAATTCAGAATTCTGTGTGTTGTGCACAACTTACTCGGAAAGATGATAAGTGTGTGAGTAATGTGCCTTGTGGTCATGTCCAAACAAAGTTGTTTCTAGAAAGTTTCTTCGTCGTTCATGGTGAGCACCATCTTCAACATAATTATTATTACCAACAAAATAATGATGGGTTTATTAGATTCAAATTCCAAAAAGAATAATTAAAGTGTGATACAGGCAGTCCTACTACTAGATGTTTCCCGTTAGAGAGAGATACAAGAGTCGAAAACGTGTTGTTGTATTCGTCAAACCAAAAATTTACTTTTGGGAGAGTTTGCTTCCCACATAGGTCCACCACCACAAGAAGGTGAAAGTAATTGGGCCTCCCATCATGAAAGCCATCATTCCAAGGACGGTAGATTTCTTTGGTGGGCCATCTGTTGAAGACGCGCAAACATGTGATGATATTTATATTATTGGTTGACCAAAGTGTTGATGCAGGTAACAAAAAACGATGTTTCAAGGATTAATAATCCAAAACACTTTAGAGAGGAGGAAATAATACTTACTGGTAAACATGACCAACTAGAGTTTAAATGATATCAACCAATATCAATCCAAAAGAGAATATCATCCAAGAATAACATTTGAACAATAGCATGTAGTAAATAAACAACACCGAAAGGATTCTCAAAATTCATCCACAATGAAATTTCAAGACCCTGAACGTACCTCGTGATGATGATGATGACCATGCTCCTCACCATGGTGAGCATCGTGTCCTCTTCTTGGCAAGACTCTCTTTGCGCTTCTCAAGATTCTGCTGAGCATTTTTTTCGGGTGATTGTTGGTTGACTTTGTAAGAGATTCTTTTTTGGTAGTTTTTTTCTAGTACTTGAGGCTCCTATTTTCGAAATCTTGGTGCCGAAATAAAAGAATCCTCAATCAATAATTGAACAACCTGAGTCATCTTCATTGAGGGTTCACAAATTGTAGATGAATTTTCAATTCGCTTGAAAAAATTGGCATGCATCATATATTTTCTTAAATATGTAAAAGAAGATTTCTGAAAAGAAAAAATGAGTTCAGTGAGTCAGAGAGCTTTCTTCTCCTCGATGACGAGAAGCTCCACTATTGGTCTGAGAGGATCTTTTGCATGGTCATCACCATCATTGTTTGCATGTAAAACTCCAAACTCCAATTATTATTATAACTTATTCAATGTTCGGAATGGAAGAACTAATTTAATGAATTTTTGTCTTCTCGGAGAGGAACGACGTTTGAATTTTTCAACTTTATTAAATTATCAGCTCGATGATGCATCGCAACAGTCGCCGACAATTCAGCAACAAGATAAAGAGATTAAACAGGCCAAAAATTTATTTAAAGAAGGGTTTACTGAATTTGAAAACAAACAGTACCTCAAGAGTTATGAGTTATTTATCAAAGCCTTCATCATTTATGATAAATATCACATGTTAAACAGGGACATTAAAAATAATGATCCACTTGATACGGTTGAGAATCTTTTAGCACTTGCTGTTGGATTGAACAATTTTGCAGAGACACTCAGATACATGGCAAAATCTGGTATTGTTGCTCCGACACTTGCAAAGCTTGGATTGAAGGCTCCATCATCATCGACTGGAACAGCAGCTCCACTTGTCTATACATCGAAGGATTCTATGAAATTTTACACTCAAGCTGAACAATTATATGATCAATATTATGCCTATCTCAATAACGTTCTACCTAGTGATGTAGAGAGAAAACGATTGGAGCTTCAACTGTGGAGAGGTACACTTTACAATAACGTTGGACTGTATTTCATGGAAAATAGAAAGGATTTTTTCACAGCAACCAAATGGTTTGAAAGAAGCGCTACTGAAAGAGGAAAGCTTGTACTAGCTCTTGAAGAGTTGGAAAAGAAGTCACCAACTGAGAATTCGGCTATGGCTGAAACAAACAATTTCGGAGAATCAGTCGACCCCTTGAATTCGAATGATCAAAGAATTCATCATGCAATTACAAGAAATAATATTGCTCAATGCTACTCAAATTCAAAGCAAATAACTCTTGCCTTAGAAAGTTATAATTACGCATTGAAGGTGTTTGAGGAAATGAAAGCAAAAATGAAGGAAAAGAATATGGACACCAAAACTCCAGAATCCAAAAACACCATTGCCAATAGATTGCATGTGATTGTGCTGAATAACATGGGACTCATGTATCACGACATGGGAAAATATGAACAGTCTTTGGTATACTTTACTGAAGCGTTCCACATGTTTACTGGAGGGCCTGTTATTGGAGAAAAATTAGGAGAAGAAGGTCTAATTGTCAATAACGCGTATGGAACATCATATTTCGGTGAAGAATTAGGAGTCACTCTTAGCAACATGGGAACATGCCTATTCATGCTTGGAAGATATCGAGAATGTGAACAATTCTACACACAAGCCGCTCAACTGTTTGATGCCATCTACACAAACACACCAAATCACAAAAATATTGCACAAATTAGTCTACAATTAGCTCTCTGCTTGAAACAAAAACACTCTGCTAAGGAAGGAGAAAAACCCAATAGAGACATGCTGGCTGCAGCAACCTCTCTTGCATTGGCAAAACAAGATGCTTCCTACTTTATCAAAATTGATGAATCTTCCTCCGAAGAAAAGATTGCAGATGAGAAATTAGTTCGTTCCTTATTGGAGAAGGCTCGAAAGATTACACTCACCCTCAATGAGGCCAATGTAGAGGCAGCAGAAAGTGCTAAAAAGTCTTCCATGTTTTCCAAGATGTTTGGAAAGAAAAAGTAAACAACGAAACGGAAATGCGTTAGATTCCTTAAATCAACAATTCACCCTTTTCAAATTGAAGATTTCTTACTGGAGATGGCGGTTGACACCGTCCAGATAGTTGCTTGTGATGATTTGGCTCCAACTCTTCGGAGAAGGAAAGGTTCTTTGAAAAACAGTTACTGTCACCTGCCGTAAAAAAATGTCCTTCCTAAAACGCATCTTTAAAACTAAAAGTAAAGGTAAGAGGAGATTCATTCGATTCGATCAATACTTATTTTGCGTATTCAATCCACATTCACTCTCATTTCTGTCACTTGCCAAACATCATCATCATGTTGTACATCCATCGGGCTCTATCTCTTCAACACTTCCAGGAGTGCGTTCACAATTCTCTGATTACGACTGCGATCCAACCATCATTCCTATCAAAGATTGGGATGTTGTTTTATTTAGCGTTTGGTTACAGACCATTGAAGGAGTGAGTCCAAGCACCATTGAGAAATTAAAAGAAGAAGAATGGGATGGAAAGTCTTTATTGTACTTTTCGAAAAACGTAGGTTCATCATTCTCATTCATCTGTTGACATGTTTTGGACATCTTTCATGCTCTATTATGAATTGTGATACTATGAATTTGTGATATTATGAATTTTATTGAAATCTATTTTTGACGATATCTACTGTTCATCAAATCTCTCTAACCACAACCACATCAATCGTTTGTTGTTTCTTCATCATCATCATGATGATCATCTCTAACAATGTTCACGTGTGTCCAAACACTTGCGCGCGATTACAAAAAATATAATCTTTGTGCACATTTCATGACATTATAATCAAATGGTGTCATGACCAACACAACACTCCATTGGACAATCACTATTATCACGTAATATCCATTGTATAATCATTATTATCACACAAATTGTTGTGTTCTCTTAATGGATTGACTTGAACATGTTCTGACCATGAATGATGATGTTTTCAAATGTGAATTGAACCGGATTGTCAATATTTCTTTACAATGCCATGTGTTTGTGAAAATTTCATACTCTTTTAATCGTGAATTTGTCATTGTGAATGTCATACTGTATATTCATCATCCTCATCATTTACTAAATGCATTCATGATGAACTGTTTCCATTCCGAATGATAGGATTTAACATCACTCAAAATTCCACTCAATGAAGCCACTCTCATCGAACAACATCTGGATCAACTCAAACTCGATCAACATTATCAAATGAGATCCTTTAATCAAGCTTTATCTTCTTCAGACTCTGCTTTTGTGTTGAGTTCACAAACCACCTCAAGTGATCCAGATCGATATTCACAAAACCATCCTTCACTTCTTTCATCCTCCTCGAAAAAACAAGGAAATGCTAATTTATTTAGCAGTCTGAATGAATGTGAAGTGATTGGAGATTTATTACATTGTGAAGATGGAAGTGATGAGAGTATTCGAAGTCTTTTAATGGGATCAGATTTTAAAAATCGATGTATTTTGAGTAAGAAGGAGAGTTCTTTTGAGAATCTTAATGAAGGATATTTTGTGCAGAGTCATCGACCAGATATTTTCACAGATGACAATTCCTTCTCGTTACGAGTGTTTCGATTGGTTCTAAGAAGATTGGAGCAAGCGTTTCCACTCATTTCAGCACGAAGTAGATCACTTGCTGACTCGTCGATGAATAATTCAGTTGGAAGTAGAGCTTCGAACAATTATGGATTTTCGTCACTTCCTCCACAAAATACAAGAACTATCACTACAACGGGTGGAATTTTGGATGAAGTAATGGTGGTGTTGCCACAGAGCGTGTCACAATTGACAAGTCTTGAAAAATTGTGTTTGTCGAATTGCATGAAAAAAGTGAAAAGCTGTCCAGACATGTCCACACATGAAAAACGATTGTTGGCACACACATTGTCACTTGTCGATTGTTTCATGTATTGCTACTTTTTTAATTATCAAACTGTTTTGTCAAACGTTGAAAAGAATGCACTCATGAAACGATCGCCCATGTCAAGTCAACATTCACGAGAAGTGAACGAAGACGTCGAAAAACGTTTTGTGCAAGCTCTGAAAGACATTTCTGAAAATTTAAATGCCTTGGGAGTACTTGGAAATTCCTGTCATGCATCAAATACTCCATTGACAAGTGGTGGCTCATCCTCTTCTCAAAATTCATCTTCCAATCATTATTTATTTGGTGAAGGAATTAGCCCCACTGCAAGTTTTGGAAAAACCCAAAAATTATTTCGATCATCAAGTATTGATCATCATTCCACCAAACCATACCTTTTCATTCAACTTGTCATATTTCCTTTCGAAAGGTCACACGTTTTTGATATGAAAACAGATTCACGATTAAGGCCATACACATTGTTTAGAACTGGACTTTTCATTGGAGATTGGTTTTTAGAGTGGGGAGAACATTCACTCGTTTATCCTTCCATTTCATGTAAATACAGAGTGAGCCCACAATGCCATTTTATACAATTAAGTAAGTACTAAACAGTATGAACAATGAAACAGTTCCAATGAACATGGTGAATTTTTCAATGAATGGTTGAATTTATAGTGAAAATTGAGGGTGAAAAGAATATTTCGAGATTACTTCGAAAAATTGCACAAATTTGCGTCTTGTGGAATGGAACTCAAATTTACAATCTCCAAACATGCAATCATCAACATTTTGTGAATGACATTTTAACATTTATTGGACTTTTTTCAAACACTAAACAACTCGGAAGTATTTCAAGGTTTCTAGAAAGAATTGAACAATTAGGTTTTAGTGACATGCGACTCGTTTTTGATTCCCAATTTTTCCAAAAAGAGTTTCCTAACAATGAATTTATATCATTTCACTCACATGCTGATGTGGATGATTTTTACTTGAAAGTTGACAGCATGAATCCAAACTATTTCCATCAAGACATGGATGGCAAACATGACAAGTTTTTACTGAGATTATTCGATCGATCGTTTTACTATCGTACAGAAATGGGAATGCATGATAAATGGGATCTAGCTCTCAACGAAGGAAATGAATGTAATCTTTGCCCATTTAACATTGATGGACTTTCACTCAAGGAACTAGAGGAGCGAGAAGAGCAAGAATTAATGAAACATCAACGAACGAAAGCACATAAGGCATATTTGGGATCCTATGAACCAAGTAATCCAGCGACAGAACGAGATTGGAAATATTAAAAATTTTTACTTTTTTCTGTTCAACTGATCAAAACGTTCTATTTTCAAAATTTCTTAAATTGGAAATTTTGTAAAATCGTCAAATAATACAATAATGCATACAATACAATTTTTTAAATCCATCGTCTTACTCGGATCATGTATTCCTCAAATTCCTTTCCAAATATTTTCCTTAATTCTCTTTCTTCAGGAATAATTTGGTAATAATTTAAATACATGGAAAACAATGGAACACACAGAAAAGCCAAAGGATCCAACAAGAACAAGGAAACACCAAAAGCAACCAAACTCATTCCCACATACATTGGATTTCTCGTGTATTCAAAAATTCCATGTGAAACCAATGAAGATGCTTGTGACGGATTTAATGGATTCACTTTTCGTGTGAAAACTTTGATCAAAAGGTCTCACGAAAGGACATACCTGTTGTTTTTGATTGATGAAAAGCTCTCACTCCTAACCAAGCAATAAGTATTCCAATTCCCATCACAACCGTCATCAATCCAATCCGTATCGCAAGGAACTGTGAAAACGAATCCCATGAAGAAGAAGAAGAAGAAGACGAATTGGCCATCAAGAACGGGCTCACATAAACACTTAAAGCGTACTGCAGTAACAAACAGAGAGTGAGGACAAGCAGAGGAGGTATTTTGAGTTCGAGGGAAAGCGTCATGGTGTTTAAATTCTTTTGAGAGAGTCAGTCAAGCACACGAAAACGACGGTGAATGAATTTTTTTTGAAAAATTGATTAATTTAATATGGAAGAGGAATGAAAATGGCACTCCTTTGGCAAATAAAAGGTGAGAATATTTTGATCGAAGGAGATTCCAAGAGTCACGGATGCATGGAATCGGTAACCTATCGTGTAGATCGTTGATTGGTCTGGTGGGATTTATGGTGAGGGATGGACAGAAATGGTTTTAGATGGACAAGAAAAAGATACGAAAACGAATGGAAAGACATGTTCAAAAAAATGTCTTCTCTCAATAATAAGGCTTTTTCATCCTCTCAAACGTCGACGACGATGACGCATGAAGGCGTATCATCGTCCATTTCTTCCTCCTCCGAAGATTCATCAGAATATTACTATCCAGGACGGTATAGATTTGTGGATTATTGGGCCGATAGTATTCTCAATTTTACAATGAGAGATGAGCAAACGGCCATTTATGATAATTCAGCAGCTGGTGGTGGTACCTTGTCCGAAAGTCCCTTTTCAAAATATTTAAGTGGACTTGATGGATTGAAAATTGTGATGAAATCATCATCGATGGGAGCAAATAATATTCCTACAAATGCTTTTCAACAGGAACAATATATACCCTATTTACAATTGGAAGAGGAGGGTGGTTTTGATCGTCAAGTAAAACGTGATTTACCTGATACAAGTAATCAATCACCATATCAGATGATTATTCCTTTGAGATTTCATGATGAAGGATTGAAGAATTTTACATTTATGCTCCGAAGACTTTCCACAGTGAAACAATTTTTAGTGTCATCCATTCTCGCTCACAATGTGGAATCATTATTTGGCCCAATAGAGAGAAGAAATGAACTTGTCAGAAGAATAATGGCATCACCTCTGGATATTAGAGCACACCTTTATCCTGACACAACATTTTCAATGTGTCTTAAACTTGGACTTGCTCCTTATGTTATTCAACACGAAATGAGACTTCCAAATCTGATAAGCAATTCATCAACTGGTAAAGGCTGGATCAATGACACTCTCTTTAGCATCAAGTCAAAGCGTGGTCATACAGATATTTTCCAATCCTTTACTTCGGATTCCTCAACCACCGCATTGTTAGGTTTGTACAGAGCTTATAGATCCAAAAATGTCACTGTTGATTTGGGTGGCAGCATTCTGGCTAGAGATTTTATTCCAGGTAATTTAACATATGCAGCTCGATTGGGAATTATTTCTCCACTTTCACACAAAAAGACGGCCATTGTATTGAATGGAAGCTTATTGGGTCATATTCATCTTTCTTTCACCACACAGCTCTCCAAGTTGTATGGAATTGCTGCTAGTGCTCAGCTACGATATAATAGTACCAACTTGAAGGCAGAATTAGGTGTTGGATTGGAATGTATTTCACCTCCTCAAGCAGAGGATTATGCTGTCAAGTTCAGAGTTGATACCGAAAAGGGCATTGCTTGTATGTTGGAGAAGAAACGATTCTGGAATAATGACAAAATGACAATGGGCGTCTCAATTGCCAATACGACACCCATTGATAATACTTATGGACCTCTAGTTTCTGATTTGAAGCTTGGATTAAATCTGCAGATTGAGTATTAAGGACACGAGATGTTTGAGGGCTGTGTTGCGTTCAAATTTGAATTATTGGAAATTTGTAGAACAACTCTATGTTGAATAATAAATAATTTCTTGTATTATGTATGTTCTTCTTCTATCTGTTTCTTCTTCTCTTATCAGACGAGTTAGAATTTGTGTCGTTGTCATCATCACTATCGCGATCTCTATCTGTAGAGCTAATGTAATTCTTTTGATATTGGAGCTTGTACGTTCCTAAAGATTTATGTTTCCATTCCACAAAGTTCGTCTCATCTGTTTGAATCATTTGAAGAATGCTTAGTTCACTACTGCAAAGTTTTGATTTGAATTCTGCATACTGTTCGGTGAGGAAACTGGAACTACTGCTTTCATTACTTGCTCGGTATGCTTGTCTCAAAAACAATTTAAATCGATGAACCAGTGTTTCAATCAGTGTTGACCTTCGTTGTATATACAGAGCCTCTAATTCTTGATCTCTTTTCAAATTAATTGCAATATCAGCCATTAATTTAAACAAAGCAGAGCCAAATTCATAAAAGTATCGATTCACTTTCGAGAGAGAAGCCTTTTCAAAATTCGAAGTCACATAATTCAAATCAGCAAAAACTCTCGGAACCTCAACTTCCACATATCCCTGACTACCACACACATAGGCTAACCAGAAAGGAACCTCCACTTTCGTAGACCTCTCAATAATATATTTTTCTTCAAATAATGTATTGCTCTTGTTGGTTTCATCTTCCGAATCGGATGACTCGGCTACAGATTCCTCCTCATCATTACCATGATAATGATTTGTATTGTTGTTGCTACTCGTACTCAAAAGTTGATGTTGTTTCAAATGTTCTTTCTGTAGAGCGGTTGCTGTTTTAATATATTTTCCAATATTCGGAATTGTAAAGTTGAACACAACAGCCACCCGTTCCTCACTCGCCATGATATCATCAATATCAAAGTAAAGTCTTCCGTTGTTAATGGCTGAGAGATCCAGTGTGGACATTTTTCAAAAATGTGTTCTTCTACAAATTGATAACGGCCATAAATGCCGCCTTTTAGATTTTTGGCGCGAATCCAAGGAAAAAAAAACATCATCACGTGAATTAACGAACATTGATTTGGAATCAGTGAATTGAATACATCGTCATCATCATCATTCTTGTTGTACAAGTCAACGGATCAAACCCAAAAATCAACGGAACTGCAAAATTATAACAATCTATTGAAATAGACATATCATCCTCCTACATCATTGAAAATCTTGAGAAATGAACATTGCTCCTCTACTGGAACAGATACAAACCAAAGGTAACTATATCAGTTTTTGAATATTGCTATTGTTGTTTATTTGAATGATTAACATTCGGGTACCTCCAACAGACCCTCAAGAGAGAATTCAAGGATTAAATTCGCTAACACAATCCATGCTTGATATTGCATTGGTAGGTTCAGTTCACTCTCGCTATAAACTCTAAAACTATTGTTGCAAATAATGATTAGGATGATATACCTGCAGTTATGGATACAATTCGGCCCTCTCTCAAAGATAACAATTACAAAGTATGTGAGGCAGCCCTTACATTTCTTTGTACATTTTTGGAACATATCGACGCAAAAATATTTCAACCTTTCTTTTCAGACTTTTTGAATTTACTTGTAGAAAGGTTTGGAGATGCAAAGAATTCAGTAAGGGATAAAGCATTTGAGGCGGTTATTATGATTACTAAACACTATTCATCAAAAGAAATTTTGGATGCTATTCGAGAGGGATTTATTCACAAAAGTTGGAAAGTGAGAGAAGGAATATGTTTAATATTTATACAAATATTACAAACATTTGGACCAAAAAATATTATGTTTTTGAAATACCTTCCAGATATTGTCTCACTTTTGGACGATTCTACGCAAAGTGTGAGGGATGCAGCAGTTATGGCAATTTGTGAAATTTATAGATATGTCGGTGTAGATTTATTACAAGAATTGGGAAATTATAAATTAAGAACTCCTCAACTTAAGGCAATCGAAGATAGAGCTAGTGAAATAATGGTAGATTCCGAAAATTTGGTTCCATTAAAACCAAAAACTTTAAAAAGCCCTACTAAAAACAAATCAACAAGACATACGATTCACACTATTGGAGCCACCTCTGGAAGACCAAGTTCTGTTGCAACTAATGAAGGGGACGGAGAAGAGAACGATGTTCAGCCTGTATATATCAAAGAGAGCGATCTTCCAAGAGAAATGGAAGTGAGTATAGAAATATTGGAGGATATGAAAAACGTTGATTGGAAGAAGAGACTGAATTGCATACGGCGTCTAAGAGGACTAGTTCATGGAGGAGCTACAGATTTTCCTGGATTTATTACAGAATTTTCTCGCATTCGAGAGTCTCTTTCTAAAAATCTTTTAGACTTACGATCAACGATTGTTAAAGAAAGTTGTATGCTTCTTAATCTACTTGCGAAAACAATGGGATCAAGATTCGAACCTCTCTCGGATTATTTTGTTCCAATAATTCTCAAGAGTACTGTGGTGACGGTACAGGTTATTTCAGACTCTATCAATATGTGTATTCGAACCTTGATCACGCATGCCAAGCTTAATAGAAGTATCATGTTCATAGTTGAAAAGCTTGTAGATCCAAAATCTCATGCCACAATGAGAGCCAGATGCGCCGAATACATGGTGCTGATATTACAGCATGTCGACTCGACAATTTTAACAAAGACTATTGATGATATTTCGAAAGCCGTTAAAGCTGCCATTAACGATGCAAGCGCAAGTGCCAGACAAGCAGGTAGACAAGCATACTTTGCTTTGAAAGATGCTTTTCCTGACAAAGCGTACAAATTATATATTGAGCTTGACCCAAACATGCAAAAAAAGCTCAATTCATCAGACGATACACGGTCAGGACAAATTTCACCAAGATCCACAACATCCAGTGTTGTAAGTGGCACCTCTGTGTCATCTTATGTCTCATCAGCGTCTACTTTGAGAAGAACAAAATCTGTGATTACCCGAAAAATCACCAAAACAGATCCTGTTGTAGTACAAGAGCCTAAGAATCATATCAAACCGAACATTCCGACACTGCCTTTATCTGGAACGTATCCACCCTCTCCAAAGAAAACATCATCACTTCAAATTAAGGCCATGACACGAAACTCTACATCCCCATTATCTCCCTCATCACCAAGAGGAAACTCCTCCTCTCAAAAAAGCCCATCTTCCTCTGTGCGATTATCGAAATCATTTGAAGCGGGAGCTTTGGACAAATCAACAAATGACCCAATGGACACATCTTTAGATTCACCTACGATGGAATCTGTCACTTCCATTTTGAGAGAATCTAAAAACTTGGATTGGAAGTCTAAAGTTCAAGTACTCGAAAAATTGGAAACAATTATTGACTCTGACAGAATTTCTGAAGTGAAGAGCACATTCCTTCAAGTAATTAATTTATACATTGATAGACTGTCAGACACACACCTAAAAGTTGTTGAGAAGGCTTTAACATCATTCGTGCTGCTCATTGACAAGTTGCCAGATTGCGTAGAACCTTACTTGGAACGTATCTTGTCGAAATTATTCTTGCTTTTGACAGAGGAAAAGACCAAGTTATTATCTGAGCAGCTGTTAACAAAGATTGCCAGTTCTTACTCTGGAGATATTTTACTTCCAAGAATATTCAAGATTGTGGATACCTATCATTCAAGAGTCAGAGTCGCTTGCTTAGAGTTTCTAATGCACATCGTGCAAGGCAGTTCTGCGTACCTGAGCTATCCTGGCCACATGAGATCGAGTATCAAGAAAATTATTGCCCTTATACAGGTGAATACATCGAAACCTTGTGAAGCAGCTCTAACCAGTATTATGATTTCACTTTATTCCATTCATCCTCATATATTTTTGGAACAAATGCTTTCATTACCTTCTTTAGAGCAAAATCCAATCAAAAATTTATTACGTGAAAGGATTCCAGATTTTGAGCACACACTAACCATGTAAGTATTACTTTAGAATGTATGAAGAATCTCATTCACTTGTTATTGCAACAGTGTATCGAAGAAATCCACTCAACCAAGTTCTAACGTGTCATCACCCCTATCAACAAAATCTCCAAACACCGTTAACATTAAGGTTGTTGAAAATGCAATACCTTCCAGAATTGAAAAGTACAAAATATCAACCGCTCAAGAGTTAAAGAATGAACGAGAATCTTTAGATGAGCTTTCTGCATGCCTAACTGCCATTGCCAAATATAAAATTGACAATGATCCTCATCAAGTATATCGATGCCTGTTTGACATTACAGAAATTGCTAGACAAAAACCTCCGTCAGAATCGATGTGGCAAATATCTTTTGCCAAGCTCATTTTCTACTTGTTTGATTTATTTTTCGATGAGGATGAAATAGTGAGAGAGAAGGCACTGTTAAGCGTGGCAGCACTACTGAGATATCAGAACGAACATTGCACCAAATTTGCAGACATCACCTTTAGAAAAATTATGGAAAAATTCAATGATAAAGTTCCAGCAGTTCAGAGGACCGCAGAAAGAGTTGCCGAACAATTCATAGAATCTATGGATCCTCAAAAAACACTCGAGCTCATTAAGCCACAAATTATCAACAATAGCGAAAAGGAACAACAACTCTTGGGAGGTTTGCGAATAATGACCAAATTGATCAAACAAATATCTCCACAAATATTACTGACTCATGTACCGAGTATACTGCCTGGCGTGTATGAAGCATTCAAACATTCCAATGTGGATATCAGAAAATCGGTCGTGTATTTAATGGTAGACTTGCATTTTGCTCTTGGAGAAAGTTTTGATCCTTACCTTAAACGATTGTCTGTGGAACAACAAAAACTGATTCAAATCTACATTAAAAAGTCAGAAGTAAAGTGACATAATTCTCCAAACAGTGAATGTTTGTCCTGGCGCAGCTCTTTGTGTGTTCAATTTTAAATTGCACCATCATTAATGTAACACGAAAACAGAAACCAAATTCAGCGATTTTGCTCGTTTTGTAAGACTCCGAACGAACACTTTTAAAAAAAAATGTCTTTACTCAAAGAAGGTGTCACCAGCGACCGTGTATTAGTATTGATGAATGAACATCAAGAAGAAGAAGAAGAGAAAATGAGTCGTATGGAGTCTGCGGCATCCTTTGAATCGGCATTTGAAGATGATGCAAAGCCTATTGAAGACTCCAAACATTCGCTTCTTTTTGCAAGAAGGCTAGATGAATTTTCTAATAACGGGGGAAATGGATCGAATGACGATAATGACATGGAAAGAGGACAAGCAAAAGAAATGGAATATGATTATCAATCATTATCTCGGAAGGAAAAATTCAAATTATTTCTTTTAAATTTAAAGAAAGAATTTAGAGGAATGCTTGAAATTGCATTTCCCACAGTTTTAATGAACATTAGTAACAAGATATTAGGATTAGAGGATATGGCTTTTATTGGACATTTGAATAATGAAAATTATTTGGCAGCGAGTGCATTGGCGAATGCTGTTTTCTTTTGTTTTAGCTTTATTTCTGTTGGCTTAGTTGGAGGACAAGATACATTTGTAGCGCAAGGTAAATTGAAAATTCATAGAGTATTTTTCATTCGAAGACTAATATGCCTTGTTGTTTTCATGGATGAAATTATTTCACATATTTGAATTGTTTTTTTTAAAATTCCATGGACGGTTCAACGAATTCAAATATTTCGTCGAATCATTGATGTGAACATGCATCATCACACCACACTCAAAAGCTTTTGGAGCCAAGAATTTACGATTAATGGGCATATGGTGGGCCCGTAGTTTACTCATCATTTTCCTTGGATTAATTCCTATTCTCATCATGATGCTCTTTCTCGAACAAGGTCTTTTACTCATTCGTATACAACCAGAAATTGCCTCTCACGCCGCCATCTTTGTTCGATATTTACTTCCTGGACTCTTTCCTTTTGCATTTTGTCGAAGTGCAGCGAGGTTTCTCGTCTCAATGAATATTCGACTTCCTAATACGCTCATTCCCATGATGTCCATCTTTGTGAATTTTGCATTGAATTGGTTATTTGTTTTTGGAATTGGTTTTGAAGGTTTTGGATTTGTCGGAGCAGCCATTGCCACTTCCTTAGCACGATTTTTCATGCTACTCTGTTACATTTATGTCATTTTCCATTATCGAAATGCCTTAAAAGAATGTTTCGAAGGTTTTGTCCAATTCAAGCAAGTTCTGGAATGGAAAGGAATTTGGGAATTCTTAAAACTCTCCATTCCTGGCACCATTGCCATCTGCTGTGAAGTGTGGGCCTTTGAATTCACATCCATTTTGGCCACCTACTTGTCAGCCACTCACACTGCAGCACATGCCATTTGTCTCAACATTGTTTCCTTATCTTTCATGTTTCCATTGGCCATCTCCACAGCAGCAAGTGTCCTGGTTGGACAACATTTAGGTGCTCGAGAGGCCTCTCGTGCCAAATATGCTGCCTATTTGTGTTTGGTGGTGAGTGCCTTATTTATGGTATTGAATGGAGTGGTTGTGGGATCTCTGAGTCGACTCATTCCACGAATTTACACATCCGAAGAGGCAGTGATTGATTTGGCTGCAAAGGTCTTTCCATTGACCTTGTTGTTTGGAGTGTTTGATGGAGTTCAAGGAACAGCGTCGGGAGTATTGAGAGGAGTTGGAGCTCAAACTGTTGGAATGATTTCCAATTTAGTGGCTTATTATGTGATTAGCTTACCGATTGGAGCTGTGTTGGCATTTGTGGTGAATATGCAATTGGTTGGACTCTGGTTGGGATTAACTCTTGGATTGATTATTGTGGCTGTTTCACTTGTGATTTATATTATTCGAATCGATTGGGTGAAACAATCGAAAATTGCATATGAACGAAGTAGTCAAGTGGTGGAAATTTCGAATCATGATGATTCTCAAAGTAATGGTGATGAGGAGAATGGTCGTGTGAATTCGAATCAAGAAATCACTGAAATGCCAGTTGTCACTTCACAGGTTGAGAGGAAGGAGGAGGAAATGAAAAGCAAGGTTTTAATGAATCATGGTGATCATGGACAAGAACTTGAGAGTGCAGAAAATAGTAAGGAATAAGGACCAGAGTTCGGTGATGTGATTGTCATTTTTCCAATAAACGGAGTTCACATTCGGAATAAATATTTTCACACTCCGAAACGAAAAAAAAAAAAGTCGACTGGTGTGTTCATTCTCTCGCACGCACGCACGCACCTCTCTCGGAAGAAGAAGAATTCTTGCCAGTTGTTCTCAGTGTGCGTGTGTTTGGTGGTGATCAATAATTTCCAAAAATGTCAAATTCCATCTTTTCCATTCTCAATCGTTTATTCCACACGATGGTTGTTGTTCATCAAACAAATCCCGAACAACAACAAGAAAATCCCGATGAACGTACCACCGAATTAGTGTTTTACATCATTGATGGATGTTTGGCCATTGTTTTTTTATTGTGTGCATTGTTTTATGTGATTTTATTCATTACCAAACGAAGTAGTTTGACGAAAAGATTTTTGATGGAAAATAGTGTTCCGAGTATGTCGATTATCATGTTGGTGTTTTGTTTGGGTAAGTGGTGTCGATTTGATTCGTGAACGTGTGTGGAATGATGTTATTTGATTTGTGTGATGATTCGATATCGGATCGATTATGATATGATGGATTACGAATGAATGATTGTGAAATTTGATGTGAAATTTGAAATTTTGGTTTTTTTGAAATACCAAAAATCTTGTTTGGAATTTTCGAAAATTTATGGTCTAAAATTTGTAACCCATTTGAATTTGTATCTATTTGAAATACGAATGTAGTGAAATCCATTCATGTAGTGTGTCCAATATTTGAATTATTGGACAATAAGATTGCAACTTTTGTGTTAACAGTGGTACAATTTGTGACGCTCTACATTACAACATTTCTATTATTTTCCATCTCATTAATTTCTCTCTATTATGGAATTAAGCAATATACAGTGAATGGAAGTGTCATCTCACAACGAGGATTATTTTTTTACAAAATATTATTCACAATATTGATTACTTTTAACGCAATTTTGTTGATTGGATCTTTTGGATTTTCTATTGGAGAACACACTTGGAGGACATTCTTCAAGGAAGAGGAACAACAATCGTTGGCAGATGTTGCATTTTATGTCTTTATTGGGTAGGTGTGAGAATTTTCACATAATTTTTATATATAACTGATACGAATGTATATCATTCATTAATTTTTAAATATTTGAAATGACATTCTCAAAGATGTTACTCGTATCAATTTCTTGTGCAAGCATGTGTAGGTCTTTATGGAATTGCATTCCATGTCTTTAATGGGAAATACATTCTATTGGATGACTATATTGCTCGTAAATGCACTCGCTCAGTAAGTTTTCATTCATGGCCCTCATTCGAATGCATTTTACCATTTTTTATGACTTTGTATTTACTAATTTTGGCACACATCTAATCAATAGTTTTTGGGAAGTTGTGTTGGAGTTTCATTTTCAATGGTCATTTTCATGGCCACCATTCTCACCGTTCACACTCTCGATTTTCAAAATGTGTTGAGAGAATCTTTACCCTTCTTTACACTCGCAGGTGATTCTGTGTTGGCTTTCTTGACCGTGTGTCTCGTATTGGTTTGGGGACCATTAAATCCATCTCTTTCGAGTCTGTATGCATCCATGCAAGGAGCAATGGAGAGACGAAGCTTAATTGATGAGCACTCAAAAAGCTCACTGGGAAGCTCGAGTAGCAGTACACTCAATCATGCAAGATCATCTGTAAATAGAATGTAACAAATTTTGAAAGTCATGAATAAATTGAAGAAAAAACAACTATCATATTTGAAAGGTGCAAAATTTAGGGTTTTAGTTTCGACAACTATTGTTGCTCAATTAAGGCTCGAATGGAAAAATTGGAATTGATCACTCTACGAGTAAAAAAGCTTTAGTCCATTGTTTCATGATCTCAAGGACGTTCATGTGTCTCAATTTCATGTTCTCAAAAGTAATCAAAGAAAAGAGGAGAGTGAAAACTTAAAGAGGGGAATGGAAGTGTGTTGAAGGAAAAGGTTACGAATATTTGTAGAATTGGAAGCATCTAAGTTCAATTTCTCGTTCTCTAACTTTCAATGATGAAAGACCCCATTGTAATTCAAGCCATTCGATATTATTTTCTAAAATGTTTTCCACTTGACTTGTTGTGTCAATACTTTCATCTTTAGATTCGCTGTTCATTGTTTGCTGTGGAGTACTATTACTTGTTTGTTGTTGAGATGATGTAACAATCTCGGACAATGAAAATAGAATTTTAGGAACGTGACGTTGTGATGTTGTGCTTGTTGAACTCGATTCAACACTCAAAGAGGAAGAAGGATGAATCATTCTCAAAATATAGGTTCGAAAATTGTCTTCAAAACTCAAATAATACTTGTTGAGAGGTCGTAACCGAATCATTTCTCTAAAGAGTGTCAAATCATATTTGAAGGAGAAGGAATTATTTAAATTATAAACCATTGAAACGTGTGGAACAAAATTTGCAACTCCAGAATGATTTTCAATAATCGATAATATTTGTTTGGTATCCATAAGAATGTACTCGGAATCTTCTTCCTGCTCGGTCATGTTGGATTGTTTTTTGTTGATCGATTTTCGATGATTGGAATTTTGTTTTCGTTTGTTGTTGCTAATCGATGATGAGGATGATGTTGCAGACTTGACCAAATGTCCATCCACCACTGAAAGCAGCTTCGAAGTGTGTTCTTCTTGTTTTTTATGGTGATGATTCCGCGAGGAAGATGTGATCGTGTTGTCCTCCGATGATGAGCACGGCCGAAGTGGAGAGGTACCCTCATGTGAAACCACAACCATGCTACTGCTGTTGATGCATGTATCAGAATCGTAGTCGTCAGACAAGGATGAAACGGACGAGTTGGACGGTGAATTTGCCTCAGATTCCACAGCTGGTGTGGTTGTGGTGGTAGTGACTTGATCGTTGATGTCATAAAACTCTCGTTTATGCCCGCGTTTCAGTCGGGTGTGATGTTGCTCCACATGTGGTTGAGAAAGATGTTGTTGTTGATGATGATTACTACTACTAGGAAATGCATCCGTGCTGCTGTAATTGTTGTTACTGTTGCTGCTGATGGTGAGAAGATGGTTGGTGGTGGGTTGATCACTATCTGGAGTTCCCAGTGAATCCTTATTCTTGAGTGAGATGCTTTGCTCGAGAAGACGCTTTCGTTCTTCTTGCAACCGTTGTTTCCGAAGCTTATCTTTCCGAGTGGTGTGGTGATTGTTGCCTTGACCAGCCACTCGTGGATGTTGTCGCAAGTCTTCATTGTAGTGAGCTGTTGGTGTGTGTGTAGATTGTTGATGAATGAAAATGCATGACATGTATGACCATGCATCATGTGTGTGTTGGATTCGTTGTATACAAATGAATTCGCGTTTGAGACGCGCAACCATCCACACGTGTGAATCACATGCACACCGTTGTTATTGTTTGCATTAAGAGTAAGGTTTGTATATGAACCACATGTGTTCGTATCGTTGTTAAGAGTAAGGTTTGTATTTGGAAAGATGACAACGTTACGGTTATCATCATCATCATGATAACAACCAGACATGATCACAACTACATACTTGTACAAATCTTTAGACCCTCAATATTAGGGCTATTTGCATGCTCGAGCTTTACTTGCCACACTCTTTGGAGAGATTCGAAGGATAGCAGCGAGCGATAAATTGTCAATTGTCCAAATAAAGTGTTGAATGGGTGGTTGGTGCATGATGGTGGTTGGATGAGAAATGCGAGAATACAGCAGTAAAGTTTGGGCATTCGGGTTGAAATATTAGAGAGAGGGATGTTGTTGATAGGTTCATGTGTGTATAACGAACATTTGTGAATACATGTGGTGTTCCGTGATGTAGCATGATCAAGAGACGACATGACAGTCATGTGTGTTTCAAACACCCGCAACATCAAACCACAATATACGTCATAGATTTGATCAAAACAGTTGATTATTGATCCAACAGTTGATGACTTTCTAAATGCGATAAGTGAAGTAAAACTTACCCTTGTAGGCAACTAAAATTTCGTATTGAGGATGGTCGACTGCATCCATCAATGCAGCAAATAGAATTCACAGGTGTTGCATTTGAAGTGTTGAGTGATGAAGACGAAGAGGACGAAGCATTCCTAGATTTCATTATGTGTGTGTGATTATAATTTGTTGTGGAGATGGTGATTTCTGATGTGTCAAAAGGATGTGGCTGTTGGAGGTTTAATTTGTCAATAAAATAGTGTGTAGTTGATTCAACTTGTACAATACTGCAATCACTGTTTCTACTGTTGTTGTTGCTGTATTGTTGGAGGTGTTTGGAAGAGGTTGGAGATGGCTTTGATCGTCTGTTGCTGATCTTTTTGTGTTGAACAGATTTTCCAAGACGAGTATTTACCCGACAACACTACTCTAAGAGGTACTGAGGGATTCCTTGTGAGTGTTGATGAGAAGTGGTGGTGGTGGAGCTGTTGTGCTGGAAGGATGAGATTGTTGCGAACTGTTGTTGAATACAGGAGCAATTTTTCATATTTTGAATAAAACAATTGACACTCATCCATGAGGGACAAACATGTGTGATGTATTGTTCGTTTTGGGGTTTTGTCACATCAAAAGAGATAAACACACATAATTGCCAAACATGAAGAGAATAAAAGTGATGCGACACAAAGAGACAGATGGTTAAATATAGTAATATTCATGCACAAATAAATAACATTCAAATGCTGATTGAAACTTACTGCTTCAGAAAAATATTCTCTTCCTGAATATGCGTATGTTGTGTTGATGATGTGAAGAGAAATTGTGTTCTTTGTGGTTGAACAACGCCAATCCTTGTATATGATGCAGTGTCAAATGAAAGAAGAAGAGGTGTTGTTGCAGCTGTTGCACGTAACGCTCTGTGGGAGCACGACAACAATTTTTTCGAAGGTATGTTGACAATTGGCAACCTGTCCAAACTCAACACACAAACTTGATATGTGTTATTAGGAAAGTAGAATATATAATTTAGCCTCAGTGTCAGGTGTCACGACAAAAAATGGAGCGAATTTTGATTTATGGGGGTACAAGGTTAAAAATGCCAACTTTCGCGATGTGAAAAAATAATTCCTAGTGGGTGTTTTTGTGGATTAAACAATACTTAGCTGCAGTTTGATTTGGTAACAACAATCTTCGGCTATTTGATTATGGATCTTGAGATGCAATATCTTGTTTGGATGCGAAACTTGCCTTCTAGTGAATTGAAATAACAACCTTTGATGGGTCGAAGAAAATGATTGAATTTGTTGCTCAATGACAACAAAAGTTGAGTAACAACACTTCGTGATTGCACCTTGCGAGAGAAAACGACAGAGTTCTGTACGCCCATCACCGCCTATAGCTCCCGAAGACTTGTCCTCGCTCTTGAGAGGAACCTGGCAACTCCGACTCTCTGAGCTTGCGGGATGGAGATTGTTAAATTTAACTGGGTTAATTTCCTCTTTTTCCAATCCACCAATTGTGCTCAGAAGGGTGATGAAAACCGATGAGCTGGTTTTGCCAAATCAGAAAGAAATACGAATTTGTTCAATGTTGGAGTTGTTGTTCAGATGTTCGGCAAAATCCAACGTTGGATTGAGTAGCAACAAAGGCTTGAACGCAACACCAACAAGGGGTGGTTGGAAAAAGTCCCAATAGAGAGAATAGAGTTCAAGAAGTAAGGTTTGTCGCGCCGAAGAGAGCTTTCTGTGGAGGGTAGACTTAGAAGAGAGTTTCAGTTGAGTGAAGCCGTGGTGGTGGGTCAAAAAGTGCTGCTGCTGCTGCTGAGGTGAGCGAGTTGGGTTGTTTTTTTAGAGAGTTCGTTCGGCCCTTATTTCTCCTGCTGTTTCTAATCCTCTTGTTCATCAAGCCTTCATCGGGATGAAGAGTGTGTGTGTGTCCACTATCACCATCACTACCACTGTTGCTGTTGTTTTGTCCACACCGTCTCGAGGATGATTAAGATTTCAAAATTTTGTAACCTTTTGAGACAAATGGAGCGTCGGAAACTTCCAGAAAAGCCCAAAAACCTAATGAAGAAATTTCTTAATGGTCTGTGTTGCTGCCATGCACGTCGAGTACATCCATGAGCCAGCCAACCAACGCGTTGCTTGAAATCGTCGATTGGAACTTGTGGTTGCAGGGCGAAGAAGAAGTTTTCCATAAAAAGGAAAATTCTCGACACACACACCTCTCTAATTCGCACACCTCACTTTAAGCTTTTTCCGTTATTATTAATTATTATTATTAAACGAGGTCTTATTCCTCTCTCTTTTTATACAACTCTTTTGACATGTTGTGTCTTTTAACACACCACATTAATTGAATCATCATTAATGACTTGAATGGGGTTCCTTCTTAAGGTCTTTCGGAGAATCTTTAAGGTTTGGAAATTTGTTTCAAGTTTTGATGTTCAATGTTGGAGGCATTACATCCAGTAACGTTTTTGTTCATACATAAATGAAAAAGAATCAACGGCTAAATCCAAAGGTATAACAATACAAAGTTAAAAAAACAAGATCTCCTATGTTATCTATCTTCCTTAGATGTTGTGAAGATGATTTTCACGATGAAGGAACCTGTTGGGGTGTCACGACTATTTTAAAAAATGTATACACAGCGACACCCCTTAGGTTGAGCGTTATTATAATAAGCATTTTGCTTCACGGAACGCAATAGAGGGTTTTCGCCAACCCGAATTCGCCTCACTCCTGTTGTAAACAAAGTTGTCAAGTGTTGTGTTTGCATTACAGTACTAAATTTTATAATCAAAGATTACATAATGTAGCCAGTGATGAGAGAATGAGCAAAATCGAGACCAAAAGGATTTTCATCTTCATTCATGGATTTCACAGGAGTCACCTCAATCACATTCACAATGAGGGTGTGTTGATTTTGAAAATTTTCTTGATAGTAAGATTTGAGAGCATCCACGGTTTCAGGTGATAAAAAGTACTTGTGATGTGGAGAGTTGGCTTGCCACAATGTCATGTTCTTGTATTTGACTGGGAAGAATTGAACACGATCTCCGACATCAATCGTAGATTTCTTGTTGTTGTTGTTGTTTGCGGATGATGATTTGTTGTTGGAGTGTTCGAGTTGTTGCTTGAGAGAGTCAATTTCTGATTTCAGATCCAAACAAATTTGTTCGAGTTGTTTGTTCTTGTGTTTCTCATTGTTCACACTGTCCTTGAGAGTCTTGATGACTTTGAGTTGAATTTCGGAGGCTTCTGATGCTTGATCGTACTTGTCTTGAATTTCCTTAATCTTTTGGTTGTATTGTTCTCTCAGTGTTTGAATTTGTTGTTCAGTCTGAAGAGCTTGTTGTTCAAGTTGTTTCACTCTCTTGAGATAAAAGTCATTTTGAATGGTGACCTGTTTGAACTCTTCATTGCCTTGTTTCATTCTCATTTCCTTTAGTGAAGTTAGTTCTCGTTGATATTCCTCAATTTGTTTCTCGAATTGAGAGACTTTCTCAGATTTCACAGTGAGTTCGGAAATGGTCTTTTTCTGGTTATTAATGACATCCATATAATTGTTGGTTTGAACTGTGAGATCTTGGAATTTCTTTTTGAGTAAATCATGTTCTCTTTCTAACTTGTTGTAAGCATTTGTTTTGAGAGAAAGTTGTTCTTGGTGTACTGTCTCAGCCTGTTTGAGTTGGAAAGTCAAACTATCAATCTTATTCTTATGAGAATCAATTTCACTTTTCAGTTTCAGTATTTCAGCCTCTAACCCAACCTCTCTTCCCGATGACTTGAAAGTTGTAATTTCAGAAGCAGCTTGCATCAGTCCAGCATAAAATTCAGAAAGCTCTTGATGTTTTTTTCTGCATGGGTGACAAGTCCTTCTTGGTGGGTGCTTGTACCACTTGAGTATTCATAATGGTATTGTCTTTGGTGTGATCCACATTGGCTTGTTCTGTTTGTTTGATATATTCTAGCTGTTCATCGATATGTCGATTCACTTCTGGGAGCTTATTTGCAACATGTTGTATAAAAGTGCTTTGGCTCATGTCAGCAACAAGAGCGCTTTGAATCATGGATGGTGTTACAATGTTTGTGTCTGTGAGTGCATTGTTTTTGTCTTGCGAGTTGGGAGGCGACACCACAACAAAGTCAATATCTTCCAATTGATTAATATTTGGTAATTCCGCATCGACAGGTCGAATGAGTGTGTTCATGTAATGATTTAGACGTGTGGTCAGAACTTTGCTGTTCACTCGTTCGCCAATTAAACCAGGAACCAACTTTTTAAGCTCTGAAATATGTTTTGGATCAGTGGCAAGCTTGGCAACTTGAGCTTCAAATAAATCTCTCTTCTCATTTTCCAATTGGCAATTCAACCAAATCATTCTCTCAATTGTACTGCTTGTATCATTTTCAAGCTTCTCTTTTTTGAATTCTTGCTTTCGACGAACTACTTCGTGCATTGCAATTTGATAGAGTTTTGGTAAGCTCGAAAGGAATCGCAAACGTCTCAACAAGTTGACTCCTTCTTTGTAAGTGTTGACAGAATGTAAACATGTGTCTAAAGTCATGTTCAGGGTATGGAGGTGCTTCATTAAATTCAACAGTGGTGCATTGCAAGAGTTGCACAAAGTAACAAGATCCTTGTATGATGATTCAATCAAATTAAACTTTTGATACGATTTTTCAATAAATCCATCAAGTGTAATTTCATAATTACTTAATTGTAAATCACCAGTTGTTGTTTTGGCCAAGGCAATCGCAGATAAAATGGATTGTTTCAAATCATTCCATGATTCCACCTTTTCCCAAACCTCAAATATCGCTTCATACTCTTGCAACACCTTCTTAAAGTCGTCAGATTTTTCAACCTCCTTGATTTTGTCTTCGGAAGAAGTTACTGCCTTAACAATGTATTTTTCAATCTTTAAACACTCTGTCACAACCTCATACTTGTCTCTGATCTTTCTTTCGTCTTCGTTAGTGACACTGAATAAAGAAGAATCTTTTGCATGAATCGAGTCGGTTTTAACGCTTTTCAAAAGCTGAATAATATCTTCAGGAGATGTATAGGTCTTTTGAAATTCTCGGAACTCTTCACCAATTTCTTCCAGTTGTTGTAAGTTTGAACGTTCATACAACTCTGGCAACTTTTTGTTGAGTAAATGATACAAGCAAATATACGTGGCTTCTTTGCGGTGGCTAAAGCTTTCATACGCTTCGTGACACTTCTCAAATCCATCATCGATGACCTCAATGCAATGTTGTAAATGAGCAATCTTGATGGAAATTCTCTTTTTGGTATCATGTTCATCATCAACATCTCCTGAGAGAGGAATAATTTTCTTTGAGAGAGTCTTTGTTTGTTCCTGATCAGGATTCATTAATTGTTGTCTATTCACCGTCGGATCATAAAAGTAATAACATCCTCTCACTTCATTTCTCAATACAAAGGCATTAGTCTCAAATTTACGATCTTGTTTGCTCTTGGACATTTCATAGGCATCATCCAAAAGCCTCTTCCCGGTCATGGCACAATACATTGGATCATGTTGATTGATCACAGGAGTTCCCAATGATACTGCCCTGAGAGTTTCGGTTGAACTAGTACTGGAGGTGTCCTCCTGTTGCTGTGGATTGTTTTTGGACGAAGACGACAATGGAAAATTTGATCGTTGATTCATTTTTTTTTCTAACAAGGTTCTATTTTAAGATTTTTTACTTCGAATCGTTGAATGACCTTTTGAGGGTGACACGCATTCATTCTCCTTTTGATTCATTTTCTAATAACACCAAAAGAAAGGAAAAGTCCAAAATGCCCAATAGTTATTGGGACCCATTTAAATGGACCCCAAAGTCAACAACAAATTCAATAGTTTGGACGAAAGCATATGACAATTTAAGGACACACTCGTGATGATGAAAGGTACATTCATTCTCGCAAAAAACGCCAATGAAAACTTTTATTCATCATCTTCTTCTTCCTCCTCATCCTCATCTTCTTCCTCTTCGTCTTCTTCTTCTTCGTCTTCCTCTTCATCTTCACCTTCCTCGATGCTTTTAACCAATTCCTTGCACGAAGAAAGAATAGTCTTCAATTCATCATCGTCCTCAAACTCTTCATACCACTCAATAATAGAGTCATCAGATACAACATCTTTGTTGTAAAGAATTTGAACAAAGTATCTCAGTAAATCCTTAAACTTCAATCCTTCATCACTTGCAACAAAGTACAAGAGCTCGGTCAATAATTGGACTTGTGGCTTTGTTCCAATATCCAAAAATTCAATTAAAAGTTCTTTCCATGAAGTTTTTCCGTCACCTCCATCGAGTACTTTTTGGAAAAGGCCAATCATTTCTGTAGGTGTTGATGCTTCCTTGTCACAATACAAAATAATTCCTGTCAAGGTGGCAGCAGCACAATCTTCAAAGCTGCTATCATAGGCAAATTTTAACGAGTTCATTTCAAGTTTAGCATTTTCAATGGAGTGGTTCTCTGCGATGGCTCTCTTCATACCTGCCCTAGCCTCGTCAATAAATACAGCTTCATCCTTAATATCATGTGAAGAGACTGGCTTTTTGTAGGTGTTTTCGAGAAGAGTTTGCGATTTTTGTAACATGTCAATTTCTGACTGTGTGACTCCTATTCGGTTTGTTAAAAGTTCTCCCAATGAAGGAGGCAATTCATAAATCGTACCAACACCACCTTCACCAACATAATTCTTGTCGCTGTCAACGGTTATGGCTATAAATTCATTAGATCTTTGTCTTGCAGCAGCAAAGGCATTTTCAAACGATATTTCTTCTTCGTCTTGATCCTTATATTCGTCCTTGAGAGCCATCTTGGTTGTCAATCGATTATGTGCTTTAACAGTGAAATCAGGACCGACCACGACATTGAATGAGAGAACGGAGCCAACTTCAAGAACGGCGTTATTGCAAACCTTAGAATTGTTGCAGAGTAACGAAGCTGTTATCTTCACACCATCTTCAATGATAACATCGTCCCAAATGAAGCTTCCTTCAATGACAACATTATTACCAATTTTCACATTTCTTCCAATAACGGTGCTACAAATTTTGGTATTTTCTCCAATGGTGGTTCCGCTTCCAATGAGACAATTGTCTCCAATAATGCAGCTTTTAGAAAGTGAAACGTTTGATTCATAGTAGTTATTTGGGCGAGAATATCTGAAAGAAGTGGATCCAGAAAAGTTCGAGTCGGGTGTAACAGGGTACATCCATCTGTTGATGAGATCCATACTGACAAGTTCGTACGAACGAAGGTTACAAACTCTTGCGGAATAATTTGTATGATCAATGTATGGAATAACTTTGTAAGCCACAACCTCTGATTCCGATAAAACGTAGCTCTTCAAAAAGTCAGTTCTCAAATCTTTAAAGTCAAAGTTATCTTGGAAAATTCCCAAAACTTCAGGTGAACAAATGTCAATTCTGCAATCCATGACATCTGATATCACCTTGATGTCGTCTTTTGTTTCCTTAAAATTGCGAATTTCAATTTCAAAGGTTAAAGATTCCTTCTTGTCATTTTCGTAATGCAATAATTGTTTGTTTTTTTCTGAAATGGCAATCCAAGCTGTGTCACTCTCTTCATAGAAATTGATGGCATCAGGAGTGATTTTACGGAAAATGGATGTTGTTAATACTTGTGGGTCTGCTTTTCTCTCTTTTCTTTAATTTTTAAACGTTTCTTGTTAAATATTTGAGCATCAGTTAATACTACATACTTGTGAGCCTCTACAATCGGAGCTAAATTCAAATTGCTTATCACATCACCTTGAATCAAAATGAAATCATTTCTAATCACATCCAATTCATGAATTCTACGGAGAGCATCTCCTGCTGATGCAGCTTCAGTGCCTTCCACTGTGCTAATTTTCACATCACTATTTGGTGTATTCCACTTTTTAGAATTTCTATATATTTTCAATGAATTGGTTAAAAGGATATGGAACGACGATATTCTTCATCATGCGAACATTTGGTTCAAACACACTTACGCTAAATATTGTTTAATCATTTCAGCCCCATGACAGCAAAAGACATATATTTCTTTTACACCCGAAGCAGCTAACAATTCCAACACATATTCAATAATAGGTACGTTATTCAATGGTAATAAACACTAGTATATTGTTGTTCGAGACCAACAAGAATAACATGTATCATCGGAATAACCATTCAACATTTCATCATCACCATCATATTAATAAATTTTCACTATCAAAAATTATTCCAAAACAACCTACTCTTGGTGCTTGCAATGTAATGGGTCTCAATTCTTTCGTGAATGAATCGGCCAGAACCACAGCCTTTAAAATTTCTTCGGTCTTTGGTGCGGCGCCCTTCTTTGATCCTTTTTTCATTTTTCTTTTCGATTTTATTTAAAATCTTGAAGATCTCGTTGGAAAGAATTGAGTCTCTTTATTCGATACTAAATTTTCAATTTCATGATGCGTTGATTGTTATTTTAAGACATTTCAAGAATGTCCACCATAAGAGAGGGTTTTACTGTAATTTTCAATACTTGTTTCAGAGTTGAACTGTTCGACAATTACGCAAGATGAAACCAAGATTTTCATATAGTAGATGCTTCATTCCGTCTAGTTTCATATTCTTTAGTTTGGAATTGTGAGACCTAATATACAATAAATAGCGGCCGTTAAAAAAAGGTGACACTGACTTTAGTTGAATTAAACATAAAGCCCGTGTAAAGTGAAAACAACCAACAAGAAATTCTAGAATAACAGGCCAATATACACTCAAGGATAATCTATTTGTTCTGCACTTTTGAAGGGCTTGGCGTTAATTTCAAACTCTTCCAACTAATTGTTTTTGCTTTCATTCAACAGAAATTTTTTCGAAAAGAAAAATGAAACGAAGATGTTGATGCCTTTGCTCCAAGAACGCTTTGCGAACCGTGCCAACAAATATCACCATACTCGGAACAGAAAAGTCCAATGCAACACCTTTGCTATGCAATACACATTACAACAATATCAATAATTTTAAAAACACCCACCACATCAGCAACCCTGTTACCATTGAAATTCAAAAACAACCAAAAGGAGTGAAAGATATCATTTCAATCGTTACCGATAAATTCGGTCAATGCAAACATTCCGACAACAAGTGCTGTAGTAATTGCAAAGAAGGTAATACGCGATGTAAAGGCATCTCTTTCGAAAAAGTGAGCCATTTATTAACAGTATCGGGAATCATATCACACAATGGCCACAGCTTCGGAAGTGTGAATTTCAATCATCATGGCGAATTTTGTTTTTTTAGTGTAGACTGCAATAATTGCAATCTCAACAAATATGGAGTTTGTGAAAAATGTTATGAATGCTATGAAACAAAATTACGCCATTATCAGCGAACAATTGAAAACCAAAATACCAAAACAGCTCACCTCGCTGCAAGAACACAAGAATACAAAAATGTCATCAAATCATTGAAGGCAAAAATCTCTCGACGAGATACTACAATTAAGAATTTCGAAGAATTAATTGAAGAAAAAGATCAAAAACATTATTTGGTAGAACTTCTCTCGATTGCGCTAGAGGAAGGAAAGTTACATGAAACCCAGTTCTTTTATCAATTATTAGAAAATACTTTGCAAAATTTGGTTTCGTCGAAAAATGTTAACGGTTTTCGATACAAAGAGTGTATCATTCATTGGTGTTTATTACTTCGATTTTATGGTGGTTCTCGTTTGTGGAATATTTTGAAAGGAAATTCTCCCGGTGAAACTATAACATCTGAAAACGCATTAGATAAGCTTAATCTATTACTTCCATCTATCTCAACAATTAAGAGCTATCTTCCAGACTTGTCTTTTGGTAACCTTGTCGACAGTGATTTGAAAGATATTGTTAAAGCCATGGCATTGAATAATATTAGTAATAAGATCATAATTTCATATGATGAAATAGAGATTAGAGGAGGATTATGTGTGATGAAAAGTACTGGAAAAGTAATTGGATTCACAAATTGCAATGAAAAGTCTTTTGAAGATATATATAACGCAAAAAGAGAAATTACACCAGACGATATTGCTAGTCATGTGTGCCAGTTTTTTGCAACAACTATTGACGGTGAGATGTCTTTTCCTATTTGTTTTGGTGGTCACAAATCAAACCATTATGAATTTATTACAAAGAAAATGACAGAAATTAGAGATCAATTCAAACGAACTTCTTATGGAGATTATGTTTTAGAGGTGGTTGGAGGTTGTAGTGATGGATTAGCTGGTAATTATCAATATGCAACCTCTCATACTAATGAAAATTATGTTCACCTTTTTGATTGGTCTCATTTGCTCAAACGGTTGAGAAATCGTTTATTGAAAGGGGATGATTTGATTATTGAAAAAGAGAGTTTTTCTATGAATACATTATTGAAGGTTAGAAATGAACCCCAACTGCGAGACTGGGTATCGGAAAATATAATTTACCCAGTCGACATTATGAAAATGGAACCTGTTTTTGCATTGATAGATTCTAATGTTATTAGTGAAATTGAACAAAGCAAGCAAATAGGATGTTGTGCATTAGCAAAATATTTAACGTTAATGCAACAAATACATCAAATTTTTGACGATGAACGATGTTCAAACTGGAATGAGAAAAAACAATTAATTGAATCTGTACTGACAACACTTAAGGAATGGAAAGATGCAAATTCTAACATCATTAGTGACGAATTGTATTCTCATATTGTGATGACTATGACTTCACTTCGTTCTCTTTTTGAAAAATATGGAAACCATACTCAAATTAAGGCTTGTGGAATTTCGACATTAATTGTTGAACATTTTTTTCCTTAATTCGAGGAAAAATACGATACCCTAATTTTCGAGATTATTGTGGGATCTATCGAGCCGTATGGATTGCTTTGAAGACGAAATTGGCAAAAAAATTCTCCAATTAATGTCAATCAACAATCAACCACAAAGTGTTATGGAAATTGTAACGTAAGCTTAGACTATTCTGAATTACATCGAAAACACTATGTAAAGAAACACATTCTTCAAGAAGACGATGAGGACACTTTGTTAGAGAAAGATCAAACTATTTCTGAAGAGATGTATGAATATGTGCTCGATGTCACTCAAGATTTTCTTCCACATAAAAATGTAATGCTGATACGAGAGTATTTATGTAAACAAGCACCAGTCGCGGATGATGGAACTATTATGAACAATATTTTTCTCAGCTGCCCTGAATGTAATCAAATAATGGTCCGACAACGATCATTCATTAAGCACTTACAATGTCACAATTATTCACCTCAGCAATGCAAAGATACACTGTACAACACAATTATTATTTCACTCAAATCTCGCCAATTTGGCCAACATGTTGAGGGTATTGTTGAGGAAATAGCAACCAAATTGGTAACCAATACCTTTAAGCAAATTCGAATTCGAACAGAACCTGAATTACCAAAAGAATCAGTTATTACATTTAATTCAGAAAAAGGATTATTTGTTCCATCTAACGAGAAGCAATCACAAGCAGAAAATATTTCAACATCAAATATCGCCACCATCGACTCTATTTCAGAAGATTCAACTCAAATGTCAGAAACTTCACCTCAAAACAAATATGTATTTTTTGATTTTGAAACGACTGGATTATGGAAGAATGATGATCCACCAAAAATTACGGAATATTGTTTTGTGGACGTTTTGACTGGAGCTGTTTTGTATGGCTTAGTTAATCCTGGAAAAGTGATTTCTAACCAAGCACAATCAATTACAGGACTTAACTTGAATAGTTTAAGATCAAAATTGCCTATTGAAGGGCATGTGAATGATATTATCCAATTTTTAAACAATAACTCTCAAGGAAAAACTTACTTCATAGCTCATAATGGAGACCGTTTGAATTTTAAAGTTTTTGCCAAAGAATTTTTCGGAAAGTTTTCTGAATTTAATCATGACAATATTGTCTTTGTTGATTCTCTCCGATTAATGAAATCAGAATCGACTTTACACAATTGTCTTCCTCGGAAAATGACAAAGAAAGGGAAATCTAAACCAGTTTTTGCTGAGGATGTATTAATTGAACACTTTAATTTAGGAAATGTCAACAATTCACATTGTGCATTTTATGATGCTATTGGATTGCTTAATATTTTGATCAAGTTTTATGGTAATCTCGACGATGCACTGAAAGCTATCGAGTGCTTCAATACCAATCAACTTAAAAGGAAAAGAGAGAAAATTAATGACAATAATGATGATGAACACAAAGCAAAGAAGAAAGTTGGATGTAGATGTAAAAAAGGAAATTGTTTGAATTGTAATTGTGCCAAGCTTGGAAGAATATGTGATGCAACTTGTGGGTGCAATTCAGAAATTTGCAAACGGAGACCAGTGCCAAGTTTGTTCCAACTACACGGAACTAATATTGTGTTCCTGTTGTTCTGATATTGTTTGTGAGCGATGTTCTTACAATGGAGAATGTCAACGATGTTCGATATTCATAGTTTATCATTGCAAATGTTGTCACAGACTAACCAATGCCGTTTCTAAATGCCTTCAATGTCAAAATTCAACATGTTGCAAATGTTACTATGACGGCCTTTGTAAGATCTGCCATCCAAACATGCCAACATTGCTGTGCAATTCATGCCACAAGCCTTGTTTATCACTAACTCCATGCAAGGATTGTGGCTTGAAAGTATGTAATGACTGTTTGAGAGAGAGATGGTGTCGATCATGTGATTGTGATGAGGGGGAATGGTTGTCTTCAACTCAGTCACAATTCCAGTCCTCCATGGACGTGACAAATTTTTAAGAAGTAGCTACCATGGCTCTTGTAATGCCAATTCAACATATTGACGCACCAATAGTGATGTGGTGTTTCCTTTATGTGTCAGAAACAACCAATTGCATTGGCAGGTTTTGATGGATTGAAACCATCATAAAATCATCCTATGATCGTTGTGTTATTAAAATTCCCAGCGAAAAGTTTTCTCGTAGCTTGAGGTGTTCACGAAAAAATACGCTCGAGTTGTCCACCCGTGACTCTTTCATAAAGAGTGGATTCATATTTATTTCAACCTTACATTGAGTAGTTTGTTCAAAACCGTCTGTTTTGCAGTCCATCTCAACTCCTCTCACGACTTGATTGAAACGAATCTTTTAATTTATTTTTAAAGTCGCCAAACATTTCAAGGAGTGGCTGCATGTATTTTTTAGTGAATTCATGAAACGACGAGCACATGCTAGAAAGTTCTCATTGAGGAGACTTTTCTTCGCTCCATCTTTGGCTACGATTTCAAATCTGAATGGATATTTTTTTAAAAAAAACATTCAAAAAAACAAACGTTGATTCCCGAGTGGTTGTTTTTTCTCATTATCCCCATCAACATCCTCTACAACAATCCCAACACCACTCATCCTCATCCTCCGCTCCGTTTGTTTTAGAATTTGATTCAATTGAATCATTTAATACATCTCATTCTTTTAGACACTTTGCTCACCTGAAGTATTTTGTTGAACGACGATTTTTGAAGTGAAGAAGAAATTTCATTCATCATCATCACTCAATATTTATTAATAGTATTATCCAAATATTTAAATAATGGCAGTTACTCTCACCAACGCTCCATCATTGATTGAATCTTGTGGTATCAGATTTCTCATCAGCGATGCACCAAGTGATACCAACATTCATCTCTATATCAAGGAATTTAAACAATACAATGTAACTCATTGTGTCCGAGTTTGTCAAGCAACCTATGATAAGGAAATTGTTGAACGAGCAGGAATCAAGTTTTATGATTGGCCATTCGATGATGGCTCCTCGCCACCAAAGAATGTCATTCAAGATTGGTTGGATTTAGTGGATAAAGTATTTCCACCAAACTCGGATCCTGCGGATGCACCTTGTATTGCTGTACATTGTGTAGCTGGACTTGGAAGAGCTCCAATTTTGGTTGCTTTGGCTTTAATTAAACGATGCAACATGACGGGATTGGAGGCTGTTCAATTCCTTCGAAAGAAGAGAAGAGGAGCCATTAACAAGAACCAGCTCGATTTTATTGATAAGTTTTACAAGCAAAAGAAGGGATGCATCATCTGTTGAATCACGCACGCCCAACACAATGAATTGGAAACAGTGAACCATCTTTGGATGAATTCTCTGTTCAATAACCATGTCTCGGACAAGATTCAAATTTTCAAACATTCTTCACCTCCATCCATGCCAGCCTCTCCATTTCTCTCGTATCAACATCAGGTATCACCATCATTACCTCCCATAATCGAACAACCAATTTCACAACATTTCCCATCCTTCTTCCATACCTCTCGCCTTCCTCATTCATTGCCTCTGGCCCATTATGCAAATCTAATGGACTACCATGCTTTTATTCAACAAAAACGAATTCATCAGCCTATTCCTCAAACGTTTGGCTTACAGAAATTTTTATTACATCATTCTCTTTTTACATCCTCTATTCAACAACAGTTGTTATTTTCACCACAATTTGTGAGCTATTTCCTCTCTTTTCTTTTTTCTGAATTTGGAAACAAGAATTTTTGGTATTGGGTGATGGTTTTACTCATTTTTATGATTTGCAATGCGAAAACAAAAGAAGAATTGCTAATCAAATTGCTGGCTGTCATTTGCCTATTCCTATTGCTCTCAAATGCCAATCTGATCAAGCCACGAATGATAATGGTGAATAAAGTTAATATGAGGTTTGATGAATTTGTGGAAATTATTAGGTGTCATACGAATGTCAAGGTGAATTCTGATTGCTTGTAAAGGCAGGTTCCTTCAAAAAGACAATTTTCGCACTGAACATCTACTTTTAATTATTGAAAGGATGAATTGTCTTCGTCTTCCAACTCAACTTCTGCGTCCACAGGCAACATCAGATATTCCACATAGGTGACAGGCTCAGTCGCTCTAATTGCAAATTGCATTGAGAGCGTGCCTTGATTGTTCATTCTAATACACACTTTTTCTGCATGATTTAGTGCTTTCATGGCTTGTTGAATGTGACTTAGCTTGTAGTGACCTACTTGAGTGGCTTGACATTCGAATGCTTGCACTCCTTCGTTTAAGCTATCAATATACACCGCTAAGGAGCCAATAACATTATCTGAAGTTTTGAAAAAGAGTTTTCCTTTTTGAAGGCTCTCGTCTTGATTCTCCTCTGTTTTTTCGTCGAGTTCAACTCCAATCTCAATTGTTTTTGATAGCCAATCAATCTCAGCTAGTGCATCTGTTAAAATTTCGCTCTTCAAAATTGTTTTTGTGCCGATAGGGTGCTCTCTAAATTTAAAGTCTATTGGGTCGAGCTCACATTTCCTAATTTTAATGTTACAATCTGTGACGACACGTTCTTCTCCTAACAACAATGAAAGTGTGTTGTCCACACCAGGATAACACAACTTCACAATGGTGCCCTGAGATGCATTTGCTCCATATAAAATTAAACAATCAATTAAAACTGAAACATTAATTTCGAATTGATATTTTGTATCTTTCGGAGCAGAAAATGTATAATTCTGAAATATTCCACTCTTCATTGCAGCCACTCCTTGAAATGTTCTATCCTGAATATAAAATTTAATTCCTTCTTCCACAATTTCACAAATTGCCCATGCTTGTTCCCTCTTCTTTTTAATATCCGAAGGATTTATACATTGCATAATATTTGCAAATATTTTTGCCGAAGCAATATCAGCAACCATTATATATTTACTCCGATCTTGTTGAGAGGCATGATAAACGAGAGATCGATTCGAGGCTTGACTGATTTGAGAAGGTGGAGGATTTTGTTGTGGAGGAGGAGGATGAGAGGATGATCCCGATGCAGAGGAACCCAACGAGGACGGAATCCCGATGTGCTGCTGATGTGGTGCATCATCAGGAAATGGCTGAGCGGAACGATTATTGTTGTGTTGGAGCATTTTTTTGATTTGAAAATTCTTTAAAAAAGTGGAAATGGGTTTACAAAAAATTGAAACTTGATTAAAAGACCAAACGTCAGCACAATCTTCGATGTTCCTTTTGATACCGATACAACACATATTCAACATCTTCAGAATCATCCAAAACTAACACAGTAGTCACTGATTTTTTCAAATCTTTAAAATTCTCCACTTCCTCTCCACTGCTGGGTTCCACAAAAAAGGAAAGTTGTGAATCCGAAAATAATTGTCTCAAATGTTGCAACAAGAGTCCTCGTTTGGGAAATTGGGAAATGTTGACGTTTCTAAATTCAGAACCACGAATGAAGGTAATGACTCGTGCTTTCTTCACTTTTTTGAGAGGATTGGTCGTTGAGTGCATGGTTTGAGAGGAATTTCTCGATGAGTAATTTTGAGAAAACGTTTCGTGGGGATGATTCTTGGAAAGTGATGTAATTTTGATCAACATTTTAGAAGAGGAGAAGAGAGTATAGTGTTAGGGAACCTTTTTTAACTACTTGGAATGGTTTATGGAAGAGTGAAAGGATTTTTGAAAGTTTTCTCTGCCATTTCCATTTTTGAAAATTACCAATTAAAGAATGAAATGCAAAATGAACAAGTTTCATTCTTCCTTCTTTCGGAATACATGTCACCATCCATCGTAATATTCATCAAATTGTTGAATGAGAACATGCATTTATTGCAAAAAAGAGATTGTTTCTTTCCACTTCATTTCTAAATTTCACACAAAAACTAAAACGCAAATCGCACTTTATTCAATTCTTTCCTCTTTAATATTATTTGAACGCCATGACCTTAATTTTCTCAAAACACATTCACAATTTCCAGCATTGTCTTTTGTTATTTTGACCGACTTTTGTTGTAAACTGTTCAAGTTCTCTTTTCCAGTGGAATTTCAAAGATGAACTCAACAAACAAAAAAAATGATTTCCTCACAAGAGACTTCTTCTTCCACTCAACCTAGTGCTGATCTCGCCGAACGATTTCTTGCAGCTGTTATTCTTGGTGCAGTCGGAGATGCCATTGGTACGTTTTTCAAATGACAAATTACAAGTTCATCATCAATTTGAAATTTGAATGTTTTTCTAATCATTGGCTGATCATATGATTGAAATCATCACCATGATTCTTTCCGTCATGGATTTCAATGATTCCTATATCATGATGATGAATATTCATCCGCAACGCTCACATTCAAATTGAATTTTAATCCTATTGATGATGATGATGATCCAATATGATCGGATCCTATCCTCTCCATCATAACTAGGCTATCGAAATGGATCATGGGAATTCAATACCGATGGTGAGAGCATTCATTACGAATTAAAGAAATACTATGGAAGTTTGGCAGGTATTGATGTGAAGGGATGGCGTGTGAGTGATGATACAGTGATGCACTTGGCCTCTTTAAGAGCTCTCAACACTTTTATGAAACATCAACAACAACAACAACTCACTTTACATAATCCAAAATTAATTTATTCCTTTGATGAGAAGGATCCAAACAGTTGTCAAGAATTTATGAAACAATTTGTCGATCCACTCATGCAAGAAATGAGTAAGGAATATATTATTTGTTGGGATGATATGGGAGGAAGAGCTCCAGGACCTACTTGTGGAAAAGGTGTTCGATTTTTGGAGAGTAAGGGTGTGGATAAGTGGCAATTATATCCCTATGATTCGAGAGGTGGAGGTTGTGGTGGTTCCATGAGAGCAATGATGATTGGTGCATTGTATGGACCACAAAGACGTGACATGTTGATTGCGGCGAGTGTTGAATCTGGAAGATTGACTCATAATCATCCTAATGGATTTTTAGGTGCATTGGTTTCTGCACTTTTCACAGCCTATGCTTTGGAAAAGACCATTCCACCAGCTCAATGGGGTGTCATGTTTTTGTATGATATCATGCCAAGAACAAAAATTTATTTAGAAAAAGTTGCTATGAGAGATTGGCAAGTGATGGAGAGTGAAATCACAAAATTCGAACAGAAATTTGCACAATATTTGAAAGAACGTTCCTTGTATTTGGATGAACAAGTAGTTAAATTGGCTCTCTCTGCCCAACACAAATCACCAGAAACACTTTCCAATGAAGAAAAACATGCATTGCAACAAGTCACATATTTGCAGCCTCAATTTCCAAAAGAATACGGAATTCAAGAACGTGATGACTTTTATCGAAAATGGTCTTTCAGTGGTTGGGCAGGTGCTTCCGGAGATGACTCGTGTATCATTGCGTATGACTCAATTTTGTTTGCTGGACCCAATAATTATGAAGTGATGATGCTTCACTCTGCCCTTCATGCAGGTGATTCAGATTCGACCGGAACGATTGCAGCGGCATGGTATGGAGCCATGTATGGATTCAATAATGTATTCAAGAAGAATTGGGAGAATATTGAAAAGAAGCAAGAAATGACTGATCTTGCTGCATCCTTGTATGAGCTCTATAAGCTTTAAAATACAAGTTTCATGTCAATTTGACGTTTTAAATATGTGAGTCGTTGGATGAGGTGAGGATAACATTGAAAACCATGAAATGACAACTCGCGCAACACACTTGGGTTCTTGTGTGAAAGGATTGAAATATTTAATACTGTTGTTGTTTGTGACACCTGTTAAAGCATGTAATTGCTGCGATTGCTCAAACTTTTTAAATAACAATGTACCATATAATCTGCATCATCAGCATCTTCCAACACTAACACCGCCTCTAACTTGAACAACTCTTCATAGGAAACTTCTTTTTTCGTTAGTGGATCTAATAAGTAAGATAATCGTTCATCTTCAAATTCCTCTCTCAGTACTTGCAACAAGAGTCCAGTTTTGGTATAAATGCTCAAATTTAAATGTCGAAACACTTCTCCTCGAACAAATTTGACTGTTTTTTCTTTGAGATTTGTCGAAGATCGTAAACCCCAAGAACTTCTTGTGGAAGAGGGTCGTTCGCGTGGCAACTGGAAGTCTGAGGCGGCAACGGAAGAGTCAAACGATTCAAACATGTTTAATAATTTGAGGACAGAAGGAAGATATAGATAAAACAGTGAATGGGATGGGGATGTGATTGGGGACGTGAGCTTCTGTGGATTCTGGTTGTTTCAACGTTGAATGAAAGTGAGTAAAATGAAGTTTTTTTTGTAGTGTCAACAACAATGACACTCGAGTTTCTTCTTTTATCTCTTTTACCAAAAAGATTCAAAATAATCACAAAATGTTCTTGAAATGGAATGAAAGACTGACAATAAAGGACAGTTTATTGTTGTTGTATAACGTTAGGACTATTTTTTAATCTCTCGTATGTTGGTGAGATCTCTTTTTGAGAGGGCATCTCCTAGAGGCATCAATTGTCGTTGAAAAGTAAATTGATGGAATACTTTTTGAATGGATGATGGACGAAAACTTTATTCGTTCTGGTTATGACCATCTCTCATTTGAATGTTCTACAAATAGGGATCTCCTACAACGAGACAAATGATGAAATGAATTATTATGTTTTTCGAAATAGTTCAACAACTATTTCAACAAGATCATTAAGGCTTTGATAGATTTGAATGAAAAACCTCAATAGTGTCCATCAATCACGATCGATTTAGAATTGAGACTTTTCAACACAATCAATGGTTTCGAGCATTGGAAACAATCACAAACCTTTCTCTCTGAAATGTGTGAATAAGATTGACCTTTCTTGTTGGAATGTTCGCATTTAACCAAATTCTATTGAGGATTCTTTAATATTGTCAAAAAATCAGCACCGTTCGAAATTCATGGATTTATATTTGAAATAGTGGTTCATTCGTTTCACACTTCCATCCTGATGATTGTTTGGAAAAAACAAACGAAATATCACACCTCTCTTCCTTCCATTCGAATCCAACACTTCTCATTCCTCAAGATTATTAAGATAATTGTGAAGTGAGTTTCTCTTGGATAATAGAGTTAACGTCGGTTTGAGTTGATCTACCACAACGAGACATCATCGTGGGTCATGTTTTCAAATAAAGTAAAATGATTTATTGTGTTTTTCGAAATAGTTCAACAACTGTTTCAACATGATCATTAAGGCTTTGCTATTCATTTATCATTCTTGAGTCATGACTCAATGAAGATCGATTTAGAATTGAGACTTTTCGCCCATCAACAATGAACCACTCGTTCCCGGAGCTGTATTCGTCGTCGTGGAAGTTCCTCCCTCCGAAATCAAATCTTCTCCGATCACTCCTCCGAGCGAAGAACGAATCTTATGAGAGTTGGAATGTGCATCATCCTGTTGAATGGCAATGGGTTTTGAGGAAGAATTCTTATTCCTACTTTGTCCCTTCTTATTCGAGTTCTTGCGGTTGTTGATGATAGAATTGTTATTATTCAACAGATTCGAGTTTGTTGAATTCAATAAAGGTCTTCTCATGTGAATAATTTCTTCTTCTTCCTCAGTGTGGATCGTGTTATGATTGCTGCTCTCCTTCTCAATAGGATCCAATCGACTCGTCAAAGCTCCATTCTTTCGTTGAAGGAAGGCTCTTTTCGATTGTTCAGCCTGTGCTTGTTGTTCTTCTTGATGTAAATTTCCTTTTTTAGAGGTTGTTCGAGTTTCCACATTTGGTTGGGAATGATTATGACTGGAGGAAGAAGATAATGAAGAAGATGAGGATGAAGAGGATCCTCTGAGAGAGAATATGGAATCCACTGGAGCAAAGGATTCATTGTAACACGAATGGAAGAATAAAACACCATTCAAAGGCAAGCTCAATAAGGAAATGAGAATGGCTGTAGTACAGGAAAAGTAGACCAAATCGACACTCGAGTAGTACATGAGGAATAAAAAAGAAAGTGTGATACTAATGTTCATATTGAGATGGTTGATTATTGGCATTCGCCAAAATAAGGAAATTTCGAAAATAAAAGACCTACCATAGAATCAAGGATGTGAGTGAGAGAGTCACTACTGCAAAGATGAATAAATTTAGAAAACGAGCGCTTGTTTTACGGAAATTCCACAAGAATCTGAAGGCACTGTTGTTGGAATTGTAAATGTTAATTTCATCGTCATTGATAGATTGGGGCTCTTCAATGGTGGTTGTTGTTGTGACAGTGGTTGTGGCAATCTCTGTAGTGAGTAGATTCTCTCTTCGTCCATGATGATTAATACTTTGTGTTTCTTCTTGAGTACATGAACTGTCATTGGTCATGGCTTTGATTTTCGTAAATTCTCGATACTTTTGATACATGTATCTTCCTCCCATCAACCACACGATCAGTTTCAAAGCAATCAGAGCCATCAAGAATGTTCCTAATGTCAGAAACATGACCGATCGAGTCATTAACAAGTGAGAATCAGTTGAGACTGCAAATTCTCTAAAAATTGCAGCAACTGCCAATAGAAGGGCATGGCAAGTGATTTGCAGCAATTCAAATCCAGCAAATAGTCCCAATGAAATGTACAAGAAGAGTGGTTTCATTTTGTTTGTTCAACTGCTCTTTGAAGCAATGTTTGTGCGGTTGGTTGTGCTGACGTCAGTCGGTGGAATGGATTTCAATCTTTTTTCCATTCAGAACTTGTTGCCGAAAGTGGTCATAGAACAGAGAAGGCATGATCGTTCAATGAATTAAATTTCAATTTGAAACCATGGACAAGAAGAGAGCTCGATTAAATTTCAGTTCATTTCGAATCAAATTTCCATTTAAATACTTTTTGTTGCTGCATTTCCATAACTTCCTGTTCAAAAGAATACGTGTCAAAATCTTCGCTTTTTCCCTGTTATTTACTTGTATTTCATTGAATCCTTATCAAAACCAATGGTTGGGAATGATTTGCTAAAGGTCTCAACCTTACTCTTCAATGCAGTAATTCCAACAGAATCTGGATTTTGATCCAAATAATCCTTAAAGTCCTTCACTTTCTTCAAACCTTTTTGATCCAATTCACTCTTGGTCTTGATAGCAATTTGAACACCTTCATGCACAAACTGAGCTACTTGTGCAAAATCCTTCTCCAAAAATCCTCGAGTGGTGAGAGCAGGAGATCCCATACGAATACCTCCTGGAACCATGGCAGATTTATCACCTGGAACAGTGTTCTTATTGACAGCAATGCTAGAACGTTCGAGAACAGCTTCAACACGAGCTCCATCGACTCCCTTATTTCTCAAGTCGACGAGAAGCAAATGGTTATCAGTTCCATCGCTCACAATCTTGTAACCGAGTTTCTTCATTTCTTCAGTCAAGACTTTGCAATTCTTCAATACTTGTTGTTGATATTCCTTATATTCTGGTGTGATTGCTTGTTTAAGGGCAACAGCCAATGCAGAGATGGTGTGATTGTGAGGACCACCTTGATGACCTGGAAAGACAGCAGAGTTGATCTTTTCTTCGAGACCTTCAATACTCTTTCTGTAGAAAATCATGGCTCCTCTTGGACCTCTCAAACTCTTGTGAGTGGTGGTAGTCACCACATGAGAATGCTCAAATGGAGATGGAATTACACCTGCTGCAACAAGACCACTAATGTGAGCCATGTCAGAAACGAGATAGGCATTGTGCTTATCACAGACTTTTCTAAAGAAAGCATAATCAATCAAACGAGAATAAGCACTTGCTCCAGCAACAACTAATTTTGGTCTGTAGTAATCAGCCAATTCTTCCATCTTGGCATAGTCAATTAAACCTGTTTCTTCATTCAATCGATAGCCCATGGTTTCAAAGTAAATACTGACTGCAGAGATCTTCTTGGTTGGAGTTTGATAACCGTGAGAAAGGCTTTTTGTGTGAATTTTTCATTGTAGTATTTCAAATGGAATTTTTTCAGGGAACAGTCATGACGAGATCATATACAATGAATTTTCATCGAAATTCAAAAGGAATAGTTCAAATTTTTTCATATTCACATGTGAAATTTTGAGTGAAAGAATACATAATTTTCAAATACAATCACACCATGGTGTGTGAAATAATTGATCAATATTGTGAATATATTCCCAAGAGATGGCTGAAAAACTTACTGTCCTCCGTGTGGTAAATCCAAGGAAAGAATTCTATCGTGTGGTTGAAGCAATGCAGTGTAAACATAAAAGTTGGCTGGTGAACCGCTCAAACTTTGAACATTGACTCCCCATTCATTTGGATCCAAATTAAAAGCTTCAAGAGCTCTCTTTTGGCACAAACTTTCAGACATGTCAATAAACTCATTGCCACCATAATAACGCTTTCCTGGATATCCCTCGCTGTACTTGTTTTGCATGACACTTCCCAATGCATCCAATACAGCTTTTGAAGTAAAGTTCTATTGTCCATGAAAAAAGGTTTTGAAAAGATTGTGAGGTTCAGGTTTCCGTTTGTATGATATTACGGAAGGAATGTACACACAAATGAAATAACACGATTACGAAGCAAATAACAATAGAATAATGAAAAATCACAAATGAATCCCGAAAAGATGATCATTGGTTGGTTCATCATTGTCCGATCATGTGTGAGCAAGCATCCGAGATGATATGATACCACCGAGTCATAACATCAAGATGATACATGGTTATTTACAATTATCATCATCACTTTAGAGCTTACCTCTGATGGAATCAATTGTAATCCCTTATACTGTCTATTCTTCTCGTGTTCAATAATATCAAACATTTCAGGATCAGTATCCTTCAAGGATGCATTTAATTGTTGTGCCCATTTCTCGGTATTCACTGTTCCCGATGTTGGAGCTGAAACCAGGCTTGATGAAGAGAAATTTCTACGGGCAGTATTGGTGTGGTTGATGATGGAATTGCAGGTGGCACGCAACGCAGATTGACGATGCAACATTTTTTTCGAAACGATCGTTCAAAACGAATTAATTGGCACACACTTTACAACCGTGATGAGCTCATCATGAGAACCACTCTTGAGCGGATATAGAGCTCATCATGTTTATTAAAGATGAGAACTCTTGGATTGAACGCTCATGATGAGATTCGAACATTGTGAAATAATGTCATCGAATGGAAACTCTTCTTCTAACTCTTGGAAAGGATATAAATGTGCGACACCTTGTAAGGATTTTGTTGTAACAAGTGGATGGGAAGTGGTGTCAATGACAGTCTTTTTCTTGTCTTTCTCTGTGGTGTCAAAATTTGACATTACCTTGTGTAAAATATCCAATTTGAACGTATCACTATGAACCCATGAATCTGTTGATGTGAATGCCTCAACAAATTCCTCGCTTGCAATCTTATCTTGTTCTTGTTTAATCTTTTCCTTTTCATTCTTATCCGTAACTTTAAGGGCATTGAAAATTTTGAAAATCCAAAACAAAACGTCCCTGGTCAAAATGTCAACTCCCTTGGAACCATAGCCATGGAGTTCCATTTGACGTTTCACTTGGCCATTCAAATACATGTAACTGCTCAACAGTTTTTCATGAACAAGCTGATGAAACATTTTTTCCAATGGCTGTTGAACAGTGGATCTATGATGCTGGAATTCTTGTTGAAGAGACTCTTTGATCATATCTCGGAGTGCCACGTTCTTGTAATGAATAAATGTCTCTGATTCTGTATATAAGGATGTATGCTCTTGCCTGATAATGTCAATGAGCGAAGCGACAAGAAGAATTTGTCTCGTTAATGTCCTGTATTCCTTCGAGTGGTAAAAGTTGTTCGTGGCTGGAGTGAATTCATCTTCAAGCTCAACTTCAATGCGAGAAGATGATGCCGAAAATATGATTTGAATAAAGTAAAGTATCATAATGTTTCTGAAGCATGCACTAACTAGACGCTTGGCAATAAGGATATCTCTTTGAATACTAGTGTTGGATGTCGTTGAGGAAGTATCATGCTTAACTGGTGGTGTGTCAATCAATTCATCATGATGATTCGAAAACACATTATTCCTACTAGTAATATATCCACCAAAGAATTTTTGAAAGTATGATTCAAGGTGTTCATTGTGTCGTTCATCAATGAACGAGTTGCAAACATTTAGAAGAAATTCGGTTTTTTTCTCTCTTGTTTTCAATTCTGAAGGGAATTGAGCTCTACTCTCTGATGAAGTGGCAGTAGCCTTGAGGAATGTTTTTTCAATGAACTTGTTACGTAGCTCTCTAGCAAAATCCAAATCAATTCTTTTTGAGAATTGAGTCATGTTTGGACGGGTTGAATGAATTCTCTCCTGTATGAAAATTAAGAACGCTTCCTTTGTGGGATTTCTACAAAATAGGGCCCTCATTGGATCAACTCTCTTGTTAATATCTTTTTGAGGGGAATAACCATATAACTCAAATCCAAAGTCAATGCAATGGTTTTCAAAACATTCAATAATCTTGGGAACATGTTTGCGTTGCTCTTTCAAATCCACTCTTATCAACATGTCTTCAATTGTTTCAAAAGAAGATGCCAATGTTTTTTCGGATGAGATGTTTTGGTGCGTATAATCTTTTTTAGTATCTTTTTGGGAGGAATATGCAGCGGTCTTGTGGATGTTCATTAATAATTCCTCCTCCCCCTCTACATTTTCGAGATAAAGCAAATATTCAACCAGTAATAAATAGCCATTCATCCAGTAAAATTTGATGATCGAATTACTATCTCGAGATTTGTTTGGTTGAATTTCATTCTTTTCTAGGTTGTGTGTTAATTTATCAATCGGTGAATCACCCGAATATAGAGATGCTGTTGAATTCATATTATTCTGTGGCTGGCTCTTTCTTCGAGGAAGATGAAATTCGGTGTGTGTTATTACGAGGAAGATAAAAGCCTTTCAATAAAGAACATTTTTTTTAAAAATGCTTAAAATCTTTCAAGACAAACATTCTGAAGACAAGGCTGAAAGAGAAACAACAAATCAAATTCAAAACACACATCTTGTTCGGATTATTTCCAATCCAAAGGATATAAAACAACAAATTGATGAATGGGTTGCTCTCGCCAATGATCCTTCGCATGACACAGTATTTTATTTGGATACGGAAGTTGCAGGATTTAGAACGAAAGGGGAACAATTATCAACCATTCAGTGTTTACTTGTTTCTCGTGAACGACGAAAGAAAGATAATTCTGCTCTATTTTCGGATGATGATTGTGTAGTTCCATATTCATTGAGAGAAATTATGGAAGAAGAACAAGTTGCAAAGTCGTCGTCATCACCCCATCTGCAAAAAGAGAGTATTGACTCATCCAACTTTGACGAGAATGTACAAAGACATAATATTCCTGAGGATGCAAAATCGTTTAGAGTGGAATCTCAAAATTATATGAATATCACTGCCTCTCTCATTAACGATTTGAAAAATGCATGCATTGATGATGCATTGCCTAATGGAAAGATTGTGATTTTGGATGTGTTGAACTGTGAAGATATTGTAGATTACTTTGTTGATAATATAATGTACAATGAACATTTTGAAAAGGTTTTCCACTTTAAATCTTTTGATTTAAAGTATTTGGGAGGAGCTCAATATTGCAAAAACGTGACCTGTACTCATGAAATCTCGAGCAAGTTTATGCCCTATCACTTGCTTCCTGTTTCAAACTTTAAACTAGATACTTTAACCAATCATATGATTCAAAGGATACGACACTATTTCTCTTCTATTGACGAGCATTTCGAAAACAATGCAGATGATTCAGCAATGTCACAATTGTCATTGAGCGCACAAAACGAAATATTACGAATTTTGACCTATTCCAACAAGAAGGAATTACAAGAGTCTGACTGGTTTACTCGACCTCTCACCACACTTCAAATGGAGTATGCAGCCCAGGATGTGATTGTACTTTTCGCATTACATCGCTTGCTTCTTTACATGCTCGTGCGGGAAGATTCAGCATTTCACTGCCTCTCCTATCTGAAAAAGTTGTACAAAGACCGAAGTGGAATTACATTCAATGACGATGAAGATAATGATGAAAACATTGGTGAAGAAAATTCTTCCTCCCTCATTCCTTCCTCAGTTTTGAATTCGCAACTATTCGATCATGCTCAACATCTGGCTTCCATCGAAAACTCCATGAAAAGCATCGAACATGAATATAAATTACTGGAATCTAAAATGATGACTCTCCAAGAACGAGTGAAAGAAGTCATGTTGCGAGAAGGTGTCCATGAATCATCATGCTTTAAGTTATCGAGCTCAAAGAGAACGACCATCCAGGTTCCATTGAGCAAGCTTGTGGAGCATGTGGGAAGGACCGATATCAACTTTCCGATGGTAATAACGTCAGGTTTAAAGAAGGCACTTCATCAGGCTGGTGTTGGTGACATTCCTCAGGATATTCTATTGAAGAAGGAGTCTTACTCTCATCGATTCACGAAAAAGACCTCGGAATGAGTGCTCCAATGCTACTGTGGCATGATGAGCCATTTTTCTTCGCATTGTAAACAATATTTTTTGGTTGAGCAAATATTTCTTAAAAAATCGTTTGAAAAAAATACGCCACAACACACACTCAGGTTCGTATCATTTTGGCGAAGAAGAACGATTTATTTGACACATAAATTTCTTATTCTTCTTATTTCAATCCCCTATTACCTTCCATCATCAATCAATTGTTTGTACATTTTACATATCACTACAGAAATGTCAACCACAGAGAAGCCAAAACGCAAGCCATTCCAACCTAGAAAGAAGCTCCCTGCTGAAGTTTCATTGGAAACTACCTTCAATCTCCACAGAGAGTTGGTTGGCAAGCCAATCCAAAGAAGAGCTGCTAGAGCTGTTCGTGCTATCAAGGCTCACGCCAGAAAGTTGATGAACACAAGTAGAGTCAAATTGGACCCTGAATTGAACAAGTATGTCTGGAACCAAGGTATCCACAACCCACCAAAGAAGGTCAGACTTGTTTTGAGAAGAATGGCTAACCCAGATCACGAAGATTGGGACAAGGTCAACAAGTTCCAAACTATTGTTGGTTTCAAGGTTGTTCCAACATTCAAGGGACTCCACACTGCTGTTGTGCAAGAATCCGAAACTGATTAAATCATAATAAATTAATATAAAAAAACTTCTTCAATTTACCTTATTCTTTGCGAGGATTCTCTGTGAGGATGTATTTTAATCGTGAATGGTTCAATGAGTGTCAGCTTTCAACATTATTCAAGATTGGGAAAACACGTGTAACGGAGGAGTGTGTTTTCATAAATTTAGAAGTTGGCCAGCTTTTGCAATCCATTTGATAGAAACACCAACGGATTCAAAACAAGAACTAAAAAAAGTGCGTCATCACAATCCCACAGTGTCTACATACTTCACTTATAACGCGTGTTCTTATTTTGCATTCATTTAGCATCCTATAGTAATCCGTTCGAGCGTGCGAAAATTGTAAATTTTCATCAGGATTTGCATCATCATCGGAATTAATTCATTCATCCCCATTGATTAGCCTCATTCATCATACAAATGCATTACTTGTTATCACCTTCAAAAATAGGCCCAGGTTCAGGTTTCTCATTCCATCCTTTCATCAAACCTCAATACTATCTCATCATTATTGTATATCTCATTATAATATGTACTTGTTTTTATTATATAGAAGATGATGAATTTCAAATATCTTCTTTGATAATTTCTCTCTCGGCCCCACAATCGGAAGGAAATGTATTTCGGAATTCAACGAAGCATATGAAAGAGGCCTTAAAACCAGCAATCGGAAAGTTTGTAGAGAAAACGAGAACGGTGCCAAAACAGATTGTACTTATGAGCCTCATTATTGCATTATTGACTTATGTTGTCATGAGTTATGTCATGCCCAAATTAATGAATTATTGGAGAATTCTGGATTGGAGGAAACACCATACAGAGAAGGATGAGTTGCAACATAAGCAGAGATTAATCAAATTAATGGTCGGAAATGATACAGAGTCTAGTAGTGTTGGAAAGAAAGGTTGTGACAAATGTAAATATACATGTGAGACAACATCAAAGAAATCCCTCAAGTCATCGGAAGACACTAATTACATTTCTACTACCAATTTTGACATTAAGAATTCATTCACTCTCTCCATTGTCAGTTTCATTTATTCGACCTTCGTATACTTGGGTCAACCTATTCAAGTATGGTGCTTGGCGATTAGCTTTGTACAGTTATTTGTTTTTCATACTGGAAAATCTTTCTATCCCCTTGCCATATTTACTATCTTTATTGCAGTTGTTGAGACTAAAAACCAATTAAGCAAATGGAAAACAGATAAGGAGAAAAATGAGAGACCTGTCAAAATGGCTGATGGCACTTTCAAACAGAGAGGAGAGTTAAGATGTGGTGACGAGGTTATTATTTCTATAGGAGAGGAGGTACCGGCTGATTTAATCTTAACAGATATCATTGTTGAAGATAATAAGATGCATACAAGAAAGCCGATTCTCTACATGAATGAAGTGACTGTCACTGGTGAGAACGACCCTGTTAAAAAAAGTTTATTGACAGAAGAGATCAAGTCAATTCGTATCGATAACCTGCTGCTAAGAAGTGCAGTAATCAATGAGAAAATTCATGTCGATGAGTCATATATTATATTTGCAAATTCAGTTATTGCATCCATTGATCAAAACATTAGTTTGAAAGGTATTGTGGCATGGTCCGGTACTGAGACAAAGGCACTGCACTCGAGTGGAGCGAACACTTCAAAACAACCAACGCCTTTCCTTGAGTACACAAATAAGGGATTTTTCATTAGTCTGGCCCTAATGTTGTTCCTTGCAACTGTAAATACAATTGCCAGCATGTTCTTTGGTGTGGAGGGAGGAGAAGAACATTCCTTTGGAAAGGTATTAATCACACAAATTATGTTTATTAACATGATGGTACCGCAAGGTTTGGAGCAGTTAAGGACGACCGTCTGCCATTTGTTAGCATTTAACTTTAGAAGTAATGTGAATTGCAATAATCCTCTCTCAGTAGACGTTTTGGCATATGTGAATAGAGTTATATCAGACAAGACTGGCACCTTAACTGTGAATTTGATGCAACCAAAATATACCATGTTGTTTCTTGATGAGGAAGCATCAGAGATCACCAGTAGCAACGATTTAGATAATTTGCATGTGGTATACGAATCTGGCATTTCTTGTGAAACAGATATTACGAAATGTCACAAAGCGAATTGCTTCGCAATTTATAGCACTACAGGTGTAGAACCTGAAGAGAGAGCAATTCGAGAAATGATATCTCCATATTCGAGAATGCTTAGTCATTGGCCATCAGAAACTCAAGACATTGAGCCTGGAAGTGTGGAGTTCTCTGTGTTTGGAACTGACTGTATTGAGAAGCGCCATGAATTGAAAATTGTCGCATTTTTCGGATTTATTAGAGAATTTTTATGTAAATCTTGCCTCTTCCAAGATACAGAGACAGGAGAGTATTTTGTTGGAGTTCAAGCAGGTGATGAACTCTTTTGGAGAGGAGAGACTGGGATTTCTACTCATCCTTCTTCTGAGAAAAAGCTCGAAAAGTGGTCAAGCTTTCATGAAGTTGAAGACAAGGATGCCGAATTAGGACTTGGAGCTCCAAGAACTTGGAGTCATGGTATTAAACCAATTGACGAATCCGAAGCTCAACACATCATTTCACAATGGAGAAATAGTTTTTCTGTCCTTGACTTGGAAGAGAGATTGAGCACCCAAAAGGAAATTGTGAAGGAAGCATTGACCAACGTTCGTCTCACCTCCATCACTCACATGGTGGATCGATATCGAGAGGGTGTGAAGAGTGGAATTAAGCAACTCAATAAGGCCGGCAAACAATTCTGCATTTGTACTGGAGATTCTTTCAAGAATGCAAAACTAATTGCCACCCATTTATCCCTTCCAAACCACGTTATCATTCAAGGAACTAGTGGGGAAGAATTAATGAGATCTCTGGATAATGCCGAGGCTGAGGCCATGAAAGGTTCATGTACCTTCTTCTTTGATCGATCCACAATGGAGTTTCTGAGAAATCTCTACACCAACAATGGATCCAAATTTAAGGGACCTATTTTTGAGAGACTCCTTCTCTTGATCAATATGAAGGGAAAGAAACAACGATTTCAACACTCACTCGTATTTTGCAGATCCACACCTGGTTTAAAACTTTGGTGTGTCAAACTTTTGCAATATCACCATGCTCAAACGTTCGCTCAACAAATATTTTACACACGAAATTATGTGTTAGCTATGGGGGATGGTACCAATGATCTACAAATGTTAAAGGCATGTGATATTAGTTATGGAATCAAATCAGGAGAGACCGAGGACGTGTGTAAACAAACAGATATTTGGGCTACCGAGTGGTCTCCTCTGCTGGATTTATTAGAAAAGGACGGGTTTGAAAAAGCAGTCATGCTTGGAACAATGGTGAAAGCCACCTTTTGGAAACATTGGTGTTTTGCCTTAACATTATGGAGTGATTTATTGTTCCAAGGATTTCCATTGTATCCAAGAGATCCAACCGAACCCATGCTTATGCTTGTGTTCAATGGTGTTGTCTTTGGACAAATTGCTAGTCACGTATCGAGTGACATTGTGTCAGATTTTTCACAATTCAGAAAGACCAACATGATGAGCATGAGGGCCTTTTTGCGTTGGGTCGTAGGAGCGAGCGTGACCGCCGTGTGCACTCACTGGATTATTCGATGGTTATTCCCAATGGCTAGTTCGAGTCATTTTGGAGCCTATGTTCAAGTATCTCATGCGGTGAGCATTACAGTCTACCTTTACCTTACTACAAACACGTGGAGTGACGATGAAGATGTTGTGACATTCAAAAATCAGCCCGAAAAGTTTTACAAACACTCTTCTCATCTGAGCAATAGTGGCCTGTCCTTGTCACCAAGCGTTTCAGCAATTAGTACGAATGCCATTAACACAACAGCTATTGGAATGAACAATGATGTTGCTCTTGCTAACGCCCCAACAAGACCACAACCAAAAGTGAGCTATTCTCGATTATATTTTTCCATCTTGAGTTTTGTGGTTACTTTTGCAGTTTCCATGTTTATTTACAGACATGTAGAGGATACAATTTCAAAAGTAACAGCACTTGCCATTGTCATTCCATCACTTGGTTATCCTACTCTGTACTTGCTCAAATGTTTTATGCATGACGTTCCTTTCATTGAAAAATCAATTCGATTGCTGTGGGATTTGAGATTTAACGAAATTTTGATCAGTTTTGTAAAGTTTTCTCATACCCCTCATATGCGAGTATTACCAATTATTGGATTTTCGTTAATTATCAAGATATTGAGTGGAATTCCTGTGCTGGGAGCAGCCTTTGTGATGGGCATGAGTGTGGTGGCAACTACTTTTACCTTCTTAATCTTTGTGAGTAAGATGGGATTTTTAAGGGCACTATTGGACGGTAGAAGTGTTGCTGTTGGTTTGATTTGCTTTTTGATTGGTATTTGGGTTGGAAGAAGTACATGCTCTGTGAAAATTTAAGACAAAGAATGTTTGTTTGCATGTGTGTCTATATCTTGATGAACGCAATGCGCTAATTATTTTCAACAAGTCTTCCAAGGGTTGTTGGTGACAAATCTTTACAAAATTGAGAGCGACACCGTTGTTTACTCAAGCGTAAATAAATGTTGGCCACGTTGTTCATGGTGTTCAGAGACCAAGAGTCATCTAATTCTGCAAAAAAATGTCTCAACAAGAACAAATGATTCAACGTCAAAAGGCTGTGGAGAAGAATCTTGAAATGACATTCCGATTCGATATGATTGATGTTTGTTTTGAAAAGTGTATGAAAGGATATTTCAAAGCAGTAGAACTCTCAGGAAGTGATAAAGAATGTTTATTGAATTGTGCTAAAAATTACACTCAATCTTTCGACATTGCCACAGAAATTCTAACACAACGATACAAAAAAGAACTAACAGGATCAGCCGCGAAATAAAACCTACAATAACAAACGAGTGATCATGATTTGGAATTTTAGAGTCAGATTGAGTGCACCACCGTAATTCTTCCTTACAACGGCAAGATAACAAACTTAAACAAATATATGAAGCGTCGATGGTTTAGTGGTAGAATACGGCGTTGCCATCGCCGTGACCCGGGTTCAATTCCCGGTCGACGCAATAATATTTTTCGACTGACATTTCCCAGTCAACACGTGTTGTTTTTAATATACCATTTGACCGGTTGTTGCGCATAAGGAATTGAATTCTCTGTACAGGTTTGTTTTGTTGTGAGAATCTACAGAACATCGAGGTATTGTTTATTCCTGAGGGATGAACCTGACCTACGCGCCTGCTGCTGACACCTTTTGCTGACGCTTCTTGGTAAATGTGAAAAACATGGTGGCTCAATTGGTTTGGTCACTGCAAGAAGAGGAATTTCAGGAAGCACGTTTTTATCTAAAGATGGGTTGAACAGAGACGTGAATCCAGCTCCAGAAACAGACTTTGAGTGAATGTAATGTTTTGCCGCCAGGCTTTTTAGAGATCCATAACGGGATGTAATTGTTTTTTCAGAATTGCAATGATCCAACTTGTTTTTTTGGAATAATGTTTGGATTGGAGAAGGTTGGTAGGCACAATTAGCAAGGCTGGAAAGGGAGTTTGTACTTGAAGAATGTACCAATGATCTGTTGCTCTTGTTATTGAGAATAATGCAGTTTTCCTCTGAGCTTAGCGACATGGTATCGTTGCTGTTATGGTCTTGATTTCCTTTGTTAGATTGATGGGAGTACAGGTGCTCGCTTGAATGATTAGATGGAGAAACTGACATGTCATCATAAAAACCGCTATTGCTGCTCCCATTCATGTAAATGCTTCCTCTTCTTGAACTTAGAAAGCTTTGACTGCTTGGAAGAGAAAAGATCTCTGAGGTTGTTGTCGAAAAAACAGACCCTCTTCTGCTGGACATGACTGTACTAAGGTCTTCCTCCGAGAATAAGGATTCGTTCTCATTCTGTAAACTACTCTTATTTACGGCAGTGTTATGGGGGAGAGCTGACAGAACATTGGGTCTGCTTGAATATTGGGATATTTGATGAGAAGAATGATCGGGAGAATAGGTGGGTTCCACATATCTACAACTTGAGGGAGAAGAGCTTTTTTGAAGTGTAGACATCCGACATACTTGATGGTTGCTTGATGTATGTTGTTGATGAGGCGCTGATGTATGTGTGATGGGAGTTGCACTTCTTGATAACGGTGAAGGTACTTGCTGAACGCTAGTATTAGAAACAAGAAGTGACGGGCTTGATAGATTGGGTCTTGTTTTTAATTTCTGTTGGGGATTGGAAATCGTGAATGGATGTGAAGAGTCCGATCTAGGAACAACGATGGAAGTGTGGCTTTGAGACTTTTTTGGATGTGGTTTGAATGTTGAGGGTTGGTTTTGGTTCATCATGGAAGAAGAGGCTCCAGATACTTCACTTAATGGTTGTGTTGATGATGCGCAGTATCTTTTTGAATCCCTACTCGGTTTATGGTCTTCTGGCATTTCATCTGAATCACATTCATCTGTGTGAGTGTTGTTTCCTTTTGAGGGTACCAATGTGGATGATGTGTTTGAGCCCATGATGGAACAAAGGAGGGTTTGGTTCGAGAAAGAGTGAACACAGTGTTCAAGAAAACTGTTTTGTTATTGTTGCAAAGAATAATTTAAGCAAAATTGGTCCGCTGTACAAGTAGGCCTACGACTCAAGGAGCATAGATGAAGAACTAGGGTAACGATGCTTTTTTTTTAAAATGGTAGCCCCAATGTTTTTGCCCTCGAAAGGAAATTCGGTGGCACGGCTCCTTTTTGGGCCGGAAGTGGGAAGTTACCGATGAACGAAACGGGTGGTCTCTCGGGTATGCAAACGAGCAACTGTGGAGGAGGTCAAAGCCACAGACAATGTGTGCCTCGTTGTTGACGAAGGGGACATTAATGATGAATTAGGAAATTTCTTCGTTCGTTGATGGGGGTGTTGGTGGTAGTTGGTGTTTGGACTGGTTTTGTGAAATCGAGGGTGGGCATTTTCAAAATGTTGAGAGTGTGCTGAAATGGATGTTCTTTGCTTAAGTTTTTCTTGAACCCTCTTTCTCCGTTCTTCATTGATGGATCGAGATGTTGGAGGATCGCGACAATGCTCAGCTCTACTAACGGCAATGAGAGGAACTCCATTCGATTCGCTCGATGATTGGGAACGGCTTGTTTTGGAAGCAGTACTGCTCGAGTGGGACGAAATGCTGGAAGTTTCATCGCTTTCCACACAGGTTATTATGGTCTGAGTGCTAAAAGAAACTCTTCTCTTTTCAATATCTTTGTGTTTTCTTTTAGTTGAATTTGTTGAGCTGTTTGAATAGGAGGAGGACTGATTGTCCCATCCTTGGCTAGAAGAGTCGCCATCATTGGAGGTCTCATGAGCATTCTCTGCTCTACAGAAGATGGAGTCGAACCAGTTTTTTTGATACTGAAGGGCGTTATTGCTGATTGAGGTTTTGGTTGTCATTTGATCTCTCTTAGAGTTGGAACTTGAATAATGACTTGGTGGAGTATTGGTCGAGAGGGTGTTGTTGAAGTTGAAGTTGCTACTAAAGAGGGATGAGACATCAAAATGCTCACCTTGGTGCTGATGGACAGAAATTGCTTCATTTTGCTTTCCAGCTCTCTTTCTTGCCAATCTTCTCTTGTCCCTTTCGTTCTCACGCTCTTGTTGTAAGGTTTTGTCAATTCCTGGATGCAAACTTGGAGTTTTCTCGAGAGCTATATTGCCTGACGTCTCTTGTGACTTCTTAGCTTTTAAAATTGTTTCTGCGTGCCCTTCGCTTGTTGTCGATCCTTTCGATGTGCGAGGCTGTGAATTCAGATATACCAGCTCTACATCGTCTCGGAGAGTTGGAACATCTCCCTTTGGTTGCTCAAACTGAGCGCATGTAGCACACTTGCTGTTGCAACTTGTTTCAACTTGGTCCGCACAGACCACAGTTGGGTTTGCTTTGGTTTGGGACGGTTTTGAACATCTTGCAGGAACACCTACATCGGATTGGCTTGAAGGAACTGGAATTGTTTGTTGTTGTGTTTGAACGGAATGGATGGCTGGTGAGGAAGAATGTTTTCTTTTGCGGGAAGAGTCGAACTGAAGGTTTCTATTAATAGTGTCAATGTTTTGAGGAAGTGATTGGGTGTGTGGTGTTGACCAAGCAGAGGAGGAACCTTTCTCTACCTTGTCAGTTAAATTCCTTTCATTTGATGATGATTGAGAGGAAGCTGTTGAAAATGAAGATGCTGATGAAAATGATGATGTGTGCACCGATGTTTTGCCAGATGTGCTTGGCTGTTCATGCTCATCAATCCAGCCGTTGGATTTGGACCTTACTCGAGCTGTGTTGGGATGTACATTATGATAGTCTTCAGACTTTTCAGTTTCCAACTGTCTAAGAGAGTTGAATCGAGGAGCAGTCCTTGATTCGGGCTCTATTTTCGACTTCTTGGAGAAGCGAGAGCCCATGTGCGCACATTAAGGGAAGTCTTCTTATATTGTCGAGAAATCTACGAAGCGAGGTTGATACAATTTTTAAGAGCGGATATTTTTGGCCATGACAATAGGAGAACTCCCCTGCGAACCTTGTTGAGCTCTCTTTTGTGGAGAGGAGCGACAGGTCCAAGAAGTTCCCGTTGTCTAAGAAAAAAAGCGTTGCCTAAGAAGTTCCCGTTTTTCGGTCGATTAAGTCAGGAAAGATCTGCAATCTTTATCGTCACCATTGACCAAATACATCACAAGAAAGGAATAGAACATACTCAAGCTACACTTTATATTGGTTTAATTTTTGTCTGAGCAATAAATCATTCAAACGTTCTGCATTCTCGTCTTTCAACGACATTCTTCTTGTTTTGCTGATGGTTGCCACAAATAGTTTTGGTGAGGGCTCAACTTGGACAGGTTCTGGTTGTGAAATGTCAGCCACTGATTTTCTCAATTCTCTCTTTTTCGATTGTGAAGGGTTCGGTGTTAGCAAGGAGTTTGGAGACAAAAAATTAGTTTTGTTTGACGAGGGTGATTGAGGAGTTTGAGTTGGGGAAAAGGGAGGTCTGGAAGGTGATGATGGAGAGTTTGGAGTTTTTGGCTGATCTTGCACCAAGTCTGGGCTTGATTTAGGAGCTGGGGTGTAGGAATGTCTTCGAATTTTATGATTAGTTGGAACTCCTAATCCTCCATGAACCAGAATATCCACTAGAGGTCCCATAAAATTGACTTTCTTCTGCTTCTTTTGCGGCCCAAGTGGAGAATTCGCCAGTTTCCAAATACCGTCTCCATTCTTCTTCGTTGTCACTCCCATCTTAAACTCTGAAAGATTGTAGTCTTGTATGTCTCCCTTACTTGAAGACGATTTTCCAATTTTGTATTCATTCAAATCTTTCGTAACCATTGGAAGTTCCTCTTTTGAACGGATCCTCTTTGTGCTTGACATCTCTTCTTCCGCTGGAGACGAGATAGTAATTGAAAATGTTGGAGGTGGTGAGTTGGGTCGGCTATTTTGAATAACAGAGTTTCGTTTTTGTTTTGAACTAGGGGGAGATTTGTTAGATGATACTTCGGAGGATGGTTGGACCGACTCATTGAACTGAGTATTAGTGTTGATGGTGACGGGTGAGTTGAGGGAGGGACTATCAGAAACGCTTCGACTTCTTGTTCGAGAGGCATTTGAAGCTTGCTCTAAAGGGGATTCTTGAGAAGCGGGTGTTGAAACTGGTTGAAGAGGCATAAGCGAGTGACTTCTTCTCTTTTTTGTTTTTGACAAGGTGGGGGACAACGATTGTTTTGCATTTAGGACAGAATTTGTGAAAATGGTAAGGTTTGAAGTGGGAGAATGGTTATCAGCGTCAAAGGATGTATTAGAACCTGATTCAGAAGAGGTGTTCGAGCCGTTGGTCGAAGATAAATGTCCTACTACTGGACTGTATCTACAACTTGTGGATCGTAGATACAGAAAGGGATTAGCTATTGAGAAAATTTGGAAACTACTCGTGTCCTCCATCAAACATTCTGTGTATGACGCATCCTCATCGTCTGTTTCAAGATTTACACTGGATGTCTTGGTCTCATACTCTTCGTCATCTTCTCCAATTTTAAAAGTTGTTTCTTGATCCGACGCAGTTGCAGCTTGAGGAGAAACACGTTTGTGATCAGTCTCTGCACCCTCATTATAAGTTTCTTCAAGAAGATTACGCCGAGAAGGAGGTGGAGAAAACGACCGAATTTTATCCTCGTCTATTGGGGGGTCTTCATTTGGGTCAATATATCTGAAATCGAGTTCTCTCGAGTTTTTGGGTATTTTGATGGGAGGCGGTTTTTTGTAGGTCTTGGCCGAGCGGTTTGTGTCCAATGAATACTGTGCACTTGCTCTCGAATGTTGAAAAGAATTGCTTCGGTTTTGAAAGGATGAAGAAGGATACGAGCCCATTCTACAGACTGAGGGCAAAGTAACGATGTTTCGAAGGAAAGGGGAAGTGAATGAATATGATCGAATAAATACAGTTTTGTAAAGAACAATATTAAGGAAGTGAGTGAATTTTCTTCTACACCTGTGCAAGAAAAACAAATTGAAAGATGATGATGCCTATATCCTGTGCTCGTTTAAATCCATAGACCAGCAATTAATCCTACTTTGGTCGTAAATTTTTCTGGAATTTTTAAAGGCTTGTTCCCAATTTTAATGATCCAATGCCGAGTAGTAGTGAACTTCAAAAAATACCATTAAACACCCTTTGAGAGTTATTGATGATGATGATGATAATGACTAATGAAATATGTCTGGGTTCGACTCTGGATTATTTTTTAAGGGAGCCGAACTCAACGCCTCAGCGAACTTGTTGTTTCAAATCAAGTATTTAACGTATTATTCAAGGTAGTGATGCTTGCCAGATTGCGGATTAATTAAATGACCGTATATGGCAAAGTACGGCCTATTATCAGCTTATAACGAATTGCACGAAAGAAAGGGCGCAACGCACAACGAGAGTGTTTGATCTTTTCTTTTTTTTTTCGGATCAATTCCAGCAAAGAGATAATTGTTGTGGTTTTGTTGGCTCATGATGTGCCCTTTTTAAAGCTAATATCTCTTTCAATGAGTCCATCCGATGGTGGAGGTTCCAAGCAAAAAGATCTCTCTATTGCATCTTTACTGTCTCTGACTGTTAATGATTAATAGAATAATTATTTCAATTAGCGTGCATTCATGATCCGTACAAGTCATTCCAGCGGGGCTTTGAAACTTGAAAAGTTCAAGAATATTCAGAGAGAAACTCTTACGTGTATTCTTGGGGATTGACAAACATTGTTCTCCACAATAACTATGAGGTACGACTTCTTGTTTTGGGAATGACAATTAAAACTCAAAAAAATCTTTAGTCATTGTCCCATCCAGAAAAAATAAGACTCCAGACATTTACTTTCGTGGCGTCGAGCAATAGCAACAACAACTTCCGCAAAATATCATCCAAGTACAACAGTGCAAAATAGCTGAGAAGATAATATCGTTGAACAATATCGGAACTTGATTCTCCGTTTCAACAGGCAATGTTGATTTTTTGCTTGCACGCATGACCCAATAATAATAATTCCATCACTCATCATCATCATCATCAAATCCATCATTTAAACACATTATATCATTGTAAATATGGGACAAAATCAAACAAATGAATTTAGCCATGACAAGTCACCCACATTTAATATCACCAGGGACTATATGTCGGCCTCATCGGAGGAGTTAGGAATTAATGCAGCCACTAAAATTAAAAATTATGGGAGCAATAATAATGGCTCATCCTCCTCCCACTATCAATATATTTATGCTGGAAATGTAAGAGAATTGAGAGAGTATGTTCCTTCTCGCTCCCCCAAATTAGGAAGCTCTCCTATCATGGCAAAGAGTTCTCCAACATTGCAAGAAACAAGCTCAGAAATTTGGAAACGGAGTCATTTGTGTAAATTATGTGAGCACATGTCACCTATTGTGTTTTGCATTGAGCATTGGATAAATGCAGAAATAGATACATTAACAGGACTGTGCATTCGTTATAATATTGACGACAAGTCAGAGTTAACCTCTCTTAATGATTTAAGTATTGATGTCGAAAACTTAGACCATGTTTCGAGTGTGTTCATACCCATTCATGAAAATAATGTTCAGTCAATCCAATCACTTTCTCCGAAAATGGGAAAGAAAAGAAACAAAAAGAAAACACATTCTACAGAGGATGAAGATCCAAATTCATCTCCTTCTTCACCACACCCCAATAGTAGCTCGAGCGCAGAACCAAAAGCCAAATCAATTGAGCTGTCCATTTCCATTTTTGAAGATAAGCATCTCTCGCTTACTGTCACGCATATGCTCTTGAAGGACTTTTTCTTTCATTCCAATAACATGAAACTCAATATGAATGGAAATTTGTCATGCTCTGAAAGAGCTGAAATTCATAGTTGTATTGACTTTAAAGCAATTGACTACAAACATATTTCGGTAATTTCAAGAGTGACATCAGTGAAAGCTCTTGCTGCTCTTGCATCTGGTCACAATATTTGCATTTCGAAGGAAGTTTTCAACTTGGTTTGTGGGAAGAGCGACTCTACACGGTTGGAAAATTTATTCTTGATTCAATTCAAAGATCCTAAGGAAATTGGAGATGTCACCTCTCACAATCCTGAACGCATTGGAGTGATGAATAGTGCCAAACTTGAAAATAACATGCTCAAGCATCTCTTGTCTCGACAAATGGCTATTTTGATTGTTATAAGTCCAGACATCAAAGAAGATTTTATAGAAATCATCAGAGAATATGTAGATATTAAGGAATAAGATTCCAACTTCATTTTAAATTATTTTGCAACATATCGCGACACCAATCTTGATAATCATTCTGCCTAGGTGAGAGTTTTTTGAATCTTCATACTCCATGCACAAACTTTTTCACCACGTTCTTCTCCAATAATTAAAATTTTGACCGAGTTCATATTTTGAAATGTGCCAACACGAATAATTGCATGTCATAATGTCTCCATGAATGAAAATGCATCATGTAATTGTGTTTAAATTATTACATGTCCTCACCTTCGTCACCTTTTTTTCTCTTTGTTGATTTATCTTTTTTTGCTTTTTGGTTCAATCTGTATTGATGTAGAGTTCTGACAAGCTCTTCTTTATAGTCTGCGAGTTCGAGAGTATCCAATGCTTCCAAGACATCATCAGCTGTAAGTGTCGATCGTTTATGTTTGGTTGCTTCTTCTTGGGCTCTGATTTGTGAGACATAATAATAATTATTTTTAGCAAAATAAAATTATTGGCCATTAATAGCAAAATATTTTTCGATAATTTTAACATTATACAAATTTAAATTATTCTTTAGATATAAAGAACCATATCATCAACCTACGTTGCCGTCAAATACATAATAAATACAACCGCAGCTTTAGCAAATGCTAATTTAGCATCATTAGATAAGGCAATTTCCTCTGGAATTACTCTCCTAATCACTCGTAAAACATTCGTCCTAGGTAAATCAAAACTGTATTCTCCCTCATTGATCTCTCCTCCTGTCATGGCGGATGATGATGAGGAAGCAATCATCCCCGATCCCGATGATGATGTTAGGGTTTGTGGTTGTTGCTGATTCATGGTTGTTGCTGAAGATGTTGTTGTTTTGGAAGATGGTCTTCCTTTTTTCTTCGTTCCAGATGCTTCCTTCTTTGATGGTGGAACATGAAAAGAGGAAGTTAATGATGGTTGTTGATGATGTTGATGATGGTGTGGATTCATTGTTGTCATCTGAGAAGAGGAAGAAGGTGGAGGAACAAATTGCTGCTGACCCAACAATGCGGAAGAAGGCGGCAGTGATGGTGGAGTGGGAGGAATAAATGGTTGTTGGAGCTGATGTGGGTTGATCATTTCCAAGCGAGAAAAATACGTCTCTTCTTGATGAGAATTATATTTTTTTTGTATTTGAATATTTTGAAATGGTAAAAAGAGAATACCAACACATTTCATCAAACACTTCAATGGAAAGAGAATTAAGGTGATCCCACTCATTTCCATGAATTCATTTGGTGTTTTTATTTGCAGAGAATGTCTTTTTGAATTTTCACCTGTAATTATTATAATTATAGAAACCGCCAAAACTAACCGTTACAAATTGTTAAAAAATAAATCAACATTCGTATGGTCCTAAAAGTCTTTGAAGATTTCCATGAAGAGCAGGAACACGAAGACCCTCCTCTCTCAACATCCACAAGGACTTTGAAACAATCCATCCAACAGTGTGAGTCTCAGCACAACACAGATCCCAAATGGTTCATTCACCCGACACATTACTCTCTTCTCGATGAACTCGAAATCTATCCTCGAGTTTATATTGGTGGACAATACGAAGCCAAAGACTCGGAATGGTTTGCTCGTCATCGGATCTCTCATGTCCTGAATGTGAGTTCTTTACAGAATACATTCCAAAAGAAGACACTCTATTATCGAGAGGAAGAAGAAGAAGCGATCTCTCCAAAAACATCGTCTTTTGATGTTGAAAACATCCATCCCAATATAAAAGAAGATCCAAAAACTCTAGAGAAAACGACAACACTCAAGCAATCACTTCATCCTCTTGGAAAACCCATGACCATTACGTATTTGAAAATCAATGTGGATGACTCGACCGATGTCAAAATTGCTCGACATTTCGATAAAGCCATCTCGTTTGTTCGAAAGACATTGGAAGAAAATTCTCAGAATAGAGTTCTTATTCATTGGTAAGTTGTAATAGTAGTAGAGGAACGGTGGGTGTCTGTTGATAGATCATCATGATGATTTATTTCTCACAACAATGTGCATGATATGAAAACATTGTTTTTGAATTCGTGATGAAAATATGAATCGTGTATTCATACACAATAACAAAATAATAGTAAGGAAGGAAAATCAAGATCTGTGACCATGATGCTTGCTTTTGGAATGAACTATTTCAATTTATCCTTATTGGAAGCTTTTCGTCATTTTGAAAACAAGACCAACAATCGATCACGAATCAATTTGGGATTTCAATTACAACTCATGAATTATGAAAAAGAGCTTCTCGAGGAGAAGGGAATTGAAAATCCAAGAAATTCTCTCGATTTTTTGAATTCCTATCAAATGTCCACCTGTCGAAGAGTGTCGCAAGTGACACCAGAAACTGGAACTGCCACCACTAATATCCATTCAACAAGTGTTTCCTCTTCTCCCTCTAAATTGAAAACAACAACATGGACTAAAACGAGTGATCGACAAGCTCTTCGACCAATTGCTCTCGAGAATGGAAGACATCTTCCATCTTCTCCTTCCTCGCTCACTGTTCAACAACAAGAAACAGAATTTAGAAGTCCAATTAAGGCTATTCGAAAAGTGAATCCTTCTTCATTGTCCTCAACCATGTCCACATTGACAACCACATCATCACCACTTTTAGCCACTCCATCCCTTCCCAAATCTCATCATTCCACAACACTGAAAACTCCAAAAAACAAACTTCCACCAACTCCTCTTGCCATTGCGACAAAACTTCAAGAAGGAAATGCCACGACTCTTATTGGCGATGACTACCATTCATTGGAATTCAAGTTTGATGAAGAAGAAGATTCTAAAGAGCAAGATGTGGAAATCTCAGATGCCATGGAGGAACGAGTATTCATGACAACTCCTGCGAAAAAACGAAAATCAGATCAGCAGGTGAATGAATTAAGTAGTGAACGTCGACGTTGGATGGAACAGAACTTGATCAAGAATGAGAAATCATCATTCACAACGACTCAGAATTCTGTTCAGGAGACAGATGTCAGTCAATCATCCACTCTTTCACAAATTCCTCACGTTGAGTTGGAAAATCTTTCTTTTACTTTTTAATTATTTCATAAGAAAACAAGATGACAAGTCTTGTTGTTTAAGGCATTCTCAAGTGGATGCTTTATTCTCAAATATAGTAAAGGCTCACTTGTACCATTGATTGAAAAAAGCCATGACAACAAGTATGCCTGATATGCACTATTAGTGTAAAACCACTGTTCGATCTTTTTTGTTACCTTTTGTGAGGTGATGGCGACACGTGGCATGCGTTTCAATATGTTGTTGAAGCTTCCGATCATGACGATCACGCACGCAGAACAAAATAAAATCGAAACAACAAGTGTTATTGCAATCCTCTCATTATTAACATTATCAACACAACAACAACAACAACAACAAACGACGAGAGGAGATCGAGCGTATGCATACAATCACCACTCGGATGGGGATTATTTCGATTCATCATCATTATTATTCTCATCATTATTATTCTAACAAGAGATATAAACACACAATTCATCTTCATAATTGTCGTAATTATTTGTAAAACACAACATTCATCATGGTTCTAGGCTTGTTATATTCCATTCTAGGCTTCCAACAGACACATAGCTTTCATGAGCAGTTACAAAGTTATGATAAGGAAATTAGGTACTATCAAACCCGACAGAGAAAATTCAATGCAAAGGTCCATTCAGTTCCGTCCAAGATCAGCCAAATTATATTGATGTTAGGAGTTGCTGTTTGTGTTCCAATCTATATGTATATACCACCTCCGAATTTATATTATGTGATGGTTGGAGTGATGGCTTTGTTTTTAGCTGTGTAAGTAAAGAGTTGATGGTGAGGCTTGTATGAATGATGATACATGATCGGAAATGATTCATCTGATGATGGACATAATATTGATTATGAATGATTGTGTAATGATGGTTTTATGATGATTATATGATGATGATGAAAATCATGTTGTGTGTGATGTTGAAAACGGATTTAAATTTTACAATCATCATCATCTGAATGTTTATTGATCGCGAAAATAGAACCTATTTCATTAAGAAAGTGGTCATGATCTACTACAGTAGTACATTATCATCTTATAACTATGATATCGAACAATTATTATTGAAACAAAAAGAAATTTTAGAGGACTTGAAACAAAAGAATGATTATTATGCAACTCATGATTTAATACAAAAATATGAACGAGCGATTAATGTTCTTCAAAAGCATATTCAACATAAAAGGAAAAGATTGCAAAGCACTAACCACAAAAGAAATTCGAAAAAGAAAGTATCGCATCAAATCAAAGATGTTATATTGGACGATGAAGATGACATGGAAGTTACTGAGGTTTTAATTGCAAATTATCCTTACTTTTCTTATGAAGTATTTAAAAAGTATGCAAATACACCTGCTGTATCTTTAGGATTTCAGGAGCCAGTTCCGCATACGGCAATTGAAGATTCATCTCCTAAAGAAATGAATACCATTTGTGTGCAAACAGAATCTTCACTGGCTCAAGAATCTCATATACAGCAAGAGGAAACAAAGAAATTGTTAAAAGAGAGTATGACCAAGCTGTTCACATTAGTGGCCTCACTTAGTAATCAACAACGAAAATTGCAACAAATGCATGCTATTAGAAGTATGCCAGAAGGTTTATCAAATGAGAATGAATTCTCAACGAGTCGTTCCTCTCGATTATCCATCACGAATGCTGACAGTAGTAGTAATCTTCAAAAAAAGTCACACTCTTTTACATTACGGAAACAAGACAACGAAAATACAGAGTCAAACATGCAGGAAGGAATATCTAGCTCCTCAACTATTGGGGAACCACTTGCATCAACTCCTCAAAGAAAAAGATCAAACAGTTTTCATGGAGGCACTCCAAGTAAGGAGTCTTCATCCACAAACGGAGCCAACAATACATTTTCAAGAGATAGTTCACAGCAAGCTAATGAAGAGAATAATAACGATTCCAATATCATTACACATCAACAACAATTAGAGCAAGAACTCGCAAGACTCAAGCAAAAAGATTTAGCATTAAGGGAACGAGAGACAAAAATCATCCAATACGAAAAACAATTGAATAGTCTTTCTGCGACTCAGAATCAACAACCTATTGGTGCTGACGCCCTCTATTCGTCATCTCTGACAGGACGATATAAAGTCTATGTGGAAAACAACAAGACCGGATTCGTAGAAAATAAGAAGGAAACCACTAAACCTAACTGGTTTGACCGATTGTTAGATAGAATTGTTGGTCAGTCTCCTGAGACATGTTATGCTCTCATTTGTTCTCAGTGTTGCTCTCATAATGGTTTGCTCATGATTGAGGATGCAGAAAATCATGCCGGATACAGATGTTGGAATTGTGGTTGTTTAAACATTAGACAAACATCAACTGTTGACACTATCAACGATAATGCAAGTACCACCACGAGTGTTGTGACTGAAATGGATGAAGATGACAGAGAAGAAAACCACGATAAGCAAGAAGAAAGCATAGAAGAAAGAAAAGAGAGTACCTCTGCAGAAGAACACGTCGACCATGAAGAACAGATCGAACTTGACCACGAATAATTGACATCGATTTACTTCTTTTGTTGTTTCAATTTTTGCATGAGCTGTTCTTTGCTGGTATTACGTTTTCGTTTCTTGTCGTCTGATGACGGGGAAACATAATCTTCTGAACTACTTGCTTGATTCTTGGGATTGCTTGGCGATGTGACGGAGGAAGAGCTTGTGGCTTTCTGCTTCCTGGATGGTAACTGTTGATTGGATGACTTTTCTGAGGAAGCAGATGGTAACTTTTCTGCTGAAGAGGATGATGCCGTTGAAGGTGTCTGAGACCGTTGCACCACAAGTCTTTGTTGCTTTGACGATTCCTCATTATTATTGAGGGATTTCACCAAATGGAAAGGAAAGGCAGTATCGAGAACCATAACATCTGGGTCAACAATTTCCACACATAACTTCCTTCTATAATTTTTGGATGTCTTGACAAAGATGCGAATATCAATGTGCTCGAATGCTGTGAGTATCGTAGTTTTTTTCGTTTTGTCATCACTAAACGAAATGGAGTCATTTTGCTCATTATATTCCATCTTGGTATACTTGACATTGTCCTTATTCAAGAAAATGACATGTTCGAATCCAAAGCGTGGAATAAACACCACAATGGCGTTGTCTCTTACTTGTGTTATATAAGCTCTTTCCTTTTGAACAGGATTAGAGTTAAAGTAAATATTAGTATATAATTCGACCGATGAGCGTTGAGCATATTGTGACATTCTATTTCTCTTGTTGAGCTCTGTCATGAGTCTTCTCGAATATTCTCTATCCGTTAGCTTTGCTGTCAGAGGATAATAACCAATGGCTGCTCCTAATAATCTGTGTACAATCACATCTGCATATCTACGAATAGGTGAAGTAAAGTGAGTATAAATTGGAACAGCTAAACCATAGTGCCAATAATCATTTTGACTGTGATCTCCTGAAATGAAATAAACTGCTTGTTCCATACAACGTGTGACAAGTATACGAACGAGAGTATCCATGTACTTGTCCTTAATGGCACCAGATTTTCTAATACTACTCAAAGAGTCATTCAGGGCTTTGGATGATGAAATATCGAGTGTAATTCCATGTCTCTTCAACATTTCTAGCAATGGTTCAAATTTTTTTGGATTTGCTGGCGGGTGACGACGCAAACATGCAACCATTGGAAATTCTTTTGTAATCTTTTTGGCAACAGCAATGTTGGCGAGCAACATGAACTCTTCAACCATAGAGTTAGTTTCACGCAATTGATACAGCTCTACATCCGTTGGATTTTGAGATTCAGTCTCCATGCTAAATTTGACAGCTGGAGAGGCAAGGGTTAAGGAACCAGCTTCAGTTCTCTTTTTTTTCAAAATTTTAGAAATGTGCAAAAGAAGTCGCAAATCAGTGGCCAATTCATCGTCTCTGTCCTTATCGTCAATCACTTTCTGAGCTTCCTCATAGGTCATGGATTTTCGTGATCTTATCAATGATTTGGTAAAGTCAACACTCAAAATATCACCTTCAGGAGAAAACTTCCAAATGACTGAGAATGCCAAACGATCTACATGTTGCCTCAATGAACACAAATTGTTTGTAAGTAAACTTGGCAACATTTCAATTCTTCTGTCTACCAAATAAACAGTGGTTCCTCTCTTTGCAGCCTCCAAGTCGATGGCTGATCCTTCCTTAACAAAATTTGTCACATCTGCAATGTGAACACCAACTTCAATGCATCCATCTGGTAATTGAATTGCATGTAAAGCGTCATCAATATCGGTACATCCTGGAGGGTCTACACTCACTATATTTATATGACGCAAATCTCTTCTACGCTCCATATCTTGTTCGGAGGGTTGCCAATCCTTATCAGGAAGACAATTCATGACCGATTGAGAAAATTGATAATGTGGAACATCATGTTCAAGTAAAATAACTTCAGATTCAGCATCGGTATTGTAAATTTCTCCAATGGTGCTCACATAGTGACCATCTGGGTACTTGGAAGTGGCTTTCCATCCATCAATGGCTACAATAATTCTCTTGTTTAACAGTTCCTTAGATTGTCTTGACAGTATTCTAACTTTTGGAATGCATCTATTGACTGGAACAAAAAGAACCTTATTAAGTCCCTCTGCTGGTTCAGTTTCTTCGTCTAAACTTCCACAATAGGATTTCCAATTTCGTTTGATAATACCAACAACCTTTCCTGTTGGAATGGTACGTTCAGAGTTCATGAATCTTGAGTAGAAGGACGAAGTCACAGAGGTCTTTCCATCTTGTTGTTCGTCAATATTTTCACCAGTAACGATGGATGTGCCATCATCTACTAAAACTTCATTGTCATCCATAACGGCGCTTGAGGAAGGTTTGGACCATTCTGATTTTGGTAACAACTCTACTGCAACAATGTCACCATGAATGGCCCTATTCATGTGCTTGAAGTTTTTGATGAATACAGTGTTAAAAACTTCTGTACCAGCTTGTGCTGCTTCTGAAGAGGTATCTTCATTATCATTCGTTTCGGAGATCATTGAGCTCAATTCTTCTTCGGCCTCTTTTTCAGAGCTGTAATTTGAAGAAGGCGCTGATACATTTTGTTTTGGCCTATTCTTGTCTTTCAAATCAACAACAAGTTCTTGCATGCCTCTTAGTGTCACAAAGGCCTCATTAATATTATTTCTATTGACTGTGATTCTACCTTGATGTAATTTTCTAGTTTTTATCCTTCGAAGCAGAGTGTTCATTGGGAGATGATCTTCAAATATTTTCTTTTCGCCGTCTCCGTCAGCCATTTCTTCATCATCGTCTTTAATTTCGTCTGTGTAGTTTAACAGTTCCAATAACTCTTCAGGATAGGTTGACGGACTTTCATTCACACGTTCTCTTATGAAATCATGAATAGTTTTTGCTGTAATCTCCATTTCCGATGCTTTTCGTAAATTTTCCTTGTCATTGGTTAACAAATAAATAGGTTTGCTCTCTGCCAATTTTCGCATGTACCACAGAGCTGACACTCTAATTGCTCTATCATTTCTATCATTGGCACTTTCATTAGCCTGCCTTTCTCCAATATAAGTTTCTTTATGATGTTCATTTGAAAAAACATAAAAATGTTTTCCATCCTTATCATCAATCAAAGTACGAATTCTCTTATAAATATTAATATTTTGATTCTTCACTTCATTGAGAACTGTTTCCAATATAATAGCATTCTTAATGCTCCGATGTTCCAAAATTGTAATTTGATGCAAAACTACATTAGTATCGGGAATAATATAACACTCTGCATTTTCCTCTAAAACCTTTCCAACTCCCGTTCCAATATCATCCCGTAAATAATGTTCCCGAACCACTTTCACGACATTTCCCTTTCTCGTTTGTTTGATGAAGGAAGTGTGGCTGCGTAAAGACATTTTTTTTTGTTTTAATTTTTTTTTCATCATTCAAAAATATTGAAGAACAGAAATTACAAGTTTTTGAATCTCTTGTTTGGGGCCCAATCGGAGAGAAGATTTGTTTTCATCAATTCTATCCAACATCAACAACGACAACGACATCAACAATATATTATTGTTTTTAATCAATCAGCTGGAGATAAAATCTTTGTGGTTGAAAAATGTCTTCTCAGAAAGAAGAACAGAGAAAGGAACAGGCTCCGCATGTTCAAGATGAATTAAATCATCATCATCATGATGATTATGAATTTAATGATTCCATAATTCAAAATTTTAAATCACATGAAAATCCGTTATTGAAGAAAGTTGGGAAATTAGAAAATGAAATTAACGAATTGGATAAAACTCTTGAAAATTTTGATCATGATAATTATTCTCTCTATCGAGAAGATCAATCTTTATTTGAAAAGCTTTCAATACGTGTAAAGGAACACTTTAGATGGGAAAAGTTTTATTCTTCGACCGATTGGAAACTAAAGTCTTATCTTCAAGATGTGTGCCCATTAGAATACTATGATGAACGTCTCAAAATATGCATGGATAAGAGTATTTTCAATCTTCTAAATGTGAATAGAGCTTGCAGATCTGAGTTAGAAGAAATGGAAAATTGTGTTAGATTGAGAGACAGATTCTATACTGAATATAAAAAGTGGGAGAAGGATAAAGTCACTGAAATGAGAGAGTCTGCATTTTATCCTGGATCAGGAGTGACAGCAAAGCAATATCAACAGTACATGGAGAATGCTCAGAAACAATACAACCTGCTCATGGACAAACTCGACAAGGACATTTCACAAAACTCTGACATTAAGGAATAGATTTTTTATGAAAAAAGGGAAAACTGGTCAAATAAGGATTTTGAATCTTGCGATGATAGATGCTCTGGATTGAATCTTACAACGTTGTGCGAAATTGCTCTAGACTCGATTTATTTGTCGATTACTTTTCGGTCAACTTGAGGAAAAAATCTTCGACCTTAATAGAGCTTCTCTGGTTGTGAGGTGTATCAATGTTAGTAGCAAGAATATTGGATAAAACCTTGAGTGAAGAGTCCTCTATCTTGTCAATGCTTTCAGAATTAATTTCCGGTTCACGAGACCCGTTTTTCATCGTTGGAGTGCTACTATCTTTTTGAGAATCGTTGAAATTGTTCTCATTTTCTTGACTTTCACTCAAAGCGATGTTAGATTTTTCAAAACAGACATTGGGAGACATTGCTACTGTCTTGGACGCAAAATGATCAAATGAATTCGATGTGTCTTCAGAGGAGGCAACTAAAAAAGGTGTCACAAGAGGCTCCGAGTTAGATCTACTGTCGTTAGGAAGAAGTGAAGTACGTCTCTTGTTTCCCAATGTAAATACCGAGTTGCTCCTAGTGGTTTTTTTTGTGTTTTCGTGAGTTTGAACGACCTTCAACAAACGATCTCTAATTTTTGAAACAAATTTGTAAACTACTGGATAAGGATCACCTTCCACGATGATTGAATTTGGAGCATCGTTTTGGTCTGTTTCACATCTCTCACCAGTACCATCTCCAAATTTGAATGAAAATTCAAGTGCATGCGATCCCAACAATGGAGAATCATATAATTGATTTTCTTCAAAATATCTCAATAAATTTTGGAGTAATTTCAACACAGCTCTCACACGTTTCTCCTCCAATAACTCTCTTCGAATCAATTCTAACATCTTTTCGATATAGAGTTGGTCATGCGTTGCAATTTTTCGTTCGCATTGCAAGGCATACACAGAAACTGAATTGTTTTTACCTTTTAGGCATATAGTATCCACAAAAAAGCAAACCATCGAAGGAAAATTGCTATCTAGTGCTAAAGAGGAGCGTCGACTCGATTGCGAAACAACTGCCTTGTGAATGCTATCATTCATCGTACTGGCAACATCCAAAATTGGAATTGCACTTCCTTGACCAGGTTCTAATACTTGAGATTCAAGTAAGGTCGTCACTCTCTGGTTGAGGTCTGAGAAGGAAAAGTTGTCTTGACCCAAATAGCTCGAAAAGAAATCTCTCGTTTCCGCTCTCAAATTTTCAACACCCTTAAAACTCAAAAGTGTTCCTTCTCCTATTAAAATATTCGTTCCATACATTCGATTCAATGATTCGAGTCGACTCGAAATGTTTACCACATCTCCTACGGCTGTGAAATTGAGACGATCATGAGTTCCAATATTTCCAACAAGACAAGCTCCTGTATTTAATCCAACACGAGCCGTAATTTCATAAGGTAGCTTCATTCTGTAAACTCTTGACATTTCTTCATTCACTTTTTTAAGTTCTGCAACAATTTGTAGAGCTGCTTTGCATGCAAGCTCGGCGTGATTTGGAGCTGGTTGGAAAGGGTTGTTGAAGAGTGCCATCACTCCATCTCCAATAAATTTGTCAATCACTCCATTGCACTCTTGAACGTTCTTTGTCACAACATCGAAATATCTGGAAATTACAAGAAGTAAATTGTTGATGGACAAATTTTCTGAGATGTTTGTGAAATTGGCCAAATCGGTAAACATGACTGTAATTTCTGCACTGACCATTCCCAATTTGGCTCCTGAAGAAGAACCATTAACAATATTGTGTACAACACTTTTTGGGATGTACTTCACGAAACTGGAATTCACACGTTCTACATTTTCAATACATCTCTGTAAAATATCAATTTCGTAAAATATCTTATTCGATGCTCTTTGTAATTTAGAAAGAGTGGTCTGTTCATGTGAAAGATTGCCACGTAATCTGGAAATGTGATATAACTTCTTGGAGACATGCCACAATGAAAACGAAATGAATGAAGTAAGACATAAAATTAAAGCAGTACCAACTGCTATGGTACACACTAATACTACCAGCAAGTAAACAAAGTGTTCCAGCAATACATCAGAAAATGTATAATTCTTTCGAGAAATGATAAAAATAAAATCCATTCCATACTGATCTACAATGTTTGTGACCACTAAAAATGATTCAGAAGTGTTGAGCTGTCGAATGGTCATCCATCGATTTAAATAGCAATAACCTCCATCTGTGGAATTTCCAATCGGTACGATATCGTTATTCACAGAGCTGCATGGATACGGTTCGCTCTCATTCAATGTTTTAGTTCGTCCAATGACTTGCTCAGATTCCACACATTCAGCAATTGTTTTTAGCATGCTGATTGTGTCTGGATTGGAAACTCCAAATGTATTCGTATTGCTAATGTTCTTAAACATCATGATATTATTTCTTTTTCCATTCGCGGTCAACACTGAAAAGTCTTTGAGAGAGGTCGAAAGAATATTTCCATTCTTTTCCATGAGGATCATGATGTAATCTGAGTAGGAAGATATAGATCCAAAATATTTCTCAATGTCGCTGAACAAGATGTGTACTCCTAATACTTCTTGAAAAGGAGGTCGAATAGTGTTTTGATTTTTCAGTCGTATACATGCTGAAATACTGAGCTTTGAGGTGAGGTCAACAAAAACACTGCTCCATTTGGTTATATTTATAGGACTGTCAGCTACTGTGGTGTACCATAATCGATCTCTTGGGTCATAAATAAATTGAGAGTCTAATGGAGTTGTATTTACAGGCCTCAAGAAGTCATCGGTAAAAAATTGAAATATGGAGTGTGCATCTCCTGGATATGTACTCAAATTCTTATATTGCGGTACGTATTGTAGCACATTCCTTGTCACGTACATCATGTTTAGTGAACCTTGACGTTGAATAAGGGCTGATTCTCCATTACCATTTCCATAGAGAATCATGTTCAATTCATCTTTGTGGACATAGAGTTTGGGAATTGCGGTCGTAGCGAGTCGTGAGAAAGGTTCTATAAACGTCCCATTTCCGCTCGTGTCGTTATAAAATAAGGAATGTACAAGAAAGTGTCGTTGAAGTTCTATCGAAGCTGTCGTTGCAATGTTAAAGAATTGAACCATTTTTTGAATAATATTTAAATTATTCAGGTTGGCATATTCCTGAACACTTTGACTTCCACTGTTTTTTAAAATAGGAATTGGTGTAATCGTTCAATGATTTTCATGGGCAACAATATTCAAGCCAGTAATAAGTAATGCAAGAAAAATTTGAACGAACACATAATTTCAAATAAATTACTTACGCTGAATACAAAATTGAGGTAGTTGCAATGATGCAAACTATAGTGTGAATAATAATCGCTATAATAAGTAAGTTACAGATTCTATTTGGTGGGCAAACACTATTATACAGATACTCCAATGTGTCAAAAATAACTCCTCTACATGAAGAATCTCCATAATCTCGTCTTCTTCCCTTAAAAATTTGTTCAAGTTGCTTTCTATTTTCTCGTGACTGTTCTGCTGATGAATCCGAAAGTTGCACGCTTGAAGTCACAGAAGTGCCCACTGCTTTTCTTCGTGGTCCAATTAATTTAATGCTCGAAAAAGAAGACCTTTTTCGTGCAGATGTTGATGCAGATGTTGTGTGCGTGTTGTTTTGTGTTGTGCTGACATTTCCATGATGACTGTGTTGAGCTGTCTTTGATAGATGGGGATGTGAAGAGGATGCTTGGCTATCTTTTGAAACATTTGAGATCTCTGTGTGATGATGATGTGAAAAGGAGTTGGACGGCGACTCTTGAATTTTGTGAAAAGATATCCCTTCATCAAATCGATTCATCTTTGCGTCCATTAATGTTCGATCGTAATGTTGCATCTCAATATTTTTCATAAAGGAATGTCTTCGTTTCGGAAATGATACGGCAGAGGATGAAGGATAGAAAATTTCTGAATTATTGTTGGCATTATAGGTATTAGAAGTCGTATTAGTCACATTATTATTTGAAATATTGTGTGTGGTTGATGTTCGTTTTTCATCATGATTTATGAAAGGGCTAGCAACTTTCATTACTGAAGTGTCAGATGTCAATGGTACGTGTGTTTCTTTGGATGTAACCAACACATTCTCATCATACAATTCTACGACTGATTCATCCAAATTTTGTATATTCGATAATTTAACTATTGAAAGTGGATTCTCTTGATGAGGAAATGGTTCCGTATCCATCCCAGCTGCCAAATGTTTTTTATCATGATGATCCTTATTGTCCATTAAATTATTTGTCGAATGAGTTGTCGTTGTTGTTGTGAGAGGTGTCGTTGATGCTTCAGGTTGTTGCATCAGGTTGTTGTTGTTTTGAATGTTGTTGTCGTCGGTCCTCATGAGCCTTGTAGTATTGTCTACATTAGGTATTTCCGTTTTTAATTTTACTTCAGGAGGTTTTTGTTGTTGTTGCTTTTCAGTTGAAGGGCTATGATGGACCTCTTGTTGGACATCGTTGTTGTTGTTGTTGATATTATTGATTTGGCTACTACTCGGTTCAGCTTGATGATGTTTTGGTTGTCCACCATCCGACGACATGTTGTTGTTGTATAGTGTTCAATACTCGTTGATAATGTCGGAGAGGAGAGAGAGAGGCTTCTCTTCTTTAGTACTTTGTGGGATGATGGCAAGAAGAAAAGCAACAAAGACCCCACCAACAAAAGAAAGAGATACAACAACAAGAAGGCTTTTATTGTTGTAACAATGTTGAGTGTGGTTGTTGATGTACTTTTTTCAAACAGGATGTTCATAACTCTCTGATGAAGCGAGTTAGTGTCTTCCGCTTCGTGATTGTGGGAGAGAATTTAATTTGATGCCGCCCGCATTATCCCAATGTCGGCTCGTTTTTACTTTTCAAGAGAAAGCCATGAGCGCATCATCGAGTACTGAAATGCGCGTCTATCAACGAATGGGGCGTCTCAGTGGATTTTTTGGTCCACTTTGATAGAGTTTTAATCATAATCATCCATGACAGGATCATCCATGGTGGTTGGAATACTTTCTTTGGAGTTGAAATTCAGGAGATTCTCTTGTGTTTGATGAGGAGTGTCAGGAGATGCACATGTGGAAGTCCATGTTGCTTATTTTCACTTTTGGGTTTGCAATTCTGTTTGAGGAGACCCTTTGACAACAACAATTTGACAATTATTGAAACACCGTCATCATGTACACTTCTGACAGAAACACTTCAAGAATCTCCTTCATCTCACGATGTTCGAGTAGAGGTTGTCGAGGAAAACGTGGGGACAAGATGTTAGAGAGCTTTCAACATTTCGAGATCTCAAAAATGCCCAATTTCATCACCCGTTCGTTTTTCAAATCATCACGAACGTATTCCTCACCTCCCTATGGATGCTGGCTGAAAGGAGTCCCTTCCGAAGTTGTTTTGTATCATATTCTCATGTTTGCCGATTTGAAAACAGTGGTAAATTTTTTCTGTATGAATAAGGAATATTATTTAAGTTTTATTGAAGGTCAGTGCGATGATGATCACCAGAATGGTAATACCACAATGGTGAGAACTGCTGATGCTCGCAGTGGTAATTTGGAAATGAGCAATCATTGTGACGAAAACAGTAGGACCATGTTGGATGCCAATGAATGGTGGTATCATTATTGCAAAGGACTAATACCGTCTCGAATTTATAAAAACACAACGAGAGATGAACAAGAACTTGATGAAATTTCCAACTCGAGAGAACATAGAAAACAAGTCGTTCAGCTATTGTTGAATTATTTGGAAATTTTACGCATCGACAATGGTAAATTGCGATTCTCTCAACCTAATTTTTCTCCATACAAGTGGATATCATTTCTGAAAGATTATTTCGCCTACAGATACTCACAACAACATTACAAACCTATTTTAGATCTAGACGAAGAAGAATCACATGATGAAGACCATGTGAGCAAGATTCTTCTTACCAATGATTTTCATTCATTTTATAATGCACATACAATTTTGAGAGGGTGTTGGGAAACAGTATGTTCTAAACACGAATTATTGTGTGTATCGAAGAATAGTAGTACAGAATCAAATGATCTGCAGACCCATCAAGGGTCGAACATTACATGTTACCACTGGATGGCTCATCTCACTCAATATTCTGCAACACCAGAAAATAGTTGGAATATTTTACTGGGTGTTGACAATTTCTTCAACCCAGCTCGAACTTCCTCTAGCATGGATATTCATTATACAATTGGTACCAGATTGCATGACGATGAACAAATCTATGTCAACAAAACAAATTCATCCCTGCAGCAAACACCTTACCCAATTTCAAACGGAATTGGATATTGTGTTCAAACAGATGCACCACTTTTGAATGGTAATACTTCATACTCATTCATGGATACCAACGATGAGGGAGATCTTTTTGGAATATCATTTTATTTTACACCTCCAGATACAATTACACTCAAAATTTTTGGAAAAGGAAGAAATGCAGAACAATCATGCGAGAGAGTTGAGGAAATGTGTGTTGTGAATACTCAGATTCCCACTGATCCTTCGACACCAATATTCTATCCAGCTGTATCACTCACATCTGGTCAGTGTGTAACCTTATTACCTTGGAACGGAGACCTTGATGTTTTATTACGACATGTAAAAGCATTGAGAAATAAGAATCACTGATGTACTGACGATTTGTAATCTCACTCCCACTCATCTTGGTGAGATGAGATTGAACTGAGAAATAATTTTTTAAAAACAAAGTCAATTGATTGCTCGTCCGACATTGGAATTAGTCACTTTTTCAAGAGGCACACCATAAGCTTAAGATCCTCCCGCCGTTGAAATTAAAAATTAAACGTTACAAAAAAATGATTGAAATTCAAACAGCATGTTCCTGTCACTCCAATTTTCATTCGCAAGACGAGATGATGTGTATCGGAACGTGTTCTAATACAATGCAAACAGGCAGGAAGAAAATATATCATGAGAACTCATCATGTCTCATGTGGCTAGATTCAAAAAACGATATCCCTGTTGTGAACAATATCTTTTCCAATCGTCACCTCGATCATCATGATGAATATGTTCAGAAATATCGGAGGAAGGCTTCTTTCGGAGGAGATATTCATACATTATTCACAAGAGGAACGATATCAAAAACTTTAATGATCATCCTATTGATGACCTTCCTCATGAGTCATCCTTTTGTGCTTCTCGTCTATTCGAGTCCTCTCAATCTCGTAATTCCCGATGAAGAAACTAATACCAAGCTCATTGTATGTGAGGAAGGAATCAACTTTTTACGAAGCCTGAAAGAACCGAACATTGCCGTCGTTGCTGTTGCAGGAAGAGCAAAAACGGGCAAGTCCTTTCTCATGAATCACTTACTGAGAGTGGATCATGCAGAGGGCTTTCCTGTACAAGTTTCTTTCAAGCCCGGAACGAAGGGTATTAGTATTTGGAGTGAGGCTTTCAAATACCCCAAGAATGGAAACAAGGAAGTCATCAAACGATCATCCTTATTGGATTCAAGAGCCTCGACAACCATGAGTAGCAATCAACAACATCATCATCAGGACGATTACATGACCGTCGTTTTTATTGATAGTGAAGGATTAGGTGCTCCCGGAAATCCAGCTCATTCCTATGACCCCAAACTTGCAACCCTAACAATTTCTCTTGCTTCTCTTCTTATTTATAATTTAAATCATGAAATTCAAGTTTCAGACATTAACTTGTTGCACAGTGTTGCTACCTTGTCGAGTGTTTTTGAGAATCAATTCAATGAGACCTTTCCTTTTCCACCCATATTGTGGACCATTCAACAATATGAACATGATCTCATGAATTATACTCATGAAGAGTATTTGGACTGGGTACTCCAAGAGAAACCAAACATTTTCAATACGGACGAAATTAGAAGGTACAATGAAACGGTTCGTGTTGTGAAGCAATTTCCAGAGTTTGTAAAACCTAGAATTTTGCTGTTAAATCATCCACACAAGACGACAGGTCTTCCTCGATTGCCATCTCTGAAATATCACGAATTGGATTTAGAATATCAATATCAAGTGAGCTATTTGAGACAACTCATTGAAACCCGTCTCCGACCCAAACAGTTCAAACATCTTGCAGTATCTGGAGAATATTTGGCCAATTTGATTGAGAGCATGGTCCAACATATGAACACTCTTGATACAGCAGATGTTGGATTGGCACTCATTAAGGAGCTGTCATTCATATTGAAACAACATTGTTTGGAAAATTACAATCAAAAATTGCATTCCATACCTCTTCCACAAGATTTGGACTTTCTTCAAAGTCAACACGAGGAAATGAAAGCACATGCTCTCAATATTTTCAAGAAAAATTGTACAGGAGGATTAGAACTTTTTGGAAATATGGAATACTATCACGATCTGGAAAAACAAATTGATAAGATATTCTCTGATTACTTACCAAACAATGGTGTGGCAGCATTCAAAGAGTGTTCAGATATTCTCTCAAAATTATTTGATCAATATATTACTAAAAACCAACTCGGAGAAGGAGGAGGAGTTGAACAATTTGACAAGGCTATAGAAATGATGAAACAACTCTATTTCCAACAAGCAAAAGGACCAAATGAAATTAAGCAAAAGGTTTTGAAAGATTTTGAAATCAATACAGCAACTGCCGCAAGAAATCGAATTCTCGACAAAACTACTGCTGAAGATTCTACATTGGCTGTCTTTTCATTAGTTCTTGGTACATTCACCTTCTACGTTTTGGCTCTCATTCCCAAACGATTTGGTTTTGTCAATGTCAGCCAATTTTTACTCAGTTTGTGTTACTTTACTGCCACCCTGACCATCCTCATTGTTTTGGCTTGGTTCAATATCATGGGTTTGAGATTTGCATCTCTCAGTTACTACTCGTCACGAATCAAAAACTCCATACTTCACATATTTCTCTTCTATGGGTATTTCAAATTGGGAGCTTCAATCCTGATTGGACTCATCATGCTTTTCATATTTTTCAAGATTTATTTCTTTATCAAATCGAACAAGATCGTGAATATGGAACCAGAGCACTCAGAGCCGCATGATTTTGATTCACACAATGAGGAAGATGAAGATGGTTGGATCGATGAAAATTATCTCTCGGATGGCATTCCTGCAACTGTCACCAAACGAAACCGACATGCATACATGCCTCCAAGCTCACCACTCATGTATCCAGCACAAGACATTGCCGCTACATTCAATCAATACAGTCCCACTCCAAGTCCTTATTTGAAAGCGAGTTTATTGAGCATGGCAAGTCCTAGAACTCCCAATAATTATGCATCTCCAATGTCAGCATCACGAAGAATGCAACAGCAACAACAATATTCTATAGGAACTCCCTATTCAACAACAGCGTATGAAAGACAATTTTTGACGCCACCATCCATTCCAATGCGAATGAAAGTTCACCAAACTCCCTCTTTCCACACACCTCACACAATTTCTGCCTTAAGGAAAAATCATCCCGTTTCTTCGAGTAAGAAAACAAAAACACATATTTTGTACAGTACAGGAAAAGTCTATGACCGATATCAGCATGAACAGGATTAGTGAACAGAACTATTTATTGAAACGCCCTGAATGAAACTTTGTACATTGGTTGAAACAGTGGAATAGTACTCCTTAATATGAGGCATCTGACTGTGATGAGAAATTTTGTCAAGAGTTTGAGCAAGACGTTGAATAACCTTGTCGTCTGGATATTTCATCAAAAATTGTCCAATGAAATCCTTCATATTCTTTCCAGTTTCTGCTTGGTCGTTCTCCCCCTCTTCAAATAATTTATCAAAGTATTGAGCATATTCTGTGTATTTTGAGTTGTTCTTGACCTGTTGAAGCTCATATAGCCATTCTTCATTCGATATTTGATTACGTGACCTCAATTCATATACTGTAGAAATAGAGTTGTCTTGCAAATACCTCTCGACTGGTCTAAATATGAAATTATCTTTTTCAAGAGCGTAGGAGGCCTTGTCAACGGCTGTTGGAATTCCAAGCTCCAATGCAATGAGGGACAAATCTTTGGCTCTTTTCACCACAGGACCTACAAGAGCAAAGTATCTCATTTGTCTATTTCCAACATTGCCTTGAGCACAAACACCACTTGCAACTCCAATTCCCACTCGAAGTGGTTGATGAGAATTCTTCACCAGAGTAGCATTAATGTGGGAAAGAGCTGTCAAAATTTTTAGAGTCGTATCTAATCCCATCTGAATCACTCCGTTAGGCTTATCGGCAAAGATAATGCTGTATTCACAATAACTCTTAATTTGTAAATCTGCTCTTACTGTTTTACAAATGGTTGATACACCTGTCAAGAGTTTGGAAATGGTGGATGTTAATTCTTCTGAATCCTGGAATTCCTCTTCCAAGTTGGCCACATGAATGTGCAAGACACAACAATGTTTATCGCTGAGACCCAATTTAAACATGTTGTGAGAATTCAGACTGGATGTATGACCTGATGTTGTGTTCATGTGAAGAGCACTTTCTCCAACTTTTGATTCACTAGCCTGTGAACGCGAAGCCATTGAAGCAGACTCGGACAGATTTGCTTGTGATTTGTTATTGGCGACATTTGGCATGGCATCTTTTGATTCATCTGTTGACATACCACGATGAAGTTGATTCAACACAGAGTCTGGCAAGAAGGCTCTGAATTCGCTCAACCATGCAACCGTGTCAGTCAAGCTTGAGTAAATACTTTTAGCCTCAGAGAAGAAGGAAGTTCTTGGCTTGATATTTGACAAATCTAGAATTTCAATCTTTTTGAAGTCTTGTTGCAACTTGGAAAGGGGTTTTGTCACAATATAGCCAACCACAATACTAATGGTGACACCCAACAGTGCAACTGCACAAGTGACACCTATCATGATATAGCTGCTCATAATGATACCTTCCTTAATTTCATTTTCCTCAAAGACAAGTGTCAATCGCCACTTTAGGTTATAAAATTGAAAGGGACTACTCGAAACCAAATAGGAAACACCATTCACAGTTGTTGAAAATTGAACAGTCTCTACCTGTGTTTCAATGACTTGCTTCATAATGGTTCCTGCATTTCTTGTCGAAATGTCAGATGCATTCACTCTCTTATACTGAAAATCAGCAATTTCTAAAGAACTTCCAATGACATAACCACTCTCGTATTCAGACAGAACAATGTAACCTCGATCCAAAACTTTGAGAGAAGAAAGGAACATGGCAATCATATCAAGACCAATGTTCACTTTTGCAATTCCAATCCGTTGTTTCTTTGACAAGTCCGTTCGGTTATAGACTGGAGTTGTCCAAAACGTTTGCAATGAAGAGTTAATGACTTGATAGACAGAACCAAAAGCACCATTTGGATATTTCTTAAACAATTGTTTAGATTCAATGTAATAATCCACGTATGCAATGGGATATTTTGTCAAGTTGAGGAAATAAGGTCGATCAATCACTCCAGTCTCCTTATTGAGAACGTATGTCAAAAAGTTTTCACCAGGCATCTTTTTAGCATACACAAGTTCCATGGATTGTGTCGAAGCATCTAGACCCCAAGTCAGGGCTTGCAATTGGTTGAGACCATTCTCTGCTAGTGCCAAATTGACCAAGGTGATTTGAAAGGTTTTCATTTTGGAAAACAAATAATATCGAATGCTATCCACCACATCAATATAAGAGTAGTGATAATTATTTGCTACTTCTTCAGCCACTTGTTTAGCTGGAAGTAATTGACTTGATAGGAACGAGACAACCTTGTTATTAATGTTGTCAATAATGACGTTGACAGATTTCATGGCATATGTTTCATTGACAACAAAGCTAGTGAGCCAAATAGATACAGCTGTGAGCAAGACCACAGAAGTGATAACTATGATGAGAAACAAACGGACTGACAAACAGAAAGACATGAATTTCGAACGTTGTGTTTTGTTGTGACCATGAGAAAGCAAATCGACTTCGTCGGTTTCAAGAGGAGAAGAGCTTTCGTGAGTGGTGACAGGGGATATTTTGGGTGCCATATCTTTTAACTAGATGTGTGCTTAGAGTGGTATTTGTTTTTTTGTTTGTAGAGGTAATTCGACATGACATGAATTTTTAATGTATTGACTGCTCGAGAAGATAAATCTCTCGGCAGTAATGTCTAATTTAAAGAGATTGAACCGACATTAGAGAGTGTTGACATTTGGATGTTAGCCTGTTCTTTGATGGCGAATAATACTCAACAAAGGGAGATACACCACGTTCGGTTATTAGTGATGGTTGTAAACTCGAATTGCATCAATGACATCAAAACAAATAACAATCTAGAGATTTGAATCTACTGAGAGATGTTCGATAGAGATTTGCGAAATTTGTGTAAAATGAAAATATTCAAAAAATGGAAATTTGTGCCTAACACTTCAACATAAGAACCCCATTAACGAAAACATGTTTGATGTTGTTGTGCATGTTGAAATCATTTCCTCTCCATGGAGATTTCTCACGAATATGGTGATCTGCTGCGATAATTCTCTTTGAGCGGCAAATGACACACCACCCTTTCAATCCCAAAGAAGAAGTGAAAATCATTATTTCATGATCCTTCCAATCAAAACGAAACAGCTTTTATGTCATTGGAAGAATATGTGACCCATCTTGTGATAAAGAATGGTTGTAAAGACCCTAAGTGCTCCAGTGCCTCATCACAGTAGATGAGCGAATTCTCATCGCGCTTTTTTGTTTCCTTTTGTGTCCAATTTGGAACTGGCCATTCCGCGCTGGAAATTCAAAGAACAAAAAAAATATGAAAGACTTGTTATTGGTAAGTCAGCATCAACCACACACCTTCCTTCGTGATATCTTTGAAATGGTTCACACATTTGACAAATTTCCAACATTTCTCTCAACAATGGCATCTTTTCATGAAACCTGCCATCTCTCGTGTGATCATCATCCTGATGATCTTCTCATCTTCATAGGCCTATATTTGTTGGATGGCAGGTTGTGTGGGAGTGTGTGGCTTGCATCGTTTCTATCTCAATTCCCCACTCTTGGGTTTGATTTACTTGTTGAGTTTGGGTTTACTCGGAATGGGTCAATTATTGGATGTGTTTTTCATTCCGAGTTTAGTCGAGTCGTGTAATCGAGGTCGACTCTTCTATTATGCATCATCATCATCAAACACCAACACCGCTACCACAGACACTACTGGACCACATTATTATTCTTTAGGAAATCATGGAGGAATGAATTTGGGACTCGGAGGATTGACCTTTTCATTTGGAGGTAGTGGTGGTGGTGGTGGTCATCATCCCTATTCCAATCGGAACTTCGATGATATGCATCAGAATGCTCCGTCCTATGTTCCACCACCTCCTCCTCCGACTACTACCTCTTCTCAACAGTCAGCAACCTCCGGAGATGGAAATGAAACTGAACCACCACCACCTCAAGAATATATTCCTCCAACGGCCAATCCATTTATTCATTTCAATTCATCGAATCATGAAGGAATCTCTTTGGTGGTGAATGGTCAAACGGTGGATTTATCCCAAGGAGGAACTTTCTTTATCGATGAAAATGGAACGATTGAAGGAGGTGTCGGTGTTGACGACGATGATTTTGACACTGGATACACAAACAATCAAATATTTGAGGATCAAGCTCGCAGGAATCGTGAGCATTTGGATCGATTGAATCGACAACGTGTGATGGAACAAAATCAGAGAGCCATGGAAAATCAACAACGAATGACTCGAGAGGCCAATCAGAGACATTTTGAAACTATGAGGCGAGTGAATGACATGAATATGCAGAGTATTCGTCGAATGAATGAACAAAATCGAAATATGATGTTTCAACAAAATCAGAGAATGCAATTCCAGAATAATTTGAATCAAACGATGAGAATGAATCAAATGAACAATTTTAACACTTTCAAAAGAAGGTAATACACGTGTCAATCACTGAAATGCATTTTGTGTGGTAAATTGGGTAGACGGGATAACCCAACTGAGAAAATATTTATGTAAAAAATAATTGTTGGATATTGATTCGTATATAATTAATTTAAATGTTTTTAGTCGTGATAAGTGACCGAATTCGAGAATTTGGTACAAAATTCTATTGCTTTTTCTTTTCTTCTTGTTTGGTGACACTAACAGCAGGAACAGATGGATGTGAATCAAAATACCAATCCAATCCAACACCAACAAACACAATGGTTGCACCAATTAATTGAGCTTGTGAAAATGAGTGTCCATAAATCATTACAGAAAGTAAAAAGGTAAATAATTTTCTCACAGTATTGATAAACGTAATTTCCACGTTGTCAAACTCGGCAAATCCCCAGAAGATGAAAAAGCTTCCAATCGTTCCTGAAACGCACAACAATACAATATTCAAAATAATGGAGGGATGTCTCAAACAAAAATCAATACCTTTCCAAAACTCTCCAAAGTAAATCATGCATACGAAAAACAACAGACTTGTGTAAATTTTGGTGAAAAACATGAGTTGGTCTGAACTTGGTTTTGCTTCCTTTGGTTTGTTTTTAAAATGTTGTTTCATCAATTCTTGAACTGCATTATTCACACCATCGGCACACACAGAGACAATGAGCAACATTAAACCAAATGCAGTACTTTCCGCATGTTGTGACTTTTTGTTCTCTCCAAACATGTAAAAAGAAATTCCCAAAGTCGCTACAAGCACTGCCACAATTCTTGGCATGGAATAACGCTTTCCTACAATTAAAAAACAAGAAGACATGGCAGTGATCATTTTACATGATTTTGCCAACACCTGAGTTGGAAAATCCACATATTTCAACGCTCTATTTCCCAACCCAATTCCTGTCGAGTGAGTGATTGCTGACATGACAAAGAATTTTTGAGTCTCAAAACTCACAGCCGCTCTAATTTGATCATGTTTTTTCGAATAAATAATTTTTCCTAACGCTGCCACTATATCAAACAAACTCTCAATAAAACTTAAAAAGAATGTATACGTAAACACTTCGGGGTTACTCTCTCCGAATTTTGTTTTTGTAATTTCCTCCTTGAATGAATTCGCCGTAATGAAACACACAAGAATTCCGAGAGCAATTTTTGCAAATTCCATCGGATGAGTTTTGTATGATTTATGATGCGAATGATCATGATGATGAATCACGCTCAAATTGGCTACCGATTCCGAGTGAGAAAGATTGGATGAAATGGCAGAAGCAGTTTGGGCCATTTTTTTTGTAAAAAAACTGTACAATTTTTGTAAACTCGAATTTGAGTGACACGTGTTTCGGAATTTCTTTGAAAGGACTTTAATGTACACAAGATTGAGATAGAGCTACTCTCATCACGAATTGCCAACTTTTGTGACGTTGGGAATTCTCAAATCTTTCTTGAATCACTTTCTATTTTGTAATCAAAAAAAAATGTTCCAAAAGAAACACACACAACAACAACTATTGTCACACGAAAATCTCTCCATCACTTGCTCCAATCTCTTCAAACTTTTCAATCATGAATTATATTCCGATTTCAAAATCAAACTTCCAACTTGTCAACAAACGATTTACGTTTCGAAAGGAATTCTCGCCATGAACAGTGAATTTTTTGCGACCCTTTTTCAACAACCACCAAACAATTCGATGCAATTTCAAGAATTTGTTCAACAAGAATTACAAGTCACTGGTGGTGCTTCTGAAGAAAATTGTCTTTTAAAAATCATTCAATTTTTTTACTCTGGAAAAATTGAATATTCACTGACAAGTGGCAGTGGTGTTGAAAATCAATCCAATGGTTCATTGTTGGAAATTTTGGATTTATTACTTGTCTCGAAACAATATATGGTTACAAATGGATTGGTTCAACACTTTTTGGATATACTTTTGAAGAATATTAAAGCAGAGAATTGTTTTGAATTGTTTTTTCGAGTGGCTGTGATGGATCACGAACAAGATGTGCATTTGAAACCACTTTTTGAGAAGATTATTCAAGTGATGGCTTTTTCTTTTTCGACTATTCTTGAAAAGAATTGAAAAGAAATGATTGCGATGAGTTGCGACCATTTGAGAGAACTGATTAAGGGATTTTCAAGAGAAGCGTCAAATGTCAACAACAACAACTTTTCCATCATCAATAACAGCTCCACCAACAACAATCGAATGGCTTTTCCATCAAATAGTGTCTTTGATCAAATCAGAAGTGGGTATAGCTTTAATGACTACAATCAGGAGGATAAGAAAACGAAAAAACTTGTTGTGTAATGTTCTGCGGAACATTTTCTTCGATTTGTCATGGAATGGCTTGCCATGGATATGGAACTTCGAAGTGAAACGTTTAAGGAAGTGATGGCCATGGAATCGAAATTGCAATATATGTGATTTACTATTCATCTCACATGATTTAGAGAATAGTAAGAATTTCAAAAGGTCCTACGATGAATCATTCAAATTCATTATTAATTATTAATTCATTTTGTTTGCATTATTTAAAATCTGAAACAAAATGTTTAGGTGTCTCCAATAAATCAACCTCAGTCTCGATAAGCTCTGTCTTTTCGTGTTCCTTTTGCAGTTTCATCATTTGAGGCGTCATTCCAAACAATTTCACATACAGTGTCATTATCCAAGCTTGCAATGAAAGATAAAACAATCTCAATTCAAAATACATTCGTAATCTCCATTCGTTGAATGTTGATAACATTCCCTTTCGTTCGGATGAAATCGTTCCCAGATTGTTTGATGTTTTCAATAAGGAAGCTCCTTTTGCAGCAGATCGAGCCATGATGGTAAATCGATTGGCCTTAGCTCCCAAATCCTTATTCAATGCTCTCAAGATATTGTCTGCTCGTCCAACAAATAGCATATCTGCCGGCATGCTCTTGTAAATGTTGATAATTTCGTCCTTTTGTTCTTGTAAAATCTTTTCATATTCGGCCCAATTATCCACGTCGAATTTTTCACCTTCATCCAAAGAATCATAGGATTGCATCATTAAAAGACTTGCATATAATTTGTAATCTTTTACACCTAGTGAGTCACAGTACTCCTTCATTCCCTTCTCATCATTCATCACCACGCTTTTCACAAATTTTGCATATCCAACTCTAAAATCCTCTGTAAATTCCTTGTAGAGTCCATGATCGAGTAAAACAATCTGAGGCTCCTTTGGATTAGTTGGTGAACGCCTCACAAACACATTTGAGCTATGTGGGTCAGCATGCAAAAATCCGTGCACGAATAATTGATCAGAGAAGACTGATAAAATTCTCTCGGCAATATCGTGATCTGAAAAACCCATTTCCTTAATTTTTGAGACATTGTTGGCGTTACAAGCATTTTCAATAAATTCCATGGTCAACACTCTTTCACTTGTGAGATGATCAAAAATTTTTGGGACATAGACATCTAGACGCTCTTGCATGTGTGCTGCGGCTTTTTTGGCATTTTCTGCCTCGTGTTTGAAATTAAGCTCTGAAAATAAGCCATTCTCTAATTCTCTATTAAATTTGTCGTTCAACTCGACGAGAGTGTCAATATTTTCTGCATCCTCTTGCATGTAATAGAGTTTAATCGAGAGTCTGGACATGGCATCATTGGTACGCATGTCACCATTAAAGAAAGCTCTCACATATGGATATTGTACTTTCACTGCGACTAGACGGCCATCCTTTGTTCGTGCTCGGTGTACCTGTGCAATACTGTGTGTATGAAAATTTTCGGCAAATGAGCAAATTTGGTGTCCACAATGTATTCAATTTTAAATTTCAATGTCGTCAAGTTAAATGTAAATATATTATGTTTAAATGTCATACTTCTCACACCTTACCTTGCTGCAGCAATTGGCTTTTTTTCAAATTCATCAAACAATTCCTCTAGAGGTTTTCCAAAATCTTGATGAATCACCATCTTGACATCTTCAAAACTAATTTGTGGAGCTTGATCTCTCAAAACCGATAAGGTTTCAATATATTCGTCTGGAATCATGGAAACTAATGAGCTCAAAAATTGTCCCAACTTGATATAAACACCTCTCTGCTCCATGAACATGTCTAACAAACGTTTAGCATTTCTACGATGTGCCTCCTTCTTTTGTTGAATAAATTCTTCACTATTCTTATCAGGTTTCTCAATGAACCAATAGTGTGGGTTATAGGGTTCCGTAATGAGCAGCCAAAAGTAATCTAAGGCAATCACGTAAATAGTTTTTGAACATTTCAGATAGCGATGCAATCCCTCACATTGTTGTTTCAATTCGAACAATGATTTGGCCCATTCAGAGTCGCTGTAAAACCTCGAAGAAGGATTATTAAGATCAATCCAATCCATGGCCCATAGAAAACCTCTCAGAGAGCCGTACAACAAAACAATGAGAGAGATGAGAGAGACTTCAAGAATGAGAGCCCATTTGGCGAGTTTCTTGAGAATGTAAAAGAAGGTTCGGAACGCATTGGTTCTCGTTGTGCTTTCTTCTTCCTGTTGTGGACATGAAGAGGAAGGTGAAGAGGATGGGCGGTTCAGTTTTGAAGAGGAATGAAACCTTCGGAAGAGTGAGGAGGATGAATCAGCAGCAACCGCATGTTGTTCAACTCGGAAGGGATGGATTGAGGAGGAGGAAACAGAGGAGGATACCCCTTCTGCTGCTGCTTTCAACAACAGAGATGGCTTTTGGAGCGAGCAGTAGTGGTCCGATAAAGATAATAACTGCTTGCCTCTTTTCAAACACCACCTGTGTTGCATCATGATGATTGAAATTGTTTGGTTAGATTAGTATTAGAAATAATTCGCTGACGATGATGATGATTCTATTGTGGAGAGAAGGTATTTCCAATTTTTTGAGAGCGCCTCGGAATGAAGACCTCTCTCTTCAAAGAAATCCTTTTGAAATTGAGCGATGATGATGATTCTCAATGTTGATTAGAAGTGTATTCTGCTTGGAGGACAATTTCCATTTGATGATAATGACCGCGCTGGGTGCAATTAAATATTGATTGAATCATTGCGAAATAACAGTATTGGCGTGGATCTGGAAAGTGGTCTTCTAGGCGATGAGATAGTTCATCAATGATGTCGTTTTTGCAATTTCTTGTTGAATCAGTACATAATCAACTTGTTATCTGATGAAGAACATAGATGGGGTTCGGTGTGTTGTTTTGGATGAAACATTTAAGAAAGATAAATTTTCGAGAGAATTCAGAACAACGCTTCAAGAAGCAGCCAACAAAATGATCAATGGAGCTCGACAATGAGAGTTGGTCTTGTATTCGTTGCATAATATCGAAAACGGATAACTCTTCTTTTCAATTAGAAAGGGAGAGTCGTTTAGAACAACCATCCAACTCCTCAAAAAAAATGTCCCTTCTTGATTATGTTAAGAGAAAGCACAAGCACTACCAAATTATGAGTGCTAACTTTATGTTGGAGCCTTGGGAGGCTGCAATGATGAGTAGGTGTTCATTTGTTTGTTTGTTGTTGATGATGATCATAATGAAATCATGATGGAATAATTTTGAACTTTTTGGCGTTCTCTTCCGACATTGTATTATTTCGTCATTTGATCATCCAACCAACTCGCTGTTTTGTTGATGTAGATCTCATCTATTTGACAATTATTAGTCTTGTGCTGTATTATATTTACAGAATGCTCTCCTTCTAACCATAAGAAACCATAACGAGTGATGCTACCCAGATGACATTTTTAACGGGTCATCGGTGGAATTAATAATCATCGGAGAGATGATGAAAGAGAACACATTGGTATTAATCTTCTCTCCCTCGAAATCATCTTTTCCTTCCTTACCCATCTCACACATTCTCACATTTGTAGTATTATTATTTACAACAAATTAACTCAATAACACACACACAATCTTTTTACTTTCCAATTAGTTCTTCTTCTTTCTCTCATAATTTCATCATCTATTCCTTTACATTCATGATTCGAAAAACACAAACATCATATTCATACACATGATCATCAATAACGGTCAAAACCGTCTCAACCAAAACAAGCCATTCGAGTTCCCTTTGTTGTGTCTCTCAAACAAAAATTATGAAAAAGCAGCTGCTTGGCAGCCAGAACAAATCTACGACTCGTCTTGCAGAGGAGGGACAGAGTCCCACTACCAAGACACAACCATCATCATCACCCTCATCACCCTCATCATCGTTCGTTCAAAATGCCAACAAGAGTAAGAATAAACGCTTAAATCCACGTGGAAGTTTGAACAATTCATTCAAGACGACCACCACTACCACATCTTCGGAAGGAGCCGAATCAGCAGTGGAGGCTCACTTGGAACCTCAACAACAACAACATCAAAATCAGGAAGGCCTACCAAGTTCACCCTTGTTGGAAGTACCATCTTCCGTTGAGGAGGAAAAAGCCAGAATATTAGTGGCCTTGGATGAGGACGGAAGAAGGAGCGCCTCAACACCAACTCCTCAGCAAAAATCATCCTCTTCTTCCTTGATGCAGAATGGAGCTTCTCATTCCAATATGAATGACAACAACAACAACTCGCTGCAACTGGTTCCTCAAGAACAGGAAGAGAATGACGACTCGACCATTCGTACTAAGGATTATGACGATCCCATCATTGACCCAAATGAAATCAATAATAACAGAAGAGTTATCTCTCCTCAAGAATTGGTTGATTCAAACTCTCTCACGGATATTGTAAAAAACAGAGTTGACAATTCACTTGCTGGAATTTATTTGAATGAGACAAGCGACAACAACACCAACACTAAGCAGTCGAAAGGGGATGACGATGAAGACGTTCTAGATAGAGAAATTAGAGAAATGAGAAAATCAGCTCAAGAAATCGAATACGATGAATTGGAAGGCCTCATTGATCGACCCGAAATTCACTCCCTTAAACCACAGTATTTTTCCTCTTCTTTGAACAGGGCCAAACTCTCTCCTTTGACAAGCAAGACATCACAAACTGAAAAGGTTTCTTCTTCAGAAAACTCAGAAATGAATTCACATTTCGCAAGTACTTCCTCATCACGTTTTGCGACAAGTCAAAGCGAGAGAAAATCAGACACCGACACTGCACAAGATCAGTACCTCAAACCTAATGATCGACTTAGTCCTGGATTCAACATGTCTAGAGCCTCTTCTTCATTCTCTATCGATTCGAGCATTAGCCAAGAGGAGACACCCAATGAGCACGAAGACGCAGAAGCTCAAGAAAAAACCTATGAAGATGAAACATTTCGAAGATATCTAAAAATTCCACCTGAGGAAAGGGAGCGACTCAAGAATCGACAAGCTGAGCTTCCAATTCGATTCGATGATTTCATAGCCCTTCACGGTTACTCAAAGCATGAGCAAAAAATTAAGCGAGAAAAGCGAGATGACTATATGTACGATTCACTTGCATTTATTGATAGTCAACATTTCACCTACGATTCTGAAAAAGATTTTCTCAGTGAAGAATCATCTCCTGGGCCGCTGGGGGTTGTACAAATGGAAAAAAAGAACAAACGAAAAAAGAAAAGAGTTAATGACCTCAAGGACTATGACGATCATGTCGCAACAATGACTGAACAACAATTTAAGGCCCATTCAAGTGCAAATAAGCAATTCAGAGAGATGCAACGAAAAATGCAAAATCGAAGGAAAATCAAGCAAGAGGCGCTTCAAAAGCATGTAAGAGCAACGGAAGAAATGGTGCAAAAAGTCGAGAGACGATCGAAAATATTCGGAGAATGGGCCCAGCAACAAGGAATAATAACCAGTGATGTTTCAAATATCATTCCAAAATTAAATTTTGAGTCAGAAGTGAAGGAAAATGAATCTACCTCAACCGACAGCTTTTTCATTACTGAGGACAATGAAGACAATACAAATCAAAATAATATTGATTTACTAGAGAGAAGAAAAAAGATGAAACAACGATATATACCTGCAGACCCCAAGAAATTTGACACCTCAATCTATCATCGACCGAACACAGACCGACAGCATCACACCAACAGCCAAGGGAATACCATAAGTGTATGCTCATCCCTTAATTACCAGGATCACAAAGAACGAACCTCCAGCATGCCAAACATTAGTAGATGTTCCAATCAATCGGTTGCATATTTAAGCTTTTGGGGTAAAGCAACCATTCCAAAACGTAAAAAGAGCACCATTCGCGTCATGGATAGCATCACCAGTAACAGAGATATTGGCCATATATTGAACCCAGGAGGAGGAAAGCCACACTCTATCAAGGACCATTTACCAAAGATTTAGATCTTCACGCACCTCAGTTTCAGAAATTGACCGTGCTTCTAAATCTCCTCGGCGTCACATTTATTTTACTGCTTTAAGAACTTGGCGTGATGTTCAATGTGATCCCTAACAAATGTTTGAATGAAATAGTAACTGTGATCATAACCTTCTTGCATTCTTAAGGTCAATGGAACACCTGCTTGCTTGGCAGCAGCTTCCAATTTCTCCACTTGCAACTGATTTTGCAGCAAAAATTTATCGACACTTCCTTGATCGACCAAAATGGGCGCCTTCACTGAACTTGAATTGAGTTTACTAATGAGAAGAGTGGGATCGTACTGAGGCCATAGATTCTGACGTGCTTCTTCACTATCTCCCAAATAGCCCTTGAAGGCCTTTTGTCCCCAAGCACAATCAGGATTGCTTGGGTGGCTGATTGGAGCAAATGCTGAACAGCTGTGATAAGATTTCAAGTTTCTCAAATAGATGACCAACTAAATTCAGACATATGTGGTGCATTTTCATAAATTCCATTTGCAAAGAATTGGAAATTTTTGATATGCAAAACAATTATTATGAATTGCATATTTTAAATGGTTGACACAAACTTACACTTCCAAGACCTCCCATACTGTGACCGAAAATACTTTGTTTCAATTTGTTTTCACTCTCCAACAAGAGCCATGCATTATCTCCGGTCGCAAAATTAGAAATAAGCAAGGAAGGCAATTCATGAACAATGTAATCATACATTCTGTAATGCTTGTTGTAAGGTTCTTGCACAGCGTTGAGATAGAATCCTAGAGTTAGTGTTCAGACATGATTGTGCACAATTTCATTCCGTCGAGATAAACAGGAGATTCGATTAATCGAATTGTGAAAAATTAATATCATTATAATTTACAATCGCGATGATGATGAGATTGTAATGACCAATGAGTCGTCCACATGGCGTATCATTTCAATTTTACAAATTCAATGAAATACATGATGATGATGATCACAGAATCCTAATCCCAACAACAATTTGTACTCACCTGCTCCTTGACCAAAATCCCAGCTATCACCCTTTGGTACATCCTCACCTCTCGGAGAGGTATCCGGACACACCAATGCAATTCCGTGTTCAGCAGCAAAAGCCATCGCTCCGGCCTTAAAGATGAAATTGGTATCCGTACAAGTTAAACCCGAAAGAAAGAACAAGACTGGTGCTTTTTGACCAGATTGAAGAGTTTGTGGAGGACGAAAGATGTGTACATTCATGGAGCATCCAAGACCTTGACTCGTGTGAGTGCACTCGAGAACAAGACCCGAAAAACATTTGGTTTGTGATTTGATGATAATTGTTGTTGTGGACATTTTTTTAATTTGAATTGTCAACGACATGGAGATTCTCGTTGTCAGGAATCGATTGTTGTGGAAATTGATCAATCTTATCGATACGCGATGGAAGGCGAGGATTGATGTCTGCATTGCTCATTCCTTTCGAATTTTGATAGCTCATTATGAAATTGATTTAAGGTGGCTCTGGGATTGAAAAATAATATGGTCGAAGTGTTTCAAAACAGAAAATAATCACAAACTGTGTAACAGTGAAATGGTTGCATTAGGATTAATATATTTAGAAAGACATTAAAAAGCTCAAAACCATCAATAAGATCATGGCAAAGAAAAATCCAGAAGTACTCGTAGTTGCCATGGCATGATTCACTCTAGCCTCATAATTCAATTCAGCATCACAAGTGGTCTTCATTGCACTTTGACAGGCGCTGTCACATGTCATCTTACCCAACACAAAGCTCACCACACACTTTGGATCCGATGTTTGTTGTGGATCATAAAAACCAGGCTTGACTTCAATATAAAAATCACACGATCCAACATTCACTGCCATTGAAGTAGTATTCTTATAGGTTTCATACACATTACCGGAAGGTCTTTCTGGTCTTGGCGGTGCTCCCACTCTCGTTCTAAATCTCATACAATTAGTAACTGATGTGGTATTCGAATTACTTTCATCAAAGGTCAAAAACGAAGGATAGGTATCGTTGCGAGTGAATTTTACGTAAATTCGTTTCGAATCATCGGCATTGCCACCGAGAGGAAGTCGAGGAAGATTGAATCGAATGACAACTTCATTATCGGCATAATCAGCTGCATCGAGTGGAATGACGGTTCCATTGTCGACCATCGGATAGTCAATGACGAAATCGAGATGAGAACCATCGTGAGCGAAGGTGAAGGATGAGACAAGGACTGAAAGAACGAGTAAGAGGAAGAGAGAGCTGGAACGGAAGAGGAGTGATGACATCTTTTTTTTTGTGAAAAATGATCTGAATGATTGGTGACACGCCTTCGTACGAGAGGCTCGAAAGAATCGCGATCCGTTGAGACATCAAGGGATCACGATTTACCATGTCAATCATGCACATGCGTCATTTAAATGTGTGTGTTATACATTGAATCTCTTCTTAATGTAAAGGTAAACAAAATATTATTGTGGTTATATTGGTGGTCCATAGGATGATTGAAAACAAACAATGTTATCCAAAAATTTCAAACCATATGTACTCCTCCTGTTCACACCAATCTCAGTTGCAATAACAAAAACTACAAAATGACACTTCCATTTTCGTCCAAAGTCTCAAAAAATCCAGACGAATCTTTTGGTCGTTCTCCCATCCCCAAAGTTGCTTCGTTCTTTTCCAAAATTTTCATCATGTCGTAATAAAAATTTTTCGCTCTTCCCTTAATAATTTTTTCAATAATCCATCGAGGCATTGAACCTTTCAAATCAGTGCCAATAAATTGAATGTAACGACAATGTTCCTTTCCATCATGGGTTTGAATGGGTTGGAAAATCCAACAACCCACATTAGCCGCCTTAATGTGGTCATTGTTGTTGAATTGTTCCAAATTTGGGATTTTCAAATCTTTGCATGAAGAGGGTTCACATGATTTTTTACAAACAATGTACATGTTGTCAGTCAAATCATGCATCATGCTTTGACAGAGGAAATAATATCTTGATTTGATAGGCCATATTAATTTGTAGACTTCATGAGTGATGGTGCAAGCAAGTTTTGTTTTACCGGAAGTGTGACGTCTATGAGCAGATGATGGTTGACGTTCATGTCGTGGCTGTTTCTGGACAAGTTGTGGTGAATTAGGTTGAGGCGATGGCACATTCTCTGGCAATGAGGAAGAGAGCACACCACTTTCCGTAGAGGTTGAAAGAGAGTCCTCATCGTCTTCATTGCTGCATGAACTTCTCAGGTCATCTTGATCCGCATTGGCAGGATTATGATTTGCTTGCTCGCCTAATGAATTCTCAGTGATAGTGCCACTACTCGACGATTCTTTCATGATTTTAGTTGTTGTTGCTTGATTGGTGACTTCAAATTTTGTTCGATAGGCAAGTTGTGTCACTGAATCTAAATTCTTGTCGCTCTGAAGACGAACTTGCTTGTTACACATGATGCTCATGACCTGTTGAGCCGAGTAGGGAAAGATACATTCCGATTTGGAAAAACTAATTCCACCACTTTCATCCTTTTCTGCTCCCAATGTGTATCGTGAGGATGAAAAGTAGACTTGACAATTTTTGTCTTCAAAATAGAGTTGCCATCGCTGAGGGTCGAAAACATGCTTCTTAATCATTCGTACTTGATCGACTGAGATTTCACACTTTTTCATGTCCATTAAAGATTCCACAAAACAGGAATGAGTGAGATTTTTGACATTTCCAATTTTGTTGAGAAACGACTTGTCACGTTTGGAGAGGAAGGAGACAAACATTTTGGATTCTAAAAATCGAGGAAAGACATGTTCCTTGAGATTAACCATCACGTAGGACTCGGCTTTTTTTAAGGCGTCTTCACATTGCGAAAGTAAGCTCTCAAAGGACAATGGTGGAGGGTTGGTCGAAGTGGAAGCTCTTGTGGATTCCATCTTTTCCGAAAAATCGTTTCCATTCAATTCATACCTTTCACACAAACTCTCAAAACTGTGTGAAAACAATTCTCTCACTTTTTGTGGTAAATTCAATTCATGAATCGAGTTGCCATTAAAAAAGACTCTCTCAATTTCGAGAAGCGCATTCCACTTGTTATTGAGAGACCTCTTTCTAAAATATTCACTCACATGTTCAAGAAAAAGTAAACTCTCTTCATTTCGGTTGAATTTCATAAAATCGCGCAAAATTTGTCTCGACTCCAAATCATCCAAAACGGATTCATATGAAATGTTGTAATCTCTCATCAATGAAAGAACCTCTCGAAATTGTTCTTCATTGGCTGGTTGTGTGTCCGAGAATTGAACGGGAGTTGTGGATGAGGAAGAGAGATTTGAAGAGGATGAGTGGTTATTGTTGTTGCGGTTGCTGTTGTTGTTGTTGGTGGCGGCTGTGGTTGTCATTGTTGTGAATTTGACCTTCGTGTGTTGTCGAGATGAAAAAATCTCTCTCGCTTGTTGTTGTTGTGCGTGTTAAGAAACAGCCGATCAGTTATTGATCTGTTTGTGCGATGGAGCTGTTGTGTGAGAGAAAGAAGAAACAGCAGCAGTCGTGATACGTTGTTGTTTTGTTGCGAGAGTTAAACTGTTTTTTTGAAGTTGCTTTCAAAGATGCCAAGTGTCATCACAACAGTTGTTGCTTCTTAGAAGTGCGTGGTCGTCGTTATGGAGATGTTTTTTGGTAGGTATCGAATATTTTAGTCTAATTATTCTTAAGATATAGGGTTGCCTGAAATGATGAATGAGAGCGAAAGGCATTAAGTCAAGTAAAGAAGGAAAAGGAATGGCCGAGAAGGAGACACATACAATTCGGCCTTCGATTGGTTGGATTCATCAATCTGCAGTTCAATAGGAGGACAAGAAGCATAGATTCTATACTTGGGCTCATGAATCCATTACCTCGTTATTATTATTACAGTAAAATCATCAAGATATTTACGCTTGAAGAAATGGAAATCATAGATTCTCTCTCTTTTAAGGGAGATCAATCAATGTCTGGATTGGAAAACTATTTCAAGGGATTCGAATTCTTCTGAATCATTCAAAATACCCATTCCTATCATTCAATGATGATGATTGATACATCATGTAAACCCAAACAACTATACCGATGGCGAAAGATCAATTTGCAAAGAGAGATCCAAATTCATCCAAAAGGACATCATTATAATTCCGATGTTCAACATTAACACGTGTTTCTAACCAGTCATCATCCTTAGGTTCAAACCTCCAACACGTGTTCCATTCAATTGCTTGTTTCAACACTTTCACCAACAGTGTTGTAACTTGATGTTGTTTCAACTTTTATTAAAATGTATCAAGAAGAAGGAGCCTTTTCTTCTTCTTCTTCATTTTGGTATTATTTATGGATCTCATGTGCAGGAACAAGCCTTTTGCTATGCTCCCGATTCGTCGTTGTGGCCACATCATCCTTTCATCATGTATTTATTATTGCACAATTTATGTTCAAAGTGTTGTACTTTTGGGAATTACAAATCTTTCCGATGTAGTTTCATGTGTATGGTAATTTAGCATTGGTGATTCATTCAGTGGTGTTGTGGAAATGGAGAACATTGAAACCGTGGTATTATGTGTATTTGGTGTGTTTACCTGGTTTTTGGTATTTTGGATGGGCCTTCATTGGATGTGTCTTGTTCGTGCCGAATTTTATATTGAAATATCTCGTGATACATGTGTGGAAAATTGTTGAAATTGAAAATTGGAATTTATATTTTCATTATACGACATTACTGATTTCAATGTATTGCATGTATATATCATTGGAAGATCGAGAATTTTGTGGAGAGCATGTTCACATTGATTTGAGAAATATTGACCAATTGGAGGATTGTATTCATGAATTGAATACATGTATGAAGCCTCCACACAATCAAGAGGAAAGAATTATTAGAGTTTTTCAAATTACGGATGCTCATTTAGGTCCATATATGAGTTTAGAAAAATTGAGAAGAATTTGCAATCATGTTGTGAAACGTGAGCATGAAATTGATTTGGTCATCATTACAGGAGATATGGAAACATTTGAAACACATCATGATGAACATGCTTTGAGAATTGCGTTAGAACCTTTAAAGAAAATTTCAGAAAAAGTAGTTGCATGTTTGGGAAAGTAAGTGAACAAACGTTGTTCAGTTTATAATTTCAGTGGTGAAATGAATATGTGGAAAAATACTTGTGTGTATCTTTCATTGTTGTTTTTGTAAAAACACAGTCATGACTATGAAGTGTTGGACAAGATCAGAAATGCATTTAAAGAAAATAATATTCGACTATTGGAGGATGAACAGCATGTGATACCAATTAAAAGATGGCACGCATTACGTGGAAGAAATGAACACACTGATGACCATTCAGGCCATCTCGTCCAAATTGTCGGAAGTGTTTACAAATTTGCAGGCATGCGAGAATCAAGAGCTCATATTCAAGAATTATGTTCAAAATTTCCAAGAATATCATCAGATATTCCACGATTGTTCCTCATTCACAATCCCTTAATACTGAACTACATGCCAATCGAAGAAAAAGGTACAATGATATTTAGTGGCCATTATCATGGTGGACAGATTGGAGTGACTTTCAAACGTCTCACCTTTTTCAAAGTATTGCACTTTCTCATTCGTCGAGTCATGAAAATTGATGTTCCACATTTCAGACTACGAGCACCGGATCAAGGTTTCTATGGACGAGGACAGGTAAGACTCTACTCGCATCGTGGAACAGGTCATGGCTTTCCATTACGAATGGCCATTCGTACAGAGCAATCCCTCATTCACTTGTATTATTAACAATTATCAAAAAGTTCAAAATTTCTAATAGACTTGACCAAACATTGAAATTTTGGTCGTTTTCCTCATCATACCTTCAAATTGTATACAATGAGGTCAACTAGAGTGGTGATGTTGTTTTTGTTGTTGGATTTTATATTGCAAGAAGGATTGAAACGACTTGACAATTACTGACGAGGAAATCCAAGAGATTTTGGTCGTTGATTATTTCGTTAAAAAAAAATAGCGCGCTCTCAATTTACTGTTTTTTGATAAAAGATTTTGTGGATAAGCCTGTTTGCGGATCTGAAGAAGGAACAACAACAGAAGCAGAATCAATTGTCATATTCCGATAGGGAAACACATTCGCTATTAAATTTTAAAATTGTTGTGGGTGAGAGCGCAGACAGTGATGGATAACCAACACGAGGAATCGCAACAACAATCACTGCGTTCAAGCAGTCGGAATGGCACACCGAGTAATACTACATTGAGGTCATCAAAAAATTCAAAACCTTCTCAAGAGTTTGGAGATGAATTGACTAAAACCGAGATTATTGAAGCAGAAAATGCTGATGATCATACTTCCGAGAAGTCTTTGAGCTTGGGAGTAGGAGAAGCAGCCCTTCCAACATCCCCTCCCGCTAAACTGTTTGATGACGGATTTTCGACAACGAGTAGCGATCATGAACAGAGATATTCAGAGTTTAAACTGGAGAATGATGAGATAGCAGTTTCGCCACCGAATGAAAGTTACATTAAATTTATAGATAAGGAAATTGATCTCGACAAAGAGAGCGATATTGAAGAAAGTGAAGATGAAGAGGAATTAGACCTGAAAAATCCAAAAAGTGCAAGAAATGAACCTCAATATCACGAAGAATTCAAAGATGGACCGAATGCTTTACCTGGTGACTTTCTGTTCAATTATGCCAAGTTTAACGCTACTGTGAAAAAGTTGGCGTCACTTTTTAACGAAACTATGGTGTTGAAAGCTGGATCTTTAGCTGATGAAAGAGAATCTTTTTTAAAGAAGAAATCCCATGCCCGGGAAGAAGAAGGAACATCACACCCATCATCGGCACAACATTCAACTCACTCCATATCAGAAGAGGCAACGTTGGAAATGTTTTTTGAGGCAAAAAAGAATTTTGATAAGCATTTAAAACATTTAGATTTCAGATTGAAGGAAATAGAGGTGTCTTTCAACTCCAAGTTGGATGAGCTTCGACAAGAGTTAACCATTGCAAAGAAAGAAAAAGATGTAAGATCATTAGAATGGAAAGAACGCTACGATAAGCTTCACAAGCGTTGGAACGATGTGATGACAGCCATGTCCAACTTACAAAAAGAAAAAGAGGAATTGAGACGAGAACGAGATGGACTTTTCTCGTTGAAAATTGACACTTCCTCTGTTCCCAACGTTTCCTCTTCTCAACCTTCCCATCAAAACGCAATTGCGACAAAAGAACAACCAACGGGAGACTCCTTAAAAGATTATTCTGAAACGTCTCATCTTGTGCGTTATGATTCGCCTGCCCAGAAAATTCGACCTGAGTCGAAAGAGCAGGCTCTCAAAATGAGATATGATGTTCTACGATCAATATCCCAATCCTTACTTAATTCTATGGCCGAATCACTCCAGTCACAAATGGCCACTGTATTTATTTATAATCCAAAACAGAATGAGCTTCAGAGCTTTTGTTTGGTTTGCAAATATGATTTTACTGATCCAGCTTTGTCAACTCTGGTTGAGAACAAAAATATCAGTAACGCCACTCTCTACTCCAATAATACACACACATTATCTGGTGGACCAAAATCTCCACCAAAGCACATTTGCCTACCAGCCAATCAAGGTATTGTTGGAGAGGTTTTCACACGATCGGTGGCTCTAAATGTTTTTGATGTACCAACGTACAAGAAGCATTACAGATACGTCGACAAGGAGACGGGTCTAAAAACAAAAGTAGCCATATGCTTTCCATTGATTTCTAAAAAGACTAATGGATGCATTGGCGTGTTAGAAGTGATGAACAAGACACCAAATCCAGATGCATTGGATGAGAATGAACCTTACGATATTCAGGACGAGGCTAAGATGTTTGAATTTTCAAGAATTTTTTCAGAGTTGATTGACAACGAGATGGATTGTTTGCCTTTCTCAATATTCGTCAAACCTCAGAAAACAGCTCTTGCTTGGAAAGAGAGTAAAGAAAAGAAAGAGGAACTTTCGTACTCGAATCTGAATGTCACTAGGGTGTACCCTCAAAGTACGATGAGAGTATTCGACGAATTAGACGACCTTTCTCCTCAAAGTCCCACCAAGATTGGGTCTGTACGAGCTCCAAGCGCACTTGTTCCCAAAGAAGTTGAGGAATACATTAAAAAACTTGAATCGTGTTGGAGAAAATCAGTCAACGAAACTGCTCAACACAAGAATACTATTGTAACTCTCGAGGAGTCGTTAAATGAAAAACAGCAGCTCCTTAAGACATTAGAGAGGAAAAATACAGAGCTCGAAAAAAGTTTAGATGAGCTGAAATCTAAAATGATTTCCGAGTTTAAAGAACAAAAATTAGCCAAGCAAGAATGGAAAATCAAGGAAAATGAAATGCGCGTGGAGCTGGATTTCATCAAAAAGACGCACAACACTCTCGTTCAAGAGCACATGTTTAGACTAAAAGAAGAGAGCATAAAATCTCTTCTCCTTCCTGTAAATACCTCCCAAATAAGTCAATCGCTTGAGAATGTAAATACTTTGAATAATTCGTCATTGATTGGTCGACAATCACCTGTGGAACGAAAAGGTGAATTGCCATATCTTGATTCAAAGGTGAACAAAAAGTTAATGGCAAAGAGGCCATCTAAAAACACGATTGACCAAACACGAATACCCTCCGATCTTTCAGAGAGAACTACAGCATATTTTCCTCCCATTTTTGCAGAACTTTTTACTCAGTTACCTCTTCCCACTTTAATATTGAACAACAAATTTAGGATTTGGAGATTTAATAATCGATTTTTAAGCTTTTTGGGATGCAAAAGTGAGCAGAATGAAATTTATTTATCACAACTATTGGGCATATCCTTTGCAGATATTTGTATTGGAATTGAACATGAAAATTTATCCAAATTAATGCAATATGACATTTTGCAAGGTCTAAATGTTGCAAAACTGGGCCCCGAAAACGATTCTACCAACACTTCTCAAACAACAAGATCACCATCGCCGATTCTTTCCCTTAACAACACACTCAATTCTTCAAATTTGATCGACCTGAGAAATGATTCGAGATCTCCAACTCAAAATATTCTTTCCAAGAAGGCGTTTGTGAAAGTAACTGCTTACGTTTGCAAAATTGGTCAAAATGGACAAAAATTTTCGACGGGGTTAGCAGGTTCTCGAATTTCCGTAACACCAGCTCTTGATGAATCTCCCAATAGCAATTCCATCATTAAGGGGCCCTTGTACAGCATTATATTCACAAAGTAATATAAATGTAAAAAAGACTGCAATACAAGAAGAATATATTGCAATAATACAAAACACAGCCTATAGTGTGACATTTGTCCAGAGTTGTGAGTTGTTCAAAGTGTTCCGAATTGCCTTATTAGTTTAAGAAAATAATAATAATATTTTGTGATTTTAATTGTTCTCATTCAAATCTCCATCTTCATAGTCGTATTCTTCGTAATCATCTTCGCTATTATCAGTAGTCGTGCCTGTCATTGTGAAGTTCTCCAAATCGGCATCAAATACAGTCATCATTGCCTCTTCTTCCTCCATGAGAGCCATCTCAGGTGTCATGTAGGTTTGGCCACCAAAGCTAACAGAGCTATTAAGTCTTGCGAGGGTTGACTTGCTGTCATCCGAGGATGATGACATGGTACTCGACATGGGTGATGTTGGAGTTTGTGAATCCAATAATTGATTTTGTTGTTGATTCTTGAGTTTTTCCATCTTTTTCTTCTCCTTTCTTCGTTTCTTGACAGTGGCCAACAAGGATTTGTTTCTAATGTTTCTTCCTGCTTTGAGATCACTGTAGAGAGTGGCAGACATGTCGAGACGTTCAGCACGTTCTCTACCCATACATGTGACAACATGTTTCCACACAGGATCGTCTTCTGAAATTTTTGGAATATTATTCAAGTGTTTTCGAATATAGTCATTAAATCCTTTCATCATTCCTTTTGCACGATCCATTCTTAACATGTTTGCAGCAAATCTTGCATTTCCTCCAACATCCAACAAGTGAATTTGTAACAAACTTGTTCGGTAGGCGTCAATCTTTTTGATTTGATAATATTGGAAGTCTCTAATATCGATCAACTTTTTACCTTCATTCACACCCTTTCCATCTTTGTAATATCGTTCATGTTCACATGGTTTGTAAATGAGAGTGAGTTTTTCTTCTTCCTTGTCGTACCATGCCGAACATGCAGCAAGGAAGCTTCTCTTGGACTTGAATGGAAATGGAAATACCATTCCATATCGAACAATACCCACAGATCTTAATATGTGTTCATGTTACATTGTTGAAGAACATCGCACAATGTGTTCATTGAACAATAAAAAACATACCTCTTTCCATACTTCCACTTTTCACTTGGATATTTTTGTTTCAGAGTTTCATAATCCCAAAAGCCCAATTCTTCACAGCTGGCAATATTTGGATCGTATTTATAGACATAAAGACCTGGCATGCAACATTGTTTTACAACCTGTCATCAATGAATGATAAAAAAATTATTGATTCAAACATTAGCAATAAAAATACATACGTCAAATGGATAATTCAAAACACCAGACCACTTATTGATTTGCATCTTGTTGTAAAAACTGACATTAGGCATGAGCACTTTTTCTGTAATTTTGTACACATTGATTGCTCCCTCCCTCTTAGATCCCAACAGCTTCCATTGATAGTCATCTCTAGCAAGATATTCCATAAAATCAATATCTCTATCAAACACCATAGGTTCTCTAAAGTCGTCATAAGTGTATGGGAAGTAAGTTGCTTCTTTCACACGGCCTACCTTGTTCAAATAGGTCAATCCTTTATGCTGAAGTTTTTTCAGCCATAACTCACTGTATTTTGATTTTTGACATGTCACATTTGTTAAATGATCATTCAATGATGGGTGTTGAATTTTAAAAATATTCTTCTTACCTTCTGACAAATCTTGGAAAGTTGTCATTTTCCAATTCATACATGACGGAATTCTTCATGGTACGGAATAACATGTGTGGAGGTTGAGGTAAAAGCCATTCATCAAAGTTTTGATATTGATGCGAGTCTACAAATAAATTTGTAAATGTTTTCTTATCTTTGGAAGAAATGTTAATTTCCTTTTTTGACTCTTCCTCAACAAAGTCTTTCATGAGCTGAATGGCGAGTAAAATTTGCTTCTTATACAATTTCATAAGATTTTCATATTTTGATCTAGGTGTGTTGATGGGTAATTGTAAAAATCCATGCTGTACAGTTCTAGTTAGTTTTTCACTGGAGTTTCTTGATACAGAGCTGGAAGTGTCAGATTTTTCGTCATCATGTTCAGTAACAGTAAGCGTCTCAGATTTATCATCCGTTGCATTACGCTTGCTTTTTTCCTTCTTTAGAACGGACATGAGTCTATTAAGACCATTGTTTGGCTCTTCTGAGGAAACTGTTACATCTGTGGAGGTTGGTAGTGTTCCTTCTTCGGTACTAGGTTCAGTAGGAATGAGAGTGAGATTGAGTTTTGGCATGATTGAAGGTCTTGGAGTGGGTTGTGAGTTCACGTTGCTTTGAACATTTGAGGTGTCAACTGGGAGATTTGGACTATCATCATCATCGGTATCGGCTGGTGATGTTGGAGATTTCGTACTTTCTGGAAGAAGAGATAAAGTATGGGGAGGTTTCAAACTTTCCAGAGATGCGCTGGTGTCATGGGTTTCAGTTTTGGTTGCAAGCATAGTAGTTTCACTCGTTTTCATTTCCCCTTCGGTAACTTCTGTGACACCCTCGATTTCATTTAACAATGACATTTGGGTGGTTGTTGTTTGTTTTTCTTGCGATGTTTCTTCGGATGATTTTTCGTTGTTGATCGATTTATCACTTGTTGAAACGACCTCGTTCGTCGGAATCACAGATGGAGACTTTGAAGTTTTGTCTCCCATAGAGGGAGATGACTCAGTCATGCCACCAACGTTCTCCATAGAAGCTGACGAATCTCGTCTTCCCAACAAGTTAAGTTTTGAATCAGATTTTTGCAAATTGTCTTCCTTCTTTTTGGAAGATCCCAATCTAAAACCAAATCTACCTGTTGTGGATTTGTCTTGAGAAGTGTTTTCATCTGAATGTGACGTTTGTTGTGCTGATGACATTTCAGATTTTTGTGAATCCTCAGTTTTTGTTTCTCTTTTGCCAATGCCAAAGAATGAGAGTTGTTTTCTGGCGAATCGTCGTGGCGTAATAGGTTCTGAAAGTGATGGTGATGATGATGGCGATTGGCTTGTTGTTTCTCCTTTAGAGGGCGATCGACTCAATGGATTCTTGTCACCATGTCCAGAACCTGCTCCCAAACCAAGAACCATTTTTGGAAGGTCAGAGAAATGACCTCTTGTCAGAAATGATGATGAATTGGTATTTTCATCACCACTATGACCCCTATTGTTATTATTGTTATTATTATTATTGCTCAAATCTCGGACCATTCTCATCATTTTGTAATACGTAAATTCAAGTTCATTCACTTTGGAAATAAACTCCAAAGGCTCTGTATTGTGTTCTGTTTCTAAATAACGATAGAAGGAACGAAACATGGTTCGATCGGTAAATATATTTTGAAATCGGAAGATGTAATCCTCAAGATTGGTTTCTACAAATAAATTCGTAGAGCTCGCTGTTTTACGATCTCGTAGAGCAGAACCTGCTGCTGAGTTGCTGGATACCTTTTTAGAGGTCGGAATGGCCATCACTAATGATGTTTCCTTGTATCGTTTTTCATCTTCATCAATTTTATCCTGATCAATATTCATATGATAGCCTCCTTCTGCAATACTTTGTTGCTGTGGAGAGGAAGAAGAAGTATTTACAGGTTGTTGTTGTTGTTGAGAGGCTGAAGAGTTGCCCCAAAATTTACTGAAAAACCTTGAAGCCAAAGAGGATGATGATTGGCGAGAGGATGTTGTTGTTGTTGAAGATGATGCTGCTGCTGATGAAGGAGTTGTTGAGGATGATGATACAGGAGTTGATGATTGATGATCTTTGGAAGGATAGTTCTGTGGTTGCCGATGATACGGAGGAGGATGTTGTTGAGAAGTCGTCGTATTGGTCGTAGTGGTGGTGGATTGGCTATTCGTGTTGGTAACACAACTCAAATCCTTTTCTTCGGGCGTGTAAGATTCCGTCTCTTCTTCTTCCTCTTCTTCCATCATCGTCCTGGTGGTGGTAGTGCTGAGAGGATTCGGAGGTTGGAAAGAGAGAGGGTTCTCTCGAGGAGGAATTGTAGTGGTCATTCAAGAGTCGACAAGAACTCTGATAGTGAAAGAAATAGAGAAAGCACCTTTTTGAAAGGTTCTTTGAAATGTTTTGGATGATGAAAATAAAAGGAGAATCAACAACAACAACCACTCGCGCGTGTTTGACAAGAATGGTGGATAGGATGGTGTTGATGGTAGAAGAGGAGGATGAGATCTCAAGATTGGTTGTTGCGAGGAGGATGAGGCTAATGATGATGATTGATGGTCGTGGATGTCGTTTGTTTTTTTATTCTTTCTTTAACGATCTCTCTTTTGAAGCTAAGAATGGCCTCGAAAAGTACTATTCGATAATGATGATGTGTGTGAATGGCTCAACAAGGTTTTGATTTGAAACAAAGAGAGAGAAGCTCGAAGGAAGGATGAGGTGTGTCAGGTGACAACTTGTATGATGATGAGTCGATCACTATGGTCTTTGTTATGGCGATGCCACTTGTCTTTGGACTTCACACAGAGAATAAGCTGTCAACTGTTTTTTTTGTTTTATTTTCAAGAGCGCACTGTTTCAGTTTTAGAAGGGGCCATATTAAAAAGGAGTGACAAGGTATCTTCCGTCAAAACTGGAAAACGTGCTCTACCATTTGGCAAAAGAAACAATTTACGATCATCAACAAAAGAACAAGGTCTTCCTTTTGCTCTTTGTGAACCAAATTTTTGAAAAGCCTGCTTTATTCTCTCATTTTCGAGGGCTTTCAAAAGGTTAATACGAAACCGAAGAAGGTTGTTCTTGTGAGTGGGATAACAACAGTTCTCTTTAATACTGTGTCACGTTCAACTTGAGTTGAGCACTCTGTGGAAGGATAGTAGCTCTTTTCACATTCTTTGTAGCACCAATTAGTTTCACATATTCAATGTACAAATCTCCCTTTTCTCTTTCAAGCAATGCCATGGTTTGTTTGATTTGAGAAAGTTCCAATTCATATTTGGCCTTCTTCAGCAATGCAACACTGTCATGCTCTGACTTCTCTCTCTCGATTTGAGCCTTGCCCTCAATTTTTGCCTGTTCTGTCTTTTCCTTCAAGGTGTTACTATTCTTGATCTGAATAAGGTCCTTCCTCAACTTGGCAAACTCAATTTCTGATTGGATCTGCTCCTTCTCAGCCAATGTTTTGGCATTCTCTTGTAGTTTGGAACACATAATGTTCATGGAGCTCTTGATACTATTGTCCAGAAGCTGAGCAATTTCTGGATCGACTGGTCTCAATTCTTTCACATCCACAGCATACACAAGGAATGAAAATTCTCTGAACAGTCTACCATGAATATTGGCGCTTGTACCATCATCAAACTTGAGGTCATAGTCCTTGAACAAGTTTTTACGTAAAATATCTGAAGCACCTTTGTGGAAGGACTCGAAATCATGACTCGATGCAAGCTCTCTAATTCTTGATCTCAATGATTGACAGGAATAGCCAACAAAGTCTCCCGAAAATAGTTTTTCATATTCCTCATTGGATGGTTTTTCGGATGTTATGAACTGCCATTTGTAGGTCAATTCCATATCCAACACGGCATTGTCCTTGGTTCGTACTTGGAATCGATCTGTCATGAAATCAGGTCCCTTATTGACCAATGCAATGGTGCATGCATTTTCAACCTTGGGACATCCACCTGAAATGGACAATGTTCTCAGTCCTTCCGAGCAGTCAAGAATCATGGATTTGGGACCTTCATAAAACCGTTCAACACCTGCCTTGTAGTCAATGATACAGACCACTTCATTCTTTTGAATTTGAATGTGATAGGCATTGTAGGAAGGAGAATAGGACAACTCCAATGCATCATATTCCTTGTTGGTGAGCTTTTTGTAATACAATTCTTCATTCACATCCAAGTAGTAGGAGAGTGGGCCCTTAACTGTCTTCAATTCAGAGGTCAAGGTATTTCGAACGTAAATGGCTTCATTCTCTCCAATGTTGATGGCTGTCTGAACTCCACCCACTCTCTCTTCATTGGTATTGGCATAATAGATAGCAGGTCCGATCAAACGACGCATCTCACCAGCCTTAAAGGTCTTTCGGATCATCTTATTGAGATCGTTGCTTGAGGGCACTTCAATCTCATGATCCTTCAAGGCTTGAAGGAAAATAAATTCATTCTTATTGAGAATATCAGCATCTTTCACGACTCCGTCCATCAAGACTTCTCCAGGAAATAAAGAGAAGGTGGTTGGACCGATTCGAATGTCCTTTTGTCCGTATTGAGTCGTGTGAGTGGTGGTATTGAAGGGATTGAGAATGATGGCATATTGTCGTTCTCTCACAACTGAGCAAATGACGATCGCAATGAAAGAATGTAAAGATCAATGAGATCAACGTATTTGGAATAGGAGTATTGATCAATGAAAATCAAAAGAAGGGATCCGAACACAATGTGTTCCATGAAGAATTTTCAAAAAACATTCAAAGAGATCATCAAGAGTGGTTGATATAATTTCAAAAGAGAGGAATACCTACTGATCTTGGTTTGAACACCAGTCTTATCAATGCTCTTGTTGGCAGGAAGAAAGAATCGAGTAGGTCCTTCCACCAATTCAATACTTCCGGTTTCATTGTTAATGACATGAACGAATTGATCAGAATACAAAATGATTGGAGCTGCTTCGCCCGATGAGGGTGGTGATTTCTTGGACATGAGTTTGAAACAAGTTCTTTTTTTTGTTTAGTGATGAACATTCTTGTGGGATCAACATTTGTGAATTGATGAACTTGCTTTGGGAACACGAGCACCAATACTAAAAAAAATATTCAAATAACTCAATCTCATGTATTAAGCCTTAATTCACATTCAGAACAAAGCTCAATTTTCAATTAATTTGAGTTTTATGTTGATCTATTCTTTCTTCTCGACGGTCAAATGCATATTCCGATGAAAGCAGAAAAACAATTTCAAAAAAATGATTGAAATCACACCCTCTGTCACTCGCAACAACTCCCAAAAGGCTTTGGATGAAAACAACACCACTCACACGACAGTTGTGGCCTATTGTGCTGCCTCCGAAAACATTCTTGAAACCTATAAAACACAAGCTTTGAAATTGGGTGAACTTCTCGCTCAAAACTCCATTCGTCTTCGTTATGGAGCTGGCAATACTGGACTCATGTTCCGAGTGGCTCAATCCTGTATGGAACATGGAGGCCATGTCGTTGGAATTGTTCCTCAATTTATGGTCGATCGGAATTGGACGATTGAGAAGAATTTTGTATCCGAGTTAATCATCACAGAAACCATGCACGAGAGAAAACAATTACTCATTTCGGGAGTTGTGGCTTGTATTGCACTACCAGGAGGAGTTGGTACTTTGGAAGAATTATTAGAGGCCATCACTTGGAAACAATTGGGACTCTTTGATGGATCCATTATTGTATTGAATACTATGAATTATTTTGATCACTTGATTCAATTATTGGGAAGAGCCGAACAGGATGGATTTGTTTCGAAAGCTTATGAATTATTTCGAGTTGCTTCTACTCCTGAAGAGGTGATTGAAATGATTCATGAAGCAGTAAAACTCGAGGAAGAAAGAAAGCAATGTCGAATAAGGCTTGAGAAAGAAAAGGATCCAGGAGTTGAAACTTGTGCCGAAAAGTGTTTAAAAAAGGAGCTTATATAAGGCATGGTTTCAACCTGTATGTGTTGGATCTATTGGTCAACAATAAACAGTGTCAGCATATTAATACATGACGTTTTGCTCGTTTCAACACAATATGTCTTCAATTCGAAATTGCGGAACAAGAGGAATGTGTTATTTGTTGGTTGGGCGCATTAACATGAATAAACTTGAACCTTCTCATCATTGTCCAACCTGCAAGTTGAATCATTGTGCCTTGCGTTTGCAATTCCACAATCAAGCATCCAAAACTAAGGATCATGCTTCTCAAGTGAAATCGTTGAATTCAAAACTCTGTGATTTTTGTAGCCGTGAGTGGAATGAAGAATGTGAGGCTAATAACGAATTCTCTGAATGTCAAGTCAGGATGTGTGACAATCACAAGACGATTCACAATTCCTTTAAATCACGCTCTGCTCATGCCAATAAAGCCAAAATGATTGGTAACAATCATGTTCCATTCAGTAATCAATTCAAATTCACTAAAATGTTAGCTGATCGTAAAGATTTGATTTTTAACTTTAGAAATCCATCTGCTATTGAGGTCGACACCAAGAATAAGAGTATTTATGTTATTGACAAGAAGGCCAACGATGCTGTTGTGGTCTATGTTTTGATTTACAGTCCAAGAAGCTTAAAAATATCTTTGAAATTGAAGGAAACATATATAAGAGGACTGAATGATGATGGAATTGTCAACAAGATGGTGGTGAAACCTTCCACTGGAACGATTATGTTCATTTCAAGAAGAGCTGTTCAAACCATCAAGGCAAATGGAACGCAAAAGAAGGAGTTGAATCAGTGTGGAAAGAGTGGAAAAGAGAATGGCCAAGTTTTGATGCAAGATTGTATTTGGCTTTGAATCCTTTGGATGGCGAGTTGCTTGTCTCTTGTAATCCTTGTTATAATGGATTCGACAGTCAAGCTGGAGTTTTTTTACAAACAAAAGTGGACTTGTGGGAATTAATTTGGTGTTACCCTTCTTGCTTAGAGTCAACAATTTTTCTAAGATTCCAGAGGGTGGTTGCATGTGTGAAAGTCTCTCTCGGGGTTTGTTGTTCCCACCATGGTCTCAAACTTCCATTTCAACATAATTGAGTTCGATATTTATTACCCAACGAAAATGGAACACTTATATTCCTTCTCTGTTCAATGTGAAAGTTATTTGTTTTGTTTCGATTTTGTATAGTCAAGATAACTTGAAGCTTTCAAAAAGCAAGGTTGTGATGCTAAGCATTCAGTTGCATTTCCTATCGAGAACTTTTCAACAAGATCTTCATCAGAAATGTTTTGACTATCCTTATAAAAAGTGTCTCTCATGCATTTCATGAAATGTTGTTTACAATAAGCAAAGGAAACACCATAAGCATAAACCATATAAGATGGAGGTAGTGTTGGAATGTTTTCATATTCATTCATCACATAATTGAATTGTTTTTCATATCCCATCTTTTCAATAAGAATTTTCAATTTAGAAGCATCCTCTTCTGTGAAATTTTGTAAATTATCTCCTTGTAATAATTTTCCAGTTGTCTCATCTCTAAAATCATGTTTCACTGTCTGAGCAAATACTGGAAATTTTTTGAAAGATCCCTCTTTTTCAATAAATAAATCGTCGTAATCTTTCAATTTCAAATATTGCTCAAGAGCGACTGTGTCATAAAATAGATATTCCGACTGATGGTTTGATCGATTTTCTCCGATATACGCACATGATTTAACGAGCTGTTCGAATAATTGTCTTCGTTCTCGAGCAGTGAAATATTTAGTGAGAAAGGAGATATTTTCATAGTTGTGAAGACATGGAGGAGTGCCAAACACTTCTTTAACTGTTGTTCACAATTAGGAATGCAAATATTTTCATCCAATCAATCAAAAAAATCATTAATTTTTCAAATATTTCCATAATAAAATAATATGATGAGATCATCGTCTTTAATACAAATATACTCACTCACACACAATGCACCAAACACCTTCGAAACCTCGTTAGGAGCTTTTGTCTCTCTATTTTCTAATCTTCTTGCATCGTATTTATCAATCTGTAACTCTTGTACCTTCCTACGGCAATTAAATCCGATCGAGGCGTAGGTGAAAAACTTTTTATCACTTTCCGAACATAATGAATCATCCATTTTCGAATTGGGAGCTGTAGGAAATAATTGCTCGACTTGACGAATTTTTGAAAGCTTTTCATCATCGCCAGGAATGGTAGTTTTATCTTGTGATGTCATTTTTTTTTTGTTCAGAACGAATGAGAATAAAGTTCACCTCAAACAGAAACAGGACCACAACATCAACAAAATGACATGATCCTCATCGAACAAAAGGTCTCCTTGCCAGCTCATTCGAGAGGTAAATTGTTATGTGATCATAAAGTTTGCAATTTTCATGGCAATTTGTAAATAAGTTTCATTTCGTGTCACTTTGTATAAATTTGTGGCAGCTCCAATCATGAGTCCTTCATTATAAGTAAATCTCCATTGACATTCTTTGAATCCATTTTGAGCTGAGATGTGATCACACACCGAGTACATGTGTTCTCCATTCTTAAGGACCATATTCTCAAACCAAAATGAAAATACTTGTTGTGAAAATTCCAAATAATGTTCTTCTTGAGTTTCTTGATAAAGAAGTGAGGCCAATAAAGCAGGACCAGCATTAGAGGCTGTTGCTTTCTGAGAATGTTCATAGTCCCACCAAATTCCTCCTTTCATGGTGCCACAACATGTGACATCCCAATTCACAACAATTTTCGAATACAAATACAAACAACGTTCAAAATAGGTTTGATTTCTAGTGAGTTGATACGACCAAAATAATGTCAATGCCATCCAATTCATGTCATCAATGTAGGGTCGTTCCCATCCAATTTTATCTTGACCTGTATACAAGTCGGAAATTAATTTCACATATTGCGGGAAAGTGAGATCTGTGCGATTTCGACTTGTGAAATTTTGAGACACTTGAAATGCGTTATCGACAATGGCATTAAATCCCTGTGCAAAGGTCCAATATGTAGTGAGTCCTGATGATGAAGAAGATGGTTGATTCAAGAACGTATAGTGATCCCGAAAATACTGATGTTGAGGATCGTAGAATTTGGAGAGGAAACTTTGAACGGAGAGAGCGGCTCGTTCGATCAATACTTCTTGGGTTTGGGTTTGGGTTTGGGTTTGGGTTTGGGTTTGGGTTTGGGTTTGGGTTTGGGTTTGGGTTTGGGTTTGGGTTTGGGTTTGGGTTTGGGTTTGGGTTTGGGTTTGGGTTTGGGTTTGGGTTTGGGTTTGGGTTTGGGTTTGGGTTTGGGTTTGGGTTTGGGTTTGGGTTTGGGTTTGGGTTTGGGTTTGGGTTTGGGTTTGGGTTTGGGTTTGGGTTTGGGTTTGGGTTTGGGTTTGGGTTTGGGTTTGGGTTTGGGTTTGGGTTTGGGTTTGGGTTTGGGTTTGGGTTTGGGTTTGGGTTTGGGTTTGGGTTTGGGTTTGGGTTTGGGTTTGGGTTTGGGTTTGGGTTTGGGTTTGGGTTTGGGTTTGGGTTTGGGTTTGGGTTTGGGTTTGGGTTTGGGTTTGGGTTTGGGTTTGGGTTTGGGTTTGGGTTTGGGTTTGGGTTTGGGTTTGGGTTTGGGTTTGGGTTTGGGTTTGGGTTTGGGTTTGGGTTTGGGTTTGGGTTTGGGTTTGGGTTTGGGTTTGGGTTTGGGTTTGGGTTTGGGTTTGGGTTTGGGTTTGGGTTTGGGTTTGGGTTTGGGTTTGGGTTTGGGTTTGGGTTTGGGTTTGGGTTTGGGTTTGGGTTTGGGTTTGGGTTTGGGTTTGGGTTTGGGTTTGGGTTTGGGTTTGGGTTTGGGTTTGGGTTTGGGTTTGGGTTTGGGTTTGGGTTTGGGTTTGGGTTTGGGTTTGGGTTTGGGTTTGGGTTTGGGTTTGGGTTTGGGTTTGGGTTTGGGTTTGGGTTTGGGTTTGGGTTTGGGTTTGGGTTTGGGTTTGGGTTTGGGTTTGGGTTTGGGTTTGGGTTTGGGTTTGGGTTTGGGTTTGGGTTTGGGTTTGGGTTTGGGTTTGGGTTTGGGTTTGGGTTTGGGTTTGGGTTTGGGTTTGGGTTTGGGTTTGGGTTTGGGTTTGGGTTTGGGTTTGGGTTTGGGTTTGGGTTTGGGTTTGGGTTTGGGTTTGGGTTTGGGTTTGGGTTTGGGTTTGGGTTTGGGTTTGGGTTTGGGTTTGGGTTTGGGTTTGGGTTTGGGTTTGGGTTTGGGTTTGGGTTTGGGTTTGGGTTTGGGTTTGGGTTTGGGTTTGGGTTTGGGTTTGGGTTTGGGTTTGGGTTTGGGTTTGGGTTTGGGTTTGGGTTTGGGTTTGGGTTTGGGTTTGGGTTTGGGTTTGGGTTTGGGTTTGGGTTTGGGTTTGGGTTTGGGTTTGGGTTTGGGTTTGGGTTTGGGTTTGGGTTTGGGTTTGGGTTTGGGTTTGGGTTTGGGTTTGGGTTTGGGTTTGGGTTTGGGTTTGGGTTTGGGTTTGGGTTTGGGTTTGGGTTTGGGTTTGGGTTTGGGTTTGGGTTTGGGTTTGGGTTTGGGTTTGGGTTTGGGTTTGGGTTTGGGTTTGGGTTTGGGTTTGGGTTTGGGTTTGGGTTTGGGTTTGGGTTTGGGTTTGGGTTTGGGTTTGGGTTTGGGTTTTGGGTTTGGGTTTGGGTTTGGGTTTGGGTTTGGGTTTGGGTTTGGGTTTGGGTTTGGGTTTGGGTTTGGGTTTGGGTTTGGGTTTGGGTTTGGGTTTGGGTTTGGGTTTGGGTTTGGGTTTGGGTTTGGGTTTGGGTTTGGGTTTGGGTTTGGGTTTGGGTTTGGGTTTGGGTTTGGGTTTGGGTTTGGGTTTGGGTTTGGGTTTGGGTTTGGGTTTGGGTTTGGGTTTGGGTTTGGGTTTGGGTTTGGGTTTGGGTTTGGAGTTTGGGTTTGGGTTTGGGTTTGGGTTTGGGTTTGGGTTTT